GAACCTGTCAATCCCCCAAATCAAAGATGGATTTTCAATGCATCCACCGATTACGTCGCTGGAATAAAGAAACCGACGAATTTCGTCCCAAGATCCGTTCCAAACGATCCTACAGGATGGGGTTAAGGGGCAGTTGACCCGAAGATTTAGGAGGAGAGCTGCTACGGGGATCCCTACTCCATAAAGGGGGCCGGCCATCTTTTCTGGGAATGGCCTGGTGAGTGAGTCGTGGACTCCCGAAAGGAAGACCACGCGAGTGAAAGTATAGTAACATTAATTAAAAAATGAAGAAAAAAATAAAAATAAAAATCAGACCTGGTCAATCGGGAGTGAGCCTAGGTAACCAACCACCCCGGCAGATGGAGAGAGTGGGAAGATGGATGGATAATTCAATGAAATGGATGGGTCCATTTTTCCATGTATTGGATTTCGGATCCATCCGTTGTTCCTGAGTCGTCCACCGGTTGGTTTTCCCCACTCCTTCTCCCCCCCCCCATGCAACCACGCCGAAAGTTGCTTTCTTCTTAGCTTCAACTATATGCATTATTGTTCTGTACCTGCTTCTGTTTTTTGTTTTTTTCTTTTTCTCTCCTGTGGGGTGGCTTGAAATATGCTCCCTACCTATCAAATTTTCCCATGAGACCGACCAATACTACTATTTTACAGTTATTCTCTTTTTGATAGGATGGTTTTCCATTTATTGTTTTATTTACGGAACACTATTTTATTACTTTATTTTCTCTCCTCTACGGAGTACTTCCACCAGTTCGCCCCAACCAAGGTACGTTTGTATGGATACCGATTGCCCTCGTCGGGTGCCGATCCAGATCACATGGGCACTGAACTGGAGCTTTCCCTTATGAGATGTGTTCCACCTATTAGGCCTACAAGGCCTCTAGCCCTGGAATCCTGATATTGGCCACTCGTATCAATGATCAAGGGGAAGGGAAAGAAAAAAGTGATAGGGACCAGTGAGACCAGTCTATAATCTAGTCTAAGGCGACCGGGATAAAGAACACCTAGGCCAACCGACCTCGGGAAAAGGAGATTGAAAGAACTGATTTAATAGCCTGCCACCCCGGGAAATAACACATTATAATTGAATACCTGTCTAGCTACGGAGTACAGAGTACCTATCAGAGCATGGGGAGTGGAATTTACCTCACATCCTAGGTAGACAGGCTTGACATCATTGTCTGACAATAGAGTGACATGGGCTGAACCATGATATGATCCAATATTTCCTCTCCGAGATCGAACGTTATACTCTAGGGTGGTTCCTATTGATATGGTGACGATGACGGGGGTGATGGTGATGGTGATTATGATTATTTTTTATTATTCTTAGGCAGTCAGTATGGGTACCGTACGGCATTCTAGGCGTCAAACGGTTGGAGTGGATAGCGACTGGGGGCAAAGAAGCCTCCTAGAAAAGAATCGAAAAAAAGAAAGGGGTAGCAGTAGCAGGAGTGGGAATGGAGCATCCACACTACTGTATCTTACCTTCCCGTCGGGACAGAACTGAGCGACTGAGCCGCTCCAGAGTGCAGTAGTACGACGTCTAAAAGTCGGAAGGTGATTAGTAGTATGCAATGGAGTATAGTCAGAGATATCTTGTTTTGAATGTATCAGTTTTGCTTGGAATAATAAACACAAATGAGAAATAAAAATGTCAATTGAGAATAAAAAGAAAAGAAATGAAAATGGAAAACAAAAATTGAGATAAAACAAATGAAAGAAAAATAAAATAAAATAAAATATAAACTAAAACAAATAGATGATAAAGCCAAATAATTATTTTTCTCCCTTCCTTTTTGTATTTTCTATTTTCTATTTACTATTCTATTTTATTTATTTTTAATTTCTACCCCTTCTATTTTATTTCTAAATTACGGATGAGAGGATTGCTCTGATGATCGTTGCTCTCATGGTCAAGCAGATTGGGAACGCTTATATCTACATGAATCCCCTACGATCAGAGGTCCTGAAATTCTTCAAATCATCCAGTTCATTCCTCACCTCAATCCTCAACCTCCTTCCTCCTCTCCTTCCTCCCAACCGACTGAGTCCCGACGGTTGGATCTCTCGGCCCTTTCGACAACTTTCATTCTCCCTCCCTCTCCAACAGTCTCCGTACTACCGTCCACTCTACCCGTGACGTTTACCTGCCACGCTCGCCCTGTTTGGCTCTCCCTTGCGATACATCCAGTTGGGCCTGTTTTCGCTGCCCCCGGAGCCTACTTCCGCTGCTCCTTTCCAGGATCACCCTCCTTACGGACTGCATTAGTCTCGTCCGCATTGTCGGTCTTTGATTCTCGATCGGATTCTGATTGCGCGATTGATTCAAATATCACCTGTCGGGCCGTCCCTGCGGTTTCGCGCGCCGGATTGCTACCTACGAAGTGCCTAAACAGAAACGATCCGATCCCCCGCCAGTGCTTTTGACGGACAAGGAAAAAAAAAAGAAAAAGAGAATATTAAAAAACACAAAAGGACTCCGCGCCCAACTAAAAAGCAAAAATAGCCACAAGTGAGATCGAACAGAGAGAACAAAGGGAAAACCGATCTATCGATCCACTGTTTCCCGGGCGCCACTCTGTGACTCGTTGTTGCATTCCTACCTACAGATCGACTTGTTGCTGCTGCTCTCTCGCGGCACCGGGATTGCGCCCTTAATAACGATCGATTCCCGATCTTCATTGCAGCTGCATCTTAACTGTCTGCATTAATACCGCCTGTCCTTGCCTGAGAAGCTTGGGTACCTTGCTACTCGCTACACTCGCTTTGTTATCAGACCGCACATTGGTTTTATAATCCGCCTTTTTTTCGATTATTATTTTTATTTGGAGCCTTTTTATTTTTATTTTTATATATTTTTTTTTTTTTTTGAGAGGCTGCTCCTTGTGTTTATTTAATACCTCAGTGAGTCCTCTCATACTCCCTTCCATCCTCCCCGCCGTTCCATCGTCCACCTATCTTCGCACCGTGCCAATTCCCCGCAACGTTCAATTCTAACCATGGCTGTTTGTGCAGAATCCACCATGATTCTCCGAGATCTCTCTGCTTTCAACATGGGACGCGGTGCCTACGACACGACCGGTGTGAAGAAGCCTGGTGCACCACCGCCGCCTCCCTCCAAATGAAATCTTCAATTGTTTCAGCCAACCACAGCGATTCTTCTATTGCGAGCGAACGTTTGATTGTGGTCTCTTGTTTATTGGCGCCATAGCCCTTGAGGTTTACGTTCTTGTTACGAAGTCGACACTTTTTTTTTTGGTAAGTGTGTCTCTGGCAGAATTGGCTGGTTTCGCAAAACTAACGTGGATCCCAGCACCTGTAACACTACTTCCAACATCTTTTTCTCACTTCGGTGGCCACTCGTGGTTTCGGTCCTATACTTTCTTAATACCGTTCGTCATCGGCATCCGGATGGCATTTCTTCTTCGACACGCCATTCTTTTTTAACCCGACTTATATCTTTAATCTTTCATCGACACGACCCGCCGCAGATCCACGATCTGTTCTCCCAAAAAGTGATTTCCTTCTTTTTGTTATTTGACTTGCTATTTTGGATTTGAGTTATTCGGGCGTTTGGCATAGACGGCATGGGCTTGATTTTGGGATACATGGGTTGATACCAAGACTAGAACTTACGACCTCGCGGTCAGCAGTTATCGATTTTATTTTCACACTCGCTTTTTTACCTGCTTATTATTATTATTATTACCGTTATCAATCTTGATCAACTATAGACCTCTAGTTGTGTTGTCCCCTTGGTTTGTATGTTTGTCAGCGCGGGGATTTCGCAATTGCTTATTGTGCGTGTACATCACCTTGACAACGTGCGTTCCGAATGGAAGCAGGTGTGCCTTGCGTTCACTGCCCTAATCTTGCTGCACAATTATTTTACTTTTCTTTTTGCTGGTTTCATATATTTTTAGGACGCCGTTAGAATCTTGGGTATGTTCCCCAAAGTCCAGACCCGCCAATCATGCTTGGGTAGATGAGGGTCAGGTAGAACCCAGTGCCAACGAGTCATGGGCCCACGGTCCCCCTCCCCCATCCCGCCGTTTTACAGATGTGTCCCTGAAATCCATCAATGACGGGAGCACACAGGCGGTATGGAACGTGATTTGCCAGCTTTAATTCCAAGACGACTAAAACATCATCTCGAAGTGGATCCGCCTCCCGGGGTTAGGATCCCAGGCGTTCGACGGGTAGACATGGGTGTCTTTGTGTTTGGGCAGCGATGAGACGACCTGCACAAATCACGCTGTGCTACGTTGACAAGTGTAACCCGATTGCGCCAGAGAATTCGATGGATGATTATCACGATGGGTGGGCAGATATCGGGGGGCACGTCATGGCTCAGCAGAGGGAGAAGTATACTGGTCTTGGCTCTTGCCGCGTGCCAGGACCGTGGAGGGGTGGTTTTTGTATGGGTCTTGTCACCGGCCGAGTGTATGTCTTGTACCAATCATACACACCGTGATTTGGGCCATTGGGGCCTTCGTCACTCTATTTATTCTTGAGGATTTGGGTCTGCAGTTACTTATTCCTCCGATGGTACTTTTTTTCTTTATCATGGTTGATGACGACCTCTGGACAGTTGTGAGTTGGAATGGCGGTATTCCAACTTGCCGCAGTTAGCCAACATAAAAGGTGCTATAGATTTCGGTGGATTCTGGAGAATGGAAAGAGATACAATTCCAGAGACAACACCGTCACAATGCTCTATTTTTCTACCAGAACGGCCATCAGCACGATCATCTCTGTCATGGCGTTGCTATTGTTTTGACTTTTCCGGACCTTAACCCCTCGTTCCTACAAGGCTCTGCTGAACCGTTGATGATATCAGGGCAGGACATCCCGTGACTGGGGCTGTTCGGGCTGGGCCACGCTAGTCGGCTTTAGGCTGCCTCAACTGCCGTCACCACCGAGAGAGAGTGAGAGAGAGAGACTACCTTACGTACTACCGAACTACCTCCTTCTTCGACATCCCCCATTACTACCTCCGATTACTACCACTACCAACTATTACGGCTACAACCTAACGCCTCCAGACCGACATACAGAGTCAAGAGTCATTTTCCTGGAATCGCTCCAACCATCTTGCTAAGACTCCGCCTCACTGGGTATCCATCCTCCACTTCCTTGCGACGGTGTACTTCCCCGTTCAAACGTCCACCGCTATTTTCCCTCTTACTGGTCTGTTGTCACCTCATTGATTTGTCTGCGCTCAAACCCCCCCCATTCCCCCTCCCGCAACCCCTGTCCCTTGCCGTCTCGCTCGTTCCCTCGTGTTCTCGCTGACGTTCGTCTGGTCCATTAGGCCCCCTCGAAAGCCCTACGACGGGGTCTACTTGCCGACCCGATCTGCCCCTCACGAGCTGAATACGCCCGCGTTGGTAGTCCCTGCAGAACGACCTAATCTTGTCTCTGGCCAGTCCCTCGAGTTGGGCCCCCCGCCGTCATGTCTGAGTCAACTAGCGCAAATACCCCGAAGCCCAGCAGTAGTGTCAAACTGGTACTTTTGGGTGAGGCCGCCGTGGGCAAGGTATGTCTCTTCCATCTCTGCTCGGGAGGTACACGGGATGACCGGGGAGATATTGACACCGGCTGTGATTACCTAGTCGTCGCTCGTCCTACGATTCGTCAACAACGACTTCCAAGAGAATAAGGAGCCGACCATTGGAGGTAAGCCGGAGTCAACTCCATGGAGTCCAATTCCCATGGAGCCTTGTGATGAGGTGCTGGTGAGACAAGGACCCATCCGCTGACGTTTTCGCCTTGTAGCGGCCTTCCTCACTCAAAAATGTTCTCTCCCCACCCGCACGATTAAGTTCGAGATCTGGGATACCGCCGGCCAGGAGCGCTTCGCCTCGCTCGCCCCCATGTACTACCGTAACGCCCAGGCGGCCCTGGTGGTCTACGACGTGACCAAGCCGTCGTCGCTGACCAAGGCCAAGCACTGGGTCGCCGAGCTGCAGCGCCAAGCGAGTCCCGGGATCGTGATCGCCCTCGTGGGCAACAAGCTGGACTTGACCAACGACGGGAACGAGACGGCCGGTGAGTCCGCGGCCACCGACGAGGGCGCGACCCCCGCCGGAGAGGGCGAGGGCGCCGATGGCGAGAATCAGGCGGACGAGGAGGAAGAGGAGCAGGAGGCTGCCCCGGGGGATGCCCGCAAGGTGTCGACTCAGGAGGCGGGTACCTACGCGGAGGAGGAGGGCCTGCTGTTCTTCGAGACCAGCGCCAAGACGGGAGTCAACGTCGTCGATGTCTTCACCGCTATCGCCAATGCCATCCCGGAGAGCAGCCTGAAGAGCGGCCGTGGGCCCGGTGCTGGAACGGGGCAGACCACCCTTGGGGGTGCTCGGCCGGCGGAGGATTCGCGGGTCAACCTGGGCGAGCGAACCGCGGCGACGGCGAAAGAAGGCTGTGCCTGTTGATATTGGGTGGGATAGTTTGATTGTTTTGTAAAGTTTTTTTTTATGTTATTTTCTCTCTCTTATGTCATTTGCTTGCTTCGTTTTGTTCTCTTTCGTTCGTCGTGTCCCTGGGCCTGGTTGATTACAGGGTCGTGGGCGATGACATCGTATAGTGTAAGTACTCGTTGCTGCTTTTTGAGGCGCGTGGCATGGGTCAGATTATTTGGGCGTTGCCGTATCATCTTTATTCTATTCTTTCAGAACAAAATTATTTATTTATTGTTTTGAAGATATCAGATTATTTATTGAATAGTAAAGTCTTTGATCTTGGCCTAATCTACGTAGTATAGAGTCACATGATAGGCATGCCTCAGGAACGGTCATTAGATTCACCTGTGCTGATGTCTGGATATCGGGATGTGGTTATGATCCACTGGTATAAGTAATTGGACAGTTGGATTAGCAGTGTACATGGAACAACGTACTTAAGGTGTCTATATCAAAGGCCAAGTCAAGGGGGCGATTAGTCATAAGGGCAGCGGAGTCACGGGACCCAAGCGTCCCCTAGCCGGGCTTGACCCACGCTAACCCGCATCCGGCATAGGCTAAGCGAGAGGCCGAGTCTCCGATCCCACACGGGCAGAACTGACTGATCGAATTACTGCTGGGCGGCCTGACCGACTAGGACGAGAATAATTAATCGAATCTTCACGACCGTCAACCACCAGGACAACCTCAACCCGCCTCCCCTCCCCCCACCAGCAGGACAGCCAGCTCCCCGTCGCTCGTCTGCAATAATGGCTGCCATCAACAAGATCGCCCTGAACTCGCCGTCGCGGCAGAACCCCTCCGAGCTGGAGACCGCGATCGCCGGCGCTCTCTATGACCTCGAGAACAACACAACCGATCTGAAGGCCACCCTCAGGCCTTTGCAGTTTGTGTCTGCCCGTGAGGTAGGTTATCCTTTATCTGTTCTTGGAGTTCCTGTGCGGTTGCTGTTGCTGTTGCTGTTTTCATTGCCATTGCTGTTGGACTGGATGTCGTCGCGGTTAAACGTGGATTTTGGGGATCTGTTGAACTGGTGGGATGGGATCAACATTTGGCTGTGTGTGTGGATACACAATGAGAGACGGTCTCGGGGTACTGGAGGACGACCAGGACGACGTCGACATACGATGGAATATGGACATGGACTGGACAAGAAATTTTGATCTCGACAAGGACAACAGCGGTGGCATTGGAGGGGCTCCCACACAGCACAGCTCTACTGCACAACTCTACTATCTATAATCATGCGCAATTCTAACACACTTTTCACAGGTTGAGGTTGGCCAGGGCAAGAAGGCCGTCATCGTCTTCGTCCCCGTCCCTCTGCTCCAGGCCTTCCACAAGATCCAGCAGCGGTACGCCTACGACTTCCCTTGATTGACACAAAAGACGACAAAGACTAACAAAAAAAAAATAGTCTGACCCGTGAGCTCGAGAAGAAGTTCTCCGACCGCCACGTCCTCTTCGTCGCTCAGCGCCGCATCCTGTCGCGCCCCAAGCGCTCCGTCAACTCGCGCACCAACCAGAAGCAGAAGCGCCCCCGCTCGCGCACTCTGACCGCCGTGCACGACAACATCCTGACCGACCTCGTCTACCCCGTCGAGATCGTCGGCAAGCGCGTCCGCACCAAGGAGGACGGCAGCAAGACCCTCAAGGTTATCCTCGACGAGAAGGAGCGCGGCGGCGTTGACCACCGCCTGGACGCCTACGGCGAGGTCTACCGCCGACTCACCGGCCGCAACGTCGTCTTCGAGTTCCCCCAGAGCAGCTCCGAGTACTAGATGGATCTTTTTTTTTATTCTTCCTCTTTTTTCTTCTTGATTCTGTGTTCTGTGTGTGGGGAATTCCCGGGAGAAGTCAAAAAAATCCAAAACCAAAAATGGACCACTTTTTTTTATCATCATCTCTTGTCATAATCCAACAACCTGTTTCATGAAATTTTTTTTTCAATGTCTTCTCTTTCCCCCCCGGCTACGATCCTGTTGGCGGTTAGACAAGGAAGAGGAGAAAGAAAAAGTGGGACGCTCACGGGAATTTTTGAGGGAAAACAAGGCATATTCAAAAGGAAAAAAAGAAGAAAATCAAAATGGATCTAGTTGGACTTTCTTCCCTTTCTTTCGAGTTCAAGATCGATACAATCAAATGACAGATGGGGAGGGGTGGTTTGTAGTGCCCTGTTGATACCTTTTTCTCTTCTCTTCTCTTTTGTATATCTCGTTGCTACCTCGGTACTTACCTATCTACCCACCTACCCCCGCCGGACCAGTCGAGGGAAGAACAGGACAGGATTACCCCGGATGAAAGACAAGAAATGGATGTGATAACAATGGATCTTACCTGGTCTGGGCTTCTTTCGGTCAGAAGAAGTCCTGTTGATCGCTTCTCCACTTGTCTCGTAGATATATCATCTATTAAGGTAATGAATGGGTCTGGTTATGGAGACTATGATCTTGTTTCATTATTTAGTATTTCAATTAGGTATTTAATGGTATGTATGTACTATTGATATTGATATCATCCATGTAGTCTATACTTGATGGAGATTGTCCACTGTCCCGAAACACAGCCTAGATCTTGTCCCCGTATGTCTGGATACAGTTGTATGCCATTTCGAACTATATCAGGTTAGCACACATCACTTATACCCCTTGATTGATATCCAGGAAGAGAAAGGTAAGAAGAGAAGGGAAGAAAGAAAAAGCTCACCTGCTCATCCGTCTGACAAACCAACACTTTCGGACCCTTCCCACCCACCCCCGAAACATCAACCACATTCCCATCTCCATCCCCATTCCCAAACCCCCGCTCATTAGCCCCCTCATCAACAGGCGGCACCCCCAAACACCGCACCTTGTCAACAATCGCCTTCCTCAGCATAGCGCTCCGCTCGCCGATGCCGCCCGCGAAGACAATCGCGTCGACGGCCCCGTCCAGCTTGACGAAGTAGCTGCCCACGAAGCCGACGATGCGGTCGACGAAGATGTCGAAGGCGAGTTTGTGCGCTGCGCTGGGCGGGTTGGGCACGGCGATTTGCGAGAAATCCGTTGTGCCTGTTAGGGCTTTCCAGCCGGATTGCTTGTTGAGGATTTCTTCGGCCTGGTTTTTTTATTAGGTTAGGTATATATATTTACATATATGAGTGTGGATGTGGATGTGGATGTGTATGTCTGAGGTAATGAATGAGAAGAGAATAGCGTACCGTGCTAATGTGCATGTTCCTTGTGCTCCCCGGGGTGCGTTTCCCTGCGTCGCTGGTGTAGTGGAAGACCAGGCTAAGTAATAGGTTAGCTGTGTATAAAGACAGTGGTGAGTAGATATACATACGAAGGATCAATACTCCCACTCCTCGTCGCACCCGGCAAACCCGCCAAAGGCGTAAGTCCCATCCTAACAACATCACCTATTAGCTTTCTATCCCCCTCTCCATTCCCTCCCCCTACAGACAAATGAAAAAAAAAAGGGGAAAACCCACGAAGTATCAATCGACTCCCCATCTTTGATAGCACAAATCGACGCCCCACTCCCAGCATGCAACGCAATAACATTCGTCTTCTCCGGCGGCTTATTCAAGAAGTCGGCCACGGCGCGGAGAATAAACGAGTAGCTGATGCCGTGGAAGCCGTACTTCTGGAGACGCTTCTCGCGCGCGATGCGCTGGTCGATGGGGTACGTGCGCACGTACTCGGGCATTGTCTGGTGGAAGGCGGAGTCGAAGAAGGTGATGCTTTTGACGCTGGGCATTTCTTGTTTGCAGACGCGGATTATTTCGAGGGCGGAGAAGTTGTGTCTATCTACTTTTAGAAGGATGCCTTTTCGCAGGATGGAGGGAAAGGGTGGGAATGTGGGTAATACGTACAGCGGGGCTAGATCCTCCAACTCCTCAAGATGGTGATAAGTCTCGTCTGTAATGATCGTACTGGTTTTATAGTCGCCGCCGTGCACGACGCGATGGCATATATACGCTAGGTCGTCGCTGCTGGTGACCTCCAGCTCGGGGTCCGAGAAGCAGTGCTGGAGGAGGAACTTGAAGGCATCCTGCGGCGTGCTGATGGACTGATCGACCTTTTCTTTGCGCTCTGTGCTCCCGTGGGTGTATTTCAGCTTGGGCGGCGGAGCTGTGATGCCGGAGACTTCTGCGTTGGCGATGGGCTTGGGGTTCTTTTCGAGGGTGTAGAAGGTTACTTTGACGGAGGAGGAGCCTGCGTTGACGGAGAGGATGGTTTTGTTGGGCATATTGATGATGGCGGTATTTTCTTTTTGGGAGAAGCTGTTCCTGTATGGATTATGGATGATTATACTAAGGATTAAACATTTGAATTTCTTGTATACGATATCTGAACTGAATATACCCAGTAGGTATGCAGGGTGTAGCTGTCCGCCGTTCCTGGTCTACGTCATGATGTCAGACGGTCCATAGTGACGTATTGCAGACGTCTTGTCAGACCTACTACTGCGACCGGATACTATTTGAATAGCCACTTCTTCAGGCACGCGCCCAATCCATTATCTCATCTCGTTGACATTTACTAGATCCAAAGATTTCCAAGTCATTTACGTGGTCCTCAAAAGCGGCAGCTTTTCCGTCTCGTAACCCTAATCGGACCCGATCCGGAAGTATCCAAATACCACCCACCTGCTTGAGATCGAAACGTACCTTTCACACCAGGTATAATTTCAATACACTAATAGGCCATCATGCCTGGAGAAGTCATTGACCGACCGAACCCTCGGCCACTGCCGTCGCATCTCCCCGATGCTGTGGAGCAGCTTGGGGTCAAGCTACAACATGTCGCTCTGGATCAACATGCGTACGATGCGCTGTACAAGTTCCGCCGGGCGGCGGCTTACATAGCTGCTGGTAGGTTGATCGCCTTTGATGCGCGATAGCCACTGACGTTACTAGCTATGATTTTTCTTCGAGATAATGTGCGATTAGAGCGCGATCTGACACACGATGATATCAAGTCGCGATTACTCGGTAGGCATTCTGGTATCGCAGGCGCAAGTTGAATCCGCATAGCTAACTAGACCAGGTCACTGGGGAACGTGCCCCGGGTTAATTCTGATCTACTCGCACCTGAACTATTGCATTCGGAGACATCATTTGGATATGCTATATGTGGTTGGACCGGGGCATGGGGCGCCGGCTATTCTGGCTTCCCTGTGGATCGAAGGGTCCTTGGGAAAGTTCTATCCCGAATATTCTAGGGACAATGAAGGCTTGAAACAGTTGATTTCGTCTTTCAGTACGACCGCCGGTCTTCCGAGGTTTGTCTGACTTGAAGCTGTCATTTTGTTCGACACCGCTGACAAGCTCTCCAGTCACATCAACGCTGAAACCCCAGGAGCAATCCACGAAGGGGGTGAACTGGGCTATGCTCTGGCCGTGTCCTTTGGTGCGGTAATGGATAATCCGAACCTGATCGTAACCTGTGTCGTTGGCGACGGCGAAGCAGAGACTGGTCCCACAGCGACGTGAGTTTTGGCAATATTTCCTGCGCGATCTCACATTTACTAAAGGCGTCTAGATCATGGCACGCAATCAAATACCTCGACCCCGCTGAGTCCGGCGCGGTCTTGCCCATACTGCACGTCAACGGTTTCAAGATCAGCGAGCGCACTGTATTCGGCTGCATGGATAACAAAGAGCTCATTGCCCTCTTTACCGGGTACGGGTATCAAGTTCGCATTGTCGAGGACATACGGGATATCGATACCGATCTGCATACCTCCTTGGTCTGGGCGATCAACGAGATCCATAAGATCCAATCGGCTGCACGCTCCGGCGAGCCGATCATGAAACCTAGATGGCCTATGATTGTCTTGCGCACGCCCAAGGTATGTCAACAGGGTTGTTGGTGACGAATTGTCTTGACTAACATGTTTCAAGGGATGGTCAGGGCCGAAGGAGCTGCATGGAAAGTTCATTGAAGGGTCTTTCCACTCGCATCAAGTCCCCCTCCCCAAAGCCAAATCTGACAAGGAGGAACTCCAAGCTCTTCAGACGTGGCTATCGTCTTACAACTCCAAGGAGCTTTTTACCGAGAGCGGGGATATCACGGATGAGATCAAGTCCATAATCCCCACCACGGACTCCAAGAAACTTGGACAGCGCCCTGAGGCGTACAAGATCTACCTCAAACCCGACCTCCCCGACTGGAAACATTTCGCGGTGGAGAGTTCCGGACAGGAAAGCTCGATGAAGGTCGCCGGGACGTTGATCGACCAGACATTAGTCCAGAATCCACATAACGTTCGTATGTTCTCGCCGGATGAGCTGGAGAGCAATAAGCTGGACGCCGCTCTCAACCACACTGGGCGGAATTTCCAGTGGGATCAATTCTCCAATGCCAAAGGCGGACGAGTGATCGAGGTTTTGAGTGAACATTTGTGTCAAGGCTTTATGCAGGGATACACCCTGACCGGCCGCACGGGCATCTTCCCATCATACGAGAGTTTCTTGGGCATTGTACACACGATGATGGTGCAGTATGCCAAGTTCGTGAAAATGGTAAGCATCCCATCCGCACCGAGAGGTCAACTCCGCTGACGATAGGCAGGCGCGAGAAACAACATGGCACCAAGGCGTCAGCAGCATCAACTACATCGAGACGAGCACCTGGACTCGACAAGAGCACAACGGGTTCTCGCACCAGAACCCGTCCTTCATCGGCGCCGTCCTGAACCTCAAGCCCACTGCCGCTCGAGTCTACCTGCCCCCAGACGCCAACACATTCCTAACCACCCTCCACCACTGCCTAAAGTCAAAGAACTACGTCAACCTGATGGTGGGCTCCAAGCAGCCGACGCCGGTGTACCTGAACGCCGAAGAAGCCGACAACCACTGCCGAGCGGGAGCTTCGATCTGGCGATTCTGTAGCACCGACGAAGGGCTCGACCCCGACGTGGTCCTGGTCGGCATCGGCACGGAGCTCACCTTCGAGGTGGTCGCCGCGGCGGCGCTCCTTCGCCAGCGCTGTCCGGAACTCCGCGTGCGGGTTGTCAACGTGACGGACCTGATGATCCTAGAGAACGAAGGACGGCATCCGCACGCGTTGAGCACGGAGGACTTTGACAGCTTGTTCACGTCCGACAGGCCCATCCACTTCAACTACCATGGGTACACGACCGAGCTGCAAGGTCTGCTCTTCGGACGGCCCCGTCTGGAGCGCGTGAGTGTCAACGGGTACATGGAGGAGGGAACCACCACGACTCCGTTCGATATGATGCTTAACAACCGCGTGTCGCGGTATCATGTGGCGCTGGCGGCTCTCGGTGGGGCGGCCAAGCGCAACGAGAGGGTCCAGGCGCGGCAGCAGGAGCTGGCTGCTGAGTTCGATCAGACCATGGCTTTGACGCGGAAGTACATTCTTGCTCATGGGAAAGGTACCACGATGTTTCCTCTTTGATTTTTCACTCCATATGCTAACTGGAGACAGATCCCGATGATACCTACGACATGCCTTCATTTGATTAGTGTATTAGCCCGGTGGAATTGACGAGAATTGGAGAGGTTGTCCACTTGGTTTGCAGTACTACTGCTGGAAATCAACGGCGACGGATGGAATCTAGACTTAATCAGTGTCATAGTATAGTTTAATATGCGTCATCTAGAAAATACCTCTCCACTGGAGCATCAGAAGCGTTGAACCCATATGAAAATTGACAGTAGACGCGGTTGATAAATCACGTGATTGTTATCTTATCAGCCCCACTGATTACTCATTTTGTCAGGTGATCCCGATGAAGAAACTTGAAGTCTAGCCACCAGCAGCCCTCAATAATCCCAGACGACAGCATATTCCCAACCAGACGTCGCCATGCCCCAGAACGAGTATATTGAGAGGTGGCAGAAGCTTCACGGCAAGCGGTAAGCTCAACCCCCTTTTTGCCCCCCACAATCCAGACGAAAAAAAAAGAAAGAAGAAAAAAAAAAAGGGAAAAGGAAAAAATTTCGGCGGAGATGCTAATTCCCCGCCCGTCCTTATCAGACTCGACCACGATGAACGGAGTCGCAAGAAGACCGCGCGTGAGGGCCACCAGCGCTCCAAGGATTCTCAGAACCTTCGCGGCCTGAGGGCCAAGCTGCTCCAGCAGCAGCGCCACAAGGAGAAGATCCAGATGCGGAAGCGCATCAAGGCCCAGGAAGAGAAGAACGTCAAGTCCAGCACGGAAGAGCAGTCCAAGAACCCTGTGCCCGCGTATCTGCTCGACCGATCGAATGCCACGAACGCCAAGGCGCTGTCGTCTGCTATCAAGGACCGCCGTAATGAGAAGGCCGCCAAGTTCGCCGTACCCATCCCTAAGGTGCGCGGTATCTCTGAGGAGGAGATGTTCAAGGTTGTCCATACGGGCAAGAAGACCAAGAAGAAGGGGTGGAAGCGTGTTATCACCAAGCCGACTTTCGTCGGGCCTGACTTCACGAGAAAGCCCGTCAAGTACGAGCGATTCATTCGGTAAGACTCATATCTTTATCTTGTGAGACTGGATACGGTGCTAACGCTGTAATCCTTTTAGCCCCATGGGTCTGCGTCAGAAGAAGGCCAATGTCACCCATCCCGAACTCGGTGTTACCGTGCAGCTGCCGATCCTCAGCGTGAAAAAGAACCCGCAGAACCCTCTCTACACGCAATTAGGAGTCTTGACCAAGGGTACCGTTCTCGAGGTCAACGTCAGTGAACTGGGTCTGGTTACCACGACAGGCAAGGTCGTCTGGGGTAAATGGGCACAGATTACGAGTAAGTTTGACCCATTTCAGCGATATGCAACGAAGCTGACTCGTCTAGATAACCCCGAGAACGACGGGTGTGTCAATGCTGTTCTTCTTGTTTAATATATCAACTTCCATTGGGACGTGTTAAAAGGATTCTTGCGTTTTATTGATCAGTCTTTATTTTATTTCCTTTTTTTTTTCTTTTTTCTTAGCGGAGGATTGATTGGGGACTGGAACTCGTCGGTATCACATTGATGTTCAAGCACTTTCATGATGGGCTCGCCATGGGACTTTTCTTTTTCTTTTCCTTTTCCGAATTTACATAGACTAGGTATTTGCCTAGCACAGGTATTATGAACACGGCGCTACAAATGAAGTCCAACTACCGTCTAGATTACTGATGTAGTTATACCGAAGGGTACCGCTAACATCATTTCCCTCCTTTGGAATCTTGGCCCCTAGAGACTTGCGTAGACAGCTGGCTTTCTCTGAGAAGTAAGTAGGCACGAGTGCTCCCCATATAAATTTGTATGTACCGCAGTGGTGGCTCCCATAGTTGGCGACCAGTGCGGCTATCCCAGATACCAGCCCCCCCCCACTACCATTTGATCATCACAATGGAAACTCACCGCACCACCAAGATGGAAGTAATGCATGCCCGGAACGTAACCGTCAAGCCATGCTACATCCTGTATGGCTCGAAAGGGTGCAAAAGCGCGCCATTCGGCATCCCGGTTGGCCGCCCTGCGGGCCGAGACCCCCACCAGCGGGATGTAGAAGAGAAGAAAACCGAGCAGGCTGTTTAGTTGGAGAATGGGAAAGGAAACTATTCAGTAACACTGAAGTTGACTGAGTGAAAAGAAGAGGGAATACATGCATTAGTGCCAGTAAATTCTCTGATCCTGTCACTTACTATACCGCAGTGATAAAGGTTTTGGCCTTGCAGACGCATCATTCACTAACTAGTTGATAGAGACTGATTTGGAATCTTTGGATAAAAAAGACCAAACTATAAAGAATAACCTTATCCTGGTTCATTCACTATGTTCAACATTCTTCACCAAGCTTAATATACTATGTATCACTTTAACTTCCACAATGCTACAATGGAAATTGTCTAGTTGAATAGCTAGAAGCTTTGTTCTTCAAGTAAATTTTTTTTTATATAACTACACATCCCCCCAGCGCATGGATATTCAACCTTTGTAGATAGCAGTCCAAAAATTACATGTTAGAGTTGCTTTGTAGTAGGAGAGAGGTCCTGGATTTTATTGTATATACTAGCCATGTGCGGGATGGGATATAGTTCCCTCGGGAGTTTAGTACAGTTTGCACCTATATATTCTTACACCCTTTCCTAGATCGTAGAATAGAAAATAATGGAAATTGATCAACCAGTAATTAAATATGAAAAATGATTTGCAATCTAATAGACATTCAAGCCAATTTGGGAGAAGCAATCCTACAGCCAGAACTTCTATAAACTCAAAATAATGAGGATTGTCCTGTTATATACGGGTAGAGCTGGTACTATGTGTTTTCAACCCACTCTGATGGGACCCACTCTATTCCCAAGTGTATATCCTCCCGATGAATCTGTAGTATTTCTGTCTTCAAGCAAAATATATTACTCCATATGACACACAATGACACAATGACACAATGACGTCCGAACAAGCATAGGGCCGGACAGGAATTGGACCGACCTAGCGGCGGGAGTTGCAGAATAGTCCTATATCATAAGAGGGGAAATGCCCCAAGCGTCCTAACTAGAGGGGAAACTCGGGAACGTCGGATCGGCCTGAACGTGCCCTAAACCCGAATAGGCGGACTTTGCGAGCAAGGACTGGTTCGTGATTTGCAGATGGACTCTCTATCTAGTATGATTGCCGAATATGCGATGGATAGCCCGGCTTTAATGTCTGTGTCGGAGTTTCATGGCCCCTGGTTGTTGTTCCACTCTAGGCTTGTGAGGGTGCACTGTCACACTTTGTGTATCATGCAGATTGCTCTCATACATCACCTAGGGCTTGCCTAAGAACTTACCTAGGTAAGCAGTATCCTGCAGTGGTTGATCCTTGCATTCACTTTGGATACTGGAATTGAAGATTGATCATTGGACAAGACCCATATTCCTTCCACTGATGATCGCCAATTTGCCATGGACCAGATACTTACCTAGGTCCTACGAACTGCCGTGGTGGAGATACTTCCCATTCCCACGCCCCGCAGCAGCACGCAGTATGTAAATTAAGTCGACGTAGTATATTTTTTTATTTTTTTTTTCTAATCCCTCCCCCTCATGTGTAGAGCCGATTTCCCGTTATGAGGGTTGTTTGATCTCAGGAAGCCCACTGTCCGTTAATCCCTAGACTAGGGTTATTCAATACCCAGCTTTTCGTTCTCCTGTACCTTTTTGTATCTCCTCAATCATTTGGACTACTGTTACTTAACACCGTCATTCACTCATTGCACATATCATTCTCATCCTACGTTAATGAACTAGACGGTTGGAGTTGGAGAGTGGGCTTCCTTGTCTGACCATATCGATAGTCTCTGATCTCTCTTATGCTCTTCTTCCTCTTCCATTGATAGATCATCATCATCTTCTCCATTGATAGTTCCTCTACATTATCTACAATATGTCCGACTTCAGAAAACAGCTTCAAACAGGCTGCTACGCCCTCATCGAAGGCCACGGCACCGCATACGGCTACCAACCCTCCCTAGCAGCAGGCATCGTGTTTCTCGCGCTCTTCGGACTCTCACTGCTCGCCCACATGGTGCAAATGACGTGGACGCGCACTTGGTGGTGTGCTGTGTTTTCAGTGGGATGTCTTAGTATGTTCCTCTTCTTCCTTGTTCCTCTTACACTGTCAGAAAAGGATTGAATGGGCTGATGTATACGATAGCGGAAATCCTCGGCTGGGTAGGACGCACCTGGTCAGCGCAATGTCCATACAACATGAATGCATTTCTTATGCAGATTTCCACCCTCATCATCGGTGAGTTCCCAACTTTCTAGGTCAATTGACTTCCCCAGATTGATTGAACTGTGGGGGCGGGTCTCCGTTGCGCCGCCATGTGATAGACATCACCCCCCCAAAACCCCAGTCCTATACTACGCTCTAAACAACGAAACCTACCTACTAACAGTAATACAGCCCCCACCTTCTTCACAGCCGGAATCTACATCCTCCTCGGCCAATTCATCCACCTCCTCGGCCGCCAATCCTCCATCCTAACCCCCAGCCTCTACCTCTGGATCTTCTGCACCTGCGACGTCATCTCGCTCATCGTCCAAGCAATCGGCGGCGCCATGGCCTCCGCCGAAACCAGCAAACCCAACGGCAACACCGACCCAGGCACACACATCATGGTCGCGGGGATCGTGTTCCAGATGTTCTCCATAACAGTGTTCGTCGCGTGCGCGGCGGATTTCGTCCGTCGGTGCTTGCGATACCGGTTGCTGAGGACTGTGTCAGGGAGTCTGGTGCCGCTGTTCGCGGCGATGATCTTCTCCGTGCTGTGTATTTATACCCGCAGCATATATCGCACGATTGAGCTGTCGGAGGGGTGGAGTGGGTATTTGATTACGAATGAGAGGTACTTTGTGGCGCTTGATGGGGCGATGATGGTTGTCGCTGTTGTGGTGTTTAATGTTTTTCATCCGGGGATGTTGATGCCGAGGGGGAAGGGGAGTGAGAGTGAGAGGGAGAGTGAGATGAGGAGTGGGGTTTCGAGTTCTTGTGGGTTGAATGGGGCGGGGATGGAGGAGTATTGATATTTTCCTTTCTTTGGCGCGTCTTGCGGATGCCACCAAATATTGGTTTACCCGCCTGTTAGTTGCCAGGATAGAGTCTCGTCTGATGGGCTATATTGTATGATTGGTTAGTATAGCGATGTATAATGATAATGATTGTACAACCTATTCAACCATCAACCATTAAACATTTTGTTGCCATTATAATACATTTTGTGATGTTACACTGAGTGTCTGCGATGTGTGATAAAAACAAGCTGAAGGGAAGAGTGATGAAAAGGAAACAGAAGATGAAGAAATGAAAAATGAACAATGAGAGGAAAGAAGAAGAACGCCAATCTCAACCAGACGAGAATAAAATATACAAAGAAAAAAAAGATACCCTTTTATGTTCGGTCCACTTCCCCAGTCCCCCCACTCCAATCCTGAGTCAATCAATTACACCCCATCGACAGCCTCAATCCACGCATAAGTCGCACCCACCGTCCCAGCAGCAGCAGCCCAGATCGCACCCCAAGCAGCAGCGCCCTCGACATCAGCGCCCCGCACCGTGCCCGCAATCTGAACAACGGTGTTCAGCACCAGCATACCAGCGAGGGTCGCCGTGCGCGTGACGAGCACCCTCGTCTTCGGCGACAGCTGCCCCCACAGCTTGTGGTACACCGTGCAGGCGAGATACTCGCCTTCGCGCTTGTTCTTGCCTGCTTTGTCGTTGGTGTCGTCGTTGTCGCTGTTGTCATCGTCCGCCGTGGGACCGGCTGACTCCGCTGAGCTCACGAAGAGAAAGTCTCGCGCGGCCCAACCGGCTGGCAACAGCGCCACGAAGAGGACAGGGAGACGCGCGGGCCCGGCGTGCACGACGGAGATGTCGGGGAGGTAGTCGAAGTGCACGACTAGGTGGGCGGGGAGCCAGGTTGCGTAGCTGAGGGAGAGTGCCACTGTGAAGATGGAGGTTGCGGCGAGGGTGGTGTAGATTGTTGTGGCGCAGTCTTGGACGATGGCGCGGTTACTGGAGGTCCCGCCGGAGGATTCTTTCTCATTGGATGATTTGCGGAGGAGGGTGAATGGCGCAGCGGTGGAGATCACTGTGATTGCGTAGGCGAGGAGCATGGTCGTTGGACGGATGTTGTAGAATGAGGCTAGGAGCGCATAGGTTGGGAGGTGTGCGAGGAAGGCGAGAGTCCAGACGTCTCGGCCTTAATTGTCTGCGTTAGCTTCTTGAGGCTAACAATCCATTGTTGGGAGAGAGAGAAAGATCGCACCTTCGAACTCCAAAATCCACATCAATCCAACTTCAACAGCTCTCCACGCGACCAGTCCCCCCACCTGCCACCAGCCCTCGAAGTGCTTGCTCACGCGACCCAGTTCTCCGGTGATGTGCGACGAGAGTGTGAATAGCGCGGAGCTGAGGTACAGACTGCTGAGAACGACGAGAGCATAGCGGACTGGTGGAAGGACTCTTTCCAGACGAGTCTTTCTGGCGAGTTTGCGCACCTTGGTTTGTGCGACTTCTTTGCCAGTCACGGTGGATTGGCTGAGGGTTTCGAGGATTTCCTTTTTTGGTGGTGTCATGGTGAGATTAATGGGATAGATGTAACTTCTTGTGCTCAATTGAATGAATTGAAGGATACAAACAAGAAGAGAGTTCGAAGTGATATTAAATTGCGAGAGATGCAGATGATGTAGAAAGAGGAAGAGAGAGGGAAGTAAAGCAGGATGTCGTACGTGTGATGACGTGATGATGTCACCAAGCGCCATCGACTGAGTCTATCTTGTGCAGAAGCCACTCCGCGCCCCACCTTATTCAAGGCAGACCGAGTGGATGGGATAGTTAAATGTGTCCCGAGTGAGCTTCATTGTAATGCTTAAAACGTGGGTTTATGGAAGCTTGATGCGGGTGTATGAATGAAACCTTAGCACATTGTCGCGTTCATATCTATAAGAGAAGGATCTACAAATGAACATCAATAGCTGAATATTCACAGATGATTATTTTAAATGAAAAGATCTATGTGAAAAGACCTTACATAGAAACAGGAGTAAGTGCTAATCTTACGGACAAGTTGGCTATCTCGCGCCCTTCGTCATAGGTATTGCTTTCGATGACATATGTACGTCTGGGGCAGGCTGATGTCATAAGATCTCCATAGTAGTGCCCATGCACAGCAACTTCAATAGATAGGTTCTCTCATTATAGCAACACCATGGTGCGATAAATGATCGAACAATAATCTAAATGTCTGACCGTGATCTACTCGGATCTATCCGCCTGCAATAATTCTATAGATGATGTCGTACAAATCGTACAAAAGGTGAACTATAAGACAAAGGGTATACACAAATCCGCCTAGGTACTGTACAAGAGCCCTCAGCCGAAGTAGCTACTAACCAAATGGGTATTATCAAGCCCCCGAACACTTGGACACCTCTACTGGCACCTTCACCTCGGTCTCGTCTCCATCGTCTTCATCATTCCCCTCCATCACCGAAAATTCAGCCGAGCCAGTGCTGCGACCCTTGTTGTCCAAGAGGCCTAGCTTGTATTTCCCACCATTCCACAGATCCTTGATCGTAAGCTCTCGAGTCCGGCCCAAGCTTTCGATGTCTCCGATGCGCGTGAGAGTCCCCTCCAGGTGCTCGTCGAATCCGGGGCGTGAGCAGATCTCGCGGAAAGCATTCTGCATGGGGACTGAATCGGCGCGGACCATGGCCCGCGAATCTATCGTGAAGATGTTTTCGTGATCGTACATTTGGATGAAGTCGGCCCGTGTCATGATCTCGCGCGCCTCATGGAGAGGGATTTGCGGGAGGACATGGCCCTCCGTCGGGTCATAGTGTCTCATTTCCTTTTCCATCTCCTTTTCGCGATCGACAAGGGCCTTGGCTAGAACCATCGCAGCGGACTAGCATCGGGTCTGATCAGTAAAGGCCGCGGCAATATGTTGAGAGACCGGGAGCTTACCGAGAATTTCTGCTCATCCATGACATCGTCATCCATCTCCTCGCCAAGGATCCAGCACTTGTTAAGAAACCACGTCTTCTCCGCTTTGCAGATCTCCTTGCAGAGCTGCAGGGGTTCCTCAGCCTTGGCGATCCGGTTCAAGAAAGACAGCCGTCCGCCGATCTTATTGTATATCTCCTCAAGCACCTCCTGGGAGAGCTCCTGGCGGAAATACTGCTTCCGGTATTTCTTCAAGGCGTCCATGGCTGTGGTCTTGGGAAGGTCCGTCACGGGGATGACTTCCATGCGGGTCGCATACCGCTTCAGGCGCTCGTAGACCCAGTAATCGTCGCTATTCATGACTGTTCCAAAGTCAGCTACTGGCAACTCGCAGGTTTCGTTGGCCGGATCCAACACCTACTCGTGGTGACCAGATTACTGGCGGCCCATTGTTCGGCCCGTTGCTGGATCATTTCCAGGAGATCCTGTCCATCATGGTCATCCCGGACCAAGTGGGTGCTGTTGATGATGAGGATCAGAGGAGGCTTGCCCTCACGTCTCCGCGTGAGAGCGACCTTCTCCAACTTGTTGAACGCTCGCTCGATATCCAAAAGGGCCGTGGTGTCGCGCGGACCCTTGATACTGAACAGGCTTCCGATGTAACTGAGAGAAGGGTCAGTTCGAGCATAGGCCAGGTAGTCAAGCCGCACGAACGAACGAATGGGAATTACTCACTCTTCATGGAATTCGAAATCCAACGCCTTCCCTAATCTGATCCGGAAAATCTCCAGGTCCCCATGGGCATCAAACATGGCGCAACCCTCCCCATTAATCTTGCGCATGGCTTCGAGGAGCATGGAGGTCTTCCCCGTGCCCTTCTCGCCGATGAACAAGAAGTAACGGCCAGTCACGTCGCCCGAAATGATTTTATCGACATCGGGCTGTTGGTCGCGGGCAATCCAGTGCTCTTCGTGGTGATAATCATGCTTATCCGACTCCACACCGGCTACTTCTAAGGCGGGATCGCCCGGTTTGAAGGCGTTCTCCATCTTTTCCAAGATGAGATATTTATAGTACCGATGGTATGAGTACCCCGCCAAGCTGGTACCCAGTCAGTAACAGAACGCACACTGTATAGAGTCATGAGCTTACCCCAGCACAGCAATCGAGGCAAACGTGGTCGCCGCTGCTTCGAACATCTTAAACATAGTAGATTTGAACGAGTGATCCGAGTCGTTACCCCGTTTGTCGTCGTCCTCGAAATTCTGATCTAGAGGATCGGGGGCACCCACCGGGGGGCCTCCAGAAAACGGCCGTCCCGAATGGATTATGGCCGCTCGGAGGGTTCTGGGTGACCGGTATAAACCCAGCCGCATCTGGGACGCGACTGACAAGGGTCGCCGAACATGGCGATATAATCGCATTTTCCCCGTGGAATATACGATTGGCCAGGAGAAATGGAGCCAATGGCTCGGTATTTGCTTGGCCTACAGTTGAAGAAAAAAGCCGGAAAGAAAAGAGAGAGGAAACCTGAAAAATCAGGAAAACAAAGAGGGAAAAAAGAATGAACGAAACAGGACAAAGCCAATCAGACTCGGCAAGTTTTTGAAAGAGTGTGATAAAGTTTCCCGAGTCGACCGTAAATTGGTTCAGGTGAAAGTGACGTAGTGGCTGAAATTGTAAGGGGAATTGAGCGAAGTGGGTGGACTCCAGGGGCTGTCGATCAACAACGGCAAGTCGCGTTCGGGAGAGTGAGGGGGAAAGATGGAAAGCAAGATTGAACTAGGAAACAAAAGAGTGACAAGAAGAAAGAATACCGCCAGCTGTCCAGAGGGAAAAGAAGGTGAAAAGGGAGCGAGACGTCAACAGTTGTTGTGGTTGTTGTGGTTGGGGATAATTCTCCGGGTTTGCTGCGCCTCGGATCGCTAAAATGGGTTCCATGACTGGAGATCGGCGCGTCTTGGCGATTCCCGATGCTGCGAAATGTGGCTGAAGCTTCATTTATTGATGTGAGTTGGCTATCGGTGCATTTAATAATTATTGATTGACTTGATAGAGTGACAGATTAGAGTATCATTTGAACCCAATACAATTGTTGAACTGACCATCACAATCCCCATTGTATGGACTATGACTGTATGGTTCTATGGGGTCGTGGGTCAATACCGTATCGCAATCTCAATTTCTCGATCTATTTATATATCGCACTTTTCGTATGAATTGTAAAGAACGAAGCTCAGAGTCATATCCATTTCTGTGGTTCTGTGTTGGCAGTAGACGTGTTTCTTGAGTCTCCCCAGTAACTAGGTGCCTAGTCCCTATTCGTCCCTATCAGTCGTCCCTATCAGTCGTCCCTATAAGCCCGTCGTTTGGTACGGATACGCGGAGAACCCAATAGGGTATGCCATGGATCCGAGGGAGTAGACACACTCAGATATCTACCGACAAGATAATACAAGACACACTCGAGTATCATAAAGGATCAAGAATAAACAAACAAACAAATAAATAGCAAAATCAAATCTCTTGATTCTGTGGGGGACGAAGGATCAATCCACTTTCTCCATGGTGACGATGTGTGGACTGTGGGCCAAGACTTTGCTGTGGGTTATTTTTTTTTTTTTGCTGGTTTTCTCCCACCGCCCGAGCACTTCCGAGGGTATTCCGCATCCGCAGCGAAATTTTCTGTCTTGCCCGGTTTCGCCGAAACGGAACTTTCTCCAGCTTCAACCTTTCTGCATCCATCTGATTCATTTCATTTCTCCTTCCCTTCATTCGGTTTGGGTACGGGGTTGTTTCATGACTTTCAATTGCCATTTTGTATCATATCACCTTTGATTCTTTCTCTTCTTTTTACTTTTATTTTCCCTCTCTCCCTCACACCTACGGTTTCGTCCTTTCCGCTGGTCGAAGTCGGAAAGCTGTCGAATGACAGCTTAGGTTATAGATCTTATCTTTTCTATATAAATTTCTTTGGTTCTTGTTGATCCACTCCATCCGTCAGAATGGCGCAGTCCAATGGCCAGCAGGAGATCTCGAAAGGTACGCCAATCGCTCATCAAAACAGAATGCGGACGCCCATCGCTAACTTTAATGGCAGAGTCTCCGGAGCAGCTCACCAATGGAAACCATGAGGCTGGTGCTCAGGAGGAGGAGAACAACGGTGGTATGTTTCTGCGCATGTCTGGTGGGATTGTTCTTGTCTTCCGAATCTAACCGTCGATAGGCCTTTTCCAGGTCACCGTTAAGCTTCCCCACGAGCCCTACAAGATTCAGGTGATGGTAGGTTGTCAAACAAAATGGTGTCACTCGGGGCACTAGGTTAATTGATCTCTCTCAGGTCTCCAGCCAGGAACAGGTCCAGGATGTCCGGCAATCCATTGTCGAGCTTCCCAGCACCTTCCAGTACACCTGTTTCCACCTCGAGTTCAACGGGGAACGCATCAATGACTTCTTCGAATTGTCCGAGGTCCCCGACCTGAAGGCCGACTCCGAAATCGTTTTGGTCGAGGACGCCTACACCGAGAAGGAGGCCCGCATGCACGTCGTGCGCATGCGGGAACTGGTCGGTGCCGCCGGTGATCGCGTGGACAACCTGCAGGGTGTCGAGGCCGGTTTGTCGCTACACGACTCCATCGCCGCCGATGCCGCCTCCGAGAAACCGGATGCCCAGAAGGAGCACGCCCTCTCCAAGTACGAGATCGCCGGCACCTCGGCACTCAAGACCATCCTGCCCCGGGCCGAAGCTCCCCTCCCCAAGACCATCAAGGGTATCTCGCTCTCGGCCTGGAACCCGGTTCCGTATCATCTGCGCCAGAAGGGCCACTTGCTCTACCTGCAGGTGACCACCAACGAGGGTGAGCAATTCCAGATCACCGCCCACGTGTCTGGGTTCTTCGTGAACAAGTGCTCGAACGCCAAGTTCGATCCGTTCCCCAAGGCCATCCCCAATAAGAAGGGCAGCGCCCACTCCCTGCTGACCCTGATCTCGCACCTGTCGCCGTCGTTCAACTCCGCCTTCGAGGCCCTCCAGGAGTACAACAACCAGAAAGATCTCCTGACCACCTTCCCCTTCCAAAACGCCATCCCCCACAGCCCCTGGGTCGTCCCCCGCCGTCGGCCAACATCAACGCCCACCAACCGGACATCACCCGCTCGCAAGAGAACTACCTCATCTCCGGTGTGGACAACGCCGAGACCCTGCGGGACTGGAACGAGGAGTTCCAAACCACCCGTGAGCTGCCCCGCGATACCGTGCAGGACCGCGTCTTCCGCGAGCGCCTCACGTCGAAGCTGTTTGCCGATTACAATGAGGCGGCGGCTCGGGGCGCCGTCCTGGTTGCCAAGGGTGAGGTCGCTCCCCTGAACCCCACCGAGGGTCGGGATGCCCAGATCTTCGTGTACAACAACATCTTCTACTCGTTCGGTGCCGACGGTGTCGGGACCTTCGCCTCCGAGGGCGGTGATGAGGCCGCCCGCGTGGCGGTGGGCAAGGACGTCCTGGGTATCAAGGCGGTCAACCAGCTCGACATTGACGGTCTCTTCACCCCCGGAACCGTCGTGGTCGATTATATGGGCAAGCGTATTGTCGGTCAGAGCATCGTTCCCGGTATCTTCAAGCAGCGCGAGCCCGGTGAGCACCAGATCGATTACGGTGGAGTCGAGGGCAAGGATGTCGTCGCGACCCACCCTGACTTCGTTCCCGTCTTCGAGAAGCTGTCCAAGGCGCTCCGCATCAAGAACCACCCCGTCTGGGACAAGGATGGCCAGCGCCACGACTTGGAAGGCAGTGTCGAAACCAAGGGTCTCCTTGGCACCGACGGCCGGAAGTACGTGCTCGACCTCTACCGGGTGACTCCTCTGGATGTCGCCTGGCAGGAGGAGCAGGCCAACACCGACTATCCTCATCGGATGTCGGTCTTGCGGTTGGAGCTGATCGAGTCCTACTGGAGACACAACATGAGCCAGTACGTGAAGGGTGAGGTCGAGCGCCGCCGCGCCGCCAAGGCTGAGCAAGACGCTAAGAATACTTCCGAATCCGAATCGAAGGAGCAGGGCTCCGAGGAGAAGAGCGAGGAGGAGCTGAACCAGGAGCGCGTTGACATCTCCGGCTTCTCCCTCACTCTGAACCCCGACGTCTGCAGCGGCCAGGTCCCCCAGACGGCTGAAGAGAAGGAGGCGTGGGCCAGCGACGAGAAGGAGGTCCGTCAGACCTGCGACTTCCTCCGGACCAAGGTCATGCCCGAGCTCGTCCAGGACCTGCACGATGGGGACGTCGGCTTCCCGATGGACGGCCGGTCTCTCAGCCAGCTTCTGCACAAGCGCGGTATCAACATCCGCTATCTGGGCAAGCTGGCCCAGATGTCCCAGGAGAAGGGCTCTCGCCTTGATGCTCTGTCGACTCTCTTGGTGCAGGAGATGATCGCGCGTGCGTTCAAGCACACCGCCAACCAGTACCTGCGCAACGTCGCTGCTCCCTTCACCGGATCCTGTCTCGCCCACCTGCTGAACTGCCTGCTGGGTGCGGATGTGAACCCGGCTCCCCGCGCCGAGGTCGACGAGTCCCTGCGCGAGATCTACCCCGAGTCTGACTTCTCCTTCGAGAAGGTCAGCCCGCAGACCCTGCGTGAGGAGATCGAGAAGCAGGTCACCCTTCGATATGCCTTCACCCTGGAGGCGGGCTGGTTCAACGCCCTGCGCCACCTGCAGCTGCTCCGTGACGTCTCCCTCAAGCTTGGTATCCAGCTCGGCGCCCGTGATTTCGCTTTCGCCAAGTCCCAGGTGCCCGCCAAGGCGCCCGCCGCCAATGGCAACGGACCTGAGGAGGCCCCCAAGAAGAACAAGAAGAAGAAGGGCGGTGAGACGAAAGCCCCGGCCCGCGTCGTCGTGGAGGACAAGACCGCTGTGTCGATCGTCCCCGACGACATCATCAACGTTGTGCCTCTCGTGAGGGATGCCTCGCCTCGGAGCTCGCTGGCCGAGGAAGCCCTGGAGGCTGGTCGTATCTCGCTCATGCAGAACCAGAAGGAGCTGGGCCAGGAGCTGATCCTGGAGTCTCTGTCTCTGCACGAACAGATTTACGGCATTCTGCACCCCGAGGTTGCCAAGCTCTACCACCAGCTGTCCATGCTCTACTACCAGACCGACGAGAAGGAGGCTGCCGTGGAGCTGGCCCGCAAGGCCGTCATCGTCACCGAGCGTACTCTGGGTGTGGACTCGGCCGACACCATCCTGAGCTACCTCAACCTCAGTCTGTTCGAGCACGCCTCGGGCAACACCAAGATCGCCCTGGCTTACATCAAGCACGCCATGGATCTGTGGAAGATCATCTACGGCGCCAATCACCCCGACTCGATCACGACCATGAACAACGCCGCTGTCATGCTGCAGCATCTGAAGCAGTACAAGGACTCTCGGAAGTGGTTCGAGGCGTCCCTGTCGGTGTGCGAGTCGCTCTTCGGCGAGCAGTCCATCAACACTGCCACGATCCTGTTCCAGCTGGCCCAGGCGCTGGCGCTCGACCAGGACTCGAAGGCCGCGGTCGGCAAGATGCGTGATGCCTACAACATCTTCCTCAGCCAGCTGGGTCCCGAGGACCGCAACACCAAGGAGGCCGAGACGTGGCTCGAGCAGCTCACGCAGAACGCGGTCTCCATTGCGAAGCACGCCAAGGACATCCAAGCCCGCCGACTGCGTCGGATCAACATGGGCAGCAGCATCCTTGGCAGCACCAAGGTCCAGCCCCAGGTCGGCCAGTCCGCACCTGAGGCGTCCGGCGCGGCTGGCACCGGCTTGGACGCTCGGAACATCGACGAGCTGCTCAAGTTCATCGAGGGTGGTGAAGCCAGCGCCTCTCGCCCCAAGAAGAAGCGCAGCGCCACCGCCAACCCCAAGCTCCGTGGCTCGAAGAAGACATCGTCCTAAAAGCGAAAAAACAAAAACAAAAAAAAACCCTTCCCCTCCGCTGATCCTTTTATAACGAAAACCCAAAATATATGCCTTCCCTTCTTAGCTTGATTTGTGTTAACAGTTTCGGTATATTGAAAACCCCTTAGGTTTAAGGGGACGACACGTTGGATGAGCGGGATCTTTCCTTGTTTTGGCCTTTTTTTTTTTTCTTTCTATCTGTTCTTTTTTGTTACAGAAATCTCCCTACTCTTTGGTTGTTGTGGATTTTATTTGGCATGGATGAGATGATTGATTGTTCATCGCGGGCAGTTGTGCATAGCATGGTTGGACGACTTGCATGCTGGATGGTTCTGTATGTATACTATATTTATATATGACTGGCGACGCAATGATTAGCATAAGCCTGCAATTGATGTGGGTTTCATGACTTGTTCTTCTTGACTGTAGAAACTCGAAACTCTTTGTATGGCAAGCACGTGACACTGTCCTTTGTTGTTCCTGCTTAGTGATCACGGCGCTTTTCCTCTCGGTGCCCCGGTCGCATGTTTACGTCGATCACAACAACAACGCCCGTTGCTTTGGAAGACCGACCTGCATCTTATGGCTTGATATCGCCAGAGGCAGCATACTTATTCTTTTTGATAGAGTGCATATTAGCAGCACAGTTTTTGGGCTTCACATTGGAGTTGGACCCTTTTTGTTTTGTTATTTTCTTTTTGGGTGGATACCGACACAAGTGATAGGATAGCATGGATTACCGATAAGCCAGACAAAGAATTGGGTACAGTTTCACTCACTCGCTCACTCACTCTGGAAAGAAAGAAACGTGTATATATAGGCGCAATGCTGACCCTTTCATATTGATTCTGCAAAACAGCCCGCACGATTGGCGATTGGCGATTGGCGTAACATGGGCGACATCCGACCGACCGCGAAATGGGCAAATCGCATGTTACGCCCCTTGACATCCATCCACCACCGCCTCGAGAAACACAATGAGATCATAGCCAGCATAGCGGATTTGCGAACGAGGGCAAAGCACGAAAAATCCGAGAGCAAGAGCAAGGGCAGGGGTAAAAGCTGCACGCGTTCGCCGCCCCCGCCGCCGACGTCGCTGTTGAAAGCGCACGAACCTGCCGAAAGCTGCGCTTTCTCCGACGACGAGGAGACGAACGATCCGGCTTGGGTTCCGGGGAAGCAGGTTAAGCGCCGTTTGAAGCATAATTATTCGAGTCGGGGGCAGAGGAATGGGGCGCGCAAGCGGAGTAGGTTGACGATTCGGAGTCCTGAGGTTCCGAAGACGTTGCCGGGGGCTATTGAGATTGCGACGCCGTTGATTACGGGGACTGCTGTGCAGGGGAGAGAGGAGTGGTCGTCTGTGAGGAAGCAGCTGTTTCGGAATGCGCTGGCTCCGGGGGGTGTTGGTGGTACTGGTGAGCAGCGAAGGGCGCCGCGGACTACCTCCAGTACTTGGTTTCCGGCGTACCAGGGCTCGTGGAAGCAGATTCTGGATTTATCTGGGGACGCGGGACTCGTGGATATCGCGCATCTGCTGGACCGCATTTTTGTCAACTTTTTGAACAATACGCGGGCTCCGAGCGGACAGCACGGTCGCGGGGCGCGGTCGCTATTGTCGATGACGGTGCGTCGACTGCCAGGGTTTATCGCCGAGGAGCAGAAGATACAGGATGAAGCGGAGGAGGAAGAGGGCGACGTGGACATGTGCGACGCATATTTTACCGAATTGGAAGCGCACTATGCGCCCAGCGGGAACGGGTGGCAGCCGCTTCGCGAGGCTGTGCGCGCGCAGGGCATGCGCCTCGTCTCGGAGATGATGCAGAACGGTTGGATTGGCAAGGTGGCTACGTGCCGACTTTTGGAAGAATGCATGGGCCATGACGAGCCCGACGCGTTTGAATTGCTATTGTCCCGATATCTGACTACCGTTGTCTCGTACGACTATCCTACGTCGTTTGATCCGCCTGCGCCACCACGCAATTTTCAGGATCCGGTTCAGCTGCTAAGCGCTTATTACGCTCGATTTGTTACCAGACGGGGCTTTGTCTTTGAGCAGTTGAGCAGGCTTCTTGCGCGTGGGGCTATCCCGCCAGAGTGGATGGTGACCAGTTTGTGGAAACGATGCGTGGATGGCGCTGTCAAGTCGCTGTCTACGGACGGGAGCACATCCGCTGCTGCCACGCGGCTAGTCGAAGCAGTGATCCTGTCATCGGGCAACATCTGCCTAGAAGCAAAGACGACGACGTCGCAGCTAAACAGTTTGAATACGCTACGGCCTGGCCGTCCACGGGGCAACACTCGCACCTCAAACAACGCGCCGCACCTCCCAAAGGACCCATCACCGTGTCCAATCCCCATCCAGGACGCGCTCAGCAATCTCACCTCCAGCCTGGTCTCTGCCCTCTGTGGCATGTGCATCGCGCGGTCGCAGAGTCCCGGAACGGACGAAAAGGCAACGGGCGTCAAAGCCGGAAAGACGGTGCAGAGCCTGGCGTTCCAGGTCCAACGCGCTGCCGGCATCCATACTCTCTCGCACGAGGTCAACGGACCCAGCTACCAGTCTTTACGACGGGGTTATGTCCTGGTAGGCCATTGCATGCTACTATGTGGCGAGAAATCGCCAGCGACCACCCGCCCCTTGGACCCGCTCGCACGGCGCAACATCGAAGCCTTCTTCCTATCATTAGCAGCGCAGCCCGACATGATCAAAGAACTATCCGAATTCACGCAGCAGGTCTTCCGCTACGGCGGACAGATGCGCAAGTGCGAGAAGTCCCCCACGCCGCTCGAAGTCCAAGTCCGCATCCTGCAGCTCGCCTCACTGACAGACGCGCGCGGGATTTCCTCCCTCCTAGGCAAAGTAGCTGCCGAGACAGCCATGGAACTCGCCGAGATAACCGTCGACGCAGACGACCACGCCTGGGCACTCGAAGTCCAAGAGAAGGCGGCGGCCGCGTCGCTCACACGCGAGCAGAAAGCACAAGGAGGGCAGTCCAGCCCCCCCGGAAGCCAATCGCACGGTCTATACCGATGGGAAGAAAGTATCGGCGAGTGGATCGCCCGCACGCCCGCCCCGAAAGCCAGGACCTTGCCGATGCTTCTACCGGTCGCGCCGACTGCATATCCCATAGGGAGCCGGTCCAGGCGCCCATCGACCGTCGCCTGCTCAACAAGCAGCAGTTTCTCATCCGGGACACCCGCCCAAGAAAGCGTATCCAGCGCGACCTCGTCCGCACCATCCGTATCCGTGCCTCTGAAGCGCTTGATTCCTACACCTATGTCCAGCGATGGAGCCGACGATAGCGACAACGACGGCCCCGCCCCTCCGTTGCGCAAAAGGCTTCGGTCATCGTCCGTGAAACCGGCGCAAACTCGAAACCGAAACAGCGGATGGGTTTCCACGCCCCTTATTTTTCCGAGGTCTTCCTCCCCTGCTCAAACGAAGTCTGAAACAGCGCTATCCGCCCCGGTAGCCTCCCGCACTAGAACGGCGCGGCGGAACACCCCCGAGGTGAAACATTGGGAGCGTGGAAGGATTGACACGAGGTGGACTCCAAGGGTGGAAGTCGTTATCGTCAATAAGCTAGGCAGTGGTGTTTTGGGTTCGACGCAGAGTCAGACTCAGACTCAGACTCACACACCGACCATGGCCTCGACCACGAGGACGACCACCCCAGCGACAAGGAGCCACACGGAGCCTATTGCCGTGCGCACGCGATCCAGTCGTCGGACTTCACTACCTGCCGTTCCTAAAGAGGAGGACTGGAAACCTCGGGAGCGAGAGCCGTCCCCCACGCGGCGTAGGAATAAGATCCCGGTTTTCCGACCGAGGCGCACTGCAATCCCGTATTCGTCGGACGAGGATAGTGAAGACGAGCTGAGTTTTCTCTGAGATACACCGGCTTTTACTTTTTCTCTTTCTATTCTCTCGATTTGCTCTTCCCTTTTACCTGGTTTTTTGATTTGTGCTTTCCCACTCGGTTGGTTGGGGATGAATGGTGTTTGTGTTTGTGTTTATTACCTGGCGTTTTTCAATCCCTGTTACTTGGGTTGGTGTTTGGTCAGGCGATGGTTGAGTTGATTGATACCCGGAACATTCATTCTCGATCCTGTTCTATATTTCTTCTGTTATGATGTTTGGTGTGTTAGGGATAGTGAGGAGTAATTACTCCGGTAGTTACCTACCTTGCCTTGGTTGGTAGACTATGATAGTCCACGGTAGTTGAACAAACGGATTAGCCGATTCTATATTGCATTTTTCCGTGATTTATCTATCTCTTCAAAGAGAGAGATTTCGCAATCCCAAGGACAGAAAACGGTCTGGATAATTCATCTATATGAAGCGACAGTCCTTTTCGTATCCACATCCACCCACCACCCAGTCACGGACTCCTTCAACGCTAAGCCAACTTTGTGTTTCTAGCGGATATTAGACCCGAGGGAAGGAAAGAAGAAGAGAAAATAAGAAAAGAGGGGTAGATCCTAGACAGGTGTCTGTATATTCTAGTTATTATACTTTTAATTTGTTCCAGGTGATCATGGAGACGGAGAAATTCTATCATGTCCATCTGATAAGTGGGATTCGGGATGGATTTAATCAAGTAGAGTTCTGTTGCTGAGCACAGACCGGATGGGATTCGGATAATATCATAAGGTATGTATATGACCCCGGTCGGTGTTTACTTCTACTGGTTTAGATACGAGGGTCTAGATAGTAGGTTGATACGAGTCACTTGAAGGTAAGAATGTAGATAGATATTCTCATATAGGGTTGATTCCTGGTCGAGTTGTCAACTCAGGCTGAATTCTATTTATTCTTCTTGTACTTTTATTTCCCAGTAAAGCCATAATACTGTGGAGCATTTCTCGCATGAGACTGATCCGCATCTCCGTAGTTGATTGTTGATTGCCAACTGTCGAATGTGAATATGATGTGTTTGCCTGTTGTCAAGTCCATCAAGTCCACTCGCCTCTGATCTACACACAAAAAACCTTGTCATTCGGCACATTGTCCTAATCCCAATCCAATTAATATTCTGTATTTCCCCCCGTTTATATCCAGTCCGAGGCAGACCCATCCCCGTCATCATCCTGCAGGATTCAGGAGACACACCAACCAGCTCTAACGATAGCGCCAGCCCCACCGGGCTGTAAGGGCCCAAACCAGTCAGAACTAAAAGCCTGCTCGAGATCGATCGGTCCTCCCACTTTTTTTTGGCTCTTCTTCTGTTTCACAGACTGGGTCGTTCAGCCACTGATCATGCAGGTTGCCCTTGCCGCCACGGAGGGAGGTGCCCCTCTCCCTGGTCTGGTCTGCCGCCAAATGGCCGATGGATGGCCGGTGAGGAGGGATCATTTGCCTCTCTGGCTAGGGTTATTATACTTTGAACAAATCAAATAATAAGAGAATAAATTAATCAAAGAGAAGAAATCAAATTAAACAAGGAATGTCAAAGTAAAAGGTTCAGGTCAAGTCAGGAATGGTAAATAGAGACAGATCAACTGCTGGTCCTGCCTGATCTTCATCTTCGCCTCTCCTTTTTTCTCCACTGTTCTTCTTCTTCTCTGCGCTCTCATTTCTCCGTCTGCTTCTTGGCTTCTTTCTCTCTCTCTCCCTCTTCCTCTTTCCCTGATTCACTCTCCCTCCTCCCTCTTTCCTCTCTCTCTCTCTCTCTCTCTCCCTCCCTCTCTCGTCTTTCGTTCCTCAATAAGAGTGACTGGTTCACACTATCGTTCATCACATTCCCTCGTTACTCCGTACCAACCTCACCTTTCCAACCTCCATCTACCCACTCGGCTCCAATTTGGATCGTCCTTCTTTAATTTGGCCGGATCCAACCAAATTAACCGTGCCGTCCCTGGTCCCTTGGTCCTAGTGCCCCCGTTCCCTGGTTCAAAGCGATTGTCTTAGTATACGGCAACAAAAACAAAGGAGAAACCGAGACACCAGGACAAAACAAGGCCATTGTCTGTCTCCCTCCGCTGTCTACCCTATCTGTGTGGATTTGGGTGCCAGGTCAACTGGGCATTCTCTCTCGTTTACTTTCACATTTCGATCCTATCGACGGTTCTCTTCTGATCCCGACCGCTCGACCGGCTTCGATTCACATTCCCTTGGGTGACCCCCTTCCTACACTACACCCCTTCTTCAGGGATCCCGATAGTTGAGCTGGTCTCGACTCGTTTTCCAAATCTCGTTTTTTTTGCTTTGGATTGATTGCTTGATTGGTTATTGTGTTTGCATCTTTAATCCTCCCATCGATATACCTGGTTGGACAGAATGGACATCGAAAAACGCAGCGGCGGCGGCGGCGATGCCGCCTACATGTGGCTCGAGAGTTTGAACGACGACCTCGCCCGCAGGAGCTTGCTCATCCTCGGCTTGATGGCCGCCTTCATCTACCTCTGGAAGACCGGCTTCCGTATCAGCGCCCATCTTCGACGACTCTCCAGCTTCAACAATGACCGACAACGCTACTTCATCTCCGCCGACAGCACCTTCGCCAGAATCAAGAGCCATATAATTTATGCCCCCATGCTGCGCAGCCGTCACAACCAGGAGTTCCAGCTCTCCACCGTCGTCAACTTCGGCACCCTGCCCAGTCGCTTCCACACCTTGATCCTGGTCTGCATCGTCGTCATGAACGTCGTCCTCTGCGTCGTCACCGTTCCCTACCATAAAGACGAGCACACCGTCTCCGGCGCCATCCGAAACCGCACCGGCACCATGGCCACCGTCAACCTCATCCCGCTCGTGCTCACGGCCGGCCGGAACAACCCCCTGATCAAGTTGCTCCAGGTGCCCTTTGACACCTTCAACCTCATCCACCGCTGGCTCGCGCGGATCGTGGTCCTGGAAACCATCGCCCATATCTTCGCCTGGGCCATCCCCAAATCGCAAAAGCGTAGGTTTTCTCGATCAGGTCTTTTGGTAGAGAAGTAACAATGCTGATAATTTGACAGTCGGTTGGCAGATGGTCGGTATGATCTTTGGGAAGAGCTCGTTCCTCCTCAGTGGCTTGATTGTAAGTGTCATTCCATCCGGGATTGGTCGACGCAGACTAACTCAGACAGGCCGGCTGTGCCTTCGTCGCGCTCATGGTGCACTCTCCCTCCCCCATCCGCCATGCCTTCTACGAAACCTTCCTCCACCTCCACATCGCCATGGTGGCCGTCTCGTTCGGCTTCCTGTGGGTCCACCTTGACGGACTGGTGGCGCAGTCGTACCTGCTCGCCGCCGTCATCCTCTGGGCCCTCGAGCGCGCCACCCGTCTCTTCATGATCCTGTATCGCAACTGCGGCCGATCGTCCACAACGGCCCTCGTCGAGGCCCTCCCGGGTGACGCCCTGCGCATCACCCTGAACATGGCGCGGCCCTGGTCGTTCCAGCCCGGTCAGCATCTCTACCTGTACATCCCCGCCGTTGGCTGGTGGTCCTCCCACCCCTTCTCCGTCGGGTGGAGCCAGCAGGAGGAGATCGCCACGGACGAGAAGGGCATCCCTATGACCCGGCAGGAGGTCTTCGGCTCCGAGAAGACGACCCTTTCCCTCCTGATCCGTCGCCGCACGGGCTTCACCGACAAGCTGTTCCAGCGCGCCGCCAACGCCGCCGAATCCCGCGTCACCCTGCGCGCTTTCGCCGAGGGACCCTACGGCAGCATCCACTCCATGGACTCATACGGCACAGTGATGCTCTTCGCTGGCGGCGTGGGCATCACCCACCACGTCCCGTTCGTCCGCCATCTGGTGCAGGGGTACGCCGACGGGACGGTCGCCGCGCGCCGCGTGACCCTCGTCTGGATCATCCAGTCGCCCGAGCACCTTGAATGGATCCGCCCCTGGATGACGCAAATCCTCGCCATGGACGGCCGACGGGACGTGCTGCGGATCATGCTCTTCATCACCCGGCCCCGTAACCCGCGCGAGATCCAGAGCCCGAGCACCACCGTCCAGATGTTCCCGGGGCGACCCAACGTTGACACCCTGGTCGGCATGGAAGTCGAGAACCAGGTGGGCGCCATGGGCGTGCTGGTGTGCGGCAACGGCAGTCTAAGCGACGACGTCCGACGCGTGTGCCGCAAGCGACAAGGTCGGTCGACGGTCGACTTTATCGAGGAGAGTTTCACATGGTAGATGCTTGCATAGGTTTATTTGGTTTCTTTTTTTTAAACTGTTTCACTTGGGTACGGAATTTCTAGCACTTCATGGGATGAGCTATTGTATCGATTTTTTGGGATTTATTTTTTGCACGCGCACATGACGGATGTACATACCACATTCCTTTGATATCAATCCAGCATTACCGGCATTACCGGCTTTACTTGTGTGATTATCTCCATCTGGATAGACTAGCTGTTTGTAGAGGGTTGATTTCTCAGCCTGTAAGACAACCCCTACCTTCTAGTCCGTTCCTCCAGATCTAGATCTTGAATAATTATGATTAATCAATCAACCACTCAAAGAAGTCGTCATACTCAACACCCATGCACAAAAACACCACAACCAACCAATGGCTGGCAGGTATGCAGCTGCACGGTTGCGCAAGACAAGCCTCCGTCCTGCTTGCTGACAGCTTATAAATCCGCCCAGTTATCCGGTGGGTCCGATGCGGGATGACAGAAAGCCATCCACAGCGGTAATGGCATCATCTGTGACCCCTCGCCCCGTATTAACACCAATAGTCTGGTTAGTTAGTTAACTATTTGTCTCCGAAGCTACTCCGTAGCTGGGTAGGTATTAATCATCAAAGTGTAAGATGGTGAGCGGGGTTCGCTCTGTTGGAGCTCTATTTAATGGTGCTGGATCCCCATTCCCCACTGCATTGAATCGTCCTCGTTGCTCTCATCTTCAGGCTTTCTATCTATTGTCTTGTAGGAGGTATACTAGCACTACAGCTACGCATTTCAAAATGAGTCGTCCCGATATTACGCTTTACACGGCGCAGACGCCTAATGGGATTAAGATCTCGATTGCGTTGGAGGAGTTGGGGTATGTTCTTCTTCTTTTTCTTTCTTTCTTTTTTACTGGATTATTGATCTCTTGCAATAATTGGATAATGAATACTGACGAGCTGTATAGTCTCCCCTACAAGGTCGAGAATATCAACATTGGCAAGAATACCCAGAAAGAGCCGTACGTACTATCTACCCTTCCCCATACTATCCCCATCTACCTACGGTAGTACCTACCATGCAGTACCATATATTAACATCCCTCCAGATGGTTCCTCGAAATCAACCCCAACGGCCGCATCCCCGCGCTGACAGACACCTTCACGGACGGGCAAAAAATCCGCCTCTTCGAATCCGGCAGCATCCTCACCTACCTCGCCGAGCAATACGACAAAGACCACAAGATCTCCTTCGTCCCCGGAACCCGCGAGCACTACGAGATGATCAGCTGGCTGTACTTCCAGAACGCCGGCGTCGGCCCCATGCAGGGGCAAGCGAACCACTTCTCGCGGTACGCCCCCGAGCGCATCGAGTACGGCGTTACGCGGTACACGAACGAGACGCGCAGGCTGTACGGGGTGCTGGATGCGCATTTGAAGACGTCGGAGAGTGGGTTCCTTGTTGGTGACCATATCTCGTTGGCGGATATTTCGCTTTGGGGGTGGGTGGCTGCTGCGGGCTGGGCCGGGATTGATATTGAGGAGTTTCCGAAGTTGAAGGAGTGGGAGGAGAGATTGGCGGCGAGAGAGGGGGTCGAGAAGGGACGTCATGTGCCGACTAGGCATACTGTTAAGGATGTGCTGAAGGATAAGGACGCTGCTGAGAAGCAGGCTGCTGAGGCGAGGGCTTGGATTCAGCAGGGGATGAAGGCTGATGCTAAGCATTAGTTTCCTTCTTCTTGTTACCTACCGTAGGTAGGTAGATACTTTGGGTTGTTATTATATGATAGACATGAATCTAGTATTGTCATTAATTTGTTATTCATTATTGTTTATTTCTTTGTCCAGTCATTGATCGAGGAATGTTAATGTTGTCATGGTCGACTGTGTTGTGTAGAGGGAGGCCAGTAGAGAAGATACAGATTAGTAATGTCACATGACCTCAGAGCTTGCCACCTCGCCCGAGCTTATCATCCCGTTTTCACCTCACTTTTCTATCATCATTCTATCCATAGTACACTTACCTGCAGTTTTATTAACTTCATCCTTGAGGTCAACATCATGGCCTGGCGAAACCAAGGAATTACAGGCTCCAACAACATCCCTCTGGGCCGCCGTCGCCTCGCCGGCGACGAACCCCATGAAGATGAAAGCCGCACTGCGACTCCCTCATCGGACAACGGGTTCAAGCGCGGCCGGAGCCCCATCCGAGGTATGTCCATCTCTCTCCTCTTCGCTTTTCAAAGAAGATCGCATCCGCTGATGGATATAGCGGAACCCGCGAGTGATGGCGTCAAGCGTCGCAAGAAGCGCAACCGTTGGGGTGATGCCCAGGAGAACAAGGCTGCTGGTCTGATGGGCTTGCCCACCATGATCATGGCCAACTTCACTAGCGAGCAGCTCGAGGCGTATACTCTTCACTTGCGTATTGAGGAGATTAGCCAGAAGCTTCGCATCAACGATGTTGTGCCTGCGGATGGAGACAGGTTAGTACCTTTTCACCCATCTAAATTCTCTCCAGGTTCTAACTCTGCAGATCGCCCTCTCCCCCCCCGCAGTACGACAACTTTGGTAGACGTGTAAATACTAGGGAATACCGTTATCGGAAGCGTCTCGAAGACGAGCGCCACAAGCTGGTCGAAAAGGCGATGAAGACCATTCCTAACTACCACCCGCCTTCTGACTACAGACGTCCCACCAAGACCCAGGAGAAGGTCTATGTTCCAGTGAATGACTATCCAGAGATTAACTTCAGTATGATAACTAACCCTCTAACTCCTAACCGTTCCTGTGTTGTGTCTGTCCCTCATGACGGCTCGAGTCGAGCTCGCAAGGAAGTCATCGCCCGTCGATGGTTTTCGGGGCTCGCTTCTTGCTAACCCTCATGCTTGATACCACTTCATTATTGCTCTCCCATCTTTGATAAAACCACCTTCAACTAACACTTAGCTCTTTGCTACCTTTTAAGTTGGCTTACTCATAGGACCCCGTGGTAACACCCTCAAGAAGATGGAGACCGAGTCCGGGGCTAAGATTGCCATCCGTGGAAAGGGCTCCGTCAAGGAAGGAAAGGGTCGATCTGACGCCGCTCACGCTAGTAACCAGGAAGAAGATCTCCACTGTCTGATCATGGCAGACACGGAAGAAAAGGTTAACAAGGCTAAGAAGTTGGTGCACAACGTTATTGAGACTGTGAGTTTGAGTCCACCCCCGCTGGCGAGACGTGATCGACAACTGACCAGACAGGCCGCTTCCATCCCCGAAGGCCAGAACGAGCTCAAGAGGAACCAGCTCCGTGAGCTGGCTGCCCTGAACGGTACTCTTCGTGACGATGAGAACCAGGCTTGCCAGAACTGTACGTTCCTCCCCCTTGCATATCATGAAACGTATGACTAACGGCTCCAGGCGGCCAAATCGGTCATCGCAAGTATGACTGCCCTGAGCAGCGCAACTTCACCGCCAACATCATCTGTCGTGTCTGTGGCAACGCCGGGCACATGGCTCGCGACTGTCCCGATCGCCAGAGAGGCTCCGATTGGCGCAACGGCGGTGGCGTTGGTGGCCGCAGGGCTATTGGCAGCGGCGATGCCGTCGACCGAGAAATGGAGGTATGTTATTCACCCTACACTGTATTTGCTATATCATTTGCTCACGTCACTAGCAACTCATGCAAGAACTGTCTGGTGGTGCCCCCGGCGAAGACGGCCAACCCATGCGCCGCATCGAAGCCGGTCCCGAAGGCGAGTACGACGACCGCGACGCGAAGCCCTGGCAGCGTGGCCCGCCGGCCAGCGACGTGGCTCCCTGGCAGCAGCGCCGCGACACCCGCCGCGACGACTACGGCTCCCGCGATCAGGGTGGCGCAGCTCCTTGGGCTGCTCAAAGCCGCGGTGGCGATCATGGCTACGGTGGCGATCACGGCTACGGTGGATACGGTGGCTATGGCGGTGCTCCCGGCGCTGCTCCGGGCGCTGCTGCCCCGTGGCAGCAGCAGGCGGCCCCTCCGCCGCCGGGTGGACCGGCCGCGTACGGATACGGTGCCTACCCCGGATATCCGTCAATGGCAGCGATGGGTGCTCCCCCGGGCGCTCCCCCCGGTCCTCCCCCCGGTGCCCCTCCGGGCCTGAGCGGAGTGCCGCCACCGCCGCCTCCGCCGGGCATGCCATCCATGTACTATGGCTCAGGCAGTCCGCCCCCGCCGCCTCCCGGCGATGGACCTCCCCCTCCGCCGCCCAGCGACCAGCCCCCGCCGCCTCCTCCCCCTGCTTGAACAACCCATCACTAGGATTGTCTAAGTTTGTCTTTGTTCTTTCTTATCATCTTTGCTATCTATTACTACCTGCCATATGGTCTGTGGTATTCCAGGACCGAAAGGGAACGAAAAAGGGGAAGAAGCGCAGGGTTGATCATTGTTTACGGGATCGTTTCGCAGGCCCATGAATTGTAATTTTTGTATCCAAATTGAGGGCTTCTGGCCTGGTTAGTGTGTTGATTAATAGTCAAAAGGGTATTTTCATTTGTCTTTTTCATTCGTATAGAGATGTATTGGTGGAGATGGAGATTCGGATATTTTGTCTTGTAGATGAAGAGAACTGCTACAGTCTCTCTGTAGTATGCGAATGGATGCACACCGCAACGGAAGAAGGTTTTCCCGACCGAGATGATTTTCGTCGTTGTCATTAGGCTCATCGGTTAAACGTACTCGAATTATTGTCGAGGTCGTCTGGACTCCTAGATATTCTCTGTCAGCATCCTGTGTTTAAAGTGGGTTACATACATCAGGATCCTCCGGCATCAAAGCATGGTCTAGTCCCTTAACCCTCCCGGATCCCGCCCCGCCCATCGTCAACCTTGGCTCAACAACCGGTGCAACATGCAGGCACCCGGGAGTAACGCAGCTGGCAGCCAGGCTGATCCAGCTCCCCACTCGCGCAAGCCGTGGAATTCGCATTCCCAGTCGCAGCTCTCCCACCACGATCATGATCAAGACCATGACCGTCCGCAGAGTCACAACCCCGAGCCGATCGCGCGGGAGCACACTCGACGCTCCACCACCACGCACTCATCCACGCGCTCAGCCAAATGGTGGCGCGTACGACTCTTCCGCGGCATGGTCAAAGATGTGAGGCGTCGCGCTCCATATTACTGGAGTGACTGGACCGATGCGTGGGATTACCGGGTCGTCCCTGCGACGGTGTACATGTTTTTCGCCAAGTACGTACTATACCACTACTACTGCCTGGGGCTTGCTCGGAGCTCCGGATAGGCGAAACAAGATTGTTACTAAACGCGCTGTAGTATCCTGCCCGCTCTGGCTTTCTCACTGGACATGTTTGAAAAGACGCACCAGAGCTACGGCGTTAACGAGGTGCTTCTCGCGTCCGTGCTGGGCTCCGTGGTGTTCGCCCTTCTGGCGGCTCAGCCGCTGGTGATTGTTGGCGTGACGGGGCCTATTACTGTGTTTAATTATACGGTTTATGATATTATTGCGCCGCGGGGGACGCCGTATCTGGCTTTTATGTGTTGGATTGGGATGTATGTCTCCCCTCCCCCACCTTTCAGATTGCGGGTGCGGAAGCGCAGCGCTGACTGGCTAAAGCTGGTCACTCATCATGCACTGGTTCCTCGCCATAACCAACGCATGCAACGCTTTGACCTACGTGACTCGCTTCTCGTGTGACATTTTCGGGTTCTACGTCGCGTGCATCTATCTCCAGAAAGGGATCCAGGTGCTGACGCGCCAGTGGGGCCAGGTCGGCGAGACGTCGGCGTATCTCAGCATTATGGTCGCGCTGTTGGTGCTGATGAGTGCTTGGATCTGTGGTGAACTGGGGAACAGTAATCTGTTTCAGCGCTACGTGCGGAAGTTTCTGGAGGATTATGGCACGCCGTTGACGATTGTCTTCTTTACCGGGTTTGTCCATATCGGTCATATGAGAGACGTTAACGTCGCGACGCTGCCGACTAGCAAGGCTTTCTTTCCTACGATGGATAGGAGCTGGCTTGTTAATTTTTGGGATATTGATGTGGGAGATATCTTCTTGGCTATTCCGTTTGCTCTGCTCTTGACTATTCTCTTCTACTTTGACCATAACGGTACCTCCCCTCCCCTCTCCCTTTCCTTTATGTCCACTCTCTCATATAATACAGTATCCTCCCTCATCGCCCAAGGAACCGAATTCCCCCTCCGCAAACCCGCCGGCTTCCACTGGGACCTCTGGCTCCTAGGCCTAACAACCTTCGTCGCAGGCCTCCTCGGCATCCCCTTTCCCAACGGCCTCATCCCCCAAGCCCCCTTCCACACCGCCGCCCTCTGCGTCACCCGCGACGTCGCCGATACAGACGACACCAACAAAGGCAAGACAGTCCGCATAACAGACCACGTCGTCGAACAGCGCGTCAGCAACCTCGCCCAAGGCCTCCTCACCCTAATCGCCATGACCGGCCCCTTACTAATCGTCCTCCACCTCATCCCCCAAGGCGTCATGGCCGGCCTCTTCTTCATTATGGGTGTCCAAGCCCTGCAAGGCAATGGAGTCACGCAGAAATTGATCTTCCTCGCGCAAGACCGCGCCTTCACGGCTGCGTCGAACCCGCTTAAGCGTGTGAAGCGTCGCCGCGCGATTTGGGTCTTTGTTGTGCTGGAGCTGGTCGGGTTTGGGGCTACGTTTGCGATCACGCAGACGATTGCGGCGATTGGGTTCCCGGTTATTATTTTGCTGTTGATTCCTGTTCGCTCGTTTTTGTTTCCGTTGTGGTTTGAGGGTGAGGAGCTGGCTGCGCTGGATGCGCCTACTGCTAGTCCGTTTACGATGGAGAGTGTGGGCGGGACTCATGGGGCAAATGGTGATTCTGATGCTGAGGGAGAGGGAGCTGGAGCTCGGCCTGCTGGGAGACCGTCCTCTAAGGATGATGCCAGTGGGGAGTCGATGATGCGTCGTGGGGAGGGGGAGGGGGCTGAGGCTCCTGTGGAGGGGGATTTGGAGCGTGGAGAGGCGTATGAGATGCAGTCGAGGGCGGGGATGCGTAGACGGAGCATGGCTAGTGGGGGTGATTGATTTGATAGGCATTGTTGGACCGTGGCATTAGCATAATTCTTATATAGTTTCTGTAGTCTTGGATATCCATTGGGAATGAATGATCTCTAGACTGACGTCGTTTGCAATCCTTGTTCAACGTGTAGGACCTTCGCTCATTCAGGGACAGCGCCAAAGCATCAGTTCTCGACCTATTGACCTCTAATAAAACCCCCCATCACCCTATCATACCACCCAGCCTTCCCACATTCATACAACCTCATCGCAGAAACCAGATACTGTCGCCGCGAATCACCAAGAGCAGACGACAGTCTGTACCCACCAGTCACCCCCCGCTCCTCTTCTATTCCCCTCACAACATCGATATAACTCTCCCTATCAGCAAACCTCTGCCTATCATCCGCATCCCGCGGACACCCAGTCTCATCATACTTCCACGGAGCATCCATAGCAGGCGGGACCACCGACATGGACAGGGGGGATTCTCCGGACAATCCGCAGGGCCCCGCAAACGCCGTCTCCCAGTCTATAACGCCCAGCAGGCGGTAGTCATCGTCAAATACGATATTGTTGTGCCCGAAGTCGCCGTGGCAGAGAGGGAATGGGCCTGTGTTGTTGATGGATAATGATTCCGCGTTATCGTGTATCAGTTTTTTTGAACGTTGATAGGGAAGATTGGATCTCGGCGGCGTAGGGACCTGCTGCGTTTTGAAGTTGAGCTTCGGAGAGACCGAATTCGACTTTAGTGGACTAGGCGATGAAGAACTCTGCTGCGGTGTTGAATGGCCCGCCTAAGATTGGGAGCGGGCCTTGTTGGTATGTGCCGTCTGCGTTTATCCCGGTTACTTTTCCGATTTTTGGGAGTCGGATGTTGAACATATCGATCTGATGGAGATAATCAGAGAGAAGAACTGTTGAATGGTGCGGGTACATACGTGGATTTCTGCCATTCTGGCATAAACGTCTAACTTATGTTCAGGGGGGATGTTCATGCTCAGATCTCTTCCAGCATTTCCTTGAAGACAGTCCATAAGCATGAACTGTGCCCCGACGCTGGAGTTCGTGTCTGTCTCAAACAAATGGACACGCGGAACAGGAATCGTGCTCTCTCGCCGAACAAGACAGATAGTCCAGTACTCGCTCTCCATTATCTTAGCCGCGCCTACTCCGTCACAGTACACGGTGTCAAGGGTGGCATCCGGAGTCTTGCTACCCACCGAGCGCGGTCAGAAAATTCGACGATACGAACCATGTGGTTATATCCTAGGCCGATGTCTGGTAATATTCGACATTCTAGACCGTTTCGCTTCGTAGAAGCACACTGGGTGAGTAGATCCCAGTTGATGGATTGTAGGAATGCTTGAGCTCGTGCTTTTAGGGGTTCTTTGCTGAGGGAGGAGAAGTAGGACCATCGATATCCGGCGAAAGTATTGTTTTCGTGCGAAAGAGTGTCTGGCATGATTGCGCTGGGTATGTTTTCTAGAACGTAGCAGTGGAAATAGCGAGATTATATGGACTGATAGGACTTTGGCGGGCTGTGAGAATAGCGGTGAAACATTGGCAGTTTTCCCATACGAAGATAGCTCGTCAGGTATTTGGCTTCAAATAAGAAGTATCAAGTAATTCTCCAATATCATGTCATGTCAGGCAATGTGAAGTGGCTCCTGCTGGATGGCTGATCGGAGTCTACCATTCAGCAAAGAGAACGGAGATACTAGAATAAGACGCAATCCTTCTTCCTTCTTTGTTTAAAACATCTTGTAAAGAGGCGTCTGTGTAGCAGAATGCCCCCCGGAATCCGTCCCGACTGGATTAGGGTTGTAGTGGCAGGGGTGTTAGCTGTCTCTGATGTGTTCAAAACCGGCGGGGTACCATGGAAATTTGAAAACATTCAAGCAAAAATAGTTGCTTCAAACACGCAGGCTTTGAAGTGAGAATAATCAGGTAAATAAAGTGAGAATAATCAGGTAAATAACAGGATCTATACTCATCGTGCCATACCAAGCGCCAGACATGGTAGCCTCAGGCAACAGTAGATGTAATAGCCTCAGGCAGATGATATCACATGGCTTGTGTGGGTCCAACAAACCAACCCCATTGGTCATTATCACGTGGTGTCGACACTCTACACCGCTTCAGCGGTCAGCTTTTCTGCCGATGAATTTATCAGATTTGATCAAAAAGAAGAAAAAAAAGAAGCAGAGAAGAGAGAGACAACGAACACAGTCAACCAACACAATGGCCCCGTCGCACTCCCCAGACCCTGTGTCAGCATCGGCATCGGAGGATTCGGATTCTGAGGCCTCCTCAAGCATAAGCGTATCCGACACTGAACAAGAAAACCATACCCGCGCTCCCAAACGAAGACGTCTATCGGAGACACCAGACGACGACGAAGACGAAGAAGAAGAAGAAGACAAAAGCTACACAGCCCCAGCCCCCATCGCCACAGTCTCGCGAATCAAAAAGAAAGACACATCCAGCGCCCAGCCCGCCCAAAAATCCGACACCAACCCAGAGCTAATCAGAGATGCTCTGGAAATCGGTCTCCAAGAGGAAGAGTCCTCGTTCAAGGCGCTGAACGTCGCGCCGTGGCTGATCGGGTCGCTGACGACGATGGCGGTCAGGAAACCGACGGCTATTCAGAGGGCCTGTATTCCGGAGATCTTGAAGGGCAGGGACTGTATTGGTGGGAGTAGGACGGGATCCGGTAAAACGATTGCGTTTGCGGTGCCCATTTTGCAGATGTGGGCGCAGGATCCGTTTGGGATTTTTGCGGTTGTTTTGACGCCGACGAGGTTGGTCTCTCCCTCTATCTTATTTGGGGATACAAAAGAAGGAGGAACTAATTAAAAGCAGAGAACTCGCTCTCCAAATCTACGAACAAATCAAAGCAATCTCCGCCCCCCAAAGCATGAAACCCGTCCTCATCACAGGCGGAACAGACATGCGCGCGCAAGCCATCGCCCTCTCGCAGCGTCCGCACGTCGTCATCGCCACTCCCGGCCGTCTCGCAGACCACATAAACACTTCCGGCGAAGACACTGTGCGCGGCCTCAAGCGCGTCCGCATGGTCGTCATGGACGAAGCGGACCGCCTCCTCGCCCCAGAAGCAGGCATGCTCCCGGACGTAGGAACCTGTCTCTCGGCTCTACCCCCCTCCTCCGAGCGCCAAACCCTCCTCTTCACAGCAACAGTGACGCCCGAAGTGCGCGCCCTCAAATCCTCGCCCCGCTCCAACTCCAAACCCCCCCTCTTCATGACTGAAATCTCCACCGAAAGCAAAGACTCCATCCCCCCCACCCTCAAACAAAGCTATCTCAAAGTCCCCATGACCCACCGCGAAGCCTTCCTCCACGTGCTCCTCTCCACGGACGCCAACGCCCAAAAACCAGCCATCATCTTCTGCAACCGCACCCAGACAGCAGACCACCTCGAGCGCATGCTCCGCCGGCTCGCCCACCGCGTCACATCCCTGCACAGCCGACTCCCGCAGTCCGAGCGTAACGCGAATCTTGCCCGCTTCCGCGCCTCGGCCGCTAGAGTCCTCGTCGCGACGGACGTCGCCTCCCGTGGTCTCGATATTCCCTCCGTCAGCCTGGTAATCAACTACGATGTCCCCCGGAACCCGGACGACTACGTGCATCGTGTGGGACGTACCGCCCGTGCGGGCCGCTCCGGTGAGGCTGTCACGCTTGTTGGACAGCGCGATGTGCAGCTTGTGTTGGCTATTGAGGAGCGCGCAGGTCGCCAGATGGAGGAGTGGAGTGAGGAAGGTGTTAGCGTGGAAGCGCGTGTTGTGCGTACTGGTGTGCTTAAGGAGGTTGGCGCTGCGAAGCGCGAGGCCGCTGCTGAGATTGATGAGGGGAGGGATGTGTTGGGGAGAAAGAGGAATAAGTTGAAGAAGGTGCGGTAGTACTAGACTTTTTGTTGTATCAGTTTCCTTTCTTTTTTCTTATTTCTTGGTTTTGGTTCGGAATATGATGCTGTACATACGTACCTATCTTTTCTACACGGCTTCCGCTCTTCCTCTTTCCATGTTAGTGTTCACTTCTCGCTGCTTTTTGCTCATTAAGAAAACCTTGGCACGCGCTAAGTTGATCACCAAGTAGAGGACTGAGCGGAGAGGTGAGTAGCCTGTGTAGAGTAGTCTTGGGGCTTGATACTAAAGTTCATCCAGTTTCAACCCACTTAACCAAAGAATGATATTGTTAATAGAATAGGTAATTTTAGCTATGATTCCTTCTAATATACTATGAAGCAGTCTCTCAGGTGAGATTAGGTCCAAATAATCTCTTTGTGAGCCATTGTTTTCATTGTCGATATTACTCATATATTAGCAGTAGAAGCATGTAATATGACATGTATATAATTCATTGTATCATTAATACTCCATACTATAAGCCAAAAAATAAAATACACCTTCACGTGGGGTTACTTTTTTTTTTTGGCGGGGGAACATACTAGTTCTTGTCCAACGTGTAAAGAAAATTTCAGCCTGTTTGATCTTTCCATTGCCAGCAAGTCCACCGCAAAATCAATCTAGAAATGAAGGAAAACAAATACAGAAAGGATTGACCCATGGGAAGGGGGATATTGCCAGCCTGGAGAACTAGTGTTTGATAGTTATCAGGGGAGTCCATATCATCTACACAGAGAGTTCGCCAGAGAAAGATTAACTCAGGCATCATGGGTGCAAACACCACGAGCTACTCACAGTGCAGCACGTCGCATGGAGAATACAAATAACCTATGTAGGCGGCCTCCGGCATCCTATCATGTGGGAACAAGTGTGGGCCGGAGGGTCGATGGCCATCACCTCCCTGCGTGGGAGCTGCAAGTGTCTCTAATCAGACGCCTGCATGTCACTTCCATAAGGCGGCGCTTCCCAACCTACCAATAGCCGCTGACCTCACTGATCTCCTCCCCTGCTCAGCCGCCTCCTGGAGGCCTCCGACTTGGAGATGAGACACTACGCGACACATCACCGCCTGCGGCAGCGGAGAATCGAGCAGTAGGTGTGAAATCTAGAAGCATGGTGAAATCGCCCAAAGAAATGCGAGATACCTCATATCAGTTGGTCCTAGTCATTGGCGGGGATGATCCCACGCAGCCTGTCGTGGTCGACACAGTGGCCCGACCGTTCTCGCATATTGCAAGGCATGCCAGTTTCCGCGAATGGGCGGGGACGGTTGAACGCAAGAGGCCCCTTGGACTTGAACAGATTACTCGGAGCGGATGAGAAACGACTGAAGCCCTTCATGTGTTCAAAAGAAGAATGCACGACTTATAAAAGGGTTGCCCGTTCGGTCCTAAAGATTGAACTACTCGCCCATAAGCTCTCCTATTCTACAATTTCTGAGTTCTCTCGTCCTCGCGAAAACGCCTATCTGATAGTCAGGCGTTTGGGTCCCTCCGAACGGATACGAAAGAATGTACGACGAAACCCCGGAAGATCCGGTGCTGGAGCAACGACAAAGCAGGCTGAGGCTACTGTATGAGCCCCTGTCGCTGCTCGATACACTGGACCAAACGAGAGGTGATCGCATCAGGCCCGACGATGTCCCATCGCATGACGCCGAATTTAGCCTGATCGGAAGCCAACGGTCCTTTGTCAATGCAATCGCCTACATCTGCGCATACAAGAAAGGCCCGGCCTACGTGACCGCTGCCGCGTTGGAAAAGGCGCCAGAAGAGATAGTTCTGTGGCTCGCAGCAAATAAGGGCATAGAACCCGCGGTAATCGATTTTTTGAACCCGGTCGTGAAAATCATCACATGGCTAGTCGGCAAGACAAGTGCCAGGTTGGAAAATGAGGAAGGGGCATCGGCATTGAACCTCCTGACGGGCAAGACCCTGTCTTTCAATTCCCCCAGAATCTATTCATACTATTGCCAGATAGTGAACCACGCGGCTCCCGATGTGGTGCCTGAGTTGGCTCGGGACCCACGTTTTCGAGGTCTGTCTCCTGTCTAATCTTCAGCTGCCCTTTTTCCTTTTGTTCTTCTTCTTCTTTTTATTTTTTATTTTATTTTTTGGAAGACATCTAACACGCTTGAAACTTTAAGATATTCCAAAAGTTATCGAGTTCAGAAAGTGGCTGGCTAGTCATCTATATGAAGATGATGAAGATCATGTCCAACTCCAGGAGCGTGATATGGAACGCCTTGCCAAGAAATGTTACGAATCACGGAAACTTTTCAATGTTCTCCGAAACTTGGGAGGGGATCCACGGCAGACTGAGCGTTTCGAGCATCTGTACAAGCTGCTGGGAAAGCTCGGAAAGCATGTGGTGATGTGCAAGCGGCTGGTGGAAGCGAGTATTGTGCTACGGACGGAATTCTTGCGTGGACTGACCGTCAAAACGGTCCCGAGATCCAGAGAGCGCCAAATTCCGCTGCGCCGCAAATGTAATGTGGACGGGATTGCAAATCGCATTTTTCGGAAACCTACCGATAGGGACAGGTTCATTGCTCGCTTGGAGACGATCTATACCGCGGACGACTTGAACAAGCGCTTAGAGTGTCAGTATGGTCAGACCAAGACTTTCGTGCACGCCGAACTCTTGTTGTTTAATCACCTTGATACGATTGATGGGGATTATCTGGACAACAGCGACAAATACGTGGGATGCAGTAAGCCCGCGTGCTACCTCTGCTACCAATATATCTGCACTCATCCCGGTGGATATGCACGTCCGCCCTCCCATCAGAAACTTTACCTGAGGTGGCGTCTTCCAGATATCAAACAAGCGCAGCCTCTTGCCGCTATCCTGTTTCAGCGGCAAAAGGAAGTTCTTGAAAAAATGATCATCACCGTGCGATCCGACTTGAATAACGAAGTTGCCACGCGCGTCGGTAGGCGGAAGAGTGAAGTCGACTCCACGCACGCAGAAACCTCGAGCTTGTATGAGATCAAAAAATTGGAGGATGCAGTGGCCTCGATGTCGTTTGCCGAGCTGCTACGAGAAATCGATCCATCAGTGCAGCACACGCCGCTTCCTGATCTGTCCTCTGAGACGGAGGTCGTCAGTTCTCCCTCGTCCTCGAGCCAGTACAGCCCAGCGCCCGACAGTGCATATTACTCAAGCGACAGCGATGGAGGTGTTGGTATCTGAGACTTGCAGTCATGCATACGGCAGTTGGGGAGAGATTGATGTTGCGTGTGACTTCGCCGGGGTGTGGCTGCTCATAGCGGACCGGGCAGGCTGGACTCAGGAAGACAATTTACTACAATAATCAGCTTCTGATAGTTAGCCCGAATGATGTTTGTTTGTTGATTGCTTGATACTCCGACACCGTATCGGAATACATAAATCGCTGTCCCTAGTTCAGTTTTTGGGAAATGCCTAGTGGTATCCGAGTGGTATCTCGGCGTGAATGAGAGAAGACTGGATGGTATGTTCATATTGGTATTTGTAAACCATTTCAACGTAAGCCATCCTTGCAGTGAGACCTGGCCCTTTGTATGGTGTATTCTGGTAGACCAGCAAGGGACCCCGAGTAGGGATTGCCCTGACCTTACTGAATACTTGCCCCGCACCCTGGACAACAACGTAACCCTTCCTCCATGGCCCTTTCGTATACATACCCAAGGGACCCCTCCAGAGACCTGCGGAGCACTAGTCAACCGTTGACCTGTCTTTGATCGTTGTGTTCAAGACCAGCTTACAATAGGTATATAGATGTTTCCATTCAACAACGGTGCTTTATCCCCGCATGGTCAAGAAGGCTGATCAGATCCACAGAAGAGGAAAATGACTGTCTTGACATGCACCGAACACCCGCAATATCTCAATGACCTGCAAGAGGCCATCGAACATATCAAAGTCTGTCACATGAACAGCATCACACGTCCTGGTCGTCCCGGAACGGTTGATACACATGGACACATGTGGTATTGTTGGGCGTGTGAATCTCGCTATTTGAAAGATCATCGCAGCTTTGATTCGAATGAGGCCATGTGGGATCATCTCCGATCAAGTCACTGTGACATTATTGCTTGCATAGTCCCGCACCAGGACTTTGACGGGATTTGAACTCATGTTATAATCTTTTTATGGGAGTTGATGCTATATTGCTTTAAGCAAGGAATTGCTCTGGATGATCTAGATGGTTTAGATGGTTCTTGCGAAGAAAAGTCGTTTAAGATACTATGAACATTGGCATAAGCGTAGGGCATCAGCCTACACAAGCCTTGTACCTTCAACTATAGAGAACGCGCTACTCCCTTCAGTCATAGAGTCATTTCAGTCAGCTGCCCGTCGCCAAAAATCACTGTCGTTGTCAATATCATAATCATCGACATCCTCGTCCAAACTGCGGTCATCATCCTCATAATCCCCCCAGCAACTCCTGTCGTCATCCCACTCCCCTGTCACTTCTTCATTGTTCACTACCTTGACTGACCATCCGTATCGCTCCATCTGTTGTCTCAGCGCCTCGTCGATCTCATCTTCGAACACCTCAACCACAACCTTTTGCAGTGATGGCAGCGTTCGGAATTGGGCAGCGGTCTTGTCCAACATCGCAACAACAACCATAAAGGACGACGTCAGATCGTAATCTCTGTGAAGCGATGTTTCGATCGTCTTTAACTGCGGGCAGTTGCGCTGAAGGATTGAGAGAATCTGGAGGCTGTTGTTCTCCGGACTGCCCGATCCATCGGGCAGCTGATCAAGCCGTCGAAAGGCAGGAAAGTCCATACGTACATGCTGAAGGTAGCTCGTACCTTCGCCTCCGATCAAGTCAAAGAATCGAGAGACCATGGAAGGGCTGTATAGGGTGAAGTCGAAGGAGTTCTGTGCGTAGAAGATTGCCTTGGCCTCTTTGTAAATTTTCTGATTGGTGCGGAGGATACTGAGACCCAGCCCCCTATCGTATCTGGGCCAAAAAGGGCGAATGGAATCCTCCTGCAGCAGCACGTAGCGATATATCTTGTTGTGGAGCTCGCCTGGAAGGTCAAGGAAGGTGGTTGGCATGCTGGGCGTGTTGGCGGTTTGGTTGACTGGATGGTGTTTGAGAGGCCCTGCCATGTTCGTTCGGGCTCCTGGCCGTGATATGTCACCACCCCTTATATAGAACTAATAGAAAAACGGGAAAGCAATAAAAAAGATGGTCTGTTTATCTTTAGTATGAACAAGTCACTGGGGGGTCTGGAGTTATGTCGGTATATCTGCCGGTTTATCGACCAAAGACATTGTCAAAGAACACATGTAACAACGGCCTACTACTCAATTATAGGTCGAGTTTGATGAACAGATGCTCATGCAGGAAAGCCACAATCAGAGCAACGATCTTAATAGTCGTGTCAAGTCTTTTATTGCGCCGTAGTAGTTCGAAGTATCAACGGCCTCCTACATTCCGTGTTGGGAAGGATATGCAGCAAAACTCTACCCCGTCATTCTTTTCTTGTTATTGTTATCTTTTTTTAATTTGCTGTTATTGGGAGAAATTATCTGGTAAGCAGTTGAGGCGATACGTGTAAGCTGCTGTATGCATCCAACAATCATCTTGTACATATCCCCGCTAGCGCATTGCGTGCGTGCGCTCTCACCTATAGGACATGAGATGCGCTCAGTCGATGGACATTGCTATCGCTGCTATACCACAGATGAGACTCGTAACGAACTTGACCTTCAGTGCAATAACATATCGTGATATAATAACGTGGCACGGCCAAACCAGAGTCAAAAAAAAAGAAAAGAAAAAAGAAAAAAAAACCGTTCAGACGAGGCTGATGCAGCATGCTGATCCTGGTAGATGCCCGATACTTGCTGGCACTCTGGATTTAAATCGATTCTGGATCCATACAAGCCAGGAAATCCAACCCTGAGATCAATACAAAAGGGCCGACATTGATTCTTCCTCTTCCGACTTCTGGCTTCTGACAATTACTCAGTCTATCTCGCCTGCTTTGTTACACTTCCTGGGACATTGAGTCAAATACAGCATTGATGTCTTTTGACCAAGCGGAGCCTGATCCTGATCCACCTTGGGTGGATTCTGGAATGGGCGGCCCGATGTTCAAAACGATTGACTGGGGCCTGCTGGAGCTCGTCCTTCAGGATCTTTGTGACATGAGTCAATTGCCAAACATCCTCCCTGGAAGCGCACTTCCCGAGCACCAGGCTTCTTAGAGCCATCCCTCGGAGGAACCGTCTTTCAGCATGGGTGACCGTGGATATCTTGAACCGGACACTATCGGTCAAAGACCTAACTCGGCGAGCGCAAACACCAGCCAGTCGTCTCTCTCCCCGCCGGTACAAGTTGGAAAATTGAGATTTCGCGAAGCAAAGATGCCCCCAGATGACTACTTTGTTTGTTCACCGACTACCTTCCTATACCACTGCCCCTCGCAGGAGTGCAATGACCGAAATGGATTTCGCCTGAGATGTGAACTGAAGTATGGTCCATGTCAAAGTTAGTTGCTCATCTACTAACCCTTGCCAGGAAGCATATGCGCACGCACTTCAAGCCTGTGGTGTGCTGGTGGTGTGAAGTCCGAGGTGCAGAGCAAAGGGACGTCTTGAAACATGCTCTAGTGAACCACCCGAGATCAGTAGGAGGAACAAGGAAGATCGACTGTCCACATTGTGAGAAAGCCTTCACACGACCTGACAATATGTCAAGGCATCTCAAGCGGGAACACGGCGGACCTGTTGGGGCAGGTTAGGTTCCGATTCATCACTTTGTACTGGAGACCAATGCTCAATTATCTGATACTACTCTGATTTTGGTTACGACCATACATTCGTAATGCAAAGGACATATCAAGGTAGTCACTCGAGATATCGTGACGTAAACCCAGATGGTTCGACCTTTATGTGTATCATATGGTTTAGGCATTACTGGACTCCAGAACTAAGACCATGAAATTTACGACAGCCACGATGGTAGCTGATCTTTTTTCTAGTAGTAAGAATATAAGGTAAAACATGGGCTTTGTGATTATAGAAATCCCGCTGGAGGCGAGCCACCTGGCTACACTTGGCTCTTCAGTCGCCCTCGATGTCTCTACATTATCACCTTGACATTCATACTTGACATCATCAGATGCTCATTATTCCCATCATATCTGCGTGGCATGGTCATTCGCATCAAAATCCAACTTCTCTGGTGTAGATCCAGTGGGGCTTGACACGAGAGATCGGCAATGCGGGAGGCTTACAATGTCGGAGGCCTACAATCTCTAGACATGTACAATGAGCCTGAGAATGCAGGAGGCATACAATATGCGAGGCGTACAATGCAGGAGGCTTACGATGCAGGAGGCTCACGATGCAGGAGGCCCACAAGACAAGAGGCCTATAATGCGGCAGGCCCACCAGGCGGGAGACTCACCATGCGAAGATCCACATTGCGGGGAAGCGTCTAATATCAGTATCCTCCAGCGACTGGTATGGAGACACTTGTGCACCACGATGATAATTACAACAGCAATGAGTGACCCGATGTATATGAGAAGAGACAACATGAGCTACAATGTAATTGGCAGAAGATGGTTCATGCCAGTCCCCATTACTATAAGAGCATGGCCATTTCGGAGCCAGTGCCCCCACCAAGCCTTGGGATCTATTTGATTCGTATTCCCTATCGTCTTAATACATCAATTGTAACAGCGAGAATGATTATGACTGCGTGGGTGATTCTCGTCGGAATCCTTTTGCGCTTATATTTCATATATTGTTGCCGAATCTCTCGCTGGCGTGACTCGAACACCCACGTGGGCGGTCCACGCTCGGAATCGAAAGTTGGAACAGAAAAGTTCAAGAAGTCCAACACACTCCGTTGTCGAGCGCTGGCAAATCAAAGGTTGTGTGCTGTGTTTGGCATCAGCAACGCTTTCACAAATGACAACCATGGCGAAGTGGAGCGCTTTATCCGGAACACAAGGAACCTTCTCAGGCTGAGCTCAGGGGACTGGGAGCAACTCTCATATGTGACCTGTGTTTCTGCACGGCGCACGTTAAACGTGAATGCATCCTCCCCATCAGGAGTTCCCTTGGTCAACCTTGTCCAGATCCTGACACTGAGAGTCGTACTCCTCGTGTTATTCGCGATGGAAGACGAGGCCATCGATACACCCGATGATAGCCTCGTGACGTTAGCCAGCGAAATCAATAAAGCATGGATGCAATCCAAAGACCCCTCGGAGGTGCGGCCGTTTGAGGAGAACATTTCCCTCCAGAAGTCGATCACAGCGATCTTCCCCAAGGCAGACCGTCTGCACGGTGCTGAAAACCCTCTCAACCTGATCCTCCCCGGGTTTGAAACCATGTGGAGGATCTCCCTACGGGTCTTTCTCGAGGTTGGATTCAAAACGGGTCTTCGCAATCCGCACTGGCGGGAAATGCTGGCTGCCTTTACGCGTCAGCCAACCAAGTCGGAATTCGAGCGGAGGAGCCACCGCGGTGTTTCGGCCGGCATGCTGATCCACGAGGCATTGCGTTTATATCCACCGACCAGGAGGATCTACCGTGCGGCTGACAGTGCCGAAAGCAGCAGCAACAAAGGGATGTTTGCCTTTGACGTGGAAGCCTCCCACCATGCAACCTCTGCGTGGGGCCCAACTGCGACAGAATTCAAACCGGAAAGATGGACGGGACTGACACTTCGACAACGATACGCCTTTCGCCCATTTGGAGTCAAACCATTCATCTGCCCTGCACAAAATGAATTTGGTCCACGGGCTATTGCGCTAATTGTAGGAGCCTTGTTTGTGGAGCTTGGGGATCAGTGGAGGCTTGCTCCAGAGGGGGATGGCATCTTAGACTTAGCATCCCCCAACAAACTGAACAACGAGCGGGCAGGATACAACGACTTACTTCTCCAGAAAACTGCCGAAAGGTGTCTTTACAACTGTTAGAGGTCGTTTCTAGTTCTACATCATTTGAGGATAATGTCGGTATGGAGGCTTTGGATACCCGGGCAATATGAGAGACTGAACGGCTGGCTGGCTTCAGGGAAACCAACGATCAATGATTTAGACCTCAATCTCCCTAACCTAATCAGTCATCTCTTCGTAGTCACCAGAACTGTAACCGATAGACCAGCCCAGTTGCAGCAAGGCCGACTGTGAGCTCGCCGACTGAACCGGCCTCACTTCTCGAGCCCGTCTTCGATGCTGAGATTCTCCAGCTTTGGAAGCCCATCAGAGTCTTTGCTCAAGAGGAACCCAGTGTCCATTTCCATATCCTTGGGCTTCCAGCCACTGTCCAGCGCAATTCTAATCTGTCTTCTCCACGTATCCGCGTAGGCATCTTTCCAAGCCGTAATGAACCTGTCTGCTTCCTCCCGGGTGGCGAAAACTTCATGACACGCAGACGTGCCTGTGGCGGCAGCATTCGCATCGCTAGGTCTCGTCAGAGCTCCCGCCTTGGATCCAAGCATCCAGAACACTACTTACCCCCAGTCCGTAAACACCCCCGAGCGCCTTCCCCCGGCAACCGCATAGTATTTGCGTTTGCGCGGGCCAGGCCTTTTGCCGTTCACCTCCATATCCATCACTTCCTCGAAGTGTCCGATGTTCCTGGACTGCATATCCTTTCGAGCTAGCTCGATGGTGTCGAATCGTCCGTGGTCCGCGCCTTTATAGCCCGTCACTCTCGGGTGGACCTGGCTCCTAAGAGATGCCATGTCCCGAATTAGCTTCGCCGATGTCGCCGGGCAGTATCTCACTTCAGTACCAGCAACGATATATCGTCGGCGTATCAACACGGCCTCGGTAAACTGAATAACAGGTCTCGCTTGTGCGGTCTTTTAGCACCATGGTTTGGACTATTCGAGCAACCTGTGGCTAGTCGGACGGGTGGAAAATAGAATTGGGTTGTGTACAACAGAGACTCTCCAGTTCTGAACAGCGTTGAGCGGGGGGTTGAGGTGAGAGGAGAGACGAGTACTTGCGATGTAGGAAGTCTGGATCTGCAAGCCAACAATAGCACGAACCTGCGCCACGTATTATGCCATATCTACGCATGTCGGGCATGATGAATCTCTTGGGCCACCATGCATGCGGCGCTTATGCATTCGGGATATTGGGTCTTACGTTTTAGACTCTAATTTTCATTTTACTTTTTTGGCTTTGGGTCCTCCTGAATTGTTATGATTACTCTGATTATTTATCATTCCCAGAGGGTAACGTGGGGTGGATATCATCGTTCGGACTATTGTCCATATAATGCCTTAATGATGTATACAGTAGCATGGTATGTTTTTTGCTCATCACGTAGTTAATCGTATACGAGACTATACTAGACTTTACTGTACATGCAACATTCACCGTCAATAACATAAGCCAAACAAACCATCACAAGCGGTATCATTGATGCTCCAAGCAGTGTATAGTATCTGAGAAACGCCAGATGCAAAATGAGTCATAGCCCTGGGATCGAGTTACGCCCTTCAGAGCCATATTAACCATGCCCCTCTCCACCTGTATCTGTAGGAGATTGGGTGGATTTGATCACAGTAGCAGAAATATCCCAGTAGCCAGGATGGTCGAACCGTGAGAAGCACACTCCAGCACGGCGGAGGCTAGGATCCGCACTGACGAGGATTCGTCCGAGGAGGCTGATATAAGGCCGTCGTTGTTGTGAATTGGTAGGTCAGCTGGTTCAGGCTGCTGGACTGCCGTGTTGATCGGCCGTGTTCATCAGTTTGAGTAAGCCGTCTACCGCGTCGCCGTCTCCATCACCTTCTCCCTTTTGGGGCGGTGTGCTCTGCTGTCTCTCCCCATCCTCTCGTGACTCCTCCGTCTGGTCCGGGTTGAGCCCTCTATCGACATGTCTCCTGCGTGACGCACTCGCCGGCGGACTGCTCAGCTGCATCGGCGAGTGGGCGCCCTGACGGGGATGGTGTTTCTGGGTGGGGGTCCGCAGGGGATCCGGGAGGTAGGCGGCACCGGCGGAGAGCGGAGGGGACGAGAGCCCGGGGTGGAGCTCCAGAGCCGGCTGGAGAGCTCGCGGGGGGGCGGCGGAAGAAGGTGTCGCTGTGTCATTCGACAGATGGGGGGTGAACTTGCGCTGGGTCGGGGTTTCCAGCAGGTCGGGGCGTGATAACCGGGGGTATTTGCGGCTGTGAGCTTCTAGTTCGGAGAGACGACGGTCGAATTGAGGGTCGTGGACGTGACGCATGGCATTTTGGATTCGGCTGCGGAGGAGGTTGGCTTTCTATTGGGTGTCAGTTAGGTTTCCTCATTTGGGCTATTTTTTTGGGTGGGGGGAGGGGATCTCACCTGTTGGATAAATGATTTGCGCGTGCTGGGGTCTTCGGGAACGGTGGTCTCTGGGCTGACTGGTTCTGCCAACTCTGTGGTTTGACTGGAGGATTGTTCTTGTTGTGGTTGTGACGTTTCGGGGTTCAACGCGTCCGGGCGTGGTTCTTGGGAGAGCTGCTCGATCATAATTAGCACCCATTCAGACAAGTAGCACGCCTGAAGATTTCCGTGCGGACTCTGGTCTTACCTGAATGTCCTCTGGCACCGTGGATAGTGTTTGGGTTCCGGTCTGAGAGGCATGTCCCCGCGGGGCCTCTTTGCGGGGCGACAACACGCCATGTTTGTTGACGCGGGTTTGGTCGTGGTCCACCTGGTCAATTGACCGTTTCTGACCCGCGAAGGACGGCGAAGGAAGGAGTTTTCGTGGCGAGGTTGTCAATTGGGATTTGACAGGCGAGGCGGATGCGTGTCGGTGGTGTGCCGGAGACAGACACGCGTTGGGGGTCTTTTCGCCGAGAATCCGTCTGCCCTCTTTGACGGGGCTGGGGGAGAAGGTGTGATACATTCCGGAGGATGGGAGAATTGACGGATGGATGGAGGGGAGGGAGGAGGAAGAGGGTATTGGAGCTATGTCGTGAGTAAATCAACACGACCCCCGGTTATAACTGAGTCGGTCGAGTATATGGTGATTGGAGCTTGGTTGGAGTAGAAGAGCGAGACCAAGGGATAAAGGTAGTGGAAGTGACAGGGAACAATTAATGCTGGGTCGACGAGAGAGACCAGGTAGCTGAACGAGTGAGAATCTACCGAGACAAAGTCGACGAGGAAAGAAAAACACCAGCCGGAGAGAAGTGGGAGAAGAAACGAGGGTGGACGAGCGCGTGGGATGTCGCGTGTCGAGAGTATCTCGCGCTATCCGGGTGCCGCTATAACTTAACCAGCACGCTAACTTACCTTACCTGGTACCTGTACCTTGTCCGGTACCGGTACCGGTATGGATACTGCCGCGCCCGTACCGGACGGTAATTCAGGCACCATTTTCACGCTTTTCTACCATAGATCGTTTGTTTGTTTTTGATGTCTTGTTGTTATGCAGGGAGGGTTCTATGGTGGTCAGAATGACTGCTTGTCTATTTTCTGGCTCATCCATCTCAATCCTTGCATCTCAGCCACTCCACCAAAATATTGGATCGGCATTTGGTCGGGCTTTATATGACTGACATTCAACATATCGTCCTCAACACCACCGGTGATCCAGGAAAGCCAGGCATATGAGCATACTAAATGTGTTTTCAGAGAGATACAGATGACTATGATCTTCTTAGGTACACACGGATTTCTGAGTCGTCCTTTGATCACCGAAACCCTCGAGCCCTCCGTGTCAAGGCCGCAAGATAACGTTTGATCTGGAGCTTGAGATTCCCAAAGTACAAGCAATGCCACATCCGCTTCACGACCCTCGCAATCAAATGCCTCCTGCCGTCGAAGCTTTTCCCTAGTATCGGAAAAGATCGAAGCCTGCGCAAGGATCTAGATGGATTGATAATTTATGGTCAACTAGGACCTTCGTCGCTCACTCGGGCTGTTTATAAGGTTGGGCTATTGGAACCATACAAGGGTCTTGTCGTCGCGCTCGTGGACTCGTTGTCTTTAAGGATTAAGATCCGTGATGAGATAGACGATTTTAATCAGACGTACGTCCTGTTCTCTCTGGTTTGCCAGTGTCGCTAATTCGCGACTTTAGTTAGGGATAGAGCGCAACATTTTCTCACTACAATGCCCCTTGCCGAGGCGATAATGAAAATGATAATGTAGTTAGACATCGCGATAGGTTCTTTTGAACTGTTAGAATGTTCTGCGGTTACCTCTGGAGATCGTTGTCTCCCAGCAAGCGCACTTGGAAGTCTCTGCCATCTTGAGAATGCTGAATAGTATTTTGGACGCTCCATTGAAAGAGTTAGCGCAAGTGGTTATTATAGAAAGACAAATTGTTGATGATGCCTGCCAGTGGCTTCTCAAGCCATGGACGCGTGGAATTGGTAGTCATTGTCAAACCATCGAGATGTGGAAGGAATGAGATCTCGCCAGAAAGGCACCGCATTCAAAACAACACTCCAGAGACTGGTTAGCATGTATGACGATGACACGGCGTCTACTTCCTTTAGTCAGATACCCCGGGGATTTCAACAGATGCGGATTTCTATAAATCTAAGGGAAGAGATTATGACGTCATATTGGACTGGGCTATATATTGGTTTCATGGAATGTTGGGAGCTTCAAGAAGACAGAGTTTGTTTGCAAGGCAGTCGTATTGTGGCTCACCCGGTCCGAAAATACAAGGAGAGCACTCGGAGACTTGAAAGCCCGCGCATACAGGCGGCTTGGGGCGAGGACAAGGGTTTGAATGATTCTGGAGGGGGCATCCAGGAACAGTTGCGCGGTGACATAGGGATGTCGTAGCAGAATAAATACGCCGGTATTTTCTGATCATAGAACTGTAGTGAATTATTCCTTAATTCTTTATTTATTGATTCTATGGAACTTTCTATCTACTCACTAAATCATTCTATCTATTGATTTACCAAACTATCTCTATTTGTTTATTGCTCTATTTATCCCATAATCAAACCGCAACCGGCCAGCTTTCCCCGCATTTCATCCTGCAATCATCGCGCTCCATTCCAGACTTCATCCTCGTCACTGGTCGGTCGATGTCTCTGTGACCCCTCAGAAAGCAAGCCCAGCATCCCCACCCGCTTTGGGAGTGGAGGTGAGTCGATCATTGCTCTTTGCCTCGCCATTGCATCACCCCATCCATCCATGGCCATTCCGTCAGCAGCGCCTCGTTATTGACCGACCTTCTCGACTCTCTCCAGTCAACTCTTCTCCTCTTCACTTCCTTTTTTCCCTGGAAAATATCCCATCTCTCTACCAAATTATACCTTTGATCTAGAAAACCATCCCCCGGCTGATCGAGTTACACCGCCAGCCTGCAATGCGCCCGTCCCTTGCGGTCCTGGCAACCGCTGCCCTCCAGGCAGTGGTTACAACGGCCTCCACCCTAACTCCGCCTGTGCTCCCCTTGACCGTGAGAAATCCTTACTTGAGCATCTGGTTTGGTGGCGGGGCTCGCGATGCCCCCTGGTCGAGATGGCCCATGTTCTACACGGGAGAGGAGGTTGGCCTCTCTCTTCTGGCGCAGGTCCCCAGCACAGGGGCCGTCTACCCGCTGCTGGGCAAGCCGCAAGACTCTTTGTCGCACGAGGATGGGTCAGTCTGGTGTGAAATTTGCAAAATTCCCGGGATCGTACTGACACGCTGACCAGGGCCCCGCCGGTGAAATTCCCAACCTATCTCGGTGCCAACTACGACGCGTCCACGACCAACTTTACTTACCGCATTGATGCCTCGTCGACCCCGCTCGACATTACTGTTTCCTTCCTCTCCCCCATCACCCCGACGTCGACTCTGCGGCAGTCCATTCCGGCGTCCTACGTGACCGTCCATGTTCACGGCGATGTGGAGGTCAACGTGTATATGGATGTGAACGGGCGCTGGGTCAGCGGTGACGCAGGAAGTCACATCAACTGGCAGTATGATAGCCTGCGCTCGCAGGACAACAAACCCGCCCTGCAGAGATGGAAGTTCCAGCGACAGAATGAATTGCTGCTCTCGGAGATCCGGGACCGCGCCGAATGGGGCAGTCTCCACTTCACGGGACCCGCTGTGTGTATCCCTGGGACGATTGGTGGTATGTGGAATTGAGTCACCGTGGCTAACTTCATTACAGGACGTCCGATTTCAATCCGGAGGCGCCGTGGACGTGAGACGCGCGTTTGCATCCCAGGGAGGCCTGGGGAATACCGATGACCGTCGCTTCCGGCCCATCAGGGATCGAGAGCCGGTCTTTGCCTTTTCCAAGAACTTCACCCCCGGCAAATCCAACAGCGTCACCTTTACCATCGCCCTGATCCAAGATCCCGTGGTGCAGTATGCGTCCTCGCGAGGATTGACGATGATGCGGCCGCTGTGGCAGTCCTGGTTCTCCAGCGTCGAGGCCCTGCTGGACTTCCACTATCATGATTTCGTCGATGCGGGAATCCTTGCGTCCGACTACTCCGACAGGCTGGCCGCGGATGCCTATAAGTCCGGTGCGCATGACTACGTCGATATCGTCGCTCTGACAGCCCGCCAAGTAATGGGCGCAACCACCTTCTCCGGCACCCCAGAAGACCCGATCCTGTTCCTCAAGGAGATCTCCTCCAACGGCAACTTCCAGACCATCGACGTCATCTTCCCGGCGTTCCCCTTCTTCCTCTATACGAACCCGCGATGGTTGGCCTATCTTCTGGAGCCATTGATCGAGCACATGCTCAGTGGCCAGTATCCCAACACCTACGCGATGCATGATCTGGGAACACACTTCCCCAATGCCACGGGTCATCCCGATGGGAAGGACGAATACATGCCTGTGGAGGAATGCGGCAACATTCTCATCATGGGTCTGGCCATCGTGAACTCGCTCCGTTACTCGGACGATGCGGCCGCATCGTCCTTCTGGTCGGCACAGGGTGCTGCGGCACCGGAATCTGATGGAAAACCCGGATACTTCCCTCTGAACAGCTTCCAAGCTCTGTCAGGAATCGACAAGCAGGATGCCAAGTGGGGTGGCGGTGCCCAAGGCCATCGCGAAGCCGAGCAGTGGGTCCAGCGCAGCTACAGGCTTTGGACTCAATGGACGGGATATTTGGTGGATTACTCTCTGGAACCCGCGAACCAGCGTACGTACCCGTTTTCAGGATAAGGAAAGGAATAGAAGCTGACCAGACTAGTATCCACCGATGACTTTGCTGGCTGGTTGGCCTTGCAGACCAACCTGGCCCTGAAAGGCATTGTTGGTATTCACGCAATGAGCAAGCTGGCCGAGGTGGCGGGCCATCCCGAAGACGCCGCATACTACAAGGTTCGTCGTTTCCGCAAAAGCTCTAGTTCGAATTGTACTAACAGGTAGCAGAATGTCTCGGAAACCTACATCGCCAAATGGGAAGAGTACGGAATGTCCCGCGATAAGTCTCACGCAAAGCTAGCCTACGACTGGTACGGCTCATGGACAACAATCTACAACCTCTACGCCGACGCACAGCTCTGCTTCCACCTTGAAGGGACGGATCTCGACCCTCAGTTTTCCCCCGATTCCCCCCAGACATCCGAGAAGAAGACCGGGTTCGTCCCCCGTCACATCTACCAGAGACAGTCAATCTGGTACCACTACGTGCGCCAGAAGTACGGCGTGCCCCTCGACAGCCGCCACATGTACACCAAGACGGACTGGGAATTCTTCGCCATGGCCGTAGCCAGCAAGGACACCCGGAGCGAGATTCTGGAGTCCGTCGCGCAGTGGGTGAACGAGACCATCACCGACCGCCCCTTCACAGACCTCCACAACACAGAGGGCAAGGGTGGGTTCCTCGGTCCGAACTTCTTCGCCCGCCCGGTTATCGGCGGGCACTTTGCTTTCCTGGCTCTGGAGCGTGCCTGTGGCGGGCATGCCATGGACGGTCTGGCGTTCCTTGACCAGGACGTCAACGTTCAGGACGATGGTCTGGGCACTGCGGAGACGTTGGCTGAATGGGCTGCGACGGCTGCTAAGGCGGTTGGGGAGTTGGCGGGTGGCCATTACTTTGACGATGATGAGTTTGGTTGGGGAAGTGGGGAGCTGTGAGGATTTGGCTATCATACTGGAATATGTCTGTCAAGATACGTGTAGTCTTGCTATAGTAAGGTCAAATCTACGATTGGATAACAAGACAGATAACTTGATTATTGCCTATCATGTCTTGAAAGTAGCACGTAGTAAGTACATGTAGGTAGGTGGGTAGAGAGGTAGCAACATGTGTGGCTGGCATTATAACCATAGTGGCAGTCCTTAGGCCCGTTTATACACCTAGACCTCCAAGGTTCTACTTAGTACCTACTTACACTGGTTCAACACCCGACACACAGCTAGTAGTGCAGTACGATAGGCTTGACAACAGCAGTAAGTTCAGTCAATCATAAACATCATTATTCATTTCCCCTAAACCTCAACTCCATCCCCAATAACACCCAAAAGAAAAAAACGAACTACTGATCCCACCGCGCCGACACCGTCTTAACAGTCGTGAAAAACGGCCAGTAGGTCTTGCCAGGGGCGTGTCGGTCTTTGCACGTCAGTCAGATCAAGTAGCCTTGCGGTTGTCGCTGAATACAACAGGGTCTTTTCTTACCTCCTAGGAATGAGTCTTTGTTGCTGGTTCGTACGGCTGGTCCGTACGGTGCTGTGTTGATTAATCGATCAGTTAGTGTCTGTGCTTCAATTGATAATGACGGTTTGAGACTCACCTATCAATGGAATGTTGATCCCAATCTGACCGACATTGACTCTCCGCTGGAACGTCTTTGCTTGTTTCCCACTGGTGGTGAATATCGAGCAGCCATTTCCGTCTTCATCAATCAATCAGCACCAGTCCAGTCAGCCAGCACAGATAGGTAGAGAGGGATACATACACCTATTCTGATTAATCAAATCAATAGCCTCATCCAGCGTATCAACCTGCATGCAGATCAAGACAGGCCCAAAAATCTCCATCTGATAACATTCCATATAAGTCTCCACCCCCATAAGAATAGTCGGGCCCACAAAGTTCCCCTCCGGATACCGCGGAACAGACACATCCCTCCCATCCAGCAGGACCATCGCGCCCTCGTCAACAGCGCGGTCAATAACGCCCACGACGCGCTCCTTTGCGGCACGGTTAATCAGCGGCCCCAGCTTCGTGTCCTCGTCTCCACCCATCCCGACTACCATCGACTGCGCGAGGTCCACTAGCTTGGGGATCCACTCGCGCGTGCCTCCTACGAAGATCGCCACGCTGAGCGCCATGCAGCGCTGGCCGGTTGCGCCGAAGGCGCTGCCTGCTATCGCGTAGAGGGTGGGCATCATGCTCGCGTCATCGAGGACGACGCCGTGGTTCTTGCCGCCGCATTCGGCCTGGATGCGCTTTCCGGCTGTGCGGGCGAGATCGTGGACTTCGCGTGCTGCTGTTTCGGATCCGACGAAGCTGATGGCTTGGACTGAGGGGTTGGGGACGAGGGTGCGGACGGTGGTGCGGTCGCCGTGCAGGATGTTGAAGATTCCGGGGGGGAAGCCTGTGCGGATGACTGCGTCGGCGAGGAGGGTGGAGAGGGAGGGCGCTTTTTCGGAGGGTTTCAGGATTACGGTGTTGCCGGTTATGAGGGCGTAGGGGAGGGACCAGAGGGGGATCATGAAGGGGTAGCTGAAGGGGGCGATGGTTACGCAGACGCCCTGGGTTGGTTAGTTTTTCTGTCTTTGTGCGTATGTATGTATGTATGTGGGTATACATGTGGGTATGGGGGTGTATGTGTAAGTGCGTACCACCGGCTCGTAGAATGTTTGCAAAATGGTAGGGTCTGACCCCAGATACATGCCTGCCATTTCGGTCCCGATTGAGCACGCAGCGTGGATGCAGTCTAGGCCGCGAAAGACTTCGGTGTTAGCGTCTGCGAGGGTCTTTCCAACCTCGCGACAGAGACAAGCAACCTGTCACCACCAACCAATCAATATTAGTGTACCCCTGAGGTAGCATTAAATAACAAAAAAAGAGATAGAGAAAAAGTCATACAATGTCAGGAGTCATCTCCCTAAGCACATCAATCCAATCAAGCAGGTACTCCCTGCGAGATTGAAAACCCCGCGCAGCCCATGCGTCCTGGGCCGTCTCAGCTGCATGAACAGCCGTCTGGATCTCGTCATGCGTGCTGCTAGGTACTCGGGAGAGGAGACGCTGTGTGCCCTTAAGACAGACACTCTCTCGTCAGCGATTGGGCGGCAGCCTTTGGTGCAGATGAGTCAATGCTCACTGGGTCTAAAATGCTTGTCCAGTGTTTTGATCTCGACATTACTCGCTGATTGTTGATGAAGAGGTGGGTCACTGTTGGGCGGGACTCCGTTGCTGATATCGACACCGACCCTGTCCCAGACCCCGGGGTACTCGTATTACTACTCCCCGGACTGCCATTACTGCCCGACTCAGAGAGGGTAAAAGTCGGACTGCACTGCGACACAGGCGATTGCTGAAAGTCCTGTAGCGGCGAAGACGAAATCACACCAGGCGTGGCGATATCGATCTCTCCAGCCCCATGGCTAGTAACGCCTGACAATTCATTGTCATTGCCGCCCAGATAAGCCACCTGGGGGAAAGGGGTGAAACGGACGCGGCGGGAGACCCGAGCGGCGGGGGGCATTTTATCTTTTCCTTTCTTGATTGTCGAGATAATAATGCTGATTGAGCTGGGTAGGATTGATCGATTAGGGTCTAGATAGTGGGTGGATGGGGACACGCTATGGTGGTGATAAGATTAAGACTGGGTTGTGTTTTCCCCGCACTGTTCGGCTTATCTTCCTGCAAGGGGGCCGGCTATGGGATGCGCTAAGCCGTGTTGATGGTCGTGCATATAGTCTAGAGTAGTATTGTCGGTTTGAATTGCGGTGTAAGTTGATAATATCAAGGACAGGAAATTGATTAATGTCTGTGGAAAATCATGTCTGCGTTTAGCTGTCCAGTTGATTAGATGGTTGGGGCATCACGGCGCAAACATTGGCTGATTCACAGCGTTCAATGGACTGATTGATCATAGACCACTATTCTCTATTCTCTCTCCCTACCTCTACTTTTCTCCTTGAACTTTATAACTTATTTCTTTCCCTACTAATTCGATGATTTAACTAAACATGCATCATGAGTGCAAGCTCGAGGTAGAAGCGGAGAAGAAAAGACAGCCGCTTATCGATACCATCTCTACTTCTAGGGTTATAGCGATAAGATAGTCCAACTGATAAGAACTATCCCTGGTAGAAGAACACGTACATAATTTATAGGAAAAGTTGTTATACTTGATAGTTTATTGATATTGATATTCTAAGTTTCAATTTCAGTAAGACCGGGTCAGGCCAAGCTCATAACCCTGTCATCACATACTTCGCTCCAAAAACAACACCCTATCCATCAGCATTAAACTATTAGTGCGGCACATCCTCCCAGCTCTGCCACCCCCGGCCCTCAATCTGCGCCAGTTCCTCCGTCGTGTACTTCTTGCCTGTGGTGAAATATCCTGCGTTGATCTTGGCGTCGATCTCCACGCGCGAGTCTTCCGGGATCATATCTGCTTTTGTCAGTGACGGATCCATATAACTAGAACAAGTGATAAAGTAGAAGAGAGCGTACCGTCTGGAATGGGAATCCGCTCGAGAATCGGAATTCCCTGCTCCACGATCGCGTCGTGCTTCATGTTCGACATGGAAAGCATGCGGTCGATCTTTTTGATGCCCAGCCACTGCAGAATATCCGGCATGAGGGCTTGGAAGCGCATCTGTGGAAGTTAGCAGCCACTCTTTAAGGATATTAACTGGAAATAGGTCACTCACGTCTCGTACACCCGCAATGTTCTCTGTCCGCGCAAAGTACTTATCCGCCGTGTCGCCTCCCCGCTTGCGCGCATTGTAAACCAGGTACTTGACAACCTCGCCGAGAGCGCGACCCTCCTTACGGAAGTAGATGACCACGCCCGAGCCGCCGTTCTGGGCCTCCTTGATAGCCTCCTCAATACCAAAAGCAAGGTACGGTCTGCAGGTGCAGATATCAGATTGGAACACGTCGGAGCCGTTGCACTCGTCGTGGATGCGGAGGGCTAGCTTAACGTCGGGGTTGGAGACGTTCTCGGGCGGGCCGAAGATGTACACCGTGAGTCCGCCAATGGGCGGCAGGAAGACCTTGATGTCCGGGCGGGTGATCAGTTCGGGGAAACTGCCACCGCACTGCTCGAAGAGTGTCCGTCGCAGGGTGGACTCGTCGACGCCGAAACGCTCAGCCACGCCGGGCAGATACCAGACTGGCTCGACGGCGGCCTTGGTCACGCGGACGTCACCGGCCTTGTTGACGACGATGTCGCCGTCGACTGGGACCCGGCCGCTGCTGATGGACTCGCTGACTTCGGCGAGGCGCATGGTTGCGCGGGTTACGGCGATGGTGGGTCGGATGTCTAGGCCGTTGGAGAGGTGGTTCTTGAAGAGGCGGACTGTGTCGTGGCCGTAGGGATCCATGGCCACGATCTTGGTCGGGTCGCCCCAGGCCGGTTGGGCGGGGAAGTCGAACACCGGCTGTGTGTTTTCAAAACTGGGCGTGAAGTTGAGGGGAAGATCTCCGGAGGCGACGGCGAGGGCGTTGTAAACGGAGTAACTGCCGCCGTGGGCGCCGATGGCGTTGCGGCGTGTGATGGACTTGGTCGCCCGCGACACGAGTACCGGGCCTCGCTCCTGGGGGTCTGCGGCGCCCCATTTTAACGGGACGGGATCCACGACACTTTGGCCAGGGTATGTGGTGAGCTGGAGTGGGATTAGACGAGACTGTGCAAAGGGATTGAGCTCCAACTGGGACACATACGATAATGCGTTGACCCCGGGCACTGGCCGGGGCCCCGCTGCCTTCGGGGTTGGTGTTGTCTGGAACAGTCATGACTTAGGAAGGGAAGACAGGATAGTAAAAAAATAACACCCTGAGAGATACTGAAGGAAAAGACGATGGTCTCCCTTCATGTCCGTCCATTGGGAGGCTTTTGTATTCTTTCGACCTCGCATGGAATCGGTCGAGACTGGGAGATGGCCGATGATAAGAACTGATAAGCAGCCTGTCTTATCGGGCGCTTTATCTCGGCCCTTATCGCTGCCCTTATCTTGATTCCCTATCTGACCCCGCTCAATGGACGTTTCCCCACGGACCATTACAAAATGGACGACATCTGTAAACAAACATTTTTTCCTTGTTTATCACGGTCTACCTTCATCTTCCGTCTTTTCAGAAGATACAATCAAGAAAGAATAATTCCTACAAAAAATGGCCCAATCTGTGACTCCACAAGACGCTCTGGGGACGACATCGACGGTGTTCCCCCGATCCCACGAGCGCATAGCCAACCCCAAAGACACCCCCTATTTCATCGACAATGAATTCCGCCTGTCCAGCGCCGGCGAAAAGATTGATGTGCACGATCCCGCCACCAACAACCTCGTCACTCGCGTTCCGCAGATGACCCGCGACGAGCTGACAGAAGCGGTCGCCAGCGCCCAGCGCGCATTCCCCGCATGGCAGCGCACCTCGGCTATTGCCCGCCAGCAGATCATGTTCCGGTACGTGGCCTTGATTCGGGAGAATTGGGACCGTCTGGCGGCCATGATCACTCTGGAGCAGGGCAAGACGCTGGCGGACGCGAAGGGGGATGTCCTCCGTGGCCTGCAAGTGGCCGAGGCGGCGTGTGCGGGGCCCGAATACATGAAGGGCGAGGTGTTGGAGGTCGCCAGGGACATGGAGACGCGGACGTACCGTGAGGCTTTGGGAGTGGTTGCTGCCATCTGTCCGTTTAGTAAGTAGATTGCCTCCATGAGCCTTCTTAATTCTTTTTTCTCTGGGCATGAACTAACAGCTGCAGACTTCCCCGCTATGATTCCCTTATGGTGCATCCCCATCGCCACCATCACCGGCAACACGCTTGTACTGAAACCGTCCGAGCGGGACCCGGGCGCCGCCATGATCCTCGTGGAATTAGCCGCGCAGGCAGGCTTCCCCAAGGGCGTGATCAACGTCGTGCACGGAACCCACGACACGGTGAACTTCCTACTCGATGCACCCGAGATCAAGGCGATCAGCTTCGTCGGCAGCAACAAGGCGGGAGAATACATCTTTGCGCGGGGCTCCGCGAACGGGAAGCGCGTACAGGCCAATCTAGGCGCAAAGAACCACGCGCTGGTCATGCCCGACTGCGACAAGGACTCGACATTGGATGCCATCATCAGTGCTGCTTTTGGCGCTGCCGGACAGCGTTGCATGGCCCTGTCTGTAGCCCTGTTTGCTGGAGAAACGAAACACTGGCTGCCCGAACTCGTCGAGCGTGCCAAAGCGCTCCGCGTGGACGGCGGCTTCGAAGATGGCGCGGACCTAGGCCCGGTGGTGACGCCGCAGAGCAAGGCGCGTATTGAGACACTGATTGCCAGTGCCGAGGCCGAAAAAGCCACCATCCTCCTGGATGGCCGCGGGTATAAGCCCAAGTCCTATCCCGATGGCAACTGGGTGGGCCCGACGGTCATCACCGACGTGCGTCCCTCGATGCAATGCTACCGCGAAGAGGTATTCGGGCCGGTGCTGGTTTGCCTGAATGTGGATTCCCTGGACGAGGGGATTGATTTGATCAACCAGAATGAGTACGGGAATGGCACGGCGGTGTTCACGTCCTCCGGGGCGGTGGCAGAGCGATTCCGCAAGAACATCGAGGCCGGGCAGGTTGGAATCAACGTTCCGATCCCGGTCCCCCTGCCTATGTTTTCCTTCACTGGTAACAAGAGGAGTGTTGCAGGAGGTGGTGCTAGTACTTTCTACGGACGCCCGGGCGTCAACTTCTATACCCAGCTGAAGACGGTCACGTCTAAGTGGGCGAGCAGAGATGCTCCTGCTGCGAAGACGGGATTGGCCATGCCTACGAATCAGTAGATGGACAATCGTGTACGGTCAGGCTTTATAGAATATCAATAAGAAAATATACGTTCTCTCCTTCACAAATCACCGTTCATCATGTATACATAGACTGAATCCAGCTACATACTAGTATGCACTTTGTTCCAATTCTATATCAACGCTATGCTACAAATAATGCCATGTTTCTAGGCTGATAGTAAATCATTCGTCCCGTATATGTCAGCATACTGATTACGTCTTCAGATACTACCTAGATCTAAGCACCTACCTCTTCCAGATACTTGAGTAATGATCACCATTGTAATTGGCCGTGTTAAGGGCACTCACGAGCGGACATATCAGCCAAGCAGACTACCTAGCTATTCACCAAAGAATCCGGGGATAACCGCCGAAGCACCGATTACGTACAAGCCTTTAAGCAATTGGATGACTAGACCGATCTTGTCCAGGATGCTCGCACTATCCCGACCGGCCAACATCTCCCAAGACATTAGTTAGCCGAAAGAATGCGGGGAAAGCATCCAGCCCTGATAAGATCTTATCAGACTTATCACTGCGTTATCAACATCTGATACGAGATATCGCGTTATCGAGAAACCTCCCACTCCCAATCCACCATGGAAAAGTACTATGGTCCTTATAACCCCTGTTCTGTAAAGCAAGGGCGAGAAATGGGAGCTGCAAACCCCTGCAGCTTATCTCAATCGCGTCAATGACAATGGGCCTGTGTCTTTTATCTGGTATGTCCTCAGGCTTTGGCGTAGTATCCATGTCCTTAAACTGACGCCGCGAAGGAAGCAGCCACGGCGAGCTGGCAAGCCAAGTGAGCATCAGGTAACTCAAGACAACCCTAGACCAAACGCTCCAATCTAATGGATGGCTCAGAATCGGATACCCCGTCGGCTCCGACGGCCTAGTCACCACGCGGTTCTCCAACGGCGAAACGTTCGTCTCCATCGGTGCCTCAGTCCGCAATGCCGATGTGTTCATTCTCCAGACGGCGTCGGAGCCTGTCAATGACCGACTGATGGAGCTGCTGATTGCCATCAACGCTTGCAAGATTGCGTCCGCGAAGCGAGTCACGGCTGTCATCCCGTGTTTCCCGTACTCGCGACAGGATAAGAAAGATCGCAGTCGCGGACCGATTACCGCGAAGCTTGTGGCTAATATGTTGGAGAGTGCGGGCTGCAACCATGTTATTGTACGCTTCTGTCCGTTGATAAAACACTGTTTTCTTGGTTGACTGTGATTGTTAGACTATGGATCTCCACGCCTCCCAGATTCAGGGCTTCTTCAACATCCCAGTTGATAAGTATGATTCCCTAGCCCTGGTAAAGTGAAGCTAACATTACTTTCCAGTGTGAGAATCAGCCCTATACTCGGATCTACTCCTTCTGACCATAGCTGAAGCTCTTTGCCGAAAAAAGCATGATCGAGCACATCCAGCACAACTATGGCACCGACAGCCTGGTTGTCGTTTCTCCCGATGCAGGTGGCGCAAAGCGGTACGAACCCACCCATCCTCCATCTCAGTCTATCTTCTAGTCTAACCACTACCCTGATAATAGAGCAGCCACAATCGCCGACCGACTCCACGTCGACCTCGCCATCATCCACAAAGAGCGCAAGGTAGCGAACCAGGTAAGCCGGATGATCCTGGTAGGCAACGTGGCTGGTAAGACGGCAGTGCTGGTCGACGACATCGCCGACACCTGCGGCACGCTGGCGCTGGCAGCCAGCATCCTCAAGGAGCAGGGCGCTGAGAAGTGCATTGCTATCGTGACGCATGGTTTTCTGAGCGGGCCGTCGGTCAAGGTCATCGAGAACAGTCAGCTGGACCGACTGGTTGTGTCTAACACTTTGCCTCTGCCGGAGCATGCGCGGTCTTGTAGTAAGATATACCAGATGGATGTGAGTCCAACGCTGGCGGAGGCTGTGCGGCGGACGCATAATGGGGAGTCGTAAGTTTCTTTCTTTTTCTTGTTTTCAGCGGAGGTGATGGTGAAGTGCTAATGTGGGCAGGATATCGATGTTATTTGCTTGAGTTTGTATTGAACTATGTGGAAAGGGATCTATTATACTATATTGTAGCTTTTGGAGGAAGCTTCATTAATGTGACTGCTATGGATGGAACAGTGTATCTAGCAGAAATACTTGAGTTAATACAATCAAATAACAAAATCAATCCAATGATAACTCATATCATAACCAATTACCAGTGGAACCTTGGGAGAAAGAGTCTACAGTACACAATTATTCAGGTTTCTAGTGGTATGTCTGTTCCAACCACACATACTAATCCAGACTGATATTAACTGACATCAGTACTCCGCAGTCCCAACTCAATGCACTATCAAAAGCCCTTATCTCTTATCTCTTATCTCCACCCCTCAAGATAAGATAGATAGACGATCATCATCGTTCGCGCGGGGATACAGCTGAATTACAGCTGATCAATGAGACAGATATCAGCATACACCAACCATAGACACCACAATGCCTCATAAAACCACATCCACGCACTCCCAATCCATCCAGAAATAAGAAAAAGTCTCCACAATGACCATCTCCCACACCAGCACCACCCCCAACGACAATCAGACCCACCACAGCCATGCCGGCTCTTCCTCCGCACGAACCTTCCTCCTCCCTCAACGGGGTCATCTCCTCAGCCTGATGAGCATCCTGCGTGACGCCAGTACCACCAGAGCTACCTTCTCGAGCACCACCGAGCGGATCGCCGATCAGCTAATCAGCGCAGGTACTGCCCTTTCCAGCTCACATACCTACCTACCTACCTGGGTAGTGTACTATATAGGTCTATATCTCTAAAACAATCCAGCGCTTGATCTCCTACCTGTGGAGGAACTCGCCGTGACGAGCCCGACGGGATCGACATACTACGGTGCTCGCCAGACCCAGCCGCTTACCTCTGTGAGCATTCTCCGTGCGGGGGCTAGTCTCGATAATGCCGTGCGCAGGGCCTATACGTATGTCTCCCTCTTCAATCCCTCCCACCTTCGTGTCTCCTATCAAAAAGAAAAAAGATAGTAACTAACATATGGTAAAAACAGCGGCCCCCTAACCTTCGGCACAATCCTCATCCAGCGCGATGAGACGACCACCCTCCCCGCCCTCCTATACTCCAAACTCCCCCCGCAGATCCCCTCAAACGGTAGCTCTCCCCATCTTTCCATCCAGAATGCCCCAACAAGAGTATCTCAAGCTAGTACTGACTGCTTCAAAGCCGTTCTAATCCTCGAGCCAATGCTCGCAACAGGCGGATCCGCCTGCTGCGCAATCGACGTCCTGAAGGACGCTGGCGTCCCCGAAGAGAACATCATCTTCGTGAATATCCTCTCCGCTCGCTACGGCTTAGACAGGTTGCTTTCAACTTATCCGGGTCTGCGAGTGGTCACAGCTGCTATTGATGAGGCGCTTACTGCGAGGAAGTGAGTTTACCATTGTTGACTATTTTGGATATGTGAGTTGTTTTGCTGACTCGTTGCCTCGTAGGGAGATTGATCCTGGACTGGGAGACTTTGGGGATCGGTTTTATGGGACGGGGAGCAAGTTTTGAGACTTCGAAGCTTCCTGTGGTTCTTTATGAATTAGTATTCTGTTTTGTTTCAATGGTACTGTGAGGTCAAGGCTTTGCGGACAGGGTTTGAATAGGGATGTCTATGGCTCTGGAATGCACATTTTGACGACACTTGGTATATAGTTTGCATGTATATGGTTTTGTGCATTGTGTGATTTTAGTTGAGGTGTGTCTATCCTGTTTATCTATTGATATCCAGTTTGCGTTGAAATTCTAGAACCGGATGCGGATCTTGCTAGCACGTCTTGTCTTATCCATCCGACCAAAACCACCAATTGGCGAGTGGTAGGGTCTTGCTATCTGATGGATATAACGTTGTATTTGTATGTGATACTGTATATAATATCTTGATAGCGCATAGATTACCTTATTTGGAGACGAGTTAGTGTGGGAATTTAATATTCCAAAGGTTGTCATGCAGACTCTAGATGTATGTATTTTCTTGATACATAGCATGTTTACCCGTAGAAAGATGCCATGACCTAAGTAAGATATGGAAGTCTCCCGAATAAAGCCCACAAGAAACCACCATTTTCCATCATATAATCTCCCCACCACCAAATAAAATCAAAACAACGTCCCATCCCCCTGTATGATAAACGGACCCGACCGTGTCTCAGGCCTCAACTTAGCAGCCTGCTCCCTCCCCCCCTTCCAGCTCCCCGCCTCCAACATCTGCGCCAGACTAAGCCGCACCCCCTTCTGAGCAAGACGCTCCGCAACAAGCTTATGCAACTCATCTAACAGCGCCACCGTCATAGCGCGCCACTCAACAATTACATCGCTGCTAGCCCCAAACGCAGGGATATCCTGTCCGGACGCCTCACGACCGCGTCGGAGGTCCTCGTCTTTCAGCGTGAGGACGCCTAGGTCTATGAACAGCCCGCCGTTGCGGTACTCGGGTAGACCCGTGCCTTGGTCGTCGTTTGCCCAGTGTAGGTCTAAGACGCGCACGAACGGCACGGTCAGCGAGTAGGCGAGCCACTGTGTTAGTTTGTGGAAGGGCTGGATGTGCTGTGTGTTGTTGGGGGTGTCTTCGTTGGCGTTCAGGCGGGCCAAAGTCTGCAGGGGCCAGGCGTCGCCGAGGGGTGTCCCTGCGATGTGGGTGCGGTCTTTGGGCCATGCGGGGAGGAGTAGGTCTTGCAGTGTTGTCCAGAGGGTGGTGAAGTCTAGGGACTCGGATTCTTTCTTCTGCGAGAGCATGTAGTCTATGTAGGAAGAGGTGGATGTTAGTGGTGGTGGTAATGACTGGGTGTGAGGGCTGACACACCAACGAGCTGACCAGGGCGTCCGTCCGGGCCAAAGACTTTGGGCATGCGGAGGAGCGATTGCCCGATGTTGTTGAGGAGGTTCACGCGCGACTGGTCTCCCACCATGGGGTTATTGCTGTCAATCTGGAAGTGCGTCTGGAAGACGCTACTATCCAGAGCGGCGAGGGCATGTCCTAAGATATCGGCCTCAGTCAGCCAATTTCTTTCCACCAATTTACTCCGGTGTTAAGAAACATACCATCAACGCAGACACCCCCGCCCGTCTGGCTCGACAGCGCACCCGAAGTGAACATGTACAAGGAAGCAACAGCAATACCCTCGCTCCGACCAATAGCATGTCCCGTATCAGGCTCCGTGAAGCGCCAGACGTCACCGGCGCCCGCGTCCACCAGCACGGAAAAGAAGAAGAGATCAACCAGGCGGCGCGCAATCTCACGCTTATCGCACCCGTCTAGCTCCCACTGCTTGGTGAGACGATCAATGCGCGGGACGCCTCCGATGTCGAAGTGCTGCCATCGTCCGTGAGGAGGGATTTGATCGTATCTGTCTGGGCCATAGTCCCGCTACGGGTGGTCAGCTTGTGTGGTAGGGCAGTGTTGAGGCTGGACCTACCGTAATGATATCAGCAACGTATTCCGCTGTCGAGGCCATGCGCGTTGGGTGATAGTCAAAGTGGGACAGGTCTCCACTCTGCGCTGCTCCGAGGACTTGGTGGGCCCTGTCGCGGACGGCCTGGAGGCTTTTCAGATACTGGATATCGGTCATGTTGGTTCCTACTGTATGGATGCTTTGAACGCTCTGTGTCCAAATCGACCTCCATTATGAACCCTATATAAGCAACAGCTCTCTTCCCTAAAGACGACACAGCGATGGATCAGGCCGAGCTGGGTCGGCCGATGACGCTGTTCGGCCCCTCGCGGCGAACGGCAACGGCGAACCCACATCTCCATCTCACCGATAACGTCCGATAAGATATGATAAGGGTTTATCATCGAGTCCCTCGATCCGATAGTATGCGCCCTTATCTTATCGCCCTGCAGTCAGGTCTTATCTGGATAGTATAGCATCACATCCCATATAATCCCCATCATCCCAACCCCAAGACTACCTACCAATATCATTCCCGTATCCATTTTCCTCTTTTCCTTCCTACCCATTGATTCACAACCAAAATGACGCTCCCCCAAAACATCACCCAAATCGCAGACCCCAAAGCGTCGCAGCTCCTCACAGAGCTCCGCAATCTCTCCCTCCCCCCACCCACAGTCCGCCGTCTTATCAACGAGCTCACCAGCGCACTCGCAAAACACATTCCTCCCCCACCCACCAACGACCCCATCGCCGTGATCGTCGTTCTCCGATCGGGTCTCTCCATGGTCGACTCTTTCATCTCCAGCCTCCCGTCCTCTGTCGCCGACACCGCCGTTATCCACCACCTGGGCCTCTTCCGCGAGAAACACACCCTCGGCCCTGTCGAGTACTATAACAAGTTGCCGAAGAAGAGCCCTGCCATTACGCGCGCTTACATCCTTGACCCGCTGGTTGCGACGGGCGGTACTGCTACGGCTGCTATTGATATTATGAAGTACGTTTACCCTTACATAAGATCATGAGTATAGCAGAACGGCAACTAACAAGGTTGTCTACAGAGACTGGGGCGTCGAACACGTCACGCTGTTTTCGCTGCTGGGCAGCGATCCCGGCTTGCGCGCAGTGGCAAGCGCCTGGCCGGAGGGGACGGAGGTGGTGGTCGGTGCGGTAGACAAGGAGGTCGATGGGAAAGGGTTTGTGAAGCCTGGTTTGGGAGATATTGGGGATAGGCTGTATGGAACGGCACAGGAGTAGTCGAACCATCTTTATAGTAGTATATTCGTTTTGTTCAATGTTATCTGTAGCGTGGCTACCCTATATCACTATACCAATGCTACGGCTCTCTTTCTATCTTTCTGGCGCTATGCAATCTCGACAAGGCTGAGACACATCTGATGATCGACAACTCGGAAAAAAGATCTGTGCCGCTGTCTGGGAACGTCTACTAGCTGTTATCCTCGAAGAAATGGCATTATTGGCTTCGAGAAGGCCCAGGAAGGTTGTATGAACTTAGGGGGCATATCCAGCATGACAATACTCAGCCTACCCCGTAATCAGGATTAATATGTAATTACATTAATATATTCTTTTAGACTAAAAATCTCACAGGGACAAGTCTTGGAGATCCTAAGTATATAAATCTTCAAGTTACTTGATATATACTTATATCTACTGCCTAGACCCCTGAATATCTTGATCTTCGACTATTCCTTCTTGTACGTAGATGTGGCTCGGATATAGACAAGCCGCCCCCAACAACTATAAGAACTAAAATGGATCCGTTTTTTTCCTAATAAGCACTAAGCTTAATCAAAATCAAAACAGTGATTGCATCGACACTATATAAAGAGCGATACCGTGATAATAATCCCGACCAGAGCACAACAGCAAACTATCATTATCTTCCAATTCTCCCATCCAACAACGACCAAAATAACCGTTCAACACACATACACACGACCCGCTATCAAGCCATCTACCTCCCCACCCAACCACAATGCACCCCAAAGCCACCCTATCCCTTCTTCCCCTCCTGCCGCTCGTGTCGGCCATGTGCCCAGGCTACAACTGGGGCTTCTTCAACATCGGCAGTGGCAAGTGGGCCATAATAGATAGTCCCTGCCACGACTACGTGCAGCTCTCCTGCGATAACCCGTGCGACTGCTATGACGTCTTGGGCTGCTCTCCCACCGGCTCCGTCAACAAGGTCAAAGTCAACGACCTGTGGTACAACTGCCGCGAGGAGCCCAACAAGGGCGCCTGTCCTACTAGCGCTTCTTTCGGCGGCCGCGTTCCGGAAAGCTGCTGCCGCAATGACGGCAAACGCAACTTCGAAGAGGGCCGCATCAGCAAGCGGCACGCGGAGGCTATCGAGAACACCAATGGGATTCTTGAACGTCATGAACGGGAATTCGGACATGCTGAGAAGCGAGGCCATGACTTGACGAAGCTTCGACGCCGCCAGCTCAGTGAGGTTGATTACTATATGAAGAGGGAGGAGGAGGCTGCTGCTGCTTTGGATGATGAGTAGACTATCTTGCTACTCTTTCTTCAGAGCAGCTCGCTCTTGACTTGACGGTCTGGGCATGGGGTGATCAAGTGGTGATTGTATATAGGTTCTAGCTGCCATTTGTGAATGATCATGTCTTCTTTTGTTGGGATTCCTGGGTGATTGGTTTCGATTTCATGAAATATGATGTCAAATTTTGTCTTTATTTATCATCGGTCCCATGTATTGTTCCTAAACAAACACACGGTTATGAAAAAAAAAAAGGTTGCGGATAGTTACAACTTGCAAAACATGAAGAATCTGCGTGGGAAAGAAAATCCGCAAGTCTATGACATGCATGTTGACCCAATGCACCTGTCTCATCTCGCCATACATGGGCTTCGTTACGGGATTGAATGGGCACTCCTATAACTCTATAACTAATACCAGTTACTCCGTATTCGGCGGTGATGGTGAATTACTGTATCCGGTATGGTGTTCCTTAGGGAAAGTGCTTTGCTGCTGCTGGCATCGTGGTCTGTGGTATAAAGATAAGTCTTCTCGCTCTGACTCAATGGAGATATATGTATTGTAACTATGGTTAAAATCCTGTACTAGTGGGAACGCAATCGGCCGAACTTGCTAGAAGAAGATTCGTCTCAGCCAGCTGTCCAGTCGAACCTGGTAAGCCATACGCGGTATATCACAAGAAAATGTATGCCTGATGTTGACCTTCATCTCCTGTGTTGCTGATTCAGTGTAGGGTTCGCTGCCAGATGCTGCGAGAGAACTTCTCTCATTCGATACCCATATACTCCAGTGCTCTCGGCTGCTGCCTTGACCACCCTTTCAGAGATTGGCAGGCTTGCTTCTAGGTGTCGACAGAGGATCTTCATGATTGCATATCCATTATGCCCAGTATTCTTAGCAGCGTCTTGAACAACTTCTTCAGAGACCGGTAGTTCGGTGCCTCGGTGTTGAATTAAAAGCATTAGTATCTCATGCCCGTTTCCGACATTCCCTGCAGCTGCTTTCACTACCTGTTCAGAAGCCAGCAAGCTCACTCTTTCACGTCGAAATAAAAGCTCCATGATTCTGTATCCGCAGGAACCGGTGTTTCCTGCTGCTGTTTTGACTACCTCTTCAGATATCGGCAGGCTCTGCCCCAGGTGTTGTAAGAGATGTTCGATGATTTCAGCCCCAACTCCGTAATAGCCTCTGTTTCCTGCAGCTGCCTTGACAACCTCCTCAGAGATCGGTAGACCTGTCGGTCGCTGTTGGTGAAAAAGATTCATGATCTTAACACCATTACTATAATCTCCCTCGTTTCCTGCCGCTGTCTTTACCACTTCTTCGGTGAGAAGTAGGCTCGTTTCTCGGTGTTGACAAAGAAGCTCCACGATTTCATACCCACAAGGCCCAGTATTTCCCGCCGCTGCCTTAACCACGCCTTCGGAGATAGGTAGGCTCGTTCCTCGATGTTGATAAAGAAGTTTGATGATTTCATATCCACAGGGCCCGGTATTTCCCGCCGCTGCCTTAACCACACCTTCGGAGATAGGTAGGCTTGTTCCTCGATGTTGACAAAGAAGCTTCTTCATGATCTCATAACCACAAGGTCCCGTGTTCCCTGCTGCTGACTTGACCACTCCTTGTGGGATCGGTAAACTTGGACCATGGTGTTGGAATAGCAGTTCCATGATCGTATATGCATCGGATTCATGATGTGCTGCTGCACTTTTGACCAATCCTTCCGTGATTGCAATACTTGCTCCACTCTGACAAAGTAACCGCTCTATCGCCTGAGGTCTGGAGACTCCTGACTTTAACATTGCTCTGACAATCTCCTCCATAATAACTGCCATATCGGCTAACCGCCTTTCGCCCTCCTGAGGTGTTTCTTGGAGTTCTGGCACTCTAATGTTGAGTTCTGTTGAATTTTGGGGATCATCCAAGCTCCCGGCACCGTTCGGGGATATTTCCCACAAGAGAAGAATATCGTAGCTGGGGGATCCCCCGAATCAATCTTTTGAGCTGATCTTGGATTCAAGTCTTTGCTCTTGTTGTTCTGCTGAGGCAATGCGGTTGTTGTGACCAGTATAAAATAGTCCCTGCATAGTCTGATAATATTCGGACATGAGGCGCCGTCCAGAAGACAAATCAGATCACCTTCTTGAATTGATGCTGCAGAAGCCGGCAGTGTCCACTCGTTGCCCCATATAGACTGATAATGCCGCGACTGGGTATTATCAGTATAGAGGATCTGAATGAACTGATGGCCGTACTCATGAATGACCTCGTGGACAGAGTCAATCCGAGCTAAGACCCATCCCTTACCCTTGATCATGGCCTCGTCCCTGTCAGGCCAAGTCTCCACGGAACAGTTTCTTGGAAATATATATGAAGCAGTCTGTCTATAAACCTCAGTCCATGGGAGGTTATAGTTTGGTTTCAGAGAGGGCGTGTTAGGATCATCGGAACTAAGCCCCAGTAAAGCATACACCTTGTCATGCTTGTTGGTAGCTTGATGAGAATGATACATATCAATCAATTGACCTAGACAGATGGCACCGCGTGAGTTAACCTCATATTTTGAGCGAAATATCGCCCCTCTCATGAGACGAACGACTGGGTAAATCACGCGTTGTAAACGGGTAGGAAGCTCCAATTGGCCAATGCCTTCACAGAATGTGTGTCCATTGATCGGGACAGAGCCACACATAACAGTGATACACCGTGCAACGCCGACTTCTTGGAGCACCTATGTATTTTTTTTGGCGATGAGTAAGAGCTATACAAATTGCAAAGCATTCTCTTACCCAAGTACGGCGGAACCAAGCATGCTGTAGCAAATCTAAGCATGCAGCATGGTGCGCTCCCATATTTGTGGCATCTGTGGGTACGCCCTTTCGAACCTGATCTTCTGAGATACGGCGAATATACTCCAGCCCTCCATCGCGTGGTTGTGTAGCCTCTCCAAGCCAGACAATGACGCAGCTTGCCTGGGCATATATCATCCGCATAAGTGGAATCTGCCGACTTTTCTCATCTGCGTCTTCTTGGTTGATACTCAACGCGTCGATCCACAATATTCTATCGAGTTGGGAGTCTCGAAGGTACGATAGCGCCGCATGAAGACTTCCTGTAACAAGGTAAGGAGAGCCGTCCAATATGACTGATTCAGACCTGACACCACTTCCCCAGACGTAGGACAGGGCCTCGTAGAGGTGGTTGCCTCTGCGCTTGCACTCCCTGGCCAGGGTATAATTGAACAGCGAGCACTTAATTGGGGTGTCGTTGTCCTCATCCGGCAACAGGCGGATCATACGAGTTACAGTCGGCTCTGGTGGGAGTATTGGATATGTAAATGAAGACATACTTGAGTGAGTGGTACGTGCTAACTGGGAAAGCAGACGCTGGTACAACAAATAAAGCACAGAACTTCAGTGAGGTGACATAATAAAGCAGCTTTTTACCACAGTCAGTTCGGTTGATGCGGGGAAATCATTGTTTCATTATATATCACGGTATCTATTCAGAAACGTACGTATCCCCTATTTTGGGTATGATACTCAGCAGTACTGTTTGAGACATATATAGTTTAGGTCTGTTCAGTCCCATGGTCTAAAGATATTTAGGTAACAACTTAGCTAGATCTGTTTAGCTCAAAGTAAGAGTTATCAAGAATCATAGTATATTAGATGATCGATGAGATGCTTTAGATTAAACATCTTATGAGAGACCAGCTGAGATATACTCTCCTACCACACTACCACAGTGGGCAAACTAACAAGCTAAGTATGGTTCGCTGGGAGACCTAAGGGCCAAGGCATCACCGGCCAGGGGCGAAAGAGCGCGGTTTTTTCACCCCAAATATCACACACCATCGTGTCCAGTTACTCCGTACTATATGGAGTATAGTATGTTCCGGCCTAACGCAAGGTTTAGGGTTTCTTGATCTTACTGGTAAAGAGGTAAAGAGAGCATTATGGATAAACATATAGGTACACTACATCAAAATACCAACTGATATAATAAAGCAAACGACTGCAACAACGCAGCCTCCACCAATTTTTTATACTTTTGTGTTTTAGGTTTCTCTTTCCTATTTTTCGACATTTCAAATCAAATTACATGGAGGGGGAGGCCACATCATTTTTTTTTTCTCCGATAAATAAAAAAAAAAATAAAAGGAAAAGGAAAAAGAAAAAGAAAAACCTAATCATGAGAAATGGGTTTCATCATCTCATCTCGTTTCCTTTTTTGCTGTTCAGATAGATTTGTGGTGCACACAAAAGTCAAAGTCCAGCCGTTTCAAGCAGCAGCATACTCATACTCAAATTTGCAATGTTTCTAAGCCATATGGATTGACATTCGCATTGTTGACCTGGGAAATAGTGAACTTCCAGCTTTCACGATGCAAGACCGTGAAAGGAGAGTTACACCCGCGGTCCGACGACGGTAGAATTCCTTATTTGCCGCCAAGGCTGGGGAAGTTCTTCTCGTCAACGGAGACAGCGGGAGCGGCGCCAGGGGCAGGGCCGGCACGGTCACCACCGCGGGGGCCGTTGCCACGGCCGCCACGGGGAGCGCCACCACGGGCACCACCGCGGCCGCCACGGCCGCCACGAGGAGCGCTACCGCCGGCGCGGGGGGGCTCGACGAAGCGCAGGTCGACATCGAGGAAGGTCTTCTCCTTGCGCTGCTTTTCGCGGCGGGCCTTCTCCTCCTTGCCCTTGAAGTACTCCTGCTCCTCCTCGCCGCGCTTGATCTCCTTGGCGCTGGCCCACTTCTTGTCGAGCTGGCTGCCCTCGTTGGCGGCACGGACGGGCTTGGCGCTGAGGTCACCCTGAGCGGCCTTCTCGGCCAGGTAGTCGGACAGAGACATGGTCTTCTCAGCGGCCTCCTCGGCCTCGCCGGGGGTCTGAGGCTCGGCCTCCTCGGTGTGGGCGATCTTCTCGCCGGCCTTCTCGTCGGCCAGCTCCTTCTCGCCGCTCTGGCCACCCCAGCCCTGGGCAACCTGCTTGCGGGTACCGCTAGATCCAAGTCAGTGGGTTTGACGGTCATAAGAACGTTGTGAATATGGTCTTACGTCTGGCCGGTGCGGGACTGACGGTCACGGGGGGCGCGGTCACCACGCTGGCGACGGGGACCCTGGGTCTCCTCGGTGGTCTTCTCGCGGTTGTTGCCGCGGCCGGCGTTGCGGTCACGGAAAGCTAAAGCATTCAAGATCAGCGGGAGAGTTCCGTGCGGGACATAGCTCAAGACACCGGAGCTGCCCTATATCCTGGGTAACACCACATACCGGCCTCGTTGCCGGTGGCGCGACCACCACGGCGGTTGTTGGTCTCGGCGGGAGCCTGGCTCACGGGCTCCTTGGGGGCATCGCGCTTGCCAGCGCGAGCAACAGGCTTGTCGATAGCTCGCGTGGGGGGTTCAGGAGCTCTGTTGGGGTCGAATTCAGGATCATTGCCTGTAATCGTGAGGGTCGGAGGTTAGACATGTCATTTCCTTTTTCTTCCACGGGTATTCTTAAAACAAAAGGCGAGATTTACCAAGAAGCTCGTAAAGGTTCTAAAACAACGTTGGAACAACCGTTAGCAATTTGCTTTTTTTTTCTTCTTTTTTGTTTCAAATCTCGAAGTCGCCCGGAGAAAAAAAAGATAAAAAAAGACAATCAAATTTAAAACCAGAGAAGAAGAAATGTGAGGAGATTTTGGTTTTCCCGGCTCCCTCGGGCTCAACCCCGCGCCTACTACCCCAATTGATTCTCAAATCTCATCCAAGTCCTCCAAAATTAGGAAGTTTGAATGATTTCGATATTTCAATGGTTTATCGCTCCATTCCTCCTCTTTTGACTGTCTTCTTCTTCTCTCCTCACACAACGCACGGGCGACTTCGTTTCGGTACACACATACCTTGGACCGGACGTCGGCCATGACGCCTGGGTTTATGAGGGGCCTTCCGGGGGAAGGCTCGCCGTTATCGCAGCAATTTGATAAGGGAAAGAGGGCGGGGGGTCGCGCGACGAGACGGGTTAAAAACCTCGACGCTGTAGACTCCGACAAAGAGGGTTGGAGATGGGGGAGATGATGATGATGGAGATAGGTAATGAGGGAAGGGGGGGGGGAGAGGCGTGTGACGGTGGATTGAAGGCAGACGGTTTGGTTGTGGTTGCACCGGCCCGATCGGGTATAGTGTGCATTGCTGCTAAGCGAATCCGGCAGTTCCGCTGTTGATTGGCCGAAAGGGTCTAGGGCTTAGGGTATTGGCGTCACCGGGACCTGCAGATGGCATCATAGAATCCTCAGCTTGAGAGAGCTCGATAGCTACTCACGGGAATCTCTCCCACGATCGGATCTATCGACTTTGCGTCATTGAGGTTGTGGAGAGAAGAAAAGTTTAATCTGAGGGAAGGTGGTTTTGCTCATATTCATGCAGAAGACATCATCGATAAATCCTTCCGTCGCTCGGATCATATACATCAACTCAATTCAACATCGCAACATCCGAGATAACAATAAGGCCGCCGCACAAGTAAAAAGACAGACGGGAGACAAATCTGGAGATAAAACTAGAAAGGATGGGAAGATAGGATCTTCAGCAGAGTCAAATGTTGAGCCCGGTTCGGCTGCGCCGCAGTCCGATTCCCGGCCCCTCACGGTCGACTTGCCCAAGTCATAGACAGCTCATGACTGAACACTGCTCTCCAAACCTCCATCCACGTCGAATATGATTATTTAATAGAAGAAAAAGACATGAATCCACCACAAAAACGCCGAACAATGCTGTAGAGCCTCAACTTTTGTCTTCCGGTCACGCATGACGTCATGACAAAAACAGGAAGGGGTATTTTTTCTTCGCTTGATTACTGGAGTAACTTTTTTTTTTGCTTTTGCTGGATTCAATGGCAAGCGGTTATCGCTTGCTCAATGATGAGTGCACCGTATCCATGCCAATGTTATGGCCGGGCACCGCTTTGCTCGTAGCTAAATGGGGTCTGGAAATGCATGCTGGCGCTCAGTCCAAACGGGTCCGTGTCTAACATGGGTTCATAATTCCCCAGTAGTGGGTTGGCGTTGTTGTATGCGCCATTGGACCCTTCGCTCGCCGGGGGGTTGAACTGGGCCAGGCCACGAGCTCCCAGGGAGGAAACCGAGGCGCCGGGGTTGAAGCCCGACATGTACTGCGAGGTAGGCTCATGTTCCTCATCGAGCAGATCCGCCTGCGCGTCGTATTCTTGTTCTATAGATATATTAGCGACCACTCGTCGACATACATGGGCCAAAGGGTAGCCGTACCTAATTGGTCATAGTGTTTTTGAAAGGGCGATGGATAGTAGGCCGATGCGACCCGTGCGGCGCGAGATTGTGCCGGCATGGTAGCCTTGAGGTCGGCCGTTTCGGGCTGGCCGAGGCTGATGGGAGGTGAGGCTTGGCTCACGTTCCGCGAGTGCGACAACATCTGGGAGCGCTGCTGGGCTTGCTGTTGAGCCTGCTGCGGGTCGATCGCAACGGGGGAGATCGCGCCCTGGTAGGCGAATCCCGGGGACTTGGTGTGCGACGGCGACGAGACATGTGACGGCGGGGTGGCCTGGAACTGTGGGGACGGGATCCCGTAGGCGCCCTCCCGATGCTGTGACATGCCAAACGAATCTCCTTTCGGGGCAATCCCGGTAGGATGCCGCTGGGCGGTGTTCCGATTCACGGCGGCCCGTTCCAGCGACGCAGACGGTTTGGGAGCCACCGGGTTGGGTTTACCCGCCGTGGCCCCGGGATTGCCCGTCTTCAAGCGCAATTCGGCCTGGACATCGATACCTGTGTAGTCGTGAGCATTGGAATGCGTGATAGTGAAAGGAAGACATACCTTTCTCCAAAAGGATCCTCTCCAGCAAGGAGTTTTTATAGCGCAACATTAGACACTCATCCGCAGCGGTGCGATGGTTTTGCTGCAGGGTCTGCAGGGTTTCCTCATTGCGCTTGATGGTGGACTCGAGCTGGCGGATATATTCGGTGCGACGTTCGCGAAAGGCCGCCTGGGCCTGACGGTTACGCTGCTTCCGTTCCTCGGAAGTGGCATAGATCTGACAAGGTGTTAATACAATGCAACCCGATGAATCAAAAAGTGTTTGAAAGAAAAGAGAAAGGAGGGGAACTAATAAAAAATAAAAATAAAAAAGGAAGAAGAAATGAACAAGATAAGAAAGACAGGGGAGACAGGTGAAGACCGGGATGATGAGATAAAGAGCAAGCAAAAGGCCAATCCGGATGGACGATGAAGGGGTGATGATAAGGTGGGACAAAACCGATCAATGAGGAGACAATGTAGTCACAACGGTTGATAACTGCAGAGATAAAGATTGCGGGGCCCCGGATTGACACCAACATATAAAAAGACAGAGAGAAGGAGGGAGAGAGAAAGACTTCTTACGTACAGGTTTTCGACCACCCTTTCGCTTTTGCGTCTGGGTCACATCCTGGGGCATCAATTCCCCCTCCGGATCGGGAGTTGATACCGCTGAACTGATGGACCCCTCCGCAAGGGGTTCTGGTTTGGGCACGACCGGGTCCATGGCCGGGTCATTGTGTGTAGAATTGGAGGTTTCGATCATAGAGACCATTGATTATCGATATGGGTGAGAGGGGCAATTTTCTCTATTGGCCCTCCTCAAAGTGTTCCTGTGTTTCTTTTCTGGGGTTTCCCTTTGATATTGAATCCGAATTGCAATTCCCCGCCGAAACCACACCCACAGAGTGACTATGGTAGAAGGGGTGAAGCAAAGAGGGGGTTTTTTTTTTCTTCTTTATTTTTTTTTCTTCCCTTGTTTATTAAATGGGGGAAAGAAAGAAAAAAAAAAAAAAAAAAAAAAAGAGGCCAAAAAAAATATCCCAGCACGGCAACCCGATGATGGCGAATTGACAATGACCACAAAAATATTCCCCCCTCTTGTAGATCGGGACCGATCTATTGCGGGTATCAAAGATCCCTCACGATCAAGATAAATCAGGGAGAATATAAATAGAAAGTCGGGGAGAAACGATTATTAGAACAATCAATAATGGAAACCATCCAGTAGCGGGCAGGATGTTTAACCGGCGGGGTGTCTGATAGCCTTCAACCGCAAGAAACGCGCGGGTAATGGGGAAGAAGGGACGTGCGAGAAGCGACAGAGGTTGACTAAAGGCAGACGTGACATAAAGGAAATTGATGATAGATAGATAGATAACCAGCAGGGCATCAGGGCAGCAGGTTAGAAGGGGAAGATGTGAGGGAAGTAGCGGGTGGTGGGAAGATGTGAGGTAAAATTATTTACTAAAAAGAACCCCGACGTTAATAAGGGAAATGGGAGAGCGAGAGAAAAAGCAAAGAAAGGGAAAAAAAGACCAGAAAAAAGGCAAAAAAAAAAAAGAAAAGAAAAAAAATCAAGAGGGGAGGCTCGGGAAGTTCCAGAGAGGGTGGAAGCTTGGGGCAGTGGAGAGCAAAAGGCTGAAGTGGCCAACGAGCGGAGCTCCAGAGGGGGGGAGAGGAAGGGGCACGCGACAGAAAGAGGGTCTGTCAGAGGGTGAACCACCCAAGCCAACACCGGAGCCGAGAATACCAAGTCCACTTCGCCAAGATTTGTCTCTTATACTCTTCATTCAATGGATTCCATTGGAGAAGCGGAGGACGCCGTCTGGATCTGATTCGGTGGCGGTTGTTTTCCCTCCGTGCTGGCCTGAGGTTGGCCCCTCTTTACTTACAATTTGTGTATTCAATTGAATTTTCCTTTTTCCTGTTTGGAACTCTTGGAGTCTGAGATCTGGCTTCCATGAAATCAATAAAGAGAGACGAATGGCCGGGAGATGACGTCCCTCGGGGTGGTTCCTTTCTCCTCTCCATAGCTCCCCGGTGAACGCTCGAGATCCGATATCCATACAGGATACGATGACGTTGCTTACGGAGTATAGTCTCTTTGATTGTATTTCCCATCCGACTGTCTCCCTCCTGTTACAGCTACAACGTACTTGACTTTCATGTGTACTCTTTTCTATTTCATGTTCACCCAGCTGGTCTCGACGGCACCCGATCCACTCCAACGAGATGAAGCCCCAGTCGAGGATCCGCTTGGTCCAGCCCGGTCAGGTTAAACCATTCAAGGGGATACCCAGAATCAGTGGCTCGACAATGTGGTTTTACCCCATACAGACAACGGGTGGACACTGCAAACTGAACGGGGAATTGGAAAGGGATGATGGATGTCGCATGGAACCAAGCTGACAGGCAGACACCGACCAGTTTCTTCCACCTGCACCGTACAGCGGTAATACGGCGCAACCGTTCTCTTCTCCACAAGCTACGACAGGTTACTACAGGTTACTTGCGGAGAGACTTCCACTGATACGACTTAATACGAGAGTTGGGGAGGATTGAGGGGATCCTCGATCCAGGCGGATGTTGACCTTCCCCGACGGTAGGACGGTCGGTTTGCGATGGTCCGCGCAGTACCTGAGATCTGAGCTCCCCGGATGAAACGTACTATGGTAGAAGAGTTGAGCGAGGAGGGCCCCCCTCGAGGGCGGATATCATCCTCGTTGGTTGGAGTCTTGGAGAACAAGTTGCATCGCATCGCGCACCGCATGGCAGGCGTCGAATAAAGACCAAGATTGTCCGCGGAGAAGACCCGGTGTGGTCAGCAGAGTTTTTCTCTGTTTTTGCTGGTTTTGCGTGTGTATTGGGTTTGCCGCTTGTCCGGGACCCACGCCTTTCTTTTTTTTTTTTTTTTTTTTTTTTCCCTTTTTCTCCGTTTGCCCCAAACGCCAATTTCAACAGGGCTGGCCGTTTTGATTTCGTGATCGCGGAGGAAAGAACATATCCAACAACTAACATCATAACCTACCAGATGAGTAGGTTCATCAATGGACGGTAAGGAACTTATAGAACAGCTTGAAGTTTACAGGTGTCAAATGTACTATGGGTTTGTCTGACCGATACCGGCTGGTGGTATGGACAGTACCAGCATTTACCAAACTATGGTATTCTCGACGGAGCCAACCGACTTGTCGACTAAATTTCCCTTCCCAATTCTATCGCCCCCGTCCGACACCTGCTGTTCCCAGTGGCCACCTCAGCATCTTCATCATCATCATACACCCCTGCGAGGGGGAGGGGGAAAGAGGCGGGGACGGGAGGATGCGCACATGACCCTACATGATTCTCTCGCTCGGGAGGGGCATGCCGTTCATTCCCCCCCATGTTAATTTCTCCAACAGGCTACAGCTCCCCTGGACAACCAAGCTAGCCACAACAACCACCACCAACAATGCTGACTGTAAACCCGGCACGCAATCCCAGCTTAAAGGATCAGACTTCTTCCCCTCACACCCCTCCGCGGACAAAGATCCCGGAGGATTGGTCGACGGGGGACAGACTCCAACATGGATCCGTTCACCGGGGAAAAGAGATCCCAAGACGTCGAGAAAAGCAACGTGACATCACGAGGATCAGCCACGGACCCCGAAGGATCATCTGAGAAGGACGTGGTCTGATCGGGGATTCGACTCGACTTGGCCTTGGACTCGAGGGGACAGCGCGGAATTAGGTGCCGACCGAACTGGGACGGTTACCATTACCAGGCTCCTGCAGTAACTATCTGATATCCGTAGACTATTGCAGTTCGTAATCGCAGTAACTACTAGTGAAGTGGCCTGGAGATAGTCTATATCCTTGGCAGGAGGATCGGCGTCGCTCATTCCTCTCGAATAGTCGAGACTCGAGCGTCTTTCGATGGATACCAGAACCAATTCATCATCGCATGTTCTGGTCCGCCGTATATCGTGGCACGTTAATGAGCCTTGTCAGGTGACGGGGTGGTCACGGGATGGCCTTGTTGATGCCTCATTGATGTCTTGTTGATGCCTTGTTGATGTCTTGTTGTCTGAGTAGGACATGTCTTGTCTGCTTATGCCTGAGGTTTCCCTCCAGTCCGTCCACCACTCAAAGTGTTTTGTAACCTGTCTTGCCTTTTGGTAAAAGTGTATGTAGATATATCTATCCAACTCCGACATCCATTTCCACTTCCATATTCCTCCTTTTATAAAATCCAGCTATCCCCTTATCGCCTTATAGAATCCAGCAATGGAACAAGCCCATCAACAGGAACCGCGGCGGTCGGCTCTCGGCTCATCCCCGCCAACCACAGCTTGATTAATCATTCGCCCTCCTCAACTCCCACCAACATGACAGTCTTCACATGCAGAACCAACCAGAACCCAATCTTCCAATCAATCAACCAATTAATCCCTTTCTCAGATCTCCTCCTCTCGACTCCATCTACTTCCTCAACTTTGAACCCCCCACCAGCCCTGTCTTCGTGACTAACCAACCCTCTTGATCCATTCCTACTCGGCAATAAACATGGCGTCCACTTCGGCCACGGCCACGCCCGCCCCCGCGGATCCCCGCACCACCACCACGGGGGATGACACCGCGAAGGGGTCGGAGTCGACAGTAGCAGTAGCAGAGCAAGTGACGACGGCGGAGTCGGAGTCGACTCCTGTACAGCCCGCGGAGCAGACACGGACAGAGACACAGCCCTCCGGACAGGAAACCAAAGCGGGGAAAGCAAAACACCACGATGACGATGACGATGACGATGAATCGGACTTTGATGAATTGGACGGTACGTAGTTCATCCTTTATCTACCTTTTCCAGCCCTATCCAACGATACGATACTTATCTATAAATGCAGAGGTCCTCGACGACTTCAAACCCCAACCCGCTGCGCCAGCCGCCCCCGCCACTCCCAAACCCGAGACCCCAGCTCCCCAGCTAGGCGGTGGCCTCCCCGGAGGCGACGACTTCGACGAAGCGGCCTTCATGAAGCAGCTGGAGCAGGACATGGCGAGCATGATGGGCCCCGGCGCCAATGAATCATCCGGCGGCCGAGCCAACGACAACGAGTTCGCCAGCACTATCGATCAGGGCGCCGACGCGTTCACCAAGCAGTTAGAGGATAGCGGGATCCCGCCGGGAGACTTCATCAAGCAGCTTCTGGCAGACGTGATGGCTGAGAATGGCAGCGATGCGCCAGCTGCCCCTGCCCACGCCAACACCAGCAGCGGTGCGCCGGCATCCGCATCCCCCGCCGCCAACGGTAGCGACGGTGGAAACGCACCCGAGAACTTCAACGACGCCATTTCGCGCACCATCAACCGCATGAAAGAATCCGGCGACAAAGCGACAGCAGCCGCATCCGAAGACGACATCTCCGACGACCTCGTCGCGCAGCTCCTCAAAGCCGTCGAAGCGGGCGCCGCGGGGGCCGGCGACGACGGCGACCTCACCAAGATGTTCATGGGGATGATGGAGCAGCTGTCCAACAAGGAGATGCTGTACGAGCCGATGAAGGAACTCCACGGGAAATTCGGACCCTGGATCACGGCCAACAAGGGCAAGGGCAAGATCTCGGATGAGGATATGGCGCGGTATGAGGACCAGGCGCGCATCGTTGCGCAGATTGTGGGCAAGTTTGAGGAAGAGGGTTTCACGGATGAGGATCCGAAGTGTAGGGAGTTTGTGTGGGAGAAGATGCAGGAGGTTTGTTCATCCATCTTTTTTTCAACCCGTTTTACACTATATGGTGTGTCGGGACGTTTTCATAATGTGATACTAACTGATTATACAGATGCAAGCCGCAGGCAACCCCCCCGAAGAACTCGTCACCAATCCCTGGATGGACGACATGAAGGGCGGTGGTGCGCCCGGCGCAGCGGGGATGCCCGACTGCCCGCAGCAATAATTATTATAGCAGATGCTATTGACAGGCTTCTGGAAGCCTCGGGTTGTAGCAAGATTATTCAGTTGCTTGTTTTATATTTCTTTTGGTTGACATTTGACATCTCTGTACATATACATACATATACCATGTCGATACCCTTTTACTATCTATCTACCTATCTATCTCTATCAATGATCGTGATGGATGATGGATCACACGATGTATATCTACCTATCTACCTATCCACATACTATGAACAAGCCAAACAAGACCGGAACCTCAAGACTGACCTAAGTCCGTGTAAATTCGAAGCAACAACATGACCAGGAAAACAAACAACCCAGCTAAACCGACCTAATCAACACCAAACACCAAACGCACACAAACAGTATCTATAACAGCAACAGTAAACAACTCTATCATGTATCTTCCTCCCCCCACATAGTAATATATCAATCACAATCACCCAGACATATCCATATCCTGACTGTAGTCTGCCAGATCGGTGAAGATGTCATCGTATTCGTCGTCGCTGAATGAGGATGTAGTGTTGTTGGGGGTGTGTTGGTAATTGCCGTGCTGGGTATGCTGTTGGTTTTGTATTTGCATTTGCATTTGCTCTTGGTGTTGTGCCTGCATCTGCATTTGCATCTGCATTTGCATGGCTTCTTCCTCTTGTTGGAGGATATACTCGTCCAACGCATTCGCTTCATCCTCATCTGTAATAACTGTCAGAAAGTCATCCACCAGAAGTAGGTCGAGCCAGATAAATGGAATGAAAATCATTCGAAAGGGGAACAGAGGGCAAGAGGAAGGAAAAGAACATACCCTCCACCCCAAAATCAACCTCCTCCTCCTGCACACCCTCCCCAAACAACCTCTCCGCCCTCCTCCGCATCGCCTCCCCCCACTTCTTCTCCTCCGCAGCATGCTCCATCAGCACGATCTGCTCGCCTCTATTCTCGAACCGCCCGTCGTCGCGGTCGCGCTTGACGCGGTTGAGGAATGCGCTGCGGCGGGCATTGCGCGCGGATTGCGTCGCGGAGGTTGTGTGTGAGCGTGGGATGATATTGTTGAGGGGGTTGGAGACGGTTGACGTGTAGCGTTGGGCGTAGGTGGGGGAGGATCTGGAGCGGGAGGATTGGGATGGTGCTGTGTTTGAGGGTGGGGGTGGGGCGAAGGGGTTCGTGGTGTTGTTGGCGGTGGTTTGGGGGGCGAAGAAGTTGAAGCTGTTGCTGTTGTTGGTGCTGCTATTGGGAGGATTGGTATTGTCGGTCATCATCTCCGGGGGAGACTGTCGGTGGCGGCGTGGGGAGAGCGGCGATGGCCGCTGGGGAGAGTACGGGTGAGAAGGAGGAGGATTGGAGACGTAATGCGGCGATGGTATATTTGAACCGGGGAGTGCGAAGGGTTGCTGTATGGGTGGGAGTGCAGCGAACATGGTTCGTGGTTGAGGGTTGAAGCGTGGTTGGATTGACGTCGTATCGGTCAGGGTGCTGCTCTGGTTCCGCGGTGGGTTCAAAGTGGGACGCGACTGATCCTATCCTATCGCTCTGGACGGGAAGTACTGAACAATAAGTATTGACTGATGCTATGATGATCTTGGTAAACTGATGTTCAGCTGAATGACCAGACAAGTGGAGCAATGCCACCGCAACGATATTAATACAGCGCGACGTAACTACCAACCACCGCGTAATATGAGGTTCTCCACAGCATCCTTCTTCGCGGTCGCGTCTCGACTCACGGGGCGCGCTAGTATGTTTCGGGATATATTGCATTCCTCAGGCTGCAACCCCACAGAACGAGATACTCCACTACTCATACTATCACTTGCAGATATTCCATTTCTTCATTGTATTTATGGCATTAGTCATACATAGTCTTATTGAACAGACCGCAAGTCCAAGTCTACCACTGCATACAGCATCACGTCACAGATCGCATATGAGGTCGTACTCATCGTCGTATGGAATCATCGTCTGCGCCTGGGTAGGCTCGGGCTCGGGCTCGACCGTGGACTCGTCTGCGCTTGTTGGAGCGGGAGGGTCTGCAGATGAAGTGGAAGATGGAGAATCAGACGTCTCCATGCAGCCGTCTGTGCTAGATGAGCTATTGTCCTAGAAGATAGCGTCAAAGAGATAGATGTACGCACCCAGTTGCGACTGACAGTCCTGAACCGAAAAGGACGACGAGGGATCGGAGTTCGCTGCCTAAATGTTGTCAGGAATATTATACTAAGATTGGAGGAGATGCAGCTTCAGCCACTCGAGACGAGACTGTTAGATGCATAAGCATGCATACCTTTTGGCATGAGTCGAACTGATTATTGCAGCTGTAGTGACATCAGCATTAGCAACACTTCTAAGACAGAATGCTAATAAATGCACGAACCTTCTCTCTGCAGCAGACGCTTTGTCCGGCTGTACCGAGTTAGCCAACCGTTACCACATGTATATAACCCAGCCAAGCAGGCGACGAGAGGAGCAACGTACAAAAGTATCCCCGTTCACCGCATACGGCCTCTCCGAATCACCGGAATCCTCAATCTACAATACCGACCACTGATGTCAGCTAATACTCCACCCATCATACATATACAGCAGTCATGCTAAGCAGTCGCTAAGCAGCCATGCAAAGAAGGATCACCAACAGCAGGCATAACACCGCCCAAAGACCCCGTGGACGCCTAATGTCGTCAGAAAGTCAGCCCTGATATAAGATACATCGGTACCCAGGTTCGGTATACCTCGCGCTTGGCGAGAGGGGCAGCCTCGTAGACCACCCCAACAGGATCTGCTTTGAAGGCTGCGGTGCATTGGATCCAGAGGAGACAGGAGAAGCTGAGGAGGAGGTAGTGGGTGAGGTTCGTCATTGTGGATTTGTGCCGTGCCGTGTCGTGCCGTGTTGCAGCACACGATTGTCGGCAGTGTCTTACTTCTGTATGTATGTATAAAACGCTGCGCTATAGTGAGTAGTCTTGGTAGGTATCGAGTTATCTGGAGATAAACCGATAAACTGACTGAGCCATTATACACAACTATCCTCACACCACTTCCCAATTACCACCACCGCACTAGTTAACCACAATCAAATCAAACCAAACCATGGCTAGTTAACTAACTTCTACCCCCGCACGGAACAAACATCCAACCTCGGACATACCCGGCGGGTGTCCGCAATCTCTCCCCCCCTGTAACTATAAAACACCCACAAGAAACCGACAACATTAGCCGACACAAAATAGCCTTCAGCAGACGGAGAATTTATTCCATCTCGTCACGGCCTTCCCTCCTCCCTCCCCCTCCTCTGTTTCATCGGTGGGGAGGGGAGGGGGCGGCAACGTGTTCCATTATTAGCAGTTGCGGGCCTTAGGCGGGTTTAGTTTGGGCTTAGTGAGTTGAGTGAGGGTCGTACTCGCTAGTGAGTAGACTCCGAGGAGGAGGGTTGATCGCTGATGATCGTCGCCCCAGCAATTGAATTGGATTGGTTTTAGTGGGCCGTCTGTCATCTGTCAGTCCATCTTGGTTGTGGGCAAGTGTCAAGTCAATTTGGTTGAGTAGGACGTGCTGTCGATCTAATACAACTGGCGTGGTAACTACCACGTCATGCCATATTGTTGCCCCATTGTTAGGTTTACTACTGATGTGTGTAGTGGGTTGTGGACTATTGGAGTCTGAATGATATTTTCTGTCACAAATTAAATAAATACATACATATCAATTAGGAGAAAGAGGTTTTGTGAGTAATGTCCTTGAAGGCCAGGGAACAGTAGAGTAGAAGACATGGTGTGACAGAAAATATCACAGCTCACCGATTTCTTCCAGAAATCAAATGCGTTCGTGCGCGGGGGGAATCAATCGCAAGGTGAAGAACAAATCAGCCACATTCTGTGGAAACAATCGCTGTGCAGTAAGGAGTGTGATTTTGAAAGGAATGACAGTTGCTCTATGTAACGGAAAGAAAATGCTCAAAGGACGAATTCAACCAAATCAAGAGAAAGAGAGAGATAGAGAGAGGCCAATATATCCTCCCACGAGCGCCCAAGGTAACTGCGTATAATCGTACAACTTTCGTCCCAATGTGGCTGATGTATCAGTCTCTGCCCATTGAATTGTAAATGGGATCAAAGACAGAAACATTAGTTCGAGGCCACGTAGATGAGACGGATGACTAGAAGTTCGAGGCAGTGTTTATCGGACCCGGGTTGTGGTACTGGTCGAGGGTCGACCTGAAAGGAGTCCCGCCGGCGGCTCCCGGGCTAGGGGCCTTCTCACGAGCAGCAGAGCCCACGGCGGTCCCGCTCATGAGGTCCGCCGCTTCGTCATTATCATGAGCCTTGGCCTTGCGGGCATGGATTCTCCAGGCGACCACGGCGATGGCACCGATCAGGATCGCACCGCCGACACCCACCACCACGCCGATGATGATCTTCTTCTGATCGCTCGAGAGACCCGAGTCTCCGTCCTTGTTCTCAGCGTTCAGACCGGGCGAACCGGTCGAGTCGCTGCCCTCGGCTTCGACTGGGGTGGTCATGACCGTCGGGACAGGCGTTCCACTGATGGTGTTGGTGGTGGTGATGGTCTTTATCGTGGAGGTCTTGGACGACTCCGAGGTACTCTCCGCGGGGCTGTCCGGGGTGGGCTTGGGGTCGTCCGTGGTGGATTCATGCTTGTCGGTGGTGGTGGGTGTCGGCGGCTCCGTGGAGCTGGAATCTTCGCTGGTGGAAGACGATGTGGTGGTGGCGGGTGGTGGTTTGTCTGTCTTCGAGTCTTCGCTGGTCGACGAGCTGCTCTCGCTCGTTTCTTTTGATGATGATGATGAACTGGTGGTCGTGGGTTCGGTGGGTTCCGGGTCCCCTGTTGCGGTCGGCGCCGGCATGACCGAGGCCATATCGAGTTCATTGATATCGTTGACGGCCGTGCTCTGGGCGGCCATCACCGTCACGATGGACAGCGAATAGAGGAGAACCTGAGCAACCCGCATGATGGATACAGACGAGACAACCGATGATGATGAGAAGTGTTCCCAGAGATGAGTGGTGATACGAGGAGAAGCGCCACGAGGGATCGTTCAGGCCCCGAAAGATGGTATACTAAGAGTTGTCCAAATCCACCTTCTAGGAAGAGTCACGGAGTAAACGAAAGACTAGGATCAGAAATAACACGAGTCAAGGAGCACGATGCAGCGAGTGGAGGAAAAAGTCGGCGTAAGGTAAGGTGGAAGGAAGTAAGTACGGAGTGAGCAAGGAGGCGGTAGGGGAAAAAAGGGAAAAAGGATCAGAGTCAAAGGAATCTGGAATGGGATGGGGGGATTTACAGTAGATGAAAGAAGTGACTGGTTCGTCTGGGCTGGACCTCCGTGCAACGCCAGAGTGTGAAGCGCGCTAACTTGTTCTGTATTTTCTTTCATCTATTCTGATTGTTTATTCTGCTTATTTTTATATTTTTCACGACTCTTGATTGCTGTGGATCTTCTTCTCTGCACACATCAGGCCCATTTGGATGAGAGGATTTCCACCCCGGTTCGATTCTGTCACAAATCACCAATCCCAGGGGCGGATCCAAGGATGGGCGTCCGCTAGTGGACAGTCTAGGGAGGCTCATGAACCAGTCATCGCCAGTCCTTTGAGACATTCTATCCAGAACAGTCCCGTCTGTCGCAGTTCTGGGGGCCTGACTCGAGGCGCCTAAAGGCCGTTCATATCCACTAGTCACCGACCCAGGAGAGGGACGAGACTAGCTATCGATCCAAGTCAGGAGGATCGATGTGACTTGATCGATGCGATGATCCTTCTGTTTATTTACATGGGATTCAGAATTCTCCGAAAGGTCGTGTTCTCTCGGTTCGTCCACCATGGAACGTGGGCACGATCAGCTACCATGGTTGAGACAGACTGCGAGAAACAAGGAGCCGGTTAGAAAGTCCAAAAGATCTCGGACAGATCTCGCTAGCAATTGGCCCGCTGGGGAAGGACCCTCTTTGTCTTGTACCAGTCGATACTATTTTAAGGTACGGACCACTGGGACTGCGAGTACGAAGGAGCAAACTAACCACTGAGCGATCGTCCTGGCCCGAGAATGACCCACGCGTCCTCTCTCCCTGGTAAGATATGACAGGCACGAAAGCAAGACATCCATGGTACAATCCAGATTGTATAAGATCATTGTATTCATCGTTTGGTTGTCTCCACGGAGTTCTCAACGAGATCCTCGAGCGGTATTCCATAAACCAAATTCCAACACATTGGGAAAAAAAAAAATGAACGATCGATCATGTCTGATGATTTGCACTGGGGAGTCCCGAATCCCTCAACAAAAAAGATTAAATCAAACCATTCCCAATCCTCCCGCAAATCCACATTCCCTCTCGGATGCCGCTCAGCTCCGCGCCATGGCCTAATGATTGTCCCCCATCCAGACTAGCGACATTGATCACCTAGCCGATTTTCCACAGACCCATTCTGATTGTGTGCCGGAGCACCCGAGGATAACCCTGGCGCGTGGTGGGTGGTAGACCGTAGTACCGTAGTAGTGGGGAGACGGGGGTGGTAAGTTCTGGGTGAGATTTAACTTTTTCACAGAGTTACCATAAGAGGCAAAGGGCAATAATTGCCGGCTTTTCATCGGATGCTGAATAGCCCCTTGACCAAAAAAGAATTCTTGCAAATTCAAGGCATGGATGCCCAGCCCCTCCCGCCTAGTCCTTTGAAGTAAACAAGTGGCTAGTAAGGCTCAGGAGTGGTACACAGCTGTACAGACTACAGCGTACAGCGTACAGGTGGTGGACGTGTACATCCGCGAAGCGTTTAGGCACGGGATCGGCGGCGATTGACGGGTTCTAGAACCTTGCTTCTCAGTGTCTTGCCGCCCGTGTGTTTCTTGTCGGTGGGCGCTTCGGTCTGATCACGTCTATTTAGAGCTCTTCACGAATTCATCCTACGCGCCATGTAGTATAGATGTTGTTTCTGCGAAGTAAATAGCGCCTTTTACTAATTGTCTCCTTTTGCTGATCTTTCTTCCATCGTCATACCTTATGAAACAAGTGTATAACAGGTGGCAATATACCAAACTCCATTCAGGGGAAGCGATCCAGTGACTCATTCCCTACCAACAACGTCATCAATAATACATAAAGCCCCATTAGTCAACGGAGGCTTGGTGCTTTTGATAATTTGTGTGTCGATGGACTGCATCGCAGTGGCCTGCATATGCAGGTCCCACAGCAGTTCAGTCGATGCACACCGTCCAGCCACCACCATATATCGACTGTCCCTTCGGTCCGCATGTGGCAACAGAGTTCTAACACGGCCAAGAATTTAAAGTGACTCGACACGTACCGGTCTGTTGATGGGGAGCCACAGCCGTGGCTGACGTACTACGGGGTACTCCGTACCCAGACTGGAATCAAGAAGCGTGGGAAATTCCTGCAGAGATAATTACGCGTCGAGCATGTATGCTTTCATATTCAAAGCCCGGGCAAACCATCATTGCGAGGGCAAAGCGGATGCAGCATGTATTCTCTGTTCCGGATGAGAAAAAGGGATGCAGTCTACTGTGTGAAAGAGATACAACCCACTCTTATCCGGTGAACCCTCACGTAGTTCAATACAATGACAGATATAGGCGATTAAGAAATGAAGTAGAGAACGAAGTAGAAAACGAAGTAGAGAACCGAAAGAGTGATAATGTTGGTGGTAGTCGAGGGTATCGAGGACGCTTGAACGACAAACATGAATATATATCCAAATGTGGGCAAAGACCTTGCCTCAAGGTTTGTCGCGCGGTTTCCACCTCACTTGATCTCTGATTTCTTCCTTGAAATACTCGAAGAACTTGCCGGCACCATGGCCTTCGGAGACGAGGAATTAGCAATGCGCTCGAGGTCTCGGGAAGTCGTCCTGCTGAAAAGAAAGCAGCCATACCATTCTCATTTTCCTTGTGAGTTACCCTCAAGTCCTCGGAAGGAGTCCCATGTCTGATTCTCTGCACTTTGTCGTGGATTTTCCCCACGCCTCGATGGAACAACGGGCTGTCCAGCAGCTGGAACGAGGAAGTCCGATCAGTCACGATACTCGCATTGAATTCGAGGAGAAACAGTCATACCCGGCGAATCATCATCTCCTAAAAATAGACCTGGTTAACCACCGTCCTCGCACTATGCCTCGATGGCTTTCGGAATGACTTGCACACGACATACCTCGAGCTTCGCGAACGCAAACATCCGCCAAACCATCTTGAAATTGGCACCCGGGATCGATCAACGCTGCAGATCAACGTATCCAGACGGTCGTCAAATCCCCAAGTCAAATCCACAATGACATTAGCTGTGGACAGCAAGAGACGATCTCCAGTGGGAGGAGGTTGAGTGACGCTTCGATGTGTTCGTTGCAATCGACATGTTCGCGGTTGAGGCGGCGGGGAATCGGCAGTACAAAATACCGCGAGAGCCAATCAAAGTAAACCATTCCCGCTTCCGCCTACTGTCACTTTTTTTCCCATCTAAATCAATCCGACTGTCTGGTTCATCTGGATCCCATTCCTGATTTCCTGCTGGGAACGGAATGTCCGATTTGAGTCTGTTCTCAAGGCTCACCGTGAAAGCAGTAATTGAACCACATACTTGACGATGGTCTTGCTCATGATACCCTGCCCATAAAGTCAGGGTGATCACTTATAAAAGGATTGCCTCTCCTGAGGAAGATAGACTGACTGGTTGATTATGATCAGACAGTCTTCAGAATGATCTACCGTCAACCTGCTTTTTTGTGCCATTCCTCACACTAGTCCACTATCGCAGTACTAGCATCCAACTAACTTCCTTCTCCCACGTTTTCGTGATCTTCCCTAATGCCGGTGCCGTCTATTCGACAGCAACTCTATTTCTATGGTGGTCAAACCTGTCTATTTCCCCCATAGTTGAGACTCTTATTACATCACGACTGGCGTGGTTTGGTGCCACTCCTACAATTCGATTGTCCTGATCGTCAAAGGTGTCAGACTTTTGGTATCCACCAAGGGTTTCCTTTTTTTCTCCTTGACATTTGGTTCCTCTTCCCCAGACCCCTTTCCTTTCCCCTTCTCTTCTTCATTCTACAAAGCCGGTCGTGTGAGCCTGTCACTTAAGATCTTTTTTCTTTCCTCTTTGCCCTCACTCCTGTTCTCACTCTCCTTTTCTATGATTTTTATTAATAATCCTTGACCTGCTTCTTGCCGATAAAGCCGACTCTGTTGGTATAATCTCTCCCTACCCACTTTTTTTTTTATTTTTAGTTGCGACACTGGACTGCTGGTCACGTCCTGTGCGAAAGCGCCGAGGAAATCACAATTCATTTCATGGGGTAGAAAGGTTGAATTCTTTTTTCTTCTCGTGTTTTAATATTATCCCCTGGTTGATTTGTGCCCTTCGACGTCCCTTTAATTGAAGTCGAAGGAGGGAACAAAAGAAGGAATAAAAAGAAGACGACGAATTGACGGCGATAATCAATTACTAGAATCCCTGGCACACATCTACAAACGAGGAAGTGCTACAATCCCAGGACTTCACTTGTCCTACTCTGTTGTCTAAAAACAGGCCTGTCGAAGCGCAGGCCAAATCTACTGTCGCAAAAGTGGCCGCACGAGCGTCGCGCTACTATACGAACCACCCATCCATTCAGATCCGGCAGCGACTTGACCCGGTGGGATCGAAAAATCTGGCCAAGCCGACGGTGTTGAGGGGCAGCTTCCACAGCTGTCCCGATCTGTCCGCGCTACAGATATCATCCCTGCCGCCGCCCCCGAGAAGCGCAAACGACGATCCATCATCTCCTTCGTTCCACGAGGGGCACTCGACCACCGCACCACTGTCCCGCTCTGCATCCCCCGACGCCGTCAGCCTTCACCACGGTCCCCGAAAATCAGTATCGACCAGAAAGCGGGTCTCTAAAAAGGCGCGCGGCGTCCTGGGCAAGGTTCGGGCCTTCCAAAGGATCGCTGCGGCCAAGATGGCTCATCCTACCATCAAAATCGATACCAGCGTGCAGGCCACCAAGCGGGCGCATCCTGGAGACCCGGAAGAGGGTCTAGAGGGACTCGATGACCCGGATCAGGAGTTTTTCGGTCTGGAAGCGAGTGATAATGAACAGGTTCCTCCATTTCTCTGTCAGTCAGGTTTAGGTGAGTTTTCTTTTTTTTGGGGGGCCTTTGCGCCCGCTGACGCCGCCCCCCTCCCCCGCACTTTTGCTTCTACGGTGCTCGTTGGTTTCCCAACCGGTTCCTGACTGACTGTGACCTAGAAATTCATCAGCGGTTCGAAGAACTGGAATGGCTGCAAAGAACTCGTGTTGCAGAGGGGTCGCAGGCCAACGACCCCTCTCACCGGTGGGCTCTGGAGATGGATCCCGAGGTCAAGGCACGGAACCGCTACATGAACGTGCAAGCGTGGGCAAACTCTCGCATCCACCTACAAGTTCCCGAGGGCGAGTGTGATTTCATTAATGCATCCCCAATAGTTTTAATGGATTCGGTGACGGAGCAGGAGCGGAGGTATATCGCCACCCAGGTAAGTCGGCGCATCCCCTTGAATAACGCCCATTTTATCTGACGATGTGTCAAACAGGGTCCGAAGGTTGGCAACATCGCCCACTTCTGGCATATGGTGTTTCACGAATCCCAAGACGTCGGGGTCATTGTCATGCTCACCCAAACCTTTGAGTTGGGCCGAGAGAAATGCTCCCAGTACTTTCCGATCAATCCAGATAAACCTTCCATGCTTCTCCGCGACGACGAGACCGACCCATTCATAAATGAGGAGGACCAAGAAACGGGCGCGGTGGCTCAAGTCACTCTCCTGGAGACCACCTTGGACCCTGATTCTCGCTCGGAAATCCGCAAATTGGAGCTAACGGTGGGAACGGAGTCCAAGATTGTCTGGCACTTTCTCTTCGCCGGCTGGGCGGATTATTCGAAACCAGAAGGCGAAGACCGCGACGCGCTACTCCAGCTGATCAGACTCTCGGGCGAGAAATGCACTCCCGACAACCCTCGCATTGTGCATTGCAGCGCGGGCGTGGGCCGGACCGGCACGTTCATCGCTCTCGACCACCTGCTACAGGAGCTCGAATCGGGCCAGCTACTCGAGGTCGACGACCCGGATGTCGACCCCGTCTTCGAGGTTGTCAACGAGATGCGCGAACAACGGATGATGATGGTCTACAACGAAATGCAGCTGCAGTTCATCTACGAAGTCCTGCGGGAGCAGGCCGGTATCAGACTCGGCAAGATATCCAGTTCCACCGGTCGCAGGTCGGATGAAAGGTCCACCAAAATGGCCAAGTTGTCCGACGAGTCGGAGTATTTGCCCTCGTCCAAGCCGGAGTTGAGGCCGACAGGGGACCCTTCCACGCCCACCAGAAGCAGCTCAGGCACTGCGGCAGACTCTGACGATGATCAATGAACTTGGCTCTGTTTGTTTTTCCGGTACCTCATACTTCGAGGATCGCGTGCTCCTTCCTTATATGGTCATAGCATCCTCTAATCACGTACATATGTTTTATGCTAGTTGCTTGCTTGCTTGCTTTACCCCCTTTTGCTTTTCTCTTTGCTTCCTGTATTACCTTGGGTGTCCGGCTATTATTTATGACATTCATGCACTCCTGGCTTGCATCGGCTTCAATTTGGTTTCTGGTTTCGTCTTCGTCTTGTGTTTTTGTGCACTATTGCATAGCATAGTGTCATATTTGGTTGTACCACGACAGTCACGTCTCTTATTCATTATATTTCCCTACCCTCGGATCCCAATGGTCTCTCTGTTCGGAGCGCTGTCCTCCAGTTCTCACATGTTCAAGGCTCAAAAGAACAATGTACCTGTCTATTCTTTCTTTTCGAGTTTCCCCCTGTCTCTGAATCCTTTCTTGGCACGTTCATCTCTGGCTGTGTTGTCTAGCATTAGAACTAGTGTAACATAATTGGTTGAGCAATTTAATATGGAGAAAATGACCTGGTCGTCTTTCTCGATACTTGCCTTTTTCTAATAGCTTCACTTTTATATATGTCATTATTTATCATTATTACATCTAGCATAGTAGCCCACGTGGATGCAGTCGCAGAGGTCAGGGTATACCGGTTCAGCTTCAAAGGTCTATCGGTGTGGGTTTTGCTATTTATTCTATGATATTCCTTTTTCTTTTCTTTTCTTTTCTTTTCTTTTTTTACCCCCTCCTTTCTCGTCTTAGGGCGTTTATTAATTATCCATACTCGATGTGCGCGATAATTTGGAGATTGATGTCACATATCACATCAAAAGTGTCTACAACGGATATATATCACAAACGGGTACCCGCACTAATCATTCAAAATCTATATTTCATTCGGTCAAGCTTTACTAAATACTACTCGTATTCAAAAAGCCTAGATATATAAATTAGCAAATCAATAATATATTCAATCATCGTTTTATCATGAATTATTATTGTTGTTATCATTGTTGTGACTTTTTTATTTTTATTTTCTATTTTACCTTTTCTTTTTCCCGGGGAGAAGGTGGCATGTACATACCTCGTGATGCAGGACTTGGCTGCATGATGATGAAAAGGAAGAACTTAATTTATCGTCCACTTCTTGGAGTGGGAATGAGTATACAGTGCAAGTGACAGCGGGCATACAGAGCTAAATGGAACTCAATTTGAGGTTCCTGGGCTTTGGAGTCTATTGTTGAAGAGATTTAGAATTCAGGTCATGTTTATTATATCATCTTTCCATTTGAATAATTGAACATCATGGTGGTGACACGGCTCGAATGAAGAAAAACAGGAATCATACGACATCACAAGGGAGAAAATAAAATCAAAACAATCATCATGACGAGGCGCACCGGAGCCATCGGATTGGTCGTTTGTTCCTGTACCTGCTGACTGGGCACATCCAGGTACCGACAGTGACGGATGATAGGTAGATACTACCTAACATAATATACTAGATCAGACAATCGTAGACTCACACTGCACCGACATACTTGAAATCATAAATTAATCGTTCCTCTTTCCTTCCGCCTCCTCGCCATGAGAACCCGGTGATGCCACACCCGGGGAAGGCGTATAAGCCGGCGGTGAAGTTCTCTTGGAAGAAGCGGAGGCAGCACGGTCAGGCTCATCATCGGCGTCATCCCAGTTATCGACGGCGTTCTCGTCCCAATTGTCGACTTCGCGCTCGAGGGTAGTCACGCCTGTTTCCTGCGGGCCTAGGTGCTCTTCGTCGTCGTCGCCGTGGGGAACGCCGAGCTCGACATCGTCCGCGGCGCCATCACCGTAGGCGCCGAAGCGGGCCTTGCGTCGCCGCTCGAGCATGCGCCGGTGATACCAGCTGCAGAGGCCGACTGCGCCGAGACTGCCGACGAGGTTGGCGAGGAGATCGAATGGATCGAAGTCGCGGCCGATGGGGAGGGCGCCTTGGACGATCTCGGAGCCGATGCCTAGACCGAGGGTGCAGACGAGGAGCGTCAGGTGCAGGGTGCGGCGTCGGGTGGTGTCTGGGATCCAGTAGAAGACTAGCGAGAGGAGGAAGAAGGTAACGGTGTGGAGGAGCTTGTCATTGGGATGGTATTGGGCGGGGATGCTGGGGTTTTCGCTGTGCGGGAGGAGACCGATGTAGCCGGCTAGGAAGAAGAGGAAGATGAAGGCGCCTGGAGGGAAGGAAGTTAGCTAGACTGACTGATAGTTTGAAGGGAGAGTATGGTGTTATGGAGATTGCTCGATGGTCAGTAGGTGGCCAGATGGGCGGGTGACAGCCGATCGGCGACGAGGAATTCCCCGGATTCCGGATTCTTTTTGATGATGCGGGGAGATCAAGGGTTGATTGAACTGGATGGAGTACTTAGGAAGAGACATACCTGCAAAAGGATAGCGAATTCGCATCTTGCAGATGGTCGGGACCGGGGTGAGGCAGGGGAGAGAGAGGAGGAAGAGGTGCACGAGGGAAGACGAGGCAGAAGGATGACCTGCCTTAGTAGGTACGAGTGAGCCTGAGGAGCTCTCCAAATCCGATGACGCTGCCTGCCTGCCTGAGGAACCAAAGGCCAGCGAGGTGCCTGGATGACCTGACTGTAGAGTATTGTATCATACACATATGATACGGCCGTTCCCTACCGAGTGTTACGCTGTTGCTGCGTGTATGTGTCAGTATGGTAAGTACATTACCGAATGTCCGTCACTTGGCTGCGACCTGAAACCAGACCAGCCTGTTCAAAACGCCTATTGTAATTGTACTGGTTGTTGCAATTCTTTATTGAACTGAATAATAGAAGAAGAATAATATAATTTTTCTCTTTCACCCAAACCCCTACATAATTTGGCGCCTTTAGACTTCGGATTAATCGCCCTATAAAACCAAACTGCGCGGTTGGTCTGAAAACTGCGGCGGGCGTTCCGCCTTCTCTCACGCCTCGACTTCACCTCATCCGTTCGCGCAGAGAATCCTCGTACAAAATCCGCGTTTCTTCGCTATCGAAAACACCCCCATCCCATCAATTTCTGGGACGGGTTTCATCGTCCTTCGCTTTATAACACCCCTCTCGGTTTCTCTATGTCTTTTCCCGGGACTTTCTACCCTCTGTTGTCCCCCTGCCGGACCTGATCTTAACCGTGGAGAAACGAGCCCCCTCGCCCGCCCCAGAACCCGGGGTCTTGGAGCGAGCATGTCGCTCGGACACCACCACACCTGGATGCCCCCGGGCCATCTGCGCCCACCCGATGATCAAACCGAATTCCGGGGTGTCAATGGCTATACAAAATATTTCACCGGTTCCAAAACCCCCCAGATGCGCGCCTCGGCTGATGCCGATGGGCCGCCCCATGGGGCCGGTTTGATATCAGATGCTGATATGACCGCCGAGGAGGACTCGCGCATTTCCACATTTCGCGACCTATACAAAGACAGCGAGGCGAAAATTAATAACCTCTTTGCGAATCAGCGGATTGCCGATGACTCGGTCCGCGCTCCCCCCGGGGACCCTGACCCGTCCGGGGCCAAGGACCAACGCGCCGACGGGCCGGCTTCACCTCCGCCGCCCCCTAAGAAGCCCGCGAGGAAGCTGGATGACGACGACTATGATGATTACGACGACGACGACGACGATGACGAGGCACCCTCCCCCCCTAAACCCAAGCCCCCTGTTCGCGAACCCAGCGCCGCAGTCCAGTCACCCAGTCGCGGTCATACCGGTTCGGTGTCGGGGACTGCAAATGGCACCAAACCCATAAAGAAGGAAACCGTGGAGGACATCCGCAAGAAATTGGCAGAAGACAAGAAGGCGACTGAGGAGTCGGCGAAGAGGAGCTTCCACACCCTGTTCTATACACTGGAAAATGACAGGGATGCCATGCTGGACCAGCAACGGCTCGAGGAGTCGGAGCGGCAAGTTGAGGCGGAAATGTCAAGTCAAACAAACGCCGGCAACAACGCGACTGCCAGCGGTAATGGCTACGGCTCGCTGAGCAGTGCCAATTTGGGTGCTTCGAGCTTGACCTTGAAGAACTTGATCGCAAGAATCGATATGAAGCGCACAATGGTCCAAGCGTCCGATGCGGAGCTCAGGAGCCTGATGAGCGAGGTTCGTAAGAATCGGAGTAAATGGGCCAGCGAGGACAAAATTGGCCAAGAAGAACTCTACGAGTCTGCGGACAAAGTCCTGAGTGAGCTCAAGGCGATGACCGAGCACTCGACTGCATTTTTGACCCGTGTCAACAAGCGCGACGCCCCTGACTACTATAGTAGTGAGTCCATCTTTGCGCAAAGACCCGAACCCCACATCTGGCCATGCTAATACCTCCAATAGTCATCAAGCATCCGATGGACCTGGGCTCAATGACGAAGAAGCTGAAGGCGTTACAATACAAGTCGAAGCAGGAGTTTGTCGATGATTTGTTTCTGATATGGTCCAATTGCTTCAAGTACAACACAAATCCGGAGCATTTCCTTCGCAAGCACGCCGTGTGTATGAAAAGAGAGTCGGAAAAGCTGGTGCCTCTCATTCCGGACATCGTTATCCGAGATCGTGCCGAGGTGGAAGCAGAGGAACGCAGACTTCAGCTTGCGGATATAGACGGTGGGGAGGAAAGTGACGATGAGCCGATCATGTCCTCTCGAGGTCGGAAGGCCCCAGGCAAATCAGCTTCTAAAAAGGGCACCGCACCCGCTCGGACTTCCTCTGGTGGCTCGGAACCCCCTGCGGGATCGTCTTCCCAGCCGCCACCGCCCGTTAGGTCTGACTCGGACGTCGCCATGGAAGGAGTTCAGAACGGCTTCGCGACGCCACCCCCCCCTGGAACACAGACACCGTCAGATCCCGTCGGCGCCGGTGCTGGTGTCTCTGCTAGCCAGGGTGACTCCATGGAGATCGATGGTCTCATTCCTGCTGCGAACATCGCTCCGAGTGCTTTGTCTGCTCCTGGTGTCGAACTCGAAGATCCCGAATATAAAGTGTGGAAGCAGGTTACTCAGAAAGATCGAGCTGTCATCGCCGCCGAAAGACATAGGCTCTTCAAAGGTGACAAACTAAAGCCCGATGAACCAGCTCTGCTGAGGACCAAAGCCGGCATGAGGAGGTGGATGAGGAATCAGAAGGATGTCAGCGCGGAAGGCGACAAGGCGCGCGAATCAGCGTCGCAAGTCATGGAGCAAGACGCAGCGGGCGAGACCCTGGCGGAAGGCATCGAAGTCGACGAGGATCGCGTTGTCCCAGATTATTACGATGTCATGTCTGCTATTCCCGACCTCCCTGGGAATCTACTCTGGAGAGAGGATGCAAGCGGGAACATCATTGACGCCTCTGAGGAATTTTTGCGAGTCCTTCCCAAAGGGGTCTTCACTGAACCAGACAGCAAGCTCTCTCGGAAAATGGATGCGAACATGCGCCAGATGCAGGAAACCCGAAAAATCTGCTCCAAGGTGGGCATCGTGAAACAGATGCAGTTGCAGTCGCAGGTAAATATCATCTATTGGTCCTCCCTGGAAACCCTTGTTAACTTATTGCTTGGCAGATGTACCAAAACCAGTTTCAGAAATACAACCCAGAGCCATTCGTCGAGCAAGACATCCCACCACATGTGATGAACGATGAAGGACCGGTGATTTCTCCTTGGGTCTGCAAGGCGGCTTTGCAGCGCTCAGTCGCCAAGATCTTTTACCATACCGGATTTGAGGAATACCAGCCGTCAGCACTTGATTCGGTTGCTGACATCGCCGCTGATTTCTTCCAAAAGATCGGCGAAACGCTGAAATCGTACATGGAAACTCCCAAAGTCCCAGTTGGCGACGGAGTAGAGAATACCTCTGCTGCGTCCCAGTGGAAGCGTCCTTACACGGAGCCGGAAATCGTTCTTCACACCCTTTCCTCCGTCGGCGTTGACATCGAGTCTTTGGAGACTTATATCAAAGACGACGTTGAACGGCTTGGGTCGAAGCTTTCAACTGTCCACGATCGACTGAGATCGCTTCTTTCCGAGCTTCTGCGGCCTGCCTTGGCAGACGCAGGCGAAGATGGCTCCAACGCCTTCAACGATGGGAGCGAGCAATTCGTCGGCGGAGACTTCGCCGAGGACATCGACGAAGATTTCTTCGGGTTCAAGGAGCTAGGGTTGGACAAAGAGTTCGGTCTAGCAACCCTCAGCGTCCCTCTTCACCTCCTGCAGAACCGGATGTTCACCGCCGCCCAGTCCCAGAACACCAGGTTTGTCAAGTCGCACTCTACTTGTGCGCAGCGTATGCTAATTTTCCCAGCAGCTCCACGCAGACCGTTACCATTTTCCCGTCCCCGGCTCCATACCCGCGCATCACGGCCGAAACAGTATTCTCGCAGATCGGCCTGGCACAGCAGTTCTTCAGCAACAAACTGCAAGCAAACAGCAACGAGCCTCTGGTCGAAGACCTCGAACTCCCCCCCAAGCAACGGCCCATGGCCGCCCGTCCGCGTCTCCCAGCATCCGGCCGAATCCCGCCCCCGTCAGGCCTCCAGGGCCCAAGCTCAAGTCCGCAGAAGCGACCTCCTCCACCCAATTCTTTCCCAGGTGGCGCCAAATCTGGCCAATCGGAACCTAGCAAGAAGAAGGCTAAGAAGAATAGTGGGAGTGCGGGCGCCCCCGGGCCAGGCGGCGATGGGGATGAAGCCACTACCGGTATGGATGGCACTAAAGATGCAAACTCGACATTGGAAAACGGGAAGAAGGAACCGTCCACTGAAGATGCCTCAGCCGCCCCGTCAAACGACATCCCCAATGCAAAGGGCGGAGTAGATCGTTCTTCTTCCGGCGCTGCTGGCGCCGAGAACGACGCATCAACCTTTGATCAAGCCAAAGATAACGATAGTGGACGTCTCACGAATGGCACAGTGAGAGATGCCTCATAAGATCCTCATTCCCATATCCGCCCTATCTAGGACATCTGAACGGTACACTGCGCATCCTCAAGACCACACTGCATAACGGGCACAGCCAATGGAACACCAAACACGGACGATAGATACTTTGGCCCGTTCTTGTCCTCAAGCACCGTCAAGCATACCTGTCCCCATCGGCCCTCACAACCCAATCACACTTCCTGGCATCCTAGATGAAGAATCCCGCTTTTTGTTCCCGTTCATGCCCGTGTCTCTAATTCTCATTCTCATCCATATACACTATAGTACTATCTTTCTTTTCTTTCTCTCTTTCTTCCTTTCTTCTTTTTCTTCTTCTTCTTTACAACCGATTGATATCCTGTACCAGTGCCAATCAAACCATACAACACGGGGACTTCTTCACCAGCCAGGCCTTCTATCACATGCCCTTATACCTCAAAGCTTCGACCTCTTCAAAGCGGCATTGAAATCCCACTTGGTCACCTCTTTATCTTTCTCCCCACAGCTCCCGAATTTATCTTCTTTCTTGTCTCTTTACTTTCTTCTTTTATCATTCTACCTGGTGTCTCCGCACCACTATCTGTACCCTTCTTGTCAGCCTCCTTTATACACGTGTCTGAATGTGTCAATGGTCAACTGTGGCCGGGTTCAGTGGTTTTGATTTTGATTTTGATTTTTCTTCTTTTTGTGTTTTCTTTTCTGTTCTGATATCCTCTCGCCTATAGGATTTGGAAAGGTTCGGACTGTCGTACATAGCTTGATACTTCGAATAAAGATGAAGATCTTCATATCACCTTGTCTAGTGCTTTTGCTCCTTTCTTATCCCTCATGCCTCCTACACGTGAATTTTATGTTGTGTAATTACCACCAAAGTGTATCTCGTCGGGGGATTTACGTTGCTATCTATGGCGAGAAGAGAGTTCTTTTAAACCCATAAAACGATGATGATCATATTTCATCCTAAGGTACAAAATGGGATACTAGTCTGCAATAACCTATCCTCCAGATCGACATGTCCGTTAAGTGTAGTCAATCCCTGTCAAAGTTGGTCGTCGCTAACATTGGCCCCAAATCGATTAACCTTGAAATCCCAGCCTATTGCGCCTTGGTCCTCCTGACTGTGACCCGGAAGCCCACGTGCCCACCTAAAATCATAAACGAAATCGACGCCTAAATAATGGAGTAGACATTATCTCGAGCGGAAAAGCAAAGGGAGCAGAAAGAACGTAGAAACAACGAATACTGATGAAACTTTGAAAAAATAGCACCGAGAATAAATGCCTCATCTCACCGAAAGATCCATGTAAGTGGCAAATCAGATGTACCACATACCGAAGGGCAAGCGGTTAGAGGTGCCATGGATAGGAAGCAGTCTGGGATCTACGGCCTTGTTCTTAGGCTTGGGGTTGGTAAGTTTGACCTCAGGGCCGCTCTGAGGGCCAGAACTGGCCGGCACATCCTCATGAGGGCGGGCGCGATTCGAGATTAGATGCGCATAGTAAACGGCCGGGACTAAGGTTCAATGTTAGTGAGGCGGAGCATTTAGAGAGAAAGAGGCGGGACTTACACAACGACACTGAGGTGGTGGAGCGCATGTACTGATAACAGTGGTCATAGATCATGTTTTCGAGCTCCTGTGCCTTGTGGCCGATCTGATCAAGAATCACATGGTAGTGAACGGGGCGCGATGTTCCCTGCAGCGCGATGTGCGAATAGAGAAGAAAATCCCAATCATGTGGACTAGTAACGTCCTTTTCAATGAGAGTTCCCGGAAGAGGGTTGCCGTTTCTATCGGCCGAATTGCGATCTCCGGGTCTGGGGAAGGCCCTGAGATGATGACGCTTGTTCGCAATGATGACAGTAAACTTGCCCTTCCACTGCTCCTGAGTGAGCTTCATGAAGATAGACTTCATGTCGAAAACTTCCTGTTTCAGGACATGTTCAAATTCTCCCGTGGAAACTCCATCGCGAAAGTAGTAGACATGCTCGGGGGCGCGTCCCTGTCCAACTGTCGCCATCCATTCACGAACAAGAGGGGTCAGCATATGTTCGATATTAGCACGTGCGATGATTTCAGTACGGTCTCCGTTTGCCTCACAGGCGCCCCAGTAGCGGCCACCGAACGAATCCATGCATACTGACATGGCAGCCATCGACGGGGACCACACACCCATAGGAGCATGCGTAACATCCGCCCCAATGATCATCGAGTTAGCGCGAAATGTAGCTTCCTTGACCTTGGGCACAATGCGGGCAGTGGTGCCACCGAGCTTTGCATTGACCTTCATCAACACGTTGGAGATGTACTGAGGGTTGGCTTTTGCCACATGAGCCGCTTGGAGGCACTGCGACGGAACACCCCAGCGACAGTCGCAGGATTTCTTGATACGACTGTAAGTAAAGGAATTCTTGTCAGGAACGACAATGATCAACAGCTGTGGATCCTTTTGGAACTTCAGGCCGGTGGAGTTGTAAAGCTTCTTGAGGGCCTCCGCAACATCCTCTTTCAGTTCAACGACTAGGGGGCGATTGGGAACACTGCCTCCATGTCCAGCGTAGGTCTTCATAAACCCGTCCGCGAACTTTTCAATTTGGGTTTTGTTGATGGCATTGCGCTTCCCGGGAAAGAATCCGATGCTCCAACTTTCCAGTGGTCTCTTGTTGGGTTGATAGAACTTTTTGCCCCGGAGGTCCCAGCGACCGTTGGTTCCTGGATTAAGGCGCTGGTTGCCTCCAAATTGGATTTCTGGATTGGGCAGGAGGCGAGCCTTGGTGCGAATCATGTTGGCGTCAACCTGGAGACCAAAACTTCTCAGGACAGGGTCGGCAGAATGCTCAAGCATCTCCTTGGACTTCTGGATAAAGCTCAAACGCTCAGCAGGACGAGACGCCGCATATTTGATCATGGCGGAGGTCTGCCACTCGTTCAATTTCCAGGGATACTTGTGAAGTCCGTGGATGGTCAGAACCTCCATAGGATAGACAACCCCTTTCTTGGTCATTTCGACCATAGGGAGCTCCCAGTTGTTCAAGATCAGATTGTACTTCTTTTTGAAGTAGGCGTCCACGGTCATCGTTTCGACCACGCCGGTGGCCTTGTCTTTGATGTCAATCGTATACTGACGTGCGTGGGCATTGAGAAGCCCTTTCACAACGAACGTGGTACCGCTGACAGGGCATCCGGCATAGTGTGGCTGTACGTGCAGCTTCCGGAGCCGTCGATGGACCTCGTAGAATCCATGAGATTCAGTGACTCCACCGAAGCCATCGGGCGCAGCACGAAGCAGATGCGTCAAATGCTGATGATCTCTGGCATCAAGAACGGCCATAGCAGCTCCCATGAACGAAATGCGAGCCCAAAAGCAAGTGTTTGAGACGTCGATGTTGACAATGAGACCGCGATTCTAGAGGCAATGTTAGAAAATGACAACACCAACTATCTCAATGGAGGCGAAGGCTCACAAGAGCAGGTCTGATAGCTTGATAAACGCCCTTGAAAGCGAGGACGGCGTTTCCCAGGTCGCGATTTTCGCCGTTGGGATCAAAGAAGGATCGCTTGATGGCGACAAATCTACCACTTGGGTATTCACGAAGAACATGGTCCAGGAAGTCTAAAAGCAATTAGAAAAGAAACTCAAACACAACCACGATTCTTCAAAACACTTACTGAGGGCTTCCAGAACAGACTCCTGCATTGAAGTTCTGCCCTGCAACCAAGCGTTCAAAACGGCAAGATTCACGGTTTTGGTCGGGCGAACAACAAGACGGAAGACATTCGAGGTCCTACCAGCGCGACCCTGTTCAGCATCCAAGTCGACCATGGCATTCAGGCCATTTGGGTAGTTGTTCATGGACCTTTGACATATTAGTTACTACTGCTCATAAAGAAAGGACTTTTCGGTTGCTGCCCACCAGGCCAATTTTGAACCATCGAAAATAATCTGCTTTAGGGCAGATTTTCTGGCGTTCGAATCCCAGACCTTCTTGATCACAACGTTCTTTTCAGCTCCGTTGCCAACGTGGACCTAGTGCATAATTCAGTCATGGCATCTTCAACGAAAAGTGACATGGAGAAATTTTGCCAAACAAAAGACATAAACCTTGAATGCTTGGGATACTTACATCGTACTGGTAGATCGTTTTGTTGGGGAACTTGATAATCGGGTAGGCGTTCATCTGGACTTCAATCTCCTTGCCAGTAGTATTGAATCCAGGACGAGGGACAGTGTCCACTGGAACCGCGTACTTTTTCAGTTCGTCAGCATCACGAATGCGAACATGGCGGAGACCACCAGTAAGCTTGTTAATCTCTTCGAAATTCTCCATGACGACAGGGATGTACAAAGTAAAGTGTGGACAAGAAAGGGAAGGACCTAAGCCACGGGGAATATGCAGTGGAAGCAAAGCTGAAACCGAAGTGGAAGTGGAAATGGGAGTGGGAGTGTGGTTGAGGAGAGTAGAAGAGTTGAAGATCAGGGGAGGAAGAAGAAGGGTATAAATAAGTGGAAAACTTGCAGAGTTGGCCCATTGTGAATCATCGTAGACAATTCAGGAGCAGTGAAACAAAGAGATGAATGCCGGTTTGCAGAACCAAGGGGTGATGCATGGGCAATGAATAGATGTGTGATATACAGGATGTTGTTTGACCAAAAGCAAGAGTGAATGGGACTGGATAGGGACAGAAACATGGAGTGTGACGGGCCTGCAAAGAAGGGCATTGGTGGTAGTGATAACAATGGCAAGTGAATGGACAGAAAAAACAAACCAGGAACAAATGATTGTAGGGGGAGGGGAAACAGTTTTACAACTCTAAATATGGATTCCAAAGCTCTTTCTTCTCAATAATCCACCATACAGAATCACCAAAGGAGACTGAACAAGAGGAAGAAAGGAGAAGAAGAGAAAAACAAACAAGACGAAAACTCACCAGGTGGTTGATGTTATATGCACCCAGTGGCAGATCGATATTTCTGCACATGTCCGTTGCAAACTTGGGGCGATCCAAAGCTGGATCCCCAGTATGGACTCCAGCCATGTTTACACAGTGAGCCTTGCTCAGGAATTCTCGTTAAAGTGTCTATACCCATGTGTTAGTCTCTGGGATCGCTGACATTGCAACGCAGTCGCGCAGAAAACTAGCCTCCCAGGGCTTCCCTGGAGGCGGCACAAGACTATTCTAGTCCATACGATACATGCATATGGAAAGGTCTGAGTCGACAGGCAAGCAGGCAATTTTCATCCACAGCTTTTTGCAGACCACTTGGCAAAACAGAACAGGCTTATACAACGCTAGTGCTGCACCGACACCAGACCACAAAAAGCGAAAACTTACCGAGACGGGCTGTCAGAGACGTGTCGGCGAGTAGACGGGCGATTTCGAGACCGACGAGAAAAGTGTCCAATCGGAAATCGAGTCTTTGGTGTGTATGCGTCGACGATCAGCAGATGTATCTTGGAGGTCGTGGGACCAAGACCAAGGTATGGAGAAAGGGTTGGAGAGGCAGACTGATAGGAAGTTACGGGTAGGATAATAATGAAGGAGAGTAAGGATGGTGGAAAAGAAAGACGAGAGAGTAGGAGAAGATCAGGTAGAATAGGACGGAAGGAGCTTACAAGGATAAGATGAGGTGAAAGCTTCCTAGCAGGAAGGAACAGCAGAGTGAGATTGGGGAAGAGGTCAGAGGTTGGCAAAAGTGAGGTGGAGATAATAGAAGAGGTAGGTATGTAGAGAAGAGGTAGGTGTGTAGAGAAGATGAGGATGATGGAGAGATGAAGCAGAAGAGAGGACTATGGTATGGTGAAGCTTGGAAAAGAGGAGAGGAGAACGCGAAGCTGTGTATACACAAACGCGTTGGTTGCTAGGAAGGTACGTGAGGCGTGGCAGAGACGTGACAGGCACGCGACGAAGACAACAACTCGAGAAGGAACAGATGGCAGAAGATGGAAGGTGCGGTGGAGGAAAAGTCAAGGAAAGAGAAGGAGCTTTTGGAGAGGAAGGTTGTAGAGGATGATAGAAGATGAAGCTTCATGTAAGAGATGAAGGCCTGATACTTGACTTACCTTCAGATGATTTAGAATGAGTAGATGGGAAGATGGAATGTTGATTTGAAGTGAGAAGGAGATGCGTGTGGTGTTTGGAGTGGACGTGGTGGTGGACGTGTTAAGAGACGTGTAGTTGAGAGACCTAGTGAGGTTGCTGTGAGCAAGTTCTCAATTTCCCATGGCTGATCTTCTGGGTCAAATGATTGCTCGTTGGAGGGGAAGGCTACCTAGAGAGAAAACTTGCCAGGTAGTTGCAGTCAAGAGGGAGACCTTTTATGCTGTAGCATAGAAGTTTTCTAGTTATATTGGAATGAACGGCTATACACGCGCCCTGTATGGCAGGTAGAAAGCACGGGCAAGGACGTTATCAAGACGGTTTATACTGGAGTGCAGTGGGAGGGAAGAGAAGTCGACATGGCCAAAGTATTCGGATTGATCGAGAGTGAGGACCACCTAAGATGTACAAGTATAGGAATCGCCTTAGCCAATCAATGACTTACACTATAGCTCTACGAAAGATCATAGTCAAAACAGCCAAGTCACGATATCTCTGATTCATTCCAGACTAGTTTGTTCGATAGCCATTTTACAACCGTGCCTGTACAAGCCACACCTGACGCGAGCAACAAATCCAACCAAGAAAGAGAAGGTAAAAACGATAAAACTAATCCAGAATGAGATACCTGACCTGGGCCGTGGCCATCGAACATTCAAAGATGTGGGCCAAACCAGGATTGAACGCCGATCCCCGAATGCAAGCGGTACTGAAGAGGACTATACAGTTTGGGCCACGCGGGTATGTGAGGCGATGTCATCGCGAAGTCAAAGGAGGAGATCGGTAATGCACGTCATCGAGGCAGTCTGGAGACATTAAAGGAGTTTAGGAACGGTACATGCCTATGGTATCGGGTTAGCTGATTTGATCGATTGAACGGGTGGGTGTTGGAAAGGGTCTCAAAAATGGGACACCAAGATCGAGGGTAAAACATACCAGAAAATGGCTGCGACCCCATGGGTGCTTGGCCGCCCCCAAGCCCTCGGACTGATTGTGGAAGTGGGATCTGGGAGATAGAGCTTGGCATATCTATCCTCCGGATGAGATCGACCATTTTCTCGGGGGAAAACCTTCCAGCCGTGTATGCGGATGCCGACGGGATGATGCTCAGTAGATAAACGATATCTCGGGGTAATGGGGCCGGGGACCCCTGAGATCGGAATTGGGACGCCTGGACTCCGACGGGCTGGGGTCGCTTTTGCTGTTCCAACTGCCGCTTTTGGGTCGTCTTCAAGGGTGACTCGGCTCGTGCAAATTTCCGGGGTCTACTTCCGTCCTCGTCGAAATCTTCCAACGGCCTCTTTGGCGAGTCTGCGACCGTTGTTTCGGGATATCTTGGAGAGAGAGTGCCATGGCGAGACGCCATTTGCTCCTGGGGGAAGGCTTGCTTTGGCCTCATTTGAGACGGAGAGATAATCGGGCGGACGGCAGTTGGGTCAAAGGCAGCAGTCGAGTAACGGTGCGCAAATTGCTCTAATGTTGGGTCCTCAGGGAACAATTCACGCATCCGGCTTTCAAGGTTGATGACTTGGACGAGATCACCATAGCGCGACTCGTATTCGTGCAGGAACGCAAAGATTGGCTTGGCTTTGTGTACATTCTCTGGGTTGGACGCTAGCTTTCTCACAGTCATTTCGAACACCGCTCTGGCATCTAAAAATAGAAGGATCAGTAACCAGTTCTAGGGGGCATGAAATGAGGATCAAGGCTCAACTTACTGATGACATCGTTGATGTCGATCAAGTGCTTCAAGTATTCAAGAGCAAAGTTCTCGTCATCGGGGAAGAGCTTAGCGCCACGCTCAAAGATCTTAGTAGCTGCAGGGTCCTTGTAGCAATGGTATTCGATAAGCGCACTGGCGATGTAGACATCGCTTGTGATACGCCCCCTCTTGCGAGCATCGGCAAAGACCTGTCTCGAGCCGGGCATCTCTCCAGGTTTTCCCTTGCCTTGGATGCGCCGCATTGCACGCATAAGAGCAATCCAAGCAAAGGAGACCGTCCTTGAGAGTATCCCAATCTGAATGGCGTGCGCATTTCGTAGTGCTTCAATCTGAGCGCTCTTCATTAACTCTAGTGACTTTGACTCCTGGTTCTGGTCGTCATCGTCATCGTCGTTGGACGGCTGTTTGTTGGGGTAATTTCGTGCAAAGTGTTCTTCCAAGCCAGCGACGTCCTGTGATTCCCGCGTCCGGGCCTTGCTGATCAAATCGTACAGAGCATCCAGCAAACGATCATAAGGTTCGCGGACTTTCGCACCTCGCTTGATAGGGTCTTGCTCAGATTCCGAAGTGATCTCCAGACGGTCAGCTCGCTTGAACGCGAGCAGGCAGCTTTCCGGATTAGCATCGACACCGTGTTTCAGAAATTCATTCCCTTCGGTTTCCAGGTCGTTGAGGAAACAGAACTCAGCCGCTTCAAACCACATTTCCGGCAAAAACCTGAGTGCCATCAAAGCCTGCTTGTAGACGTATACGACTCGCGATTTGAATGCTGCCATGTCTTCCTCCTTCAAAACAAGAGGGTCGCCCTTCTCCCATTGGATCCAGCGCTTCCAGATGTCAACTTGCTGTGCGAAATCAACATCGCCCTCGGAGCCTGGAACAGGAGGGAACCGGGGCAGGGATGTCCGGTTGAGATCCCTGGTGATATTTTGCAGTTCCGTATATGAGCTTCGCGCAGTCATGTAAGCTGGAGACTGTTCCTGAAGGAATTTTCGGCCCTATCAAACGGTCAGTAACAATATGTGAAGTGGATATGGCGTTAGGGTTACCGTAAGCTTGTTCAATCCCATCTCAAACTGGTCGTACTCCTTCCACAGTGTGTTGACGGCCTGGGTCGGCACACCTATAGCTTTCTGGTATGCCTTCCGGAGTAAATCCATTTTCTGCTGGTCTTGCCATCCCGAGCCTCCAACATTACCAGGTCCGGAGCGAATAAACTGCACGTAATCTGCCCAAATCGAGCCGGAGTCCTTATCTACACCGACATACTGAAAAGCTAGATCGTAGGCAGATGAGATGATTGCTCTCGACTGTCCAGACTTATCTGTGGATAAAGGGTTTCGCCGACGGACGTAGTCCAGATACACGGTCCAGAGCTGGACATCAGGAATCGTCAACAGAGTTCTATTGAAGATTTGTTCCAGACGGTAGAGCTCGTTGAGTTCGGACTCCATATTTGCGTATGCCACCCATTGTGCAGCCTGGGAATTTAAAGAATGAGTTTTTGCTTTTGTGTAATAATGAATGGCGCGGATGACTCACGGCAAATGGGAAGACAGTCAGGAAACGTTCGTAGACATCGCGAGCATTATCAATCCTGTTGCGGCTTCTGTGTTCATTAATTAATTCAAGCCAGGCAGGGATATCTCCGCGAGGGTCCTCTTGGATTCTGTCCTCCAAGATACCGATGCGGTCATGGGGCAAGCGACCCTTCGAAGTGGATGGAGATTCAGGAGTAGGAGTAACGGCAGCGCTGCTTTGCACATTCTCCAGCTGTGGGGTACGTGAGTTGTACAGGTCCTGGCCCGATGGGGTCGAGGCCTCATTTTTAGAATCAGCGGCAAAAGGGTGAAAAGAACTATTGGAAACATTTTTCGCGTTGGCAGACTGCTGCGCAGCTTGATCCAACGATACATCAGGGGTAGAAGTATCTTCATTTGCATTTCCTGAAATGGGTTGCTGAGGCACATTCACAGGTATACTATTCATGTCCTCAACACCTAGTACAGCCGGAGGCTCATAATCTGCATCGCCCGCCTCATCCTCATCCTCATCCTCGACCACAAAACCCCCAATTGTTCTGGTCTTTGGCTGTGCAGAGTTCGTACCAGATGTGGAAGCCGGTGTTGCTTCCTGGGACTCAGCGCGTTGAGGTGTCTGAGATGGCTGGTCACTGCCAGTCTGCTGAGCAGGATCCGTGTCCGCGGGAGGGGAGACATCGTCGGGTTGCTGTTGCTCTGGAGCGGAGGCATCTGGGGGAGCACTTTCGTTTTGTTTGGTGTCTGTTGGGGTAGTAGAGTATTCGTCTTGTAGCGTGTTTGATGGATCATATTCGTCTGAGTCTGAATTATCTGCACCCTCTTCCCCATCGGCCTTATATTCCGCAGATTCCGCATGATCTGCCTGGGCCTGGAAAAAGGCCTTCTCGGCGTCTTCATCAGCCATGACAGAAGAATGTGACCTCAAGCGCAATTAGGGGGAAAGTGTAAACAGACAATTTCTGTCTTGCGATCCGGTTAGCGACATGGAGATCTCTCCGCGAAGGGGGTGTTCTTTGGGGAATAGACCACATACTAGAAAGAGTGGGAGGGGAGAAGCGAATTTCGGTAATTGTATTTAGTCCCTAAGACAATCACGAAAGATTCTAATGGGTTAAGAGGACAGACCGACTGGTGGACACGCACTGTTGGTCCCAACTGGAGATGATGCTGCTGCTGCTGTTCCACACGCTTGGCAGAAGCTGCAGCTGTCACGCATGCGCTCACGTGACAGAGGGCGGTGAGCGCGAGAATGCGTCCAAAACGCGGCGCGTCGTCGATCTTTCTTTCTAGGGTTGGTCAATTTAATTACTTGCTGCTTTGCTGGTGCATCTCTCCCCCTCGATGAACTCCTCCAGTTCTTTCTCCTGATCCTATTTAAAGTCCTTTCTATCTCCTGACTTGGATTCTAAAACCTTCCCCGCATTCTATACTTCCAATACAGAGCCCTCGGCCCAAACCTATATACCCAACCCAAATCTCATCGCGAAACTCGCGCCCACCTATCGCCATGTCGGTCGTCTCTCTCCTCGGGGTGAAGATCGTCAACAACCCAGCGACGTTCCTCGACCCGTATCAATTCGAGATCACTTTTGAGTGTCTTGAGCAGCTCCAGAAAGGTTTGTTCGAAATCAAAAATTAATCGCGATCGCAATACTGATTAAGAGCCTTTTCCTTTAGATTTGGAATGGAAGCTCACTTATGTCGGTTCTGCAACCTCGTAAGTTGAAGCCGGCCGGGTCGTCCTTGTCGAATATTAGCGCTAATTTGAACAGCTCGGAGTACGACCAAGAGCTGGACTCTCTTCTTGTCGGGCCCATACCTGTTGGAGTCAACAAGTTCATCTTCGAGGCCGATGCCCCCGATCTCAAGCGGATCCCCACTTCTGAAATCCTCGGTGTCACCGTGATCCTCCTCACATGCAGCTACGACGGGAGGGAATTCGTTCGTGTGGGATACTACGTGAACAATGAGTACGATTCGGAGGAGCTCATGGCCGACCCGCCTGCGAAACCCATCATTGAACGCATCCGCCGGAACATCCTTGCTGAGAAGCCGCGAGTGACTCGATTTGCCATCAAATGGTATGCCGTTTTCTATAATTGCCTTCTTTCATTGCTGTAAACTAACATCTCCAAGGGATACTGAGGAGTCTGCCCCTGCCGAATACCCGCCTGACCAGCCAGAGGCCGACAACCTTGAAGATGACAGCGGTGCCTACGGTGTTGAAGAAACAGAGCTTGAAGCTGCCTTGGTAAAGGAGTTAGCCGATCATGGCAAAGAGCCAAAGGCTGAAGATCACGAAATGGAGGGTGCCGAGCCCACTCCTGTCAAAGAAGAAGACGAGGAGGAAATCTCCGACGGTAATGAAAGCGAGGATATCGAAGACGAAAGCGACGATGACGATGACGACCTTGACGAAGAAGATGGCGCCGACGGCGACGAGGACGTCGAAATGGGCGACGATTCGGAGCAGAAAGATGACTCCAAGTCCAACCACCCGGTCCAGCCTGCCCATCCGGAGGTCATGGTGCACTGATTTGAAGCACCATCCCCGTTATATCCAAATTTACGAACTGGATTGTTGAATGTTTGCCCATCCTTTTCTTCATATGATTTTATGATCGGTTGCAACGTTTCATGATATAGGAGCTCCCCATACATACCTTACCTTTACTTTCACATATGCACCATTTAGTTTACGATATAGAACCAAATCAATAACATGTCAACAACCAAATAAACATTCCTTCCATCAATATACCCGGTAACCATGGTGAAGAACCAAAGGGATACATAGTACGTCCCTCAACCAAGTTCCACCTCAGCCTGCACTACACGCAGGGATCTTCAGCGGTCTGCAGAGATATGGACCACCATCAATATATCCCTCACAGCTGAACGCAAGGCCTGGATGAATTGTCGGGCACAGGGACCTCATTTGCAATGTAGCTAAAATTCTCTCAGTGCACAGCAGGACACCCCCCCCCCCCCCCCCCGCGCTCTCCTTCCTCGCCATTGATCTCTCATCTGCCGATCGCCACAGCTTTTGTTATTTTGCATTCTTTTCTTATAGCAGCAAGCTACTGCGCTTCACCTCGCGTATTTGAAAAAAAAGGGGGCCCACATCACAAGAAGGAGATTACCAGCTCAGCAACCAGGGTTAGAGACATCATCAAGTCCAGACTTTGTGAAGATCTAACCCTCGCAGTTGTTATGCATATCCTAACTACTATGATAGTTAGTAGTTACTTCTACTAAACAGCTGTTCAAGTGATATCTATCCCCGGTGTCAATCAGTTACATCATAATTCAGCCAGTCTTGGAGTGACATGGGAGGTAGTTTGGATCTCGTTGTTTTCACCTGTGATTAGGGGAATAGGAACCTGTTCTAGATTCACCCAGTTCTCTTTTTGTCTAAAAGACTTTAGAACATGGGTGTTGTAGATACACTTTCCAATTGACAGTGACAGGTTGTTCGCCGGGGCTCACAGCATGGTATGTACTGGGTAGATAACGATATGTATGGATGTTGGGACTACAGGAGTGGATATACTTGAGTTATACTGTGCTGGGAATTCACCTTATCTGATTTAAGGTAGTTGATTTATGTTCGCTGGTAGGTACTTTATAAAGTGACCTATCTTTTAGGTGATTGTACCTATACCCAAACCTACTTCGACCAGTGAATAAATAGTATACTGATATTGCTATCTGACAACTTAGAAAAAAAAAAAAAAAAAAACCAACAAAGAGCTCCGCCCATTACCACGCAGAATCACGTATGAAATAAGTATAACAAGCACCCAAAACACAGTTTTATAAAATGTATAAAGATATCGGGGTATGTAATTAAGAATAAATTCTCCTTCCACAGTCTGTCTGTCAATTCCCTTTGTAAAACGTTCATCCTTCAAAGACCAAACTTCGCCCCCAACGCTATCAACTTGATTAGCACGACCGACAGTATACCATACAGAATAGGAAAAATTGGTACTTACCACCCAAAACAGCCTTCTTCTTCTGATTCTGAACATACTTGTTGACATCCCGAGCCCAGCCGCTGCTGTTTTCCTCTAGACGATCCATCTGGTCGCCGGCCATACTGAGCTTCTCGGTACGCTCTTGCACCTGGCGTTGCATGTACGACCAGTATCCTTCCTGGCTGCTTTGAGACTGGCTCGACATATTGGTCGGAGTTCGGTTTTCCCGGTCGAGTCTTCGGCGTTCTTGGTCGTCGAGGCGCACTTGTTCTTGCATCTTTTTGGATAATGGTCGGTCGGGGCCTCCGACTGTGAGATATGTGTTAGTGTGTAATTGTCCCTTATGATAGCTTTTGGGGGGGTGGTACGAACTGAGAATGTCCATGTCGGCTGGAGATACGTATTGCGTGCCGGATATCCATTGGATGTTGCTGATAGTTGGTCGTGGGGGGAGTTGGGCTTCTGCGTTGAAAAGTCGGTCTTCCGAAGGCCGCCTGTATAATCTTTTTAGCACCCGATGGTAGGAAATAGGGAAGGAAATAGTTCTTACACTCCTGGTCCGGATGACCAAACGTTGAATAGTCCCACTTGAGAGGGCCCCGTCCAGAGAAGAACGGTCCCGTTCGAGCAAATGGTAGCATCCGAAAGGCGTCTCATCTCAGCCATGTGTCCAATGGGACTGCAGCCAACTTCTTTGAGTCCAGGGATTGAGAACGCGCGAACATGACCATCGCCGAAAAGTCCAATCAAAGTATGGCCTCGGCCTTCGACATGGACGACTTCGGCGGAGTCACACAAAAAGTCATCCCAGCTTTTATGAGCACCCTTCGAGGTGGCTGGCTTGAAGATCCTACATCCGGAGACGGTCACTGCGATGACAACGCCGTTGACTCTAGTACCGTTCCTCAAGCCTCCGACGGCGTTCGGTGTCGCCAAGGCAGGGTTACCAGTGTCGGCATTGACGGGCGAGATCTTGATGACTTTGTCGTCTAGCAGCAAAGCACCAGCGAATTGGGCCTCGTAGGCCCCATTGCTCGCGGGGATTATTTTAAAAGTTGCAAGGTGTCCCTTACTAGTTCCCACAAAGCAGCAAATGCTCGAGTAGTCTGAGAATCGGATTAGTATAATCTGGCTTTTTTCTTGAGAAGGGAAACTCTGTCCTTACCGTCACCTTCTAACGTCAATACGCCAAATTCAATGCTTGTAGGCCACTCCGGCACCGGCGCTTCCGAGGCACGATGCTTTCCGAGGAAGCTACCCCGTTTGTTGGCCTTGGTCAGTTCAGATAAATGGGCCGTGTGGATAATGGCCGGGCCACGGAGATCGATGATGACAATGCCACCGTTTTGGAAGCCAGCTGCGACAAAACCAACTTGGCTATGCTTCAAGGCAGTCACTGGTCCCTGCTGCATGTCCAGCAGTGTCAGTGGGAGGAAGCCCGCCCTCAACACAGGATCAGTCCTATGGGTGACTTTGGTTAGCATCCCTGGTCCCTGGTTGGCACCCGGAGGCTCTTCGCGGCCGAAGCTCGGGTTGTTGCCCCATCTGAAGATCACGAATTCTCCGGATTTGAGGCCAATAGATATTTCGCCAGTCGAGCCACTCAGGGAAATCTCTGAAACTTCAACATTGCCGACTCGGCCCACAGCCCGCGCCAAGTCCACTTGGATGACGTCCCCATTTTCGACCTCATCGTCGTGTCCCACGTCCCACAGGCGGACAGTCCCGTCTCCATGGGCGGTGGTAATGACATTCCGATTTTCAAATCGCTTGAGCGCCCTTCTTGCTTCGGCGCCACCCTGGAGGAACTTGGGCCCCTGCGATCGCCTCTCCTTGAGACCAAGCCAAGCTCCGCGCTCCACTGCAGTTAATTTGATCTTGTTCACAAACGGATGAACAAAAGTGAGAGACGGGTGGATCATGTTAGTCGGAGTGATGGGATGGCCACTCGGGAAACTCATGGTGATCAGCTCGCCTGAGGAGAGGATGGTCATAAGGGCAATCGGATCGTGGGCGCCGGCATAATAAGGCGAGGCGCGGGGAAGGAGACAGAAGTCTGCAACCTCCGCACCAGGAGGGGTGGGAAGATTGGTAATTCCCTGCGGTTCCGCAAAATATTTGGTGATCATGGCCCAAGAAGAGGTCTGATAGTTCGGGCTTGACCCCAAATCAATGAAGGTAAGCCCTTTGTTGGACTCTGCCTTTGGTCGACCACCAGCTATCAACAGACCACTATCATCACCGTTGGCCTTTACACACCACGCAATTTGCGTGATGGGATTGATCAAACCGGTCGCAGCCCCTCCGGTCTGAGGTTGGACACCTGGCTGATCAACGTCCGCCGTCTGTATCGACCTAGCCATCAACTTGCGGCCGTCTTTTGAGTCCCAAAAGACCAGACTGTTGTCGTCGTGCACCGTTAATATGAAGACCCCATTTGGGTGCCACAGCGCCCTGGTTAATCGAGGTTTGTGCAGATCGTGTAACGGGACATTGGAGTTGCCCCCCAGAGCGCCAGGAGGTACCTCATACTCGAAGTAGTGCTGCGCGATGTTTTGCTTGAACGAAAACACGACGGCTCCGTCCGGATATCCCACCAAGACCTTGCCAATGTCGCGAGGCGAAAATGCGAGCGAAACCACTGGACAGAAGCGCGCCCGAGGATTGCGCTGGACCCAGAGGTTCGAGACCCTGAACGGCGTGAGGGATTCGCGGTCCAGGTCATAGGCAATGATATCCCCTGTATCAACCCGTCAATACCTGATCATCTCTCCTCCTACCAAGTATTTCCACATACCGTTTTGCAGACCAATGAACGCATAGTCGAGGCTCGGATCGGTCAACAATGCACTGACATGGTTCGGCGGGGTATGAGAGACAAGCGTCTGTTTGGTGTCGAGCGAGAAGACAGATATTTCACTCTTGGAGTCGACGCTGATAAGCTTGTCGGCGCAAAATTGGAGGAATTTGGCGGACGCCTTTCGAGGCAAGTTGAAGATGGCAGTTACTCGTCGTTGACCGAAGACATAAATTTGGCCGCATCCAAACTGGGTGTCACTTGTGCCCACCGCCAGGAGAGACTGAACCGGATCGTATGCGATAACGCTGACCTGGGAATTGATACCGTATCGTGCGAACTGCAAATAAAGTAATATTCATCAGTACTGATCTCTTCTCAAACCACAGCTTGCGGGGAACCTACATCATCGATCGCGAACAGATCTGGCGACAGCCCCTCGGAAAAGTCCTTCTGTATTCCGGCTTGCTTTCCTCGCAGGAAATGTGCCATATTGCATTAGAGTTTGGGGTTTCCCAAAACGATGGAAAGAATAAAGAAATATATGGAAGCGGGAGAAGGAGGTGGTAGTATGAAACCTCAAAAAGGCGGAACAGAAACCTTGCAGGTGTTTGATGGAGGACCTCAAGGCATCTCCATTCATGCCGCGGAGTGTTCAATTGACGCCATTTGCCAGCGCTGGTCGCGGGGCGGTCGATCGGCCCCACCTTACTGTCCGGAAGGAGTTTAGTGACTATTGAGGTATGGGATGCCAGTGCCACCGGTATCATCATTCTGGGTTCTTTGTCCCAGCATTACAATATCAGTGATACGATAATGATATATATTGCTTTTTGGTAAAGAAGAGAAGATTTGAATCTATGATTTTGTTATATACATTTGTTGCTGCACCAAACTGGAGGTTGGGATCTACAAAAGAATCCATGCAACCAGTGGAAATGACCACTGCAACGTAGCCCAAGCAATGTGAAGTGTTCAGGCATAAAGATTGACTGCCAGATCAACCAGGCAGCGATAGACCTTGATTCTGACCCTTCTTGTAGTGACGAACCTCAGCAACTACTAAGGTATATAGTAACGCCCGCGCATATATATTTCTGTACAGAGTGCTCTGACACAGGATAAGCTAAATGTAGCCCCAATTTTCCGCCTTGAACTACAACAAGAGATGCCGTGATGGTCTCAAGGGCTTTTGATTGTAGACAATTTCGCCAATATCGTCGTCAATTGTCGTCGGGAGTCCATCTCGGCAGTTACATTGCGATGTCGATAATACTCTGTGATGATTCGACACACAGAGCGATAGCAGGCATATCTATTCAGCAAACAAATACCGATTAGCACGTTGTCAATTTTCGCACGTAAGATGTCCAGCTTGAGCCCAAACGTACAGTAATTGTCGAGTCCTTTCCGATTCACTTTTGATCGGCAGGCTCCCATATCCATCGAATACTGCCGACGAGGGGTCCTCGAAAATCTCAGCCATGAGAATATCGCCCCAAAGTGTGTTCCCAAAGTCTATGATCCCCGAAACCTGTTTCGTCTCCGGATTTAACAGTACTTGTGATGGTCGACCAAGGTCCATGACCACAAGCCGTGGTACCGTTACTTCGTCAAGGGCCGGCGATAGACGACGAACGTGCTGCCTGATCTCCGTGTAGGGGATGTTGACAAAGACATCTTCAGAGTCGCGAATGATATTTTCCACAAGGGCAACAAACACCTCTTTCCACGACTTTTTGCCTGACCCACGCGCGACTTCATCCAGGAAGCCGAACGATTCCGCCACGTGCCCTCCGATCTGACTCGCCAAAGACCCCAGGCTTCTGTCGAGGTCCTGGCGGTTTTGGTTACTGAGGCGAGCCTCTATTTCCTGGAGTGTCTCCCCCGGGGTATATTGTCGTACAATCAGAGGAGATCCTAGTAGACTGCCTCGACGGTCGTAAAGGAGCAGCGACGGAACGTATGGAATTGCGCTTTTCTCAAGGAGTGCGAGAGCTCGAGCTTCTGTTTCTAGCAGGACCTGTTCGCGCCGCAACAGAGGGGTGGTCGGCTTTGGTGGCTGCTTCAAAAGGATCCGTTTTCCGTTGGAGAGAGTGAGGGTCTGGATCAAATGGAGATGGCCCTCTAATAGACCGATGCTTTCCACATGCACAGACGGGGAAAAGATGCGCTCAACGACAGTTTCAAGCTCCCTTAGCGTTTCATGTTCCAGATCTTGAGGACCAAACACTCTTATAGGGGGCATGATATAGATGGTCCTAGTGTTTGGTACGGGAGTTCAGCATGGTGCGTGGGTAGTGTTTACCACGAGGAGTAAGGCGGTATAGGAATTCCTTAGATGGCGAACTATGACCGAACAAATAGAAGGGTTCATCGAGTATTGTTTACAATGGCTGCTTCGAGCATAGCAGCTTTATTAAAGGAAAAAAAAAACAGAGCAACAGGAACATAATAATGAATAAAACCTCGGATTGATCATCTAATCAGTGGTCCACATAACGGTTCCCCATCTACCTTACCGAGATTGTACACTTGCGAATTGAACATCTTTGCTGCCAGTGGGCAAGCCGGTGGAATGCGTTTGAGGCATCTGGTGAGGGTCCATGCAATGCCTGCTCTTTGGGCAATCAAGATGGGGCGCCACACTCGACCCTTCCCGAGTCGACATTAACCGAACCCCATTGCATCCAGAATAAACGAAAGCAAGCCGGTTAAGCGAGTGTCAGATCTATAAAATCTCGAATTCGAAACGACCAACCGCATGTGTTGAATGGTTGGGATTGGGAGATCGTGAAGTCGACCCCACGAACCGCAGGCTTGCAACTGCTGGAGCTCGCCTAAGTCTCCCGCTCTGAGAAAGGTGCGATGTAAGCGAACCTGGTCGATCCAATCAGACGGCCGGATTGCCGAAGCCGACGCAGCGTTTTAAGGCGCCTTAATTAAAACAGCTCCAGTAGTTCCGGCCCACATGCACGGTGTGTTGGAACGGCTAAGGCTTCCAGAAGACGAGCGATTTTCTATACAGGTCAAAGCTCTATAGGTGATATGTTTGTCATATATTTGTTAGTTATGGATTCATCTACTGCACTGACTCATGACATGTCGCTGTCTCTTTTGGGAAGATCTATCACGGCTGTTTTGAGCGTCGACTGGGGCACTGTCGCATAGTGAGGTAATGAGGTACATGGTTGTTGACAAGGATGACAGCGATATACTTTCTTGGACAAACCAAATAGAATTTCTCTTCATTCTTATACTTCCAAACATACCATTGGATATTGTCGGAGTGAACCGATAGTAACTCATAAGGAAATCTCGCCTATGCTGCACTGTGCATGGGTATCGATCAACTGATAGATTTTTTTTTTCAAATTCGTCGCAATTCGGCAGCGGATGTAACTATTTGACACATGTAAAGCGTGGTTTGAACAAGGGTCCCGGACCCGACATGGGCTACTACCCATGCATCACTCCTTGGACTCTGCAGGCTTTTGTTCATCTGGTTTCGGAGTTGGGTTGTACAATTCAGCCAAATTGTATCGCTTGAGTTTATCATAATCGCTTCCAGCGACGCTCATCCCGACAACATTCTGTGGCCCCATGGTTAGCAACAGTGCTTTGACACTCCGCGCATATATAAATTAGCAGAGATCATACCTGAATGACGTCGACAAGGATGACCAGATCAGGGTTCGTAAGATCGACAGGATGCTCTTTGCCCACGACATCGGCAATGGTTTTGATCACATTGTCTCTGTTAAACTTGGAGTTGCTCCGAATAGCCGGTCGAATCGCATACTGTAATGCTCTACGTTAATTGGGTGTATCCCCCGGGATTAACATGGAGAGGAACATACCTTCTTGGGGGGGCCGCCAGAATGGAAGTAGGGCTTGAGAATCTCGCGTGCGAAAACCTCGAGGTCCACGCTGAGTATCTTCCGGATGGACGTTATTGGCGTCATGCGTTTCACATAGCGGCTTCGCTTCTTTTCAGGATGAGCATATGCCTCCTCACAAAGTTCATGCACCAGTTTCTCAGGATTAATAGACTTGTCGAATCGTATGAATGTCACTTTGCAGCGTTAGCCTCAACGATGTTATGCAGTAGATAGTGGATGAAAGCTCAGCACGAACCACAGGGCGTGTCTAATCTGATCGCTTGGAAAAGACGGGGTTTGCCCGAGCCAGGCTTGAGGCCTTCGACTTCTTTCCTGATCTGGGCCTCGATGTCGTCCTCGTCTCCATCGGACTCATCATCTTCCTCGCCCTGCCCCGAAGACTCGACGCTCTGTAGATACCATTGGTTAGAGCAGTCGAAATATTTCCATTTCTTTCTGGGTAACCAACCTGCGAGAAAATATCCAGTACTTCAGCAATGCATTTCGGTTCTCTTCCCAAATCGCAGGTGACAAACACTCCCCAGTCTCCGGTGTCAATGGTCACCTTATTGCCTCTTGATTTTTGCCATGATACGCCACCCTATACTGTGTATTAGACAACTTGGCCAATGAACAGACTTAATCCATGGGCCCATCGAAGTGGTGGGACAGACCCCTTCAAACGTATGACCAGGGAACAGACCTTTTGCTTCTTGGAGGATGAAGACATATTATCGGAGAAAGATCTTTTTCCCGGACCGGCCATAGACTTTCTTCCTCCTTTTATTCTTGTTTTTATTGTTTTGTTTCAACGAGTCGTAATTTTGGCTGTCTGTTTTGAGTTTAGTTTCTTCTTTTCCTCAACTTAACAGCGTTATCTCAATCTGATGGTCCTCTAATTCGTTGAGCATGTATAGCCCCGACCTGATGACAGCAGAAGCTAAATGCCTTGCCTGTAACTTTGTCCTTAGAACAAAGAGCAACTAGCTGATATCTACCAATATCACTCTCCGTTACTGGTCGACAGCTATGGCAAGCCTATGTCCGCGGGTGGCACAGCGGGGAGATCAGAAATCCAAGATAGGAATAGTGGGGCAGTTCCGTCTGACAGTGAAGGCACCCCACCAACCTCCGAGTCTCAGAGTGGACTGATTTCTTGATAGTGAAAACAAGACTATTATCACTTCTAGATGATTGAGTGCACGTAGAATTGTACCTTTAGCCTAAAGTAGACAGTCTACCTTGAATCATTGGATGTTCATCTACTGTGAGGCTTGTGGCATGCTACTGAGTGATCACCTCCCAACAAGCACCAACAAGCTCCAGTCGGCGCTTCAGACTCAGTCACTATATCCAATTAACTTGATTGGGATTAGCTGGTTAGCTGATCATATATTGGTATCACCCGGGAGATCCGGACTTAAACCGATCGAATGAGCTTGAGTGAAGATGCAGTTATCCGGTGATAAAACATCCGTGTGGCTTTTCTACGAGGTATTATCATTCGACATTTCCCAGGATGTTGGACAATTTTTAGAATGAAAGCCATAGAAATTCACCTGCAAGTCTGAGCGTATCGATTAGCATACCAACAAAAGTGGGTTGGTTCTGTAGTAGTTACCTACATAGTCCTACCTGGTTTGGAGAAACACATGACATCACGTCTCTTTCATGACGTTATAGGCTGCCGTTGTTACATCCTTATAAACCATTGCCAGCCAACCCACTCTTCTCCCCAAAAATATATTACTCATTCCTCTACTCCTCCAGGTTTTGGCTCTTAGCATAGTTGTTAATCAAAGCCAACCGAAACCCACATCATGCCTAACGATATCGCAACCAGAGAGCTTCGCGAGCCAGTTGATATTGCCGAATACCTCTTCCGGCGACTCCATCAGGTTGGAATTCGTTCGGTGCATGGTGTTCCCGGTAAGAAATCTTCGAATACCAGAGTCCTTGATAGAAATGTGTATACTAATCGTAACGGACATATAGGTGACTACAATCTTGTCGCTCTGGATTACCTGCCAAAATGCGGACTGAACTGGGTGGGCAACTGCAATGAACTCAACGCGGGTAAGATCGATCTGTTCATGGACTAGAAAGAGGATGTCTAACGAGTCGATCGCAGGATACGCTGCCGACGGATACGCTCGAGTCAAGGGAATCAGTGCCTTGGTCACTACCTTCGGTGTCGGAGAGCTTTCCGCACTCAACGCCATCGCAGGAGCATATTCGGAGTTTGTCCCCATCGTCCACATTGTCGGCCAGCCGCACACGCGGTCGCAGAAGGATGGGATGCTGCTGCATCATACCCTGGGGAATGGGGACTTCAATGTCTTTGCCAGAATGAGCTCGGGAATCTCGTGCGCGATGGGACGACTGAATGAGACCCACGAAGTGGCAACGCTCATCGATAACGCCATTCGAGAATGCTGGATTCGCAGCCGACCGGTCTACATTACTCTGCCCACGGATATGATTGTGCAGAAGATCGAGGGCGACCGGCTCAACTCCCCTATCGACCTCACTCTGCCCCCGAATGACCCCGAGAAGGAAGATTATGTGGTGGATGTCGTTTTGAGATACCTGCACGCTGCTCAGAGGCCGGTCATCCTGGTTGATGCTTGCGCTATCCGCCACCGCGTCCTTGATGAAGTCCACGACTTGATGGAAGCCTCCAGATTGCCAACCTTTGTGGCACCAATGGGCAAGGGAGCAGTGGACGAGACCCATAAGTGTTACGGTGGTGTTTACGCGGGAACTGGGTCGTATCCCGAGGTTCGGGAGCAGGTCGAGTCGTCTGATTTAATTCTGAGTATCGGAGCCATCAAGTCCGACTTCAACACCACCGGGTTCACCTATCGCATTGGTCAGCTCAATACTATTGACTTCCACAGCAACTACGTTCGCGTGCGGTATTCGGAATACCCCGACATCAACATGAAAGGCGTCTTGCGGAAGGTCATCCAGAAAATGGGCTCGGTCAACGCCCAACCACCGCCGCCACTGACGAACACCGTGCCCAACGAAGAGAAGTCTTCCGGTAACCAGGCGATCACCCATGCGTGGCTGTGGCCCACTATTGGACAGTGGTTGAAGGCGAACGACATTGTCATCACGGAGACTGGAACGTCGAACTTTGGCATCTGGGAGACTCGTTTCCCGCCCAATGTCACAGCCATCAGCCAAGTTCTGTGGGGAAGTATTGGCTACTCGCTGGGCGCATGCCAGGGTGCGGCTTTGGCTGCTAAGGAGCATGGCCGCCGAACTGTGCTGTTCATTGGCGACGGCAGTCTGCAGCTAACTGTCCAGGAACTTAGCACCATGATCCGGAACAAGTTGAACCCCATCATGTAAGAATATTTCAGCCTGTGCCGCCTTAAATCATGTACTAACACGAGTGATAGATTCGTGATCTGCAACGAGGGATATACCATCGAGCGGTATATCCACGGCTGGGATGCGGCATACAATGACATCCAGCCGTGGGATATCAAGAGTCTTCCGGTGGTATTCGGCGCCAAGGACCAGTACAAGGGGTACAGAGTTCAAACCAGAGACGAGGTGACCAAGCTCTTTGCGAACAAAGAATTTGCGGATTCGTCTGTCCTGCAGGTACGTGGATGATTCCTATCCACATATGAAATGTCTTTCGCAGCTGACAAGCGCACTAGTTGGTGGAGCTCCATATGCCCCGTGACGATGCCCCGCCGGCCCTGAAAATCACAGCTGAAGCAGCGGCGAAGAGGAACAAATGAATGCTCGGCTAGGAGCTTGACGATTGTGCTAGCATGATTGTCGCACTGGAGGTGCTAGCATCCTATTATTTTCTATTAATGTCTTTATTGTAATATGCTTCTTTGACTTGTTTGTCACGAAGGACTCAATCGTTTAAGGGAATTTCTAAGCAATCAAGAGGAGGCTGGTCTCATACCAAAATTGTCAATCCGTTCTTGTCTTCTAGAAAGACACTTTCAATGGAATCTTGTAACTAGCACATTGAATTCAAAGGCCAAGCGCCTATCTACTGGGATTGTAACGATCCTTTAGAAGCTCTAGTACGGAGTAGGCACTGGAACAACGCTATTGTAGGGCTGAACATGATCAATCAACCTTTGATAACCCCAAGTGGGGGGAGGTGTGAACAGGTCCGGTTTTCGTATTTGTGAAACTGAAGCTTGACACCCCTTCCCTCATTTTCCTATTCTATTTCTCCTTTCAAATATATTGATTATTACACTAAAAGATGACCTCTAGTGCCGGATGTGTTTCAAAATAAAAAGGGGAAGAAAGCTTTGACTGCTTAGTATGCGACCACGTGATCTGCGGTCATCTAGGCGCCAAGGCATCCACCCCCAGCGCATCGTCACTCTTGAAACTTTTGAGCTGCGACTTCGATTGCTAAACTGATAACCCCGTTATTATTATTTCTCTCGACTCGACACCTTCCACCTGCGACGGGATCGAACCTTCTTCCCCTCTATATTAACATTCAGAACCAGCTGGACTGAGGGAGCTGGTATAACAACCCTTACATACCACTTTCCAGCAGCGGTTCACCGGCAGTGGTATGTTTTCATCCCCGTCGGGTCTCCCGCGGCATCCTCGTGTTCACCCTCTTGACCCAGGGCTCCTTTCGCGAGGCGCAGGTCGCCATTGTTTGTCGTCCCTTTTCTTTTCAACTTGGAGCTTGGGACCTTACAACTAACTCTACATTCATAGAGAGCGCTTTTACTCCCTCCGTTTGTGCCGATAGACTTCATCTGCTGGATGCCCGCCGCGCCATAACTTTCCTACCGTTTCAACCGACGTGATACACTTGAGGTTGTCGCTAAGATCTCGTATTGGAAACGCCTCGAAACTTTCCATAGGCCATCAAACGGATGGACTGATGGTTGGACGACTGTATGTGGCGATGATCGATGGTTTTACTTGACATCAACCCCACCATATATCCGTTCCCCGAGGGTTTCGATAAGCGGTCTTTCGCCCTACGAATAATCAGTGTCACTCTTTGGGGTCCTAGATAATGCGCTTTTCTTTCGGCTTTTAACCATAAGGACTCATTGAAAGAGGATCCAACAAAAGCGTGTCATCGCAAGTATACTACGGCGCGTGGACCCGATCGAGCTTTTGGATGCGCAACTCTGCGCGAACCAGGCAACGTACTCTTGCTCCCGTGGTCCGTCAAGTGTCGACACAATGGACGGTCAAAGACAGCAACAGTATGTGCCGGTTCAACCACCATCCTCAACCCAGCCCTCCCAGTCACACATAATGCTGCCACCGCCGCCGCCTCGATATCAACACCCGCAAGCTCAAGGTGTAATGCCCCCACCACCTCCCGGCCCGCCCCCCGGAGCGCCCCCGCAACACCATACGGTGCGCCGAAAATGGGAAACCCCCAACTACAACACCAAAATAGTCATGGTTGGCCGCAGAATTGGGCAGCCAGGCAGGCAATGGCTCAGGGCTTTCTTCCACCCCCACCCCCACCACCTATGGCCCCTCCGAATCAGCCGACTTATAGTAGACCAGCCACGTCCGCAACGTATGTCCCACAAGCTGGTTCATTTGGTCCAGGTGTTGGAATACCCCCGTTTGATCTGCATTCCATGTCTGCGTACGACAGCCAGACTTTGCCGACCGGCGATAGACCACGACTCCCCTCCAACCCTGTCTATGAGCATGTTGGTGGTGCTGACCCCGGTGCTTACAAACGGGACGGAAATGTTCCAAATACGCCTTTGGCACAGTCATCGTCAGCGGGTGTAAACGACAATATCCATGGCCATGTCTCTCCGGCACAGGGAATGAATGCCGCTCAAAGCCAGCAGCCGCAGCCCGTAAGCCAACCCACCGAGCTGACAAAGTCGTCCAGTCACCGACACAACAATAACAACATACTGTTTGGTGGCATGTCGGCTAGTGAGGCTGCAGTACAATGGCCCTTGGAGCGGATTCTGTCCTGGCTTGCGAAGAACGGGTTCTCTAGAGACTGGCAGGAGACGTTCAGGGCTCTGAACTTACAAGGAGCCGACTTCCTGGAGTTGGGACATGGACCGAATGGCCGACCTAACCTGAGCAAAATGCATAATGTTGTATACCCCCAGCTGGCGAAAGCCTGTGGGATCAGCGGCACAGGTTGGGACGAACCGCGCGAACGAGAGGAAGGCCGACGGATGCGGAGGCTGATTCGCCAGATCCAGGATGATGGAAACTACGATGTTGGTTTGCCCTCTTACAAGCGACGCGAGTCCCAGGCATTCCAAGACGGGGTTCTGGAAATTTCACCGAAATTGTCCCAAGAACCTACTTCTGCCGGCCCTGGTGGCAACAGTCCTAGCCTGAAGTCTTCGCTACTGGCTCATCACCAAAAGCAGAATGTCCAGTGGTCAGCTACTACGCCCAACCCTACAAGCCATGACTACCAGACCTCCGAGACTACACTGAACGAAGGCACAGGGACAGCGCATGGCCGCTCCGACTTCTCACGAGCTGCGCTCTCTAATATAGAGGGTGACCATCGGAGGCACCCTTCCTTATCTAGCGATAACGGCATTTTCCCATTCCCTAGCCGTGGATACGAAGATAGTCCGAAAAGCAGCAGCCCGGCTACACACTACCCCAACTATATGGGTGCCTCGTCTTCCGCAAATGATTTGACTATGAAACGAGAGCACTCCCGTGGCAACAGTGCGGATTCAACATCAGGCCGACGGTATTACGAGAGCTACAAGCAAGAAAGCAGCCGTCTTTCGCCACAAGAAGCTCGTCACCCGAGTGGAGACAATTCTGCATCGTATCCTCGAGAACATGGCAAAGGGTTCCGGGCCCGTTTTATGAAGAAGTCAAAGGCAGGCGACTCCAATCATCCTTCCCCCGAGGAGCTATTCCTGGAGTCCCCGACGAGCCCACGATACAACACCACTCATCCCTACACTAGACCGAACTTCAACAGCAGTGATGTTTCAGTGGGGGAGCGTCCGTCATCAGCATCCGTGTCCGATCACGAGCGGCTTCCCATGAAAGCGAGACCAGCACAGAAAGGGAAGAAGTGGGCCTTTGTTACTTGGGACGGGTTCAATTATCGCCTGATTGACATCACTGATATAGATTCGGTGGTCAGGTTGCGTGCGACCATTTGCCAATATATTGGGATATCCGATTGGCCCGCAGCCCAGATATTTGAAACGGAACCTGGTCAAACCGAACACGATAGTCCTCTAAATGACACAGACTTGACCCTGTCTCAAAGAACGAAGTCAGACGCCATTGGGTCTTTGAAGCTTTATGTACGCGGGCCGCACGTCAATCCTGGCGCCCATAAGAATGCCGGATTAGGTGTCTCAATCCCGGAGAAGACCACAGCCTCGCCAAAGAGAAAGCTCCTGGATGAAGACGCTCGAAGCCGAATTTCACCTCTCAACCAAACCAAGCCTACATCTCCCCAATCGACGCTGCGACCACAACAACTGAGGCCGCATGCTGCCAAAGTTCCCGTTCGCGATGTCTCCCAATCTTCGCTCGGAATGTCCCCTGTGGATGGCGGCCCAGAAGCAGCGGCGGCGTCGCTCGATCCAGAATCTGCTGATCTGGCAGCTCGTCAAGAGGAGCACATGCGTGATGTGGAGCGGAAGCAGAAACAAAACCGAATCTCCAATGTTCAACCGCCGAGAAAGGATGCTTACAGCGAAACGGGTTTTAGACGGGAAGGTATCATTGATTTTGACTCCCCGCGGGTATCCCCTTACGAGGACAAGAAGGCGGAAACCCTCGTGCCTTTCCGCAATCCCCCCACAGCACCGAATGAGTCGAATACTCTCGCCAAGCTTAATTCCCTGAGGAGGAGAGATTCGCAGCGTCCTCGTATACAGCAAGCCCCAGCCCCCCAGACTCAGCAGACTCAACAGGCGCAGCAGACTCAGCAGACTCAGCAGACTCAGCAGACTCACGGAACTCATGGCCTTGGGGCAATGCTGGCCACTGTGGGTAGAATGACCAGTGCCATTGGTACTCCTTCCCCATCGGTTCGATCGGCCAAGGCTAGCGGAAGCTCGGACCACAGCACGCCTGTGAGTGACTCACGAAATGCAGTGCAGTTCCCTCAAGAACAGCCTCCATTTGAAAAAGCGTCCCCTGTGGTGAATGATTTCGCCCCCGATGAGCCTAAACCGACGTTGCAGTCTCGCAAGTCGTATGGGCCTGAGTTTGATTTTGAGGAGACCAGGGTTTCCTTCCAACGGTCGCCAATGCTACCGGAAGAATCGGATGATGACTCGGACGATGGGCTTTTCGCAGTCCCTCTAGCAAACAAGAGTACGCCAACAAAGGCTACGGATACCTTCAGTAGCGTGAACTCTCAGAAGACGCCCAGGAAGCCTTCTCTCACTGTGAAGACCGATAGTACCGCTCGGAAGAAATTATCTGTCAGCTTCAGGTCACCAAGCGCTAGCCGCGAGACCTTTGCTCAATCTAGCGGAGACTCGGGGAATGGCAGGGAGTCGTTATCCGACATGACCGGCTCACCGGAAGATGAGAAACCGCGCCGGGACTCGTTTGCTCGTGATGTTTGGGCAAGCCGACCTCCCGTGGAAGGCGTCATTGACCACCTCGATGACTTCTTCCCTGATATCGACCTCGATGCACCTTACTTGGATGGGCAAGGTCCTTCGCCGCCTTCATCACCGGCGAGCAGAGTTGCCGCGGAGAACGAGGTGGCTCATAGAGAGAAACAGGACGCTCCGTCCTACCCAACACCGCCCACTCCTAATGCCGGTGAAAACCCTCTAGGTTCGAATGAACCTACCATAACACCCCAGGATCCTGGTATCGTTGCTCGACGCAACATCACTCGTTCCAGCGGTGGCGTCGGCGGCGGTGGCGGCGGCGGCGGACTCACGCGGATGAAATCCATCCGAGAGGTTGCCAAAGGAGCGAACCAGTCGAACCGGAACCGTAGCGTTTATGCTCCTGCCGGGAGCCAGAAGTCTGGAGATATCTTGCGCCGGAAGAGTACCAAAATGTTCGGCGGGAGGATTATGCAGATTAGTCCAAAGCCGGGCAGACGACTCAATCGGCTTGATCCCATCCCACAGAACCGCGCTGCCTCAGGGGGCCCTCCTCAAAGACAACCCACTTTCCGTATCATTCGCGGTCAGCTAATCGGCAAAGGCACCTACGGTCGTGTATTCCTGGGCATGAACGCCGACAACGGTGAGGTGTTGGCCGTCAAGCAAGTGGAGATCAACCCTAGAATTGCCGGACAAGACAGGGATCGAATCAAGGAGATGGTCGCTGCCATGGACCAAGAAATCGACACCATGCAACACCTTGAACACCCCAATATCGTGCAGTACCTCGGTTGCGAACGGGGCGAGCTTTCCATCTCGATCTACCTGGAGTACATTTCCGGTGGTTCCATCGGCAGCTGTCTGCGCAAACACGGCAAGTTCGAGGAGAGCGTGGTCAAGTCTCTCACACGGCAGACGCTGGACGGGCTGTCATACCTCCACGACCGGGGGATCCTGCATCGCGACCTGAAGGCGGATAACATTCTCCTGGATCTCGACGGGTCCTGCAAGATCTCCGACTTTGGTATCTCCAAGAAAACCGACAACATCTACGGCAACGATTCAACCAACTCCATGCAGGGCTCCGTATTCTGGATGGCGCCGGAAGTCATCCACTCCCAGGGCCAGGGCTACAGCGCCAAGGTCGACATCTGGTCCCTTGGCTGCGTGGTGCTCGAGATGTTCGCTGGCCGTCGGCCTTGGAGTCGAGAAGAGGCTATTGGAGCTATCTTCAAGTTGGGTAGTCTGAGTCAAGCTCCTCCCATCCCTGAGGACGTATCCATCAACATCAGCCCGGCGGCTCTCGCTTTCATGTACGACTGTTTCACGGTGTAAGTAGTACCTTTACTTGTTTCATCTCCATTACACTGGACTTGTGCTAACAGACCAACTAAAACAGTGACTCACGCGACCGCCCAACCGCCGAAACCCTCCTCACCCGCCACCCGTTCTGCGAACCCGAGCCCAACTACAACTTTCTGGATACCGAATTATACGCCAAGATTCGCCATGTTGTCATCCCAGCGTGATGTTTCTGATTACCGAGTATTTAATTACTTACTGTTCTGTGCTTTTGCATCATACCCCCAGAACCTGTCTATATCTTCGTGTCATAATGGCGCTTTTTTTCGTCAAAGTGTATTTGGATTCTTTTCTTTTTGGATATTTTTTTCTTGACCGTCTGGTGTGGTTTTTCTTTTCTATGAGAGGGGTCGCAATTTACTGTCTGGTACATTTCACTCTTTATAATCTTTTATGGAAATTTGACTATTAGAAAGGCATGATAGGTGCTGTGCAATCCTAGCAAAACCGCTAATACATAAAAATTCATATTATAGAACATGCTCTGCTGTGTGGAGTTCCTCCAAGTATTTACATCGAATTTGATTAGAAAGAAAGAAAGAAAGAAAATGGTATCTGTATTAATCTATTCCACCACAACAACCTAACTCCCTTCACCTCCGCTGAGAAATCGGGCTCCCGCTCCTATTCGTAACGGCATCAACGTCATCGCCATCGTCATCGTCCTGACCCTGACCATGACCCGACACGCCGACTAGAAAAACACTCTCACACCACTCCGCAAAGGTATCCACGTCCCAGACCGCATCCTCCCGGCCCTTGCCCTTCTTACTAACAAAGTGGCCCCTCTTCTTCTCCGAAGAGGTATACTTATCGAAGAACTCCTCGTAGATCTGGATGATGCGGTCCTGGACGGCGCCGACGAGCGTCTCCTTCATGCGCGCGTCGTCGAGGTAGTCGTCGAGGATCTTGCGCAGGCTGGGCACCTCTTTCTCGATGTTGCGGCAGGTGGGGTACATGAGTTCGCCGCGCTGGAGGTTGCGGGTGTCGACGAATTTGGCGGGGAGAGACGCCGTCATGGTTGTTGCGAAGCCGTTGATGAAGTCGTTGATGACTGTGCGGAGGCGGCCGTCGAGCTCGACTTTGGCGTCGAGCATGTTCTCAATGACGCGCGGGAGGAGCCCGTGTCCGACGAGGCGCATGAGATTGCGGGGATTGAAAAGGCCGCCTCGTTCGCGCAGTTCCCAGAATGTGCTCGTTACGCCGGAGAAGTCGAAGGAGACTTCTGGGGCGACGTATTCGATGTCGAAGGCGACGATTTGTTGCTTGAGGATTAGGAGGTGGCTCATGAGGAAGAGCTGCGCGTTGATGGGGGATTTGGCGGCGATGAGGGTGCTGGCGTAGTGGAGGGAGTCGGTTGTTTGGTGGACGATTTGGTGGGCTAGATCGTCGAAGACGGTGGACTAATGGACAATTGGTCAGTGGGGTGTGCAGTTGTAGAAGGGGAGACGGGCATATGGGGATGCAGTACGTTTACAAGGCGATAGATCCTGCTCAGAAGCCAAATGGCTTTCCGTAGTGTCGGATACCACCCGCTTAGGGCTGTTTGCGACTCGAAATCCCATTTGGGGTCTTGCTCCTGTGGGGATTCGGAGTTCTCGTCGGCTTGTTTTGAAGGCTTGGAAAGATTCACAAGCACGTCAACGGGGGCGATCTTTCTTCCAGATATCTGGTTCTCGCCCTCTGTAACTGCGCTTGCGACTTGCTTGTTGCGGGCAGGGTAGTCAAGGTCATCCGGTCCCGGCTTATATCGTTCAATCTCGTCGTAGAGAAAAGCTTGTGCGCGAAACACGAGCCGCGTTTGGACGTCTTCCAGGGCCGGCTGGATCAGCGCAGGGAAATCGAGTTGATTGGCATCGGTAATCTCGGTCTCTTCTTCCGGGTCGAATATATAGCGGGTCTGCAAGAGGGTACAAAGTTGACAGAGTCTGATGATTTTGTCTTCGTGTATGATCCTTGGTCTGAGGTGGTCGTAGAGAGGTTCACAAATCGACTCCAGAAAGTAATACAAACCCCCCTGACCGTGGAACCACTCTCCCCAGAGGTCGTATTCGTCGAGACACACGCCGCGAATATAGCTGATGCTTCCGCGTGCGAAAGACACGAGATCAGTCGACGTACTGGGCGCCTGTGAAATTTCATGTAGTTGCTTGCGTACAAGCGGCACTATGAGTTTGCTGCGGGTCGCCGCGTAGTTGTCCTGAAGTTCGTTAAGAAGACTCTGATACTCAGCTTCAGAACCCTGGTCCGGGTCCAACGGCGGCACGGCTCTCTTCTGGATCTCGAGACCAATCTGTTTCAGTTCCGGGGCGCCAACTCGAAATTTGGCATACAACAAGGCGGACATGGTTGTATCATTGAGCTGCTTGTCTGCGATCTTCTTGGATACGTTGAGATATATGTCGCGGAGGGCGGCGACGAAGTGCCCTCGAATAAGCGTGAGGGCTCGCGTCATAAGAAGACGGTACCTGGATCGGTATACGCTTGCTTCTTTTTGTTCGGGCTATAAGAAATCGTTAGTCATCGCACGACATATATAATGGTGGCAACTGGACGAACATGTGTTTCCATATAGTCCAGGCATTCGTCCAGTCGCTTGAGCATTTCCGAGAAATCCCGCCCTCGTACGGAATTCCCAGCACCCGGGGCATTAAGCCTCCTCGAAGCAGGATCCAAGAAGTCATAGTATTGCAGATTGTCCTCAATATTAATCGCGAGCTCCAAGTCGCGCCGCTGGGCAGAAAGTAACCCTTCGCATTGCTTCTCGAAATTGGACGTTTGCGAATCGACTGCCACGAAATCTTTGGACAGACTGGATAGGAGATCGAGGGTTGAGGATGTATCGGATAAGAGTGTATCTAAATGGGACTTTGACATCTGCAATTCGTGGAGGCAAGACCTATTGTGGATGGTAGTTAGCATTCAGCATACTCTGATCGTCGCGGATGCACGTGGCCAGTGTACTACTTACTGGTACTCATCGTAGCTGGTTTCCAACAAGCTTTCTTCCACCTCGTTGAACCACTGGGTAAAGTCGAGCTCATTGCGAATATTGGATACAGTGTCTGACCCATCTGGAGACTCGTCGGCCTTCTCGGTCTTCTTAGCTTGAAGATCTAGGGGCGGACGGGGAGGAGCTGTCTGGCGACGGCTTCGCCCTCCCGCAGCTTGCTGGCGCATTGTGGGACCGGGTCGGGTTGGAGGGTGAGAGGGCGAGGACTCGCTGTGGACTTGGTTTATTGTTCAATGATGTAGACCGGTTAGAGTCTGTCCAACGCAAAAGACATTGAAGTCGAGAACGACTCGTAGACCGACCGAATAGCGTTGATTGTTGACACCTTCCCCAAGGCCGTGCCCTCGGGAGCCGCGCGGTATTCTGCCGCCCTCCTCCGCTCTCGCGCATTGACGCAACTGATTATTGCTTGCGGTGTTTGAAGTTCGCCTTTCTCTCCTCATATAATCGTCGCTTGTTCTCCGCGAGAACACAATCTAGTCTACTTTTCTTCTGCTTATGCAGGATGTACACGGAGTGAAATACTAATTGCGTCATCACCATGTGGACAGCGCGAATGCAACGCCCCGCGGCGAATACCGCCAGTGCCTGCCGTCGGCTTCCCAAGCGCGGCCGCCTTACCATAACACCTGGGCGCAGAAATTATGCTCGCCCTACCGAGGGCAACAAGACGTTTGAACAGCCTGCGTCGTCATCGCACTGGTTCCGCAACTCGTTAGGTTTGGCAGGAGCTGGTACTGCTGCATTTCTCGCCTATTCGTATGCGACATCCAACACAACTCGCATCCAAGGTGCACCGCCATCCAGCGCGCAAGATCACTCGAAGACAACGGACGACTTTCCACTCGTACAGGAGAAACGAAGCGTGAAAAGTCCAGGTGTATACCTATGGGGCGACAATGCGCATCGTGTGGTGGACCCCGAAAGCAAAGCCACCAACATCAAAACACCACGCAACCTTCACTATTTTGACGGTCATGTGCTGAGGGATATCAAGCTCCAAGAGAAGATGGGAGCTGCGATTCTGGAAAATGGTGACCTTGTGCAATGGGGGAAGGGCTATTCGGAAACGGAGTTCAAGCCCGCCAAGACTCTGACTGGCAAGAACCTGATATCCGTGTGCATGTCCAACGACCGAATCCTGACGCTGTCATCTGATGGAAACGTATACTCCCTGCCGATGGCGAAGGAAGATCAGTTGGGCGGTCGAAAATTGAAAGAAGGCTCCTGGGTGCCCTACTGGTCTGGCACCGCAGAGGTTAGCTATCGTCTGCTGAAGCCAAGCCTGGGGCTGGGCGAAAAGGTCACCGCCATCAGTGGTGGACTGGAACATGCCCTTCTAATGACCAGCTCTGGCCGAGTCTTCTCTGTTGCTTCTTCTACAGAACACTACCCGTCTTTCGGGCAATTGGGGGTCCCTGGGCTGACATGGGCGACGCGGCCCAAGGGTCCCGTGGATTCCTGCCATGAGGTCAAGGGTTTTGCCGGCTCCAAGATTGTCCAAATTGCAACTGGAGACTACCACTCCCTGGCCTTGAGCAAGGATGGCAGCGTTTACTCTTTCGGCGACAACTCATTTGGGCAGCTAGGGTTCGCATTTGACACTGCTCTCCCGTTCCACGACACCCCGACTGCAATTCCCGTCAAAAAGCTTTATCGTGGCAACACTTGGTTTCCTAAAGTGACCAGCATTGCGGCTGGGGGAGCTAACAGCTTCTTCACGGTGGATGCCAAACGTATCGTCGGCCCGGGTGAAAACCCATCCACCATCCGCGACTTAGACCGCATCACCGCCGATACCTGGACTTGTGGAAGGGGGATTTGGGGTGCTCTCGGGACTGGAAAGTGGACGCATATTCAGGACGTGCCTGCCAAGATCAAAGCGTTGAGCGGATTGTTCGAGTACGACGAGCGTGCTAAGAAATTGACCCCGATCCGTTTGCGTGAAATCTCCGTTGGCACAACGCACGTGTCTGCCATCATGGACAACAGCGCCCATTTGGAAAGATCGTCCACCACTTCTCTAGAAAGCTCCAAGGACTGGGGCTTCGATGTCCTCTGGTGGGGAGGGAACGAACACTTCCAGCTCGGAACCGGCAAGAGGACCAATATGGCCAAACCGACGTATATCAACGCGCCACTGGAAACAGGAGGGGAGCATCCGAAGCAGGAGGCGCGACTTCAAATTATGCCCCGTCACAAGGGCAAAGTTGGCAAGCGGACAGTGAGCATGGAGCAGCGGGTTGAGTGTGGCAGACACGTTTCTGCGATCTACTCTGCCATATAATACTTCACACATATTTGTATTTTTATACGTGTTATGAGCAAAGAAAAGTGCTACTTTCTACCTTGTACTCTTATCCTAGTTGAATATAATGGATGTCTTGATGGGAGCTTATCACCGTACAAACAAAACAAACACCGACTATCAGCGGAAGACGCTCGGACCACCGCTTATCCAAAAATTTCCCAGGCGGAAGAAAAAAAGAAAAAGTTGAACAACAGCCAAACCTCCACAACAACCCCAATCCCCCCCTTGACGATCGCATCATGCCTCGTGAAAATCAGAAAAGAGGTCGGCGTGCGGCCGAGAAAGCCAACAAAGACACCTTGAAGCGAAAGCACGACGACGCGCCCGAGCACTCCCCGAAGCGACAGAAGCCTGAATCAACGGAAGATGAGATCACCGGCGGCGCGGACTACATACCACTGGGCGAGGAGATGCAAATCGATGGAGATGGGGAAGGACACGATCAGATGCAGGCCGGCGACATGCCGTTCTACGGTCTTCTGGACACCGAGGAGCAGGAGTACTTTTCGCGCGCGAACGAGATGCTCGAGCTGGACCAGTTCGGGGACGCCGAGGAACGGCGGTTATTCATCGACAGCGTCTACAGGGAGGCCAATGGCAAGGAGCTGAAGATTGCGTGCAGTCAGTCGTGCTCGAGGCTGATGGAGAAGTTGATCGCTGCGTCGGACATGCGCCAGATCCGGAGGCTGTTCAATAAGTTTATCGGCCACTTCTTGCACCTGGTGCAGCATCGGTTTGCTAGCCACTGCTGCGAAGCGCTCTTTGTGAGCGCGGCGCCGGGAGTGATGGATAAGCCTTCGAAGGCGAAGGCTCGTCGCGATGAGGAGGAGGATGAGGAAGACCCGGAGCCGGAGCTCTCGCTCGCGGAGATGTTCATGAAGGTCGTGGAGGAGTTGGAGGGGAACTGGGGCTACCTCTTGACCGAACGATTTGCGTCCCACACGATCCGAGTTCTCCTTCTCGTTCTCGGCGGCGAACCGGTCGATGTTACCAGCAACGACTCGGTCGTCGCCAGTCGCAAGAAGGAGCGGGTGGGCGCCAAGATGGAACCCCGGGAGGAAAACGTCGTGGCGGAGAAGAGAAGCGTGCCGGATACTTTCGTGAAAACCTTGAAGAAGATCATCAAGGATATTATATTAGTGCTGGACGATACATATCTGAGAGCGCTGGCGACCCATCCGGTGGGAAACCCGGTTTTGCAGGTGCTGGTGTCTCTGGAGATTTTGCACTTTGGCAAGTCTGCCACCAAAGATCCGAATTCGATCATCCGGAAGTTGATCCCCGATGAGGAGTTCACAGAGGGCAGTGAAGGCACGAGCTTCATTCGCGGGCTGCTCTACGATCCGGTCGGGTCTCGTCTCGTGGAAACCATTGTGCGATGCGTACACGGAAAGCTTTTCAAAAGCTTTTACAGAAACTTCTTCCACGATCAGATCGCCTCACTCGCGCGCAACATTACAGCTGGATATGTTGTCCTCCGGGTCCTGGAACGACTCGGTAAAGACGATCTCAAGGAAGCAATGGAACGACTGTCCCCTCAAATCCCTAGTCTTATCGAACGGGGGCGGCTAGTCGTGCCCAAGGTATTGATTGAACGGTGTCTGGTTCGTGGAATCGACACACATGCTCTCGCTCGGGCTTTCGAAGCGGCCTACGACAAGGATCCGGCCCGCCGACTAAGCCAAATCCTTCGACGGGAGAACACTTCCAGCGATGCCGCAAACCAGCCCAACGCAGAGTTCAAGGAGTCGGGGGCTGATCAAGGCCAAGCACCTACTGCCGCCGAGAGGCTCCACGGTTCGCTTCTCGCGCAGACAATGTTGACCGCTCGCGGCCCTCTCAGCGGACTAATCCACTCGAGTCTGCTCGCGCAATCATCCGAGTCGCTCCTCGAGCTAGCCAAGGATCCTACGGCATCTCGCGTCCTCCAACAAGCAATGACCCTACCCACCTCCACGCCCCAGTTCCGCCGCCAGTTTACAACCCGCTTCCAGGGCCATCTCGTGGACCTGGCCCTCGACAGCAGCGGCTCCCACGTGGTCGATGCGCTGTGGCCGGCCACGAATGATATCTATTTCGTCAAGGAGCGCATGGCGCAAGAACTCTCTCAGCAGGAGATGACACTCCGGGACTCGTTCGTGGGTCGCGCTGTATGGAAGAACTGGTCGATGGATCTGTACAAGCGACGACGCAGTGAATGGGGCGCGAAAGCGAAAGGTATCGACCATGGCGACGGCACTGGAGAACGGCCCAAGTCGAAGATTGAGCTGGCGCGGGCTCGGTTTGCCGCAAAGGCTGAGGAGACCACAAAGGCGGATGGGTCGGCCAGACCGTAGGGTTTGGATGGTGGAAAAAATGCATAGCTTTGCTGTATATAATACCTTGTCATGTTAGACTAGTCTAGATCGCATGTAAACAGACGTCTCTATGAAATGAATCCCAATGATCTACATTGCATGATCGAACTGTAGGGATGTAACGGCGTTTACTGCCAACCTTCCTTCTCAAACATGCCTTTACAGGCTCTACCAAATTATTCGATCAATTCCGCCCAATCTAATTGCATATCTGAATAAATCTTTGCTATGAAAACCTCACCCTCGGAATCGTGTAGATCATGATGTCAACCCCGCGGTATCTGTCGCCATCGGCGCCGGAATCGGCTGGGCCCACTCCCCATATTACAACCACGAAGAGCATGCATACATGTACATACTCCCTGCATATTTGATATCTTTGACTATTTTCTATACTTGTATTTAGATATATACCGAGAAGTTTTCCCCGGCAATATCAATGGCTACTTCTGCGCCAGTCAGTCGCGCGGACGAAGTTCGCAACGTGAGTCTTCTTTTTGCTCTTTTTTTTTTTCTCTTCCCTTTTCCTTCCTGCTAAATCGCCGCATGAGGCTAACAGTGTTCTTCCTATGCCAACTATAGCTTCTTAATGCAGTCGAGGACCTCTTAATTCCTTTCATCCGCGCCGCGGATGAAGAGCCCCTCAGTAAAAAGCACCTTCAGAATGGCACAAATGGCACGAATGGCACCAACGGCACCCATTCCGAACCAACCACTTCACTAGTCGACTACCGCAAACCAGAAGAATTGCAGAAACTCCTCCAACTGGAGTTTCCGGAACAGGGGACAGGCCAGGACGGACTGATCGGAGCCCTCCAGAAAGTCCTCCGCTACTCCGTCAACACCTGGCACCAGGGCTTCCTCGACAAGCTGTATGCGTCGACGAACGCACCCGGAGTCGCCTCGGAGCTGATCCTCGCGGCCCTCAACACCAACGTCCACGTCTACCAAGTATCGCCGGCGTTGTCGATCATCGAGAAATACACCGGGAAGCAGCTAGCAGCGCTGTTCGGGCTGCGCGGCCCTCGGGCAGGCGGAATCTCAGTCCAGGGCGGTTCCGCATCCAACACGACGTCAATTGTCATCGCGCGCAACAACCTCTTCCCGGACACCAAGAAAGACGGAAATGGCGGATACCGCTTCGTGATTTTCACCAGCGCCCACGGCCACTACAGCATTGAGAAGGCGGCGCAGATGCTCGGGCTCGGAAGTAGTGCCGTCTGGGCGGTCCCCGTCGACGGACAGGGCCGGATGATCGCTTCGGAGCTAGAAGCGCTCGTCCAAAAGGCGCTGAGCGAAAACCGCACGCCCTTCTACGTCAACTCCACCGCCGGAACGACCGTCATGGGGTCCTTCGACCCCTTCGACGACATCGCCGCCATCTGCAAGAAGTATAACCTCTGGCTCCACGTCGACGGCTCCTGGGGCGGCTCGTTCGCCTTCTCCGAGCGCCAGCGCGGCAAGCTCGCCGGCACGGAAAAGGCAGATAGTATCGCTATCAACCCGCACAAAATGATCGGTGTCCCGGTGACATGTTCGTTCCTCCTAGCCGCCGACCTCCGTCGGTTCCACCAGGCGAATACCCTCCCCGCCGGATACCTCTTCCACAACGACGACGATGACAACGACAACACCAACGGCTCCATGGCGCCCGAGTCCGAAATTGCCGTCGACTCCCCCGAAGTGTGGGACCTGGCGGACCTCACGCTCCAATGCGGCCGACGCGCCGACTCCCTGAAACTCTTCCTCGGCTGGACCTACTACGGCACAGCAGGCTACGCCCAGCAAATCGACACAGCCTGCGCAGTCGCGACCCACCTCGCGACACTCGTGGAACAAAATCCGAACTTCATCCTTGTCAGCGAGAACCCGCCGCCGTGCCTGCAAGTATGCTTCTACTACGCGCCGGGCCGGCAGATGGCCCATCCGCGCGGGGTAGTCTCCAACGAGACGGAGCGCGGCAAATCCAACAGCAAGGTGACGGAGCGGATCACGCACGCTATCGTGAGCAGGGGCTTCATGGTCGATTTCGCGCCCCCTTCGGGCGGCGAGGATCCTGATGCTGTTGGGAATGGGAAGTTTTTCCGGTGTGTGGCTAATGTGCAGACGAAGATGGAGACTGTTGAGGCGCTTGTTGGGGCTATTGAGGAGGTTGGGCCTGGGGTTGTGGAGGATTTGAAGGCGCAGGGGAGTGGCCTGAATGGTTGGAAGAGGCCTGGGGAGAGGGGGCATGGGCCTGTTGTTCATCATCGGGTTTGAGGGTTAAGTTGTATTGGTTGGGATAGAGTATATAGTTTCGCATAGAGTATAGCTTCTGCATTATGAGTATCTGTACAGCTAGATTGTTGGTTAATGTGGGCGTGTACAACGAGAAGGACGTAAAAAAAAGGGTTTATTAGAATCTAGGACGTTACAAATGATATACCACAACAGTCACTCGCCACGATGGTGTCTTGCATCTATGGCTAGCTCTTAGTATAAGGTAAAAGTGCATAAGATAGACCAACAACTATAGCAAAACCAACTAGGCCATTAGTGATGTGGAAAACCTAGGTAAATGCTTCAGAATGGAAGAAGTATATAGAGCGCCAAGAAAAAGTAAAGTGAACATACGAGATGCATGTCACCACGTTAGTAGAAGTCTAATTTCCAATCTCGGCTCTCCTCTCCAGCACACTTCTAGCCTCGGCCTCCATCAGTGTTTCGATGCCCATCTCGGCCAGTACGTCTCGCGCACTTTCGTTGTCCTTGAAGAGCCGCTTCTCCACCTCCCACAGACCCCGCTGCGCACTGTCATCTCCGTCCGTTTCGGGGTTCGACGCTTCACTGGTTGACGGGGTAGTGCTGTCCAGCCCGAGCAAGAGGAGACCTTCGCTCAATTTCCGGAGTGTTTTGGCTGAGCCGCCCTGTTGGCCTGCCGCTCCAAGAGAGGTATCAACCGTCTTACAGAGGTGGTCGACGTCGCTGATGAGCTGGGCTGCCCCTGCGGCGGAGAATGTATTGCGCATGAGAATGTTACTCCAGAGGTGTGTCTGGATAGATAGGAGCACTTGGCGTGTTATCCGGCGAAGAGGCGCAACGCCCAGCGCACGGGAGAGGAAGGAAACTTCAACGGAGAGGGTGTGCAGCGCTGGCGCGAGGTCGGCAGTGGGAGGAAGAAGCCCCGTTGCGGCGCCCGAGATAGTTGCCCAGGTGGAAACGCGCGAGTATTGTTTGAGGGCCCCGCGAGCATTGGATGTGAGTGTCGAGGTGATGATAGATTCGGACCGGAGGCGGAGACTGCGATACGCGGAGGCAGTCTCGTCGAACAAAGCTCCCTCTGGGGTTACACCTTGAGCAGTGTTGCTGCCATTCACCGCTTGCGAGGTCCGCGAGGCAACGTCTGCGACGGACATGGAACCGGCCACGTTCTGTCCGTTGTCTTTGTTCTGTCGGACACGCTCCTGCAGCTCAGACCAAAGCTCAACGAAAAACACCTCGTTGCTCCAATCCTCCATCTTCTTCTCCAGGTACTCTGCGCTACCGAAAACGCGGCAAAGTCGCTCCAGTCCCGCAACACCTTCTATGGCTTGGCCGTCCGCGCCCTGCACGGTGCGACCGATCGTTGAGGTCATCGCGAGATAAGCTTCCAGGGCTGATCCCAGGCGGTCGTGGAATTGGTCAAAGATCGTAATCTGGATGTCGATGAGAAATCGCAGTTTTTGGCTGAATGAGGACAAGGGCTGATAACGTTCGGTAATAGTCTCGAGGAGGTCGTTCACACGGATCGCTGCCTTGGTTGGCTTGGTCGAAGTAAGTTCGACGCCTTCATAGTCGATTTCCCCACTCCCTGGGGCTTCGACAATCTCCTTGTAGCGAGCCAACGCAAAGTCCTTTTCGACTTGGAGCCAGCGGTCAAACCAGCCTTCTTTAGTCAGGACATACCACGTCATCCCCTTCCAATTGTCTTCTGTATAAGGATCGGGTAGGTAGTTCCACGACTCGCGGATTTCCTCGTCAAAGTTCATTACTTCATGCATGAAGTGACTGAGTAACTGCGGGTGGTTAGAGATCTGAGGGAGGAAGGCTGACATCTTCTGCTGCAACATGGGCAACAGAGCCGTGATGTAGGCATGGGATGCATTGTAGAAGTTCCATTCTAGTTCAGACCCGGCGTTGTGTGCTTTCTCGTCGAATATAGGTTGGAGATATGTAGCAAAGAAACTGCCAAAGTTGTTGATCAAGTCCGTGACATGAGCCATGAAGAACTCCGGCTAAGCATTCAATCAGCACAATCATGTCAATGTGCGAAGCGATCGCTCACAAACCTTGTCTAATCTATTCGTTGGCTTGTCTCCACTGAAATGATACTTAAACCGCAGCTCCAGAGGATGTACCATCACCTCCAATGGCCACAGTATCGGAGGCTCAACACTCTTGTTGTCCGCAAAGAAATCGCGAGCTTTGAGTTCCCTGTACATAAGGGTCAGAAAAGTCATCTGGTTGAAGCACGTAGTACTCACGGTATCTGGAGCTCGAGAAGCAATTCGACATTTTCCTTCCATTGAACATGGAGATCGTCTGGGAAATGCAATTCCTTCGAGGGCCACTTCATCTGTTCCAAAGTCCCTTGTAGTCGCTTGGTAAAACCCGTTTTCATCTGTTCTCGCAGCGCCGACGCTAACTTTCCAACATAATTGACCAGATGAGGAGCGGCTCCCTCTGCCGCAGGCTGAGCCTCGTTCAACGACCTGACAATGCCTTGCAATTGAATATAAGGCGGTATAGCCTGTCGCGGCTCGGAACGTATGTTCCCCAATGCATCCTTGCTGTATATCGTGCGTTAGCGACAGCATCACAAACAATCTCGCCGTGCTTCAGGTACCTCAATTTCTCCGCCTCCTGCAGCAGGGCCACATAGCCCTTTGAGATCTCCAATTTCCGAAGCTTTTGTATACTCTCTTCAAAGCGCTGTGCTGCCTGATCACTAGCATCCGACCGCGTGATAGCTTTTAAACGCCTATCGATATCCGCTTGTTGGGCCTTGAACGCTTCGGCTCGCTTCCGGGTCGCTTCGGTGTGTTCGTTCGAGGCTTTCGTAGCGTTTGACAGGGCCTCCTGGGCTTCAGCTAGCTGCGAAATGCCATTAGCAACTTCTGGCTCTAATTTTGGTCCATCCTTCAGTTCAAGGCGAAGGGCTCGGGGGTCCTCACCTGTTTCCTCTGGAGATCATGTTGGGCCCGCAAGCTAGACAGCAACGAATCGAGGCTCTCAAAGTCGCCAGAGACCTGGATTTTATCATTTAGATAATCCTCCACACGAGTTCGCTCATGCGACGATAATGCGGGGGGAGCGGTCGCCATTATTCGCGGGGATGGACGGCGGGGTTCGAATAATCCAGAAGATGATAACTAGGTGGAGGGAGAAGCACAAGGTGTCGCGATCCACGCCGCCTTGCCAAAAGCGGGAAGCTCCGTCGCAACAAACGTCACCGCCGCTGCCCAACTGTTATGTCTACAGCATCATGCATCAGGGCGCATTTGCCAACACTTTTGGTCATGATTTACTCGTAAAATATATATTTCTGATCCCTGATCATGCCCAGTCCCGCTAAGAAGCGCAAGAGAGATGACCTTGACTCCTCCCCGCAAAAGTCCCGGAGTATAGCGTCATTCTTCAAGGGCCAAGCCTCCAAGGAAGCTGAGAAAATCAAAACATCTACGAACTCCGATGTGTCGAATCAGACAGAAGAGACACTGTCTGATGAAGCTCTAGCTCGAAAGCTTCAAGCAGAATGGAACCAACAAGATGTGACGGAAGAGACGCCCCCTTCACCTAGTGAGGCGCCAGAGACCCCAGAGCGCGGACACAGTCCGCAACGCCCGCCAAGTATACCATCGAAGAATATGATTTCTCTGCAGTCGTCTTCCGGCACGGAGGATACTGTCTCTCTCTCTATTCCTTTCGACCAAAGCCCCTTGACATTTGACTCGAGACAATACGCCGATGAATTGCAAAAACACTGGGCTACCTCGGGCGGCGATGCTTCGTATGCGCTCCTGACAAGGGCTTTTGTTCTTGCCAACGCTACAAATAGTCGCATCAAAATAGTCGATACGCTGGTCAACTTTCTTCGCGTCCTCATGGAAAGCGATCCGTCGAGTGTTCTCCCTGCGGTGTGGCTAGCAACCAACTCAATTTCGCCTCCGTACGACGAAATGGAATTAGGGCTCGGCGGCTCCTCGATATCGAAAGGCCTCAAGAAAATATACGGGCTAAATAGCCAGGGACTCAAGTCTCTGTATGATAAGCTTGGAGACGCAGGCGACGTAGCGTTCGAAGCCAAGAAGAGGCAAAGCCTGACGCTGGTAAAACCCAAGCCACTCAGGATTAAGGGCGTTTACCAGTCACTCCAGAAGATTGCCACGAGCAAAGGCCCGGGAAGCCAGGAAAATAAACAACGTATCGTTGAGAAATTGCTTCAGGATACGCGTGGTGCGGAGGAGAGTCGGTACATTGTCCGCACTCTGGTCCAGAATCTGCGGATCGGTGCGGTCAAGACTACCATGCTCATTGCGCTAGCTAGAGCTTGTCTACTTTCAAAGCCTGAGGAGGGCGAGTATACCCCATATTCCCTCCAGGAATTGTCCCGTCTTAAGAAGGAGGAGCTTGCGGGGATCTACAGCAATGCGGAGGAGATCGTCAAGTCATCCTACGCCAGACACCCAGATTACAACGACCTTGTTCCTTGCCTGCTAGAGATTGGAGTCACTGAGGAACTGCTTTTGCGATGTGGACTGCAGCTACACATTCCACTCAGACCAATGCTCGGCAATATCACACGAGACCTGTCAGACATGCTCACAAAGCTGCAAGGGCGCGACTTCAGCTGCGAGTTCAAGTACGACGGTCAGCGCGCGCAAGTCCACTGCGACGAGCAAGGGAAGGTATCAATATTCTCCCGCCACCTCGAGAACATGACAGAAAAATACCCAGACCTCGTGTCCCTGGTCCCTGAGATCCGGGGAGAAAGCGTATCAAGTTTCATCCTCGAAGGAGAAGTCGTCGCAGTAGACCAAGAAACCGGCGATCTGCAATCTTTCCAGACACTGACAAACCGCGCAAAAAAGAACGTCGACGTAGGCAGCATCAAAGTCAACGTCTGCCTCTTCGCATTCGATCTGATGTACCTAAACGGCGAGCCTCTCCTAAATCGATGCTTCCGCGAGCGCCGAGAGCTCCTCCGCAGTTTATTCGTGGGAATCCCCAACCGCTTCACCTGGGTCAAGAGCCTAGACGCAACATCAGCCGATTCCGACTCCGTCCTCGAGTTCTTCAAGAGCGCAACAGACGCCAAATGCGAAGGCATCATGGTCAAAGTCCTCGACAACACACCCAACCCCGCCCCTAACAAAAACGACAAACAATCAAACCCGATACCAAGCACAGACACCCCCAACAGCGCCACCACCACCACCAGCAACAGCCGACGAAAGGCCCTCCTCTCGACCTACGAGCCCGACAAACGCATGGACTCCTGGCTCAAAGTCAAAAAAGACTATAGCACCTCCTCCGAAACCCTCGACCTCATCCCGATAGCAGGGTGGCACGGCCAAGGCCGCAAAACCAAATGGTGGTCCCCGATCCTCCTCGCAGTCCGCAACGCCGAAACCGGCTCCCTCGAAGCCGTCACAAAATGCATGTCCGGCTTCACGGACAAATTCTACCAATCCAACAGGGAAAAATACGATCCCGGGGGGGTGAACGTCATCTCTCGACCCAGCTACGTCGAGTACTACGGCGAGCAGCCGGACGTGTGGTTCGAGCCGCAGGAGGTGTGGGAGATGGCGTTCGCGGACATCACGCTCAGTCCGACCTACACGGCTGCGATTGGGCTGGTCAGCGACGAGAGGGGGCTCAGTCTGCGGTTTCCGCGGTTTCTGAAGGTCCGCGAGGATAAGTCGCTTGAGGAGGCGACGACGGGGGATTATTTGGCGCTGCTTTGGCGGAAGCAGGCGGAGAAGGCGGTTCTTGAAGGTGACGAGGATCCGGCTTCTGAGATGCAGCCGGCTTAGATCGAGTAGGGGGATGGATGACCTAGGAGAATCCTTCTGGTTATGCAGCTTGGTCTGCAACCTAATTCTACCTACCTCTTGTGAGACATGGTGTGGCATGACCCCGCGGGTGTTGGCAGAAGGAGCGTTGGCTTTAACAGGTCCTTATGCAATAAACGACCATATCAATGAGGGAATTCGAGCATATATAGGCAGGGTCAACATGATGATTGTGAAGACAGATATAGTAGAGGTTCTTCTCAAGAACCACATTATCACTTGTGTGTTTGTACTCTTTTCCATCCTCTTGATCATTATCATTATTATTATCATTACTATTATAATTCTCATTGTTAGGAAAGCCGTGATCCAGCATGAAACAGTAGGCAGACAAAACGACACCTCAGGCACCAACCTACCTAATCCAGCTAAACCGTGCACCTCGTCAATTGGTCGGTTAGCGTAGGGCCGGCGCATGCGACCATACCACTTCCGGGCTAGCGCGAGCGCGAAATAGACACGAATTAGAGTTTGACGCGTCGGGTGTCGCGTGTTGTTTTTGTCTGACTCGATATTTTTTGGCCTCTGCCCACCCGTGCGGGGTAAGCTTGATTAATGGTTTTAATGCTATACAGGTGTGATGGGGCTCCCCATAGGAAATTAGTGGGTTAAGGTAGAGTTTGGATGGTATATATTCATCAATAGGTGACGCTCGTGCATATACAGCTAGCTTGACCGCGTCAGAGCGATTCGGTTTCAAGTTTCTTTGCCACAAATGAAAAGAGGGGACATGATGGAAAGAATAGAAAACAGAGAATGCCGAACACGGATGGTGGGCTAGAGGTGTCATACAAAAGAAAGGTTATGCAAAAGTCGGGGATTGACATAAGAAAAGAGGTGTATGGACAAATACCAAGGCCGCCGCCGCAGAGGGAATTGACACAAGGGGTGGCAGGGTATGAGGAAGTGAGGGGTAGAGCGGCAGGGAACAGGATGATCTGGTGTGTGCACATAACGGTCATTAAACTTGGTAATCGTAAAATGGGACAAGGAAAAGGATGTTTGAGGGTCTGGTCATGATGTGTTCAAGGACGGAGTTCTCCACCAAGTTGCAAGAGGAGACCGGACGCTCTCGCTCGGCTCTTGGGGCTGTCTGCACCAGGAGGTAACAGGGTGTCAAAGTTCGACCGCCGCCTATCTTTTGCTGCAAGAGGGGTGCGTGCCGCGCCTCCGGGCGTACGGCCACCCCAGGGTGCTTGAGCCGGGCTCGGGGTGACGTTGACAAAATCTGCAAAATTGAACTGCTGATTGGGAGTGCTGAAATTTGGGAAGAGACTGCCGCCCCCGGGAGTTGGGGTGAGCGACGGCAGCATGGCATGCTGACTTGGAGGGGTTGATGGAGGGAAGTCTCGCGCGTGGGTCTTGTTGGCGACGCTGGCCGGGGTGGGCGAATTGGCCAGATACAGGAGCAAATCAGCTCCGTCATCATGCCGCAAGGTCCGTTCGTTCCGCGACGAGCGAGTGTGTTTTGGTGGAGGAGTACGGGGAGGCGAGGAGCCCACCATCGAGCTCACATGTTGAAAACTATGAACAGGAAGGTCTGGGTCGTTCTCATCGTCCGAATAGGGATTGTGGGCCGGAGAGGAAAACTCGGGGATCGGGGCCGTCTCAGAGATGAGAGGCAAATGTCGTTGGCGATGTCCCATGTGCCGGTTGAAGCCCGGAGACGACTCGGGGAGTTGGTATGAACTTTTCCAAGACCCTCGAGGAGCTTTTGCTGGACGATCCGTGACCGAGTCCGACCGGAGACGTTTTCGGCCGGCCGACAGCATCGGCTGCATCACCTTGGAATCGAACGTGGCTGCATGTCTATTCCGTGATGATCGGGGCAATTCCTTCGAGTAGGTCGCAGTTCGCAAGGGAGGGGACGTCAGAGGAGTCTCGCAACGGCTATGGGATATTTCGGACGAGGAATCCGACGGCTTGTCACTCCCTAAGAGGAGGGAACGACCACCGGAGTGATCGAGGGACTGGAGACGGCCATTCTGGTACTTGACTTTGGCGAGGCCGAGACGATCTTGGAGGCTGAGGGAAACCTATGATGGAGTGACTAGTTAGAAAAATTTCCTCATTGATTTCATTTTTGTTTCTCGTCTGTGCATCCAGTTCACGCCTACCCCATGTGCTAGGGATGGAAGGATTGGGGCACGAAAATCTCTCCACCGGAAGGGGGCACAGTCATGGAAATACCTGAGCAATGTCAATTTTGCGAACGGTCTTCTCCGAGTTGGGTGGCTGAGGAAGGGCCATCGCTGGAGGTCAGTGAACAGCAGGAAGCGAAGGGCTATTCACCAAGTGGTCCGGGGGATCAGGTAGGATCATAAACAACAGTGGGTAAACGTCAAAAGCAGAATGCAGCCCAGAAGAAGCTTGGTCATAGACCAGAGAGGAGCAAGGGCGGCTGGAAAGCGGAGATGAAGGGGAGGAACTCGAGGAGTGGGAAGAGAAAGACCAAATGATTGGAGAATGAGGAGTGGATGAATTGGACGGGCTGAAAGAGAGAGCGAACTAACAGCTCAGGTCGTGTGTGCTGGGTCCAACCAAGCCAGGTCTGGTCTAGGGGGGAAATATCGGTAAAATTGAAGTTAAGAACTGGAAGGTCCGAATGGATCAATTCGAATTCCAGAAGTTGTAAAAATGAAAATTGGAAAATGAAAAATCGAGATTGCTCTCCGGGGAACCGAAGGGATCAAGGTCCAGGAAGGGAATGTATCATGAAAACCTATTTACAAGATATAGAGATGGAGATGATAATTGTGCAATAAAAATAACTACAATATTAACCTCGAGAATAGCAAACATAATTTATTCTATTTTACTTGCTTAATTATTGTTCTATTCAATCTATTCAAAAAAACCAGTTGAACACCTAAAGATGCCTGAACTGGATCTTCCGGATACGACTAGTTGAATCCATCCCTACTTGGACCATTGCAGTATCCATGGTTACCTACTTACCTCCCTATTCTATTGATCACTTTTCCCCTTGATGGACGATAGTCCGTCCTCTGTTCATTGTCTTGTCCAAATCATCTGGACTAACCAGTCAATACGGGTGTACGGACTGAATCCTGCCCAAGCGTCCGAGGTATCTGTGCGTTGTACTCCATACACTGTAACTATACTTGGCCCAACAATACCAGGTCACTACACCGAAGCATCAGCCGGTCAACTCCGGTCCCCCAAAGCCAATCGACCTAATGCCATTCCGTACTAATTACGGGGATTCCGGTTCATCCAGATCCAGCCCTGACCAGCAGCCGGAACGAGGAGAGATGAACGATGAACCGGTTGATGCTGGATTCCAAAGGACTGGACGCTAGTGAGGGATCTGGCCCGAAAGCCACCAGCATACCTTATCTATGCTCTTGCTGTCCCTGCCGACCGGGGGAATTTGGGATCTACAGAGGCAAGATCTCCTTCGTGGTGGACGGTTTCAGAACAGGAATCACACAGTCCGAATGTGAGCTCTCCTGGACAACGGGAGAGACTGAACTATGTCATCGTGCAGCTGTGATGGCTAAAGTGTGTGTGTGTCCCGACGGAGACAGTGATATGTCAACCCCCTTTTGAATCCTGAGTTCAGCCTCAAGAACTTCCGCAATCGAGTCAGTTAACGAAGTGGACACCTCCCTTGCTAATTAATTGAACCTCTGGATACGTCGACCGGTTTGATACTCTTACCGAGATCTCATGTCGGGATTCCAGTAACCCCACCGCAAATAATAAAGTGCCATTCCATAGAATGGCAATATTCGAGCTCCTACTCTTCATACGTGACAAAAGCACTGGTTGTCGAAGCTCTCGAGGTCTGAACTCTACATTATGGACGAACGGCCAAGAGTCTAATTCTTTTTGAGTTCTGCCCTGTTTAAATCTCGGCGTCTCGTCGATCGGGCAACTTTCCAGAGTGGGGTCTTCCAAACCCACTCTCAGGGATGAAAGGGAGCCAGGAAGAACCGGAAAGGAAGAAAACAAAGGCACGAAAGAAGAGAAAGGAGGAAACCAGGGCCCGTTATCAAGGATCATTCAAGCCCCGTTGAATGAAGGGAACCCAGGAAGCGACTCCCTCCATAAGCAAGAATGAGGTGGCCAAGAGATAAGCTCGTCACGAACAATTCAGTCTAGCCAAGAATGTGCGTCTCGTATCTGGACCGATCCGACGCACATCCACTATCCGCCCACGCTGTCCAGAGACTCCAGATAAGTCTTCGGGAGGGATCTCTGATCGGCTTGAATATGTCAGGACAGAAACAAGAACAGAAAGAATAGATGGAAAAAAAAAAAAAAAAGAAACCAACGACGGATGGCCATGAAGTGGCAGCCTGCGTCAGTGGCACCCATACCGCAGGGACCCAGAAGAGAGACAAATATAGTAAAAGCATGAGACCCGGTCGATCCACCCTCACCTTACTGGTGAAACACTGAAACTAGGCGCGTCTATCTTGCTCCTGCTGTTGGTCAGCGGCCTGTGGCATTTGGCATACGTAACGCACCCTTGTCTATTCGCAACAACAGGCAGTGCAACAGAACACAGGGAACACTGGTTTGACCCACCTCAGTCATCGTCGTCGCAGAGAGCTGTCCAAAATGGGCTGGGTTGGTTGCATTCTCCGTCCATTGGGGGCAGGAATGGTTGGCTGGGCCTTCTCTCGCTCGACCTGCTACCTACCTATACATAAGGTATCTCTGGATCTCTCTCGGTCTGAATCTTCAGACGATGTGAATCATACCAATGAGCATCCACCATGAGCCGTGAAAGCCACCCATCCACCGCTTAAAGCTTGGTTCTGGCTATCTCATATCGGACTCCAACGAAGCTTGCTGCAAATCAGACAGACTAAGTCTAGTACCTCGAACTAGTCGCCCATCGGATCTTTTGGCGGGTCGGACATCCTCCTGAATCCTTTCTTCATTTTCCTTTTGGTTTGATTTTATCTCATCGTGTGTCCACTTTGGAGGTCCGACCTCCTTTTTCCTGAAAGAAAATTCTATCCTGCGATGTGTGATGTTCCTTTCTTTCTTCAATCAATATTGAGTTCCTCTCAGTGATCAACCTTAACCTTGGGTTCCTGAAAAATTGGACGTGATTGCGGGGGGAAGTTGAGCTGGATGATCGGTGGTTATTCCAATAAGAAGCATCCATCCGCAAACGGTCGCCTGTCCAGACCTGTCGACGTCGACGTATTGCGCCAACCTACTCTGGCCTTCCTTACCTCAGCTTTGCCTCTCCGAACAACAATCAGCCGCTGAGTTGGCCCATCGTTGTTTCTTCTCTTTCCCTGTCCCCTCCCCACTTCTTCTTCTTCTCTTTTTCATTATATTATCTGGTTTCTTTCTTTGACTACCCTTGTCGTTCGTTTTCTCTGCGTCAGATTCTTTGGGTTGTTGGAGTGAGAAGGAAGGGTACTTACTATACGACCCGCTTACTACTTATACTTCACAACTTCCCAATTAAGCTCGGCTTGTATACCGACGGACTCGCTTGATTCCCCCCCCATCACTACGGTCGCTTCTCTTTTTTTTACAACACCATTACACACACCTGATCTGGTTCAAAGATCATGCCGTTCTTCAAGCAGCTGCGGCGTTCCAGACCGAGCTTTCGCACCACCAAGTCCGTGGAGTCGAAATCCAACGAATCTCATTCCAATGGTGAGATGACGTCGGGGCAGTCGTCGACCACCCTCGATACTTCCTCCTACAGCTCGGTGACCCCACCTTCCTCCATCAAACCCGATCGCTCGTCCCCAAACCTCCCGGCGCTTAATGAGTGCAACGACAACAATGCCAATGGCGCAGACCCTCCCGCAGTCACTCAACGACCTCCACTCCACACGACCCCGATGAAACGAAATAGCGTTGTGGTATGTGATCCCGATCGTCTCTGCTTCGTGTATCTTCCCGTACTGATCGGTGTCGTTTCCAATAGAATGGTAGCGTAATGTCGTCTAATGGTGCTAGCCGATCGCCCTCGTCATCTTCACCGTATGCCCCCAGGATTATCTCCATCTCGGACGGCTCGTGGGTAGGTTCTCGTCCCTTGCTATCCGTCCTGGCCTCTGGCATCTCGGTTTGATCAGCATGGGAGTGTGACGGGAATGGAGCTGACGATGGTCATTTCACAGGTACACCAAAAAGTGCTATTGCTCTACGGTCAGACCGGAGACCCCAGGCATCATCCGCTGGACGGAACCGTAACCGCCTATCACCACCAGGATAACTTCCCATCTGTCAGCTGGCCTGTCACCGCATCGCATTTCAAAGCGCTCGTCCATCTAGTCCCGGGTCCTAATCGATTACGTTTCGACTTTGTGTCGACCAAACTGTCCTCGGGGAGTGCACATCCAGCGATCCATTCCTCGTGGATCTGCATCAACTATCTCCCGTTGGACAGTGCCCCTCCACTGCACCTGGTTGTCTTGCTTGGGAAGGACTCGGAGGGGACCTTCGATGCGTCCCCGGAAAAGACGCAGCGGGAGGGACGTGGCCTGGACACTGCCATTCGGAAGTATCGCACGGCAGCGTATTTGTGGCAGGCATTTACCGGCGAACAAATGTTCCGCAACAATCTTGGACGGCGCTGTTTCCGTTTCGAAGAGGAGTGGCAGACCGGAACCCTCAGCCGTCGAGATGTGGCTAACGGGCAGATGCGGAACGAGGCGAAGGTCCACGTTGTTCGCACGGAGAAGACCGTCGCAGAGCTTCGAGATCTCAACATTGCGCAACAGTATGGCCCGGCCACACAAAAGGATGAATTATTCAAGATCGCCAGGGATGCCGTGCGGAACCACTTCCAGCCGCAACCGGGCCAGAAGCAGTATGTTTCCGTTTTACTGCTCGACTCGCACTGGGACACGGGGTCCCAAACCATCACCGGTCATGCCGCGTTAGGGTCAGATGGCGGCGATATCAAGATGGCCATCTTCGGCTCCCACAGTCTTCAGAGCTATCCTTGTAGCCTGGAGGAAGTGGTCGATGCCTTCTCGGACTGCAGTCGAACCAATACGGATTTCGTGGCAAATGACTGCGGGGAAGCGGGGTCTAACTGGGAGGCTGCAAACATCGGCATTGGAGCTCACCTGCATGAGGTCGGTCATCTCTTCGGATGCCCGCATCAAGAGTCGGGCATTATGCTTCGCGACTATGTCCGGCTCAATCGGACCTTCACCACCCGCGAGCCCTTCTCCACCCGGACCAAGGCCCAGGGGCTGAAACTGTCCCTGCCGCAGGATGAATGCTCTTGGCACCGTCTGGATGCCCTGCGGTTCCGCTTCCACCCCTGTTTCCGCCTTCCCACCGACGCGCCGGTGAGCTCGGACGACAGCGTTCAAGTCTGGCCTGTTGAGAATGGGAAAATCCTCATAACCGCCTCATCTGGGATTGCCTTCCTGGAGTTGTACGCGGAGGGTGACCAGGTTTGTCGCAGTTTTGTCGAGTACCTCAACACGGAATCAAGCCCCAACGGACTCCCGAAACAGGTCACCGTCACGGAGAGCGAACTACGCCAGCGGGTGTTTGGTGGGGAACGCGAAAAGAAGAAGCAGGTCAGGATGACCATCTTCTCAGGGGCCCTCGGCAGCCATACCGTGAACGCCTTGAGCGACTTGAAATCGAAGCGATCGGTCGTGAAGCTTCCCAAGGGCCATACCGGGTACAAGAGTAGTCAACTCGGCTTTTCGCAGATGGAAGGCAGCCACCCGGAACAGGTCATCCTGGACAGTGCCTTTGTGTCCACCAAGCTATTGACCTCCATCAAGGTTTACCACGGTGCGTCATTGGATGGGTTAGAATTCTTCTACGAAGATGCTACAAGTCAGCTCTTTGGGGGACGGGGAGGAAAGCCTGGTGGGGACGAGTTTGTGCTCGATACTCGGCGGGGTGAAATCTTACTTGGTTTCTACGTCCGGGCCGGTGCCTGGATCGATGGGATCGAAATTTTGACCAGCCTAGGGAGGAAGTCGGGGATCTATGGAAACGCCCATGGAGGCTCGGGGTATGTTTGATGCATTTGCCACGCTGCTTGCTGTCTCTCTAGTCTAACATGATTTCTAGACACACGTTGATCCCGCCTTTGGGGTATAAAGTGGCCGGGGTTTCCGGATCCTGTGGCCCATGGGTGGACGGGTTCTCACTAATAATTTCACACTGATTGGTTTCCGTCGTGATTTTGGATCTTCAAGATCTACACACGGCACCGACGCTGTTGATGCCCAGCTCATGGTATGAGAAATCAGGATCACCGAGCACGATCCTTGTGGACGGACACCAACATATTGGAATCTACAGCCACACTCACCACTGATCGTTGGATGATCCAAGGATCAGGCTATCTTTCATTCTTTTCTTTTGTTCAAGTCTCATCTGGTGAAGCAACACTCCCTCGCTAGCCAGATGTCACCGGATTGACCCAGGGTCTTGGGGTCTTGGAGCGATGGATATACCGGGAGGCGTCTATAGGACCAACTGGTACATATGATCTCGGATCATGGACGGTATTGTTTATATGATTTATCTTGTCTATGTAAAAAGGTGTTGAGGAGTTGCAAGAGGGTTGAACCCATTGGCGTGATTTTCAACTCGGGCGGAAGTTTACCGTGGTTTAAGCAGGACTTAGACAGGTATTTAATTGTGATTGATAGGAAGTTGTCAGACAACGTGATGGGAAGGCTTAGATACCTACTACAGTAGTAACAGTATATGAAGTCGCTACTTAGATCTAGCAATCTCCCGACGCACGAGAAAAGATAAAATAGCGATAATCCGCTACTCAAAAGACAGTGCCACTGAAGGCAGATCTCTACTACGCAAAAACATACTGTACATCACGAAATCAATCAACCAAATAACCCATCCCGTAGTCTATCTACCAGGCCTGAGCATGCAATGAGCAAAAGCTTAAAAACACACCTCCACATGATTATCTATTTCATCCTTTCCCGATCCGTTCCATTATCGTCCTATATCACCCCCTACTATTGGTGTCGACAGATAAGAAGGTCGATAGATAGATAGATACGTTGTGTGTGGGTGTTTACCCGATGAATACCCATCTCCCGGTGCATAGTACCGATTAGATATATATCTGTACACCACAGAAATGAAAGAGAGAGAAAAGGCGTGCTTATTGTGTAATGGGGGGTGTGGACGAATATATCTGACATTGGTGGTAGGACTTGGAGAGGAATATTATTATTATTATTATTGTTATTATTGGGGTACGTATGCCCTTTTGAATGAGGGGATGCGGGATGCTGGATGCTATGACGGGCCTAAAGAGATGGATGCTGGTTATTGTGGATGGTAGTGAGCCTATGGGCTATAGGTATATACGTTTTGGTTGGTTAAGTAAGGTGAGTACAATTCAGTTATTTGGTTTAGGTACGGTCGGAGGTATGATCTGAGTGGTGGGTGGGTAGGTGGTAGCACGGTGGTAAGCTAAGGTACCACCACCCAAAGAAGGAAGAATAGAAACTAAGGGAGAAAAGACGGGACGCGCAATCGAGGAGAGTCTACAAAGGATGTGGACGATGATATCATGATAGAATGGAGATGGGGGGGGGAAGAAGAGACACGGGAAGACGAAACGGGAAGAACACCGATGAATAATGAGGATTCAATACTCCAATCGGGATATGAAACAAAAGCCTCGCAAGCACGGGCTCTGAACATTATTATTCAGATTGTATTAAACCATACATATTTCATCATATGGTGGGACTGGACTGGAGGTGATTCTTAGTCAGGTGGCGAACTGCGAGTCCGGGGGTTGTGGATGAAAGAGAGCACGCGTGTAACAGCTGGCGCAGTTACGGATACTCCGGATACTCCAGGGGACAGTGCGAGTAGAGGTTATCATTGGGGGAGGGGGTTGGAATCTTGGATGACTGATGGTGACAGGAGGTCGGGAGTGTGTGTATATCACATCACATCTTTACTGCTCTGGATTGTTGGCTTATGGTATCCCTGTAAGGTTGGAGCTGCTAGTCGTAGCTAGGTGCTTGGGTGCTACCTACAACCTTCTACATGCGGAAGTGGGCGTGTATTGCCCAGCATTTGCGTGCTGTAACTTGTGGGGTAGATATGGGTTGTAGTTCTGTAGATCTGATCCTCATTGGTATCATCTTTTATGGAGTAACTAGGGAGTGTGTTGTCTTGTGTCAGATGGCTGTATATTGTTGGATACGGAAGGGTAAAAGATATCTCCACAACATATGGAATGGAATAGATAACTCCCACGTCAGTCTACAGAATTCTGTACTGCACGAGTCGTGTCCAGCATGTACCTTGCGCAACGATACCAGGGAACTGACTCGGCCCTGTGATGGCAAAGAACCAAAAAACAAAAACGCCATTACGCCATAATGACATAACCCGTATACCAACAATTGAAGCCGAGATTGTGGGCATCCCGAAGATAACTGATATTCCCAGAAGCTTCCCACCTAGTCATCCACAATCCACATCCCATCTCCCAGAGTCCATATCTCCAAAGCAAACCCTGTGAACAGTGGATCTGGACCAAGCGAAGCTAAGCCACTCTCACGCCCGTGGGTATGGGGCCCCTATGGGCCCATGTCCATCAACCTACTCTCCTCAACGAGTCAACATACTACAAAACGAAGAGCAAAATAAACAGTGGACTAGACCCATTGTAATCGATAAGTGATGGGGAAAGGACTATTTTTCCGGCCCCTAAGCCGTGTCTCTCATTTGCGGGACTTTATACCGGAGCCCGTGTCCGCGTGCCCAGTACGGACTCGGAGTACCCAGTAAACCCCCCGCAGGTACCAGGTACTTGGGGCACACTTTATCGGTTATGGATTGGCGCGGGACTGTTCTTGTCGGTCTAGCTACTAGAGTCAGCTAGCTACCTACGCTCCAGCCTTTGACCTTTCCTGAGACAAGTGACCCCCCCCCGTACCCGGGGACCAGGTACTCTACCGCCCTATCAAGCCTCGAGGAATGTGTCTCCCCAGTTCGCCACTTGATGGTCCCAGATTACCTAATTGGGTGTCTGGTTTTAAGTTATCGCCTTTATACTTTGGTATCATGGTGTATTGCCGAGGTTGTAGCGACAGGTGTTTTTATGGCTTGGTGGCTTGACGCCGTCGACGTTGTTTGTCCGCAATTATTCTCCATGGTTGTTTATTCGTTGAGGATGTGACACGGAGTGGGTTGTGCTGTATGTTATATTTCATGTATTATTTGAGTATGATACACCATGGTTACCGTCAATACACCTCAGACACGACCTGTATACAAAATATCGAAGCACATATCAACAATGCTCCCGAAACCGAGCGTAGAAACAAAAAAAAGCCAACCAGCAGTCACCACCTGACCCTCCTCATCAAATAACAGCCTTGCGCTCTCGGCACAACGAACGACGGAGGGCGCAAGGGCCACAGGGGGTGCGGGTGGTGAGGATCGAGTGGCCGATATGACACCGGGAGCAGGACCCGATGGCCGCTCATTCGATGTCTGAAAGCCGCGCCCCCCTGCTCTTAATCAATCTGCATTGCTTGTGATCCTTTCATTCTGCAGCGGTGGACTAACCGCGTTGCTTGGGGCTCCAGGGATGCTCGGAGCACTGATGTTTTTGGTTTATATGTGATGGTTATCATCGCGCCATTCTGTTGTGGCTGGTTATCAATATATTGTGATTGGTGAGGCTTGTCCAATCAGTGATTCTAGTAGATTATTGCTCCTTGTGGATTGGAGGGCAGCTCAGGCTAAGGTTTGATACTATGGAGGTTAGTACTACATTATATTGGGTAAAGTATGTGTATTGTATGAAAGTGGCGAATGCGTCTTGAAAACCCTGCAGGGTTTAGTAGAGTATAGTTTAGTACCCCGTATGTTTTCCCCCTTATCTTTCCACCACAAGGAAGAAAAATAACAAAATCGCCCGAATCTCGACTCGAGACTCTCCAAAATACTCTACTCCCCATGAAGAAGACCCTTCTCCACGAAATCCATCCTCGGGATTTGAATTGCAGAACAAGCATAGAATAATCACCATCCATAACCGTGGTTCAACCCATTCCCTGAATGGGTATGTTTTAAGCCTGGGAAAGCCACAATCCATTGCCGATGCAGATAATGGAGCCCCCCTCCCCACCTGACCTCCCTTATCGAGTAACGACGAATAGAAAAGGACGGAGGACGGTGGACGGTGGACGACTATTGTGTGGTGGCTTCAATAGTTCCTAATTTAGGTACGGGTCCTGGGCTTGCATTTTTTTTTTTTTTTTTTTTTTGCCAAGCCGGTGGTTGTGCTTCGCTACCGTTGTTGGGGGAGGTCTATGCTGGGCTGGACTGGACTGTGATTCACTTTGCCTGGTTATATGGATGGGAGTGCTGTACTGGGGTTATGGATGGGGTAGATTCACTGTATAATGGGTTTTTTTTAGCGAGCTGTTTTGAGACAGGGACTGGCCAAGGGTGTTTTATTCAAGCACCTGGGGACACAGATACAGATCCTGACTCATGCTATAACCAAAACGCATACACCACACGCAAGGAGAATCACCCCGCATGGTGATAAGGCTGAGACGTAATCTAAACTGTCTTAGGTCAAGAGAAAAAAAGGGAAGGGGAAAAAAAACGGCATTGTGACGCAAGGCCTGAGACGCACGGCGACAAAGCTCAACACTACTTTAGGTATCTAGGTTTTAGCTCAGGTCAGATCCAGCCCAGTGGATCGATCATTGGGGGACCCTGTCAACGCCCGCCCCGTCGAAGCTTTGCCTTGTCGCGCCTTAGCGATGCCGAGGCACGCTCGCCTGTTGAACAGCTTCCTGGTTTTGAGGAAGAGAGGAAGAAAACTCACCGGGGGAAAGGAGGCCCAATCGATACTAGTTGGAATGTTATATCTGGCACTGTCGCAGTTGTAAACTTGAATTTTGAGTCTTGACCACGGGCGACGTTAACCACGGATGATAAGTAAATCGGCTTTCGACTGGCGACAAGCGATTGCGCCATTGTTTGCTACGCATTTCAATTCATCTCGCATTTCACTACTTTGACAGATCAAGCCCCTTGCATATTTGATTATGTAGAACGGAGAGGTGGTCATCGGGGATGTGCTGGCAGTATAATCGCAACACACTTTCTCAATTAGGTTCGCTGTTAACATGCCGATCTCACTGCCCCATTGCGGTGCTCAATTCTATGTAGATCAGCCGAAAGACCGGTGTCGAGATCCGGGCCACGGGGATCAATCCACGGGCGGAGACGTAAACGGCTTCCATTGTTTGAAAGCGTCATGTTGGGTTTCCGTCGGTAGCTCCTTACAAGTAATGGATGTTAGGCCTGGCCAGATAATGGTGGCGTATATCCATCGCTTAAGTGGTGTTGTACATCGGATGATAAGTCGGTTCTGGACTGATGAGACTCGCCACTTGAGCATATTGTTCGTTCGTCCGTCCCTTCGCATGACGACATTGCATTCCATCCACCGTCCCACACCCCACTCTCCCATCCGATGATTGACATCAGAAATCTGAGGATCCAGGCCCATACATCCAGACCCTGGACCTAGTTAAGAGTCTGCGTAGTGCGTACCAGAGTACAGTCTGGGGCTGTGCTTCATGGAAACCAGCCCACCAGTCGGATAAACAGCCACGTGATGAACCGAGGCGCTAAGCGGGCCGTTTACGGCCTGAGGTGTCAAAAGCCCACCTTAGGTAAGGGCAGCTGGTAGATCGCTGGCTTTTGATTGGCGGACTATTGTTCCAGCAATGGCGCTGGTGGGCTGCGTACCTCAGTCAACAATTCACTAGGCCTAATGAGTATGGGTTCCGACAGCTGGGTCCACATATGGGTATGATCCTACGCCTAGGTACCAAGGTACACGGGTGCCTTGTATGGGCGGCTGTATTTTTGGTTAACGGTGAGATACATTGGGACTTGTAGAAACAACGGCTTCGATTACCTTTGGGTATGGTGGGGATATATGCTTCGCATATTGTCTGACGTAGTGTGTAGAGGAGTTTACCTTGTATGATCGTTATCATGCAGAAGGAATCTAGGAGGCATTAGCTGGGGACGCTGATGTCAGTCGATATCACACTATTTTGAACGATAGTATACATGCGCAGAAAATATTCTCGTGTGGGGTTAGGGGCTGTTGCTTATCATTCCTCCCTAGATAGTAGGCATCATTTTATAAATGTCAATTTACACATCCTATCCATCATACTATACATGATTACAATTCCTTGTTCCAAATCACTTTGGTTTCTAGCACACCTGAGATAGACTCAATTGATATCCCAGGGACCTACACTTTCATGCTCTATCAACAATTAGTTATGGATTGGTTAACCAGTAGCATGCTTGAGTCTAGAAATGATGTAAGGTAGATGTTGATACGAGAAAGGTATGGGCCAATACATCAATACTGGTACCGGTACCGATGTATTTTTGATCAACTACAATGCTATCGGACAGGGAGCTCCACCTCCGGACCCAAGGTTAGTATTATCGCAGTCCAGCCCGACATGATAACAGAATAGACTCTTTCTCGAAGTTCATGCATAATACTCGGTCTTTCTAGAACAGTAGATAAATAAACAAATAAACAAATAGAAATACATTAGAATAACGTAAATAAAATGAAGTCACTGGATCCAGACAAAAAAGAATGAATAAAATACACCGATTAAAGGTGATATAATAAATAAATAAAAAATAGAAATAATAAAATAAAAAAGCATCCTTTCGGGTGATAGCCATGTCATATTTTTTTTTCCTCTACAGTTTCTTCCCTACTTTTCTATTCTTTTTCTTTCTTTTTCTATTCTGATTCTGATTTTTTGTTTCTTTCCTTTTGATTCGTTTTTCAGTATTGTTTCTTGCGTCAATAAATTAACAGTTTTCTTGCACGTCATTACGCCCCCCCCATGTGGCCCCTTTCTCTTTCTCTTTCTATATTAATAACAGGACTATCACATTCCTCCTGGACAAATTTTCCGAGTAGAAGATTCTTAATTATTGCTGGGACCGCTGTCTGCCTCGACCTTGCATTACTCTAAGTTTCCACTGTCTTTTTGCTCCTCCACATTTCACCCTTTCCCCCTCTCATATTCCAATATTATTGGGGGCTTCTCTCTCCATTGGGCTTCCCCCCCTCCATCAGTCATCCATTCTCCCTGAACCACCGTTTTCCCCCTCTTTCCTACTTACTCTCCAAGATTCGTCTGTGATCTTCCTTCAACCATCCTGCCCCATACTTATCCATTCCTTATCCGCCTATTATCATCTTTATTTATTGATTTAATTTTTGATTATTTCCCAACGCCCAGCGAAATAATTAATTTTTATATCATACTTCATTGAGTTACTACATTGGACTTAAGAACCCACTTCCCACTTCTTTTTGCCTCGCATCATACTCGATTATCTCAGTCACTGAAGTTCTCACCACCACATACATTCGAAAGCTTCCAACCTCACAACCTCCACGGGAAGAACATTTCTACCATTTGATCTTGAGAGACAAGTCTCATACGTGATTGTCCGCCTTCTGATAACGATTTGAGTGGGGCCATATTGGTTATCTCGATCGCAACTGTTGGGACTTGAAAGCAGGACACGCCTGATTTCGATCAACGAACAATTCACGTCGTATCCAGAAATCCTACCGCTAGTTACTCATTGCCGGTCCGGATGTTTTGCAAATCTTCGACTTAACCAACCTCTCAATTTCCCCGTTTCTGACGGCGTCGCCGACACTGGGCACCTTTTCCCCAGAAGATAATGTTTCGCAACCGGTAAGTTGTCGAATTCACTCCCCCGTTTCATTGCTTGGCTCAAGGTCTGACGGCTAGGATTTCCCAACATAGAAACAATACTCAGAAGCCAGACGAGGAGCTCATTAATCGTTTCCAAAGGACATTCGCCGGCATCGTTCCAGGGCCGAGCAGCAATGTCAGTCCCTACAACCAAAGCCCGGCGGGACCTATTACACCAGCAAGGTATCTTTCCATTTCTACTACTATCTTGTCCCTGGTTTATTCTTGTTGTATCTTCGGCAATCTTGTATTAATCTCCTTTGGCTTTCGCCCTCGTTAAAGCTATCTCGAACTAAACCTTGCTTGGACCACAGTGCTAATTTCTATCCATCTTCAGGCTCAGCATGGAGAGCACCATGAAATTTGACGAAAACACACCCCACGCCGCGCAGATGGCCCAGTCATACATCGACCCGAACGCTCTGACGTTTATGAATCCTTTGCAGCAGGCACATGGCTACTACACACCAAACTCGGGCGGGATCGGTGCGGCGTATCATAACCAAGCGGGCGACCTGCACACTCCCACCATGGGCCTGAGCATGATGACACCCTTGTCTTTACCTCAGCAGATCGTCGGCGCATCCATCAACCCTGACGGGACCGGAATCCCTATGAATCAATTTGATCAAAATTTCATGGCGCCCCAGTTCCAGAACCAACATCCGTACGCGCCATCTCAACCGTCATTCGCGCCCGCTACGTTTATACACCGAGATTCCGGATATGATGGCATGGACGAGTCTGAGGAAATCTCCTTGAATGATATGGATATGCAGAGGAATCTTTCTCCGCACATGGTCGCTCCCTCGATGCAGGATGCAAGTTATGGATTGGGATCCCAGGACCCAGCTGAAAAGTAAGTCATACTTAAATGACACCTTCATATATACCTGTTCCGTGTCTCACAAGTTCTAATCAATCTCCAGGTTCCGTTACCATGTCACATTGCGAGCTCCGACCGCTATGGTCAAGGACAAGAGTGAAATCCCTGTGTCATACCTCAACAAGGGCCAAGCCTACTCCGTCTTCGTTACCGATACAGCGCCGCCATCAGCGACCACACAGCCAGTGAGATACCGTACCTTCATCCGCGTCTCGTTCCAAGAAGAAGAACAGAGGAAGAAGCCAGCCTCTTGCTGGCAACTGTGGAAAGAAGGCCGAGGAACCAATGAGGCGCATCAACGGGGCGGTAAACTCCAGGCAGTGGAATATGTGGACCCAATCCAGGGGGGTTCTGAAGAATACAAGAACCGACAGATCCAAGTGGAGAGCTCCTCTTTCGATGGATTCTGTGTCACATGGACCGCAAACCCGGCGATGGGATCATCGAACTGTGCGATCTCCGTCCGATTCAACTTCCTTTCCACGGACTTTAGCCATTCTAAGGGCGTGAAGGGAATCCCAGTCAGGCTATGTGCTAAGACTGAGATGGTCCCCAACAATACTGATACGCCTTCCGAAAACCCTGCAGAGGTGTGCTACTGCCAAGTTAAGTTATTCCGGGATCATGGAGCCGAGCGAAAACTGTCGAACGATGTCTCCCACGTCAAAAAGTCGATCGAAAAGCTGCGACAGCAAATTGCTCAGGCTGAAATGGGGGCCGGAAATTACGGCAAACGCAAGCGTGCCAATGCTCCGTTAACACTCAAGAACCCGGATCCTCGCCCCACCAAGATCACCAAGCACAAGCGAACATGGTCCATGAGTTCTCAGGATGGATCCGACAGGATGTCAATTGAAGATGACCTCCGTGTCAAACTGGCAGCGATGCAAGAGATGTTCACCTCTACCGCGCCCGTGAGTATCCTCGCACTGCGAGGTGACGACGAAGATGATCCGGACTTGTTCCCCGTTGAACTTCCCGAAGCGCGCAACTTCATCAAGAAAGATGGTGTTAGCAAAGCTCGGTCCAATGGGGGTGGAACCCCATCCTCGTTCCAGGCCTTGTCTCCATCAACGAGCGCGATGTCGCTGAATTCGCCAGTCGCAGCCCTACAGCGACCGTCGAGTGTGTTTTACGACTCCGGGTACGCCGGGAACGCGTCTTCGGAGAATTCGCGGCCGGGCTCCGGGATGCATGGAGAAACACCCCTCTTGAATCACCCAGTCAAGATACAGAAACCCGCCAGTGGAGAGGCCAATGGCCCCATGGGTTACATCGAGGCCGTCGACATTGATCCGACGTACAGGCCGCCCGCGGAACAACGCCCCAAACCTAGTAAGCTTTGATAATACCCTCACAGACCTGGACAATGCTAACAGTTCTATAGTTGCATGCTTCTATATTCGCTTCCCGCGAAACGACCAGGACGACTATTACCGCGCAGTATACTTGACCGAGCGCACCGTCCGAGACCTCATCGAGAAGATCTCAAAGAAGCAGCAGACTCTTGATCCTCAGAAAATCGTCCGCGTTCTACGTATCAATCAGAACGGGTTGAAGATCATGGTCGACGACGACGTCGTTCGGGAACTTCCCGAAGGTCAAGACATGGTCGTTGAATTCTCCGAGACATCCCCTTTCGAAAGCTCGATCCCCAGCCCGGGGGCCCCAAGCCCAGCGGTTGAGGTCAAGTTGAGCTACTAATTAATGTCTTTGACATCTTTCTTTTCTTTACTTTTTCTTTTTTCTTTTTTCTTTTTTCTTTTTTCTTTTTTCTTTTTTCTTTTTTTCTTTTTTTTATTGGGTATCTTCATTTCAGTCTCAGCATGTGCTTTTTTTTTTTATCATTTGGAGCAAGTGACTGTTCTCCTGGGTGGTATTATGCTAATTAATCGGCGCCTGGTGCGTGGTGTAAGAGGTCCGGAAAAGAGTCCTTTTTTTTTTTTTTCCTTCATTCATCAGGAGTTCGGGTGGTGCACTGCTTGGGACTTTGGTTGCGGGGATAATACACGAGTCTCCGTTCAATGATACCCTGTTGTTATATGCGTCTGTTTTTTGTCTTTTTCTTTTCTGTTTTTCTTCTTCTTTCTTCGTCTTGGGGTTACCCCTCCCCATCTTACCTTTTTTCTTTTATATTCATTCACCTTGTGCCATATCTCTACGATATTCTGGATATGGTACAGGGTGTTGAGATACACGATCGACAACTTCATTATTTTCTGACTGGAGGATTCACTTGACGGATGACGCACACGACATTTACATCCTATCAACCCTCAAATTTTTGTCACATATCCGAGAATACGATATACATTCTCCTACGATATTCCTTCTCCGACCCACTCGAAGCTATTTTGGATCTACACCGTGGTCCTGCCAGGACTGGCTCACGGGACTTTGTCTGTCTGCTGTGGGTAGTGTGGCAGGTACATTGTGTATCAGGGACTTGTCTGTTGAAGCGGAGCGTTGGGGCAGTGTGGTTTTATGCAGATAAAGTATAGGTTCATTATATACGATTTAACCTTAACATAGACCGTCTTAAGTTCTAAGATGCCTTCGACGTAACGTAGTCTGTAGATAGGCCGTTAAGGCCAGTCGGTGACCTTTTTCTGCGACAGATTACTTGATCCAACGCCTGAGTTCCCCGTCCATTGTTAACTAGGTATAGCTAGATGTAAACTCAAACAAACACGCGACCGAATTCAAACCCATGCGAAGCCCCAAACGTGCAAGTCAGTCAAGTTCGGTCGAGCAAGGCCGGAGAATCAATTCAATGATGCGTTCCTTTCCACCCCCGGCATAACTAGTTTGTTCATCTGGGGCCGACTCAGATAATAAACGATACGTAGAAATGATCGACCCATGCAGTATGACCGTACCGCGATCAGATTGCAAAATTCACCCATCCATAGAGCAAATACTATGGAGAGGGCAATACCCCTTGGATAGATACCTATCTACCTACATATTTACCCTCCTCCTCTTCCTCCTCCTCCTCCTCCTCCTCCTCCTCCTCCTCCTCCTCCATAGCCATTACCCCGCCCCTACCCAGCGTTCGGGATAAAACAAGGGGGAGAACGCACTGCAGACAAGGTAAATCTAATATATTGCTTGGTCAGAGGAGTTTTTTGCTTTGGGCATACATGTTTACTTCTTTCGCTGCGGTTTTTATTCTTCAAATGGTCGTGGCTGATGTCAGTTGTGCAGATAGCAGGGGACTGTTGGTGGAAATGACTACTTTAGGTAAGCTTTCTGGTTAGCTTCGACGAATGGATGGATGGATGGATGGATGGGTGGGTGGCTGTTGGCCCTGTGGCGGGTGGAAGTAGTAACGATTTAAGCTTAAATCTATTGTGTTTTGGTACTTTGGTAGGTGTATCTTTCTAGACATATATTCAGGTACTAACTACTCCGTACACCTCAGGTAGACAACTAACAGCCTCAGGAACAGGCTAAGCTACCAAGTACCTGATTTTAGATACAGCATATCCATATCAACGGCAGTAATCCACTCTCTGAATAAATTGTCACCACACATCCAGTAGCTATGTACATCTTGTAGACAAAATGTGCGTGCACATAAACAAAGACACAAAAAATACCATCCCACCCGTATCCCAACCCAGCACGATACTAAACAGGAATAGATCACATCGTTATCCCCACCATCAGGGGCCAAAAATCCAATTCCAACGTCAAAATGACGTCATGTATGCTGTGTTTCCTTGGAATGTGGATCCCCGGCGACGCTCTATCTTGCTAGTTTTTTGCTCCCCACGCGGGTACTCCCGGTGTGGGGTCGGTATTTGTTTAGGCGTGTATTACGGGATTTGTTTTGAGCGTTAGATTACGGGCCGTGTGTATTTGGATGGATTGTGGAGGTAGGGATTTCAGATTGTTTTTTTTTTTTTTTTTTTTTTCTATTTTCCACTCCGTGGCACTTGGGGGTGGTATTTGTTGGGAGGTTTCATGTATCTGGATTCTATTGATTATCTATCGCCTGAAGTTGGAATGAAAATATATTGTAAGTGTTTTGTTTTTAAAGGTGTAGTTCGTCCATACGTACATGTAGAACTACCAGCTCGTAGCATGTAGAACTACCAGCTCGACTACCTAATTATCGTCGACCATATACTCGCCACACGAACGAGTATGCTACCCCAGCAGCACGTTACTTCTCATTTTCAGCTTATCCCGAAGCGATTAAGCTTGATCTGCCTCCTAACGATGGAACGTACCCCGAATTACCATCGAACAAACCGAGATCCACCACGATCCGAGCGACTCGCCACCTGGTTTTCTTTTTCATCCTTCTAGAATTCTTTTCGGTGGACCTGGCGTGGAAGCGATTGGTTGGTCTTGAGAATAGGACTCCCTGGTAGACAAGGTACCTGAGGTAGTGTGGACAACGACATGCTGGGTGACGGGTTATGCGCGCGGTGACTGTCCTCGGACTGGTGTCCTGGATGTTGACACTTCCCTGCTTGGGTGGATAATATACTTTGCGTTCTAGATGGGAATATGACTGTCAGTGTTTATTATGGCGGTTTCAAGATGAGTGGCTTACTGTGGGTGTAACTAGAGTGCACATATTGATTGATATTGTGAGGGAGGGTCTGGTCGGTTACCCTTTTTGATAGTAGTTTTGACGGAAGACTCATTCTACTTTTCAATTCGATTAAAGTTCGCAAAAGAATATCAGTAGAACTGATTAAAAAGAGCTGACATATCGATGAAAAGCATGATATGGAGAGTAGTAGAGAATGTGGTTCGAGACCTGCACCCCCAAGGCAGAACGCCCAGGTAAAACCGGAGATACCTTACTGACCATAGAGTCCCAAACCGTCATCAAAGACGAAAGACATAGTGTACCTAGCAAAGACCTGACGGATTCACCAGGATCTTTGACAGTCGTTCACTTTGCTTTTTACCATCTCGCACCGGTTCAACTAAACATCACATGCTTGGGAAGTTAGTGTTGAGAGATATGTAAGGAACTATCTATCTTATCATCTCGCGAATGCTAGTATTCACAAGTGCTCACCAGTAGAATCAATTACAGTCAAAACGCTCAAGATGTAAATTAAACAATTATATTGCCAGCAAATACGATTCGAGCCCGTTCTAACTATATATATAAGTATAAATAAATAAAACCCCAACTACACAGAAAGACAAAAGAAGCCTGCGTAGATCGAAAAATAAAACACGTGGAATAGAAAAAATATAGACCGGAGGTAACTGTACACGAAGTCTCCCATTCCCCAAGATACCCAAAGCCATGCCCGGCTTTGAATACCTATATCAGAAATGAAGTTCCGAAACCATCGCAGCGTTGAGCGTCATATCCTGGCGAGAGTCGTCGTCTTCTCGATGTCGTGTGTATGAGGCTCCCCACCGCTTATATCACTCGGTCGGGAAGAAGGCGGGTGGGATGCCCGTTTAGAGCAGGCCCAGGAGGCCCTGGACGTCGAGGAGGTCGCCGACGAGAGGGACACCGGCTGGGGAAACATCTTAGTTAGACACTCTTGTGCTTTGTGTTTGTTTGGATCGGGAATACTTACAGGTGGAGCCGGAGAGCTGGGAGAGGAGGTTGGTCAGGCCCTCGACCTCCAGGGCGCTGGTCTCGGCCTTCTGGACGATGCCCTCGGCGAGCTGGGTGACCTGCTCGGTGCCGTCGCGCTTGCTGACGGAGCCGGAGAGACCCTTCAGGGTGGTCTCAAGGCCAGACAGCTCTGTGGAAACAAGCGGGTTAGATCTCGGACTGGGCCACTATAATACTAGCAAAGGCGTGCAACTTACCGCTCTGGAGGTTCTTGAGCTGGGCGTTCTGGGTGATGTCACCGACCAGAGGCAGGCCGCCGAGGAGGCCGCCCAGGAGGGTCTGGACGCCGGAGACCTTCTCGGTCACCACGTTGAGCTGGCCGACGGGCAGGGAGTCGAGCGAGGAGGGGATGGCAGCGGAGTAGGCAGTGCTGGCAACGGCCAGGGAAGCGATGATTCCAGTGAACTTCATTGTGATGGTGGTTTGGTTGTTAAAGAAAGACTTTAAGTTTGGATAAAGAATGTAAGATTGCGAAGGCAAACAGAATAAGGAGTGACTGGAATGAGAGACTTGTGATTGATGGATGAAGAAGAGAAGAGCGATACAGAGCCGACCGGACTGGCCATTTTATAGTAAATGTCGACCCCGGACAGCCAGTCCCCTTTCCCCTGAATCTCCTCTCCTCTCGACTCCATTGGAATCGACATCTGTAGATCAGGGGTATCAGCAATGGAACCCCCAAGGAGGAACGGTGACGTCCTAGCAGTTCAACATCGTCGGCGTTGAGGGCAATAGGGATCAACGCGGGCGAAGTTGCCTCCCATATCGTCGCCTGGGGTCAAGGACCACACTGATTGGATTATCGCACCCCAAATCAAAGGAAGCCCCCACTAGACACTATTGCTTCGAGGCCTAAGCTCCAGGATTCTACAGAATAAGCTTTCAATCCCGTTCGGAAGACCAATTGGAAACCGCATGCCGGGGCCGCCCCACTGGTTGAGGCACTACCTTGGTGTTAGCCGCTCGGGGACAATCTCTTTCGAAGTCTCCAAGGACCCTCAATCAAACCTTACGGCATGTACTATACGCCGTAGGGGCTGGGGATAGAGGCAGCTCTGCCAATCAGGGCCTGCGTGCTCCATCATCTCCAAGTTCTCCAGTCAGTCCACGACCCATCATTCACGTGGAGGGTGGTAGCGTCTAGGCCATCCCTCTCGCCCTGAATATTGGCCTCAATAGTCTGGCGTGAAGAGACCCGCCTCCTGATTCTATAAGCATTCGAGAAATAGGAACAATCACAGGGGGTTCACTGGGGAGACGGGTCGAACCACACCAGTGATCATCTGAATGTACAGAGGAGATATGGAAGGATTGTGGACACTTCCCTCCCGTTGGTATCTTGGTATCGACGTCATATGCGATATTTTAGGTCGAACCTTAAGTGCAATAGTGAGTTTAGTGCGCGGGATCGACATTGTTCGCGGTTACCGCCCTCTTACACCCACGTTGTCGGGGAATTTTATCAGGGGATTATCCGTATCGACGGCTTTGGACGAACTGCACGAGAGGTGTTTCCGCTTCGAAAATGAGGTAGGAATAGCATAAAAATAAGAACAAATGACCTATGTTTGCCCTTTCTCTGGGCAGACTGAGTCTGATGTGATGAGAACCCGTTAGGTCGAAAGTAACTCAGGCCCGTGTCGTTAGCATGTTCCCATCCCTGCTGATCGTCTATTATCCCCCACCTTCCGTTCATCCTTATTAAATCGGATTGGCAATTCGGTCCCGCCGGGTGATGGTCGCCCAGCAGAAGATGTGGGACAGCCCATGACAACTGCCGTGGCGATCCTCTCTAATTGCGCCTTTTTGTCTCCACTGATAACCATGGCTGAAACTGGAAATCAACCGCTCCTCTCAAGGCTTCCGTGCGTTGTAGTCAGACCAGCTAGATAGGGGTCATGGAGGGATTTTTGGACAGTCCCGGAGATTGAGATCCTTGAGAGCATCGCCTCTACCTGGGTTGGAATGTGCATCCCCGTATGCTAATCCTCAAGTAATGTATGATGGATGGGTGAGCCACAGAATGATTATTGATTGGTGTGACCAAATCTAATTTTGTAGGTTTCCAGTGGCGGTATTCTCGATGGAGGCACGCCTGCGAGAGATTGGCATACGGGATAGGTTTAGACGATCGGGGAGGAACTACCTGGATCATCCTATACCAAATCCTGTCCCGCCTATGGCTCATGGCACTAGATGGGCCTCTCATGGCACTAGACGGACAGGACAATGCCAAGGACACGGGCTTTCACCGATGCTCTGGCAAAGTGCCTTGCACCGGCAAGGTCGGCAACAAACAGGTCTACCAAGCCAGTAGCTCGGAGCGACCCATAGAAATCCCAGTAATCGTCCGCGGTCTCCTTCCGTTTGTACTGCTTGGCCTTCCTTGGATCTTCTTTATCGCCAGAGATATAGAGAAGGCTGGGGTTGCCCATGACTGGAGATCATAGGTGACAGTTCCCTCCATGATCCCTTGGATTCGTTTGTCCTTGCAAGGAGATGGCCATCTCATCATTCTAGCGTAGATGTCCTAGGGGCGCACAAGGTCCCTTGATTGTGGAAAAGGGGGGCTGTGTCTATCTAGAGAGAATCCTGCCCCACAAGCAACAGCAAGAGAAGACATGGAGATTCTAGAGACCGGGAGGAAATCATGGGAATGACATGGCGGGCCATGACCTGGGAGTCGCGGCCTTAGGACGAAAGCCTGACTGCTGCACACACGACCGTGGCCTGCAATGGAACCTGTTGACTTCCACTACTTTCTTTCTCTTCTTATTAGCAGAAAAGAACCAAGTCCTCGTTTTCCATTAATTTGTGCCGACAGCTTTAAATTGCCCTCGAATATCTCTCTTTCTTGTCTGAGTGAAGTTGATTTATGCCTCGACTCGTCCACCCTCGACCTTAGCATGTCGAGAGAATATGTTGCTGAATGAAATCAGGAGAACCCCTTTCGCAAACTTTGCAATGTCCTGAGACAGCTCACTGGTCTTATTGACCAGCGCAGATTGGGGAGTTTGACGATCGCTTCAATGCTTTGCTAGATCCTTGATGGTGGAATGCCCAGGCAAACAGTTGGGACAACTAAGTTTCTGTGACTAGCATGCTGGTTCAAAAGACGTGGACCCATTTCTCTCATGATGTGCATCGCGTCCTGGACCACAGGGACGGTTCGTGGAACCAACTCGCCATTCAAATCCTCCAAAGAAAACGCGGATACGTAGTTTCACCGGAAGGCGACCATGGATGGCCCACCTCCACTGTAAAATAAGGTTGCTGTAGAAGTTAATGTTGGCTCCAGGGACGAACAACTATGGTATGATAATCCAAAGATGTCAGTGATGCTCACGGCGAAGAAATATATATATCCATATACAAAGAGAAAGGACCTGGATATCAAAATCTCACTCAGGGTCAGAAAATAATGTGCACAATTGAGGTCTCCCATAAACCAAAGCCCTTGGGGCCTTCAAGCACCTTCAGTCCGAGTAAAACCATGATTGTCAAAGGACAATGATATCAGACACGACATAGCGATGCTCTTAGGAGGCTTGTTTTGCAATTGCTAGCTCTCTACGATGTTCTGGAAAGTCACCGCAGGTGAGAGTTAACAGACTTCATCCACAATGCAAACGAGGACAATAACGGATGCGAAGGAAGGCGATTGCTGGCACTTGCAACGAGCTGACGCCCGATGATCTAACCCCCCAGATGGAATGCGGTAAAGCTCAAGGAGCCTAGGGAGACCAACGAACGGTTGGCTCATTCTGCCACAGGTGCACTCTCGTCGCGTCTTCTTGTGATAAATAGCCTTTGTTGTCCTCAAGGTCACAAAGTTGCCAAAGCTAGGCTAAGACTAGACGAAATGTGTGATATCTCAACATCTGTGCTTCATAATGTCTCGGAATAGCCCAGATGAATCTGGTTGAAAGATTGACGTTGAACAGATGTACTGAATATTGTTCATACTCTCTGCATCCAATGTATATATATAGTCGCCTGTCCCACCTACCATCAACAATTAGCGGCAACCAAGATACGGACGGTCAACGCACGGGATATAAAATCCTGGATTCCATATTAGCTTGACACAGAACAGTCCGAAGACAATGATAGTCCAGGAATGTCAGCCTCATGGAAGCAACAGGCTTGTTGTGTTTTGTTGTTGTGTCTCGATCATAACATTGCACCATGTGGATGACTCAGCAGTATGCACCAGGCAGCCGCTGACATAAGCGGGTGGTGGTTGCCCGGGTGTGCCTGAGGCGTTTAGCTCGACGCTAAGCCCGATCCGGCCAGGGTTGTCCTGTCAACGGCGGGCGCTAGTCCCGATTAGGGACATCACAACATAACAGCGGCCAGTTAGCGTGCATCGCAACTGGACCAAAACGGTCTCAACCCGCCTCGAGGTCTTTTCTCGTGCCTTTTTATCCCAGCATCCTTCACCTTTCCCTCCTTCCCCTCCCTTCGTTTCTACTTCATTGCTCCACGGCGCATCTGCTCTCTCTGTCCACCATCTTTCCCTCTCCCAGGCTTCATCGCGGGTATCTTTATTCAATTTGCCGTCGTGGGTTGCCCCCCGTTATCATCATCATCACCACTACCACCGCCACCTGCTTGGGAGTATCAACAAATCAGGCCATGATTGTTTAGACCGGTTCTATTACACTTATACTATCTCTCAGCATTGCTGGGACTGTGCACATTCTACAATAATCTACTGCGATTGCGCTGTGCAAAAGCCAGAGCTTCGATCATCACTAGGCCATTGTTTATTTTGATCTGTCGTGGTGAAACTTTATTGTCCGTGCCAGCGAACTTCCACAAGCAAAATGTCTGGGAACATCGGAGGATACGGACAGGTGATTGAGTATATTCAAGGTTCGTCTGATGCCATTTTCTCTTTCAACTGGGCTTGTGACCTCGCGTGGAGGACAGGGGACTCAAGATTGATACCCCGCGTGCATGAATCTCGTGACTGACGGCTTGGGACCTCACCAGACCGACTCTACCTCGCCTCCTATGATCATCCACCCGACTCTAGAACCCCCTTTCCATACCCCGCCGAACAGCCCAAGTCGCCAAGCAAGCGCTCCGCGCGAGCTGCCCCAGGTACTCCGGGCAGCAAGAGAAAAAGCCCCGTGTATTTCACAGTCGATGATACCCTCCTGTACAACGCCTTCCACGCGGACTTTGGCCCGCTCCACATAGGACATCTTTACCGGTTTGCTGTTCATTTCCATGAGATCCTGGGTGATCGTGACAATGCCGACCGTCCGGTGGTCTTCTATTCTAAGACGGACGCACGAAGCCGGTCCAACGCAGCATGCCTGGTCGCGTGCTACATGGTTCTCATTCAGTCCTGGCCACCGCATCTTGCTCTCGCCCCGATCGCGCAGGCGGACCCCCCTTATATGCCGTTCCGCGATGCCGGATACAGTCAAGCGGATTTTATCTTGACCATCCAAGACGTGGTTTACGGTGTATGGAAGGCGAAGGAGTACAACCTGTGCGGGCTGCGGGAGTTCAACCTTGAAGAGTATGCACCACGACCCCCCTTGATGGCCAAGAGTGAGTCTAACCGGCATTATAGATATGAGAGGTTCGAACGGGTAGACATGGGTGACTTCAACTGGGTCACACCTCACTTTTTGGCGTTCGCCTCTCCCCAGCATGAGCCCATTGCGCCAGTCCCCGCCAATACCCCCGAGTACGACGCACTTCCCTCAACAATCTCTGAAGTCCTTGCCTCTAAGCTTCCGCTACCCTTCAAAAACGTCCTGGCTCATTTTGCCTCCCGTGACGTGGGTTTGGTTGTACGGTTGAACTCTGAACTATATTCCCCTTCTTACTTCACCGCTATGGGCATCACGCATGTGGACATGATCTTTGAAGATGGCACCTGCCCTCCGTTGCCACTGGTCCGTCGGTTCATCAAGATGGCCCACGACATGATCACGGGCAAGGATCGCGGAATTGCGGTCCACTGCAAAGCGGGCCTGGGGCGGACCGGCTGTCTGATCGGTGCCTATCTGATCTACCGATATGGGTTCGCGGCCACCGAGATCATCGCGTTTATGAGATTCATGCGCCCGGGCATGGTGGTTGGCCCACAGCAACACTGGCTGCACCTGAACCAGGGCTCTTTCCGAGAATGGTGGTTTGAAGATTCCATGAAGGAGAAGTTGTCCCAGATGCAGGCTGCTCCCATCACACCGGGCAGGCCATCTGCCAAGCAACGGGCGAACCACGCCCCAGTTGCCACGCCTCCCAATAATAGCCACTCCAAGCGGTCTGCGCTGGGAGAAATCGACCATAATGAAGGCACTGGTGCGCAATCGGACGAACACCTTCCCGCTCCTACTCCCGGACAACCTCGAAAGTCACACCGGAAAGATTCTCGCCATCACCCTTACTCTCGCACCACATCGGGAAGTCTGATGGTGGAGAAAGAAGCTGGCCGGAACGGTGAGACCGCTGGTCATCGGAGCCACCGGCTCAGCAATGACAGCAGCGAGAGTGAAGAAGAAATCCAGCTCCGTTTGCTCGCAAAGCGCTCGTCCAAGTCCCCCATTGCCTCTCCCAACCAGCGATCCCCTAGCCAACGCTCCCCCGCCCAACGGTCTCCCAGCCAGCGGTCCGTCAGCTACTCGGCTACCGTGACCGCCAGCTACATGCTGAACGACGATATCCACGAAGACCGGGAGAACTGGGTGGAGGGTGCGTACGCCGCCCCGAAAACCCCCGTGAGCGCCAAGACCGGAGGTGGCGCCATCCCCATGAGCAAGGTTCGCTCCAGCCCGCGGCGAACGGCAGAAGCTCGCAGTGAATCCAGAGGGGTTCGCAAAGCCAGTGGCCGGATCGGCAGCTCGGGAAGCCCAACCCGGGTGAAATGAGACTGGACTTCTCATCTCCACTGTCTCCTCTTCTCCCTTTCTTTCTCCATTCTTTTTTGGGGAACTGGCAATATATCCTTCTTGTGTTTACATCTTATTTTGTCCCCGTAATCTTCATTTCCCTCAGCATGTTGCGCTTGCTGGGCCATGACACATTCCACCACCGGGTTATTGTTTCTAGGTGTTCCGGGTTTTGGTGTTCAGTTGGGCTGGGGTTTGTTGTTGTTGTTGTTTTTTCGGCGTCTGGTTCCGCTTTTGATGTTGATTGATGTCGAATGGCTTAGAAGCTAGCATTGAGTTCACTGGGTCGTAGTGGCCTGGGAGAGATCCGTCTTACTCTGTTAATGTGTCCACGTATATGATCTATGTCGACATGACAACCTTGTTCGATCTGAAGTAATGAACTGTAGTTTTATCTGGTCTAGTAGTTAGAGCCATGGAGCGCTTGTTCGGAGCCCTTGAATAAGAGGACGTCCTTTGATATCTTGCCTAAGAGGGTATATCATATATACACCACGAGAGCACATCCTGCGGTAGCCAAGCCATCGATCCATCCCAAGGCAACAAACAAACAAACACTTTCGATTAGACATGATAGATAGATATGTTGGGTTCTCCTCGTCTTGCTTATGGATGTTTGGGTGGATAGCTTGTGTTGGATGTTATACTACTACCTACTTACTACTCACTACTCCGTACAGTACGTACTCTTTCGTTTATGGCGGGTTGTTGATGTCCAAATAGACGGATATGACTGACTACCTACTAAGTACGTATGTTACACCACGAATTACAATTATGCAGGTACATGTATACAGTGCTTATCTATAAGTACCTAGTCGCTAACTAGTCTATAGCTCCATGTCTTTGTAATTGACCAGTCTACCTATGACCGTGCTCATCAATGTCGAGCAAGGACTAAATACGAAGTAAACCACATCAGTCAATTATTTCATGATTCTATTCATTCATTCCCGGTCAATCAGTCTAGCACGACCAATCCATAATCCATAGATATATCCAGTCCGCAATATCTACTCATCATCAAAAAAGAAAGAAAGAAAGGAAAACTTGTAGAAACTGAAAAAAAAAAAAAAAAAAAAAAGAAAAGAAATCGTTTTTATACATGACAGAAACTCATAACCATCCGTAAACCATAAACATTGCGGCAATAAAATGCGGAAGAAGGAGGAATGTACAATTTGAGGTGTTGGAAAAGGTTGATAGACGTGAGCGGGCTGAGTACTAGGATCTTTCCTTGCTCAATAGATATTGCGTGTTATTTGTAGAGGTTGTGTTTGTTGGTTGTCGTATTATTCGTTGTCGTTCGTAGGGGGTCGTAGCGTCGGGGGTAAAGTAAGATCGAAAGTCATCCAGAAACGTAAAAAAAAGAGAAAAGAAATGCCGTGACACGCGAGAAAAAAGAGAAAAAAAAAAGGAAAAAAGACATTCGCTGATCACTCCTCATCTGTCAACTGTCTGAGCATGCTCAAACTGAGGATCATCACTAGTAACCCTATCGTTACTATTACCATGAGAGCGAACCCGAACCAACCGAGCACCATTGCTGATGAGCCGACGCCACTCTTGACGCTGCCGTTGCCCATGTCTTGCGCGATTGTGCTGGCTGCCACAGACGCCGTGTGCTGCCACAGGACCGAGACCAGCACGAAAACGGAGGCCACGAAGATCAGCGCCAATGCGACCTGGGATACGGGACGCGAAGGGAAGGGCTTGATTTCCTTTTCGGAACCTTCTGTATCTGCTTCGTGCCAACCGGGAAATGTGGCCAGAAGGATGAAGCAGAAGAATGCGAGGATAACAGCAACGATTCTGGGGAGGGAAAGAGTTAGCGTGCTCCAGCTGACTTCGAGGAGAGCATGGTGTCTTACAGGAGGTACGGGAAGACCACCGCATCTTTGAATGTTGCAGCCACCCAGATCAGATTCAGTGGATCCTGGTCCACTGTAACAATCTCTGCTAATGCCGTTGCGTTCGAGTTGCAGATATAGGATCCGCCATCGGGCTGGACACAGATGCCAAAGTAGCCCACGCGAACCTCCATTTCCGCACCCCCCACAATGTTCGAAGTGGCGGTTACTACCCCAGGATCCACTTGGGCCGGGTTGAATAGAGGCTGATACTTCTCATAGTACATGGAGATGAGAAAGATGCTAGGAATCTGCGGGGAGGACGAGGAGCACCCGGCCAATAGTAAAGCTGCGACCGTTAGCGGCATTCCGACGAACGGAACAGGACACAACTCACAGAGAAGGATGATAGAGACTGCGATGATAATCATAAGAACGTGATGATAACCGATCATCGGAATGAGCCCTGGAATGCTGTGTCAGTTTCTTGCGACCTTCCGCCTCCTACTTCGACAGGGCTATAGATCTTACGGGTAAACCCGGAGCCAAATTGAATCGCCATGATGGGCGACTTGAGCACTTCTTGCTTTCCGTCACGTAGTTACACTTGGCTCACTTCTCGGGGCCCCGAGAAGGAGTTTTGGGGCGTCGATTTCGTGTTCGTCCCACCGATGCGGTGCTAGTAGTCAAGCCACGTGCAATGCCTGGGATGAATTGATCCGGCGAGATGAAGTCCACTCGAGTCCACTTGAACCCACTCCGGCGACGTGCTTGAAACTAAAGAACGTCGAGGAAGATATGCGACAGTGGTTTAGATTGGAATGAAGGGCGACGCGACCAATGGGACCGATATGAGGAAGACGTAAGGAATGCTGGTCCCCTCTGTCGCACGAGGATAGCACGACCTGGAAGAGTTGCGGATGTGGTTAGAGATCTGGATTACAGTCCCTCGTGGGTATTCCACACTATGGGGCTCAAAGATAGAGAATGCGAACGAAGGCCAAGGACAGGTTCAGGGAGTGTATAGGGAAAGAGGGGAGAGAGAGGGGGGGGGGGGGAGGAGGGAAGGGGAGCGTAGCTAGAGAATTGCTTTCTTTCGTTTCCTGCCTCCTGATTCCACAACGAGTGAAGCGCAAAGAACAATCCGGTGGCTGGGAGAGAGAGAGTACTGAGGGAAGATGATGATATGGAGACGATGGAATGAAGATCATCGCAAATGGAGGAGGCTGGGCCAACACGCTTTGTTTACACCGACCGTTCCCCGGTAACCAGACTTACACCGCCTGCCCCACTGGGTCCGCTTGAATCTCGCCCGGGCCGCCCGCTCGATCTGCCCCACCCGAGGTACCCACTAGTGCCCAAGATTATCCCAGCCTCCTTTTACGTTGCTGCCCCAAGATGAGATGACGATACCATTATGCCTTGTGATATTTATATCCTAGTATATAGTGTATCCAGACGAACAGCTGGCTCCATGTCGCCACACGATGCGTCCAAAATAGTGTATACAACGTATGTTGGCTCCCAATATTGGGCTCCCAATATGTATCCTACCATGCCATATATCAAGAACGATGCCCAATTCAATAACAAAAACAGACAGGAAGATATACCAACGCCGAGACAGCTGGAGTTGCCCAGCATCCAGTGCCTAGTAATGCATCGGGGGACCTCGAGCTATTTGCTCGTAAAGGAGAAGCGCTTCAGATCGAAAGCAGTTGATTCCCGCTCGCCGCCGTCAACTTCGTCAGGTTCTTCTTCACTATCCGGAATGATCATATCTTCACTCCCTTGGCTCTGGATAGGCTGGTCCACGATATTCCTGGAAGCGGGAGGTGTTTTCGCCGCACGAGGTGGCAAGCTGTTCAGCGAGCGTGATCGAGCGAGAGCATTGTGACCCAGGCGCTGTAGCGGGGTGAGCCGAGGGGGGGGTCCGGTCCCTCCAGCTGCAGGCCCTCGAAGACCTGTAGGGGTCATACTTCGCGGGCCCGGCGTGTCACTATCCTTGCGCTTGCTGGCCCTGTCTGAGCCCTGTTTCCCATGAGGCTGGAAGGTATATTTGGATAGCAACGTAGAGTTTTGCTTCTCCACATGATAATCCAGTACTTGGTGAAAAAGCTTGGGGTTGCTGTCGATGCTTACGGATTCCTTTGGCGGGATGGCGGTGACTTGCTGTTCGCCGGGCGTCTCCGCCGCGTCTTCCTGTTCCTCCGGGGCCTTCGAATCTTGTAAACTTCCCGGGCTTTGACTATTGGAATTATCAGGGTTGCCGGACGGGGCTCCCTTTGATTCAGTCGAAGCCTGGGATGGGTCCGGAATCTGGGACATGATATCTTCAGCCATGTCATCAGAAAACACATCCAGCGTAGACTTTCTTGCTTTCTTCGTTCGAGTGACTTTCTGCCCACTGGGACTGACTTCGTCCCCAAAGAATCGGCTGCGCGAACCGACTCGATCGGACTGGGCCTTATCTTCCGTTTCAGAGCAAAGCCGCTGTCGTTTTACCGACTGTAAGGATGTTGACTGGGAGGCATGGGCCAAGAAATTGTTCCGCTCGACACTTCGCACAAGGGGGCTGGACACGCGGCGGGATTGTGCCATGGATGGAGCGGACCGGGGGACGCCCAGGCCAGCCGTCGCAGGACTACTGTCCCAGGAGCTGTTCGCATGGCGTTGCAGAAGCCGCTGCTGGCTTGGGGACGGAGACATAGTATTGGGATCAAGCTCAGCCAGTGGCGTGCGCTTCGGTGTGAAGAATGAACTGATGGGTTTATTCGGTTTCAATTCGGCCGACGATCCCAGCGTCTGCCGGCGATTGACGCCCATAGCCAGCTTGCGTTCAGCCAGCTTGCTTGGCGAAAGTGTCTTGAGGACAAGAGGCTCTTTGGTCGTGGGATGCAATTCGCCAGAAGAGACCCCTCTCGCGACCTCGGGGTCCATATCAGCTCCGATGTACGGCAGTTCGTCCAGATTGATATTGTCGGCAGGCGCGGTTAGTGTGACTAGTTTCGCGGCATTTGGACAGAATACTCGCTGGTACAGGAATGTTAGCTCCGCCTGCCTGAAGTTTCGGAGATAATCAGTCGGAACATGATATTGGCTTTCGAATTGAAGCGCACGCAGCGCCTTGTCCACGTTCTTGTATTTGCGAATGCTTCGGTAGGCAGTCTTCAGACCGAGCTTCGGGATATTGGCCAAGTAATCGCATCCGCTGAGGATACACATCCGCCGGAAGTCGGCATCCGTCCATCCTATCAAGCTAACCTCTCGGCACGCAGTGAAGTCGGCCCGGTTGATTTCGATACAATCCCCGTGCTGGTCCAATTTGGATAGCAGTCTTCTTGCGCCAAACACAAGCATATCGGAGTCCTCCGATATGATACCACTGATTACCCCCTGGCGTTCAAGGTAGACGAGCTGAGCATCCGCCTCATATGGCGCCACAACGTACTGGACGTTCAACTTTTTGAGCTCCTCGATCAATTGACGGGCCATCAGCGGAGTCACATCCACGGCCTTCTGGAGTTCCTGGTAGGCTTCCGCGATTCGCCCCTTCCGTTGAAGCTCCAGCCCAAGAGCCTTACTCTGCTGACGTCTCTGCTGACGATCACACTCTGTTCCAGCCTTGCTAGGCAAGTCATCTCCATCGAAAACGAGATACGGGATCACGCCGAAGTAGAGTAACATGCGAACTCGGTTGAGGACGAAGTCAATGTGCCTGAATGGTAGTCAGTAAGTCGCCCGCGATACCATGTTCTCCGGAGTCACAGACTTTGTTGTAGGCCTATCAAGGACGAGATCGACCGCGCAAGCGACCGTGCCGCGATGTAGCCATCCGTACGCATCCACCCCAAGAGCTTGCCCGCTAAACTTCTTCAGATGGCAAGGCTTCTGGATCGATTTGAGAAGACCATGTAGTCCTGATCATGACGATTAAACAGTTAGTAGACGTCATCAACAACCACGCGTGGAGACAACTTTACCTTTGATGCCCATGATTGCCCTGGCACCTTGGCAAGGGCAGAATATCCTCGACGATAATTCACACGGACATGAGTAGATGGGGTCCAGGAGCTGACTGCTTGGAGTACCGATTAGACAGGGATGAAGCGGACTGGACCCCAGGACGACCGACGACCTGAAGTGGCAACGAGACTGGAATGCTGGACTGGTGATTCGAGTCCTAGTTGATTGACCCCAGTAATGATCGGACGCGACGCGATGGGAGAACCTCCGTTGTGATTGGCTGATCTCGACCGTCAGGGCGGTAACTCCGCCAGACAGGTGTCGTTGTCTTCACCGCCTCACTTCTGCCCGCCAAACCGGAAAAAGAGAAAGAATTTACATTTATCTTTACGAACAATTTTTGCTTGATAATAGCAAGAGTCCTTACGTTGGGGTGGATCATTGGAGAAAGTGACTGGTATTGGCCAAATAGCTGAGGAAATAACACAATACCAACATTTATACGCCTAGTATGTAAGGTAGCCATCATAAACGCCATAACTTCATGAATCAGATAGGAAGAATGCGACACATGCTGTGGTATAGCAGATTTGAGGAAAGGACGACCGCGGTCAAAGAAGACGGTCGGTTTATGACATCCCCCCCGGTGGGAAAGCCGATGGTTGCTTATTTCCGTCCTTGGTGAGCCGAATGAATTTCATGGCGCTGAGGGCGGACCAATCTCCATTCCACGAGGCAAGAGCCTTGACCCCATCCACATGGCTTAAATCGGGCAGCCAGAACCCATTTTGGAACTCTTTGTTCTCGACATCGGTTCGCTGCAAGAGCGCCTCTTCGCGCCGGGTGGGGGGTCGGCCTTTCCGTCGTTCGCTTTGTAGTTGCTCGATTTCGGGAACGCTGCGATTGATATATCTAGAAGACGGGATATTATTAGAATGAGACCACGCGGTTATCAAATTGAGAAATCCGTGACTAGGCACAAACCTGACAGCTAAATCCTTCATCTCGTTATCTGAAAAGGCACCGGCTTCGGCGGGAACAATTTCATGGAAATATTTAATGCGGTCCACTGGAAATTTGTTAGAGAACTCTTCTCCCACTGCATGACCAGACTCGTCGATAAGAGGCGATACGTACTGTATGATTGTCTGCCCCGCGCCATAGTCGCATGTACTCGCGACACTCGATCGTCTCGCGCATTGGCTCGGCGCAATCTCTTCGCATCTCTGCTGTTCTCATGGAGTGCTCCAATAGAGCCTCGCTTCTTGGAGATATGTTTGTGGACTTTATTGAGTGCCACCGGCATCGTGAATATGATTATAGTGGTATAGATGTTTGTATGAGGGAAAAATTCAGTAAAGATTGACCTGACAAGTTGATGCGATCGCAGTAATCTAATTTCCGTCTCTTTTCCTCTCTTTTCTCTTTTAGGATTTTTTCCTGTTCGGGAGGAGCTGCGGGTCTTGGCGGTGGACCGATCTGCCAACTCTCGGGATGGCAAAATACATCACATCATTGTCCCGTTCTTTTCCTTCCGCATTTTCTCCCATCGCCATATCTCGTCAACACTCATCTCTTTACCTCGATTCTCTCCCACCATCCGTCAAAATGCTGTCGCTTCGCGCTTTCACCCGTACTGTTCCTCGCACCGTGTCGCGGTCAATTGCGACCACCGCTCGCGCTTCCTTCCGTCCCGTTGCTGCCGTCCCCAAGAACACCTTCCTGCAATCTTCGCTGAAGCAGGTTACGAAGCCCGCATATGCTGCTTTCTCTACTTCCAGCGCTTTCAAGCAGGCCGAAGGTAAGATATAAAGCATACTGGTTTATGAAAATGCGCACGGTTCGGGTCGCAAGAAGGAAAAAGCTCTGTCATCTGGGAGATGCTAGCGCGACCCCGGATTTGAGTTTTTTCTTTTTTCTGATTCTACTCCATCGGAACTTCATATATGACCCAGGCTAACCATTGCTTTGAATCTTGTGCAGGCGACTTCGAGCTCGCTGCGAAGCTTGAGGATGAACTGAAGCACGAGAAGGCTTCTGGTCTCCAGGACCTGGAGGCCTCTGTCCAGAACGTCCAGTACGTTCTTCAGAACAACTCCTGGGAGGTACGCGTAGCATGTCTACTCCGGATTCGTTGGACCTGGCTAATAGCTTCCGCAAATTAGGTCAAGGACGTCCCCGGTGAGCAGGAGGTAGTGTTGTCTAAGAAGCTCGGCAACGAGGAGTGAGTATTTCGCTCTTGCGACATCCTACTTTCGCGGACATAGACCGGTCCTAACAATATCTGTTCCGTGGTAGGATCCGTCTCACCTTCACCGTCGCCGATATCCAGAACCTGAGCGAACAAGAGGACTTCGATGATGCCGCTCTTTCGGATGAGGACTTCCAGGGCATCAACCAGGGCCGTGGTGGCAACGTTTCCCAGCAACCCGAAGACAGCGTTGCGCCCGCGGACCGTGATGCGGAGGACCTGGAGCCGAGCTTCCCTGCTCGCGTCAACGTCACCATCGAGAAGCCTGGAAACGGCTCTCTGCTGATCCAGACTGTTGCCCAGGACGGTCTGTTCCAGATCGAGGAGATTTCGTACTTCTCGAAGCCCGATTTGGCCCACGCCCAGACCGCCGAGAAGGACTGGGCCCGCCAGAGCCTGTATGCTGGTCCTCCTTTCGAGAACTTGGATGAGGATCTGCAGAACTTCCTGGAGCGCTACATGGAGGAGCGCGGCGTCAACGCCGAGCTGGCCAACATGATCCCCGATTACATCCAGGTTAAGGAGCAGAAGGAATATGTCCGTTGGCTCGAGAGTAAGTTGCCCCGAGTCTTATATACCTGATCAATATCTAATACTTTGCTTTACAGGTGTCAAGAACTTCGTCTCTGCCTAAGTTTAGACTGTATACGGCCCTAGGCCGTGCAGTTCAACCAGAGCTCGCTTTTCTTGCCTATTGGATTAATGGTTTAGTGTGGAAAGATGTTATGCGTCATTGTTTTGTTGTGCCGTTAGCTCAACCGTCGCTGCATACGCCAAATCTTTGGACGACCTCCTAATCCGTGATCACTGATCAGTCTCCACACGTGTATCAATATTATAGAAATGAATGGAATACCAATTTGTAATTATTGACCGGTTCGCTCATGACGTGTCACAAGGCTGCTGCCAGGAGGATCATACGATGCATTGGACTGCCGAGGCTGTATTAGACTGAGAATATGGGAGACGACATCGTTGATTTAGTAATAACAGGCCATTTCACAATCTGCCATTATGCTATTCATATCGAGAGAGATATACCACTAAACTGAAAAAGCTCGGACCTAAAGAACAAGAAAAACCCAACGCCATGTTAGTGGATCGAAGTGAAGATGCGCAAACGCCCAAACCCGCTCAAGTCAAGAAAAACCTAAACTAGCCCAAGGCCAAACAAGAAAATCCAATCGTAAATCCGTATACAGCACCAAGAGCAGCCTCTAAAACTCCATGCATTCCGTTTTCGCCTCGGAAGTCTCGTCGTTCCGCTCCCGCTTGCCCGTGCGCTCTTCCTTGTGCAGCGCGGCGATGAACGAGCGGAAGTACTCGACGTAGGGCTTCAGGCTGGTCTTCTCGTAGTCCTGCAGCTTGCGACTGCCGCGGGCGTCGGAATCGTTGGGAACGCTGCTCTCGCCCTCGGGATGATGATCGGCGCTCGCGTGACTGGGGGGATGTTGCGCGTCGTAGCTGTCGATCTCGGATAGTAATTCCGTGACGGTGGGCACGGTAAGGGGGTTGAATTCTTCGGCTCTGCGGTGGTCGATGGGGACACAGATCTTGCCTGTGCCGGGGTGAATGACGAAGGGGCTTTTCAGCAAATGGATCATCTTTTTGCTGACTTCGGAATCAAGACGCGGGTATGTGTACTCTAGGACGATGTCCTGTTTAGCGTCGCGCAGTGTGGTTGGGTTCAGCGTGCTGCTTTTGCCTGTCTTGGCGAGCGCGTCGATGTCGGCCCATTTGCTGGGGCTTGATCGGCCCGGGGAGGACTCCCATTTCCTGCGCAGTGCGTCGCTGAGGGTCTTGTCGGGGAGCAGGCTGAGGAGATGCTCTGCTTGCTCGGGGCTGAGGAAGGTATCTTGGTCGTCTAGCGTGGTCTGTGCGAAGTGATGTTTGAGGATATCGAGACTGCGGGTCAGATGCGGGTGCAGCGGCCGCTTCAGGTTGACGCGCTTGCCGTTGGAGGACCCTCCCCGGACGATATCCAAGTATCCTGCGATGGCCCTGCGGCGGTCATCCGGCAGGCTACGGGCGCGGGGGTCGCACACCCAAGCGTGCGCTCCACGACGACCCGAGTAGACCCACAGGATGTGCTCAAAGCCGAAGTCCTCTCGGAGAGCAGCGTCGACGACTTTGATGGCCATTGTGACGAACGCCCAGCATTTTTCACAGATGTTTGCCTTCGCACAGCACGAACGGATATCGTCGTAGTCTGTCAAATCAATATCAAACACCATCTCTTTGGACACGGGCTTCATTTGACCGCCGCGCAACGTCTTTCGATCCCGGGGGTTGGTGTTGTAGACTGGTCCGATTTCGAAACGAGATGGGTTCATCCTAAGGATGTCTTTTCGGAATCTGTCGCATGTTCAGGTCAGGCCACAGCACTCATCACATCTTCGGATCGTTGCTACCTACAGGTCTGCCGTGGCGTACGACTGGTATCGCAGATAAGCATCGTTTTGCAGTGTCAGCGCGAACTCGCGGTTCCCAAAATCCGGCGACGGAATGATCCCATGGTTTAGCCACTGGAACAGATATCGGAATGGAAAGAGACGCTGGTAGAATGCCAGCATCGTGTCGGTGTCAACTCCAACCGGCTGAGGAGCAGGGCTAGATAGGGTCAGTTAGTTCACTACTTCGTTCCACCAGAACAAGCGGACTGCACTCACACTGAAGCCTCTACAGCCCTCTTTGCATCCGGCGCACTGGAAGACGGGAATTCATCATCGTCGTCACCATCAAAAAGGAGATCTGCTAGCTTGTCGCCTGCCGGTTCATTTGGTTGCACCCTGGAACCAGCACCCTCGGCGGGTGTTGTCTCTGCATTGGGGGCATCGGGGAGAATTTCCGCATCATTCGGATGGGAGGGGGCGCCATCTGCAGACATTGAATGAGGCATTGCGGCGGAGTGTGGTTTGATGTAGTCATTCAGGTCTACGGCCTTGTCCAAGTATTTCCCCAGAAGCCATTAACGCGTCCCTCGTGACGCGTTCCGCGGTCCGCGTTACCATGGGCTTGGAGCCCCTAAGCCCTAAGCCCTAAGCCAGAGAGAGAGCAACAACAGATGACTAAGGCAACAAAAATCATGTGACCTGGCTGACTCGTGACTGCGGCACCACTCCCGAATCGTCGTTGTACATCTGGTCCATCGTGCATATCGCGGGATCCACCATGACATGGTCTCGATCCAAGATCCTTTACCGCAAACGGCCTGGCAACCGTTACCTTTACCTCCACTCCGACCTTGTGTGCCTACTCATCACTTCCTGCTCTGCTACTCTTGGGTTGTACTCAACCATTTCTCTTGTGATATCCACCCAAGGAACCTGTTTTACTGTGCCTTGGTTTGCAGCTACGTCCCTGCAGGCACCTTCTCTCAGGTTCCATTCACCGGATGCAGGGTGTCTTTGACCTGATGTCTATGGGTGAGTGGATGATGCCTACAAGCTCTGGCCATCCATTTTCTGGTTCCCTAGGTATCATTCCTTGGATGTTGCCACCGATCGCTAGGTACCACACTCGATCCAGAGTCCAATGGATTGGACAATCATGTACAGTTGGGACCACCTTTGAATCCTGCCATTCAAGGCCCGGGATCAGGCAATAGTGGACTCGAGAGAGACAATGTCTCTCTTTGTGTGTCATCGTCATCGATGTTAGTGGAGTCTAACCAGAGACACTGTTGTCTACTCCTACGGCCGAAGTAACCGGCAGAAGATGCCCTGTTACGGAGCGGATGTGGCCGCCTGCTTGGAACGTTGGGTGGCATCAGTGATCATGGGCGTAACCCCTCTCGGGGCCTGATCTGATATAATCAAACTTGCTTTGCACGTTGCAGGGACGTATGGATTTCCGAGGGTCCACATCCCGGATGAGCTTCTTTGCGATCTAGCACACTAAAGTCTGTGAAGGTGGGGGTGCTGATACACCCCCAATCAACTAGTCCCTCACGAGCTAGTGCTGCCCCGGTAATATGGGCATTTTTCTGATATGATATCATCCGGCAAGGCGCCATGTGCCGGTCAAACGTCGCAAAACGGCATGTGTTCCTTCTGTTGGTCATGCTTCCGACACAGAATACAAGACGACTAAGCGGGAGAAAAGCTAGTAGCTGTCTTGCGCGACTTGTCCCTTTGGTGACGACAATACGGGACATCGGCTGCCTTGGTTCAGGGCATTGCCAATTCCTGGGCCAATTCAAAGTTTGACGTGGGTACTGTCGGCTTGTGGGCTCGTCTTCAGTCGGATCATACGACGAGATGTTACACTCCCTTCTGAGCCAGGCAGGGGTACCTTCCCAGCATCGACTGCCTGCTTTTCTCTTGACACTGGCCCTTGGGTTACCCATGGTTCACTTCGTCGTTTCTTGCCATATTGCCCAATGAAGCGCTTGTACCCAAGGTTGAGCTTTCGATCTTCGTGTGAGCCATCCACCGGTGCTGCCTTCAATGGATACTACAGTGGCATCTCAATCATCATCACTCATCGATATCATGAAAACGGCCACTGTATATGGCACCAGGAGGTATAAGTTCGTGTCTGTTGTCCGTGACAATCAGACAACTTTTCTTATTCCTCACTATCCGCTCGCTGGAAATTTGTCTTTTGTTCACTCGTTTAGACCCAAAAGTTCTGTGTTTTCCTTTCCTCCCTTTTCTTAGTCCTTCTCAAAAGTCTCCCTTTGTGTTTGTACACTGATCATCCTTCGAGATGGTTAAGGGAACCGTTGCATTCCTGGCCTTGACCGGCCCAGCCTTCGCTGGTGTAATCCAGGGCCGTGCTGCCTCAGCGCCAGCACACAAAGCCGCGGCGAGCGCTGAGCCGGACGCCAGGGTCACCCTCACTACTACCTACACGACCACTGACTGCCCGGTGACCAGCTCGGTTGTCACCTCTGGCTCAAGGACCCTTACGGTCCCCATCACTGAGACCAACACTATCACGGTCACCGCCACCTTCTGCCCTGGCGAGGAGCCCACTCCAATTGCCCCTACTGGCACTGGCACGGGTGTCCCGCCCACCAAGCCCGTCCCGACTGGCACCAGCATCCCGACAACCAAGCCCATCCCGACTGGCACCAGCATCCCGATCCATAACACCACTGTGACCGTTTGCGAGGAGTGCGAGGAGCCCACTCATGCTCCTGGCCCCATCCCGCCGTTCCAGAACACCACCGTGACCGTTTGCGAGGAGTGCGAGGAGCCCACTCATGCTCCTATTCCCATCCCGCCGTTCCAGAACAGCACGGTGATCCCCGTCGTCCCCACTGGCAAGCCGGTACCTGTCGCTCCTGGCCAGCCTGAAACTCCTTCGAAGCCCGGCCAGCCCGAGACTCCCGCCCAGCCTGGCCACTCTGAAACTCCCGCGAAGCCCAGCCAGCCCGAGACTCCTGCCAAGCCGGGCCAGTCTGAAGCTCCCACGAAGCCCGGCCAGCCCGAGACTCCCGCGAAGCCCGGTCACTCTGAAACCCCGGAGAAGCCCAGCCAGCCCGAGACTCCTGCCAAGCCGGGCCAGTCTGAAGCCCCCACGAAGCCCGGCCAGCCCGAGACTCCCGCGAAGCCCGGTCACTCTGAAACCCCGGAGAAGCCCAGCCAGCCCGAGACTCCTGCCAAGCCCGGCCAGTCTGAAACCCCGGCGAAGCCCGGCCAGGTCGAGACCCCCTCCAAGCCCGGCCAGTCTGAGACCCCCGCGAAGCCCGGCCAGGTCGAGACCCCCTCCAAGCCCGGCCAGTCTGAGACCCCCGCGAAGCCCGGCCAGGTTGAGACCCCCTCCAAGCCCGGCCAGTCTGAGACCCCCGCCAAGCCCGGCCAGGTTGAGACTCCCTCCAAGCCCGGTCAGTCTGAGACCCCCGCGAAGCCCGGCCAGGTCGAGACCCCCTCCAAGCCCGGCCAGTCTGAGACCCCCGCCAAGCCCGGCCAGTCTGAGACCCCCGCGAAGCCCGGCCAGGTTGAGACTCCCTCCAAGCCCGGTCAGTCTGAGACCCCCGCCAAGCCCGGCCAGGTTGAGACCCCCGCCAAGCCCGGCCAGGTTGAGACTCCCTCGAAGCCCGGCCAGGTTGAGACTCCCTCGAAGCCCGGCCAGGTTGAGACCCCGGCGCACCCCGCTAGCTCCGCTCCTGCCCACCCCGCTGGCTCTGCTCCTGCCCATCCCGCTAGCTCTGCTCCTGCCCACCCCGCTGGCTCTGCTGCCGCCCAGCCCTCTGGTGTCTCCCCTGCCCACCCGGCTGCCCCTGGCGAGGTCGAGTCGCCTGCCCACCCCGCCCAGCCCCAGCAACCCGAGCATCCCAAGCAGCCCGAGCAGCCGGCTGCTGGTGTCTCCCCTGCCCACCCCGCTGCCCCTGGCGAGGTCGAGTCGCCTGCTCACCCCGCTGGTTCTGCTGCTGCCCACCCCGCTGCCTCTTCGCCTGCCCACCCAGCTGGCTCTGCTGCTCCCTCCCACCCCGAGCAGCCCGAGCATCCCAAGCATCCCGAGCAGCCCGAGCACCCGGCCGCCCAGCCGTCGGGCGTCTCTCCTGCCCATCCCTCCGGATCCAGCACCTCTTTCACTGGCGGTGCCCAGACCGTCAAGCCCGCCGCTGGCCTTCTGGCCGCCGTCATGGGTCTCATGGCTCTGCTGTAAACCAGTCAATTACACGAAACCTGCTATTGCAGCTGCCATCGAATTTCTAGAGACAGCAACAGTTTATGGTCGCTGTTGTAAAGCCATCTGTTTTCCATTGGATTTATCTTTTTCTTTTTCTTCTATGCTTTTCTTTTCCTTTGCTTTTGACCGATCTGTTTGGTACCTGCACGCCAAAAGCTACTATTCAAATGGATTGACCAGTTCCATATCGTGCTTGGGTCATCAATTAGCTAGATAATGTTCTAATAGTAATTCATAATATGAGGCATTGCGTTTAGTATGCATCAAGTAATGTTCCATTGCTCCATCTCTCTTTACTTCCTCTCTAACCGAATATTGCTCCCTTTGATTTGATTTGGTTGGATTTCTATCTTTTTGTCATGATTTCCAGCGACGCTGCATTCAATTGTATATGGGTTGTCCTACCTAATAAGGCAAGCAGGTAATTTGTCTAAAACATCCATCGTCTTTCTTCATATATTTACCTTTCCCATGCTCACCTCAGCCCTCTCCATACCATCCACCTCATCAAATCAATGCTCCTCATTGACCAGGACATACCGGTAGCGAGCCTTGCCATCATGCATGTCCACAATCGCCCGATTGGCATCCTTCATGGGGATCTCCTCGATCCACGCCTTGATCCCCTTATCGGCCACCAACTGGAACATCTCCCGGATTTCGTCAGGGCTCCCAATCAGCGAGCTCTCGACCTTGAGGCGCCGCATCAGGTTGGGAACAGGTGCCGACAGCATACCGTCGTCGGGGAGTCCGACCTGCACGAGACTGCCGTTGGTCGCAAGAAGACCCAGATACTGCGCCATGGGCATCTACAGTCGAATGGAAATGGTCCGTTAGCAGCTCGATCACCAAGAACAAATCAATCTTGCACCTCTCACTCACCTTCGTCGAAGACACCGTGCAGACGATCAGGTCCAACGACCGCGCATGCTTAGTAGCCCAGTCGGGCTCGTCCTCAGTAGCAATGTACAGGTCGGCGCCCATCTTCAACGAGTCCTCGCTCTTGCTCGCCTTGCGCGAGATGGCAACGACCTTGTCCGCGCCCATAGCCTTAGCGAAGAGCACACCGAAGTGGCCCAGGCCTCCAACACCAATGATGCCGACGCGCTTTCCAGGCCCGCACTGGTTGTGCTTGAGCGGGCTGTACAGAGTGACGCCTCCACACAGCATGGGCGCTGCCTGCGCCGAGGGGATGGCGTCGGGGATCTTGACGACGAAGTGCGACGGCGTGCGGTTGTACAGCGCGTATCCGCCGTAGGTTTTACCGCCGTTCAGGAACGTGCTGTTGTATGTGCCCTTGATGTGCGGGCAGTACTGCTCCCAGCCCATCGCACATTCGGGACAGTCGCCTAACCGCCCGAGGCAGGATTCGCTCTGAGCGCCGACGCCGACGCGATCACCGAGTTTGATGCCTCCCACGGCTTGGGATCCCACCCGCACGGCTGTCCCGACAAGCTCGTGGCCCACGCAGCAGGGGTACATGGTTGGGTTCTAAGCACATGGTTAGCTTGTTATTGCTTGATCACTCATGTCTTTCCATCCTCTCTCCCCAAACGTCCCCTTCGGAAGCAACACGTCAAAAGATGAGAACTTACCCAGCCACTGCGAAGCGTATGCATATCAGTCCCGCAGATCCCACAATGGGAGATCTTAATATCAACATCCGTCTCCTCCCACGGCTTGGGCTCAAACTCCTGCCACACCATCTTCCCATCGGCAGCGTCCTTATCGAGGCCCATCCACCCCTCAAACTTGTAGTCGGTTTGTTGTGCCATGATGAGGGAGATCTTGCAATTCTTCGAGATTCAGGATTGGATTCAAGTTGATTAAATCAGTAAGAGACAAGGTGTTTCTTTTGCTATCAAATACAGAACAGAACATCCCAACCATCTACGCGGGCCCCAAACACGTTTTATAACACCCACCCTGAACAGGGTCCACAGCATTAATTACCATGGCACCTCTCCGTCGGATATAACGCTTGCAGAAAAGTTTGGGTCCCACGTGGAGCTATTCGCCCCTAACATCCCGTTCAGGAAATACGGCTTTCAAATCATACGAGTGGGGACTGATTCTTCAGTGTCAGCGACCCAGTGTTGATTGCCTGGCTGGACAGAGTACTCAGTGCTAATTACGGCACTCCTTGTCCCTAGGAGATCAACCTATGTTGATTACCATCTACAGGATTCAGCAATTAGATATAATCTACGTAAAGCGTCAACCATCAAGGCTATCATAAGCCCTATATACGTACATTTAAAGAAAAAAAACCCTGCATAAGCCGAAAATCCCACCCCACCGCGGCAAATTCCCTGCAGAAACGCAGATCATCGAATTATTCAGTCTACTATGCCCAGTCGGACTGATTTGATTGAATCTTCGGACACTTTCTAGTCGCCTCTCTAATCCCAGTTTTTTTTTTCTTTTGCGATTATGCAATCCTCTGATTTGCTCGGTACGCCGTGCTGACTGCTTTTAACTCCGTGATCTCCGTGGATTCTCGGGCCGACAGTGATTATAAAACTGGGTCTGGTCTTTGCCGGACCCGTGCCGAGTGAGACACGGTAGGCCATGACTATTGTCGGGTGGGCGCCCTTGATCTCATCTCCTAAAAATAAGGAATCAAGAAAAAAAGGGGGAAGAGCAATTCAAGGAAAGACAAGAAGAGAGAAAATCAGATAGACTGACTGCTTTGCATTTTCACTACGACACACATCTGACCACCACATACTCCAGGATACCACGTCTAGATTTAACCCAACCAGGTAGAAAAAAAAATAAAAACCGGGAGAAAAAGAACAACGCAGAGCGGTAATTATGTGCTCGCCCAGAGAAAAAAAAATTGAGGATATACATGGACATGGGTAATTTTTTTTCTCAAATGCAGCAAGGGGAGAGAAAATTAAAGAGAAAAATGATATGCACGACACATCACGATGAAGAAAAAAGGAAAAGAAAAAGAAACTGCACAACAAGAGCAAATAGAGTATGGGTCAGCTAGCTGACCGAGAAGATATATAATGTATCTTGGAATGGGCCCATCTTCCGCCTCAAAGCCCTTGCTTCGCCCCAATGTAGGGCAATTGTTGTACCTGGCTAAAACAAGGACATGATGTCTTCGTTGGTCTTCTTCTGGTTCCCTCCTGGGGGTGGGGGTGACGTGGTGCTGCTGCTGCCGCCCATGAGGTCCAGTCCAGCCATCCCGTTCATCAGGTCAGCGCTACCATTGCCGCCGTTGGGAGCGGCTCCTCCGCTGCTTGGACCACCCATGGCACTACCACCGTCACCGAACACGCCGAGTAGGTCATCCAAGTTGTTGCTTCCGGCTGGTGTACCCACTGCAGGAGACTCCACTCGAGTGGGCGTTCCGGCGAGACCTTCCAGGCCAGACATGCCGGCGCCGGGTTCTTTCTGGGCCGATGCCGGTGCGCCACCGTCGAAATCGATATCCAAGAGATTCTCCACGTTGTTCTGGGTTTGCGGGGGTGGCGCACCGCCACTGACGGCAGCCGCAGCCGCAGCCGCCGCCAAGGGGTTTTCGCGGGCGTTTTGGATTTGTTCCCTGTGAATCAGTTAGAGGGATGGATATGTGAGGTGGGGGTACGAGGACATACTCGATGGCAGCCTTCTGGACCGCATCCGCACCGAAGCGGCCCTGGCCGACGAACTGCTCTGGGGGCTTGTGATAGACCGAGGACAGCGTGGAAAGCTCGGTGAGCAGTTGCTCCAGCAAAGCGGGCGGGAGAGAGTGAATCGTAGTGACGATTGGCGGCTTGTCGGAGAGCACAATATTCTTCGCAGCGGATGGATCGCTCGTGTTCGACAGCAAGCGCCAGTAGACGTAGGCCCGGTCTCGAACGTCGGGATTGTCATTCTCAGCCGTGGCCGCCTGCAGCACCTTCTGCACCAGCCCTTGAGCCTTCTCGGGCCGTTTCAGGAAGAGTTTCACAACGGCCGTCAGGATCTGCAACTGGGTCTGATATGGACATTAGCATTCATGCGACAAACCTCAGGAGGCAAAGATACTCACCTGCGAGAATTCCTCGTTGAAGCCATCTACGAACCCGCCAAGGATGTCACCCGCATTGCTAATCTTCTCCGCATACTCGCCCACAATCCAGATGAGGGCAGCTCGGGCGTTGGGCTCGTCCAGTTCGTCGATGCACTGGCAGAGAGTGGGGATGATGCCTTCGTAGCCAGGGTATTTCCGGAAGATGTCCATGATGACCACAATCGCCTCCTGGACGACGTAGTTCACCTTGGTGTTGATCAGATCCAGCAGAGTGTTCACACACTTCTCACTGGCGCTTTCGATCTTGATGGCGACCTGACCGATGGCCTTGACTGCGCGTCGCACAAAGTCCATATCGACTTCCAAGGCGTATTCCTTCAACTCCGCCAGAAGCTGGTCGACATTCCGTTCACTGGATATCCGGACCATAATCTCGAGTTTCTGGAACTTGACGTATGGTGGGTCGTTGTACTTGCAGAAGAAAACGCGGAGCTCCTTGGCGAGAATGTCGGGTTGCTTCTGCAGCAAGAGGTCGATGTTGCGCAAAGCGACATATTGGACTTCCGGGGCGGAGGAGACAAGGGTCACTGGGGAAGAGAACATCAGCAACGTCTCAAGTGGGTGGTAGATGAGAGTGCAATACCTAGGGGCGGAGCCATCTTCTTCAGGTAGGTCTGGGACAGTTCCGGCTTGACATGCCTCATGTGCAGGAAAACGGCCTTGACAGCGGCAAGAACCACGCTAGGATTGGCATGTTGGAATTGCGGCGCCACACGTTCGCAAATATGCTCCGACTCCGACACGTCAGCGGTGCGGTATTCCGAGAGGGTGGTCAGAATGGTCACCCGGCCCCATTCCGTGCACTCATTGAGGGCCATGAGCAACTTGCGCAGCGTGTTCGACGTGATCTGGAGGGCTTGGGTCTCCGCGGCGGCATGATGGATCTCCGAGAGTGCCGTCACCGAGTTGGCGACCACCATGGGGTTCGGATCGGCGATCATTTCCTGCAACATCTCCAAGAATCCGTTCTCTAGACACATGACCGGATTCAGGTCGAACAGCTTGGCGACACAGATGGCGGCGGTCTTGCGAACGTAAGGCGACTCATCCCGGAGAGTCTTGCGCAAGGGTTCCTCCATATAGTCGACCATCTTATCCACCCGGATACAGCCCATCGTCCGGATCGCCAGTGCTCGAATAAGGGGGTTGGGGTCTTCGGAGTCCTGCACGAAGGTATTGACGGCAAGGATACAGAGGTCGGGGTGCGATTTGGCGTAGTTCCTGCAACGGAGAAAGACGGAGGGTCAGTCGACGGAGTGGCGGGCGGAGGAAGCGGAACGGGACAACCCACATCAAGTACAGGTACACGAGTTTCTTCTGCTCTAAATCGCTGGTCGCGATGTTCTTGAGGACATCAGGGAAAAGAGCGGAGACATCCTTGCCTAGGGTCATGGCCATAATGGTCTTCTGGATCGACTCCTTGCTGAGACAGAGTTAGACACGATGTACCCCCGTGGGGTAATTAAGGCGAATATGCGTAACCTACCGCTCATAGGCATATTGGGAACTACCCTATAAGTCAGCGTCGGTGTCCAATGGAACTGAGTAGGGTGTGGTAGGCAAAGATCCATACACAAGGCCAGCTCGCAGTTCAAAGGTTTCTCCTTTTCTGGGCACCGCAAAGGCGCCTCTGATTCGATTCATCGCCATGTTGACGGGGGAAGAACTTCAGCGACGACCGTAAGTCGCCTCCGCAAGTCCGTAAAAGGGGAATAAGAAGGAGGAGGGACCGAGAAAGTACGGGGGTGGAGGGGGAGGTGGTGTGTGTTGACTGCGGACCACTGCGGGGAATTCTGGCGGCGGCGACAGAGAGCGGTTTCAGGGACGGACAGCGTGGAGGTTCAGGAATCTGCGGATGACGACGACACCGGGGAGGAAAGGGCGATCAGAACATCCTAGCCCGGTGGGGATCAACGAGGGAATGGATGGAAGAGAGGTCTAGAGAGTAAGTATTGGAACGTAGAAAGTTGGAGAGGAAGAAGGAATGAATGAAGATGGAGAAAGGGAGAAACGATTCTTGAGTTGAGTCTGGCCCGAAATTCAAGGCCAACGCGGCTCGTTAATGCAACCTCTTTCTTCCCCTTTTCTATCCTTCAATCTCTCCACATCGATCACCTCTTTCTTTCTTTCCTTTCTTTTCTAGTTCTTTTCTCTGTACCTCTCTTACGTGCCTTCTCTACTTTCCAATATGGTATGTCTCGCCTGCGACCGTTTAATAGACCACGTCACTAACAAACCGATCCCTCGTCCGCAGGCAAACCTTCCCAATCTACGTCGTCTCTTTGTCGAGGCAAGAACAGAGGCAGAAGAAAACGAATACTCCAGAACCGCTGTGCGTTTAGTTGATAATTACGAGTGGCAAGCATTCCGACTAAGATCTGCTACCTAGTTCTACAATCTCGTCCTGTTCATCTCGTCCGTCGCGGTGTTCAGCCTGGTCGCGCAGCGCATGGGTGGAGGAAAGTCGGTCAAATGACGCAACATTATCTGTCATTGTTCAGCAATTTCGTCTGATGGGGATTCGATTTTTGATTTTGGACACGAAGTCGGCAATGGTCTGGTCTGGCGACTATTATCTCTAATCCGACTCCTCCCCGTCACTGTCTAAGAACGCCAGGGTCTTCCGACCACGATTCAATCGCCGGCGAGGCTGCTCCTCGTCGCTGTTCTCGTCACCACTGCCTTTCCCCCACCGTTTCGCCCCCTCCTGGACCATCTCGAGGTCTGCCTGGAGTTCGCGCGTCTCCTGGATCTGTCTGGCTTTCTCCACGGAGTATCGGCCTTCCATCCCAGCGTCCTTCAGCATACCCTTGAGATGCTTGATCTTGGCCTTGGGCGTCTCGTACGGAGCCAGCTCCCGCGCCCACATCTTCCGGATGCCGCATTTCAGCAACCATCCTTGTAACCGTTTGATCTCCGCCTGATCCGGATCAGTGTCGGCATCCTTGCCTTTCGCCTTGGGTGCTGGCTTTTTAGCGGCCCCTTTGCGCGACGGCCCGTCGGCGCTCTTCTTCCGTGATCGACTTGGCTTGGGCTCTTCGTCCAGGACGACGGACATTTCGCTTTCTGAGTCCACTTTCACATCTGCGGTGGGCTCCTCGGACGGCTTCTGCTCCTCATCCTCATCCTCGTCGTCATTGCTCCCAACTGAGCTATCTGACACCCGGTCCTGGGAGACCTTCCGTGGTGGCTTGTCCTGCGTCTTCTTGGCCTGTTTCTTGGTGGGCTTCTTCACGTCTTCCTCACTCGGGGACCCACCGGCTTCGTCCTCGGATCCAGGGGTGGTCTCCTTTCGGCGCTTTCGTGACGCTGTACCGCCTGCGGATTTTGTGCGCCCAGTAGCTTTCGCCTTTTGCGGGGGTTCCGCAGTGCCGTTGTCTTCATTCTCATCGTCTTCATGTTCTGGCTCCTGGGCCGCTTTGTCTTGTACTTCCTAGAAACCGATAGGCAACATGTCAGTCCAGCCCTGCAGATCAAACATAGACCGGGGGTTTTCCGTAGCAGTCAATTGTAGATTCATTCCAGTATAGACCTACCACTTCATCCTTAATAACCTGCTCACTGCGCCCCTTCCACTCACTGCTCTTAAAGAACCCTTCGTCAAGACCGAGTTTCTTGGCAGCCGCCAGACGAATCCGTTTGATCGTCAACTCCTCCATCTTCTTGGACTTGTAAACCGCAGCGACAGCATCGCGCAGCGCTTTCTCGAGCGCTTTCCCCGAGGGCGCAGCGGGTGCTTCCTCGGGGTCGGGGTCGGACTCGGACTCGGAGAGAGCGTATCGGGGCGCCATTTTCGATTGATCGCACAATGGGCCGTCTTGAAAACCTGTAATACCCCGGGTCGGAGTCTGCAATGGACTGGAAATGACGGTATTCGTGGACTGACTGCACGAGACGACAAACACGTAATTAACGCGACGGGGCTCGCGATGTCAACCTAGATACGATAGACTGTAGATAGAAGATCCACCCCTAATATTAAAAAATAAAAAATAAAACCAAGCAGATACAGTGATCAAGAGAATAGACACGACAAGCAGACGAACTAGACAAGGGACCTGGACTGCGCAGGTTCCGTGAGCATCGCAAAGTCGGCCGATTCGGCGCAACAACAAAACCTGCTGACAAAGCTGCTGATAACGTTGCATAAAATTAGCGTTTGAAGTCATCGATTCCGGAACTTTTTACTTCAGACCATTCCTGTATATTGACATCTCCGTTCGCTTCACACTGATTCAGGTTGTTAAAATTACAGCTCGAGGACAGCAGATACGGGCGATACTCTCCTCACTCACAGTCCACCCATCACTCCACCGTCTACCGCAACAACGTCATCAATTGGAGTCACCATCCGATCTACACCCCGGATCAATCGCGGATCTCTCAACCGGCATCATGTCCACCACGTCGTCCCAGCCGCAAAACCCCAAGTCTCTCTTCGTTCACCAGACTTCTGGGGCTGCTGGCTCTACAGAGGGGACCAAAGATGAACACACCGGGCTAACCAAACTCCCCAATGGCGTCGTCCTAGACAAGGACGGGAAGCCGTGAGTCCTCCATTCTTATACATACATATTCCATGTATCCTTTGGAACAGTGAGGTAACTAACGACTGTCCGATGTATAGATGTCGCCTCTGCACCTCCGCCGCATCCTGGCGCTCTCTTACCAAACAAGCCAAAACTTCGCCCTCCTCCTCTTCCTCATCCTCCTCCTCATCCACCCCCGCCTCAAGCACAACATCCACCTCAACCCCACCTCCCCCAAAACCATCATCCCCAACAACAGCCGCCTCCGCCGCCGCCTTCACCACCGCAGCAGCAGCATCAACCACCCTCCCAAGCGAATCCCAAACCCAATGCCCCCCGGACGTCGAAGAACTCGGCCGCTCAACCTGGACCCTCCTGCACTCCATGACAGCCGCCTACCCAGCGCGCGCCTCGCCCGAGCAACAAACCGACATGCAGTCCTTCCTGCGCCTCTTCGGCCGCCTGTACCCGTGCTGGGTGTGCGCAGACGACTTCCGCACCTGGATGGCGGAGCCGAGTGGGCGCAACCAGCCGCGGCTGGGTGGGCGCTCCGAGTTCGGGACGTGGATGTGTGAGGCGCATAATGCTGTTAATCGGAAGTTGGGGAAGAGGGAATTTGATTGTCGGTTTTGGGAGGAGAGGTGGAGGACGGGGTGGAAGGATGGGAGGTGTGATTGATTGACCTCTTTTTCTCTTTCTCTCTATCTTCCTGGGTGGATGTGGGTGTGCTTTTATCTGCCCCGTTTTAGACAAGGCATTTGGTGGATGAGAGATGATGTATTTTTGATGTACTATATTATATACTGTTCCACTCTACTGATTTTTGTATAATCAATGCACTCTTGGTTATCGAATGAAATAGACAGGTTTATATTGCAGATAATGTATCAAAAAAGAAAACAGCGGTAGAAAAAAAGTAATAAAAAAAGTAGAGAAAGGTGAAAAAGAAAAGAAAAAGCAAAAGAAAAAAGCTAACGTCGCTGACCAGTAATTATCGGAGACACAACAGAAGATTCATACATCTAAGAGAGCAGGAGCTTGTCTCCAGCCGTCGCGCCGGCCAACCCCCCCAGAAAAATCCATTTTCATTCGGTACACAGAATCCCATCCAGACCTCTTCAATGTTGCCCCGGGACGAACAACCGCAGCCCGCTGGCTGGCGCCCCGATCTCGGTCACCTCGGATATCCGGCACACAGTGCCCTTGTACTGTTCGTGGTACTTGGCGCCCGTGAACGGATCCGACACGCTGGGCGAGCCGCCGTAGATGGGCGTGTGAGACGCCGCGCAGATGTCGAACTCGGCGAACTGGTCGAACTCGATATCGATCTTGTCCTGCGGGTTCCGCTCGCATTGCGCCTTGATCTTCTTGGCCTGTTTTTGATTGATTAGCATCAACTTCTCGTGTAAGGAAAAAGGGGGGAAGAATGCTCACCTGGTCGAGAAGCTTGGCGGCGCCACCGTTGGCCAACATGCGGTTGGCAAAGCTAAGCGCAGACGAGTAGTTCTTGTTGGCAAAGGCCAGCTTCATGGCGGCCATCAAGGCCAGCTGACGGTGAGCGACCTCCAGCTTCGGGATCGTGAAGTAGGCCGACAGCTCCAGACTGCGTTTCAGGCCCTCCGGGGTATCTGTGGACAGGGAACGGCGAGCCAACTCGATCGACATGGCGAGGATGTACTCCCGAGCGGTCGCAATAATCGTCTTGCCCTGTTCTACCTCCGCCTCGGAGGAGACGGTGTTCACCAGGACGGAATACAAGATGTTCTTGAAGATCTTGATTCCCTCCTCCAGTTTGTTGGCGCGCATCGCGGCGTAACCCTCTTGGAGATCGGCGTTGGCGATCGTCTCGAGGTCACGCGGGATGACGGGCAGCACCTTGCGGCTGTCAGTCTCGTCGACGGTCCGGCGCACGTAATTCACCAATGGCGGCAGGCCAGCGGTCGCCGGGAGATAGGTCTTGGATGACTTGTACACCTCCATGAATCGTGGCTTCAGAGGGGCCAAGTTGACCGCACCGACTTGGCGGTTGAGGAGTTGCATGGCGGTATCAAAGGAACCAGCGGCAACATGGTCCGCGGCCAGAGGCGAGTTGCGCGCCCAGAGATCCGCTTCGGTGCTTCCTGCTCCAGCCTCCGGGCTCTCCACGTCGACCAGGTCGACGTCCTCCTCAACGTTGACCTCATCCCCCATGTCCCATCCGGTCACGTCCTCATCCTCGTCCTCCAGCGTATCCCGGGCACCGACGAACTCCTCCTCTTCCTCCTCGGCCTCGAGTTCAGCGCCAATGCCGTCTTCGTCACCCGCACCAACCTCGCCAAGGAGAGCCTTTTCGAAGGAAGAGTGGCCAGCAGCCTTGACGGGCCAGTTCGACTTGAACGTAGGGGCAATGGGGTGCGGCACCTGCGAAGGCTCCGATAACGTCGGGAGCGTGATCTGGTCTTCTGTGAGGCCGCAGGCTTCGAGGATCGACTCAGCCTCCTCGGTCAGCCCGTGAGACTTGGCCGTGAGATATGCAAGGGGGTCTAGAAAAGGCGGGTCAGCAAGGCGCATGCTTTAATGTAGGGAGGGTTGTCACATACACAGGTCGACTTCTTTGAACATCTGGATCCGGTCTTCGACATCACCACGGTAGATGGCGTTCTGGAAGCGAGAGGTAAAGTCACCCCGGTGCTCGGCGATCTTGGCCATCCGAGCCAGCTTCTGTTGGTCACCAGTGCAGAGGTACAGGAACGAGAGCTTGTCGAAGTTCCTCTGCTTCTGGTAGGCCATCTCGACGTTTTGATGGTTGCCATGAGCCAGGGCCTCCGAGCCGAGTCGGGTCCACAGCTGGGGACGATCCAGTTCTCTCGCCATCTCGATGGCGACGTCGAGGTTTCCGCACTCGAGCGCGAGCTCGAAGCGGGTCTGCGGGTCCTGCACGAACTGCAGCGCAATCTCCGGGTAGCCCTTCTTCTGCAGGTACGAGATGATACTCTGTCCGACCAGACTCGAGGTCTTAATGATCTGGAGCATCTCATCGTAGTTCCGCTTCACCAGAGCCAGCTTGAATCGGTATTCCGTCGGGTCGATCTCCAGGGTCCGCGGCCGGGCATTGCGGTCAAGGCAGTAGACACTCCGGCCCTTGACCTTGACCAGGTAGACGGTCTGGTCCAGGGTGCGGATGATGCCGGTGTCTCCGTTCAGCAGGGAGTACTTGACGTGGTTCAAGGTCGAGTAGAGCAGGACGCCGGTGTCATCCCACGCCGCACTCTTGATGCGGATGGTCTCGTGCAAGCTGCTGACTTGTTCCAGGGACTTGGTGACGACCGTGACGTTATGCTTGCTGAGCAAGGCGGCGTAGAGACCGTCATTGGACCACACCACATATTTGACACCACTGACAGCCAGCTCGGCGAGCTGCTTCTTCTGCTGGATATCGAATAGGACGACCGTCGTGGGCGTGATGAAGAGCAGGCAGCCGGTCCCGCCAAAGTAAATGTCGACGGTGCCGGCGGGCGCCTTGATCGTCTTGGTGGTGGAATTGCTGAGGTCCTTGATGTCGACCTGCTGGCTGCCTTGGCTGAAGACCGCAAATCGATTGCGGGCCACGAAGACGGCCGAGGTGGCCGGGCCGCGCTTGGAGTCGGTCGGCTCCACGGCACCCGTGGCATCTCTCGGCAGGTGAATCAGCTCGTAGACACCGCCATCCGTGGGGGAGGTGACCAGAATGGCTCGTTCGGCGGGGTTGTAGGAGAGGGTGCGGGGCGGCACCCAGGCGGAGCCCAGTTTCCGCAACGAGACCATGGGCGGCGACTCGACGTTCTTCGCAAAGTCGTAGGAGCGGACGTTCTTCTCCTTGGTGATGTAGAAGAGTTGGTTCTGGTAGATGGCGGATGCCGGGCGTTCGCGCTCGAGCTTGAAGACCATGACACCCGTGTCATGACCGGCGGCGAAGAGGTTGATTTCGGGGTGAGCGGCGATCACCCAGAAGCGGTCGAGGTCGCGCTTGAAGGATTGCACGGAAGTTCTCTTGTTCAAATCCCACACCCGGATGGTCTTGTCTTCGCCCACAGAGAGGATCAGGTCCTGGTGGGGGTGGAAAACACAGGAAGAGGCATTCTGGAAGTGGCCACGGCAGGTATCGACCTCCCAGGCTTTCGTATCTATAAACGAGGGAAAAGAGCTTATTAGCGACGATACGTTGCAACTCACCCAGCCAAATATGGGAACTCACCGCTCATTCTCCACAGCTTGATGAGGCGATCGTCACCCGCTGAGCAAATCAGGGGCAGGGTGGGGTGGAAGGCCACCCAGTTGACCCCCCGATCATGACCTTCCAGCACAAACTTCACCACCGCATCCGTGTTTCCGAACATATCTGCCTGATTCGGGTTGGATCGGGCCATCTGGTCTTCGAATGATACGGTGGACGGGGCGGCCGAATGCTTCTTTCGCAAGCCCGAGATATCCCAGATACGAACGGACTGGTCTAGCGAGGCGGAAGCGATCAGATCTTCGGTCGGGTGGAACTGTGCGCACATCACATAGTGGTTATGGCCGGTCATGGTGCAAACTGCGCGTCGCATGTCAGTATCATTCGGAAGGGGTCACCCCAGCCCGACTTACTCAACGACCGGTTCTGCCAGTTCCAGATTCTGATGGTCTGATCGTCGGAGGCCGACACGATCCACGGGTGCTCATGGTGGAAGAAGACCGTTCGCACGTAATCCAAATGGCCATTGAGGGTGAACAGGCATCTCCGCGTCTGATAGCTCCAGACCTTGATCTTGTAGTCGTCACCGCCGGACACGAAGAGGGGTTGCGTCGGGTGGAAATCAATGCCTCGGACGGGGCCATCGTGTTCTTCGAAGCGATCGATCAGGGTTCCCATGCGGTAATCCCATAATTGGATGGTGGAGGAATGAAGGGAGACCAGGATCCATGGCCTGTTCCAGGGACAGGGTCAGTGTTTGCGACAACGCGTTGGGGGGTGCTGAGGCCACGCACCGCTTGGGATGAAAGGCGATTCCCTTAGCGCGGGACGATTTGGACTCAAACTATTCATTGCAGCGTGTTAGACTCGAGCGATTGGGTACAATGCAGTAGGATCCGCGAGGTCCAATAGGTGGGGGATTGGGCGTACCTTGGTGAGCATATTCGGGGAGGACTGCATGATGAAGGGGGGAAAGGGTAGGCCGGAGCCGCACCATCAAGTAGCAAGCTCCGCACAGTCAATGGAAAAGAAAATCACAGCCGGGACCACCGCATCCACTGCAGTCAAGGTCAACGGTAGAAAGGAATTGAAGCCGAAGAGGTAACGGGGGGGAGAGTGAACTGGACAGGGACAGATGGAGTTCAGGTCAGCCAAGGTAAGAGAGCAGTAGGGACAACTAACTAACATCTCCCAAGGCGGTAACGTGCAACAGTAAGCGAGTCCTGCCGCCCAATGACCGTCCGGGCGGTGAGCGCTCCCGTCCCTGGCCGATCTTTGCCTTGTTTGTCTTCTTTTCTTGCCTGAGGAATACATTCGGGGGTCCAAGTACGTCACCATCATGGTCTAGATTTCTAGATCCTTCTTCTCCCCAATCTCACGACAGACAGATCACCACAATGTAATGGTGCTGGATCCTTTACAACTTGTTCTCTCTCGTTGGTGCTTAGAGCCACATTGACCCTTCTACTATTGTCTCATAACCCAATCGATCAGTCTAAAGCATACCGCCTGAGGGAGAAACGGTGCAATGTCCGAATCTACTTGCAGTCCAACCCGATAATCTCTCATTTGTTTCCCTTTGAAACCGAAACCATTTGTTTTTGTGAACCGCACTGCGATGGGACATCTTTCTTTGAGTCAGGACGAAGTTGACGTGACATGACGACCATCTTCAACAGCACGGGATCTGTACCCATGGCATCCCACCCGGCCACGGCATCAAGTAGCTACCAGCAAACGAGGCCGTCCAATCCCTTCTCCGGCCCACGTGTTCAGCGAGACACACTCCCAGAAGAACCCATTCCTGCCGAAAATGCCTCCACGGCGGAATCGAATCCCGGGCCCGATGCCCACCCGCACGTGTTCACGCCTTATGCAATAGAGGAGCCAGAGGACGAGGAGAAGGAAGACGCAGCAAAGCAGCGGCCCTCTCTCCACAGGCTCCCAGCTCTGATGGAGCTGCCATGGGCGAGTATCGACTACGATCAGGGAGAATTGGTCCACTCCATGGAGGACCTCCGTTGCGATTCCGACTACAGCGATTGCTGGCTCCACGGCAAGCCTCACCGGGGCAAGAAGCGAAAGCCTACCCGGCCGCCCCGGCAAGTGTCGGGTGAAACGGCCCCAGATACACGGGGCGGCATTTCCGGTTTCAGCCCAAAGAAGCGGCGCCGGAGCCTACGATCGGGGGAGGATGTGGACATCGAGCCACTGTCTTCCCAGATGTCTGAATCCAATGAGTCTGTATCTTCTGGCAGCGGGAATTCTGATTACCCGTCGTCTGATGTCAGCAGTGTCAATGCGCCGGACGACTCTGCTGCGCCTGATCAGATGGACATCGACTGAGGTTACTATCCTGATACATCTCTTGCTATCTAACTCGTTGTACCGAGTGCCTCATGCAACCACGCGGTTGCATTCTCAATCCCTCAAGTCTGCGAGTTTGATGCATCACGTTGTCCCTCTGTTCAATGGCCATGTAGGGGCCGTGGAGATGGAATCAGATATCGATATGTTTCCGGCAGACGGAGCAGTATAGGAAGTTTCGTCCCATATAGTGTTGCCGTCAACACCATCACATCTAGCAGCAATGACCAACAGATGGTCATTACGACGCCGTTCATGCGGTGTCGATGGCTGCAAACCAGTAGATAGACTACGTGTTAGGCCGGATGTGGCCAACTACTACAAACCCAGCATCAAGCTACATAGACCACGTGAAAGACGCAGGCCGTCCACCCAATCAACCACATAAAACCATCTACATGTAACCCAAAGCAAGTAAACCCAACACCCTAAACCCCAACAGGAAATACACAACAGCTGCTACGCCCCTGACGGCGTAGGGTCTGGCCGGAACAACCTCAGCGGTGACGTCATACACTCCTCATTGCGGCCACAGACGATGAAACCCGACCGGCTAAAACAGCAACCCCATCCCCTTCTCCATTGACACTGCCTGTCGAGACTCAGACCGGAAATCAAACCAATTGCACTAGGAATCCATATACACCATGGCAGCGACACGAACTTCCTCGCGCCAAGCCGCCCAGAAGGCGAAAGAGGCTATTGCGGCTGCGCCGGATACGAAGAGTCGCGGCGGAGCGGGGGCTAAACGCAAGGAGGCGGAGGAGAAGGGACCGGTGAAGAAGAAGGGAAAGAAGGACGAGAAGGCGGAGCTGGAGAAGGAGCCTAAGGAGGAGGAAGCTGCGGGGAAGGAGCCCGAGCCTGAATCTAAGGAGGAGGAAAAGAGGGATGAGACTACGGAGGAAGCGGAGGGACAGGCTTCGGACAAGGAGAAGGAGTCGGAGGCTGACGGAGAGGAAGAGAAGGTGAAGGGCGAGAAGGAGACGGAGGAGCCAGAGGGCGAGGGGGAGCCAGCCCAGGAGACATCTGAGGCGGAAGCCGCTGACAACGAGGGAAAACCCGAAGCTGAAGCCAAAACGGAGGAAGAGAAGCCGGATCAAGGTATGAACTACGCCCTTGAGACCTGATTGGTTCAATATAGGAATTAACAGTCAGCAGATGAAGCCAAACCCGCCCCGTCTGACCAGGAGAAACCCAGCCAGAAGGATGACAGCCCACCCAAGGTGCTCGAAAAAGGCATCATCTACTTCTTCTTCCGACCCCGAGTCAACGTCACCGACGCACAAAGCATGGACGAAGTCGCGCGGAGCTTCATCGTGCTCCGCCCGATGCCCGGAACCGCCGCGCTGGACCAAAAGGAGGGACCGCTGGAAGCGGGCGCAACCTGTCGGTTACTGATGGTTCCCAAGAAGCAGTTTCCCAAGGCCACGGGACAGCGCGAGATGGGGTTCGTGGAAAAAGCAGGCAATACAGTGAAGGAGGTCGAGGAGAGTCTCCTGTCGAGTGAGACGCATGAGACCAAGACCCAAGGCGAACAAGTGACGCCGGAAGCCAAACCGTACGCTGAAGGCGTGTATGCCATTACACGCACCCAAAACGACTCCCGATTGGCGTACATCGTGACGATCCCGGCGGAGATGGGACCCGTTCAAGAGGAGTTCGGTCTGGAGGCACAGGGTGGGTGGATTGTGCAGTCGAAGAATCCTAGATTTCCTGGGCCGGCGAATGCGCCAAAGCAGAACCCGGAGTATCCCCAAAGGTAGGATTCCTCTTTCTTTCCTCAATTGATATAGGAATATGTATATTGACGATGCGCAGTGTGGAGGACAAGTTCCAGGATCACCGGTGGATCCCTCTGGAACCCGAATTGATCGACTATGCACACGCACAGTTTGTGCTGATCGGCCATACACATCGCGAACCCGGTCAGGACCTGAAACAGATGGAAGAGGAAAACGAGACTCGAGTGGAGGAACACGGACAAGGTTAGTAAATCCTGGAGAAAACGGACAATAGATCTAATCAGTTGAATATCCGTAGGAGACGCCACCATCTATCAAGACCTGGGCGTTCACGCGAAAGAATACCCAGCAGTGCCAACCACGTGGAGTCACTAAACACGAAACTACGACTTAATCCGTAACTAAATAGCCCATCCTAATCAAAAAAGTCTGCGGTTGACCCAATGGATCTCTCCACTTGCTCCACGTTGATCCTCGTGTTCTACATTCCATAATGCCATCCCACCCCATCCCAGTCGTCGTGTTAAACTTGGCGCGACTATATAGTCACTTCACCCCTCCACATGCTTAGACTAGGCAATGTAGAATCCTCTCTTCTTCGGAAATCAATCTCACTATGAAGTGGCTCACCGGGTTCGTTGCTTTTGCCGGTCTGACAGGCGCCCTCTCGTCTCATCCGCGCGCCGCCGTCAACCAGACCACTTGCGCCGGCACCACCTATCGCTACACGGGGCTGGAGGGATACGGTCGCTTACCATCGAATGCCCGTGACAAATACGGCGACACCATCGGAGGCATTGGCAGCTCCATCGCGTTCGATCCGGTCTCGTGGCAGCGTACTGCGCCCAACTCCTACGAGGGCACCGTCTACTGCCTCCCAGACCGAGGGTGGTACGTATCTCTCTATACACCATACACATGGAAGATAAAATAAGACAGTATATACTAACAAAAACAGGAACACAAACGGCACAATCAACTTCCAATCCCGCATCCAGAAATTCCACCTCACCCTCCACCTAACTCCCAACGCCACAGCCCAGCACCCATCCAAACCCAACATCCGCCTCCAATACAAAGACACAATCCTCCTAACAGACCCCAACAACAAGCCCCTAACCAGCCTCGACCCGGACATCACCAACTCCGCCCACTACGACGGCTTCCCACCCCTCCCAGCATCAACCTACCCAGGCGACGGCTTCGGCGGCCCCGGCGCAGGCGGGAAGCGCGTCTCCGTAGACCCAGAAGGCCTCGCCCTCCACCACCAGCAAGACGGCAGCCTCTCCTTCTGGGTCTCCGACGAATACGGACCCTACGTCTACCGGTTCAGCGAGCAGGGCCGCATGGAGCACGCCATCCAGCCGCCCGCGGCATACCTCCCGCGCCGAAACGGCACCCTCAGCTTCAACGCCGCCAGTCCCCCGCTCCATGACCCGGAGAACATGCCTATGCCTGAGGACCCCGCCTCCGGCCGCAGCAATAACCAGGGTTTTGAGGCACTGACGCTCTCGCCGGACGGCCGCACCCTCTACACTATGGTTCAGTCTGCTCTGGCGCAGGAGGGCGGGCCAGACGATGAGACGAACCAGCCTGTTCGGCTGCTCGAGTACGATATCTCTTCTTCTGCGCAGCAGCCGCAGCTGAAACACGAATACGCTGTTCTCTTACCCCGGTATACCAACGCCAAAGGAGACAGCCTCGTGGCCGCCCAGTCTGAGATCCACCATCTCCCCCATCCCGGCCCCAGCAGCAGCAGCAAAAGCTTTCTCATCCTATCCCGCGACTCCGACGCCGGCCACGGCCAGTCCGATTCGCGATCCATCTACCGACACGCAGACATCTTCTCCATCACAGACGAGACGACCAATCTGCGGGGGAAATACGACGGCGCGACGGCGGCGATCGCTTCGTCGGAGGGTGTGCTGCACGACGACATCACGCCTGCTCAGTACTGCCCGTTTATCGATTATAATCTCGATGCCGAGCTGGCTAGGTTCGGGCTGCATAATGGGGGTCCGCAGGATGAGTATCTGCTGAATGAGAAGTGGGAGAGTTTGGCGCTGCTGCCGGTGGATCCGGATCAGGGGAGTGGTGGTGGTGGTCGCAGGGAGTATTTGCTGTTTAGTTTTAGTGATAATGATTTTATGACGCAGGATGGTGAGTTCCCTTCCTCTTTGACAGTGAATCGTTGTACTGGCTATACTAACGGTACAGGCTACATGAATTTCGGCGACTTCAAGTACGCTGATGAATCGGGATACAACATTGACAGCCAGATGTTGGTCTTCCGAGCGGTATTCTAGGATGGATAATATTTTCAACATTCTATCTCTATGAGAAATCATTTCAGGAGAAAACCAGGCATCATATATTAGACTACTAGGTAGATAATGTGACTCGAACGGATCCTATCGCGTTGCGCATTGCTGTCTGCATTTGGTACTAATACAATCAAAGAGCTTTCACCCTGGCGCCAACTGTGCAATCTGGATTTCCATAAGCCAATTTTCACAACCTCTTTTTTTTTCTTTTCATGTTGATAGCCTGACCGTCCAACGAATCCCGTCTGCCGCAAGCGGCCGGTCCAAAAAGTGTAGGCATAATCAATCCATGGCAAGGACCGCGTTTCGCATGAAATCTACCGCAACGCCGGAAAGGAGCAAAACCAAACCTTCCTCTCGTGTTGATCCAGTCTGAGATTAGTGAGCCGACTGAGAGGGTTCTCAAAATTATTTGTTTAGGTTAAGTGCGCCTAGGATGTCGTCCAGGGACCAGCCTGGGCCGCCCGGCACTATCTCCGCCCACACTTCCTCCGGCACCGCATCGGCGTCGGGGATTAGACGCCAGTTCGGACTTGGCTCCGGCTTAATCCACTTGAAGTCTTCCACTTGGTTCCAGCGGTCCTCGACACCCGCTTGGTTATGGTCCAAGGCCTGCGAATTGTTAGTCACGGCCAGTTTGGGGGTAGACTGAAGAAAGTACTGACATAAACCCGGGGTATCCGGGCAAAGCGCACATTGGTGCAGTCTTCAATGATCGGGTTGCTGGATGAACTCAAGTACACATCCACGTCGGAGCACTTGTGCATCCGGAACTGCCGGCACGTCACCACAATAACGCTCTTTTCCACCCCCGTGATATGAGCCGGCCCATCAACCTGCCCGCATACCAACAGGCTATCCTTCACACCCTTGACCGTCAAACTGGCGTAGGGTTTGCCGTTGGCAGTCGGGATGGACATGTCGACGACGCAATGACGCAGCGACGTGATCGAGGCTGGCACCGTATCTGTGGATCCAGAAGCCGGGAGCATGATGTGAAGCCGATGGTGGTCGTGCACCGTCACGGAGGCAATGGACGACGCCGCAAAGCCGGCCGAGGTCGGCCCCCCGTGCTTCGGTCGGTCGTACGCGCTTTCCACGGAAAGCATCGGAGCAGACGTTGGGGTGATCTCAGGTTTTCGCTGCTGAAGCTGGTCGGGTTCATTCAGCGGTGTCGAGGGGTAGTTAGGGGTCGCGGCCGTCGACGACTCCACAGATGATGTCCCGGGGGAGCGATACCCGGGGATCCCACGGCGTCCTTGCGCAGCCATCTGCGCTGCGTCGGCCAAGGACACCGCCGACGTATTCTTCTTGGTTTTGAAGCTAAACTTGGGTCGCGGTTCGACTAACGCACGAGTTTCTGCCAATTTATCCTGGAGTGCTTTGATAGCCTAGGAGGTCAAACAATCAGCACAGCCCTTCCCTTAGGTCTCAGAGTATATGCAACCTACTTCTGCGTATATCCGTTGGTCGTAGGTAGGGATGTAGCTAGCTGAATCCTTGACCTCATTCGACAACCGTGCGATCCCCGCTAAGCAGTGATCAGTCGCGTCGGTCCGCTCGCCGCCCACCAGGGACGTATCAGCGAGTCGGTCCATCTGTTCCTGAAGTGCTGTCACAAGCAGCGATGTCAGAAGAAATAAGACAAATGGCCTGGTGCAGAAACACACCGGTAATTTCATGCTGAAAGTAACGGAAAAACCGCTCCTTCAACGGGATCTCCGCATTGGAGATAGTCTGGTCCTCAGACTGCGACGGCCGTCGCGCATCGGTAAAGCTCGCTTGCGCTTCGGACATCGTCATAACCGAGATGAAGTGAACAAATCCAGATCGGTCACGAGATGATGTTGGAGTATGCCGTCCGGAGAGAGATGAAAGGGACCAGAAGCTCGGATGGAATGGAAAGGGCGCTTCGATGTACTGATGACGTCGACCCGGGTGGATTGGCAAATATTACGTAGGATAGCCCTTCCAGTTCTAGTACGATTTAGATACCCATGCAAACGCAGGCGAAACCCCGGGAAGGAACAGCGGTCGACGATGAGCTGGGACTCTGTCAAAATGGACAAATCGCACCCATTAGCTTCCAATGGCATGCCACAGCGGACGAGCTTCGAGGAATGGAAAGCACGATGGTATGATAGAGGGGTCATCAACGGTTCACTGCCGGGACGATCATCTGCCCCACTACCGGGACTGGATGATGGTTGGCCGCCAGGAGAATGACTGACAGGTTCAACATCGTTCTGATTCAGGACTTACCTCAAGCAAGGGAGACCACACGAGAGAGATTTCAGGTCAAGAACAGAGACATGACCGACGTTGATCTTCGTCGCTTCTTCTCCCTCGTGACGTCGATCGACCCCGGACTATCTCGGCTCCGGCCTGTCCCGTTTCGGTCATTGCGGCCTGAGGCTACTCACCTACTCGTAGTATAGATACGCGACATATATTGGTTTAGACAGGACTGAATGGAGAGTACATTTGGAACTGGGCGATGTTATGCTTTTCAATAGATCAGGTTCTTCCCGCACTTTGCCATTTTTCTCGGGAATCCCAGGGCGTTCTCCATCTAGATATATATTAGCCCTAGTGGGATTGTGCACTTTTGGGGTCTTCATAGTCTAGTGGATCGCATCTTAGCGGAGACCAAAGTTATGGTTATTGATATCCTACAGACCACGCCAAATATTCAAGTGGAAGAAGGTCTCATCAAGAGGGCTAGTAGACCCCACCACGGTCGAACCACTAGCATCGTATATCTCTGTAACGTCCCATGTCCTAGCCGAGTACGCTGTTTCAGGCAAAAGAAGGAAGAAAAACAAGGAATAAAAAGACTTTTCATAGATTAATCTGACAGCTGACGAGACCTGGAAGATGATCTTCTAAACAAAGACGCCCCACTGGACAACGATAACTTCACACCTTTGAAATCTCTGGAGAACGATCTACTTGTCTTCTTCACTTGCGTTGGATTAGGCTTATTGTGCGCCCAAAGAGGACTCATGAACTCTGGAGCGGCTGGTTTGGGTGTCATGTCGTAGAAACCGGAGTACGATGCCGGCGAAATGGGACTCTTCAGGGAATCTCCCGAGCCAAGGCGGGCGGAGGATTTACTCGTAGAGTGGCTCAAAGAACTTGAGGCGGAGGTGGTGTTTTGCGAGAGCGAGTCGGGGAAAGAGTAGCGTCGTTTTGAATCAAGATGAATCAAGCCTTGGATTGCGTTCGATGGGTGTTCGGATTGTTCTATCAGGCGGATATGGTGTATGTTGACATTTCCCGGGCAGAAAGGACATAAACAGTCAAGGGACATAGCAATCGGATTATCCTGCAGCCTCTGGTATAAAGTGAGCGTGGATTCGTCGCATGGTTTCTGCTCACGCTCGAGGGAAGCTGACAGATGCAAATTTCAGATATGAGAGCGCTCATACCTCATAAGCGCACGGGTCGGATGACCTTACTCGTTCGTCCAAAAATTCTCTGGGAACTGCGTGACCCGCCGGGCAGTCGACCGTATAGACGCTGTCGGCGCGCGTCTCGGCCAAAGGACTAGCCCCCGGAAGTGGTGATGCCTGGAGCCATTCGGCCAGATGGGCTTGGTAGTCGTGGTTGTTCGCATCAAGTTCTCCGTTGGAATCCCACATCTGGACTCGGCGATTGATCAACCATCGGATCAGGTGCCCTAGGGATGCTTCCCAAAACTCCCTCATGGGGGCAAGGCGCGCCCAGTTATCTCGAATCCTCCGCGTCTGCAGGGGAGGATGGCCGTCGGCATTCTGGGTCAAAATGACCGTGGACAGTATTTGGAGAGAAGGGACTTCGAACTCGTCATCAAATGCGGCTAAGACCGTCCGGACTAGTTTTGTCCGGGTGTTGCGTGCTTGGTCCAGTGTATCGTCTATGGTGTCCGCTGCAGGGCTGGAGGGTCCCTCCAGCTGTGACGTGTGACGCCAGTTGATATGACACTGGATGAGGGCTGACTCTGCGGAGCATAATATATCATACAACCAACAGAACGGTGCGAGTGTGGCGGTTTTGCTTCTGATAAGGGCCGTGAGGAGGTCCGTGATCAGCGTCTCCGGATTTCCATCCAACCGCTCCTTTTAATTCTGTTAGCTAAATTTGTGACCAAGCGGAGGTGAAACAAAGTGAGAACCATGATCCTGTACCAGTCCTGGAATGATGGGCGGGTTCTTCCCGCCCTGTGTAAGGTGAGCCATGCGGAAACCCGAAAACTCCAACGACCCGGTACTATATACCGCGCGGGGTAACAGATCGTTGATCAAGAACAGCTCGGCACTCGTTAGATCTGGATGCTGCCACGCCGCCGCCATTGCACGCTCCAGATTGAATTTATCCTCGGCCGATATATCATCACCACGAAGGACGAGCAATCGGATCCCTGCCAACAACGTATGGGCGATGAAGTGCCGATAGCACATGAGGCCCGGTGCAACCGGTTTATTACACGGAAATAGTTTGGATTTGACTTGGACCAGGTACATCAAAGTGGAGAAGATCGCGTCTGATGGCAGTAGGTAGGGCGAGTGATTGCTAGTCGGCACGTCGTGTGTTGTCACCAATTCCTGTAAACGAGTGCGCTGCGCGTCAAAGATGGTCTTAATCCAAAACACCGACCGAGTCAGCGGCTCGATCTTGGACGCCTGGTCGTCCTGAGCCTGGAGAACGGCGATATCGACAGCATGTTGACCGATAATCTCGCGGAGGATGTTGGCTAGGTCTCGACGTCCCAACTGTTCCCACACTGCTGCCACCAGTGGGTGTGACATGAGGGAGACAGGGACGAATACGCCCCGGACATAAGCGCGCGCCGGAACTCGTCAATGGGGTCGCCTGTCTTGTGAAATCGCGGATCCAAGCTGGGTTAGAAGGGTCACGGTGTTCTTTGTCGCATATATGTTAGACTGACGGGATTGAGCAGATGGGAAGTTGAGAAAAGGGCCGAGAAGCGGCTTTAGCAGGTGATCTGCCAGGCATCTGTTTCAGCTGATGCGAGGCTGCAGGTTGCTGTCCTACTCGGGCCCTGATGCTGCCCAATCGTCGGTGGACATCGGATCCTATATTGCTGTCGTGGAAGGACAAATCCATTGCGCGTCAGTGATGACTTGAGGGGATCAATTCCATTGCTGAGAGGTTGTTGTTGTTGTTGTTCGGGATTGTGATGACGTGGGGATCTACGAGCCTGATGATCTTCGTGTTCTAGGCTGGCTAAACAAGATATGGTCTACTCCGTATTTCTACTACTGTTATGAGGAATGAGATCTACAGTTTCTTGATTTCTATGATTTCTATGATAGCTCGAATCGGAGAATAAACCCGTAGAATATAAAAAAAAAAATACACAAGACAAAAGAGGGGAAAGAGAATAAAGATCACCCCGCGCCTGTCACACAATTGGCTTGTACAGCTCACCTGAAACGCTCTGTTGCCGAGTCGTCCTGGTTGGATCGCCAGTAATAATGGTGATTGTCATTGATAATTGCGAGGATTTATTATGGTTACTATTGAAAATGGTATGTTGAATACAATGGTGAGATAGTACCTAGTCAACATCGCATCTTACAGCATGTTCTAACATATAGGTCTTTGTTTGCACAGTATACTATACCTATAGTACCATTTTGGATACATTGTCCCTATAATACACGGCGACCTTACCGCGTATAGTACATCGGATGTAGACGTAGATATCGAACTAATGAATGGACCACAAACCCTCAAGACGAACTATATCCCTCCAAGCAACAACATGTTCGATGGATCATCTCGCGGAAGTGACAACAATATAACTAACTAGTACTAGAGTCTGACCCCAGATGTCCCAGTGTCGACGTCACCATCAACCATGGAACTGGGTACGTGTGGACATCATGATTGGTCGCCATATTAGTCGGCCTTGACCTATTCGAGGTTTCAATAAACAACGGGCAACGACCTATTGAACCATCCCCAAGAATAGATACCTAGAGTCTAGGTCAAGTGGACGATCGTTAACCAAATTACTCTCTGAGTCTTTCTCTCTCTATCGAAACTTTCATTGTCGCCTCGTATTAGGCGTGAATCCATTTCTTGGGACTTGCAATAGCGTCCCAATATACCCATGAAGATGTTACCATCAAGGGCGATAAATCGCCATGGCAATGACACGGGAAACCCACAGAATGTAGATCTACCTATTCAGAGACCCATCATTCCTGACCCCGACGGGTAGTTATGAGACATGCAAGGGGGATGCCACTCTCAATCCCCTTGAAGTATGCGGAAATGCGTTTCCACCATCAACATACGCCGGAGATCGTCTTTTCTGGCGCAATTTAATATGTCGACCACTGAGCGTCGGCAGGAGGCCCCAAGACCAAGACCCTTGGTTGGGACAAAGTTTTCCTGAACGCCGTCTCTTGCGCAGCCGGTACGAGTCGAATCTGATAGGCTGTTTGGGGGCTTAATAGCTGGTACTGGTGGCTATCCCTATCTTTGTTTGATCCCTGGGTACCATTTTTTCTGCGCCTTCTTGACTAGAAAACGGCGAAGACCGCTCTTTTATCTCTAGGCCGCGCGAAACCTCACGATATTCGATCAGTACGGTCGTCAAAATACACCCTGATGGTTAGATTTGCTTCTCTGGTGGGATGTCTATCCCTCGTGGCATCCTGCGTACTTCCCGCTGCCGCCATAGGCACAGAATATGTCGTCGTTGAGCAACTACCGGGGGTGCCGGAGGGCTGGACTAAGGGCGAACCCGCGATTCGGTCGAGGCTGATGCGGTTCAAGTTGGCACTGAACCAAGAGAAAACCGCCGAATTTGAGAAAAGGGTGGTGGATCTCTCCACCCCCGGACATCAGGATTATGGCAGGCACATGAGCCGCGAAGTCGTTAGTGATTTCCTGCGTCCCTTCGATCAGGGCACGGAAAAGGTCGTGGCGTGGCTTGAAGGCGAACATGTGCCTGCAGAATCGATCAATGTGCATGGGAACTGGGTGGAGTTCGAGGTCGATATTGCACATGCGGAGTCAATCCTGAGGACGCATTTCTACCGCTTCTATCAAGAGAAAGTCAAAGATGGGGAGCCCCGGGCGTCAGTAATCAGGACGCTGGCCTACTCAGTGCCGCGAGACATCTACCCCTACGTTTATATGATTCAGCCAACAACGCGGTTTGGGGCGCTGGCCTCGCAGGTAACTGTTCAACCGATAATCATCTCAGCCGAGGATGTGGACGGGGATTGCGCGGCAAATGTAACCCCTGATTGTCTTCGCGAACTGTACCAAATTGACGACACCGATATTCAACCGGACAGGCGCAACATCCTTGGCATTTCGGGGTATTTGGACCAATATGCCCGCTATGGTGATTTCGAAGAATTTCTGCACCGGTTTGCGCCCGATCGCGCGGACGCCAATTTCACCGCGGTCTCCATCAACGGTGGTCGCAACTTGCAGAACGACACAAGGGGCAGTGGGGAAGCCAGCCTCGACATTCAGTACGCCTTTTCTCTGGCGTACAGGGCGCTTGGCGTGTACTACAGTACCGCCGGACGAGGCCCCTTCGTTCCCCAGGTCGGTCAAGACGAGACAACGGATGCAGAGAACGAGCCCTACCTCGACCAGCTCCACTATCTTCTGGGCTTGCCCGATGACGAGCTTCCTGCAGTTCTCAGCACCTCTTACGGCGAAAATGAACAGAGCGTCCCCGAGAAATACGCGTATACGGTGTGCAATTTGTTTGCCCAGTTGGGCGCCCGCGGAGTCTCGGTGATCTTCAGCAGCGGTGACGGAGGCGTGGGCGACAATTGCATCAGCAACGACGGCACCAACACCACCGTATTCCAGCCTACGTTCCCGGCAAACTGTCCGTTTGTCACCGCGGTCGGCGGCACGTACGGCATCAAACCGGAGAAGGGCATCAGCTTTTCCGGCGGTGGGTTCTCACAATACTTCAGTCGGCCTGCCTATCAAGAGGCCAGCGTCAGCGGTTACTTAGACAAGATCGGAAATACCTTTGAGGGGCTGTTCAATGCGGGTGGGAGAGCCATCCCCGATGTGGCAGCACAAGCGATAAACTATATCATCCTAGACCATGGATCCTACGCGAAAACCGGGGGTACTAGGTTGGTTTTCCCTCTCTTTGTTCTTATACTTCCTTTGCTCCGTTGCCTGCCTCCAATCCCTTGACCATGAGAAGAGAATGATACAGTTGCTGATCGAATTATAGTGCGTCGGCCCCCGTCTTTGCCGCCATTGTAGCACGATTGAACGCCGCTCGACTCGAGGTTGGCAAGCCCCGACTCGGATTCCTGAACCCGTGGCTCTATTCATTGAACCAAGGCTTCACCGATATCATTGAAGGCGGTTCACTGGGTTGCGCCGGCGGGTTAGGGCCGTTAGTGCCGGGCGCGAGCTGGAATGCGACCCAGGGTTGGGATCCGGCCACGGGGATTGGCACACCGGTGTATCGCACTCTGGGGGAGATTGTTAAGTCTTTTTAAGTCTGCTTGGAGGAGAGTATACTGGTTTCAGTGATAGTATACGTGCTTGACCTGCGCTCCAGAATCGAAGCTGTTAGTTGACTCTCGTCTCTCTAATATCGGGAGCATTGGTTAAATAGTGTAAAGTAGACGTATAGCATGTCTGATAGCTATTTGATTTTGATTTTCTCGGTCTTTCATCTGTAAAACACATAAGCGTAGAAGTTGATTCAAAGAACAAGTGAGGGCAGGCTGTCAAAGGAGTCTAGTAAAGATCACGGCACGTGACCGACGGGCCCGAAGCTCATGGAAGCTCCGGTTGGCGGTTGAGGAGCGGACAACGTCAGCCATCTTCCTCATTATACCCAACCGTCACCAACTCACATCCATCCCTCCATCTCCTCCGTCCATTGCTGGTGCAAACCGATTCGCACAGCTTTAATATACAAAGCTCTTGATTATCACACCCCTCGATCGTACCCGTTCTCTTCCTACCAGTCACAGTCACCATGGCCAGCGGCGGCGACATCCGATCCCTCGTCTCGGAGCTCCAAAACGCTCTCAACCGCCACCAATTCGAAGTCGTCAGCGACCTTCTCAGCCGCGCCAAGCGAGCCCTCCTGCTGCAGAATGCCCTGATCCCGACACCATCGACGTCGCCCGAGCTAGTCTCTGCGGCTCGCGAGATCCTGGAAGTGGGCGCCCTCGCTTCCATCAGGCAGACCGACGCTCCCACCTTCACACGATACTACCAGCAGCTCCAGCCCTTCTACGATCTGGAGCGGGATAGCACCGGGGCCGGCAAGGTCGACTTTAAGACGAGCCAGCGCAGCAAGGTCACAGGCTTGTATCTGCTGCTCCTGCTCAGCATGGGTGACAGCACGAGCTTCCACACGGTGCTGGAGGGTCTGGTGGAGGAGGCGAGCCTCAAGGGCAAGAGTGTGGAGGATGATCCGTTCATCAAGTATCCTGTTGAGCTGGAGCGGAACTTGATGGAGGGGAGCTATGACAAGGTGTGGCGGGAGACGAACTCGGAGCGGGTTCCGTCGGAGGAGTTTGCCTTATTTTCGAGTGTGAGTGTCTTTTTTCCCGTTCTTTCTCTTTATTTTTATTCCATCCCGTCTCGCCGCCTTCTACCTCTAATAATATGTGAGATCGAATAATGCTAACGGAAATAGGTCCTGGTCGGAACCATCCGCAGCGAAATCGCCGACTGCTCCGAAAAAGCGTACCCGTCGCTCCCCATCTCCAACGCCAAGAACCTCCTCTTCCTCGAGTCCGAAGGCGCCGTTATCGAGTTCGCCCAGCAGCGCGGGTGGGTGCTGCGTGACGGCCGGATATACTTCCCCGTGGAGCCCGAGGCGGCGGCGCGGTCCGAGAAGGACATCCTGGTCGCCAGCGGCACGATTATTGAGAATGCAGTGGGTTACGCCCGAGAGCTAGAGACGATTGTCTAAAGATAGACCTGTTTCTGTTTCGTCTTATTTGGTAATTTATGTCTACTGGTCTCGGATGGGGGTTATTATTATGCTGCCTTTGCATTATGAGATTACTTAGCGAATCTTCCTGAATTCTTAACTATATTAAAGTATCCCATAAAAAGAAGTCTAGACATGGACCCGCCACGTACAAAGCCGTCGATCGTAGAAACTACTCGACACACAAAGCAGCTCTGACCCCTTCGTGCCATCGAGCGAATACCCACCCTCAGGCTTCCACACATCCGACGCATAGTTCATACTCTCATGCTCCGTAAACTCCGCCACGACCTCAATCTCCCACTGCGAGTCCGCTCCAGCAACACGAACCACCCTCGCCCCGCCATGCATACAGCTAGCCAACACCAGGAACGACACCTCTCCCTCATCGCCCCCCTCCGTCCGCAACAGCTGCAACCGCCACACACCACCTCCCAAACCCATCTCCGCCAGCACGGCGCCCCGGCGCGTGGCATGGTACACCCGCAGAAACTCGTCATAACTCCCCGTTAGTAAGACCGGCGCGCCGTCAACGAGTGGAATCGGCAGCGGCAAGATGGAAGTCACGCCGGCGGTGTGATGGCGCGCGCGATCATCGTAGTCGACGACTGCAGAGAGCGAAGTGTTGTCGTCGTCTTCCTGCTCCACTGCTAGTCGGCGGGTGTGCAGAGACCCGAAATCATTTCCCGTGAACATGTACGGAATGCTACTGCTGGTGGTGGTGCCGGCATCGTCGTAGGTCGCTAGCGCCACGAACCACACCTCGATGGGAACGGTTGCATCGAAAGCGCCTGTCTCTTTGATATTGACGGCTCCGTCGGCTGATGATAGCGGTTTGGTAGAGGCGAAGACGGCCGTGCGCCCGTCTGAGAAGGTCACTGCGAAGCCGTCATCCTTGGCGGCGTCGCCAGATGGCCAGTGCGACGGTGTCCAAGCTAGAAAGAGAGCTGGCACGGAGGGATCCTCGTGCACGGAGCGGGTCCAGAGATGGATGATGTCGGAGCTGGTGGGGTCGACCTTGAAGAGGGCGACGGAGGCTGTGCTGGTGGCGATGGCGAGGAGGGTCGGATCCCGCGGGTGAAAGTGCAGGTCGAAGACTGCGTAGGGGAGGGAAATCCTCTTCAGGAGGGACAGCTCGTTGGTGTCTGGGTCAAGAGACCATCGTTGGAGACCGCCGGATTTGGATTGCTGGATGGAGCCGTCTGGGAGGGGCGTCTCGGAGAGGAGATAGGTGCCGATTATGAACTGGGAGGGGATTGAGGGGCAGAATTGGAGACAGCTGGGTGGTTGGTCTAGATAGACGGTTGATGAGGAGGGTGGATGTTGCATGGTGAGTAGTAGTACTGTTTGTACCTGGGGAGAGATCCCTTGAGGTGGGGAGATCTGGAGTATGAAGAAATTGAGGATCTATGGTGGGGCCGAAGATTATCAGTTTGATAGACGTTATCGTCCCCATTTATTGATCTTCGACCTTCATGACTGTGATATTGCAGTATTCAGCAATTGATTGACTGATTGACTGATGATCATTAATAATCCCAGACTATAAGAATCCTCGTATACTCGAGGCTGCCTAGTATTCAGCCAGTATATAAATAGTATATCTTTCCCCGCTCCTCGTCCATTTCCTCTTCTCTTTATACTTCAACTCTACTCCCACGTCCACTTCCACTTCTTCAGTTCGTATTTCATACACCACATTGATCACTCCATTATTTCGGACCAAGTACATCATGTCCCTTCCCTTCAGTAAATTCCCTCCCACCGCCACCATCTCCCCTACTCCCTTTTCGGTCTCCGTGTCCGACGACAAGCTCGTCGAGCTACAGACCCTGGTTCGGCTGTCCAAGATTGCTCCGCCTACTTACGAGAACTCCCAGACTGATGGTCAGTTTGGAGTTACCTCAAAGTGGCTGTCCGACATTCGGGACAAGTGGTTGAACCAATTTGACTGGTAAGTATATAGCATCTAGTCTAGCTTAATACGTATATCTACATGGATCCAGCTGAGATGAGCCATATAGGAAAACGTGCGAGACTCGTGCCAACAGCTTCCCCCAGTTCACGACCCAAATCGAAGATATTAAGCTTCATTTTGCTGCGCTTTTCTCGGAGAAGCCCGACGCCATCCCGATTATCCTCCTCCACGGATGGCCTGGTAATCTTGGACGGTCAGCCCCGTCTGTATCTACAGCTAACGGTTGGTAGGGAGCTTCTTTGAGTTTTTGCCCCTTCTGCAATTGTTCAAGGATGAGTTCAGTCCCAGCGCCCTCCCATATCATCTCATTGTCCCCTCACTCCCGGGTTATGCTTTCTCTTCAGGCCCCCCACTGGACCGCGATTTCTCTGGCGAAGATGTGGCCCGTATCATGGATAAACTGATGAAGGGGCTCGGGTTTGAAAGTGGGTATGTAGCCCAAGGGGGTGACATTGGCGCTGGCGTCTCCCGATCGCTAGCGGTGAAGTATGATAGCTGCAAAGGTATGTGTTGCTGATGGGATCTGGAGCATTGAATATGACTGACATCGTGACCAGCCGTTCACTGTGAGTTGATCTGGTCGTCTTTCTGCCGCGTATGTGAATGATACCAACGAAAAAGTGAACTTTTGTCCGACGCAATCCCCATCGGAAGAAGCTTCGACCGAGAACTTGACCGCATTCGAGAAACGGGGACTAGATCGCATGGATGCCTTCAGAACCAGGGGGATAGCCTATGCCATGGAGCATGCTACCCGGCCCAGCACCATTGGTCACGTTTTGGCTTCCAGCCCGATTGCCTTGCTTGCGTGGTATGTCCGTCTCATCGCATCTAGACCTAGTATCTTACTTCTGTAGGGTCGGAGAGAAGTATCTGGAGTGGGTTGACGAGCCACTCTCAGCGGACACCATTCTGGAGATGGTGTCGCTCTACTGGCTGACGGAGACCTTTCCGCGCGCCATCTACCCCTATCGTGAAGTACGTTGGCTCTTGACCCATGAGGAAAATGGATAAAAGACTTACGTCAACAGCTATTCAAACCCAGTGCCAGCGCAGCGGCCTTGCAAACTGAATCATACATCCACAAGCCGTTTGGATACTCATACTTTCCCAACGAGCTGATCCCAACGCCGAAGAGCTGGGTAGCAGCTACGGGGGATCTGGTTTTCTTCAGGGAACATCAAACGGTGCGTTTAGGGCTGTCTTAGACATATTGGATCAGACTGACTGTGATAGGGCGGGCACTTTGCGGCGTTGGAACGTCCTGCGGACATGAAAGCCGACCTGACGGATTTTGTGAAACAGGTGTGGTCGTAGATATGAGAGAGGAAGTTGCTGCACAAGGCTGCGTAGAAGTCAGACGGCAAACAGATGATGGGATTGGACAGTTTGACACGAGATCTTTTCCTTTGTAACATTTAGTAAGAAGAGGTAAATCAATCTTTCATATAATCCAACAGTAGTAGTCACCTGTATCATCCCCATACTTCATCCAACCTACCCCCAACAACACCACACTACTTCCCCCGTAAACGAAGAAAAAGAAGAACATGGAACTCCCATCTGAAGTCTCCAAGAGCAACCACGGTGCCCTTCCACATCCTAGCACTCACCCAGAGAAACCCAGAGAGACCAGAAAAACAAGTAACCCAACTAACCACGCCTACCCCAGACTCCACCCCCGCCATCCGCCCCAACCGCCCCAGCCCCACCGAGCAAATCGACGACTTCCTCGCGCGCCTCCCCCCATCCACAACAAAAGCCACCACCGCCGGACCCTGGATCTACATCAGCGGCCCACTGCCAACCCCAAAGCCCGACATCGCGACCCTCGTGCGAGAGGGCACGCATCTCCTGCGCGCCTACGAAGACGAAGCAGCCATCCTCCGCGCAAATGACAACACCTCCGAACTAACTTCCCTCCGCGAGACCCTCGAACGGCAGATCTTTGCGCTCGCGCGCGAGACGGGCGTTATCTCCGGGAAGTGGATGCTCTTTGCGCCGCCGGCTGTGGTGGATAGGTGGTGGGCGCTGGTGGCGCGGGCGACGGCGGAGGGGGAACTGGGGTTTGGGGCCAAGGTCGCGACGGATGATGGGGGGACTTGGGGTGGTGGTGGTGGTGGTGGGAGGAGTGGGAGTGGGAAGACGAGGCTGATTGCGGTGTATACGAGGGATTATGCGGACCGGGAGGATGTGGGGAGGGTGTTGGGGAGGTTGGTGGCGCTGGGGATGGTGTTTGTTGATGGGAGGCCGGTTTATTATAAGTGTGATGCTTTTACTTATTTGGGGATTATGGGGAGGAATTCGTATGGGTTGAGGGCGAGTTTGTTTTCTAGTGGGGATGTTTTGGGGGGTAATTAGGGTTACAGTTTCATGATATACTGCGATCACTTGTCAGTATTGACTGTGAATGAGAAAAGCTTTTTGGATGGAGTCCTCTTCTCTGCTGTAGATGATCCTGAATATACTTATCGCCATGGCCTAGAACTGAACTATGATGGCTGATCTAGTTCCTGACTATGAAGACGCTCCTCTGAGAATCCCAGATTAGACAACATGTGAATTGTACGGATTGATTTTCTTGGAAGTTCGGAGGTTTTGTGGGTTACTGAATTAATGACATTATTATCTGCTTCTAATATATTGTCTGCTTCTAACATCCTCAATTGACCATCTTTGAAGTTACTTTGGAGTGACCCGTCTGCTTGATTGCGATGATGAACGAGACTTCAGCCCTTAAGTAAGGCTTTCAGGGTAAGAGCTTGAAGTGATGGCGGAATTGTGTCTGAGTTCATTTGGGTTGATATCTAAGAATTCTACCACGAGGTTGATGGGGTCCGCTGTTGCGTTTGATCAACTTGTTGCTATACCCATCTGTGGTTACATGTTTGTATCTGCTTTGGCTGCCGTTTCGATGTGACAGTGGGCTTGTCAACTGCTTTGGTAACTAGTACCAGGTGGGATCAAACGGCTTTCCTCAAGCTGAGCATGCAAGCTCTTCCCACATCGTCGTTGTGTGCGGTCCCAGCACGTCGAAGACCTGCAGATGTGGTTCTTGACCGACTCCGGGACAAGGGCAGACCCAGAAGAGAGTATGTTAGCCAGCTCTGTCGCCTAGCCCCCAGCAAGATTGCCCCTGAGTGGACTAGAGCTGGCTAAAGGTCGGAAGGATGCAATATCATGAGACCAACCCCTCAAGACGCCTCATTCTTCTTCCCCATGACCTTCTCGCAGGCTTTCCGTACACCGTCAACACCCTTAACGCCCTCCCACTTCTCCAACACATCAACCACCTCATCCCAGTCCTTCTCCGCATCATCCCGTCTCCCCTCGGCCACCAAACCCTCCAGCCTCGCCGGCGCCCCCAGCACCCACTTCACAGTCGCCTTCTCCGCCTCCCGCATCCGATCCGTCTCCCCCGACGCACGGATCTCCCTCATCCGCCGTCGATGCTCCTCTCCCTCCTGGATCAGCCCGCCCGCCGTCTCCGCCACAAAGGCAATAGCCGGCTCCAGCGTCTTGGTCATCGTCAACGGCGCCCCCCGATCGTCCATGCTCTTACGCATCTTCCCGATCGTCTCGACCGCGCGGATCAGCTTCGAGTAGTTGTCGTACACGAGCGCCTTGCGCTCGCTGTCTAGCGTGCGGATGTCCCCGACAAGCGAGTTCTCCGCCTTCAGCACTGTCGCGAGCGACGACGCCGCGAGCAGCTGGTTCACGTAGCGCTGGGCATCGAAGTCCGTGCTGTCTAGCTCTGTCCCTGTCGCTACCACTGTTGGGTTTGAAATGTCCCCTGCGTCTGTGTGCCGAGGCACGCTGCGAGACCGCCGTCCGGCTTCTGCGGCTGCGCTGGGTTTCAGGTTGTAGTAGTCGCGGAGGGCGGCGCGGTTGCGTCGTGGGTACATGGAGGGGGAGAGAGCTCGTGCCGTGGAGGGTGTCGATGATGCGCTGAGGCCGCCGCCGGTGTTGGTATTTAGGGTGTCGAGGGACGGGCGTCCGGAGGGCGAGTGGGCGCGGGAGGAGGTGATGGAGGGACGGGGGGAGGAGAAAGTCGACATGGTGAGATAGCAGAGTAGACAATGATAGCAAGGTCGTGTTTCAGGGTTCCAGGGAAACGAAAGACAATATGTGCAATTGAATATAGGATGTGGAGAATAAAGGTAAAGGAGACGCCAAAAGGAGAGACGGAGAGATGATGCCAGCAAGGCGGTCAGTCGGCGATCAATTAAGCAGTGGTCCGTGCGTGCATTATTTATTCCCCCGTCGCATCTCCAAATCATCTCCAACTTCACCTTCTCCCCCCACCCATATAAATCAAAAAGCATACCCTCATAAAATACAATCCCAATGGCCTCAACATCCGCCCAACTAACAACCCACCTCCAAACCAAATACTCCCTCCCCGTATCCCCCACCTGGCTCAACGCCTTCCTAGCATCCACCCAACAACACCGCACCGTGCCCCTCTCCGCACTCACCCAAACCGCCCACTTCCGCCTCCTCGCCTCCGACTTCCGCGACTCCCTCACCACAGAGACCTCCTCGTCCCTCCTCCCAGCCGACATCTTCGACCCAACCGTCCAAGAACGCCGCCTGCAAGGTCCCATCCCGGTCCAAGTCCTCGACATCGACGACATCGGCACGAGCCTCTGGAGCCAGGTGGAGGCGATCGAGCGCGTCGAGCGCGGGGAGGCCGTCCGCGGGCGGGAGATCGTGCGCACGGTCAATGTCGATGACTCGGAGGGTGTGACGAGGGGGGCGTCGACGACGACGACGAATGCGGGCGCTCATGAGTCGGGCGGGAGTAATGGGCCGCATCGGTTGATTTTGCAAGATGCGAGGGGCACGCGTGCGGTGGCGATTGAGCTGAAGAGTGTGGGTGGGATTGCGCTGGGGAGTATGGCTATTGGGGCGAAGTTGGTATTGCGGGATGTGACGGTTGCGAGGGGCATGGTGCTGCTGACGCCGGAGTGTGTTACGTTGCTTGGGGGGAAGGTTGAGGCGTTGGATTTGGCGTGGAGGGAGGGGAGGAAACAGAGGTTGTTGGATCGTTTGGGGGAGATGGAGCGCGGACAGGAATAACTTCGTTGGTGGGATCTATGTGAGTTGGAATTGGCAAAGGGTATGCATAGGGAACGAGGGGAAACGCCCCTCGAGGTATGTATTGTCATCGTCACTCATTCCAGGTCTAACTATGTGGTCTAACATCTACACAGTAGCCCTCCATATCCCACCACACTCATATTGTCTATGTCGTGGTGGACACTGCATGGTTGAGCTCGTCCCAACCCTCTTGCTTCCACGGGGCAACCATGATCGCCCGCAGCGCATCGCTTGCCTTGCCGGTCTGCGAATACGCCTCGGCCAGGTCGACGGCCTCCAGTCGACCGCGAGGCGGCGCATTCCGTAGCGCTCGCCCCACAGCCATCTGTGCGGGATGCGCAGCTTGCGAAGCAGCAGACAGTTCCATCCAGCCCTGGGGCTGATACGGCGCTCTCATAACCGCAGCCGTCGCCTCTCCAATCCGTCTCTGCTCCTCCGGGACGTCCGCATTATCGCCGAAACCCAGGGCAGACACCGCCGTCAAGAGCTTCACGAGCTTGGACTGCTCGTGGATCTCGATGTCATCGCGCGTGATCATCTGGTGCAGGTCGGATTCGACAGCCTCGATGGCATCCTTGTCTCCGTCAAGTAGCGCAATTGCCCCTAACAGGGTAACGGCGCCGACATGGTCCGGATTGTTCTCAACGCAATCGAACAGCTGTTGACGGGCCACGCTCCGCTCTTCCTCGCCGCCCTTGGCCCACAGCACTTGGGCCAAGAGGCACACGACCTCGGGCGCATTGTCCGCCTCCTGCAACGCGTCACGGAACATGTCGATCGCGCTGTCCATCGACTTCAAATAGTAGTGCGCCAGTCCTGCCGTGAGATGCGCCGACAAGCGCAATGTACGGTTAGTCTCCGGGTCGAACTTCTCCGCATCTTCCTCGCCGGACAGCATCAGCGCCGTCTCCGCCTTCTCGGCCGCTTCCTCGAACTCCTGCCGTGCGAGCAGAACACGGGCGATGTCCGCGTTCGCTTGTGCGTATCTCGAAAGCGCACCCGCCGATTCTGACACCTCGTACTCTGCCTCCACGGCGGAGCAGAGAGCTCGCAGGCTGGTTTCTGCATCGGAGAGCTCGCCGATCCGTTCCGCAAATAAAGACGACAGATGGACGAAGGGAAGATCGGATGGATCCTGGGAGCAAAGTTGATGGAGAGCAAAGAAGGGCTGGATGAGCTCGGAGACCTCGTTCGAGGCCGACGAATCGGTCATCAGGTGGTCGAACAGGGTCATGGTGTACTGCTTCTTCGACAATGCCGACGACGAGTTGCAAATATCGAATGCGTGCTCGAAAAGACCCCGAGCTTCTTGCGGATCGCCAAATAGCAGTGCCAGGAAGCCTTGGCCGACCCAGGCCGGGGAGTAATCTGGGTCTGAGGACTGTGCACGCGTGAAGGCCTCATTCGCGAGCTGGATGTCGTTGTGAATGAGGTAGAGGGCCCCGATGTTCGTCCACACCTGCGCGCTTCGGTCGTTGAGATGCAGACTTCGCACGAAAGCGTGCTGGGCCACTTTGGGGCTCAGGCTGGTGGTCACTACTCCCAGCGCGTTCCAGAATTCCGAGTTTCCAGCCTCCAGTTCAATGGCTCGCTTGAAGCAGCGTATCGCTGCTTTGAGGAACTTCCGCTGCGGCTTCTTGCCCTTGTTCTTTGAGATGATATGCACGGTCTTGTAGGCCCGGTACTCGGCCCATCCTAGGTTATACCAAGCCACGGCCTGGGCGTGGATGTCTTGCTGGGAAACATGGATCGCCCGTTTGAAAGCCAGAATAGAGGCGTACATGAATCTGTCGGATGGGCTCAATTCCTCGCTTTTGAGCAGCGACATGGAGGTTGCCCCCAGCTCATCGACATCGGCGAGGAGGTCGAAGGCTGCCGTTTCCAGCTGCGTGCCGAGAAGCTTTTGCATTTCATCCAGGGGCATTTTGCTTGCTTTGGACTTGACGAAGGAGCACATCGTGCACGCATCTCCGATACCTTTCCAGAGATTGAAAATGTCGACTCGCTCCGTAGCGATCGACCTGGCGACGAGGAGGGCTTTACGCGCCTGCTCGATAGAGTCGTTGAAAAGGCCGGAATCGAGACTCTTCCATGAGCTCTCGACCAGCGTTTGGAGGAGCGCGATCGAGACCCCGAATTCGTTGGGGTGGATGCTCAGGACGTCCTCGTATCTCGCGATGGCGTCTTCGTATTCCCCAAGCTCCCGCTTGACATTCGCCAACATATAGCGTGCGAACCAGACATTCTCCTTCTCGGCCCGGGAGAGAGTGTCCTCGAGTTGTTGCGCATGCTCGAAAGCCTTGGTCGACGCAATGTGACGCCCCGAGTGATGGTAACTTTCTCCGAGCCCCACCCACGAGTGGTAGTCCCCTGGCGTGATCCGTAGGGCAGCCTGGAATGAAACAATACTTTTGGCGTACTGTTGTTTGTTTATTTGGACCGTGCCCAGCGCAGCATAGGGCCAGCTGTAGCCTCTCCTCTTCGAGCCGGGCGCTGGCTTGGCCTTGCCCGAGTCGACCACCCGCTGCGATACCGCCTCGACTAGATCCCACTCTTTGTGGTCCGCAAACGTCCTGGCCAGTCGTTCGGCCGCTTCGATCTCCGACGGAGACAGTTCGAACGCCTTGTGGAAACACTTGCGCGCTCGCTTCTTGTCTTTCTTGTAGTCCGCGTAGTAAAAACCTAGACTCGTATATGCCGGGGCAAAGTTCATGTTGGCTTGGACGGCTGCGAGGAAGCTGGCGTAGGCACCGTTTCGGTCTTTGCGTGCAGCCGACGACGTGTCCGTCTCCCATTGACAGTATCCAATCCGGTAGAGGATCTCACCCTTGAAGTCTCGGCTCTCCACGCGTGTCTTTTTTAATGCTGCGAGGACCTCTTGCAAGCCGTGCAGGCCAGAGATGAGGTCACCGTTAAGCGCCCTACACCAAAACAGTTCCGCGCGGACCTTGATGTTGGTTGCATCCCGCTCTAGCGCGCGTTCGAGGAAGCTGACGGCTTCAGCGTAGTCCTCGTCGACCTTGAGGATCACACCAATACCGAGCAAGCAGCTCGTCAATTTCGGTTTCCTCGACAATATTTCCTGGAAGATCCGCTTCGCCTCCGGGTGATGCCGGGGTGACTGGTAATAGATCAGGGAATTGGCAAGCGTGATGTGCATCGAATCCTTGGTATCTCTGAGATTCAACCCCGTCATTTGGACTAGGGTTTGGAGATTTTGGAGCCCCTTTCGAGCAACATCCACAACGCTTTCGTATTCCTCAAGAGAGAGGTAGAGCTCGCTCATGATCCGGTGAGCGACGACGGACGATGATGCCAGATCCAGGCCTTCCGCCATTAGAATCAGGCTGTCTTGGGCAGCTAACTCGTTGCTCTCGGCACTGCCATTTTCACCATTCTGTTCGTTGGTGTCAGCCTCCTTGGGTTCTTTCGAGCCTTTCGACTCCTTCGCATCCTTAGAATCCTTAGATTCCTCGGTGTCTTTAGGAAAGGGCGATATGTCACTGGCCAGAAAGCCCTTTAGGACCTTGGAAAGCCCGGATTCCGGAAAGAACTCGATGTAATCGTTTAAGAAAACGCGATCCCACTCCGAGAAGGTTTGCACATCATGCCACTCGAGGACAATCTTCCAAGCCAGTTCGAACGGGTGCTTGATAATGACCATGTCCTGGGCAGCCTTGAGGACCTCGGCCCGCTTGGCACCCTTCTCGTTCATCGGGGAGACCGCAAGCACGTCGCATCCACGCTCTAGTAGTTTTTCCTCGTATGTCCGTCGCACCTGATCATCGTGCGACCAGTCGATAATTCCGCGATAGAGCGGCTCCAGTTCACTTCGTTTGAACGCTTCGCGCTTCACCTCCAGCGTCACCTGGTCAATCTTTGCACCCAAACGAGTCCGCCGTTCTCCGATCTCCCTATTTATGAACTCCTTCTCTTCCGACTCGGTGAATTCGGCCAGGCGATGGTACGTCTGCGACGGATGGGGGACGCGACCTTCGAGCAGATCGTAAAGGGGACCGGTCGGCAGCTGAAGCTCGAGGGCCTTTTTGTGCTGAAGTCGATTGCCGTGTTTCTTCGCAAAAAGGATATATTTGTCGACTACATCCTGGCACCGGTATTTGTCATCTCTGGAATCCAATCAGCCGGTATTCGCCAGATCGAGTCTGGGGAACGTACGCCTCTCCATAGATCCGAGCTAGGTGCACGACCGCCTCGCGGTACGGCTCCAGCTTGAGATTTCCTTGTTTCTCGTATAAATTGGCGAGACCCTGCCATGCGGTCTTGTCGTCGGCTTTCACCCGGGTGGCCGCGAGGTAAGCCTTTTCCGCCTCATTGGTCTTGCTCAGTTTGTCCAACGCGAGTCCTAGAAAGACATTTCTATGGGGAGTATCGATCATCAGTTTATGGATTAGACAGTCACGGGGGGATGAACACGCACGCATGGTAGTTTTGGGGCTCTTGTTGCACGAGCTGTTTGGCTTTGTCGGCTGCGAGCTCGAAGTCTTTCGAGTCTAGTGCGGTCCGCACAGCCTTGAGAGCGGATTTGCTGGACATTTTAAACCCGACTCAGCATGGCCTTTTCAGTACCTGGTTAAGAATCTATAGGAAAAAGGCAATCCAGGTCAAGAGCAACCGATTGGGAATGTGCGACGTCTGGGTTGGTCCAGGGAGCAGGCCGTGGAACGTGAAGTGGAAAAGGTGTGGCCGTTGTGGGGAAGAGTGGCCGGGTGCTCAGCTAAGTGACCAGGGTACGTCAGAGCCCGCCTTATCAGCTTGGATCTTACTTGCATAGTAACCTGACCACATATGGGGATGTACAGTATAAAGACAATAATTAAGTACAATTTCTGTTGGCGTCTAGTAGTAGACGTCTATCTCACCGTAGGATCATATAGTAGTCTTATACACTGTACGGAGTTGTGGCCCAAAAAGTTATTGATGGGTTCTATTGAATGACTAGAGAATATACATTCGTCAACGAGAGATACTAGCTTAAGCTTATCAATCTTAACCTAAATACTGATTTGATACAATCGCATACATACTACATAGTCCTTCATGGTCGATATATATCCACGACCATTCCCACCTGAATCATCAGGCAACATATGCGTACTAGTACTCTTCTGGGGGGAGCATATCAACTCAGCACGAAGACGAGGAAAAATGCAGTGATCTGAGTATGAACAAAGAGACAAGAAGCAATTGGCCTCGAGTACTGTAGACCATCAATATCAACATGTTCGTGTCATGATCTCAGTTGTAAGAAGGCTGAAGATCGACCGAAGAAGTGGGATGATAAGGCCAAAGCGGTGAGAGAGGGGAAGGCGGAGGCGGTGAAGCCGGTCGGGTGCAAAACTCGCGTGGAATTAAAGCGTGCCTCAGGGAGTCCTTAGGCACGTACTTTCCCTTCTCTCCCTCTGTCTCTCTCGGTCTCTCTCTCTCTCTCTCTCTCTCTCCACCTTCTTCCCCCCCACGCGTCAGTCTTTGTCTCCGAGGAAAGGCCCTTTGGCATCGCATTTCAAGCATATACCAGTGACCGATTACTTATCTTGCACCATTCGTCCTGTTTCTAGTGACTCGGATTTATCCCAATCTAGCAAAACAACAACATTACTCCCCTCATCTTCGTCTGGCAGAATCCCCGAGTCCCGACCCCCCGACCTTGCGCCCTTTGGTTTTCTGCCCGTCCTTTATAAACAATCCTATCCACTTGTCTTACGATTGCATTCGGAGGGCACGGTCGACCGGTATACTCGATTACTATCAGCACCGCACTGGTCGTGGACGGTTCCTTCTTCCCGTCCAGATCCAACTCTCAGGCAAGAAGGCTAGATCGGAGCCTTGGATGATGAGGTCATTGGTATAGAGCTACTCAATCTGTGCGAATAGATCACCCCCGCTGTCGACCCCAGAGACACGATGACCAGCGAAGGCGACCTGTCCGAGGCCGGCATGACCGACCTGATTCGTGCGCTAGAACTCATCCACAACCCGTCCTCCACGAATGAGCTCCGTCGGGAAGCCTTGAAGTTTGTCGAGGCGCAGAAGGAAAGCGAGTCGGCACCGCGAAATGGATTCCTGCTGGCGTCCCGCCGCGAAAACAACCCTCTGGTCCGCTACTTTGGCCTGACGCTCCTCGATCATGTCCTGCGCCACACCACCTTCACCTCGACCGAGCAGGTCACTAACCTCCGAGATTTGGTCCTCAAGCTGGCCGAGTCTGTCCGCCCGGAAGACCCTGGGTACCTCCGCAATAAAGTTCCCCAGCTCTGGGCCGAGATCGCAAAGAGGAGTTGGGGCTTGGACTGGATTCGGATGGATGACACCCTGGTTCAGTTTTGGGGAGCGAGCCTGGTACACAAGGAGCTCGTCCTGTCGATCTTGGAGACCTTGTCCGAGGATATCTTCTACCGGGAGGACACAGTCTCATCCCTCCGAGGGACCGACCTGAATCGAGCCATGGTGGAAATCTGCACGCCACTGTCTGTTTTCGAGGAGATCTACCCCAAGCGCGATCACCATGTCGAGCTACGATGTGGCCCCGAGGGGTGGTTGTCGCGCACGTGCCAGTTCCTCGAGGACTGCATCGGAAGTCTGCAGGGCTCGAAGGAGGCACAGAATGCGGCTCTGAAAGCCCTTGCGACCCTGAAATCGGTTTTGGTGTGGTCGATTCCCAAGGCGATCATCTCGTCGAACTGCGTCCCCACCATTGTCCGGGCGTTTACTTGCCAAGATGAGCAAGTTCTGCTGGTAGGTTCAGGGTGGATCCGTTCGCTCGCTCCGGACCTACAGTGCTAATTTGTTCGTTAGGCCGCCGTCGAAGCCCTACACTCCCTATACAGTAGATCCAACTACGACATGGAGGGCTTCCAGCCCCTTGTTCATTTGATGTATCAGCCAGAGCTCTTGAATCTGATGCAGAGTCTGTATGAGTGGTCCATCGTGGGGCCGGATGACATCGACGACACCAAGTACACGATATCCAAGAAGCTGTCTGAGATGCTCTCCTACGTCGCAGGCTTCCTGGAAGAGAAGAGCTTCGCCATTGACCCGAACATGAACCTACACATCTTCTTTCAACTTCTCATTCGGGTGGTCCAGCATCAGAGTCTGACGGTGTCCATTCCAGTTCTCCATGTGTGGAGCAAACTCTTGGCTTCTGAGAGGGTCGGGAATACGGACTTGGTGAATGGGCTGACCCCCCCGCTGCTGGGCATCTGTACCGAGCGTCTCATCCGCTGGGAGTCCTTGCCCTCGGATTCGGATAATCCAACCGTGGCATTTCTCTTCGAGGACATTGACACCGTGCCCGAGCGGCACGCGTTTGTAGGAAATTATCGGCGCTATTGCTCATCTATTATCGAAACCATTGTTCTCAAGAGACCGCAAGAAGCCATTTCGCACATCTTGTCCACCATTGATGGTAACTTAGACAACCTCTATAATGGAGTAGATCCGTTCGATGGTAAGCGACTCATCCCAAAAGTTTTCGAGTCTAAACGCTAATTGAGGTTGATAGTCAAATCCTTCTCGAAGAGCTCGATCGCTCTCATGCGCGCTGATACGCAGTTTGCCGTCGTGGAAGCTACACTCAAGGGCTATAATAAATGGGTTCACGCACACGGCAAGATGCCGCAGCAAGACGTATGTTGAGAACGTGCCATGTGTCTCTAATCCGCCCTGCTAACTAAGTCCAGGAGCAAAAGCGAGCCGAACTGGAAAGCGTACTGGAAGGATGGGCTTCCAAGTTGATGCAGAGGAGCTTTGAGGTATGATCTTGGCCTTTATCTTCTGCGTCAGCTATGAAGACTAACCGGTGTGGAAATACAGGACCCGGTGTTGAAACAACGAGTGATCAAGCTGATCGTCGATATTTCGTCCAAGGCTCTTAACCAGACCCCCAGCTTTGCGCTCAAAGTACTTGAATACATCCTTATGACGCGGCTTCCTGACCAGCCGGAGTTTCCTGCTTACTCGGAGGCCGTGAAAGAGCTTCATGGATTGGCGAGCCACGAGCTCCGTCGTTTAGCCATGCGCTACGCTGATTATTTCGCTGTAAGCTTCACCATACATGTTCCTCAAAGGCACCGCTGACCAAATTGCAAAGACGTTTTACGACGTTCTCGAGCCAAAGATCAAGGAGATCACACTGGCCAACCGGGTAGATGACAGGCTGCACATGGAACTGACATCGATTCTCCTCATCATAATGTATGGTGCCATTGAGATTCTGTGTCCCTTGTGGCATACGCTGACTGTGGCAGGCAACGCGCGAGCAATGTAGAACCCTATTTACGTCAATCTCGATTGACGTCGTTCGTGGAGCCAATCCTACAGGCTTGGCAAGAGGAAGAATTTCGCAGCGTTAGCTCATCTTTCGAGGGTTTCTGTACCATGCTGGGGCTGCAAAGCGTCGGTCCCTACATGCAGTCAAAGCAAGCGCACCTGGTAGAGGACTGGACAACTGTTACCCTAGACGGCGAAGGAAAGCAGATCCAGGAGGAAATGACCCGAAAGTTCCAGGTTTGTCTCTTTGTCGGCTTCACACGTGGGTTTGACTAATAACGGCATGACTAGCAAATGCCCCTACGAGGCACGAAAACGATGTTGGCGGTGTCTACCGAGAAGTTGAAACGGACAGAACCGGCGTACGAGCTCGCATGCAACATTTGGCACGATATCATCCCGGTGATCCTTCCAACGCTGTTGCAGCTTGTCAGGTAAGCAAGCCGTCGTTGACAGGCCATTGAAGAACTGGCTAACTTTCATTCCAGCAATGCTCATGCTTTCCATAATCCTGCCAACTGGGCTGGCATGTCCGAGGAAATGAAGGTGGTTGTTGGGCGTATCTTGACCGATCGATTCTGGCAAGCGGGGATCTCTTCCGGTAGCCGGGATGAGTTCTATGCGCGGATCACGTCGTCGCGGGTTTCACTGGAAGGGTTTGCATCTTCCGTTCGAGGCAAAATCAGGGCTGTCCGAGAGTCCTGCTACTCGATGCTCTTCAGCATGAGCCAACTGCGGGAGCATTTCTATGGGTTCGCAGAGCTTCCTGGGCCGCTTTCTCAAGCCCTGTTTAAAGACTCGCCCCACCTCTCGTCTCACCAGTTCTCTGTCCTACTCAATATTTCACGGTGCTTGATCGATGACTGCCCTGTCCGTTTCCGTGCCCAATTCTTGCCGCCGATGTTGGCCACCTTGTTCACCAATATCGACCGGAAGGTCACATCGGAATGGGACCAGATTGAACGGCAAAAGGAAGGGATGGCGGAGAGCGATCTGGCGGACGAGATGAAGTCCGAAAGTATTCTGCGGCAGTTGACTTACTCTGCGGTGATCATGGTCGCGAACCTCTTGGATCCGCAGCGAGCAAGTAAGTGTTCCAATTCCCTGCCCATTGCGGCTTGATTATTTCGTCAGTTCTAACAGTAGCACGCAGACCCCGATGAAGAACCAGCGGACCCAAGCGCAACGCCAGCGCCACCGGCTGCGGCCGATTCGCTTCGGAACTTCGTCCTCTCCTCCCCCGAAATCTTTGAACCGGTTATGCTTTTCTGCACCCACGCCCTTCGCATGCGAGATACCCGATGCTGCAGCATCATCACGCGCGTCATCCGATCGATCCTGCAAGACTTTGCCCCTCCCAACAACACGCCCACCACGGTCACGATCCGCGAGTTCATCAGCTCCGAAGTGCTCAAAGCCTGCATCACCTCTGTCCACGAGCCGTATTTCGTCGACATGCAGAAAGACCTCGCCCAGCTGATCGCCTCCATCTGGGTTCTCTACGGGTCATGCAGCTCGATGCCCCGCTCCGTGATCCTCAGCCTTCCAGGGATGGACGAACAACGAGTCATCAACACCGAAGCCGCTCTCGTCCGGTCCGCCGCCGCCCGGCAGCAACGAGCCCTAGTCCTGGACCTCCTCGAAGCCCTACGCGGCGTCAGCATCGCCGAGCAAGGCAAGATCCTCGGCTCCCGGGAGGAACGGCGCAAAGCACGCAGTGCGCTGCAGGAGCGGTACATGAGCAGCGAAATGGAAGGCCAGCAGGCCAACAAGGTCGACATCAACGACGGGCCTGACCTGGCCGGCGTTGCGGATATGTTTGGTTAGTGAGTGGCGTGTTTCTCTCCTGCTAGCAACCCTCTCTTTCTTTCTTTTTTGTTCTACAGTCTGCTGTACAGTATGGTGCCGACCTACGGGCCTGTCCCACGTAGCAGTTGTTCTGGTTTTGGTACGTTCGATATACCGGTATAAAGAAATATAGACCCAATACAATACATTTAGCCACAGGCATAGTTTCTACAACGCGACCCTCAAGACACGGTACAGTCTAGCGAAGGCCGTAGAGCAAACGAATTCTAGAAAAAGCGAATAAGTAGAACAATCAAAACAACATTTATAGGTCAATAGGAAGACCTCTCTCAGACGGTATATCTACAAGATACAGATTTTCAAGCCAAACCAAGCCAAATATCTCTCCTCTCGCCCTCTTGCCCCATCAAGTGCGCCACCTGTTAGTTGGTTTGACTTGATTGATTTGTGATACCACTTGCCGCAAGACACAAGACACAAGACACCCGAACCAACCGACCCATGAATCTGGCGCTGAAAACACGAAACATAACGATCTCCCTCAACCACAATCACCAACAATCACCGACGAACCCCCTTTGGTGCATTTATTGGGTAAGCTGGGCAGGGAGGTAGGCGAATGTGGGGCGGACGAAGCTGGAAACTCGCATTAGTTACTGGATAGGACCCCGTTTACCGGAAAGGGCTAGATAGATAGAGAAATGGAAAGGCAAGACATACCGATCGGAGTTGTACACCTTGGTCTCAGAGCCCAGGAGCTCCTTCTCGCGGGCCTTGTCGGCGAAATGGCGACGGGCCTGGTCGCGGTCTTCTTCGGCTTGAAGGAGGGGGAGGACGTGCAGACGGCCCCAGATCTTCTCGCGGCCGAGCTCGCTGTAGAGTGGTCAGTTTAGTAAAGGGTCCTGAGTTGGTGGTGTGGGGGTATGTATGGTGATGGTGTGTCGGGTGCGTGGTGTATTCATGGAGGGAACGAATTGAACCAAGTTGGCTGGGATAGGCGATCGTTAACGTACTGTTGCTCGCGGATACCGTGGAAGAGCTTGTAGTAGCCCCAGGCCATGACCATGTGCATGCCGATGAGGTAGGTGACGGGGCGGAAGCCACGGGCGGGGATGTTCCGCTAGATAGAGTCCATTAGCCAATGTCTTTCATTTACATACTCGCTTTGAAGTACTAGTATCCTTGGAGAGTCGTCGAAGCGCAAAATGGGGATGGGTCGTACCTTGTACTGAACGGGCCCGTAGCCCCCCACGGGGGGCATATCCTGAGGCATGATGAAAAGACTGGTTGAGGAATACGACAACAGTCTTCAATTGGAGCGAATGGGCGGGATAGCGAGGCAGGAGAGCAGAGGGACTCGCAGGAAGATCGACCGGCGACGATATGATGTTCAGCGGAGTCGCGAAGTCGGCAGTGGACGGTCACGTGCGGGCGTCCTGGTTTGGTAATGCGGGCTGTGGGGCGCGTGATTGGCTGAGGGTGGATATTTTTGCCCGCTGGAACTGACACCGACCTCTTGATTCCTCTTCGATCTGGCGGGTTGTTGCGCTTGTTGACCTACTCGTTGCTGATCTACGACTTGACTTCTTGAGAACCCCAGGCGCAATGGAAAACGAGGAACGGCCCCGGAAATTAGCCAAGCTGGACAATCAGTCTCAGGAGGAACCTGCGCCCGCAATGACTGGTGCTGTGGGAGGCGCCCCCGCTGACAATGCCGAGCCTGCAGATACCACCATGACGCTGGACAAGACCTCCCCGGCGGCCAATGATGAGAAGGACGGCGGCGAAAAACCCACGGAGGGGGAGAGCACAGCTGCAGACGGCGATACCGCCCAGCCAATGTCGAAGAGCCAAATGAAGAAGCGCCGCCGCCAGCAGTTGTGGGAGGAGAAGCGGGGGGATCGCAAACAACACCGCAAGGACCAGAACAGGGCGAGAAAGGAGAAACGACGGGCCGCTATCAAACAGGCGAAAGAGAACGGGGAGGAGGCGTTCCAGGAACTGAGACACAGCTACATGAAGACCAAGTATCGGATCAAACGGTCGACCTTGCTTCCGGTCACCTTCCTCGTCGATTGCGGGTTCGATGACTTGATGGATCCGAAGGAACGCATCTCCCTGGGCTCGCAGCTCACCCGGGCCTACTCGGACAACAGTCGCGCGCCGTACCGCTCACACTATGTGATCTCGTCGTTCAACAAGCAACTGAAGGAGCGGTTTGACACCGTCCTGGCCCAGTCGCATCTCAAGTGGCGCGGTGTACGTATCCTGGAGGAGGACGATTTCATGTCCGCTGCCGAAAAGGCCAAGGAGTGGATGACCGAGCCCAATGGGGGCGAACTGGCGGGGGCGTTTGCGGATCACACGGACGCCAAACCGGAGGACGGGGAGATCGTCTACCTGACCAGTGACAGTCCAGATACGCTGACGGAGCTGAAACCCTACAGTACCTACATTGTGGGAGGATTGGTGGACAAGAACCGGTACAAGGGGATCTGCTACAAGCAAGCGGTCGAGCGGGGCCTCAAGACCGCCAAATTGCCGATCGGGGACTATATCCAGATGAGCCATCGCCAGGTGTTGGCGACCAACCATGTGGTGGAAATCATGATCAACTGGCTGGAGCTGAAAGACTGGGGTCAAGCTTTCATGAAGGCCATTCCGCTGCGAAAGGGTGGGACGCTGAAAGCCTCCGAGTCGCCTGCGCCGCGCGATGGGAGTGGTGAAGCGGAAGTGGTCGAGGATGAAGAGGCAGCTGTAGAGGAGGCAGTTGCAGAGGAGGCAGCTGCACAGGAGGCCGCTACGGAGACGGTGGAAGCTAGCGCTGATCACGCATGAAATCAACACTGTATATACCGTAATCGACTTGATTTCACTTCCTATAGTATAGTAGAGAGTATAGAGTAACGCCACAGTATGAGTCAGCGACACCGCCACACTGGTTGCCACCGGGACGATCGATGACGGCAGATCAATCAACAAAAAAACAACCTCCTCTTTTCCTTCTCGTCACTTCCCTTCTCTCTGCTTCCGGTTCTTCCAGGTCTCAAAGAACCACAGTCTGTTGAGACAGAGCTGCCTGTGTCTGCCATCTTTGTTTTCCTTCAGGCGATGACACTTGTCTGCCTCTGATTCTGTCTTTCTGCAACTGATCATCGTCTTACCACCTTCTCTTTCCCCACTTCTACCTTTTTTTCGTCCTTCATTCCTCAGATCCCTGCCCTTTCTGCTGCTGTATCAGAAACACGCCTAAGCAACCACAGCCATGTTTATGATCCGCAACGGTATGTTTCTTCCCTGTTCCTTCTGTCTATTCAGTTTCTGTCTCCATCGCCGCTTCCCTAACCCCACCAATTACCCCTCCTTCCTACATCGCTTATCGTGACCGAGCTCTCACTGACCTATCATTCTGGTATATTAAGTGAGCAAGTACCTCTTCGGAGACACCTCGAAAGAGTCCATCATTGAGATTCCTCAGGGCCAGCTGTACCTGGTCCGCCCCCTGTCACCAAAGGGTTATTCCGAGCTCATCTTCAAGGACGCCGCGGCCTCGATCCGTCGTACTGGGCAAGAGTTTCAGTATCAGCTCGTCGTGCAGAGGGCTTTCGAAGAAGGCGAGGAGGAATTGTCTGACGGGGACGACGAAGAAGGGGGCAACGACAGCGTGGATAAGGACGAGAAGGTCTTCCTGCTCGACCAAGCTCTTCACTTCCGCTCAGAAGTCCGCGAGGGAGGCTCCAAGGTGCTAGCGTGGAGCGACCTGAGTGGCGACGTCGGCGATCTCTTTGAGTTCGTCTGTGACCCGACGGTGCCCGCCGACAAAGTCGCTACGTTTGAATTGGCCGCCCTTCAGTGCCAGTTCGAGCGGAAATACCGTCGCAGCTCCCAAAAGGCGACGGAGCCGGAACTGCAGGAGTTCTCTTTCCAGGAAGAGAAGCCTCTCCCATCCGCCAGCCCCATTGCTTCGCCCAACAAGTCTCGCGCGCCCTCCCTGGTGTCCACCGGAGAGGCTACCGCAGCGATGGCCAAGGACGTGGAGTATTCGCGGTCCAAAGGGCAGATCAAGCCCGCCGGAGAGGGACAAGAAGGACAAACAGCCCCTCCGCCCGCCGCGGACCAACCGGAGGCCCAAGAGATTCTCGCCAAAGAGAGTGCGGAATTGCACATGTTCGACTTCACCACTGGGACGTTTGTTCTCCAAGACGCGAATGTGGTTGCCACCGTGTCCGAGACCGGAAACTGGCAGTATTGGCTTCAGATCACGGGCCAGGACAAGGAATGGCTTGGACAGCCCGTTGTTGCGGATATTAACCCTGTTTTCAACTTTGAGTACCTCTCATTCATCTTCAACCACTACGCTGAGGATGGCTCCGCCTACTCGTGGCTTCTGCGCTTCAAGGACCAGGCCACCGAGGAAAAGTTCCAGGAAGGATTGATGCAGGCCCTTTGGGAACAGTTGAACGAGATGAAGTGGGTCAAGGTCAAGGAAGCCGACAAGGAGTACGTCCTGGACGCCTTCCAGGACCTGACCATGGAAGATCAAGACGCCGAAGAACAGCAGGAAGCCGAGGCGGAAGAGGAGGAAGAGGAGGAGGAGGAAGACGCAGACGACGGCCAGCGCAGTGAACAGTACGACCCGGATGAGGAGCAGGATGATGTGGTGACTCGTGATTCCGATGGAAATGTCAACTCCCAGCTCGCGGTGGGCTACAAGCATGACCGGTCGTTTGTCGTTCGCGGCTCCAAGATCGGCGTCTTCAAGCATACGCCCAACAACAACCTCGAGTTTTCCACCAACATTTCCAAGGTGGAGACCCCCAACGGCAAGCTGTTCAGCCCCAAGAAGGTCATGCTGCACGCCGAGGATACCAACATGATTCTGCAAAACAGCGAGGATCCCAACTCGCTCTACCGCATGGACTTGGAATACGGCAAGGTGATCGACGAGTGGAAGGTCCACGATGATATCCCCGTCCAGACCTTTGCGCCGGAGAACGTAAGTGCCTTTCTATTTTCCTGGCGTTTCCTATATCAAACACGGTGATACTAACCATTCACAGAAATTCTCCCAGATGACTGCGGCCCAGCCCTTCGTCGGTGCTTCGCAGAATGCGCTGTTCCGCATTGATCCCCGCCTGGCTGGCAACAAACTGGTGGATTCGGATCTGAAGCAGTACGCCAGCAAGAACGAGTTCTCGTCGGTGGCTACGACCGAGAAGGGATACCTTGCGGTCGCGTCGAACAAGGGCGATATCCGCATGTTCGATCGATTGGGTATTAATGCCAAGACCCATATCCCGGCCCTGGGTGAGGCGATTATCGGTCTGGATGTGTCGGCCGACGGTCGCTGGATCCTGGCGACCTGCCGCACCTACCTCCTGCTCATCGATTCGTTGCAGAAGGAGGGCAAGAATGAAGGCAAACTTGGATTTGAGAAGCCATTCGCCAAGGATTCCAAGCCCCAGCCCCGACGCCTTGGTCTCCAGCCGGCCCACGTGGCGCAGTTCCAGCACGAAACGAAGAAACCGCTCGCCTTCACTCCCGCTCGTTTCAACACCGGTGTCGACTCGTCGGAGACTTCGATCGTCACCGCCACCGGTCCCTTCATCGTCACGTGGAACTTGAAGAAGGTGGTCGCCGGCCGCAAGGACCCGTACACCATCAAGCGCTATGCGGAAGAGGTGATGGCGGATAACTTCCGCTTCGGCTCCGACAAGAACGTGATTGTCGCCTTGCCGAATGAAGTCAACATGGTCGCGAAGAGAAGTTTCCAGAAGCCGACGCGTGAGAGCATTGCGGGACCTCCGGTGACTCCCAGCCGCCGTAGCACGCGTTGGGGGAGCCGGTTGGGCCGGGATGATGTTGTTAATTCTCCGTACTAGGTCTTCTCTGTTTTCTCCTTTTTCCTATCTTGTTTGACTCTATATGTTGTCATTTTTTATCTTTGCTTTTTTCTTTTCCGCGCGACTCAGCATACCCCTTTGATTGTTTATTCTTATTGATTCTTGTGACTTTGCTCTAATTGAGACGTTGTCATGATGGCGATTACGTAGTCTAGTAGCTAATAAGAGAATACGAATTGTGAACGGCATATCTGTATACTATTTGTACTTCATCGTATCTAACCAATGACACTCCTTGAGGAAGTAGTAGTACGAAGGGACAGCATCCATATCAACTCGTCCAACAAAGTATCCCTCCCTACTCAGGGATACACACCTATACTAAACAGACGTCTCAACAAACGTCCCATTCCTACAATCAAACCCCAAATCCGGATTCAGCCCCTCCGTCGCATTCAAACAAACAACAGCAGCCGGCTCCCGGTTCTGCGGCCGCAGGCGAATACCCTCCGTCACGAAATTCCGACAAGACCTCTCCGTATGACACTGTATGATAACCGCCTCTGTATGGTTCAGATTCGGCAAGCCGACGTCATACCAGCAGGGGTCCGTCACGCAGGACCCGTCCCCCGGATTGAAAGAGTTAATATCGCCGGTAAAGCCAGACCAGGTGAAGTCTTCCATCATGACTGCGGAAGAAGGGTCCGGTGGCGGGGGCCGCTCGGCGTTCTGGTCCGTGTAGCTCTGGGTGACGAAGATGGGGAAAGACACGTTGTGCACGCGGATGTTCTGCCATGTGACGTTGCGGACGAGGCCTTGGCCGCCGGACCAGGACTTGAAGCGGGCTGCGTAGAGGCCGCCGGCGACGGTGACGTCGGTGAAGAGGAGGTTGGAGATGTTTGCTGGGGACGAGGGGTCTTTGCCGAGGGAGCCGATGCTCATGCCGTGGGTTTCGTAGCCGAGGGAGTTGTGCGCGAAGAGGATGTCGTGGGAGGGGGAGCCGATGGCGATGGCGTCGTCGCCGTTGTGGAAGGTGCTGTTTGTTATGCTGATGTGGGTGCCTTGGACGTCGAAGCCGTCTGTGTTGAAGGGGAAGGAGGCGTAGCTGGTGGAGAGGGCGTCGATTATGGCGTGGCGGACGGTGATGTCGGTCCCGTGGAGTTTCATCGTCCAGGCGATGGGCTTGCGCGAGCGGAAGTGGCGGATTGAGGCGTGCGAGGTGGTGTAGCTGATTAGGTGGGGGCGGTTGGGTAGGCCCTTGCTGTTGGGGGGGTTTGCGTCCCACCAGGCTTGGCCGTAGGAGTTGATCCAGCTGGTTTTGGGGTCGGGGGAGCCTGTCCAGTCGATGCGCGGGCCGGAGAGGGTGATCCAGGTGGGGTGGCCGCTGGCGACGATGGCTTGCACGGTGGGGATGTCCTGGGGGAGGTGGAGGTTGCCGTGCATGCGGATCTCGACGTTGCTGAGGTTGGTGGCGGTGAGGGGCGTGAAGAGGTTGTAGTCGACGCCGTGTTGGAAGATGATGGTGGCGTCGGTTGCGCATTGCGCGAAGGCGCGGGCGATGGCGGGCGTGTCGTCTGCGGTTCCGTGGGAGGAGTGGTATTGGGAGGGGATCACGCATTTTTTGTGACGTGGGTGGTGGGCGCCATGGTTGGATGGTGGGAGGGACCAGGAATGTTGGAAGAAGAGCGATAGAGCCAGGAGGGTGGGCTTGGAGAGCAGCATCGTGTGGATGGTCGACTATGGACTGGTTGGGAGGACATGATGGACGTGCAGGTCCTCCGGGCCCTTTTTATACTCTTGGGTGAGAGGATGACGGATTCCAGACATCCGTAGAGTAGCAAGATTCTGCGAGACACCATCCAATTGAGAGAGAGATTCATCTCGTTGTTTGTAATTGCTGAGGGAAAGCTTGGTCTATACCATGCAGTCGAGCCATCTTGAGCTTGCGATTGGTGGAGAAATCATGCGCGTGCGGTTGGGGTATACTATTGTCGGAGTCATAATTTTCCTGATTGAATAGTTAGCTAGAGTGAGTATGCAATATGCAATGTATCATAACATCTCCTTGAATTCATGGAAGATGAGGTTCCTAGGTTGTATAGATACCCGTAGTATGAAGTAGTTGAAAGTGGAGTGGAAGACCGAGACTCCGCTTTAATTCTGCCGGTGGAGCTGCAGCTCCGACCACTTTGTACCTTCAACACTCCAATTACTCTCCAGGTCTTTCTACAATCTACTCCCTATATTTACGATAAGAATCGTCGCATCAAATACAATGGCCTCATCAGACGCATCTCTCGACGCCAAGGCCACCCCCAACATCACCCCCTCCGACGCCGTCCTGCACGTCCACAGCGCCCGTCTGATCGATGCCCCGGCCACGACCGTATGGGATGTCCTCATCGACACCTCGACCTGGCCCTCATGGAACACCTTTGTCCCTCGCGTCACCATCCGCGAACAGCCTGGTTCCAATCCCACCGCCGATACCCCTCTCTCCCCGGTTCTCCAGCAAGGGACCAAGATGACCTTTCACGTCCATATGGACCCGTCTTCTTCCAGCGAGCAGGACGTGCCCCTGGTGGTCGCGACGCTCACTCCGCCCGACGTCGCGACCGGGCAACCGGGTCGCATCGTGTGGACCAACGATGAGACGGCCTCGGGGGCTATCCCGGGGTGGCTTCTACGGGCGGAGAGAGTGCACGAGGTGGAAGAAGTCGAGGTGGCCGATACGGACGGACGGGTCCAGACGCGGACGGAGGTGCGGAATTGGGAGGCTCAAGTGGGATACCTGGTGTATGTGGTGCGATGGATGTATGCGAGTACCTTGAAGAGGAATTTCGAGTCGTGGGTGGGAGATCTCCAGCAGTACGTGGAGAGGACGCGCCAAGCGTGATTGATGGTTTGCTTTCTACTCCGTACTCTCCTAGTCATATCCGAGGGAGTCGTATCAGGAATGTAGTCTCCCGGGTTAGTGAAACCATGGTCGATCCATCTCAATGTTTGTACACCGACTAGTACGCTTGGCAGCGGACGAACTGGTGATCTGGGGGATGGAGGCTGATACATCAATCCATCGCACCAGTTGTCAAATCTGTTGGGATCTCTCGTGATGTGAAAGTCTGTGTGCAATGTTTGCCTAGTCAAGGTCCAAGCCAAGAAACAAAGGAGAGGAGTGCATCCTGCAAGCATGAAGATGCATGCAAGCCACCCAGCGACTAATTTAAGTAATTTCCCTGAGCCGATGGAAGACCCACGTGGGGGTGGAGATTGGCTTGAAAGATTGTTACGTGACATCCTATCTAATAGTGGCAAACCACCCTATCATATTTATAATATCTCATGGATTTATATGTGCTACACTACTTAGGGTAACAATCTCTACTCATTAACATCTATCCCCTAGAGAAGGCCATTAACTGCGGTAATGAAGCAGTAAAGGAAATTATGGTCATGTCCACCACTGGACCGGATGTCCGAATCTGGTAATCCGGCAGCCGATCAGGAAGTGTCCCGTCCGGATTGGGCTTAGCGGCCGTTCCGGGAACTGCAGAATTGCCCGATTAGGAAATCAGCTCGAATTGTACATTGATCCATGTTTGCATCAACCGTCTTCGTTAAGAGAAACTGATCAGATGGCTATTGAGATGTTCTCAAACCAGGAGTGTAGCTGCATTTCTGTGAGAAACAGATATCAAACAGTCCAGAGGAGAAATATACAGTGGATCAACTAATTCCCATGAATTCCTGGTTTGATATCACCCGTTGAACCCTCTGTCGATCATTTCTCTTCTGTCCTTCCATTTCCCCTCTTTCTTTTGTGGTTCTATTGATTTTTTAATTTATTTTATCTTATCTTCTTCCATTTCATTTTTCTTCTTGTTTTTTTTCTGTTTTGATTGATTGTTTTTTCTTCATTTATTACTCCTCTTCGTCCCATCCTGTTTTCAGATCTCTTTTTTCTTTCCTCCTTGTTTCTCTCTGATCCTCTCTGCTTTCATCCCATTCCACTACTCCAACATCTCTATCTATAATCAACTCCTATATCATAAACACCATGTTGCGCTTCTTCTCCACCTCTTTCCTATACTTGATTTCTTGGTCCTCTTCCTTCGCCATGAGCACTCGTTGACCTCACCCACCCTTGACTCATCGCAAGGTTCACGGTCTGCTGGTTCCAACGTCATCCCGGCACCATTCCAACGCCACTGCTGGCATCACATCCTCATCCCGGTGGCCAACTCGCATCTTCTCGACTCTTCTTCTCCGGCTTCTTCCATCCCACGTTGGCTCTCTACTCGTCCAGCTGCATCGTTAAGTCCTGGACCGATACCATCTACCAACATCCTTCCACCATCGTTCCGTCCATCTCTCGATAAGCCATCTATAAGCTATCTATATACCTACTATACAATCTTTTTATATATCGATCATCGGGGACTATTACCCCACCATCAAGTCCGGCATCTGTGACTCACCATCCGCTATATCCTCAACGTGGACCTTACCGTCTCGATCCACCATCTGATCTCGAGATCGTCGGATCGTCATGGCACCTCTCATGCCTCTTCGGGTGTCCGTTCGCACCGCAAATGAACACCGTCTCGACACTCGCTCCCCTCCCATCACCCCAACCCCCAAGGATGAGAGCCCCTCGGGTAGTGTTCTCACCCCGAGGTCCGGCTTCTCCAGCGTCTCTCTATCACCAATCGACGACAAGCGCATCGACCAGGTCTCCCTCCTCCACCAAGACCTTGCCGCGCCCCTCGAGTTCCGCGACAGCCTGGAAGTCCAGCATGATTCCCGCGGCAAACCGTTCGAATATGGTCGCGGAGTCTGGAGCGTCGTCTACAAGGCGTCGTCTCGCCCGCCCTCGGAATCCAGTCTGCTCACCCCGCCCAGCTCTCCCGCACCCGGGAATCACAAGGTCGCCGTCAAGTCGCCCTCACGACGGGATGCCCATGTCGTGCTGGACGCCGAGGCCCTGGCCTTGAGCCGAATCAGCCTGTTCTCGGGCTCCGACAACTACGTCGTTCCCTTTCACGGATACATCCCAGGAGATCACGCCATCGTCCTGGATGCCGTGCCCCTCTCGCTCGCCACCTATATCGAAGAAAAGGCCGCCATCGCCAAACAGAACATGTCGACCCGGACCATGTTCGACCCCGTCCCAGGAATGGCCTCGTGGAAAGCCCTGGCCACGAAACTCATCCGCGGGCTGTCCTGGCTGCACAACACTCCGCATATCGTCCACGGTGACATCAAACCACACAACCTCCTCTTACGTCCGCTCGAGGACGAGGATACGGGCTCCGTCGACTTCCCGTTCACGCCACTGTTCGCCGACTTCTCCTCCGCCCATATCATCGCCGGCCCCTCTCTCTCGGCCGAAAAGAACCAACCTGGGACGGCCCTGACGGCCCTCACGCCACCCTTCGCCGCACCCGAGCTCCTCACCGTCTCGTCCCTGACGTCCCTGGACGTCCGCCCTACGCCCGCCGCCGATGTCTTTTCCCTGGCGGTGACCCTCCTCGCCGCAGCTACCGGCGACTTACTCCTCTATCCGGGCACCAGCAACATGCAGCGTCTGGCCATGGCCCGCGAAGGCCACCGCGTCATCGAGTTCGCCCGATCGGGGGCCCATGGCTCGCGAGTGCCCCGGAATGGTCTGGTCGAGCAGATCATCAAACCGGCTCTAGTGAAGGATCCAGCCGAGCGGATCAATCCGACTGACTGGTTGAATTTGGTGGAAAGTTTGGCGTGAATCATCTATGTATATACCTATGTATGGATGAGTGATGTTGTTGGGTTTTGTCGCTATTTGGAAATGTTTCCTTTTTTTTTATTTACCCCTATTTTGCATCATGTATAATAAAGATACCCGGTTGGATTCAGTCCGAAATTTATGTTGGATTTGAATATTCTTCTTTCTCTTACTCTTTCTAATACCGCTATGTGAGAGTTTCTGTATGCTGCAAATCATGTATCATCTAGGACTTGAATTTGAATGTTTCAACATCTCATCACATTTCACAAAACCATGAATTGGATATCGTCGTACATTCGTAGAACCGCAATATGATTATGACCAAAATCTAGAAAGAAAGATATAGTTCAGGAACTGCCAAAAAACAAACTAGATCCACGCGGACCAAAAGGCGGGCGGGGAAGAATTGCGACTCGTTCGCCCCGCTCGGGCTTTTTCTGCCATTCCGCATCATTCGGTCTTTTCAGTCTTTCTTTCTTTGATTTGAATGTCCACCATTCATCTTCTCCTCGCCCATTCTCTATTTTCTTTTGCATGATGGTCAAGCTGCTCCCCGCCAGCTTTGGGACGAACTCATTTTCTGGATGAAAACGACTGCCTTTCGTGCACTGGCTGAGCGTGGCCCCCAAGGTTCAGTGACATCAGTCTGTCGCGACTGGCGCCTGAAAAAGGCTTATCCCCACTGAAGACTGAGGGCGACGCGCCAGGCTCGATGATCCCTTCGACACTTCTCGGCGACGTTCTACATTGTTGATGCCCACAGAACTATCCCAGTCAACTATTCACCTTCCACACCCCTCTCATTCTACCGATTGTATGCGAAGACCATGGCTTCCCATCTGTCTCCGCCCCCAGGCGCGGGCCGTCCTCCCCTCAAAGCGTGGAGAAAATCACCCAAAGAGCCCAGGAGTATGACTACAACCCCCTAGTTCCGTTAAAATACTGGCTGCGGTCGGCCGCCGCACTCATCAGCCAGGTAAGCCCCCCTAGATAGATCCCTCTGTCCCTCTCCCACTCACATAGACGACTCACTGAACGGTCTTGCTCAATCAGGCCTCCATCTACGAACGAGAAGGACACGACGAAGAAGCCTACCTGCTTCTCTTCCGACACGCGCAACTGGTCCTCGTGAACCTCGCAAAACACCCCGGTGCCAAAGACCCCCAGAATCAAAAGGGCCTGCTGGAGGCAGAGAAGGAGGTCCAGAAGAATCTCGCCAAGCTGGAGACGCTGAAACCTCGCATTAACAAGCGGTATGAGCGCTACCTCCAGCTGGCGCGTGACCGCAAAGCCCGTGGTTCCTCCCGGGGGAGTGTCACTTCGTCTGACTTCGGGCAAAAAGCTGCCCACGACCCCGGGGTGGTTGCTGAGCCGTTGGAAGCGCGGGAGAATAAAGATTTGGCGGTTAAGTTGGCCCGCACGGAGATCAGCCGGAGAGCGACGGTGCGGAAGGCTGTTCATGACGCTGGGATATCGCCCGAGGAAGAGCGGCGGCGTCGCACGGCGGGGGTTTGGGGCCAGTGGGAGCATGAGTTGGAGAAGGACGAACGGGATACGAATGGGGATCTGAGTCGGCGGATTCAGGATGTGAGGACGCATATGGACTCGGCCCCTGCTGACCAGCGCCAAAATCGGCTGTCCAAATCGGCCGTCAGGCCACCGGCGACCTCGTCAACTTCAGGATACAAGTACCCGACGGTTCCTCCTCGCCAGAAGCTTTCAGATACCTTGCCCCTTTCGCCAACCAACAGACCTCGAGACGACTCAACGGTCCGTCTGGAGGCTCCATTGCTACCTCCTAAAGACCCACTCATCCAGCCAGCGCTCTTTGACACGCCGCCACCACCACGACCAGATAAGGTGTCGTCGACTCCTCCCGCGCCCCCGGCTTCCGCTCCGCCTCTCCCATCCAAGGTCCAGCCCGCAGAGGATGGAGAAAGCGCACGCAGTAAACTAGACCCATCCAGCTTCACCTTCAAGCCCGCTGCATACCTCGAGAACGGCAGCCCTCTCCGCACAGTCTTCCTCCCCCCAGAGCTGCGCTCCCAATTCCTATCGATAGCCGAGCCCAACACACGGCGCAATCTGGAAACATGCGGCGTCCTCTGCGGCACACTAATCTCCAACGCCCTCTTCATCTCCCGCCTCATCATCCCCGAACAAACCTCCACCTCAGACACCTGCGAGACCCTCAACGAATCCGCCATCTTCGACTACTGCGACTCGGAAGACCTAATGATGCTCGGTTGGATCCACACCCACCCCACCCAGACATGCTTCATGAGCTCCAGAGACCTGCACACCCACTGCGGCTACCAAGTCATGCTGCCCGAAAGCTTCGCCATCGTCTGTGCCCCCAGCAAGATGCCCGACTGGGGCATCTTCCGCCTGACTGATCCGCCGGGCCTGAAAACCGTCCTCAATTGTACCCAGTCCGGTCTGTTTCATCCTCATGCTGAGAGTAATATCTACACTGATGCCCTACGACCGGGCCATGTCTTCGAGGCTAAAGGGTTGGATTTCGAGGTCGTGGATTTACGGCCTAATGGGTCGCATTTTTAAATATGATACCATGATACCCGTTCTAGCTTTCTCTTCTCGGAGCTGTAGTCTTCTGGATGTTGCTATGGAATGAACGAATATACGCTTCTTTATAGATTTTCGAAGTCGCGGCGAATATGGTGCGATATCATTCGAATTTGACGACCTCGTGATTCATAGTCGAGTCTATTAATTGTTCCCACCCGTCTCGGCCTGCCAACCGATTCGCTGCAGCTGATGCCCAATCCCAGTTCTCTGGACTCTTCACCTGGACTCGATGGTTTAGTACCCCTCACTCATACTTCCGTCAATTGAGTTAGTTAGCGGCGGTCAGTCTCCCCAATGACTCAACTGGCCGATACTGGACTACACAGTACCTATCATATAGGTTGTCAGGAACAGATAGATATCCAATCAAGAACATCTCTCTCGATGGAGAAGGGTGGATACTCAAGTTGAAACTGGGCTTTGTGGAACCTGAAGAATATTGTCTTAGGTCGTTAGTTTCGGCCTTATTCGGCGGGAATTGGCTATCTATAGATAGGGCTGGTGTGGGACAGCACAGCGACTCGAGAGTGTCAATAGGAAGAATAGATATCTGAGATCTACTCTGGTAATTACACAATATATGTAAATAAATGAGTGAATCTAATTGCAAAGATTGAAACGATATGCGTAGTTTGGAAATGAAGGCAGTACTGGGGTCCTACTCCACCCGTGTTCAAGGCAGTCTAAGCTTCTCCCTGGCTTCCTCCTTTCGTGATGTTTCTTCCGTGGTAGATGCCATGAACGCAGCAAAATCAAACGAGGTTTCCTCGTTGCTATATATATAATTAGATAGACCAGAGCAAACTAATAAGGATGAAGAAATTGAAATCAGTATTCTTATAATAGATATCTCAGATTTGCAGCGCGAACACCATGAATAAACCGAGTAAGCCGCTTCTCCTCATCCGTCAAACCTACTACCTTCTCGATCTCTTGCAAAAGCGGCTGCTCATAGAGGCCATCATAGGGGAGCATGCATGATACCATCGCGCTCTCAAAGAAGCGGGGATAGAAGCCAGCTGATCCCCAGTTAGCAAGACAGAGAAAAACTCCATCATCCTTGAGGATGAAGTTTCTTCGACAGAGGTCCAGATGGCAGAGCACCAGGGGATGAGGCGTTAGATCGATCGAATCGTTGCGTAACTTTAGACGTTTGTTCATGTATGTATTCAAGTCCGAGACAGAGTTGAAGACTGTTTTCGCGCCATCGTCGCCCCATAGATACCCATATGGTTCGCCGCCGCCGACTGGGCCCGGTGCGCTCTGGCGGCCTGCTTGGATCTCGCCTAGGTGTGCTACTATCTTTGCAATGCGTGGTATAATGTCTTTGTGGGCTTCTATATCCACATTCGCCAGGTTCTGACCGGGCATGTACTCCATGAATAGGTATCCTTTGGTGCGTGCAGATGATCCTTTTGCTTCGATGAAGCGGTAGACTTGGGGGATGTGCACGATGGTAGGATCGGCTTTGTTGTATGCGAGCTCCTGGGTGGCTGCTTCGGCGGCTGTTACGCTGTAGCCATACTTGACTGCGATGTGCTCGGAGAGCTGGATGAATTGATCTCCTTCTGTAAGTCCTCTGGTTATGCCGATTTCCTTCTCGGCTTTGTGGCAGAGGTCGATTAGCGTTTCTTCGCTGACTGTTGCGATGTCCCAGCCCATGGTGGGTTAGCTGAGGGGAGAGATTCTTGGTATTGGTATGATTGGGATTGTATTAGTTAACAGGGGCATGGGATATGGATGGGGATGTAGTTGCTTTGTTGTTGTTGTAATCGGGGAATCATATATTGGACCCAATCCCCGCGCTTACAGCTCAGCCGGGATACGGTGAGGCTCATCCTGGCTGAGCTATTCAAGTGTCGCTTATAGGAAAAGTCAGGAATGAAACCAATTGTAAATCCCTTGATTGAAAGGACATGCCTAGCTGGAATGGTGGGTAAAGGTAGTACTGGGGTACTAATAGGAATGCGACCGTCCAATGTCGATCTGCTGTTTCTCCACCTGGTCCGCCTTTCTCCTCCGTCATCATCTCCTCTCTCTCACTCTTTTATCTCTTTCATCTCTCTGACACCTCCCCTCTTCCAATTAACATTTCTCCGACTATCAAGATCTTGTGCCTGACCCCCCGCTTCATCTACTCCCCCAGTTGGATGGATTTTTCATCCCACCCCTCGACTATCGCCGTTCTCCCTGTCGACTCCACCTCCCCGAAACTCCCCACATGTCGTCCACGCACGGAGGCCCTCAACCCCCCGCCAGATCCTCCACCCCAGGGGCGCGTTCGAAATCGAAGGACTCTCAATCCCAACAATCGACCGCGTCCTACTTCTCATATCCCGTCTCCCACGTCATGTCGGGCCTTTACCGTCGTCTGACGGACCCTCCCTCCAAATCCAACAACACGAACCGCCGCAACCAAGATTCCTCCTCCTCCGTTACCAACTCCTCGGGCTCCTCGCAGGTCTTCACCCCCGTGCGAACCGTGTCGCCCTTCCAGCCGCCGCCCCTGACGCCCCTCACCCTCAAGGGCGGGAACTCCAGCGTCCTCCAGCAGCAGCTCCTGACCCCCGCCCTGGCGGAGGAGATCCGTCTGCTGGTACCGGCCCGCCTACAACTCTCTGACACTTGGCGGCTGGCCTACAGTCTGGACCGGGACGGCGCCTCGCTATCCACACTGTACGATAAATGTAGCGATATCTCCGATCGCAGCCCGCGGGCGGGCTATGTGCTCGTAGTGCGCGACAGTTCGCCCACGAGCGCCATTTTCGGCGCATACATGACCGACCCCCCGCACCCCGACTCGCACTACTTCGGCACGGGCGAGTGCTTCCTTTGGCGCGCGAGTGTCCTGTCTCCTCCGGACCTGAGCATTTTCCAAGATACCAGCAAAGCACCAGCAAGGCAGCCTTCCGAGGATCTGTTGGACCTGTCGGATCTCCCGCCGCCTCCCAGCGCGGACACCACCAATGCGGGCCGCACGACGACCCTGCGCGGCGACAAGAAGGACGAAGCGTCCGGGGACACTCTTCTGTCTCCGCCGCACGACGGGGCTCGCTCCGCCAGTGGGACCAGCACACCTGATCGCATTCGATTCAAGGCGTTCCCCTACAGTGGCGTGAACGATTACATGATGTTTTGTGAGACGGGGTTCCTCAGTTTGGGCGGAGGGTGAGTTTTCTCTATAATCAGTTATCAGGTGTCAGAAACCAAGCTAATGATGATCTACAGCGACGGCCGCTACGGTCTCTGGCTCGACTCGAGTCTTGAAAAGGGCGTCAGCGACGCATGCCAAACGTTCGGCAATGAGCCCCTCTCCGACGAAGGCACCAAGTTCGATCTTCTCGGCGTCGAAGTTTGGTACGTTGGGGCATGAAAGCGCGACTCTGTCAACCACCCCAACAGGTAGAAAATCATCTCCAGCGCGCAGTGATCGCGTACTGGAGTCACAAAAGTTCACTATGGGTTTTGATTAACCGTACTGGGCACATCTCCACTTGTTCTTTTCCTGTCGAACCTCAATATGTATTCACAGCTAATACCCATAACCGAACGTGAGCGGCTGGCTCCGTCGTGCGGTGCATCGTTTGGATCCCGTTATGAAATAAACTATGTGAATGAATTGTCATCTTGATGTGGGCGTTAATATTTACGCTCTATTTCACCTTCTCTGTTTGATTGGTTTATCCATCGTATGCCCTACATTGGGCCTATCTTCAATGGCGATGCAGAGAGCGTACGATCTGCGGATGCATAGTCATGTTATCGTGTATATCAGATCAGTTGGGACCTTCCCATAACCAGACATGCCATATAGGTACCCGACGCATTCGCACCTTCCTCTGCCAGCTTGCACCTGCCTTCCAGGATGCAGTAGGTTCTACAAGAGATCTATCTCTGCTCGTATCGATGTCGATTATCATTCCAACATCACTCTAATCCAACTCACATCTCTCGTTTAGATCGTCATCCGTGCCATTTATCTTATCACTATCCCATATCTTTCATTTATATTTACTACTTACTCAATGAGCCAGCCATTCCCCAACTACTATCTCACCCGGCCCGATCAAGTCCAAGTCCCACTCGTCCCCCTCGACGAACTCCCCAACTGGATCGAAGTCGGCGCCTGGAACTGGTCCGACACGTCCCTCTTCGAAACAATGAACCCCGTCAGCTGCGACTGCATCCCCCGGAGCGGCGAGTACGAAGTCATATGCCACTACTGCGCTGCATCCGTCGACAAGCTGCACCGGAGCGTCTCCCAGCAGAACCCCCCGGCATACCAACTCCACGAACCGCAAGCACAAACACCACCACCGTGCGTCGTCCGGCTTCTTGTGTGGCGGAGAGCACCAAGCAGCCTTGTTCTTCGCTCGTCGCTCAAGGCATCTTGCCGGCTGTGGCGCCCTTTCTTCCACGTCCGACTCTGACGCAGCCGTTTTTTCATGCTTCGCTCCGCGCGCCGTTTGTAGGTATGTGTTTGTTGGACTTTGATTCTCCGGTGTATGCTCGCTTGCGGCAGTGGAGGAAGGAGCGTGAGGAACGCTCTGGGGGTGAGACGGGAGTCAATTTGGGGAATTTCCAGGATAAGTTTTTGTCTCGCAAAGGTCTGAAGAAAGAGGAGTCGGGTCAGACGTCGGAAGCGTCAGGTTCGAAGTTAGAAGCATCAGGTCAGAGTTCGGAATCATCGGGTCAGGAGCCAGACGAATCAAGTCCAAAGCCACACGAATCAGGCTCGAAGCCAGAGGCAGGTCACAAACCAGACGAACCAAGTTCAAAGTCAGACGAATCAGGTCCGGAGCCAGACAAATCGAACCAGAACCCAGAGGAATTAGGTCAGAATCCAGAGGAACCAGCCCTGGGGCCACCGATACATGATTACGATCCTCGGCCACCGTCTAAGAATTCCGGAGGATGCGAAGACAATCCTTGGGAGGTTCGAGTTCCCGCCGTCGCTCCGCCTGTTGATCAAGAAGCTTCGGCTGCTGTCCAGAAAGCGCTATCCACAAATTCGAGCGGCTCGTCGAGTGGTCTTGGGGTTCATCGTATATACTGGCCTTTTGTAGATCGCTATTGCAAAGGTCTCTTGACAGTTAGCCAGGAAAATCAAATTGACAACCAAGGAGGTCCATCCGGTCGCCAAGAAGACAGCCCTCCCCCAAACCAAGATGTGGGCCAGGATGATCAGATCCAATTCGTCCGTGGTCTGCAATATGGAGATCTTGAACCAAGGCAGCAAGAGTCCGATCAAGAGTCAGAAACGTCAGCATCGTCCGCAAATGGTCCGCTCAGCCCACTTTCAGTGATGGTCAACAGCATGAGCTCTCTATTGTACCCAGGACAAAGAAAGAATCCCCCGCTAGTTGGTGTCCCCACAAGACAGGATGGGACGCCGGATGACCGGGACACATCAACTTCTCGACGCGAGCCTATTGAAAGCACCGAAGTGGCACTTCCCCAGCTGAGACTCCCAAGTCCCGTTGCGCGTGTCGACTTTGACCCATGGGCGTTCGATTGTCATATGCCTGGTTCTGACTCGGATGCTGCGGCGTCTAGTCGTGGGGGTGGCCTGCTTAAGTCCAGAGTTTCCGTCCTTTCTACTGAATCCAGGAGTCGTAGGGGTAGGACACGAGACTCTGTTGGCTCCCTGTGCTCATGGCAAACAATTACTACAGAACATTCCATGGGAGATGAGGACGGCAAGAACAGAACACATGAAGCGCTTGGCGACACCAAGCGGTTGTCCGACTGGGACACAGTTGGCACAGAGTGGTTGAGAAACGAGTGCCGTGTGTTTGGCCTAAGCCCAGTTGTCTCTCGAGACTGGGGAGATGGCGATAGAGACGCGGCGCGTGAAGCCGAAACCACCTTTTTGTCGTTTTGGGATTCATCCAATCCAGAAGAGCCAGTCAAGGGAGATCGACCCGACGAGAAGACAGATGAAGCTCACTTCAGCCTTGGGGCTTCAAAACGCGTCACAATTCCTAAGAAAAGAGACCACGGCGCCTTGGATGAGCATGGAATGACAGCGACAGGTAAAGGCATTCTAAAGGCGCAAGCTCCCTTCCCGTCGATACAGAAGCCCAAGCCGACCCATGGGATTCTGAGGACAGGCCCGGTGTGCAGGAGGGCTGGAAATCGGCGCGTCAGCTTTCAACCGGGCATTCTTTCCAGGCTATGCGAGGAAAGCAGTCAGGCAGAGGTGATATCAGTTGATGAACCAGACTAGGGCCGTCTATCTGCTTTCTTTTTAGTCTCTTCCCGTCGTGCCGCTGTTGGGCGGCATATCACTATTCTATCCTGGCTTAGTTGCTATTGTTGGCGCGTGATCACTCATCTAGGTTTAGGTCGCTGGCTCATTATTGTGTAGTATTCCTCAATAAAAATAAATGAACAATCGGTTTCACATGCAAAACGTCTACAGTTCCTTCCTAGGGCTTGGAATGAATAGTCATTGCCATATGCTAAGACAAACCAAACACAATAGTCCTTGTATAATAACCAAACGAATAATCACTAATCCATGCTAAACATCTCTACTATCCCTCCACAGATTGGAAAATGAACAACCAATGTTTTGTGTTGAGAGAAAGAAAACATCTATAGTAGTCCTCCTAGACGTTGAAATGGAGAACCAATGCAACATGCTAAGCCAAGAAAAAACCATCTATCTAAGTGCACACTTCTATCTACTCCCCAGTCCAACCAACTACGGCTCAATCTCGGGCAACTGATACGACCGCGGCAGCGGCTCCGGCAGCGAATCCCCAGGATAAGGCTCCAGCTGCAACTGTCGCCCGCCCTCCAGCGGAGGAACCATATCATTGCTGTGCGCGGAGTCCGAGTCCCAGAAGATATGTTTCACGACTTGGATGCCGTCTAATGGCCGGCGCGGCATGGTCGAGCTCAAGTGGCGGCCGACTGGGTCTTCGCTGTTGGTATTGGTGTTGATGTTGTTGGTGATGGTAGTTGTTGTGTTGGCGCTGGGGTAGTGTTGGTGTTGGTGGTGTTGCTGGTGGTGTTGGTATTGTTGGTGCCATTGCTGTTATTGCTATCTTTGTGCTTGTGTTTGGGGTCGTTATTCTCGGCACGATTGCCCGCCACGCTGGCGGAGTAGCTTATATTGGTGTTTGTGAAGCTGCGTGCGGGGTCGGCCTCTGGTTTGGAGGTGGTTTTTTTCTCGGCTTGGGTGTCGCCTTGGTTTGAGGTTCCTGCTTGTTGTTCTGATATTGGGAGGGGGAAGAGGCGGGCTATGAGGGGCCGAAGGGGTGGAAGCGAGGCGCAGATTATGGCGACACTGGTTTCGATGTAGGACCAGCTGGTGGCGCTGCTGTTTTCTTCTGGTTTGGTTGTTAGTGTTGTTTGGGTTGGTGGGGTGTATTGGGGTGTATTGGAGTCTGTGTATACACGCGTGTATACATATGTGTGTGTGTGTGTGTAGGAAAGGGTATCTAAGGTAGGGGATTTACTGGTTGTATCAGGCCCTCGTATAAACTCAATTACTTGCCAAAGACGGATTGAGCTCGTTGCGACGACACTAAAAACGCGGGGTCAGATTCTGTTCCGGTGCCGGGGTGGGGAACTAAAGTCAGAAGAGCATACAAGAGTCCTATAGCGAATATCACGATCAGGGCGAATCGTTGGCGTCGAGCTAGGTGGAGCTTCGCCAATGCCGGCATAGGAAGAATGACAGTGAGCAAGTCAGTGGTGATTTGGAGGGCGGCGTTAACACACCAGATCACTATCTGAGGCAGGCAGTAGCTGTGAACCGACTTGTCCCAGAACCCGCGGATCGGGGTGCAGAAGAAAAGGGTGCTCAGTACCGCCCAGAGTCCGGAGATAACAACGAAGGCCAAGAAGACGATCAGGACTCGTTGGTAGATCTTTGTCTTAAAGGCGCGGAGGTAGAGGATGCCCATGGAGATTTTGGTGAGGTTCATAGTCAGGTTGTACAACGGGATCGTGATCCATAGTGCCTGAATTATGTTATCAGGTTGGGTTCATGGAGTAGAAAGCGGGGGGCACTGCTTTGGTACCTTCAATTGTTTCTGGGTGGTTTTGGAATTCAGTGTACTTTCCTTCTTTCCTAGGCCATTCTGGACCTCTGTATAGTCGATATCAGAACCTATTCGGGGATGTGCGAGCTTGTATATAAGGAGAGAGGGTACGCACGGATAACCGTGAGGCCAAAAAAAGCCACATTCGACAACTGACCAGCATGAGCGGTTGTCTGGTGGGTTGAGAGATCACGTAAAGGTAGCATACCATGGAAAAAACAAGAAAGAAGTCATCCCACCCTAGGGTGCGAATGAAGAAGATTCTCGTGGCGATCCGCAGGGAGACGAACAGGACAGTCAACGATAGGAAGGTCGCCCCGACTGCCAGAACGTACATGGTCCTGCGAGTTGACGATGGCCTGCGAAAGAGTGTCTGTCTCCATCACTAGGCTCTAGAAACTATTGCTGGTACGTCCGCGCTGTTCTAGGAGACCAATCTCTCCTTTCATGGCTAGCGAGAATTAAGTGAAATCAAAGCAGACAGTTGAATTCCGGGAGAAAGTAGCCGGCTTTCTGGCAGTGAGCAAACCGCAGGGTCCGGTTCCAGATGCATTGCGTCAGAGACTATGTGGGGGACCAAAGTTGACCATCAGGCATCGAGTGCGAAACTGAGGACGGTGGGTCTGCCGCAAATATTTTCCTAGGATGCATTGTTTCTAGGATGCATTGAATCTTAGTATCTAGACTGTTAGACTCGATCAGAATACGAGTCGGCTTGCTGTCAGTTTTGCCTTGACCTTGATGAGTATGAATCCATCATGGAGACCCTAATGACGGAAATCAGGGATAGACGTGGCTCCAAGAACTTGGACGATGAGGTTATTCAGTATTATTATGATACCATCTCTTTGTACCAGGTCATATATATCACACAAAAGGGGTGAGTAGCTGGTTGATGAGGAGAGACTGTACAGCATACGATATACAAGGTGGGGACCCAGGATGATTATCGTTATCTTATCGTTATCGATCATCGATTACCTCAGATAAGCCAATATCGGCTATTCCTCTTTGGGACGGCAGAGTAGGGCTCTCCTTCCACGTGATATTTCTTAGTCATCACGGAGAAACAGTACTTCCGGACCAGAACAAACTAGGCAAACAGGGTCTTGGCGGCCAGAGCCGGACTGTGCGATGAAATTCAAACTAGTGGAAAGAGAAAGAGAGCCAGGCCGACCACGAGAATCGCCGCCCAGCATCAACACCCCCACCAGTCGAACTCGACTACCTGATCTTCGATTTTCGCGGTCACTGAACGCTACCTTTCCCCGCCCTCTCCCTATCTCTCACCTTCGCCTCCTGATTCCCCCCGTCGGATTGCTTCCAATATGCGACCTATCTTGCTCTCGGGCCATGTGCGTTCCACCCTCGAGTCTTCCCGGACGGGGATTTTCATGTTTTTTTCCTGGCCTTTTTGGGGGGGACTTCTGCCAAAATATAAAGACAAGGAACTGACGAACTGATCGAAATTTCGCCCCAAATAGGAACGGTCCCTCAACCAGATCAAATTCAACCGCGATGGTGATCTGCTCTTCTCCGTAGCCAAGGATAAGATCGTGTGCGCTTGGTGGTCGGCCAACGGCGAGCGGCTCGGTACCTACACCGGACACCAGGGTGCCATCTGGACCGTCGATGTCAGCCCCAACACTATCCTTCTGGCGACTGGCTCGGCAGACAACACCGTGCGGCTATGGAACGTGAAGACCGGCGAGTGTGTGAAGGTGTGGGACTTCCCTACGGCGGTCAAGCGCGTCGAGTTCAGCCCGGATGGAACCAAGTTGCTGGCGGTTACTGAGAAGCGCATGGGATTCTTGGGCACGATTGCGGTGCTGGACATCAACTACGGCGATGGTCAGGGTAACTTCGAGCCTCAGGCTGAGGAGCCCAGCCTGCGGATCACCTGCAATGAGAGCAAGGCGACCGTTGCCGGCTGGGGTTATATGGGCAAGTACATCATCGCTGGCCACGAGGATGGCAGCGTCAGCCAGTACGATGCGAAGGTATGGTAGTTCCTCGAGCCTTGTCGGTGGGTAGTAACTCACACATTGTCATCTAGACCGGAGATCAGCTGGAAAACGTCCAGGCGCACGAGTTCGACCTCCAGATCAACGACATCCAATTCTCCCCCGACCGCACCTACTTCATCACCGCCTCCAAAGACAAGACCGCCAAGGTATGTATCATATATACATATATATATATATATACGCTTATACTGACCAACTCAGCTTTTGTCCACCCGTAACCTCGCCATCCTCAAGACCTATCCTTCCGATACCCCCCTGAACAGCGCCACGATTACGCCCAAGAAGGACTACGTGATCCTGGGTGGTGGTCAGGCCGCCATGGATGTCACCACCACCTCGGCCCGGCAAGGTAAATTCGAAGCTCGCTTCTACCACAAGGTCTTCGAGGACGAGATTGGCCGTGTCCGTGGTCACTTCGGTCCCCTCAACACCGTTGCCGTCCACCCGGCCGGCACGGCCTACGCCTCCGGTGGTGAGGACGGTTACGTGCGTGTGCACCACTTCGACAAGTCCTACTTTGATTTCATGTACGAGGTTGAGAGAGAGCAGATGAGGCGGTAAAGCGAGCATCATTTAGGGATTTCCTTTTACTTTTTTCTTTTTCTACCCTTTTTCGCCTTTTCCTCTTTTTTTTCCCTTTTTCACTTTAATTTCCTTGTCATTTCTTTCCAAATTACAGATCACGCACTGTATGTATGTGTCATGAGGTGAAGACGTTTTTTTACACCAAAAAGTAGAAGAGCCGACGGATGTGGGCACAAGGAGCTATCTATCTTATGTCTTGGGGCGACTCAGGGTATGAATCCTTATTACAATGATTCCAGGAGTTGGTACCATTCTGTTTTTATTTGTCTCTGGTCGTTACTGTGATGTCAAGGAAAACCCCTCGTCTATTCAAATCGTATTTTCATTAGACTACTTCAAGGGTAGGAAGAGTGGCAAAGCGTTTGATACGAATAAAACCGAGGGTTCATTTATGCGAGATATCTTCCAATTTTGGGTTTTCTTTTATTGATCTAAGCTTTCTATCAACAACAGGCTAGCGCTTTTTCCGACCAGCAGAACATAGAGATACCATGGAGTCTCATTCATTGCCCGAAGATGCATATCATGATAGCCCAAGTCCTTCAAAACCAAGGGTAAGAATCAGAGGAATCAAAAATAAAAAAAAATAAGAGAGTAAGAGGATAAGACAAAGGAAAACAAAGTCGACACCCCCGAGAAAAAAGACAACAAGGAAAATTTAAGGATATCCAGATTTATTTCTTCTTGGGGAACTTGTCCTGTCCGATGTCTGCGCCTCTCAACTTGACGTTGAGCACGCGCTCCATGGCACTGAGGACCTTCTGGTCCGGGGTGGCGGTCCCCTTCTCGAAGTCTTGGATGACGGTGGCAGTGGTGTTGCACTTGGTGGCGAGTTCCTTCTGTGTCATCTTGTAGCCGTCCTCGTTCCGGCGCTTCTTGATGGCGTCTGCGACCTGGTATCCCACGGTCTTGGGCTTGACGATGTCGTCGCTGCGGTCGACCTTGGTCAAGTGCTGGCCTTCCGGAGCGGCCGAGCGTGCGGACTATATTGTACTCTGTTAGTTGACTTTGTTTTGATACTCGGGTGCCTTATAGCGCGGGTCAAGGGAGGCGGGGTACGACTGCGTTGCCGCCCGGGAAGGGGGTGATAATGTGTGATTTACGTAGAGAAAGGGAAAAGACTTACAGTGTTGCCAGAAGCATACTTCTTCTCCGTTCCGATGACCAGACCCTGACGTTGGGCGGCGTTCAGGGCACTCTTGCCCTTGACGACGGTCTCGCGGGGGGCAACACCGCCACGGTGCTTGCTGCCGATCTTAGTGACGTTGTCCCAGTCGCTCATTGTGAAAAGAGGGGTGGCTGATAAGGTTTTTGAAAAGAGAGGGGTAGGAAGGAAGAAAAGGTGGTGGTTGGTTCGAAAGGTGGCGGTGATGGGGTGGATAGTAGTGAGAGAAGTGAGGTTTTGACGGAGAAGATGTGGCAGAAACAGCCAAAGGAATTTATATCGATGACACAGAAGCTTCTCGAGCCCTGGGATGGCGGAGTCGGAGGGGTGGTTGGCGCTAGCCCTGTTTAGGGTTAGCGGTCTGACATCATCGCCCCTCGGTTCTTTCACCAACCAGAGTTGATACTGTTTGACTCTTTCTTCTCCGCCACCATGTCTGATGTAGTATAGAAAGAGACAAACAAACTATTGCAAAGGCAGTGAGGGATGGTTAAGTGAGTCAAAGGACTGCTGCAGGTGTGACTCGCTGGTTGTTGGTGGATTCAACATCATCCTTGCTTGATTACCCCTACTGGACTCTGACTCACTGGGCCCTGTCAAGGGAGTCCCAGCTTTATGATATGAAGTTTTTTTTTTATAAATTATCATCTGTTGCTATTATTAATTAATGGCTATTATGGGTATTGAATTCATCTTGCCTTTATATTGACATCGGGGACTGTTTATAAACTAGTTCTCGGTCTATTGCGGATATATATAGATGATCCGCTGTCAATATCCGGACGCATCAAATACTACCTAGTATATATCGTACGATGGCATGTATTTGTCGATACACATACACATATACCAATGTCACACATGATTGAGCTATCTGACTTACAATGATTCAACGAGAAATGAATCTGGATTATGATTCTTCCTCATGGCCTGTCACGGACAACACAGACCATGGATAATGCGACAATCTCACTCCCAAGGTACCACTATAGAACCTGTACTTATATCTGATCAGAGCCATCACAAGGCCAGTCAATGCTAATCGACTGTCAGTTGTAGCCTGGTCTGTGCCAAGAGTTCTGTTTGTTCCCAAATGGGGCAGTTTGAGCACAGCCTACCTCAATACTACCTATTTACAGAAAGAGCAACACGGCCGTGTGTTTTGCCAGGGTGGTAACATGAATACATCGGACTCAATAAGATATCCCACAATGGAATGGTTTCAATCATTCAATATCAATTGTCAAGTATACAAAGCCTATACTCCGGAGTAGTCAATAGATCGAAGTGGATACAGAGGCAGGACCAACCTGAGGGATTAGGCAGATGTGGCTCCCCCACCAATAGGAGAGAGTCTAGCCCACCAGCCCCGGCGGAATGCCAGGAACCTCAGGCTCCATCGACCGGATTCATTTAATACTTCCCCCATCGATCTATCCACCATCCATCCATCCATCCACCATCTATCCATGATCCATCCCATTCATTCCTTTATGGTCGGACCGTTGTTCTCTTCTTTTTCTTGATTCTACTCTATTCTCTTACATCAGCACCGGTCTTTACGTCTCTATCCTTTGTACTCATCCTTCCCAACTGGGTCTCCAGCTTATCGTCGACCCTTCCCCTCTCCGTTCGTCATGGCTCAGAGCGACTTCATCCATGCGATGACCAATCGGTCGCTGCGCACTGTCCGAGCGGTATGTACCTGTCGCGATGCTTTGTTTTTCATGGCAGATCTCTATCCTTGAAATACCTTGGTGATGGTCCTAATTGCTCTGTCGCCGCTTTAGGAACTGGATTTCCTCGCGGATGCGTCCGTTCTTACGCCGCAGCAAGTATCGACCATTCTGGCCAACCTACCCGAAGAGAGTATCAGTCGGACCGCGAGCCCTGCACAGCAACCCCCTGTGCATCAGCCCCCCGTCCTGTCTCGAGTTCAGTCTCCGCCGGCCCCTTATTCTCCTCCGGCCCCCTACTCTCCTCCCACAAACCAGTTTGCCAACACGACGTTGAACGAGAAGGCTCCTACCCAGCAGCCCCCCACGCCGCATCAGTATCCCAGCCCCGTGCCTGCTGGCCCTCCTCCTGCCTACCCGCATGCCGGACCCCCCGTTCTGTCGTTCGCTACAGCGCTATATGCGTATACTCCCACGGACCCTGGCGACTTGGCCTTGCAGCCGCACGACCGGATCCAGGTTCTGGAGCACATGAATGCAGACTGTATGAGTAACCCTACTTTTCGCGAGTTTGCCCCTGGCTGACATACGATCTTTTTAGGGTGGCGTGGTCGCAACGAGCGCACCAGCCTCGAGGGTATCTTCCCTCGAAGCTACGTCAACGTCATCGAAGAGAAAGGGGCCGTCGCTCCTCCCCCGACCAATTACGGAAACGTGCCCCTCGAGGTGAGCCAGAGCGGCTCCGGTCCCGCTGACCCGAATCAGAAGGAGCATGGCAAGTTTGAGCAACATGGCAAGAAGTTTGGCAAGAAGCTCGGCAACGCTGGTAAGCTCCCCGCACCCTTGACGCTCGCACATCGGCGGTCACGATTGGACCATTGCGATGCTGATTCCCATACATCCGTACCACGATCGTAAATTGGTGACCTGACTGACTGGAAAATCTTAGCCATCTTTGGTGCCGGTGCGACGGTCGGTTCCAACATTGTGAATAGTATTTTTTAAACCACAGTCACTGCGTTTCTGGACCCAATTGGCCACATAGGCCTTTTGGTTGTTAGTGTTCGAATTGGTCTTTTCATCCCCTTTAGTTTGTACCATGGGACTGGCGTTGGTGGTTTCTATGCCTGGTAGCTTTGACCCCTTGAAATGGACGAGTGTGCCACAAGAATGATCCTATTGTGGGCTTAAGGATACCTCTGATAATAGAATTTTTCATACTCCATACAATCTCCCGTTCTTCGAGGAATTTGTTGTGGTGCTTTGTAACATGCATTAAGGGTTACAACCACCCAGATATTCTCGTGACCGCACGCCATGTCATGAACTTACCTCCCGGTTGGGCTCTTTCCACATCTACCAAAATAGTCTTGCTCCCCTAGGTCTTTCCTCTTCTGTTCCTTAGCTGCCACTCTAGTAATAACCAATGTACGACGGACGGAAGGTGGGTCAACCACCCACGTTAGACATTTAAGCGCCCAGCTTTAGGTCGTTTCACCTCACTTCCGACAAATCACAACACAGCCATTCCCTATCTGCATGCCACACAATGGGCGGCTGGCAACAGGGCCCGACACCCCTGTTAATTGGTCGAGACTACAATTGAAATTCGAACCGCCAATATGGAGCACACATTGATGACCAGGATGCTGCTTGCGGGGGGCTGTGGCAGGCGGCAGGCGAGGCTGAGGTACATATGTCTCTGGTGAGATTCGCCCCTAGTCCGAATCTCAACGGAGTATAATAAGAAGTCGAGATGGATCGATGCCCTGTTACGGTCGACTGGTTTAATGCGGTGGTTCTGCATTGTGTGGGCGTTGTCTAGTTACCTCTCTTGTAGATAGGTGCGGCAAGTATGTCTAGCGGATGGGATCAATTCGCGGATAATCTTGCCACGGATTTGGTACGCAGGTCACTCCCTTTTCCTCTCTTTCTATTTCATTTGAATCCCAACTTTTAATTCGAGAAAACGTGGGCATAATTGCTAACCACACCAGGCACCACTCATTACCCTCTTCGGTGAACGTCTCACGAAGCAGTTTCTCTCCGAGTCGACCAGTCTTCTAGACAACTTGATCTTTGCTTTTTCCCCTCTGGGAATTTTGACTGCGGTCGTTTCAGTCATTCGGGTCTGCGGAAACTCGACACTGCGGGCATTCATTGGCCGGGCTCAAGAAGGCCCAGGAGAAGCGGAGCATGAGCTCCTCTCGTGCGTTTCTGAGACTACGGCCGAGTTATTCAACAACGGTGGCATATCAAGAGTATTTGGACGACCTCGAATCCTCGAGGTAGTAGTGTGGAATGAAACGGATCCTACTACCAAGGAGACCGTTCGGAAAATTGGAACGCTGCATCAAGCTATCCTGGAAAATGCTTGGGTTGTTGGGGATGGCCGCTCAATGCTGGACATTAGGGGGTATATGCCGGAGCTTGATATCCCAAACCTGTCCTTGAATAAAGGCATCAAACGGAGGAGCCAAGGCTGGTTCTACTGCGCTGCGACGCTGGGAATTGCTTTGCAGATAGGTAAGTTTATAATATCTTTTTTTTTTTTGGATATCCGGTGAACCCTCGAACAAGGATATGCTCTAAAACCTCTGGTAACAGGCACGCTCGCATATGCTGCGGTCACGGTTTTTATATATCCCAAGCAATTTCTCAAAGATGGAAACCTGGTTCAGAGCTACGCATTCCCGTTATTCGTCTTTGGCTCGGTGTTACTCTGTATGGGGATGTTTCTTTGCGCATACATCATCGAACGCTCTTCTACTGAGTGTTATATTCACCCCGCAACACCAAGTACGATGTACTGGCTGCAACCCGGGCGACAGGACGTTGGCGATCAAGTTTTCGGTGCTTTTCTTGGAGTCGATAAAGGCTACGAAGCCCCACCCACCGATGATTTGGTGTACGTTAAATCCGTGAGAGGACGTGGACGTAACGAAAGAGGACCGCTACTTTTATTCACCATATTGATTACCTTGGTCGGGTTTGTCGTCCAATTTGTCGGTATCCGCGGGCTGCACTCGTCTGTTATCATAGCAGTAATGGGGTCGACATTGTTGATGGCCATTGTGCGGACATGCCTCCGGGCCAAAAGAATTGGCCCCGAAGAGAATCGTCTGACGGAGGCTGAGCGGCAGCTGACGGCTCACAAGAACCAAGAGTTGGACTGCTTCGCTTTCCACCTGGAGAAAGTGCACACGTTCAGTATCATCTCGAGCAGCACCGGACGTCCCCGATCCACCATCCAATCGTCTGACGACGTATCAACCGAAAGTGCGACGCTTCCAGCTAGTCTGGGGACTCGACTGATACGCACGAGAACCCGCTTAGCTCAGCTTACCTCGATCAATAACCACCACCCGAGTATGAATTGGGACGGCCTTCCTATACGCCAGGCCGCACAGAGCCTCGCAAATACGATCGAAAAGACGATGAATCTCGTGTCCAGCTGGAAGAACACAACTGACGACACGGCAGGGTTTGATATTGCGTTTGTGTGCGATGAGTATCATCGTTACCTAAATGCAGATGTGGATACGTATACGATCACACTTTCAAGGCCTGATGGAACGCTACACTGGCGGGTTGATGAAAATGAGCTGGAGGCCATCCTTGGATTATGGGTCTGGTACCTAATCAAAATCAATCCAGATTGGGTCCATCACAACTTTGGCAGGCTTGTGGGGCTGAGTCTAGCCCAGGCTACCGCCGAAGAGACCGATCTCGACTATTATAGATGGATATACCGGCATACGGAGCCGAAGATGGTTTCGAGTAGCATGGTGAACCTCCCTGACCAGATGTTCGGTAACTGGTCAGAAGAGTATCTCGATGACAGGGAGATTCTGGCGGTGAAAACCGGGAACTGCTTGGAGATCATGGTCGCTCAAGATATCTACGTGCAGTTTCTCAGGAGCACTTTCGAGAACCTGCAACACTTGGGCGGTGATGTTGATCTGCAGCACGGCCCACAAAGCGGATTCTTCGTCTACAATAGTCGCCTGGATGAATTAGTTGACTGCTTTGAATCCGCCAATCTGGGTACCCGAGAAGACGCATTGCTGTGTATTGTGCCAGTGTTGCAAGATCAGTGCATGTTGCCCGAACTGGCAGGCGACTCGAAAAACATAAGAAAGCGCTTTGCGCGAGCCATAGCAAGCAACCGCTGGCCAGAAGCGTTTTCTATAGCTCAATGGCTTTGCCAGCGCTCGCATGGAGCCGACTTTGAACACTCATTGTTCGAACTTGGTTACCTCTGTCACCTTGCCATGGTGCACTCTGATCCTACCACTCAAAGCGAAGGGTTTCAACAGGTATATCTCGCAGTGGAAGATGACCCACGATCATCTTTCTTTAAGAATGCCGAGATCCAACGACCACCGGGCTGGATGGCTACCGAAAATCGGCCAGAGTGCTGGCGGGAATTTGCCGCGCAACTAGGGTGGATCGCTTGGCATATTGCTGAAAGACAAAGCGATAAGATGCCCGTGCTGAGCAATTTAGAGAACTTGGGGATCAGTGCACGATCGGTGCCAGAATCAAAGGTCAATGACAGTGAAGATGAGGGACAGGTGGGAGAACAGGTCGTCCTTGAATGGCTGACCACCAGCGAGGAGAAGGCTTTCAATCGCCGCGTGCCTGGGATACAAGATCGACTGGCTTTGGACTGGGTGTGTCAAAATGGCCATCGGGCCCTCTTACATTGGCTCATCAGCAGATGGGTTGAATACGACAAGAAGTGTCCGAGGCTTGTCTACAATGCTCTTCTCTGGGCTGCTGAAGGAGGCTATCAGACAGCGATCGCTTCGTTTTTGCGGCGTGGCGTGGATATAAATATGCAAGAGCCCGAGGATGACAGCGGCCCCACTGCGTTGATGCAGAAAATCGATGCAAACGATCGGAGCGCAGTCTTGACATTGCTCGAAGCCGGGGCCGATGTTAACAGCCGAGATCGAAGAGGCGCAACCCCGTTGATGATTGCTAGCCATGTAGGCGACGAAGATACAGTTTCGCGTCTTTTGTCCCGTGGAGCCCAGATCAATGCCCAAGACAACAGCGGATACGGGTCCTTGATCCGAGCGACAACAGGCAACCATATCGGTATTGCCACAATGCTCCTCGACTCGGGAGTCCACGTGGACCTAGGTGGATTTGGTAGAATCCCCCCGCTGGTGTTTGTGGCCGCAGACAATTATATGGAGGTCCTCAAGCAGCTTCTCGCCCGAGGCGCAGATGTCAACATCCAGACCCACGATGGTTATACGGCATTGACTCTTGCAACTCGTAATAAATACACTGAAATGGTGAAGTTTTTGTTGGATCACCACGCCGATATTCACATCAAAACACGAAACGGCGAAACAGCCCTTGACTGGGCACGGGACCTATCTTATACCGAAGGAATCCAATTATTGCAACAGGCGCAGGCGCAGGCAGAAGAGCATGACATGGAGTGATTTAGAGCAGCTGACGTCCATGAAATCAAATAAATTGATTGCTACTGGAGAATACCACACTACCATTATCATAGGCAGTAAACAAGACAAAAACCCTTCAGAGGCTGAACGTTGAAAATACAATCAATAAAAACGAGGACCTGATCGTGGGTAAGGACTATGGTGTGTCTGCCTAGGGAACTTCCTCATGGAATGGTTTCTATTTTCTCCTTTCTCCCACTCCCTCTTTCCTTCTTTCTTCCCTCCAACCCCGCTCTCTTGGGCTGCCATTTCTTGAGCCCTGACCAGTGAGCTTCTTTGCCCAGAACCCTCATCGTCACTTGGCCAAGTTAGACATGATGTCTCATTGGATAGAGTTTATGCCTTTCAGAGAGTCTGGCGGTTCGACATGATCGGCCGTGCTGGTCTGCAGCCTGCAGGTCCTATCACATCGCCCCCAGACTAGTTCCCTCCAGCGCCAACCAGGACCAGGCGGAGCAATCAACGTCCACGATTCTAAGGTCTCGGCGTCTAAAGAAACCATGCCATGTCTGTATCCTTGCTGAGTGATGCAACCGACTCTTGCTGGCCGGGGAAAGCTATAATAAATGGTTGGCTTACCCCCCTAAAAAGAACTTACAGTGTTGCTCTCGTGTTGAACCCATATTCAATCCAACGAACTCAAGGGTTCCCATAGCTAGTACCGAGCCAATTATTACGTCTTTTCTTTGGACTGTTCACCTACAGGCGGTTGACCAGCGGGGTAGTAGCAAAAGAAGCTCCGCGTCTTTTAGAGCATCTTTCTATTAAAGGACCAGAAGTTCACAGCCGTGAAAATGACGAACTACGCTCCTCCACCTGCCCAGGAAACTCAGTACTACCCTCGTGAGTCCACTCATGGTAACCGGCAGAAAACAAATTGCTGATGTCTCTTGGTTTTCTTCTGAACAAGCCCCTCCGAATTCGAACGCCGCAAGTATGTCTACTTTTGATGCCTTTCTCTACACATATCGAAACCATCCTGACAATGTACAGACTTCCAGTCAAATTCTCAGGCTTCTGCAGGATACCCCGCACCGAACTTCAGCTATCCGCCGCCTCCAAAACAGGCGGTGTCTCCTCCTCCGGCGATTGGCTCCAACAATCCGTATGGAGCGAGCGTATCCCCCCCTCCGCAGCCTTCGACACCTCAGTCTACTGCACCTGCCGTGCAGGCTCACAGGTCGTCTGTAGGGTCAGCGCAGTTTGGCTCGCCCGTCAATACGACCAGTCAAGATGATACAGGGACGTTTAATGGTGGAAGCTACAGAATTAGCCATCGAGACAGCAACTCCATTGTGACCCTGCAGTTGGCCGTGGGTTGCCCAATAGAGGCCAAGCCAGGTAGGTAGTGTTGCTGGAACTCGACATTCGGCAATTATTCGCTTTGTCACGGTGACTGACAACGTCAACCCAGGGTCAATGATCGCCATGTCGCACAGTCTCTCACTCAGGGGAAAAATGAACTTCTCGTTCAAGAAGCTGATTGCGGGAGGCGAAATGACTTATTCGACGTTCACAGGGCCCGGTGAGCTTTTGCTGGCTCCGTCAACCCTGGGCGACATCATCGTCCTGCGTTTGAGTGGCACAGAGTCCTGGAAAGTCAGCAAAGACGGGTTTTTGGCATCGACGAGTGCCATTCAGAAGGAGTATCAGGGCCAAGGACTGACCAAAGGAGTCTTCTCGGGCGAAGGCCTTTTCATTCACAAGATGAGTGGATCCGGCCTTGTCTGGCTCCAAAGTTTTGGGGCCATCATCAAGAGAGATGTAGGGACTCTCGCTTCTGCCCAACCCACACATATATACCATCTGTGCTTGATCAATGGCTGACTCAAGATGTCGTTTTAGATCCGGGAGGGTGAGTCATACATGGTCGATAATGGCCATCTGGTGGCTTGGAACTGCAAATACAGGATGAAACGTGTTGCAGGAGGAGGGATCATGTCCAACTTGGCCTCTGGTGAAGGTCTGGTGTGCCATTTCGATGGACCTGGCACCGTTTACCTCCAGACAAGAAATGCCCAGGCCTTTGCCGCCCACATCGGTGCACATACCGCCAGTAACTAGGGCGGTTAACGGTATATTGATGCTGATGAGCTGGTCTCTGAATGATCTTATTGTTTTTGGCTTGATATTTCCTTTTATCGGGGTTTCTGTTGTCTTCCTTTCTTACTTGCGGGCGAAATGCACCTGTTTTGGATGATATGTAGCATGTTTCATAAATGGCCCCTCCTCAACAAGATTTCGAGAATACAGCCTACTGCATTATCCTAACATAACACAAGAAACGAGCAACATACAATCATATCAAACCATGTACCAGTCATTTCATTGATGCCATGCTAAATCTTCACATCGTCTCTGAAAGCTTTTAAGGAACTCCCCCATCTCCTACCCCTAACACTAACCTCTTAGCCAACAAAATTTCGTTCCCCCCACACTTAACACGACCCACAACGAGAAGGCAAGAAACATAAGAAGAAAATCTTTGTACGAAAGAAGTAATGGGGGAGAATCAAAAACCGTGAATCGCCAGGAAGAGAGAGAGTAAGAGTAAAGAGGGGGGACGCTACACGAGGTAGCCAGCTCTGCTTCCGTACACACAACCTCTTCCCCAAGAAAACAAAATAGGACAAAGACAAAAAGCTTTTTTGAGCCCGTTTAACCCTGTCTCTTTCTGCGGCCGACTTGGCCACGGAAACCGGTCTTGATGGCCGCGACGGAACGACGAGAACCGCACGAATTGCAGGTGACGAAGTACAGACGGTTCTCGCCCTTGTTGAGCTCAGTGTCGCCGCTGCGGCAGGTTTTGCAGGTGACGTATTCGACTGTATAGATGGTTAGCAGTTGAACAGGAATAATATCATAGAAGATGAAGGGGAAAGGGAAGACATACCGATGTATTTTCTCAGGACGTTCTCAATCTGCTTCTGCTGGAAACGACCCTTGATGACCAATCGTCGCGAACCGTCCACACTACCGCTGGTACCCAATTCCGCGAACAGGAACTGCATGACGTGGTCGTCGGACCGCTTCATGCGCTTGCAGATATCGGCAATGTTGGCAAAGATGGTACGACGGTTACCCTCACGCAGACACTGCGGGGGCGGGATCTTGTAGGACTTGGTGCCGCTGGAGAGCATATCCGGGTGGTGGCTCTGGATGAGGGAGAAGAATCGCGAGACGAGCAGCGAGTAGGGGATGGATTGCGTGGCGTCGTGGGCCCAGATGCCCGTGCCGGCCTCGAGATCGCCCTCGGGCAGCTCTTCCTCCTTGGGCTCGCCGTCGGCGGTCTCCTCGCGCTCGCCCATGCCGGCCTCGGCCAGCTTGGCCTCGAAGTCGTCCACCTTCTTGGTCTTCTTCTTCTTCTTCTTCTTCAGCGCCGTCGGGTCGAACTCGTCGCCGGCCGCTGTGGGGGTCTCCTCGTCGCCTTCGCCGGCCTCGCCCTCCTTGGGCTTCTTGCTCTTCTTCTTTTTCGTCAGGCCCTTGAACATCTCGGTGACCTCGTCGACGGACTTGTCGCCGGCTGTTTTATTTTTTATCATTGTTAGAATATCAAAATTTTTCTGCTTTTCGATATCTCCAAACGAGGTAAAGACATACCCTCTTCGGCGACAGGCTTCTCAACCTGAGGCGCCTCTGTGACCTCTCCTTTGGTATCCATGATGACGGTACCTTCGCTAAAGGCGACGGACTTGCGTAGCTTCTGTGGTTCGGTCTGAAAGTCAACCCCGCCGGGTAGCGTTAGCCTAGGCGATCTTGTAAAAGTCTCGCGGGGGAGGTAGCAGAAAAAAATGACAAGTCAAAGATGGAGGCGATGGAGAAAAAATAGAAAAAGACACTCAGTAACCCGAGTACACAGAATAGATAGGTACGCCGGGATTAGTAGAGGGTCAAGTGGGTAGTGGGCACAACGGAGTCGTCGTGAAATAATAGCGGCCAAAGCAGAAAATGTGGGCGAATGATCGGTAAAGAACAAAACAGGGGGTGACGTACAGTCTCCGCCATGGTGATAGGGACTCTCTCTAGGGGACAGACACACAGCACAGATCGATGGAAAAAAGAAACACTCACACCACAGTTGAAGATGAGGGATTCTGGGTCGCAAGTTGGTCGTCGTGAAGCTTTTGGATCAGCCACGGTGATTCCCATCCAGCCGTTCCAGCAATGGCGACCGGCGTTATCGGGTCACGTGGCATGACTCAACTGTATACCTTACTGTATTTATGGTATTACCCCCCTTTTATGAGGACACCGCCCGTTCTGCCGTGACAGCAGTACTGTTGCCTGAGGTATGAATATTATTCTCATATTATATTACATCAGCCACCACTTATGCATGATGCATGCATCCACACCTCAGGCAGACACGGATCATCCAGGCGGAACTCCAACTTCCACCCTATCATCCTCGCATCCACGCATCCTCCCACCTCCTTGCACCGCAGTCAATCGTTCGCGCGCAGCATCATCCCCTCCATGCTGCAATTCTCCTCCAAGCGGTAGGCAGGCCACTGCTTGAGCAACATCATCACAACACCACGACTCCAACTCACCATCTCGATCAATCAATCCACCATCCACCGATCCGACATCACCCACCTCTCGAACAACACCCATCCACACAATATCCACAAACATGGCCTACCAATCCCCCTCCGCCTCAAACCCCTCCCTCACAACCTCCGCCTACATGGTCCCCGACCCCTCCACCGCCGACCCCAACGCGGCCTACTCCTCCGACGAAGACGAGATCGCCTCCCTGCCGTCCGAATCCACCACGTCCTCCGAGCTCGAAACCCTCTCCGACGATTACTCCGACGCCGAGGAGGAGTGGCGCGAGAGTATTGAGCAGCTGGAGCTGTTGCTGTCGATGGTTATCGTGCCGTTTGTGGGCAAGTTTTTGGGCCGCAAGTGTGCTTATTGGGGTATGTTTCCGCGTTTATTTTCCCGTATACTTGTCCTTGTTATAGTGTCTTTTGATCCTCCTGCGTTATATATGTGTTATATGTGAAGATCTAACGAATTCTAGGCTGGACGCGCTTCATGGAATGGAAATACCCCGTCGAAATCATCGTCAAGAACCAAGCTGCCTTCAAGGGTGCAGGAGTCGTTGGTGCCCTCGCGTCGCTGTGAGAATCTATCATTCCCAGTAGGATGAATAGATAGAGGAGAACTCTATCATCATTGAAGATCTTCGGTATACATATACAACATACACATACATGTATGGTCAGGTCATAGCCCGAAGGTTTTGTTTGTGAGTGGCATACTTGGCTTGAATTGGCTTGGTTGGCTGGCTTGACTATCTGTTGTGGTGGATGGATAGATGAATGGACTGTACCGCTTGTGGTTGCGGGGATTCAGTCCGGATTGTTTTACAGCGCGTCAGCATAACTTGAGAGCAGAATTTTATACCCAATTGAGACTTTGAATCTGGTAGTAGTTGTACTTTGGGCCCGGACAAATGCTTAGGGCAAATGATGGGTTTGTTGGAGTAATGGTGGGCAACTCCAGCTGTATCATGACATATGCACAAAATTCTTCTATGTCAGACCCAACTCCCATCCAATCTCTCAGTTTTCAGGAAGAGAGAGAGGCTCATTCTAACTCCTTCCAGAACTCCACCCCCCAATATCATCCCGACGACGCCTACTAACAGCAGCAGCATATCCCCTAGCCATATCCCTCCTCTCCTCCATCCCCTCCAAGCATCCAAACCCCGTCCTCTCGCTAACATTCTCCAGCGCAGGTCTCACAAAATAGCTGGGGGCGCTGCACCCGTCCGGAGTAAGGAACCGCTCAAGCGGGCTCTCGATGCAGATCCCAGGGCGCTGGTCGAACAGTTTCAAATCGCCCATTAGACGCTCCGGGTGGGTCTCTCCGGTGGGTGATCCCTGCGCTGGGTGGAGGTGGAGGTCGGAGACTATGTCGAGACCTGGATCGGTGATGTCGTTGGCTTGGTGAGTAGCGAGCGTGGCCGTGTTCAAGGAGGTGTAGAATTGGTGGATTTGCTCTTCCTTGATGACCTTTTCGACCCAGGGGACGATGGAGTCTGTTGGGTGTTCCTGGGGCCTTGGTTTAGGGCTGATTGGGACCATTGGGCGGAGAGGCAGACTTACGCATTGGAGAAGTTGGTCATGCCAGGCGAGGTTGGTCTCGGTCAGTGGATAGCTTGTAAGGTTAGGTGCCATTTTGAAGGACGGATGTAATCGAGATACAAGTCTATGGTGGTAGTCGTGTTCATGAAAGAAGTATGGGTATAAACGAGAACCGGTGGGCTGGGAGGCAAGTTGGCCAACGTCGAAACCCTTTTTATACCCGGGGTCCAAGTATGTTACTACCAGTCGAGATATGACCATCAGCATCCCTCTCCACTGCCAAAAAAGCAACGACAAACAGAGTGCTTCATTACGCGAACCTGGAACTATCATCCACATCAGAAGGCTATCCCAGAATACGCCTTTTCCATGACTGTATTGGATTGACCCCCAGGAACGCGCTCACTTGGACTCGGGATCTTCTCACGTAACCTGGCCCCCGGTGATTGAACGACACCGGGATTTGGAGGGATATAATTAGGCAACTGGAGACTCCTACTTTCCTTGGAGAGAGTTGCATAAGCTCATGCAACTAGCTGTCACATTGGTACGCTGGATCCCAGCAAGAGGCGCATACCGTCTCAGCCAGGCTGCGAATATGAAACGGTCGCCTCCGAAAATCAGGGCCAAGGATTTATCTCCCCGTTCACGTCGCAGGGTCTTAAGGGACGCAGCTCTGTCGCGAGGGCTACACCGCTGGGCCCGAGCGACTGGAAGCAAATTAGTGTCAACATCGCCGGGTCGAAGATCAACAGGCTCTTTCTAGTTAGTGACTGGGCACACCACCCTGACGACCTCATGAATGACAGGGAGAAAAGGAAAAAATAGAAGAAAAGAAAAGAAAGAATTCAACAAGAAATGACCCCAGTCTTCACTGTTGACTATCCATTATGACGATAAATTCACTGTCCCATTCTTGATGGTCTCGGAGCAATATTCCATCTCTTTTCAGATGATTGACAATTCACCTCGTCAGGGGGAGGTATGTTTAACCATAGTCCATACCCCATCCCTTTGTCTTTGATGATAGGCCCTTCCCAGATTCATGGGTTCTTGGCTTACCGACCTCTTGGGTGTGTGGATCCCAAGATGCTCCGCGCCATGGCCCACCGGGGCAAAGCCTCACATGTCCAGCCTATCAGAACCAAATAGCGACCCGTCGGGCCCGCCAGGCTGGTCGTTCTGGACCATTGGGTCCATATCGAGTTGTTAGTACGGAGTAGTCGGGACTAGTATGTAGGTACTTCTGTTGGACAGCGGACTGCCCAGTTCGCTTAGACAGATCATCGGCTACTTGGATGGATGTCGATCCACCTGACAGGCAAGGTTTCAGGCTGGGCAAACATGACCCCATACTAAGACTTGACATTGGATCCGAGGCTGCGCTGTCAGACGATATAGGTGTAGGTGGTTGAGCATGTCAGGGATACGCTCGTTTGGTGTCTCCTCTCTGGCATCAATTTCCGTCTCGCACGCTTTGTTTTTATTCCCACATGGTAAACTGCGCTTATTGGCTCTGTCATCTAGCCGCATAGGACTTCTTGCTTTTTCCGTCCCAACGGAGTGGTTCATCCTGTGCTGGCTGATAGGTCTCGTATATCTCCTTTGTCGACATCTCTTCCGCCCAACAGGGGAAACTGTGGCGGGCGAATTATCTTGCAATATTGGTTGCTATTGGTCTAATAAGCAAGTCAAACGCCCCTGTCAATTTCTGAGAAGTTCCCGAACCAAAGAACTTGCTCGACGCCTGCGAGGCTGCGCCCGTAATGTTTGAACGTCAGACCTTTCGTGCTCGGAGACGGTATCCAGGTCCTCGGGTCCAAGGAACCCATTGAAGTTCAACAAGAATCTGTAAGCCAACAGTCCAAATTCACGGAGTATATCTAGCAATTCGAAAGCAAAATCAACGCGGGTTGTATCATGTATGGGACATTACGTAGCAATGATCCGCCGAGGCAAAAATGAACAAACGCACTTAATATAGCTTATTTTGGCGCCAGAAATTTTCGGGCAGCACAGGCTCATCCTTGTCTGAAACCCTCGTGAATTTCAAGGCAGGATCTATTGGTATACCCGATGCAGGGATGTCCCCTGTATGAGACTTTCCACCGATTCTTGCCGTATTTGCATCATGACATGACCCCTGGTGCTTGGGTACATACACCGATTGCGCAAATTCTGAGCCTTCGTTTGTGTTCTGAACTTCAGCTGGAAAGTATGCTTTCTCCAATGCGGTCCCTGCCGTGTCGAAAGGGACACGGGAGAGCGGTCTAACAGTCAGTCCGCAGTCGTCATAGAGATCCTGCGCGGCCGGATAGATGCTGCCATTTCTCGTTGCACCGATAGTGTCATTCGTGTAGTCTACTGATCCACTCCCCAGAATATCTCCTGGGGGCACTCCCTCAGAGTGGACAATCCCTTCATATTCCGCATCGAGGTCCGCAGTGTACAATGTTCTGCCGATGTTATATTCGATGCCAACATCGTTGTGGGTGTGAGCTGCCGTGTCACCAGCCCTATCCAGGCCATGGTCCGATGTAGACCTTGCAGGTGTTCGGCTTCCATGGACCTGGATCCACGAGGGAGGATACGGTGCTCCCCCACCCTCCGATACCCCTGCGGAGGCTGGGGTACGGGCAACTATGTTTGGCAGACCAAGAGCATAATCGAATGTCCCATCGTTCGTTCCCATCACCATATGGCTGCTTCCCTCTCGCCGTTCATTCAGCCAGTTTTCACGTCCAAAAAATTGCTTCGAGGGCCGAGAAGGGTAATCAACAAGGCCAGATCCATGTTCAGTTCTACTTTCCGAAGTGATTCTCCGTCTCTTGAATGGTCGTGCCGTGTTCGTGTTCGAGTCATTAGGGGTTAAATTACGTCTTTTTGTTGACGGGCGCAGGTGAAGACCCTCCGCAAATGTGGTCCCGGTTTCACTTGGGCCCCATAGTCTTTGGCGTTTCTTGAGCAGAGACTTCAATTCGTCCAAATTCCAATACCTTTTCGTCCTGTGCGATATATTCGCGGTTTCTCCGTCGTCTCCAGAGGCCAAGTCAAACAGTAGAAGGTGCTTGCAATAAAGATCAAACAGCCGTTCTAGCGCGAGCTGAGTCTGGTCAAAGTAGAATGCGTTGCAGGGCTTAGGAACGCGAGATCGCCCCCTGGGTACTTCATCGCTATCCAAGGTACGGCCTGCGATAGCGAGCCCCCCGTTGGACATGAAGACGGAGTCACCACGGCTTCGTATACTTCTCGGATTATGGGATGAAACAAGTCCTGTATGCTGGTTTGTTGTTTTCAAAAGTGTCATGTCACTTGGCTGGGATCTTTCCCCCTCCATGAAATCAAATTGACCGACGTTGTTTGCGCGCGGGCTGTCGAAAGAGAATCTATCCATCAATTTTCTAGGAATCCCAGTTCGCGAGCCACCTTTCCTTTCTTTATCGCGACCTATCCGATGATTTTCTTTGTCAGGTAGTGGCGCTTTTTCCAGGAACTCTGTTTCTGAGAACGCGGGAGGAGGGACTAGAATAAGGACCTGTTAGGTTCAAGTCAGTGGAATAGGTATCTTCCTAGACACTCCTACCTTGACCAGTCTTGACAGCAGACGAGGCTCTTCCCTTTCCGAACAGGCCCAGCTAGCCGAAGCATTAGCATCATGTCTCCGTACCAGTGGGCATCCAACCTACAGTCACGCGGTTCCGGGGTACGTTCGAAGCGTGGAAATTGTCGTTTATAGTGTGTTTTCTCTTTTTCTTGCCAGATCTTTTCTCGGACTTGGTGCGATGTTTCTCTTTCGTTCGGGAGCTTCCGTTGTACTCGTAATGGTCTTCTTTGGTTTTGTGCCGTGGTCTGCGCTCATACCTACGCAATTCTCCCTCTTCCAGTGTGAAGAGAGTTTGGAGAAGCTTTGTGTCTGCCGTTTTCTTCTCTGTAATGGGAAGACCTCGCGCCTTTGGATGGACTATCTTTCGTTGCGCAAGAGGAGGATTTGTGCCTTTACTCATGAATTAAATTTAGGAACAGGAACTGGCTCGACTGACGACACATCCAGAAGGGTACAGACACACCTGCGCTTTGGAGGCCGGAAAGTGGCCTTCTGACGAGGCTGGACTGGTCATAGCAGTCCTCTGTCTTTGATAACCACCCATAAATGGAAGTTCGGGATGCGAATTCCATATCGCTAGTCAAGCTGGCTTCGATGTGATGGCTTGGTAGGTTAGGTGAAAGTCCAAGAAGGAGTCTTCCAAGCAATTTATCACAAACGATGAGATATGCATCAAGAATGTTCGCTATGAGGGGTTCAGTCAGAGACAATAGATACTCGAATGATACCCTCGTTCGAGCTGTCCTGCCACGGAGAGAAACGGGAATCGCAGTTGCCTCGAATGTTGGTTTGGTTGGAGAAATCCACGATTTCCCAATCCAGTGCATGTTTACTGCCTGGTAGATGCCTCAGTCACCAGCTTGCAATTCTGGCAGGGAAACACCATCAATGGCTCCTGCACTCCACCTATCCTGAGGTACAGAGTATACTAGGTAGGTAGGCATGCTGCATTGACGTCCCTGCCAGTAGTTACAATGCCCCAACAGCCCGATTTGATGCTCCTGGTCAAGGCCCCAGACGGTCCTTCTTTCCAGTTTGGCTTTTTCTACCAAGATTATATACAGCACTGCATATGGAGAATTTGTCCTCTCCACTGTTTGATCATGTCTATTATAGAGCGACATTGTCTCTTATTCCTCGTTCATTGCGAATTTCATTTTATCTTTAATCTAGTCATTTTATTACTTGCAGTGGGCGGGCTGCCTCTTGTACTGTCCGCGACGGTTGCTAAAGCAAACGTCATTTGGAGTTTCATCCTACAGGATGGGTGGGCAGGGAGGAGAGGAGGACAACCCCGAGGACAATCCCGAGGACAATCCCGAGGACAATCCCGAGGACAATCCCGAGGACAATACCGAGGGCGATCCAACGACCCCCTCACAGTATCAATGTGTCGTGTGCAGGGAGTATGGACCCGAGAAGGACAGGATAGGTAGCCGTTGCTTTCATTGCTACTGCAAAGACTGTCTCATTCGTTACCTCGAGCATTCTCTTGCCCAGGATTTCTTTTTCCCTCCCGAGTGTTGTGGCGAACCAATTCCATTGACTGCCATGCTGATCTTCCTGAGTCCTGACCTCATTGAACGGTACCTCGAAAGAGTGGTCGAGAAGAACGACCGGGACAGGACCTACTGTGCAGACCCGCACTGCGCTCGCTATCTCCTTCCGGCCCAGGGATTAGACGACAGTGTTCGCTCGTGCAAAAAGTGCCCGACACGGACATGCACACGGTGCAAGACCAGATCGCACGATGGTGCTTGCATTGGCCAGGACTCGGAAGTGTTGCAAATGGCTATAGACGAAGGCTGGAAGCGTTGTCTCGAATGTCACAACCTCGTAGAGCTGATCTTTGGCTGCAACCATATCATGTACGAGCATAACCCCTCTATCGACTCGTACGAGCACACCCTCTGACCGGCGCTTGCTTATCCCCCTCTAGGTGCCGTTGCGGGTATGAATTCTGCTATAACTGCGGGGTCAAGTGGAAGCGATGCGAATGCGAAGTGTGGATCGCGGATCGGAGAAGGATGGCGAGAGAAATGGCTTACCGGTTTCTCGGTCAAGATCCGCAGCATCCTACACCCCGAGCAGTGTTCCAGCAACTGTCCCCGGTTCTGACGCATAGTCAATGTCCGCACGACGGCTGGCATAGCCTCAAGGGAGCATATCGATGTCAACTATGCCAAAAGAAACAGAGCAGGTTCATCTTAAGGTGTGGGCAATGTGGGATGCACGTCTGTATGCCTTGTCGATGGGGCATGGATCCTCAAAGGGGCGCGCATAATCGACGGGAGATGCGGCGTCAACGGGAGATGCGGCGTCAACGAGAATCGCAGCGTCAACTGGAAATGCAGCGTCAACTGGAAATGCATCGTCAATGGGAAATGCAGCGGCAATGGGAAATGCAGCGTCAACGGGAAATGAATCGTCAGTGGGGGATATGGCATCAATGGTACACGCATTATCAATGTCAGTCCGTCGGCTGGTCTAAGGTTTATGGAAGATATCAATGTCGACAATGCCTACGCATACTGAGCAACTTCATCCTCAAATGTGAGCAATGTGGATTAGGTGTCTGTGGGCGCTGTCGACGGGAGAGTGGTCTCTTAGTATAACCAAAGGTGGCTATTATCAGGCAATGGACTTGCTCATGATTGTTACTGGCTGGAAGACTGTCTGGAATGGGTGGAAAGAGACATTGGATACTGCATCCTTTCTATCTATCAGCATTGGCCAATTAGTCTCAGGATTCAACGATCTCTATCGTTTTTGAGTCCATCCAAATCTCTCCGATCATTCAGGTCCAGTTCGAGGGGCCCTGTAATGTACCGCCGTTTAAATGGTGGTATCAATCACCTTGTCGTCGCGTTAGAAATCAGGTCGTCCCCGAGGTCCTCAAAGTTGTGGATGTACTCCGTAGACTCACTACCCAAGAGTCAGCAACAAGGTCATCCACCCCTGTGTATCCCTCCCATTCCGATTCGTGGAGCCCAACCCAGCGGGTTGTTCAACATCCTCGAATAGTAGCCGGTATCGGTGGAGGTATCCCGACAGGTTGAAGAATGGCGTTTTCAGGCGACAACGGTTTGCTCCAATAAGGAGAGACGAAGCGGCGCCGCAGCCCTTGCAAACGCCCCTCCGTCTGGCTCCCCATTTATCAGCGGTCTCCAACCCAATCAGTCGTGTTTGCTTTGGGCTGGAAGAAGATTTCTCTCATCTCAGTTAGGCCACCTGCATGATTAGATAAGGCGAGGCTTTCCCCCTCTTCTTTTGAGATGTTTACGGTTGGTTGGGTTGAGATTGATGCCATCGGGGAGAGATTCACGTATACCTGGGGGGTTAATAGTGGGAGTAGGAGTGGGAGACTAGCAGTAGTAATATAACAGTAGTAGTAGTATAGTACCTTGGTTGTAGTAGTAGTAGAGTAGTATAGTACGGAGAAGTAGAGGAGGAGTAGTAGTGGTATAGTAGTAGATAGGAGTAGGAGTAGAGAGGACTGCCTCAGGCCGCACTCAGGTTTCCCTCTCCTTCTCTCCTGGTCTTTCAGGCTCTCTCAGGCTCTCTCTCACCCCGCTTTAACCATTTTTTCCCAGTTTATTTTTTCACTTGTTTCCCTTTTTTCACCCCTCTTTGTTTTTCTCTGTGGGAATCATTTCTGCAGTTTCTTGGTTTGTTCTCTCCTTCTTCAACCTTCTTCCTCTCTTCTCTCACTCACCTTTTGTGGAATTTCAGTACATAACAAAAGTCCTCGGTCTTTAAATGTAGGTGTACAAATGAATGAGGAGCGGGATGTTTGCTCTGTCCCCAGAATCCCCCCCAGAACCCTCAACGATTCCGATCTTTTGAGGGGCATTTGGTCTATTTTGAATTTTTTTTTATTTTTTTTTATTTTTTATTTTTTTTCCCTTTTTTTTTTCTGCCTATGCAATTAGTCGCTTCTTCACTTCAGCCCCCCTTCTGTCTACTGTTTTCTGTCTTCTCTCTCTCTGCTCATACAAGTGTCTTGTCGCTGATCTCAACCTTTTACTCGTCATCACTTCTACACCTTTACTAACTATACACCATCTCCAGTCATCTCTCTAACTCCACGTTACAATGTCCAAACTCTTTATCGGGTTCGTTCCCACCCCCACCGGCTCCGATCGACGGATTCCGGTTCGTCGATTCAGTCAAGCTTCATTCCACTGACCTTGACCCACCAGAGGCCTCGCATGGCACACCAATGACGATACTCTCCGCGAGGGTTTCTCCAAGTACGGTGCCGTTGAGGAAGCTGTCAGTATTCTCTCATCCCCTCCTGTCTCATTCTCATCGCTCACCCTTTCCAGGTTGTCGTCAAGGACCGCGACACCAACCGCAGCCGTGGTTTCGGTTTCGTCCGCTTCGCCAGCGATCAGGATGCCGACGCCGCCATGAACGCCATGAACAACCAGGAGTGAGCTTCCTTCTTTTCTTCTTTTTCTCTTTTTGGCCTCACCAAGAAGGTCTACCTTCGTGTGGAACACAACGCTTACAAAATCAGGTTCGACGGCCGCATCATCCGTGTTGACAAGGCCTCGGAGCGCTCCGACCGCAGCGGCGGCGGTGGTGGCTTCCACGGCCGTGGTGGATACAACCGTCCTGAGGGCAACGGCGGCGGCTACGGCGGCTACCGTGGTGGATACGGTGAGTTCTTCCTATCTTGAGTTCCAAATGCATGGGAAAGTGGTTAACATGGATCACAGGCGGCGGCGGCGGCGGCGGTGGTTACAACAACGGCGGCGGCTGGCGCAACCAGCAGCAGGAGCCTGCTGTCTAAACGTTGTCGATTCGGGTCTATCTGGCAAATCTTCGGTCACCATGCTGTGTTTTTTTTTTAAAAATCTTGCTACTCCACTACCCTGCACTACCCAAGCGATGAGATACGATCATGAAGGAAATGATGCTTAGCTTGATAATGGACGACACAGAATGGCGGGATGATGCGTACTCCTTTTCGTTGATTTCCATTTCTTTTCTTTTCTCTTCTTCTCTTTCCATTGCGATGCAGACTCTCCCTGGGAGACCCGACTCTCCGCACAGCTCGATCACAGTGAATCATTGATTTCTCACCCTCCCCCCCCTCCCCCCCCCATTCCTCCCTTGATGTAAACCCAACGTCTGTGGGCCTAGTTGAGCACATGGGTGGAACGGGAACCAACCGACTTCGAACGCTCTAATCGTGTGTAAGAAAGATTTCCTACCGCCACTGCAAACAAGATACGTGCCGTCTATGCATGCATTTGGAGCGATTAAAGCCATCTATCTATCTACTCGGCATCCCGCATCCCCCTGCCTATATCCTACGACCTCCCAAGCGACTCCCTAAGATCCCTCTCCGCAGCCTCCTCTTCCTCCCTCGCCCTATCCACCGTCTCCAGAGCCTTAACCCGCCTCACCAAATCCGTAACATGGCCATCCGCACTCCCCAACCCCAACCCCTCCAGCGCCTTCTCCAACAAATAAAGATACTCAGAGTTCCTCCCGCTCTGGCCCTCTCCCCGCACCACCACCTCCGCCACATCCTGCTGCTCGCGCCGGGCCGGATCCCGCAGGAACTGCGGATTCGACGGCTGCCCGATGTAGACCATGCAGGTGATGGGGGAGGACGCCGAGGTGTCGCCTGACAAGGGGTGGAACGGCGTGTAGTGCACGCTGTAGCCGTCGATCTCGCGCACGTCGAGGTAGTCGTGGACTTCCTCCGCGTGCGAGGCGGGAATGTGGTATGCTGCGCCCCAGACTTTGGTGTCTGTTGATTCGAGGTGGGATAGCTTTGGTTGTTAGTTGATTCTGTAGTAGTAGGACTTCCCGTGAGGGTTTATGGGTGATGGGTACATACCGGATCATCTAAGGTCTCCCAGAATTTCCGCTCGATGACAGTCACGACTCGTCCGGGGACTTCTGGCGTGCCTCGGTGGTCGGTACTGTTTGGTATTAGTTTTGATAACAGTGCAAGTGAAGTTGTTTGGAAGATTCTTACCTGGCCTGTTAGGTAGAATGACCTCATGTCAGTTTTGGTCTCTATATTAGAAAACAATAGAGCAGACAGGCAAATAGGAGGGGGATTAAATGGTGTAAACACACCTGCCAGAACCGGCGCACGTAGCCATCGATGTATCCCGGTACACGCTGGTCTATATATCGCATGAGCATCAGTATATACAACCAATCTCAAAGGAAATATAATACATACCATAATGCGGAGGAGGCTTCCAAATCAAACTCCTAAACATAGACAAATACTATCAGCCATCATCGAACCCTCCTATCCCCAGTCCAAGTCGTGGTGGTATAGATCAGGCTGACTTACCCATATCCGAAAACCCAAAGATCGCCGGCGGGGAAATGATTGCGCCATGTGCGGCCGTCCGGGGGCGTCTGGTGCCCCGTTTCGCCGGATTGCATTGTAGAAGACGGGCGATGTTCTATATGTTTATGTCCAATGTAGATCTATCCGTTGTTCTCTTGGGTATGTATATTGGGAATGGTCTATGCCAATTTTATGGTTAAGATTGCGGTGGGATGAAGGGATACGTGCGGTGTTTGCAGTGTTTGTTCTGCTTCTGTCTTCTATTCCGGTTGAGTAGATCGTCGGCCGTGATTGATTCTTTTGGACCATCTTTTATACCGATTTGAATGATATCATCTTTGTCGTTTATTGTGTGCTATAGTCTGAGACGGTACTTTCAGCTTTGTTATCTACAGTATACAACCATTACTGCTGTACGACCCACCACGGCAGGGAATGGTAATCTGTCATTGACCAACAACATCATCCAAGCTTCATCCAGGACAATCGCATTTCTACTTATAAAACATAATAGCTCGGGGTATCTACGTCTCGTATTCTATAACTCAATCCCACCATGGCGGGTCTTCTGCGTCTCCTTCGGACGCAATTTACGCCACCAACCGACCCAACCGGCATCTCATTCGCAGGCAAGACAGTCATCCTAACCGGGGCAACAGCCGGGTTAGGCTTCGAAGCAGCGCTGAAGCTCCTCAACCTAGGAGTCGAATCGCTCATCATCAGCAGTCGCAATGCAGACCGCGGCCAAGCAACCAAGGTCGAGCTCGAAGCGCGCACCAACCGACCCGGCGCGGTCTCCGTCTGGGAGCTGGAGATGGGCAGTTTCCAAAGCGTCAAGCGATTCGCCAACCGTGTTGACAAAGAGATCGACCGGCTGGACGTCGCCCTCCTAAACGCCGGGCTCTTCAATCGCGAATACGCCACTTCCCCAGAAGGGTGGGAGGAGACGTTGCAGGTTAACACGCTGTCCACGTCGCTTCTCGCGCTCTTACTGCTCCCCAAGCTACGGGCCGGGTCGACTGGGTCAGACCCGGCGCATCTCACCGTGGTGTCCAGTCAGCAGTTCGTCCGAGTCCAGGCGAAGAACCTCCGGACGTCGGCCCCCCTGTTAGAGCATCTGAACGACCCGAGGAACTTTGCTGGTCCCGCGCAGTACGGTATCTCGAAGCTCCTGCTGGAGTATGTGCTCAAGACTGTCGCGGGCAAGATCCGACAGGACGACGGCAGTGTCCCTGTTATTATCAACACAGTGAGTCCTGGGTTTTGCGCCTCGTCTCTCGGGCGTCAGTTCAATCGGTTTTACGAGCGATGGGTCACCTGGGTGGTCTACAAGCTCTTTGCGCGCACTGCCGAGCAGGGGAGTCGGTCGCTGGTGAGTGGAACGTACCAGGGGGTGGAGGCGCATGGGAAATGCTGGCGGAGTGATGGCTATCTGGAGTGAGTGTTGAGCCTCTTGTCCCCTACGATCTTACTCCGTATGCTGACTATGACAGCGAATCGACAGCTCTGACCGTTGGGGAGGAGGGGAGGCAGTTCCAGGACAAGGCTTATTCAGAGATCCTGGCGGTGCTACAGGCGCAGTCGGCGGACGTAGAGCGAGGACTGTAACGTATGATGATGGCGATCGAGTAATTATTTCCAAACAATGAACAGACATATACGCGTAAGACACGCCAGTTGGGGCGTCTGCCAGCCAGCTGGAACCAACCTGGGTATCTCTTGGCGTTCCGGACATGAACGAACGCGGGCCCCACGAGATCCGCAGGCGAGCAAGTCAATCCATCCACCGTCACCGGAATTTCTCCTGAACTCCTGACGCTTTCTGTCCATCACTTTGCCCACTCCCCCCCTTCTCTCACGTTGTCGGGGGCTTTCTATCCCCCTTCACTTCTACGTCTATTTCTCTTGTCTCTTAGAGCCTCTTACCTCTACACCCCCCCCCATTGAGTCCGATCGGTACCGTCGCGCCCATTACGTCAGCTCGAACCCACGATGGCGTACAACAGATCCTACAATCCGGATGCGCTCCCTGCGTAAGTGAAGCTCGCCATGACCCCCATGGTGTGCCTGTCATGGGCGACGATCACTAACTGACAGGCCAAATCCAACAGACATGCCGAGCCTGAACAGGTGCGAAGTGCCCGCCCAATCCAGCCAGCGCCAGATGCTGTCTAACCAACCCGCCCCAGCCACCCCCGCAAAGCTAACCAGATGAGTCCCCAATGTCCAGGTCGCCCAGATGATGGGTGCCATGTCCACCGGTCCCCCCCAGCAAAAGCCGCCTCGCAGCTCGCCCCAAGTCCACGGCGGTGTGCCAGCGCGAGTGCCCGTCTCCAGCGCCCCCTCCTCCCAACACCACTATTCGGCCTCGGGCGCGCGTCCTCTCCCCTCGCAGCAATCCTACCATTCCAAGCCGACCCCCCCAATGAAGAACCCCTATAGCGCGAAGCCGCAGCCCCCACCGCCCACCACGCAGTCGCGCCCGAATCTCCACCCGTCGCCGCCCCCGCAGAACTACGGCTTCGGGCCCCCGCCCGCCCAGCGCACCCGTCCCCCACAAATGTCGCGACCGCCGCAGTCACCCAACCCGCCCCCGCTGTCCGCGCCCGAGGACGACCCGCAACAGCTCTTCCCGCTCTTCCGGGCGGCGAATGCGTCGCACACGGGGGCCCTAACGGAGCTCGAACTGGGGTCGGCGCTCGTCAACGGCGACTTCACGTCGTTCCACCCGCGCACGGTGAAAACGATGATCCGCATGTTCGACCGCAACAACAGCGGGACGATCTCGTTCGACGAGTTCGTGTCGCTGTGGCGGTACCTGGCGGCGTGGCGGGAGCTGTTCGACCGGTTCGACGAGGACCGCAGCGGGCGCATCAGTCTGCCGGAGTTTGAGAAGGCGCTGGTCGCGTTTGGGTATCGGCTGAGCCCGTCGTTTGTGACGGTGCTGTTTACGACGTTCGAGAGCAAGGGGAAGCTGATGAGCGATCCGCGCAAGGGGCCGGTGCAGATGGGGATGAGCTTCGATCTGTTTGTGCAGGCTTGTATCAGTCTGCGGCGCATGACGGATGCGTTTAAGCGGTATGATGATGATCGTGATGGGTATATCACGGTGAGCTTTGAGGAGTTTTTAACGGGTGAGTTTTTTTTTTCATACTGTGGGGGGTATGACTGGTCTTTTTTGCTTACTTTTCTGGACAGAGATTCTTCAGTTACAGGATTAGACGGGTGATGTTTTCTCTTTATTGTTTTTTATCCTGCATGTGGTTTGATGCATACAACACGTGGAACTACTGTATATACCCATATCAATTGACGGTGTTCTACTAGCCCTTACTTGGTATATAGGTAAATCACGTAGTATATTTATATCTATGTATATATAGATATATGATTATATCTATAATTACCTGTAATATAGAGACATAGTAGATAAAGACAGTCGGAGATAACCGACGGCAATCGCCGCAGCTTATCGCCGAGCGGAATCTCCCGCCAAAAGCATCGAAAAATCCAAGTGTGACTCAACAAGGAGTCTTTTTCTCACTTGTCTCGGATCTTTTTCTCTCCCATCAGTGCAACAAGAGACACAGCACCAACTGATCCAGACGGTCTCGCCAATGTCGGAACCTCAGAATCCTCTCGGGGAAATTCACACAAATCAGAACCCGCCCGATCAGACCGCGAAAGAAACGGCGGTCTCGAATAGCTCGGCTTCCCCACCGCAGTCGCCCGCCGACCAAGACCGAGGGCACAATGAGTCGAGGGAAATGAATGAGCAGAATGATGGGGGTGAGGGCGCAGGGGAGAAAGATGCGGAGGGCGCTGCGCTCGATCGCACGCCGTCGCAGGCGCAGAAATTGGGCAAGAAGAATATCGCCATTGTCATGACGGCGCTTTGTGTATGCCTCCCCCCGCTTCTATTTGGCTGGACGGCTGGCTGCATACGAGATGAATCATGGGTTGGAACTGATGGCTAACGTGGTTGATATAGTTGGCGTTGTTTCTTGCAGCTTTGGATATGGTCGGTTTCCCTCCCCCGCGCGCATATGATATCAGAAAATGAAGCAGACGACTGACTCAATCGATAGACTATCGTTTCCACTGCCTTACCCACCATGGCTGCCCATTTTCACGCCTCGGAAAGCGGATACTCGTGGATGGCCTCGTCCTACCTCCTCGCCAATGCCTCGTGCGTCCCCCTGTGGGGGAAGATCAGTGATATTTGGGGGCGGAAACCCATCCTCCTCCTGGCCAACATGCTCTTCCTGGCATCCAGCTTGATCTGCGCGCTGGCCATCAACCTGCCGATGATCCTCGCGGGCCGAGCCCTCCAGGGCATCGGCGGCGGCGGGATCATCGTGCTGGCCAACATCAGCGTGTCGGACCTGTTCAGCGTCCGCGACCGACCCATGTACTACGGCCTCTTCGGCGCCACCTGGGCCATCGCGGGCGCCCTGGGCCCCATCATCGGTGGCGCGTTCACAACCAGCGTCACCTGGCGCTGGTGCTTCTACCTCAACCTCCCCATCGGCGGCGTCTCCCTCGCGGCGCTCTTCTTCTTCCTCCACATCGAGTCCAGCAAGACGCCCTTCCTCGACGGCCTCCGCGCCATCGACTGGGTCGGCACGCTCCTCATCATCGGCGGCACGCTGATGTTCCTCTTCGGGCTCGAATTCGGCGGCATCAACTACCCCTGGTCTTCCCCCACCGTCATCTGCCTCATCGTCTTCGGCGTCCTCACCTGGACGCTCGCCCTCCTCTACGAGTGGAAGTTCGCCAAATACCCCGTCATCCCCACCCGCATCTTCAACAACTGGCACAACGTCACCATCCTCGTCATCTGCTTCTGCCACTCCTTCGTCTTCATCGCCGGCTCCTACTACCTCCCCCTTTACTTCCAGACCGTCCTCCTCGCCACCCCGATCCTCTCCGGCGTCTACGTCCTCCCCATGGTCCTCTCCCTCTCCGTCCTCTCCGCCGTCACGGGAATCTCCATCAAAAAAACCGGCCGCTACCGCGAACTCATCGTCGGCGGCCTCTTCTTCCTCACCCTCGGCTACGGCCTCCTCATAGACCTCAAGCCCTACGCCTCCTGGCCCCGCATAATCATCTACCAACTCATCGGCGGCATCGGCGCCGGCCCCATCTTCCAGGCGCCCCTCGTCGCCCTCCAAGCAAACATCCACCCCGCAGACGTAGCAGCCGCAACCGCCACCTTCGGCTTCCTGCGCCAAACCTCCGCCGCAATGTCCGTCGTCCTCGGCACAGTCATCTACCAGAACGTGCTGGGCCAGCAAATGCCGCGCGTCGCAGCCGTCATCGGGCCCAAGAACACCGCCGCCATCGCGCACTCCTTCTCCGGCTCCCAGGCGCCCCTCATCCGCTCCCTGCCCCAAAACCAACAATCCGCCATCCTCACAGCCTTCAACTTCACCCTCTCCCGCATGTGGATCTTCTACACGGCCATCGCGGCCGCCGGCCTCATCATCAGCCTGTTCATTCGTCCTGTCGTGCTGAATAAGAACCACACTGTTGTGAAGACGGGTCTTGCAGAGCAGGAGCGCGCCAGGTTGGAGATTCTGGCGGAGCAGCGGGATAAGGACCAGCGGAAGAAGGAGGTGGTTTGACCCTTACACCTTGACCTAATTATATATACCCTTTTCTTTCTCTTTTCTTTGTGGTCTGTTTTTCTTATTATATAATTAATTCCCGGGGATAGGGTATATATATATATATATTGTTTGGCTTGGTTTGGTTGAACTTGATACCGCCGTTTCGGTTGGTTTGGATATCTTCATGTGCATAATTATATACTCTTTTGGTGGTACTCAACATACCACTGATCTATATACTCTGTTGGTGAAACTTAATACGCCGCTGAAGTCATACATTCAGCGATCTGGAACATTGTTGCTCTCAGAGCTACTTCTGAGCTATATAGCTCTTTCATTACTATTCCATGTACGATAATCTGATTATAAGTAAATGTAATATAAAATGAAACCAGTGTATTCCACACCTAGATAATAGTCACATTTATTTACATTATTCCACAGTGGTAATAACCAAAACCCAGATCCAATAACAAACAAAGAAAAGAAAAAAGAAAGAAAGAAAAAGACAGACAACGCCGCCCCAACCCGCCCAGCCGACGAGAGTCAAGGTAGATAGATAGGTAGGTAGATAACGTAAGGTAACAGTGTTTGCCCCCACTTCAGTGCGGTGGGGTCCTTTTTAGTAAGACATCCGTCCAGGAGGACGGGACGATACCAGTGTAGATAATCCACACTCATGCAACAAAGTAGAGAAGATAAGGAAGGGGTATATGGAGACGTGGAAAGAAACCAAGGGGACAAAAAAAAATCATTCAAGGAAGGTCAAGAGAAACCACGCCATAGCTCGAACGCCATGAGATGCCAGACACAACAGATGGATAGGGATAGTCATATGAAACAGATCACATCCCAAAAAGCAGAAGGCGACTACGTTTTGGTCTTCTTAGAGGCACCCTCACCGCTGCCTCCCCCCTCCGGACTCTTGCGCTTCTTGTCCGGCTCGTCGTCGCGGGAGAAGCCCGGGCCGGTGGGCCCCGACGGGGTCGGGAAGGTCAGCGGGCTCGGAAGCATGTTGCTGTCGGGCCCGGACCGGCCGAAACCCCACTCGGGGAAGAAGCTGGAGGGGGACGGGAGGAGCGCATCCGAGACGAACCGGCTGGGCAGCGCCGAAATGGGGGTCTCGATGTTGTTGTTGGCGCCGTAGGCGGCAGCGTTCTGCGCGGCCGCGGCGCCCGGGGGCGGGGCCGGGCGAACGGATTCGGCGGCCCCTGGGCCCCGGCGCTCAGGAGGGCGCCGGCGGAGGGGGACGGCGGCGGGAGGACGACGGCGGACGAGGAGCCGTCCGGGTTGTTGGCCTTGGCCGGGGTGAGGGCCTTGTGGCCGGCGGACGAGGAGTCGTCGGCGGTGGCACTGCCCGGCTCCGAGTGTTCACTGGGGATCTGCACCTTGAGCTGAGGCCGTTTGGGGGCCACCGCCGACCCGCTGTTGGTCCGGGACGGTGGCTTGAGCTCGGCGGACGCCGCCCCCGGGGCGTGTCGGTGGCGGCCCGGCGCGGGGGCGGCGGGGCGGACTGCGTCGTCGCGGCCGTCCCGACGGCGGGCGATGCCTCCCGCGACGCCTCCCCGGCTCCATCCGTCGTGTCGGGGCGCGGCGACGGAGGCCCCAGCCCGAAGTGACGCGCCAACACCGAGCCGCGGTCGTCGATGGGCGTGAAGATGCTCCGGGACTTGGAGGAGAGCGACCGCGGCGGGTGCGGGGGGTGGGACTGGTGGGACGGGTGTGGGGGCGGCTGCGGCGACTGGCTCCCTTCGGTCTTCACCGGAGGCGCCCGGGGCGGGTGGTCGGTCGCGGGACCGTCGGGCATGGAGACCGTCCGCGAGGGGTGGGACGGCGGCGGCTCGGCGGGGAAGGTGGGAGGCATCGAATTCCGCTGGTCGGGCAAGTAGGCGGGGGCGACGGCGGGGTGCGGCGGGGCTTGCGACAGCGTCAGGGCGGGCGCGTGCTGGGCCATGGCATGATGATGCGGTTGCGGGGGCGCGACGGACTGGGGCGGCGGGTGATGATGCGCCATGGTGTGCGGGGGCATGGGCCCGTGATGGGCAAACTGGGCGTAATGACCGGGTCGTGGCGGGGCCCCAGGGTGGTAGACGGAGGGATTGGGCATGTAGGTGAAGCCATTCTGCGGGGGCGGGGGCGTGGCCTGGTGGTGGCCCGGAGCCAGGTGACCGCTCACGCGACGGAGGTTATTGCGGGACGAAGGTCGGGAGACGACCTGGGGCTGGGGGGTGCCGTGACGCGGAATGACGGGCATGCCGTTGGGAAGGGGGGGTGAGGCGGACGGGGCATGATGGACGTGCTGGAAACCGGGATGATGTTGCATGTGCGGCGGGAGCATGGGGGGTGGATTTTGGGGGGGAGTGGGGTGCATGTCATCGGGGGCCGGGGTGTCCTCATCGTCATCGTCGTCGTCGTCGCGCTTCCCAGAGAAGTCTTCGGGGCCTTTGTGCTCGTGGGGCGGGCCATACTACGGGGGTCAACACCTTTTTTTCTTTCGACCCGGGGAGGGGGGAGAGGAGACGAACATATTGATAACGATTTAATGTCTCGTGCATGTCACATGACGAGAACTCGTAGAGCTTCTTGTTGGACCCAAAGATGATGACGGCGACATCGACGGAGCAGAGGACGGCGAGCTCGTGCGCCTTCTTGAAGAGACCGCCTTTACGCTTGAGGAAGGTACTGGGGATGTCAGCGGTAGATCTTTGGAGGGAGAAGGAGGGGAAACATACACGGAGCGGTTGCGATCATCTTTGATGGCCTTGATTTCGATCTTTCGTCGACCCATCAGGGAGGATTGGCGACTGAGGCGCGGGGGACTGAGGCGCGGAGGGAGGATGAAACAGGGGGGAAAGGGTTGGATCAACCAATATGACAGCCAAAAAGGGAGATGACAGGCAGGAAGGGCAGAGGATGGAAAAGCGAGTGGAGAAGCAAGATAGTGCTTAGTGAAATCGGGGGGGACAACCTTAAAAAAGCGAGACTATTTTTAGCACTGGGGGGGAGAGAAAGAGGTGGAGAGAAAGGGAAGAAACAGGGGAACGAGAGAGGGTAGTAGATGGGAAGGGGAGAGGGAGAGAGAGAGATAAAGAGGAAGAGGAAGAGGAAGAGGAAGAGGAAGAGAGAGGAGAGATGAGAGAGAGGATGGAGTGAGAAGTTGAAAGAGAAGAAGAAGAAGAAGAAGAAGAAGAAGAGAAGAGGAGAAGAGAGAGAGAGAGAGAGAGAGAGAGAGAGAGGAAGAGAGATGTGGTTGGATGATTAATGGGATAAAATCCACATAAAATAATACAAATCAGGATGGGATAATGAAATGTGGAAACCTCAGGCACCTACCGTGGGAGAATGACAGGGAGAGAGCGGGAGACCGGGAGGAAAAGAGGGGGTGGAGAGGAGAGAGCGAGGGAGAGATAGAGACTCTACAATGAGAGACTGAAGTTGATGATGATAAAGATGAAGCTGATGATGATCGATGGACAGAGATAGAGAGAGGTTGAGAGAATGACAGCGGATGCAGAATTCTATGAATAGATCGTGGATGAGTCAGCACCGTCTGACCGCCTTCGCTGTACCTGAGGCATCCATGGGGTTGATATCTACTTCATCTGTCAATATACATATTATCTATATTATTACATTTATATCATTATATCTATATTATATCTATATTATATTTATATTTATATGTATGTAGATACTTAATCATTATTATCAGTAATAGATGCTAATCGTCAATAGTATATAAAAAAAATGATAGATAAAAATGTACCAAGGTTTCCCGCGTAAAATTAAATCCCCCTGAAACAAGTAGATCCTCTTCTCTCTCTCTCTCTCTCTCTCTTCTACTTCACTTCTTCTTCTTCTTCTTCTCTCACTTCATCCACTCTCTCCATTCCCTTCTGTCTTCTCTTCTTTCCTCTTTCCCATGGTCATCTCCCCTGTTTCAGCCTGTCCCCTCTGCTGGGATTGATCCGATCTGTATTTGTATTCATCCTTCCTCTTTGGTCCATTTTTGACCTACTCCACACTAACCTGCGGCCCCATCGACCTGCAGGTTATCATCGGGCCACCTCGTTGTCACTGGATCTTTCTTTTCTCTGCTCTCTTCTCTTGTCTGTGCTTCATTCTCTGTGTCTTACTCGCTTCTCTCTTCCAATTCAATCCCCACTTCATCTGCTCTCCTCGTTGTCATCATTTCCCCCAACGTCCCCCTTCCCTGATCCCTCCCCTGTTCCCCAGATCCCTCCCTGATCATCCCTGATCCTCCCTGATACCTCCCTGATACATCCCTCGCACGGTTCATCCTGCAGTCGGACATCCTTCTGGATGAAATTACAGGACTCCTCCACTTGATTCGAATTTTCTATCCCTCTCTCCCTCTTTTTCTCCCTCTTTTCCGTGTTTTTTTTTTATTTCTCTTCTTCAAACTCAACGGAGGGACCGTTGGATAGACTTTCAACTTCCGCGACTTCCCCTCCAATTGAATCCCATTCTGGCGTGTCTCCGCTGCAAAATGCCCTTCTTCACCCGTGTCTTCCGGGGCAAAGACGCCACCGCTTCCAAAAAACCTGCCAAACCTTCCCCTCTCGACGATGCCGGCCCTCCGAAACCCTCCTGGACCGACGCCTGGCAGCGGACCGAGGTCGCTCCCGAAGAAGTCCAGGATCTATTACGTGCCTGTACCAAGGAATTGAAAGCCAGAGGTATGTTGACACCGCCTTCCTTGACGTCAAGCTCTCTTTTCCCCACCCCGGAGCCTGCGTGGCATGCGGGCCCATTCGCAATTCTTCTCGACCCGTGGCTGATCAATCCCAGCCCTCCAGATCCCCTTCCTCCTCCTCCCCTTCCGTCCCAGCTCCGATGCCAGCGCCGCTCGCTCCTTCATTCGCAATTACTTTGACCAATCTTTCAAGAATGGCGCTCCCGTCACCGGCGAGACCTTGTCCCGAGAATTACGCCTGTCCGATCCGACGGTGAGTCTTCACCCTTCTCCAACGATACAAGTTGCCCCGAAAACCCCCCTCCTGATAAAGTCTAGGTCCTGTGTAGCGTCCTGAAATGGTGCTGGAGCCGACTCCCCGGCGGAGTCGTCACCTGGGAGGCCTACGAGCTGTTCAAGGTCGGCGAACAAGACTCCAACCTCGCCCGCGACGCCTTCACCACCTTCATCCCCATCAGCGTCGACTCCGACGCCCGCGCCAAGATCATCTTTGACTTCTTCGACCTGCTGGCCGCCATCGCCGCCCATGCCAAATCCAACGGTCTCGGCGGCCGCAAGCTCTCCCGATATGCCGGCTGGTGGGCCTTTGAGCATGTCGATGCCGCCAAGGGGTTCGAGGAATCCTACAAGAGTTGGGCCAGCGCCGCCGATGCCACCAGTCACCTCTTCTTCGCCTACCTCCGCTCCCTCTCCCCCGATTCCGCCCGCGGCGTCAACAGCATCGCGACCCTCCCCATCACCCTGCAGTCCCTCGTCCAGGCCACCGAGTATCCCCCCGAGACCCCCACTCTCCTCCAGGTCACCACCACCAAGGTCGTCATGATCGTCGACACCGTCTCCCCCACCCCCGTCGCCCTCTTGCGCCGCGCCACCAACTTCGAATACCGCGACAGTGACCACCACCTGCAGGAGTTCGCCGCCTACGACGACCCTCTCCGCGCCCTGACCGACGAGTGCCTCCGCGTCCTGCGCTCCATCGCCGCCGCCAACCCCTCCACCATCCCCGAGGACACCCCGGCCGCCCGCGACGCCACCTGGTCGCGCTTCGAGGACATTGGCTTCGGCGGCAGTCTCGACTCCGACCTCGACACCAGCTCCCCCCGCCCGTCGAGCCACGGCGGCAGTGGCCGCTCCTCCTCCGCCGCCGCCGCCGTCACCACCCCCAGGGCCACCGTCCCCCGCGGCCGTCCCACCACCCCGTCCTGGGCCGATTTCATGTCCTCCGGCTTCGCCGAGAGCAGTGGCATGAAGGGCCCCATGGCCCCCATGCTGCTGCCCCCGGACAAGATCCTGCCCCCGCTCGAGGCTGTCCGCGGTCAGAGCTCGCAGTCGCATCGTCGCCCCCTCGACTCCGACTCCACCATCGAGCCCGCCGAGCTGGCCAGCATCACCACCCTCGATCTCGACGACTCCTTCTGGTGGGTCTGGATCAGCAGTCTGGCCGGCGAGGAGCCCGCCGTCCGCAAGGCCGTCTTCGGCCGCTGCGCCTTGCTCGAGACCGTCCTCCGCGGCGCCAAGTGGCTCGTCCTCGAGGAGCAGGTTCCCGGGGCCGCCCCCGAGCCGGATCCCGGTGCCTACCTCGTCGAGAAGAAGCGCTTCCTGGGCTTCTCCACCCGCAAGCGCCTGGGCCGCCGCAAGTCCTCCGCCAAGCGCACCGGAACCGGCGCCGAGCCCTACGACCCCCGCGCCGGCAACCCCGCCCCGCAGAGCAAGACCAGCATCGCCCCCGATCAGCACGCGCGCATCCAGGCCGCCGCCGCCGCCCTCCAGCGGAAGCACCGCGAGCAGGAGGCCGAGGCGGCCGGTCCCGCCCCCGAGGAGCCGCCCCTCTCGTCCAAGGTCAAGACTCACTCCGTCTTGACCCTGCAGCCCTCCATCATCGGCGAGGCCTCCCAGGCCATGAAGTGGGCCAGCAACTACGACAAGCACACCTACCGCACCGCCTACATGAGCGATTCCCGTGCGGGCACCGGGGCCCCGACGGACGACGACGCCCCCGCCCAACGTCCGCCATCGCCTCCGGCCCGGGCCCCCACCACCACCACCACCACCACCCAGGGGCCCCCGCCGCCGGCGGCCTCGTCCTCATCCCCCGTGCCGCCACCCAAGGACGAGACCCCGGCGGCCAGTCGCAAAGGCAGCACCACCCACCCGCCGCTGGAGTCGGTCACTACATCGGAACCGACCCCGAAGCCGTCCACGGATTCCACGGATTCCCGCCCCCGCCTCAAGAAGAAGCCCGGCAACTCGGCATTCAAGAGCATGTTTGGCACCACCAAGAAGAAGAACCCCGAGGCGGCGGCGGCGGCGGCGCCCCCCGTGAAGCCCACCGGCGGATCGGCCGTGGCGGCCGCCCGCGCGGCCCTCGAAGACAAGGCCCGCGCGTCCCAGGCGCCACCGCCGGTCCGTGCCGCCCCGCACACACCGTCGACCCTTCGCAAGCAGCGACCCACGCCCGTGGCCGCCGCCGCCGCGGACGCCCCGCCCGCCCCGGAGTCGCCTGTCTCTCCCATCTCGCCCGTTGCGCCGCCGGCCCCGGCCCACCCCGCGTCGAATGGCGGCGACCACCCCCGACGGGACGCCGAGTACGACGCCCTGTCCCGGGTCGACACGAACGAGAAGGCTGCGGCGGACCGGGAATTCTCCCGATTCGATCAAGGGCCCTTGATGGACCAGCCCGCGTTCGCCCCCGAGTCCCCCGAGTCCGAAGCCGTCTCGGGGCAGCCCCGGCCGTCCGCTGAGGCCTCCGGCGCGACGCCCCGGGCGTCGGAATCGTCGGCCTCCCCGGCCAACCCATCGTACGACCGCTGGGCGCAGATCCGCCGGAATGCGGCCGAACGGGCCGCGCAGTCGGATCCGGCCCAGATGAGTGGCACCGACGACGGAAACACCAGCGAGGAAGAGAGTACGTTCAGCCAGTAGTTACCCTAATGTTCAACCACTAACACCGATCTAGGTTTCGAAACCCGCGCCGCGCGGATCAAAGCCCGAGTAGCCGAGCTGACGGGCAACATGCAGCAGCAAAACTAAGCCATTTTCCTCAATTCTCCTTCTCGATTTTTCTTTCCAATTTTTCCAATTTCCTTCTACCCGCTTGACAGCGTTCCTTTTGTATTTTGACTTCTCCTTCGGTTCTTTTCCTCGACTTCTTCTCGCGTGCATGAGCCCAACATGCCATCCCGCAATTCTGCGCCAACCAGGCAGACGAATGACGGACCTACGCCGCAATGCCTCACGCACGCACGCATTTATCATTCCATTCTTCTTTCGTTTCGATCGTTCGTCACTCGACGGGTGTTTGAAACGACCCTTTTATATCCAACCCTTATACCTGCTTTGGTTTTTGATTCCCCAATTTTGCTCTGCGCTGATTTACTCGGTCTTATCCCCTATGTTCAATTATTTATTCTTCAATTGATAGGACAGAATTGGTCTGACTATCTTTTTATTTACTTTTTCTACCTCGTCTCCCTTTTCTTCTCCTAAATATATCACAATCTCTCGAGTGCGACTTCGTTCGTTATATAACCCTATATAAATCTTTATCTCTAGTTTGTGATGGTTGGATAGTACTAATCAGTGACAGTGAATCATTTGTGCTACTATTCTACTATGTCCGTCTTTTTAGGTTCTTCTTTTAGTGCTATCTATATATAAATACGTTGGGAAATAATATCCAAAGTAAAAAAGTAAAGTAAAACGAAACCGAAGAGATAAATTAACTAAACAATTCAAGCAAGGTAAGTAAGTGCCAAAGAAACAAGATACTATAAAAATATGTTTGTATATATTTTCGAAAGCGGTTGTCAGATTACAAATATATCACATCACTTCACTCCCAAATCTCCCCACAACTACTAGAAGAGTAGGTTCAACAACTCTTGTCTCGATTTATTTACTTATCTATCATCTATCATTTATCATCTACCATCTATTGTCGATGTTCTCTGTGAAGGAATCCTTGTAACAGAGACCAGAAAGATAAAGTGAACAAAGAATATAGAAAGAATAAGACACAAAGAATAGGAAGATGGAATGAAGATGAAAGTATCAAATAGAAGGAATAAAAAATATGTTAGTATTAAATCATAGACAAAAATGGGTGAGATCAAAATCAGTATCAGAATCAAAATCAAAATCAACCATAATGCATGTGAATGGATGGATGGATGGATGGGTATCGAATGTACAGACAGACAGACGGGCATGTATACACGGGTAAGATGTGACGTGAAAAAATGACAAAAAAGTACAAAAGTAAAGAATACAAAAAATGGAATAATAGAATGATAACAAGATGTATGAGGTAGGTAACACATGGACAAGAAGGGGAGGTAGACATGAACAAAATGGGTAGATAGATGGTGAACAGTAGTCCAAGTAAGAGATGTTAGACAAAGGGGGAATGAAAAAGAAATATGAAAACAAAGAAGAAGGGAAAAGAAAAAAAAAAAAGGTATCTTCATCTTCCCTAACTGTATAGACATCTATTTCTTTTTCTTTTCTCATCTGATATCTTCGTTGGTTTGTGTGTTGTTTTGCTGCGTCGTCTATAACGTATACCTCAACCGCCTCGTAGCCTCAACAGCAATAAGCGAGCTCAACGAGCCAATAAACAAACAGATAGAGATCGCATTCGGCGTATCCTTATCAAGATTCATCCACTGCGCATCGTTATTCGGCGCCGAATCATCGGGCTTCGTGCTCCCGGGTTCAAGGATACTGAACACGATCCAGCTGATAAAGGTGCCCACGAACTGCGGGAGCGTGGTGTACACGTTCAGCACGCCGAGGTAGATACCGGCTAACTCGCCCGTCGACGGGACGTTAGTGGAGGAGCCGCCCTCGACGTCGCTGTCGTCGCTGTCCGTGTCGTCGTGGTCGTGGTCGTGGTTGAGGCGCAGCACGTCGAGCTCGGTGTCGGCTGCGTTGGCGTCGCCGTAGGCGCCTGCTGCGCGGAGGCTGGACGAGGTGATCATTGTTACGCCTGAGCCGGAGGGGCGGTGGTTGGGGCCCAGGGCGAGCTTGTTGATTTCGACGCCCATGAAGGCGAAGGGCGCCCAGCAGGTGATGGCCCAGGGGATGCCGCAGAGGGCGACGAGGAAGGTTGCGAAGGCGCGGGAGCGCGCGAGGGGGGCGAAGATCATTGTTGCGGCGAACATGATGTGCGAGATGAGCCAGGTTAGTTGCAGGTCGGGGCGGTAGGCGGTGATGCGCTTGAGGAGCGCGGCTATGCCGGGGGGTGGGCGGGGTGTGAACCGCGGCCGTTTGCTGTCGGGGGGTTGCACGCAGAATGGGAGGAGCACGGAGCCGATGAAGGTGATGGAGGAGAAGACTACGAGGGATAGACTGCCGACGCGGCCGACTTCGCCTAGCATGTCGCTTGGCTGAATGGAGTCTTTGGGGACTTCGAAGCGGAAGTAGGTCTCGCCGACCCAGGTCGTGCTGTAGAAGAGGAAGGGGAACCAGCCTATACATGTTAGGATCGAGGTGTCCAGGTTATGAGGTATTCAGGTAATAGTAGGCGTACCAATCCAAGCCCAGAACTGCGCCCAGCAGATAGCTTGAATCCGCGGCGGCAGATCCATCGTCGTCTTGATAAGCTGCGAGATAACTTGCAGGGTTCCGGTCTTTTCGTCCGAGTCTCTGCGACAGGTTAGCATAAACGCCTGGGGAATAATCATCTCCGGCGACGCACCTTGCAGTGACCAAGACCCGCTCCTTCACGCAGTAGGACGTGACAGCGACGGCGATGAGCAACGACAGCGCCGCAATCACGGTCATCTGTTTGAACTGAGTGTCTCCGATGGTCGTCCCGAATATACTGACGGTGTCGATAGACCCGATGACGTATCCAATCAATTGACCGATAGCCGACATTCTAGTGGCTGTATGACCGATGTCAGTTACCGTTCTGCTTTGGAGGACGGATCCAAGACCTACCCCACGCTGACCCCGATTGCTGCGAGGAAATGGGCAACGTATCCACGATCAAGCTGCGACAGCATGCTTGGACTAGAAGGTGATAAGCTGTTAGATATCATGGGCCAGATGGAGACCGCTCCCGACACTCACCGATATTGATCGCAAAATCCACGGCGTAGATACTAAGAACCGCGAGAGCGATAGTCGCGTTGTTGGCCTAACATCCAGTAAGCGGCTAAGACGTGGGATATAGTACGAGGGGGGGGGGGGGGGGGGGGCGCGCAAAAAGGCACTCCTCACCTTCTCCGCATCCTTCACAAAAAGTCCAACAATCTCCGACGTCCAACCTAAAACCAACAAACACCCAGTCACAACGATCGACCCGAAGAGCATGAACGGCCGGCGTCTCCCCCATTTAGACCGGGACCGATCCGCAATCACCCCAATGAGCGGCTGGATAATGAGACCGGACAGCGGGCCGGCAATCCACACAAGCGACGTTCGCGATTTGGTCAAACCAAGCTGCAGGAGATACGGCGTACAATCTGGACACAACGAACGATACCGATGAGTAAGAGTAACAGGCGATCGAAACCGGACGACCGGGCTCAGACGGAGCAGGCGGGCTTGAGCTTACAAGTCATTTCAATACCCCAGGTGAACCTACATCGCGAGACAAAAGAAACCACGTCAGTACGATCCCGCACAAGGAAAGAGTAGGAATCGCTTTTCAAAAGAGCTAAATCAAACATACTGTAACCCCAACAAGCTAAAAGTCAACAGCGCCATGCGCATCGACTCCGTTTTCCCCCTGATGGACGGAGAGCCCACCCATCTTGCAGCTTGTGGCATCTTTCTTTTTTTTTATCGTTGGAGAAACCCCCTTATCGTGTCGAGATATGTACACCCCGCATGCGCTGGTCACCCTCGCGGAGCCAGCCTCTCCTTCCCGCGAACCGGGGGGCCGATGGGCGTCGGTTCGGGCTGTCGCGTGCTCACCACCAGACCTGTGTACAACCCTGCAACGCCTGATCGATCGCGGATATTCGGTGAGATGCTCGGTCGCGGTGGGGTCCCGGGTAAATTGATGGTGTCCGCGGGGTCAACAAAGGCGGGTTGAGGACGATTTGGCTGTCGCACGATGGGCTGTCGGAGGATAAAAATAGCAGCGAGGAATGGAAGGATGATCGAATTCCGCGAGACGGACGAGGGGCGAGAGACGGTGATGGAGATTCACCCAGCCGGGAATGATCGCAGGATAGACAGAGAATAGACAAAAAAAGCCCCGGGGCGAAACCGAGGTGAAGAAGAACAGAATAGGGGAGTTCAGATAAGGCAGAAGGAAAAAGACAAAAGGATTGAAGCCAAGCAAGGTCAGGTCGAGGAGGAAAAGCCCACACAAACAGCCAACACGCATGCATGCGGGACTCTCCCCCGGCCCGTCAAGGGTGGGAGACCCACTCCGGGCGTTATTAATAGTTGATGTCCTGAAACAGGGACCTTTTTTCAATCAATCTCCTCCATTCTTTTGATCGGATTAGATCATAGGGTGTCCGTCGGAGGACGGGGTCTCTACTCTCTACATTAATCTGTCTGATGCACGGACATCCCGCGGTTATTGGAGGTTTTCCACGATCCATCATGATGGCTCGTAACGGTTCACTGCCTTCGTTTCTAAATCGGACCGACGACAAAGAAAATATGAAAATATGAAAATAAAATATAGAAAAATAAATAAAAAAAGACAACAAGAACCGAACAAAGGAAAATTCGCGACAAAAATGAAAATCAATGGATATATCTCGTCATTGGCCCACCCGGATGCATCACTTCATATCGCCCTCCTTCCCGCTATATGGCTACCTCGTGTCATGTCGTAACAGCGAACAAACGATCCAGCACTGATAGCTGAGGTGATCGTCTTCAACGTATTTTGTACTTCTTTTTTTCTTCTGTTTTTTTATGGTTGTTTTCCCTCGTGGCTGTTCTCGCTTCTTTTGGCTTCCCCATCACATGTCAACCGCGACGCGGTCTACAGCCGGTTGGGAGCCGACGTCACCGGCCACTGGTAGCCAGCGGCGTCGCTGAATTTATATCCAAACGACGCGGTGAAGTCGTCGAGGACGGCGGGACCCCGGGAGCCTAACAACATTATTAGCCCACGTTCGCGTGGTTTGCCAGTGAGCGGGAGGGAAGGAAGAGGGCGAACATACCGTAAGGGTAATCCATGGGAATGATCTCCTTGTTGTCGTCCAGATAGTGGAGGAGAGGGCTGAACATCTTCCAGCTGGCGTCGAGCTCATCATCGCGGACGAAGTTGGAGTGGTCGCCCTTGAGCGCATCCAGGATCAGCGACTCGTACGCCTCGGGAATCTTGAGGTCGGAGAAGCGGCGGCGGTAGGTCAGGTCGAGCTCGGTCACCACGGTCTGCATGGACAGACCGGGCAGCTTGGAGTTCATCTTGATATACACCGACTCGTTGGGCTGGACGCGGATGACCAGCTCGTTGCGGGGGATGTCCTTGAAGATGCCCGAGGTGACATCACGGAATTGAATGCGGATCTCGGTCTTCTGCTCGTTCAGGGCTGCGATGGGCGGTCAGTCTCCCCCGGTCAAGCCAAACATAGAACCGCAAAGCATACCTTTACCGGCCTTCAGGATGAAAGGCACGCCGTCCCACCGCTCATTCTTGATGTACGCGACCATGGCGCAGAAAGTCGGGCACCGCGAGTCCTGGGGAACCGTGTCGTCCTCCTTGTACGCGGGCTTGCTGCCGTCCAGCGACTTGCCGTACTGGCCGATGATGACGTTCTTCGGCTCGATGGGGTCCATGGCGCGCAAAACACGAACCTACAGAGGTTAATACCGGCATGGTAAGGGAGGTGAGTTGTTTGGGTTACCTTCTCGTCACGGATATCTTCAGCCGAGAAGGAGATGGGACGCTCCATGGCAAGCAGCGTCAGAACTTGCAGGAGATCTGAGAAGACAGAGCAGGTCAGCAACCTTCCCATATCGGTCAACTAAAAGGTGCAGCGACTTACGGTTCTGCATCACGTCACGAATGATGCCAAACTCGTCAAAGTAACCCCCACGGCCCTCGGTGCCGAACGGCTCCTTAAACGTGATCTGTTCCGAGCGCACGTTAGTGACCCGCCGGAATTGAGTCCCACAAATAAAGATGGAAAGAGACATACCTGAACATTGTCGATGTGGTGGCGGTTCCAGGTGGCGTTGAAGAACTCGTTGCCAAAGCGCATGATCAGGATGTTCTTGACCATCTCCTTACCCAGGTAGTGGTCAATCCGGAAGATCTCCTCCTCCTTCCAGTTGGGCTCGAGGGCCTTTTGCAGCTCGCGCGAGCTGGTCAGGTCCTTGCCAAAAGGCTTCTCGACCTAGATGGGCAGACCGGATTAGTTGGAGGCCTGTGAGTGAACAATCCGGTCGACTCACGATAATCCGGGCGATGCCGTTCTTGGGGTAGCAGTTCTTCTTTAACTTCTCGGACACGGTGATGAAGACGCTGGGGGGAAGGGCCATGTAGAAGACACGGTTCTGCTCGCGGTGGCCCTTCTCGACGGTCTCCAGGTGCTTGTTCAGGTTGATGAAGGAGTCATCCTGGTCATATTGACCGGAGACGTAGGTGCAAAGCGCGCAGAAGCTATCCAACTGCTCCTCGATCTCCTTGGTGGGGGTCTTGATGTAGGATCGCACGCGTCTCAGGTACTCCTCGTGGTCCATGTTCGTCCGGGCATAACCGACGATCTTGATCCCCTTGGGCAGGAATTTGTTGCGGTACTGGAGGGCGGGTTAGCACCGGGGATCTCGAGTCACTCTCGGGGGCGAGATTGTGGAACATACGAGGCCAAAGAGGGCCGGGAACTATCCAGATCACAAAAAAAAAGAACCGTTAGTGAACTCGTCGCATTACCTGACACCAACCCAATCGAGGTGACTCACGGTCTTCTTCTTGGCCAGATCTCCGGATGCACCGAGGACAACAATGGCGGTGTCATCCTTGAGCTCGAGGGTGCTGCGTGAGTAACCCATATTAGCGTAAATCAGAGAGGGATTGAACGGTAGGTAAGGTGGTATCGTGGGATATGTAGAGAGGATGCGATTGGCAGCGTTTTAAAAAGCTCAAAAAGACAAATGACCAGGATAAAGATTGGGCAAAGAGGAAAGGATGAATCTCCAATGTTCAAGACGAATCAATTCCGTAGAAATTTCCAATGTGGAGGGGATTTTTTTAATCAAAGGAGACCAGGAAAGTGGCATTCTGGTGGGGGGAGAAGTTGTGGTGAGGGAGTGGGCGGGCAAAGCAGGCGGAGGGGTGTGATGTCAGAGAGCGAAAACTAGGTGGCAGCAATGGTGGTGGCAGTAGTAGTAGTAGTATTCAGACTCACCCAGCGTTCTGACGTTCCTCGGTACGAGCTATTGTGCTAGCCATGATGTAGTAATAGAGGAAATGGGGAAGGAAGTCTAAAAAGGTAAAGGGAAATGGGAAGAGGAAGAAAGAGGGGAAAGGAAGAGAGATGAGGAGGTTAAAGAGGAAAAAACTCCCAAAGTCCCGGGGCGGAGAGAGGTTTGGATTTTAACGTGAGGACTGCAGCTCCTCTCTCTATACCTCTCAGTCTTACGGCCTGCAAGGTGGGGCAACCGGCTGAGGTCAATCTGGCGGACTTCTCCAAATATCTACAAGCCCTGGATTGATAATTCTGGATTCTATGGATTCTTTGAGAGAGGATCTTCAACGGTCTATTTCTATCTCTCATCATTCTCATTCAATCGGTTGGAGTTGGTTTTTTTTGCGCATCATCTCAGAGCAATCCAGTCAATACTAAATCCTCCTTATCGATAGATGAATTTATCCGAACCAACTACCTAACCCAATTCGCCGGGATTTCTCATCCACTGATGAATGACTGGAGGGGTCTACCTTTCTGCCTTTTCTATTTTATTGATTTACTATTACTGATTGATTATCATGATGTTGATCTGTTCACCCCGCGTCGGAATTCAAACCCAACATTCAGGCCCACATCAGCACATAAGCACCGTCGAGATCTGAACAGGATTATCTCCCGACAAGAAAGAAGCACATCTACCCAGCGGAGACCGGTCAGATCAGAATCCCTCCGCAGGAAAGACGCTGACACCACGTTGGATGATAATATCGGTGGTGGAAATTTGAATGCCGGTGGAGCCTCTGATTGATAGTAAGCTATACCGATGTACGCTATACGCAGGGATATCTGTCTCCATGTACGCGACTCCGTTCAAAGAATGGGATGCACCACAGTCATCCCCAGCAGGATACTAGTCAAGAAGCGACTTCGGAACCCCACCAGGGAAAAATTCACTGGATGATCTGGGTTGGAAGATGCCGCTCTCGAAACCATCCTCCGGTGAAGGAGTCGCGGGGTTGAATTGTCGGATTTGTCATCCGACAGGATGGGACACTTTCATAGATACGATAGTAGTTCAACAAATTAAGTTACGGGATCCCTTTTCCCGTTGTAGTCTGAGGGAGAGATAATAAAAAAAGGGGTAACAAACCAATGATACTACAACGACTCAACGAGGATAATAGATTCGTACCAGACCGAGACGAGACGTTCGGCCCAGATGCCTCCGGGCTTAAGCTTAGCTGCCGATGCAGGGGCCGTGCTGATTTTCAACCGTTACAGCTAGGCGGGAGGGGGACCCCCCTTCAATACTAAATTCGACCCCCCTCGATACTAGAGAAGCAGTGTAGGATTCTCTCGCCATAATGCCTGTAAAACATGATTGGTTCATCATGGCAAATCCAAAAACAGCGAGGAAAGTGAAATGTGGCGTGCGGTTAAAGTATTCCAGAGAAATCATGTCAAATGATTGCCGATGCCAGGTGGGGCGGGGGACTCTGGCGATGTTTCCAAAAGGGTACTTTCGGTCTGATCGTGCCGCATGGAAAGATGGAGTCAGTCTCCAATCCTTGGCCCTCCCTCGCCGACAACAAAGTATACCAACCAGCCAACCTTGGATGATTGTTTACTGCGTCGGTCACGGCAGACCCAATCGAGAATCCCGTTCCGTGGCCATTCCTGAATCATAACACGACAACAGATCATCCTCCTACATTGAAGATCGTACAGCGGGATGCGATGCACCCCGTGGAAGACAACGAGGGATGTCCAATGCGTGGATCGAACTGCACGGAGATGGACCCAGTGTCGTCATTGGGGGAGACTCAACCGTCTGTTTTGTCAGTTCTGGCCGCTGGAGGCACAGAGCTCCTAACCTGGTGCAGTAGTCCAGCGAACCGGTCTCGGATCACTGTACCCCGACTGTACAATTGGAGATGGTGGGGGGTAAAGGCCAGAAAACAAGAGGAGGAAGTCCCAAGGAGACGCAGAGAAAGAAACAGGGAAATGCGGATGATGACTCAGATGATGATGATGACTCAGGGCTGACACATCCAATTGCACCGGAATGTAAGATCTATTCATCCGGGCTCGTCCCAAACGGGCTTAGTGGACTTAGAGCCAAGATCCATCACGGGACTTGACTTAGCCCTGGGCTGGATCGCTAAGCGTTCCCATTCGGGGTTAGGGCGAGCCGCGCCAAACACACCTCGCAAATTGTGACCATTGTGCGTCGTCCCCGACCTATCTCGAAGCGACGACAACCACCGACAAACCCGGACGACTTTTTGCGGGTCATCTCTACCTTCTTTCGACTTGCTTGCGTTGCCCGCTGCTGCTCAGAGAATCGCCGTCAGAATGCCTTCGGAACAAGGTCACAGACGTGAGTGCTTTTACCCGCCTGGTGGATGAATTCGCGGGCGCATTATATTGGATGTCGGCGGTGGATTTGGAGATGACTCGAGGAGGAGTGCTTTTTTGTCGGGAATATTGCTAACACTCTTTTTTCTTAACAGTCTATGTTAAGTAAGTTATTGAACACTCGTCCCGTCGAATCGCGCACGCCCGGAAACGAAGAAGGATAGGCCGACGGATTTACATATCGTGTCGCCTGGGGAATTTTGATGGACATGCGGATTGGGAAACCCACGACATTATCAGAGCAAGGAATTAACGCGAATCTTTCTCCAGGGGTCGCCACCTGAGCTACCAGCGCTCCAAGCGCCAGGTCAACCCCAACACCAGGTACGGATCAGCGTCATGAGATATCGGAATGGGAAACGGGACAATGGAATCTGACAATCACCCTAGTCTGATCAAGATCGACGGTGTTGACAACACTGATGCCGCCAAGTGAGTAATCTCCGAGGAATATCGGATTGGAGTTATGGGTCAGGAAGCTAAGACGAAACTACAGCTTCTACCTGGGCAAGAAGGTCGCTTTCGTCTACCGGGCCAAGCGTGAGGTTCGGGGCTCCAACATCCGGGTGATCTGGGGCAAGGTCACCCGCTCTCACGGTATGTGACCGAATCCCGATGATATCAGCATACCCGACGGGGGTTACGACAGAAGAACGTGAACTCACAATCATATAGGCAACTCCGGCGTTGTCCGTGCTCAGTTCCGCCACAACCTCCCCCCCAAGTCCTTCGGTGCTTCCGTCCGTGTCATGCTCTACCCCTCCAACATCTAAACGACCCCATTTTATATCATGTTGTTAGCTGGCACTTTTTTCCGGGAATTCTTTGCGCAGACGGTCGGGCAAAGGAAGTCGGGAAAATCGCCGATGTTGAATTGAGATGGGAGTTGGGCGGTTGAATAATGTTTCGTGGGAGAGGGCAGGGCCTGTTTTTCCGCCCTACGAATTGAAATAAAAGAAATCACTTTGTTTTTCCTTTTATTTGCTACATCATGTTGAATTTGGTCGGCTTCTGGACACTTTTTTATCGAAGGGGCTCTCTCCCACCCTGTTTAGGTACGGGGGTTCTGGAGAGCTCCGACGTGTCTTTTGTCTGACAAGCATGGCCTCCCGACGATCATAAAACACCAATCCATACCATTTCAACCATCGGTACTACTCCATTCTGCTTGGGCTTCGTGCGCTTGATTCTTGATAAGTGGGCTAGCATCGGCTGTGTACAGTTGTATATATTGGATCAGTTACCCATGCGACCACGATCCGATAGCTGTCACCCTTATCTATGTCTTGTATTGCATGTGTAGTGATCTAGCCACAGTCCGCAGATCTGACGTAGCCACAAAAGCCCACATACCGTTATACCTCAAGATCGGCACTGTTGCTCAACTATATCTACGGCATCTACTGTAACTACCCATCCCTACCGATCAAGGACCATTTATCTCTAACTGAGCAATTAATTACCACCATTGCACCAGGGGAGCCTTGCGCTGTAGTTAGTCGTTATCGTCTAGGCAGAAGCATACATCCTCTCCGATGTAGCACAAATCATTTGATGCATGATCGATGTAGATACGGGGTTTGTTCCCGCGCTTCAGGTATAAGGTATAGGGTACATGAGGTGGGGGAATAGAAGGGCATACACTGTATTTACGTGCAAACTTCTTCGGTAAGAGAACGGGTCAGTAGTTGCAATGGGGCCAAATGTAGTATATGATTGTGTAAATTGGACTCTGCATGTTATATATAGACGTTTACTGGATACTGATATCTTATCGCATGGTTCCTTTGGGTGTGGTCTGTTCTCATGTGGTTTATAGGGATTATTGTGAGTCTGGAAGGTTTCAGGTAAGCATCTTCCCTATACCCAACATATGTCAAAAGTACTCCGTACGTAGCGTAGTCATCTTACGCGACAACGCCGACTCAATCTGACATGTGGGTGAGACATCCATCATATAACTAGTCATGCATACACACAGACAAGACGGTTCTATTCGCCCATGACTCCCCTGAAACACCAAACCATGGAATTAACACGATCCGTGAGTCAATACCAAACAAGATGCTACCCCGCAAGAGAATTCGAAATCCAGGGTGAGCAGTGAGCAGAGAGTACTTCTGGAATCAAAACACCTTGCATGGAGTTAGTTTCATGGGAATTAAGGTGGACGCCATCCCCCACCCGCACGACCCACTGCGGTCGACCTGACGACGATCATCGATCTTTGGGATTGGATTGGATGACGCTCAACAGAAGATTTGAAGCCAGAGGGAACCATAGATAGATGTATACTGGAGTAAACCGCTGGATGGAGTGTTCGTTATTCTTTCCTTCTCATAACCATTTTCATTTATTTGATTGTGGCTGAGGCGCGGGGCAATCAATCCGCCATGCCTCGGAACACCACTGAGACACAAACCAGGCTAGATCTGGGATTGTACAGACAAGTGATCGGATTAGGCTTAACCCGTGAAAAATCAAAAGACAGTGTGACACCGTCCAGAGCGCTCTAGTCCGAGATGACCTCGACTGAGGTTACACCCAAGGCGATTGTGGATGCCAATGGGAAGATCACGGATGGATTCTTTGGATTGTCTTATCGTGGTACTGTGAGGGAAGTCAGAAGTGTGGTAAATAAGGGAAGCGATCATGAGTGAGTTGGTTATCGTGGGTTGTTTTCTGAAGGATTGGCCAACGCGTCGGTTGGATGGCGATACGCTAGACTGGAGGATGGATATAAATAGCCTGGCGTGAAGGATCTGATTGATGGAATGGTGTGGATGACGCAGCCTCGGTCGATCAGACAATGGAAACTAGTTAGTTACCTGTGTTGTTGATGTGTATGAGAGGGAGAGAAGAACCAGTCATGATGATAAAGTATCTATATTGGATATATCATTCTCTTTCTGGGTTTGCACGTGGTATCAATAGAAGATATGGTAGAATATCAACAGTATATATGTATTGACAATAGAATAATATAATCTAGATTAGAATATAGAATGATATAGAATATATAGAATATAATAAGATGAAGAGGATCGCACTTACCTAGGTATCACTGGTATCTTGACCGGCCAAGACAGCGTGGCGTCTGTTGTCAACCCATCCACAACTCCATCGGGAGTTATCAACTTATAATAACTCCATTCCATGCTCCATCTCTGTCCTTGTTATCTTAGTTGTTGTCTCTCATCACTATCTTGACACTGGATTCATTCTTTGACACCATCCTAGGTATCACCCACCCCTCTGATTTCTTTCTCTCTTCTTGCTTTCATCTCTCTATTTCTTTTGCCTCACTCCCTGCAACCCCGTCGATCGCAATTCAAGACCCATCACACCGATCGTACAGATTACAGATTACAGATACATCCCTTCATCATCCGGCCGATCCTTCCCACATTCCAGGGCTTCCCAATCTCTCCACCTGGCAGATTGCTTGGCGATTTCCACCGCTATCGCGGGTTTGTGCTCCACAGCGGGCGCCATAGTTCATCACTTCCGAATCGCTGATCAGAGCGCTAAAAAAATAAACCCAACATAAATAAAAAACATGGCCGCCCCCCAGCCCGTCGCATCGCCTCCTCGACACGGTCGACGTTCCAGTCTAGGAGCCCGATCCGAAAAATCTCATCATTCCACCCCCTCCGCCAACAAACTTCATCTGACCGAATCTCACGAAGATAAAGTCAAGCGCAATCTACATACCAAAGCCGATCCCATGCTGGCCATGAATGAGGCGCAACCGAGTATGTCACTAGAGCCGTCCCGTCCTTATCTCCACCACCACACTTTGCCTATACACCGGTCGCATCCATGAACTGACGACGATATAGTCGCGGTCGCTTTAGAAAAATCGACCTTGGGTTCGTTGCGCGAAATGCAGCACAAGGATCAGTTTGGGAATATCATTAGTGCGTACATATCCTTTATCCTTCCGCATCGTCCCCCCTGGCAACCCACCCTAATCGGATGTGAGAATAGCTGATCCGGATCGATCGAACCCGACCCGGCCCCGGCTGGAGCGCCCGCTGGACACGATCCGCTCCTTCGAAGCCGCCATTTATGGCTCGTCCAGTAGTAGACCGGTGTCGTATGCAAAGACGGGTGAGTGACCCCCTTACGTCGAGTTGCGCGGTCAGACGCTCATTGGTGTGCTGGTTGGTAGAAGAACCCACAGGCGATGGCGCATACAGTCGCCGCAGCAGTTACTTTGGAGGTAGTGTTCCTCCATGCAATAATCCTTCGTATCTGGCAACGGTCGCATCTGCGATCGCAGCCTGCGCGACCACCAGCTGATCGCCGTCTTTTCACAGGAGCCAATGTATACCGCTATAGCGAGCAGAGTGCATATTATAACGGCCGAGGACAAAGCTACTCGCGACCGGTCAGTTACGTCGAGAACTATGGCAATGGCAATGGCAATGGCAATGGCCAGTCGTCCGATCACTTTTACCCTTACAACCAAGGCGGCGGTCGATCCCGTCGACCGCCCCCACGCGTGAACGCAGAACAAGTGTCTTATGGGGGCAATGGGCCGAACGGATATGTGCAGAATGGGTACGGACGGTCGAACGAGAACATGGCCACGCCCTCTGGTTCAGGCACAGGGCCAAATACCGACCCATGGGGCAACTCGACCGATCCCAGTTCGGTCAACAGTTCCCTCGACCAATTGCAGCAGCAACAACAACTGCAGCAGCAGCAGCAGAAAGTATCGACGGTGGACTATGGCTTTCAGTTCGGCCCCACACCGAACTTAGATACCAATCCTGTTGCGACCAGCGGGAGGATCAACCTGGGCAGTACAGTCCCAGCCACCGATCCCAGTGCCGGGGGCCCGGTGGGTGGGCCTGCAGCCGGTGCAGCACCCACGCGTCGCAATCTGCGCAAATCCGTCAACCACGCCTCCGAAACGAGCGACTCGAAGAGCGACACGAAGCGACGAAGCTGGTTCAAGCGACGATTCTCCAAAGACTAACCACCATACCTGTATCTTGCCTCTTTGGATTCACCGTTTTCTACCCCACGAGCGATTTCCTTTCGATTCATCACTGTAATAATTGATACGGCGTTTAGGCGAGTCATCCACAATAGCGACGGAACAGCGATGCAGGCTCGACTGAACGGATTTGGGAGACTTCACTCCGGTGGAGATCATCCCGCTACTTTCTTTTGATTGATTGATTTTCTTCTACTTTCCTTAACGCGATTGACGAGTTATGATTGATACACGGGGTATACGCTGTACTGATGGTAACTTGTATTCTTCCCCAACTACCCTTCCTTTTGTGGTTTCTATTACCCCTTTCGAGTGGAGGCCTTACATACATGATTCTCGGCCGACGATAAATATAATTGACTGTTTATATCATTCTACTTTTGTGTGTATTTGGGATAGTAGGTGTGGGCTGGGAATGTAGGCGCGTGGAGTGTGCATGATGTACTGTATCTATGGATCGTGCATCATTATACATGTACTCTAGAGGCAGATTACCAAATAGAAAGGGTAGATACGGTTACGCTCAAGTCTGCAAAAGATCTAAGAAAGGAAGAGAGAAGGAAAAACATTCAGCACTTGGTCTAATATCATCCATCTATCTATGCTCACCACACCCTTTACCTACCATCCAGCAACACAAAACAAACGAAAAAAGTAAAAATGAAGATAAAGAGAAGTAGAAGAAAAGGAATGCTAAACTTCAGCATCGGAAACCTGATAACCTCCACCTCATACCAAATCGACATCCGCGTTCCAAGAACGATTCGTCATCTTAAGCAGTGTAGACTGGTCATTGACGACGTGGTAGAGATATCGCGTCGATACCAGATCTTCTGTCGTTCATGATGTTGAGGATATGGAGAACGAAGAAAGAGGACGGGAGACTGGTGGGGTGGTTTTGACTGGTTGCTTGTCTATCTGGCTGGCGGCACTTTCAGGACCGGTTGGCTGATCAACGAATGAGCACTGCTCTCTCGTGTGTTGCTCCTTATAGAAAAATTTAGTCAATGCACAACCCAGTCGCTAGATCCACTGGCAAGTTATATTGTACATTGGCTCAATGGAACTGGAGTTGACTGGTATCACACTACTCGCGTAGAGTACACAGATAGCGTATAGAAGGAATAGACCATCGCTGAGAAGTAACATATTATCAGCCTCTGTCAAAAGGAGAGCGAGTGCTTGTGGGCCTCGTTCTTTAGGCTGGCTGTTTGTATGTGTGTGCTTGTGCTCGATGGGATGGGTCGAGGGAGGTATGTATAGTGAGTAACGTAAGGTGGGTAGGTAGTGTGTAAAATGTGGAATTAGACAACCGATGGGTTCGATGACATGTCCGCTTTTATTTGGTAATGTCGGCGGTAATAGGTTTGCTGAGAGCCTTGAGGTGATCCTTTGATAGACCTTGTATCGGAGATTGGACCTCATTTCAAACTTGAAGAATCCGAGATTGCGCGATTTGACCCCACGGATGTTGTATATAGGACAGCATCATGAAACATGTGAGAAGCATATGATGCGTATGACGGAGAAGTCATGGAAGGCACGGAGACGACATGAGATAGGAAGAGCGTGGAAAACATGCTATATATGAGAACAATCAAAGATAGCATGCGTCCTCTGGTGGTAACAACGACATTTCCATATTCAGATCAAAGTATGGAAGTATCGAGAGAATATCCCCTCTAGATCACTCTCTTCATTGCTCTCTGCAGCTTCACCACCTCCCATCATAGGTGGATGCGGGTATGTGTACCAGGCAGTAAATATTTCCTGGTACTGAGTCTGTATATCCTGCAAAGCCGCAACTATCTCCCTGCATACTGGAAAAGGGTCGGTGCTTGGAACAGGCTTCGTGCGCGCTAGTATCGTCGTCTTCGCATTTCTCAGGCTTGGCGAGAGTACTCTTCGCCGGTGTCGGTAGGCATCATCAAGCTCGTTCCGTATTCCATTCTCTAAGATATGGATATAATATGTCCCCAAACGAAGAAGAATGATAATAGTATTGATGATTCAAAGTATAAAAAACCAAGAGTGCGGATGACCGGGCTATTCTCTGGCAATGCGGTATATTCTCACTGTCCAGCCATTATAAACATGTCGATACTGTCATTGTCCGCTGAGTGAAGCGATACCAATCAGATCGTTGATGTTCGTTTGGGGACAGGGCCATTATAGTACCACTCAGACCAGCTGATTTGTCGAAAGGTATCCTCCAGCGGTCTGGGTCTGATGGTGATTGCTTCGAGAAATATCATCATTGCAATCCTTGTCGTGGTCGTAGGAGGTTGATATAGGGCAGGACTTGCTGTCCTGTTGTTGCGGTTGTTGCAAGATGGCATGGCCGTCTCGTTTGGTGAGTTGACTCGGGTAGACATAAACCAGACATGGCGAGATAAGGGCTATTCCTCAAAAGAAGAGCTTGATACAACGCAATGGTTGCGCGGTAAAAATGGGACTGGCTAGTTGATTAGACCGGTAAATAGCACTAGGCTGTAGTATAGGAGAGGCATGATAGTTCCACGACACTCGTTTGAGGGATGGAAAACCAAACATCTCACACTTATATAATATCGTTTGATGTTGGACTTCTGCTCGCACAGTAGACTCGTATACGACAGAACGACGGACTGTTCATCCTTTCCTTTGTCAAATTGGTAAAACCCATAGGGAATGGGAGTCATAGCTATTGGCAGGTGAGGCTTGTTCTGTCCCAGAAGCTAGAGGTTCGATAGTATAAAAATTTGAGGTGTATATACCCAACAACATGGTATTCGGGTCGCTACCTGGGGACAAATGAAGGACCTTCCACATGTCGATGTCATAGACTGGGTTGGGGGATCGAGCTGGCCTTGCATGACGGTTGCAACCCAAATATGAATGAACTAGGAAGAAATTGAACCAGAAACCCATATCTGGTGCTCTCTTGAGGTACCAAAACACTCGTATAGCGTGGCCAAACATGTCGAAATCAAACACCATGTGTTTCGAGTGTAGGAAGATATATAGGAAAATATATAGGAAGAAATATAGGAAGAAGTATAGATTGCAGATGAAGAATACTATCTAGCAGGGAAGGGGTTTATATGTCTTTTCCAGCTGACAACAAGATATTGAATTGAATGTTGGTTTTCATTCAACGGTTGCATAGCCGCATTCTTAGTGAAGTATAAAAGCAAATGCTCAAAAAGGAAGGCATTCTATGTGAAGTCTCCGAAAGAGAGCTGAATGCATACTTTGATACCTAAATGAACGGGAGGTGACATCTAAACAAACCTCACTATTGAAGATGTTTGTAGGTGTCATCTTTCAGGTCTCCTTGGGCATTCACCTGTCAATGTACTTAAGCTGCGGACAGATTGGTTCTCCATTCCTTGTGAAGGAGTTGCGCAAGTCTTGGATGAGTAGCTATCCTTGCGCTTTAGTCTGCAATAGCTTCAAGTAGAATGGAAAGAAAATTCCAAAAGAATTTCATCACTGCACCCCTTATAGCTATCCAGCAATGCTAATCGAATGAAAGAAAAATGAGAAGATAGAGAACAGAATAACATAATCTACGATCAATATCCAGATACTTCTAGGTTGACTGGATGAATGAATACACAGTGCCATAGCCACTGACGTCAGCTGACACACTAGTCAGGGCCCGGGGCTACCCGTGAGAGTTCCAGGTTCCAGGTTAGGGCTGAGGGTTAGGGTGACAGATTGAGCCCTCAATACCTGTTTGCAATTTGTGCGTAGGCCTAGCTGAGCCTTACCTATACAATTTTACTATAGCAAGCAGGTCTTAAATAATAATTAAGTGGAATAGTATAAATAAGCACCTGTGAAGGCTATCCCAAGAACATGATAAAAGTAAATAAAAATTCGTGGAATACGTAAATTCATGATCATACATTCTTATAATAATAGTAGTGTTATGCCACACTCTGGAGTATGCGCTATACCACTAGATCGAAAGACCGCGCCCTGCGGTGTTAACATGTAGATTCCAGAGTAGTACGAGATTCTTACTTTCTGTAGGCAGGGATAATAAGATGCTATCTTACTCTGTAGGGCAGTATTAAAATCCCTAGTTCCTATAAACAGGGTTGGTTGGATCATTCTAGAGTAGGATAAGATTCCTAACCCCTGCAAACAGGGATAATAAGATAATATTCTCTTGAGGGTAGCATTCCAAAGTACTAGTAGTACAGAATTCTTAAGACCTGGTAACGGGACTCAAGGGTCAATAATGCTACAGGAGGCCTGAAAACAAGAAAACAATATCAGAACTTTAGGAGATAAATAGGTACCCTAACCCCCAGGACGAGAATCACAACTCAAACAACCACAGTAACAGTAGGGACATTATTTGACTACCACCAAGCTGAATAACACACTGGATACCAAGCCAACTCAAATTTGAATTCTGTGACAATATTGAGAATCTATAATGAAGCTCTCTCTTTCCCTGGGTCTCTTCACAATTATGGCGTCCTCAGTGACAGCCAAGTATTGTGAGGACCATACTTATTACTGTGGATGGAATCTTATGGATATAGGTATTCTTATATATGATCTATCATCTACCTGTGTCGATGGGTCACGTTACTGACACAATTATATAGGGATATATGGACCCGAGATTAACAACGCGCTGGCTGAGAATGGGATCCAGAGCACCGAGTTCACCAGGGGACACAGTTTGTTCTATTGCAGGAGAGATCCTAATGACGGGGTTGGCTATGCTGGGACTGCGGAATTTGAGTGTCATGACGGTGGTGAAAGGTCAAGTGACTTTTTGGATTTTGTGGGGCCAGTAAGTATCAACGCCCTCTTAGATATATCTTCTTGATTATAGAACTAACAACTGGTGAACAGTGAGGTCTTCATTATGTGAGACTGTCCATGCGGATTTATCGTCTAATCTCCACCTGTCACACCAAAGCTTGTCTTTCAAAGAGGATTTTTAGTCTGCTTATTTCTTTTCTGTTGAACACAGCAAGATATGCCTGTTCCATGAACCATGGTCCTGCCATGACTGTAAACTTAATCTTTTGATAATTGAATTTCCAACATTACTCTGCTCTAGCAGGAGACTTATTATATTCGTAGAAGTATTCTGAATCTAATAGGTAGTAAGCAGGTAATATCATAATCTATCAGTTATCATGGTACTAGTATCCCCAACTTGATACGGGTAGCATGCCTAGGCAGAAGCGAGGACTGATCAATCCCTACGAAAACCAGAGGGTCGGGCGACTCAGTATAATACTAAACCTTGATTACTGAGCAGCATGACACTGCTTATCTAGTATGATCAGGCAGGAGGAATATCCGGCATATGCGCCTATACAAACCAGCACCACGAACAGTCAAGGGCTCAAGGCACTACTGATGAGGACAAAAGGATCATGTGGCTACCTACTTTTCACCTACTCGAGAAAATAGCGTAGGGAGCATTGTCAGGCCTCAACTTCTAAGGACTAGTAGAAGTATGTGGAGTGTGTCTGAATTAAAGAAATTGATGGGTTCGATGATATGACATGTCCGGTTTGATCTGATGCGCCGAGGGTAAGATTGGGTCTCTCTGGAGGCCTTTGCGTCGAGATTTCGAACCCTCATTCTAGGAACTCTGTGTAATGACTTAGAGGTCCTTCAAGGGGGAAAACGATAGATGTATAGTATAGCATCATGAAACACATAAGAACGTGTGAGATTATGGAGAACAGAGGAGTCATAAAAGGCACGGACACAAGATGGGAGAAGAAGACATCCTCGGGCCCATTGGGAGTACGCTTCGTTGGTGTCAGCTTGCTGGCTACTCACCTCGTCCTGTACACTATTCCTGGAGATATTCTCAAGACCGCTACGCCAAAACGTTGACCAACGATTGATATAGGACAGACATAACCTGACTGATATACCCAACAGATATTGATACAGTACATTTTTCAATGGAGAGATATGATATGATATGACAATTCTAAAGCAGAGTGAAGCAGCAGTGTGGGCGAGCAGGAAGTTATCTGGCACTGTAGTGTATTCTGCTGTACTGTTATGTTGTTGTCAACATGCTAATGTGGTTTCTGTCCACAAACCAACTATTACTGACCAGGTTGTTGGGGGTTTGGTTCCGGGATAGGGCCATTGTAGTACCATCCCAGGCCATTTGGTTCCGCGCACGGTAGATTCAACTCTGTCTGGAAAAATTGACCTCGTCAGTGCTTGATGATCATGGATGAAGACCCCGATAGAGATTGATTTCATTCTTTGTCTGTGCTACTCTCCACTTCTTCATTCCTCCTAATCAGACACTATCAAGGAGCCTTGCTTCTTGAGAATTTGACCTGGGGTTGAGTGTGGAGAGCGGAGCTAGTATCCTTGGCCCAGGAATCTAATCAGCCTCTTCTCCCAATCTAAAAAAAGTCGAAGGCCATAAGCAAATGATCCTACTCCCATGTTTAGCTATTCTTTTTTTGTTGACCCAGACGAGCACTAATCAATATATAAGTATATTTGATCTAGAACGAAGTGGTGACCTGGATTCGATTCGAGGATGGAAGCTCTATCAGCAATGTGACGTTGAATGCAACATATGCGAAAGATGAGTATCCTCGTTTGTCGGGGCATCTTGACAATCTTGAACTCAGAATGGATGCTGTTCAGGATATGGGCCACGGACTTACTCCAAACATATATCCAGCTCTCCTGTTTTTGCGTCTCGTGTTTTATCTCTCGCTTAAATTGTGGAATTGATCGCTGCTCGTTTTGTTTAGATGTGAGATTTGACCCGGCCATGTGTGGTCCCTTAACACAAGGACTTAGAATCTTCTCATATTATGATATTTCAAAAAGACTGAGATTTCTAGATTAGGATAGGTTGGAGATTATGATCTGAATAGACACTCATAGAGCTTGATGCATACTATTGTTACCTCACGTAGATGTACTGTCCAAGTAAATTTAGACATATGATCTCAAACCAAACAAGAGAACCACAAACTGACGCATCATAGCCAGTGGGAATCACAGAAAGCAGCAAACAACAAATAACGATAGACAAAATTGTAAATAACATAAGACAAAAGAGATAACTATCACCACATCAATCAAACCAACTAACCAAACAAGAAGCTCATTTCCCAAACAACTTCTGCTTCAATTTATCCGCAAACCCGCTATAAGAAAGAGTCTTCTGATGCTTCTTCTCCTCTTTTTCTTTGCGACGCTGCTCATCCAAGTGAACGTTTCCTTGGCCACCACGCTGGTAACTGTTAGCATGTTGCCACGATCATTCCAAACACCACGATCAAAGATTTTAAAGGCATACCCCAACATGGTAGTCACCATCGATTGATTTGCGAACCGCCAGTTCCGGAACGACCTGGGTATCATGGGGGACGGTAGACGTTGGTCGCACGTTGGGAGAGCCGATATTGCCGGCTCCACCGCGCTATCACGATACAAATTTGTTAGAGAAAGTATATAGTATGGTGTGGATGAACTGCGCTTGGGTGACTTACACCTGCTGAGTACGCGCCGTCGCCTTGGTCGCCGTACACTCCCTCGCGAACTATACCCGCATCGACATATCTATCTTCAGCGTCAATATATTATGGTAGAATTGTATAATCCCAAATTATCAGAGACGTACGGTGTCGGATCAGCACCGATATTCCCCTGACCTGCGACACAAATGACGTTAGCTACCAACGGCTTCACAAAACAAGCGGGGTCCAAAGCAACACACCTCCCCGACCATGCGACACGATCGGCTCATGATTTTCGTTTTCGACCATGACTACCATAAAAACTGTGTTGTTCTTGGTTAGTAGAGATAAGCAAGGAATGGAAAAAAAAAAGGGGAAGCGCCAGGGGAAGGAAGAAGGATGGCTAGGTGCGTACCTAGGTACTAGGTAGATATGATTGACTGGAAGGAGATTGATTCGTCGCTGACTCAACCCATGCAGTTCACGAAATCAAGATTGACTTTACCTATTCCACATTCGATCAGGCGCAATGCACGGTGTTGAACCCACGATCGTCGCGATTGCGCAGGAGAGTGGGAAGTAAGTCGGGAGTGGTCGGGGTGAGGAAAGGCGGAACTTATATGGGGTAGTGGTACTGGGCAGAATGCCAGTATAATCCTGACGATAGACTTCTGACTAGTATTCTGTTTGTAATATATCCAGTCACACAATGAGCGCTCCGTGTTGACGTCGAGGATGGTACGGGGGTTGACTACCTGCCCTGCCCGGCTGTATCAGTTCCCCCATAGAGACGAGCGAGGCCTTATCGTGATTTGGTGGGCGTTGCGACTGATAAGATAAGGTCATTCCCCACTATGATTGGCCCCACCGATGATTAAAAAGTTCTTGGCGGGTCTCTAGTATCTACTCCATACAATCCTGGCCTTTCTAAGGACAGTGGTAACTATAACTAGTAGAAAAGGAGTGGAGAATACAATTACAGTCTGGTGGTAAGTACACACAAAGCACAATATGAAAACAAACAGAGATAAAGAAAAGACTACGGCGACTTTGGCTACGGTCTCCACCCGTTCAAGATGGGCAAGATTAAGAGATCGACATGACGCAGCCTCACTCACTCTTTCTTTTGCGCGGCTGGGCCGCCTCCGGTCGTGGGAAGACCCATGAAGATCTTGAAGGAGTCGTAGCTGCTGAGTGTTAGCGTATCTTCTCGGAGAGCCATTGATTTCAGAGAGCATGACATACATCATCCATTGCAGTCCGGTCTAAGCAGCATGTGCGGTTAGCTTGGTAGCTTCGTCCAGTAAAAAGTATACGATCACTCACCAAGGTTCCGATCATGACAATTCGGACCGGGAGTCCATTCCACAGTCCCGCGAAACCAATTTCTTTATAGATCCGGCTCATGGCAGCACCGAACGCCTCGCCCGGTTGGCGGTTGGCGTTCAGCTTGCTGACCATCACATCGGCAGGGTGCGAGACCGCCGCACACAGAATACCAGCAATGTACCCACCGGTGAAGGCGACACCCGTCTGGGCCCCCTTGCTGTAATCCGTCTTTTTGCCTGGCAAATTCTTATAGATGAGCTCCACGATGGTCTCAAACGAGGCGAACTTCATCATCGTATACGGGATCTGTCGTCCCCACAGGGGATAGAGTCCCTTGTAGAGACTGCTCCGATCAATATGGCGCGCTCGACAGCCACACCCAGACCGTACTCACCCACTGACGCCTTCCTTGGCCATCACGCTGGAGATCCCGCCAAAGGTGGACCGGATATCGGGCGGGATGGTCGTCTGCCCGCGCACCTTGACAGCCTCGAACGGGCACAGCGCCACGTCCGCAATCAGCTCCGCCGACGCGCTGGCGACCAGATACAGCGATGTCTTCCACCGTTGGGCATTTTCAACCCCAACCATATCGCTGTAGAACTTTTTGAAGAACTCGTACCCACCGTATTTGAACGCTCCTTGGGCCTTTAAGCACAGTTAGTAGTAAACTCGAGAGGACTGTCCACCACCCCGCGCCCAGCTTACGCTGTATCCGAAAAATGTAGGACTCCAGCCCGTAAACACTCCCCTGATGCCCTCCGCAGTGCGGATAGTTCGAAACGCCTCGCCGTTACTCTTATACAGCTGCGGGTCCACCTGACGGCGACATTTGATGAGATCCAGGGGAGTCACCGCCGTGTGGGTAAGGCCCTATTGAGACGCAAGAGTCAGCAGCGCCAGACGATTGACTACCGCGTGGGAACTTACGCAGGCCAGCAGTCCACCCACTATACAAGAGGCGTAGTACTTGGGCGTCCAGGGTTCGATCTTCCCGGTCTTGGCCTGGGCCTTTTGACTGACGACGTCGAATTCTCTCGACGCTTCGTGAGCGAACGCATCGGCCTTCTTCTTGGTCTCGTCGACCACGCTCCATGCGGGAAAGGGCTGTCGTCTGGCGGACCCGGCTGCCTCCGGTCGATGCGCCCGCTCTGCGGAACGCCCGATGGGGTGCTGGGAGGAGAAGACCGACGTGACGATGCGCTCGGGAGGAAGCATGATTTATTTTGTTGAAGAACAATACCTGTGTGATTGGGAGAGGATGATCCCTGAGATGACTCGCGTAGACGGATGCTTGTTTGTAGGTAAGAATGAGCTGCTTATCGATCGCCCCACTGGCTAGTTGGGTGGTCTTCGGCAAGTCCTCCAAACTCAATGATCAACTGGTTAAGGAGATGGATTATGAGTTGTTTTTGTCACTGGTGGTGGTAGATTAATAGATTACATAGTAGATTAACCGATTGAATTGAAGATGGCAGTTGAGGACGCAGGTTAAATAGACTATTCCGTACAGTACACTTCATAAGCTCATTGATCGTTTTGATACCCCACTGTGATGACGTCCGTGATCGGCACCGCAGGGTTGATTAACTTAATTTATTACACTGCAGTCCGCACCCAAGTATTGGAGTATTTTTGGTTTGAGAGGTACATTTGGAGTCCCCCACTTTCTATCAGAGTGCAATGGTCACTGAGACAAGGGTGCCTGCCATGGAGTACCTCTTCAGCCCGGTCAGATAACCCCACTATGAAAATTTCACCGCTAAATCAACCATTGGAAATACAACAAGTACGAATGGACGTCTCCGCGGACTAAAACTGTATACACCGGACTAATACGACTGTACAGGAATTACTAATTAGTAACAGATCAAAAAAATAAGATCCGTGGTCTCCACCGATTAGTAATTGCTCCGTTTCGGTGATAAATTGGCCACCGGGCTTGTTCCCTAAATTTGATAAGCTTTGTCTTCAGGCTTATTTCCCCTCCCTGTCGGACTTCTATCATCTACCCATTCTCCTCGATTCAGACAATATGGCCCCCTCAATCACCATCGATACAACCGACGACTTCAGCCCGTCTTTCGCGCCAAAGACGGAGCAGAAGCGCAGTCTCCTCCTGGCCCCGCCATCGATCGCCGCCCACGAGGAAAAATTACGGGATGTCTTCACCACGTTCGACCGCTCCACCACCGACCTGCAGATGCTGGACCGGGTGTCGGCCGGGTTTGTGTCGCTTCCCGCCGATACATACGATGTGGTCATGGTTTTGACGGACAGCACCGGCGAGCGACGCGGGGAGGCCCTCCAACTTCTCAGCAGAGATGTATACAGTGTATTGGTGCCGGCGATGAAGTCTGGCGCGAAACTACAGCTGCAGGACGGTCGCATGGATGCGACGCAGGGTTTGGAGGCGATTCTGGCGGGTTTGGTCGAGAAGGATGGTGCGTTTGAGAAGCCGGCGTACCAGGAGGCTGCTGTGCCTCTGCGGTTTGGGAAGAAGAAGAAGGAGGACGAGAGTGCGGCGAAGGCGAACACAGTTTCTTTGGATGATGTTCAGGATGGAGATGAGTTGATTGATGAGGACGCGTTGCTGTCTGATGAGGATCTGAAGAGGCCCCTTCCCTCAGGTTAGTCCACCTCGGATTACCTCTCTAGAGACGTGATACTGATAGCGAACAGCGGCGAACTGCCAACCAGAGACTGCGAAGAAGCGACGACGTCCCTGCAAGGACTGCACGTGCGGACTGGCCGACCAGATCGAGCAGGAAGACAAACAGCGCGTGGAGAAGTCGGACCAAGATCTAAACGTCCTCAAGTTCAACACAGCCGATCTGAACGACGAGGTGGACTTCACAGTGCAGGGGAAGACGGGGTCGTGCAACAGTTGCTCGCTGGGAGACGCGTTCCGATGCGACAGTTGCCCGTACATCGGGTTGCCGGCGTTCAAGCCGGGTGAGGAGGTGAAGATATTGAATGATGTGGTACAGCTGTGAGCAAGGAGCAATCCTGGCTATGATTTCATATTTTACGACTGCGACGCACCTGCCGATCGATCTCGGGTTATACTTGAAGGCATAAAATACATCTTAATGGTCACTTCGTGATGGTACAAGATTATGAGTTTATTATTTTACAGCATTGTTTCGTCTCATCCTCATCTTGCTTTAGAATTTTTTTGCAATCAACAGGTATAATTATATCATATCAAATGTTCGTAAATCACACTCGGTATCGCGTAGTGGGGTTGAATACCCCTCGCGGGGCCTATTCTGCCGGGCGGTGTATTACTGGAGACTGAGCACGCGAGCACTGGATGCAATGTTGAATCTTCAACCTGGAAGGATCGATAATTTGGGATTTGTAGTCTCAAAGACTTTGCAGAAAAGAGATATTATTCCATACCAACATGGGTGTCCCAGTAAATTTTATACAGAAGCAGAATATACCCACGGGCACAAACTAGTACAAATCAGGCATCATAGGTCCAATCTGGAATAGCGCCGTTTTACTTATCGCGGCAATATGAGCGGATGTCCGCCGGGCATCGCATGGTCTGGTTTTGCTCAATATCGAGAATTGTCGGCCAGCATAGAAGTTGTCCGTCATACCAATTTGAATCCACCAACCTACTATTCTATCCAGCACGATTGATACTTAGTATTGGTTGTCACCTAACGACTGAATCCTTGAGCACGACAACGTCATCCCCCACCGATCTCGAAATTATAATCCACACATCGTCTCTCCAACCTTCTTCTCTCTCACGCCCATCGGCTACCACCATGGCATCATACTCAACCGCCAGCGAGGCATTCGCCCGCGAGAAGCTCACCCCAGCGAGCGATGCATCCACACCCCAGTCGGCCTGGGCCAACAAATACCGGGGGGTATGTACCTTCCCCTCCTCTACTCCCCAATCACACACCACCACCCACCAGCTAACAGTATAAAAAAAAAAAAGGCAACAATCGAAGACCTAGACCCACCCCCGCCCTCTCCGTCTCCCCGACGACCCCATCTCCTCCGCCATGCTGACCGCCTACGAACGCGACTACACGCACCTAACGGTGATCTCATCCACGAAGCGCTCCCTCCTCGGCTACCTCAGCATGCCGCGCCTCAAGGCCCTCCTGAAGGACGGCTCCGTCAAAGAATCCGACAGCGTCGCGACCGCCATGCAGCGGTTTAACCGCAAGCGCGGCACGTACCAGGTGATCACGATGGAGACGCCGCTGGAGGAGCTGGAGCGGTTCTTTGAGAGCGAGGCGGGCGTGGATGGGCAGGCGAGGGGGAAGCAGTCGTTTGCTGTTGTTACGGATGCGTCGAGGAAGTTTGTGCTGGGGGTGGTTACTAGGGAGGATTTGGTGGAGTTTGTGAGGAGACGGCCGACATAATATTTTCCTCTGTCTTGTGGTTAGTGCCGTTTTTTTTCGTCTTTTCTATATATATGTTGGCTCTTTTGTGGAGTGATGTTTCCGGTGCATTATCAGGCGCGGAGTATTCAACATGGTTTGGAATGACTCGTATATCTCAACATGACCGGATGTCTCTTGTTTTCTGTCTTTCAACTTGAGTTTGATCATGAGCTACATATATAAATCAACATTTTGGAAAAGCCTCAACAATAAACAAGATATCAATCAATCAAAGCAGCTAAGTCCACAACGCCAGACCATAGACCACATAGACATTACCCACTACAATCAATAAATAGATCAACAGAAAAAGAATAAGCGGGAAAGAGAAAAGAAGGGGAAAGGATGCAGCTACTGCGCCTTCTTCTCGTTCTTCCCCGCCAACGCCTCCCTCTCCTCCTTGTCATCCTGCCAAGCCACCCAGATATAAGTGAACAGGACGACATTGGCCGTGATGGCCGCCGTGATGCCCCCGACAGTAGCGGACCCTGCACACTGTTAGCATTGCTGTACAGGGTATATATAATCTGCTGCGAGCAGCCCCTTCAAGCGGATGGGAAGTATCATACCGCCAAAATCCACAGTGACAAAGTACATGCCGATGGGCGTGGTGATCATGGCGGCGGTGAAGCCGAGGAGTTTGTAGATAACGTGTCTGGTTAGAGTTAGTTTTGTCATTGAGTAATTGATTGATGGATGGGTTGAGGGATAGCCAGTAACTATAGCTGGGCGACTTACTTGGGAACCACGGGTGATACATCGGAGGCAGAAGGCTTGGTCTCCATTGATGTTGAGGGGTCCACGGGGGACTGGCTCTGTGGACGGTTGATGGCCATGGTGGAGAGAGATAAGTCGTCTTTACGAACAATGAGATACTGTAGAGAGGTTGATATAACCCTTTCGATTGTTGGATAAGTCAACAGAGACAGAGAATTGAGTTAGGATGGAGTCGTAATAGTGTATGGAATGCGACGATGATGAGAACGGGAGATCGCTGCGGGTCGCTGATTGGTGGATGGGAGGAGCTCCGCTGTCAGGACTGATACCGTGATCTTTTCAGTTATTAGAATGAATAAGGATAGTATTAATTGGGCTATTGAATATATTAATTTCAAGAAAGAAAGACTTATGTGTTCGAAAACAAGGTTCTTGAGTATCCTGATATGGATGGTTAATTGATCTGTCTCACGTGACCGGGCGCGTCTCGGCGCGTTTGCGGAGAAGAAAAAAAAAGTAAAAAAGGACCAGAAAGTGCCAGGATGAAGAGAGAAAGTCAAAAGTGAGACCCAACAGTCGCATCTCCTCCTGAACCGGATCATGTTAGTCCCATCCCATCCAGCTGGGTTCTTTTGAAAAAGTTTGCTCCCACTATGGACGACTTAATACCTGACACCCCCGTCCGCGACAGAAAAGTTGTCCCCGGCACTCCGACCGACCCCAGAGAGGATCAGGACTACGAGACCGTTGCCACCCTTCCTCTGCCAGATCGCTACCACCAACCACCCGCAGCATCCCAATCCTGGACCCCGGTCTCTCAGCGTCTGACACAACCCACGCAGATCGTCGAGGTCCCCAATTCTGCAAAAACCATCCAGGTTCCCGCCTCGTCGCCTCCGCCCTCTTCCTCTCCCTCTCGTCCCACGGCCACCGCTGGCCGCCTGTCCACTTTTCTCGCCCCGGCCGGTACCCGATTCTGTCCCCCTGCCTTCACCGGCCCTGCGAAGCGTGCCCCAGCGGTAGATCTCGACGACGACGGCCCGACCTATCGTGGTGGTTCGTCTGACGACGACGACGCGCTGACTTTGCGAAATACCGATATCAAACCCGCCCAGTTCACCAAGTCCTCGCGAAGTCCGGAGAAAGTTATGGGCTCCCCCGTGGGTAACGGCGGCGGTAGTGCCATGGACCGGTTCAAGGAGATCACTTCCTCCTCGCTCTACAACCCCCAGGGCGCGAAACGGTCCGCGTCCCAACTCGATCTCGCCCCGAAAGGGATATCCGTCAAGAAACCCCGTCAGGATGCCCCGTCCCGCGCCCACCCGGTGAATATGGACATGGACATCTCGTCGGTACATGAGATTGAAGATTTTCAGACCCGGGCGAAGGTGGAGCGCATGCTGAAGATCGTCCCCCAGAAGTCTGTCCAGGAGTGCCTGTACGCCCTACTGACCAAGCGCGGCAACTACGAACATGCGCTGGAGTACGTGGTCATGATGAACGACGATGGGGAACCGTTTGTCATCGAATCGTCCGAAGATGAGCTGAGTGCGAGCCAGCGTATCTCGCCGGTCGCGCCCGCAAAGCAGCAGATCAAGGCGCGGGGGACCATCCAGGGCAAATGGTCCGCCATGCGCCTGCAGAAGAACCCCCCGCCCCAGAAGTCCAGCAATGCGCCACCGCCCCAGGAGGATGCGAAACCGCGGAGACGGTTGATGAGGGGCCCCAAGAGCCGGGAGACCCGGCAGTCATCCCCGGAGTCGGATCGGTCTCTCTCGCCGCCGCGCCCGGCGCAGACGTCCGGGAGACTGGTTCAGGGACGGAAGCCGGCCTCGCCCGCGCGATCGGAGTCTCCTGAGGCCCTGTTGATTGACGATGACTCGGATTCCGGCGTCGAGGAGGTTCCCGAGATTGATGGGTCCGTGGAAGTGAAGGTGCTCAACTTTTTCAACACGTGCAACATCCTTGACCTGGCCGACATCGCAGCCATCACGGAAGATATCGCCAAGTTCCTCGTGTCGCACCGACCCTTCCGTTCGTTGAATGCCGTTCGTGCCGTCCCCGCTCCGACCGCGGACCAGTCGGCGAAGCCCAAGGGCAGCCGCGGGCGGAAGACGCCCAAGCCTATCGGAGAGAAGATTGTGGACAAGTGTTTGGATATGTGGGTCGGATACGAAGCGGTGGACTCCTTGGTCGCGCAGTGCGAGGAGCTGGGCCGGCCGGTTGCGACGGAGATGAAGAAATGGGGCGTGGACATCTTCGGCAAGCGGGAAGGGGAACTGGAGCTGGTGTCGATTGACCCCGGGGCGTCGCATGACTCTGGGATCGGCACCCCGGCCAGCCAGCATTCGGAAGAGGACAGCGACGGCCCCGGCGTCGGGCCCCGCAAGAACCGGTTTATCTCGCAGCCCGCCATCATGCGCGAAGATCTGAAGATGAAGAATTACCAGGTGGTCGGGATCAACTGGCTGTCGCTGCTCTTCGAGAAGGAGCTGAGCTGTATCCTGGCCGACGACATGGGTCTGGGCAAGACGTGCCAGGTGATTGCGTTTCTGGCCCACCTGTACGAGAAGGGCATCAAGGGACCGCATCTGATCGTGGTCCCGTCGTCGACGATCGAGAACTGGCTCCGAGAGTTCCAGAAATTCTGCCCCGCGCTGTCCGTGATGCCGTACTATGCCAACCAGAGCGGGCGCGCCGAGATCCGCGAGACCATCGAAAACAACCGCGAGGATATCAACGTGGTCATCACGACGTACACGATCGCCAAGGCGAAAGTGGACGCCCATTTCCTCCGCAACATGGATTTCTGCGCCTGCGTCTACGACGAGGGCCACATGCTGAAGAGCAGCACCTCGGTGCTCTACGAAAAACTGATCCGCATTCCCGCTCGCTTCAAGCTCCTGTTGACCGGCACCCCGCTGCAGAACAACCTCCAGGAGCTCGCGTCCCTGCTGGGATTCATCCTGCCAAAGGTGTTCAACGAGCGCAAGGAGGATCTCCAGTACGTGTTCGCGAATAAGGCCAAGACCGTGGACGAGACCCACTCGGCGCTGCTCTCTGCGCAGCGGATCGAACGTGCCAAGTCGATGCTGAAGCCGTTTGTGCTGCGGCGGAAGAAGCACCAGGTCATCGACCTCCCCGCCAAGGTCTCCCACGTGGAATACTGCGAGATGAACACGGCCCAGAAGGAGATCTACGAGCACGAAAAGGAGGAAGTCCGCAAGCTAATTGCCGATCGCGCAGCCGGCAAGAAAACCGGCAACAAGTCCGCCAACATCCTCATGAAGCTCCGCCAGGCGGCGATCCACCCCCTGCTCTACCGGCGGCACTACAACGACACGATCCTCAGCCGGATGGCCAAGGCATGCCTAAAGGAAGAGCAGTGGTCGATGTCAAACCCGAACATCATCTACGAAGAACTGCAAGCCTACAACGACTTCGAATGCCATACCATGTGCGTGAAGAACCCTAACTCGCTCGGCAAATTCGCCCTCAAGAACGCCGAATGGATGGACTCGGGCAAGGTCGACCGGCTGTGCGAGCTGCTCAAGCGGTTCAAGGAGAAGGGCGACCGCACGCTCGTCTTCTCGCAGTTCACCATGGTCATGGACATCCTGGAGCACGTGCTCGAGAACCAGCATCTGGGCTTCGTGCGCCTCGACGGCCGCACCAACGTCGAAGACCGCCAGTCCATCCTCGACGCCTTCCACGAGCGCACCGACATCCCCGTCTTCCTGCTATCCACCAAGGCCGGCGGCGCGGGCATCAACCTCGCCTGCGCGAACAAGGTCATCATCTTCGACTCCTCCTTCAACCCCCAGGAAGACGTGCAGGCTGAGAACCGCGCCCACCGTGTCGGTCAGACCCGCGACGTGGAGGTCATCCGTCTCGTCACTAAGGACACTATCGAAGAGCAGATCTACGCACTGGGCCAGACCAAGCTCGCCCTTGACCAGGCTGTCGTCGGCGAAGACGCTGCTGAATCTAAGAAGACTGAAGAAGCGGGCATGAAGGTCGTTGAGGATATGGTGCTTGCTGATATCAAGGAGTAACCAATTCCCCCCCCCCCCCCCCGCTCTCTGATTCTCGTCTTATTTTTCCTTTCTCCTTTTTCGTTTTTGTTTGGTTTTTGTTTCCCCTGAAGATATCCATCCGCATATGCAGTTTGTACATGCGTGTTGATCCCGCTTAGATATCTACGTTTGTTACAAGCGGCCTAGACCATCGTCCATTATTACGCAGAGACTCTTGTTTTTATCTATGTTTGTTATTGTCATTGCAGAAGGAGTTTCATGTCATCTACTCTACTTATTTTATTCTTTGTTTACAACAAGACTTTTATCACCTTGTCCTAGCGTTGTTGACACAGTTGTATTGCTTGCTTCTTGCTTGGTTGTCTGCATATTGCAAAAGACAAGATAAGACAAGGCAAGATGTACTACACTACACTACACTACAAGGCATTCTTGCTTGTCTTTCATGGGATCCATTTCAGGTCATTATTTTCCACGGGAAAGTTTCCATCATCGTGTGGTAGGTTGGTTGATTGGTTCTAGCACGGACTACACATATATTCGATGGTGGGTGGTGTTGCTATTATTACAGCTGTCTCCACTGCGTTCTGTTCGAGAAAGGGGTCATTTCCGCTGGGTTCGCCTATCTTGAATATTATCAATTTCGTCTTTTTTTCTTTATTATTTTTTCTTCATTTTTGGCCATGCGTGGGGCGGGGAATGCTGGGTTGGGTTTTTAATTTATTTACTTTATTGGGGACTACATTACTATTCCTAGTACTATTACTATAACTATCATGATCATTATATTCTTATCTCGCTGTAGAACAAGCACGACTATAGAGTAAGTAGGTCATACGTGATATAAGCGATGGTGACATTTCAAGTATAGATTTACTGAAGCTCCAAAGAACGGCTTCTCTCATGATTCATATGTAGGCTTGTATTGTATATACAGATATACCAGGAAATGATAATAAGAATAAATATCTAGAAACTCCAACAAGAAACCAACAGTGCTTCATTAAGTAGGTTAAAACACCGACAATGCAAATCGGCCGTATCAAGTGTCAATCATTTAACGAGTAGGAAAGATATGGTAATGCCGTAACTTTTGTTCTGGGTTGATATCAATATGCAGGGGGGAAAAAAAGTAAGACGAATGTGAAATAGAAAAAATGAGAAAAAAAACGCTGAGAGGTATAGAAGAGATGATCTATGCAGCTAGTTTCTGCTGCTGAGAAGCTTCGGGAGCCGTCTCTTCGGGCTGGGGTTTTGTCGGGCTCGGGAAGGCACTCGTGCGGATGGGACCGCCGCCGCTAGGGGGTGACGGGGTGGGTTTCGAGCGGGGAGCGCCGCCTGCTGCGCGGGCGGACTCGTTTTGCTCGAGGGCTTGCTGAACGGCTTTGCTGTGATTGTTTGTCGTAGTAGTGGAAACGGTGGAAGTGGAGGTAGTAGCAGTGCTGGGAAGAGCGGTCCCGTTGGCGGTGATGGAGCGCGATGCCAGGCCCATCAGTTCGTCGACGCGCTGAGCCTCGGGGATGAGATCCGGGAATTTGAGGAGATAGCAGTAGTCGGCGTAGCTCTTAGAGTCTCTGGCGATCTTGAATTCGCGGTCCTTGCCGGGGAGGAGTATGTTCATGAGAAACTTGGTGTTGCCGAAGCGGTTTTCGATCCCGATCGCCGCCTGGAGATAGTCGTAGACGACTTCGCGCCAGTGGAGGAGGCCGCCCTCGGCGAGGGTGCGGAAGCAAGACGGGTTGGATTCTGCGGCCGTGGCGACCATGGCGCCGTCGACGCCGTACTCGGCGATCAGGGCGAGGGCCTCGTCGCGCGAGGTGACGTCGCCGTTCATGACGCAGGCGATGCCGGCGTTGTGGCACACGTTGGCGACCATGCGCAGCTGGTCGCGGATGGCGCGCTCGCGGGCCGCATGGGGGTTGTGCGGCAGTGGACGGTCAGGCCGGTGATGCCGGTCTGGACGAGGCGGGAGACGAGGGTCTCGGTGAGGTCGGGTTCGCCGAGGATGCGGATCTTGACGGAGATGCCGATCTGGAAGGGCGTACCGACGTCGCGGACGAGAGCCTCGAGGATGGAGACCAGACGCTCGGGGTCCTTGAGCAGGGCGGCACCCATGCCGCCGGAGGTGCTGAAGGGTTTGGGGCAGCCCGAGTTGACGTCGATGCCGGAGACGTCGGCGGCGATGAGCGTGGCTGCCTCGACGGCGCGGTCTGGGCTCGCGGTGCCGATCTGGAAGATGTGGCGGTTCTTCTCGCGCGCGGGATCGATGCGGTAGATGATGGAGTCCTTGTCGGCTTCGCTGGGGCGGCCACCGTTGGACGGCCGACGGATGAATTCAACGATCCCGGTCCGCGGGTTCACGCGGCGGGTGGTGCCTATGAGGGCGCGATCGATGGTCTCGGGACCCCAGACTAGGTCTGCACCGTATTTGAGGGCGAGAAGGCGTGTGGGCAATTCGCCGGAGCGCACCATCGGGGCCAGGACGACCTTCCCCCGGTAGTCGACGCCATTCGCGGGGATAGGGACACGAGGGGTGGAAGAGAGCGCAGTCATCGTGGAGCGGAGAAATCTGAGCATATCATATCCGAACGGAAGGAGGGAAGCGTCGTCGATCAGAAGTCGGACTGATGATCGAGGGAGAAAGCCGAGAGCAGTCCGTCCTGAGATGAAGTTTTTCGTGTCATTCCTGGAGAATCTGGCGATCAGGCCGAAAATCTGATAGTCACGTGGTGATAGGATAAGCTTTCGTATTATTACGAAAATATTTTACATAAATTACGATTGGTGTAATTCAGTCTATTTTATAGTCCGTATCATGTATATAATTCAAGCATTTGTTATATTTATATCTTACATTTATATTGTATATAGATATCGCGTGACAAAGTCATATAGATCAAGCATTGAATACGGTGGAAGGGAATGTCGCCTCGTGGCAAGTGTTGCCACCAAATCCAGGCACACAGGCCCACATGGCGACCTCTTTCTCTCGACTAATTTGCAGAGAAGCTTTCATGGAAGACTTCCATGGCTCCGACCCATTATCCAATCTGGTTTGGTTGGGACGGGAGCAGGATTCGTCACAGCAGACGCAGCGAGGCAAATCCAGAGGACCAGACGAACCAGGGGTGGATGCGAGTGGAGCCATTCATAATCGAAACAGTCCGAACTAGGTCTTGATGATTGACAGGGTGAGTGGCCAGTGGCCAGTGGCCAGCTGGCATTGTGGGATAGTATGCATGGTGCATGACGGGGGAGTGTCAAGTGTGTCAATCTATGAGACAGAAGTCGAGAAAGGAACATAATCTTCAATATAATCCATAGAGAGAGATCATGATTAGAAGAGTCCATAGTCCAGTATAGGCAAAGGTCAACCTCGGAAAGACACGCCGAGGCCGAAATCAGGCCGGGAAGAATCTCCCCTACAATTTCTTTCTTTTCTTCTTCTTCCCTTCTTTCCTCCTCACTCTGGATTGAACCCTTGGAAATTATTCAGTGAACGGAACTGGCCAACAAATCAATTGGTCAACAATTCAATTGATCCTGAATCAATGTTTCCAGGAGTGATTCGAGCTCCATCCACCCGACCCTGCATCATTCTCCCACACGGTTTGACCGCAGCTCCGATTCGGGCCCGTCGTTATTGGCGCCCATCCGCAACGCTGGCTCCCCCCACTAAACAAGCCACCCCTCCTTCTCCCTCCTCTCTCTCCGCCCCTCTTCCCTTTTCTTCTCCTTCTCTCTCGACTTCTCTTTCTTCCTCCCCATCTATCTCGAGTCCCTCCGCTCGTGTTAATCAGATTTCGAGACATCTTTCTTCTTCCGCCTCTCCCTCGCACACCTCATCCACCATGTCCGCCTACCAGATCCGCAAGGTCGGCCAGCCTTACACCCTGGAGCACCGTGTCTACATTGAGCAGGATGGCAAGCCTATCTCGCCCTTCCACGATATCCCCCTCTACGCCAACGAGGAGAAGACCATCCTGAACATGGTCGTTGAGATTCCCCGTTGGACCAACGCCAAGCAGGAGGTACGTCAATAAATACCCCAAATGAGACAAGAAAATAAAATAAATCTCAAATCTCCAAATTTGAAAAAAGATTGAACGATAATGATACTAACTACTCGTCCAGATCTCCAAGGAGGAGTACCTGAACCCCATTAAGCAGGACGTCAAGAAGGGCAAGCTGCGCTTTGTCCGCAACTGCTTCCCCCACAAGGGTTACCTCTGGAACTACGGTGCCTTCCCCCGCGTACGTTCTCTCCCCCTCTTTCTCTCTCCCTCCTCCCGGTAAGCAGGCTCTAACAAATCCCAGACCTGGGAGGACCCCAACGTCGTTCACCCCGAGACCAAGGCCAAGGGTGACAACGACCCGCTCGACGTCTGCGAGATCGGTGAGCTTGTCGGCTACCCCGGTCAGGTCAAGCAGGTCCGCGTCCTCGGTGTCATGGCCCTGCTGGACGAGGAGGAGACCGACTGGAAGATCATCGTCGTCGACGTCAACGACCCCCTGGCCGCTAAGCTGCACGACGTTGAGGACATCGAGCGTCACCTTCCCGGTCTGCTGCGCGCCACCAACGAGTGGTTCCGCATCTACAAAATCCCCGACGGAAAGCCCGAGAACCAGTTTGCCTTCTCCGGCGAGTGCAAGAACAAGAAGTACGCCGAGGACGTCATCCACGAGTGCTCCGACGCCTGGGAGAAGCTCATGAGCGGTGCCTCGCCCAAGGGTGATATCAACATGTATGTTTTCCTCTTTTTCTTCTTCACATCCTTTATAGCCACTAACAACCAATAGTGCCAGCGCTGCCAACGGCACCGCCGACCCCGCCGAGGTGGCCAAGATTCCCGCCGGCCAGGACTTGCCCCCGGCTCCCGTCGACGGCACCGTCGACAAGTGGTTCTTCATCTCCGGTGCTGCCGTCTAAGCGCATCTTTAGCGAATGTAACAATTGCAATTTACGCCTTGATGGTGATTTGTTTGAGCAATGGAGGTGCTTTTTTTAGATCGTAATGTGGTTCTTACCTCGGAGTATCACGACGGTTAGATAGTATATACATTTATTTATCGTACAAGACAGTCAGACATTAGCCACGTAGAAGTCAATCCACTCCCCTCGTAACCCGCCGACTCTACAGGAAACCAATCACCCCAACTATCAAACAAGATGCGAGAACGGAACAAAAAAGAAAATTTAATGTAAAAAGGAAAAGAGAAGAGAAGAAATCACCCCTTCAGCGTATCCTCGCGCTCAATAATCCGCCCAATGCGCGCAATCTCATTCACCATATCGGCAATCTTGATCTGTTCCTTCCCGACCTCGAACTTGACCTCCTTGCCGCCCTTGAACCCCACCGTCACCTCGGGCTGCTGCGTCGAGTGCCGCGGCAGCTGCTTCACTTTGATGTCGATGTGCGTGGGACTGCTGAGGGGGGTCGTGGAGGGCGTGCGCAGGAGGGCGAGGAGAGTGCGGCAGGGGCGCGACGAGCGGCCGAAGGGGTTGTAGGATACGCGGAAGGTGTTGATTGTTTGGAGGGGGATGGACATTTTGATTGATTTCTTTTGCGGTCTTCTCTAGGGCTGGTGGATGTTAGTGGTCGTTGAGTTGGTTTGGTTGATAGTTGACCAAGCGATTGAGGATGGGGATTGGGTGGACGGACTGACTTGGTGGGTTGCTGCGGTTGAGATTGAAGAGGATAGATTCTTTGGATAGAGTAGATCTGCTCGATTGGGCGAATACAGACGTCTAACGTAGGTAAGGTAATTGATTCTGGCAACTGGATCGAGATAATGCGGCCGAAGTTCAACCATCGGACTGTGGAATATTCGGACATGTTTGCCAAAGATGCAAACACCCACAATGGCAGCCTCAGGAACCCATGCATCATCATACAGTTGTCTTTATACACCTCTTCTTATCTCAATCTCTACAATATCCAACACCATAACATGTCCACTCCCTAATAATACACAGACACACATCTCCAATACTCACAATGTCCAACCCCCTACAATCCCGCTTAAAACAGCTCTCTACAGCCCTCGCCCACATCCACCCCCTCGTCTCCCGACTCCGCAACTTCACCACAGCCGTCGGCCAAGGCGACGAAGCGCGCCTCGAACTCGGCGCCGAGATCCACGCCCACCTGAAGGAAACAGAAGAGCAGCTCGAGCTACTCCGAGTAGAGGTTGAAGCGCTCGAAACCGGCACCGACACACGGCGGAAAGGACAAGACACCGAGAAGGAGCTGGAGAGGGAGCGGGTGGTTGCGTTAGCGGGGCGATTAGCAGATGATTTAAAGAAGTATGCTGCTCATTCCCCTCCTATTGTTGCACATCGGTCTGTGTGGACATGATGCTGACACCAAAATCAGGACGAGAGGCGACTTCCGCACCGCACAACTCCAAGCGAAACGGAATGCCGAGCTCGCGCGCCGCCAAGAGCGCGAGCTGCTCTTCTCAAGATCCCAGAATGCGGCTGATAAGCGCAAAGAGTCGGCGGAGAAGTTGACGCAGGATCAGGTCACGCTGAATGCGTCTAATGATGTTACTTCTGCGTTGCGCCGCACGCATCAGCTTATGCAGGCGGAGTTGTCGCGGAGTCAGTTTGCGCAGCAGACGCTTGGTTAGTTTTACCCCCAGATATATATGTGTATATGCTACATTGGAATGGTTTGCTAAGTGACGGTATGTATGTGCAGAACAATCAACAGCAGCGCTGTCATCCCTCTCAGAATCATACACGGACCTCGACTCGCTCATCTCCTCGTCGCGCAATCTCATCGGCTCGCTCCTGCGCTCCCGGAAGTCAGACACATGGTACCTTGAAACAGCGTTTTACATCCTAATTGGCACGATTGTGTGGCTCCTTTTCCGCCGCATCTTGTACGGGCCCATGTGGTGGCTTGTATGGTTGCCGCTGCGGCTGGTTACGCAGGTTGTGTTTGGTGCTCTGGGCATGGCCAGCAGCAGCAAGGGTGTTGGGTCTCCGACAGAGGAGTCTGCGCCTGCTTATCAGACTCCCGTGGTGCATCAGAAGGTTGAGCCGGATGTGCAAACTGCTAGTGGAGGCGAGATGTGGGACACCCCTCCGGGTGAGAAACGCGATGAGGGGCGCATGATTGATGAGATTGGTGATATGGTGGAGGAGAACGCAAAGGGGGAGGCGATTGTTGAAGATGCACACGCACATGCACACGGGACCCCAGCGCAGGAAGAACCTCCCCGGAATACGAAGAAGCGGATGTATGAGGCTACGGAGGTGGTGCAGGATCGGAAGGACGAGCTGTAATATATGAATAATATGACGCCTACGATACCACTGTATATTTATTGTATTCTTTGCACTACAGTCCGATTGTTTGGACGAGCTATAGAATGTTATATACGACTGGTAGGCAAGCCTCGACCATGCTTAACGCGCTTCGTCTCTGGCGACACTGTCAACGAAACATCCGCGGGTGATTCCTTGTCCCAGAGAAGCACGGCTTTGATGATTTCCCCGGAGGCTAGACCCCCCAGTGCCTTTTGATATTCCTTGATCTAAAATTCCGGTCAGTACGTCTCGACAACTTGAGGTAGACTTGGACACACCGGAATATACGTATTCAGCCTGTCGATTGGAAACCGGCCCTCGTAGTACCATTTGATCATCTCGATGATAGTCTGTTTACCATGAGCAACTTGTCCTTCTTCCTCAACAGATTTTCGGCGGATGGAGCAGAATAACGTACCTCCTTCGGAACAGAATCCCCCTCAACGCACCCGATTACAGATTTCCCAGACTATACCAAGTATATCAGCCACGTACCACAACCCAACCCACAGGGACCAAACGAAAAGGAGAAAGAGATACATACACTAATATACTCCATCCCCATAAGATCCAAAGTATACCCCAACGGCGTAGCCCCAATCAAGACCAACTTGCCACGCGCACAAGCAGTCGCCAGTCCTGCCTCGATCAGCGTCGGCACGCCTGTCGTGTCGATGACGACGGACGGTCCGTCGGGACATATGGCTTTGACTGCTTGCGCGAAGTCAAAGTCATCACCTCCGGCTGGGGAGGGGGTAGTGTTGATGGTGTGTGTTGCGCCGAGGGAGCGGGCGAGCTGGAGTCGTTGTTCTTGTTTGTCGAGGGCGATGATTGTTTGGCAGTTGTTTAGTTTGGCGGCCTATTCTATTCGTTAGTTTGTGTTTTTGGGTATATGATCTGTATATCATATCTCTGCCTTGCAAACAAATCGATATGGGAACGTGAGAAGGAAAAGATACCATAACGCTACCCATCCCCACACCCCCCAACCCCATGACAAGCACCACATCATCCTCCCCCGCAGCAGCAACATTCCTCACTGCCCCCACTCCTGTCTGAAAACTGCACCCCATAGGCGCGAATGTCGCCAGATCGGCCGGGTCGCGGAGGACGTCTTTAACGTTGACGAGGCAGGACTCGTGCACGATGCTGAGCTTGGCATAGCTCGACTGTCCGAAGAAGGAGCCCCAGATGCTTTCTTTCTCGTTTTGTCCTACTGCTGTAGTTCGCGACAGGAAGCTTCTCTCTTTGCCGGTCAAGTTCAGCAGGTTGAAGTGGTCGCAGTGGGCGGGGTGGCGGCGGTGGCATTGCGTGCAGGAACCGCATGATTTGAAGCTGAGGAGGACGGGGTCGCCGATGGAGACTGATTTAGTGGAGGGATTGATGGCGCGGATGTAGCCTGCTCCTGGTTGGGGTTAGTATTTACCATCTAGTATATTCTCTTCTCTGTATGCTGAAGATTCTCATCTGCAGTATAGCATAGTGTATAGGTAGTACACCAGTCACTATACTCAAGAAACAACAGAGGTAATACCTTCATGCCCCACAACCTTGGGATAGTGAACCCCCATCACCCCGTCAGGCACACTGGAAAGCACCATATCAGTGTGACATACCCCCGTCGCGACCATCTCGACGAGGACCTCGTCGGCGCCGCAGGAAGACACTGTCTCCACTTGCTCGAGGGCCCAGTTTGGTCCGTTGGGGCCGGGGGAGCGGGCGACGATGGCTGTTGTTGGGATGGACATGTCTCTTTCTGTTTTTCCCTCTTTCTTTTTGGTATATTGGGATGCGTAGGGTTGGATGGTTCGTGGACTTGGTGTCTGACGTGTAAGGTGCTTGTCCTACCTGGTGGGAGCTGTAGTTTGGGACTGTTCTTGGTCTTGGTCCTCGATAGGCTTGGGGAATTGAAGGTAGATATTCAGTGTATGGTTGACCTGCTGAGTTATCCGTGCTTCTCTTCGAGATCTCGTTACTTTATTATCTTTTGTGTTCTAAAATATCCCAAGTGTCTATATACGACATGAGATCTGACATGCGGGGAAATCATCGCTGCGGGGGCCATTGGACGCTGCCGGTTATGTCCGAGGTAGGACGCCTTAAACGGGCGATCTTCTTGTCTTGTAATAATAGGATGGCGGTACTTGATTCGCAAAAGTAAATTCTAGCTAGGGTCCTTGTAAATGGTCTACAATTATATTGCTAGATCAGGGCTGTCTCCATCACGTGGATATATATCATTTGTACGGTTGATTGACAAGCATATGTGAACGGGATTAGCATCATACTGGTCTAGAATATTGGATAAATAGATACAAGCCCAACACTAGAAACAAAGTGTAAGACTGTCAAGACGGATATCAGCTCCAATGCAAGTAGTGAATGGACAATGAGGGCTATACAAAGAAATCTGGCTGTGAATAGTTATGCATGCACAAGAGCAGTGACTAATGCATAATCAGCGATTAAGAAGTCTTGGCCCATCGCGTGTCACGTGTAGACGCGTCTCGACACGGCGCATCATCGTCTCCGATACGGTTCCTTCACTGCGACATTGAACCAGTTCCTGCTATTCTACCCTCTTTCTCAAATCAGATTCGCCAGCTCATCATGGCTGCCACTTTCTTCAACAATAAAGCCCGAGCTGCAGCGGTCGCAGCGGGCGGCTCCAAGCAGAAGCCGACAGATGGCAAAGAGGAGCAAACGCAGTACCAGCCATGGGTAGAGAAATAGTATGTATTTCCCTGTTCAGACTGTTGACACGCCATTGACTTGTACAGTCGACCCAAAACGCTCGGTGATGTTGCCGCCCAAGACCACACCACGAAGGTTCTCCAACGAACACTTCAAGCCTCCAACGTATGCAGCGCCGGCCTCTTTTCCCTCCCGGTTCACTGCTAACCGCAATAGCTCCCTCACATGCTCTTCTATGGCCCTCCCGGTACAGGAAAAACGTCCACGATCCTCGCCCTCGCGAAATCACTCTTTGGCCCGGCCCTCTACCGCTCCCGTATCCTCGAGTTGAACGCCTCCGACGAGCGAGGAATTGGCATTGTTCGCGAAAAGGTCAAGGGCTTCGCGCGGACGCAGTTGAGCCAGCCGACCGGGGTGAGCAAAGAATACTTCGAGCAGTACCCGTGTCCCCCGTTCAAGATCATCATCTTGGACGAGGCCGACAGCATGACGCAGGATGCCCAGTCTGCGCTCCGTCGCACAATGGAACAGTACAGCCGCATCACCCGTTTCTGCCTGGTGTGCAACTATGTCACGCGCATCATCGAGCCGCTTGCTAGTCGATGCAGCAAGTTCCGCTTCAAGTCGCTGGATAATACCGCTGCCAGCGACCGGTTGGAGCATATTGCGAAACTGGAGAACCTTAACTTGGAGGATGGTGTGATCAGCAAGCTGATCGACTGCAGTGAGGGTGATCTGCGACGGGCGATCACGTATATGCAGAGCGCTGGCCGGTTGGTCAATGCGGGCTCGCTGGGTGGCAAGAAGGATGGGGATGAAGACGCGGAGATGACCGATGCAGGCTCGCGACAAGTAACGGTCCGGATGATTGAGGAGATTGCCGGCGTTATCCCCGAGGATGTACTCGATCGATTAGTCCAGGCTATGCAGCCTACTAAGTTTGGGTCTTCCTACGAAGCTGTGGCCAAGGTGGTTACGGATGTTGTGGCTGATGGGTGGAGTGCTACGCAGCTGCTTTTGCAGGTATGGTTATTCCCCGGGACTTAACTCACATAGCGCAGTGCTGACGGTTGGTAGCTGTATCGACGGGTTGTCTACAATGACGCGATCCCCGACAACCAGAAGAACAAGATCGTCATGGTGTTCTCGGAGATGGACAAGCGGTTGTCCGATGGTGCGGACGAGCACCTTTCGATTTTGGACGTGGCTGTCAAGATCTCTGGTATTCTTGGGGAGTCATAAGCGTGCGATTATATAGATGGAGGTGTTTCCACCGCTTCCATCCTATTCCTCCCCTTCTCGGCGATGCTGTCTGGACGCCGACCCTCACCAAGGGATTGAGGCTCGCGCGACTGGTCGAGCATGTTGGACGGAGATAGGCTCCATAGAGGAATCCACGTCTTCCTTGCCCAGCCTGTCCACCATGAGGTACCCATGTCCGCATGCCAATGGAAGCCCGGTTCTGGCTGGAGTGAGTCAGGACCGAGAGTTACGACCGTATGAAGTTTAACGAGGCCAACAAAAGTACTCTAGCTACTATAGCTAGCACCTAGCTAGTTGCCATAATCAATTATCTGACCAAGCATTGTCATGTTCCTTACGTATGCTGCAGGAGGGGCGTACCTGACCCAACGCCACGTGCGGTTCGTTCGTATCTGACGTATGTAAGCTGACCGACGGCGCGATCTTCTCCGGACTCGCTTCTCCTTCATTTTATACTCCATCCATTATCCTATCCCTTTTCCCCTTTTCTTTATTTACTTTGTTTATGCGACTCTGTTATTATACATTTCCTAGGACCTGAATCAAAGCGAACAAACCATGACCCAAGCGATTGATACCAAGGCGAACCCCGCCATCCAACCCCACTATTTGACTGGCGACGGCGCCGCAATTCGGTCTTTTCTCGACAAATTCGATGTACGTATATCTTTTTTGGCTGTTGGATAATTCAAGAAAATTGCTCTAATAAAGTATCATAGGTCTTCCTGTTTGATTGCGATGGTGCGACCCCCTTCTGCCCCGCATGCCTGTCATACCAATGCGACGATAACCTGGCACACAACACAGTCCAATAAAAGATGAGATTGCTAAGGAATATGGCGCAGGCGTCCTCTGGTCCGGCGACCATTGTTTCCCAGGAACGAATGAAACACTCGAGTTCTTAAGAAGTCAAGGTGCGTGAGATAGTGGAATCCGCTTGCGAACGAACCCAACCTAACAACCAACGACACCGCAGGTAAACAAGTCGTCTTCGTCACAAACAACAGCACCAAGTCGCGCGCCGACTACAAGAAGAAGTTTGATTCATTGGGGATTCCAAGCTCAGCCGTACGTCGTATCCCCATCCCCCGTCCCTCCCAAGCAATACTTCCAAACAATACTAACCCCAACCAGGAAGAAATCTTCTCCTCCTCCTACAGCGCCTCAATCTACATCTCCCGCATCCTCTCCCTCCCGCCCAACAAACGCAAAGTCTTCGTAATCGGCGAAACAGGCATCGAGCAAGAGCTCCGCTCCGAAAACGTGCCCTTCATCGGCGGCACAGACCCGTCCCTGCGCCGCGACGTCACCCCCGAAGACTACAAGCGCATCGCAGCAGGGGACTCCACCCTCCTCGATCCCGAAGTCGGCGTCGTGCTCGTCGGCCTCGACTTCCACATCAACTACCTCAAGCTCTCGCTCGCCTTCCACTACGTCCGCCGCGGCGCCGTCTTCCTCGCGACGAATATCGACTCCACCCTGCCGTCCGCGGGGACCTTCTTCCCCGGCGCGGGGTCCATGAGCGCCCCGCTGATTATGATGCTTGGGCGCGAGCCGGTCTCGCTGGGGAAGCCGAATCAGGCGATGATGGATGCTATCGAGGGGAAGTTTCACTTTGATCGTGCGAGGGCTTGTATGGTGGGTGATCGGGCGAATACGGATATTCGGTTTGGGTTGGAGGGGAAGCTTGGGGGGACGTTGGGCGTTTTGACGGGTGTTAGTAGCAGGGAGGAGTTTGTGGATGGGGAGGTGCGGCCGCGCGCTTATGTGGATAAGTTGGCTGATCTTTTGGGGTCGCATTAACTCGGGAGAGAGAGGTTTCTTGTTTTGGTTCTGCATGGGACTTGCTGGGGTCGGCAGTTGGGTATATTATGTGAGCTGGTATGAATTATGACGGAAAATAAGATACAGGCGGGTCCATAGAGTGCAGGTTGGATATATACAACATGCATACACGATGGATTCGAGAATCCCACCATGTCCAACCAACATTGTAAAGACATTGCGACGAGCCAGCGCATTATCGATTTCACTACACATCACTGATGGTATTTGTATATGTATATACTGGATAAGAAGTTATACCAGCACTACCCCCGAAGAAAGCCCTTGAGCTTCCACAGAGTCAGCAGCGTGTCCATAGTCGTTTTATCAGCGGGTCTGAAAAACAGCGCTAGGCTCTGGAACCGCGCGTCGGATCGTCTCAGCTCTTCCAGCTCTGCCTCGGACAACAGCACCGACAGATCAAAGACAGGAACCCGGGACTGAGTCTGCTGCAGATGCACTGCATCGGGCAGGGTAGACTTCTCCACCTCCGGGGTAGTAGCATCCTGACCACTCCGGGGCTGGCCCATAACCAGCACCGCACCGCACTCCATACGCTCCACAGCCGGCAAATCCCTCAGCGCAGTCTCCAGCGCCGATTTAGAACGCGCATCCAGCGGCAACGTCCGCCAAACGCCATCGCGACCCCGATCCACCTTCTTATACGTCCGACTCGCTTTCTGAAGCGCACGCGCAGCCTGCGCCCTCATCCGCCCGACCATAAACTCAGGCATATCATCCCGCCAAGACAGCATACCCGCAGCACGACTCGTCAACGGACCGTGCGGATATTTCCAGCGATTGGGCAGGATGCGCGCCAGATTGGATCTCCGACGGTCGGATTCGGGACCGCTGTCGAGCGCCTGCGTCAGGCTGGTCAGGACGGGGAGACGCTCGGTTAGGCGGAAGATGAGCGGCTGTGGGGGGTGGTTGTTTCTGGTGGTGGTGGATGGGGTTGGTTTTGCTGGGGGTGATTGTTCGAGTTGGTCTGAGGATAGGGCGGTTTGGTGCTGCTCTCGCGACGCGGCGAGGTCGTCTTTGAGGAGGCCTGTGGGGAGGATGTGTAGGGGTGGGTCTGGTTCGGTGTCGCTTGCTCGGCGGATGATGCCCCATTCTGTGAAGAGGGCGCGCGGGAGGCGTGCGTTTGTTAGGTTGCACATGCGGACTGGGGAGGCGAGGGCTTGGGCCCAGGGGTTGAGGCGGAGGGGGTCTTTGTCTTCGGGGGTTGCGGTGCGTTTGTGGGGTTTGGTTTTGGGGAGGCGCGGGTGAGTGAGGAGGGGGGATTGGGGGAGGAGTTGGGAGGGTCGCGGGGGTTTGCGATTGGCATCGTTAGGAGTGGATTGGGTTTGGTTGGGTTGTTGTGGTGTGTTGGGAGTTGTGGTTGTGGTTGTGGTGGTGGTGGTGTCGGTCGAGCGGTCTTGTGCATTGGGGCGCTGGGTGGAGGTTGAGAGTGGGCGCGAGACGCGGTGGAGGTCGAAAAGCTGGCGGAAGACCCTCAGACGCCAGCTGGCGTAGGAGAGACGGTTGTGTAGACAGACCATGGTGTCTGCAATGGAGTGACGAGAGGAAGAAGTGAAGATGAAGCTGCGTTACATGGAGAAAATAGACTGCGCTAACCGGATCGGCGAATCTGATAATCGTTCGGTCCGATGCTTGACCGATCTCTCTCTTTCCCTCTCCTCCATTATCTCACTTCCGCGTACCACTTCGTCTGATATATTGCATGAAATATACCCTGTTCAGTCGTTCTACATTTAATATTCCGATCATGAATCCAGCCCGGTCGTTGCAGCGATTAGGCCGAGTGGTCGCCCGTCCGTCCAGCTCTATTGCGCTTCCGGCCCTGGCGCGGAGCTTCACCAGCTCGGTCCCTGCGCTGTCCATGAGAGGCGCCCCGCCGCGGGGATGGACGCCCACGCCGTTTGTGACGGAGACTGTGGTATGTTTTCTGGGACTGGGGAAAATATCGCATTGACTAACGAATGGATACAGGGAGGTGGCTGGCACACATGTACGTGAGACGAACTACCTAGGTAGTTGCAATGGCTCACCAACCTGTCTAGATGACATTTTCTCCCGACTGTTGAAGGTGTGTACACTCTCAGAGAGAGATAGAAACAGAGACTACGACAAGTATAAGAGAACCAGCTAACAACCCCAGGAACGCATCATCTGCCTCAACGGCGAAGTAGAAGAGAGCATGTCCGCCTCGATCGTCGCGCAACTCCTCTTCCTCGAAGCCGACAACCCTCAGAAGCCCATTCACCTATACATCAACTCTCCGGGTGGCTCCGTAACAGCCGGTTCGTCCTACCCTTTCCTTTCCTATCCTTCCCTCCCACCAGCACCACCACAGTTAGCTAACCCAATCAAACAATAGGCCTCGCAATCTACGACACAATGACCTACATCGCCTCCCCAGTCAGCACAATCTGCGTCGGCCAAGCAGCAAGCATGGGCTCCCTCCTCCTCTGCGGCGGCCACCCCGGCAAGCGCTTCTGCCTACCCCACTCATCCATCATGATGCATCAGCCGTCGGGGGGTTACTTCGGGCAAGCGAGCGACATCGCCATCCACGCGAAGGAGATCCTGCGCGTGCGCGAGCAGCTCAATATGATCTATAAGCGCCATCTCACGGGCAAGAAGGAGATGTCGCTGGAGGAGATCGAGAAGTTGATGGAGAGGGATTATTTCATGGGTGCTAATGAGGCGCTGGAGATGGGGATTGTGGATGAGGTGCTTGATCGGAGGGGGAAGGGGGATGCGAAGGGGGGTGAGTGAGTAGGTTTGGGTTGGGTTGGTTGAGGGGAGGGTAGTGTTTGTCCATGATGGGTGTTTATGTGGGTTTTTTTTTGTCTTTTTATCATAGCATGGTCTATCGTCATTACTTATTATGTCCATTTGAGTTTCCTCGTAGGGGTTGCATGAAGGATGCGTGAAGAGATGCGGTGATGGGATAAGCTATTGACATATGTACAGACTACAACAGCCCACCCCGTGCGTAAACCATAACCATACCATATCATAACATAACATAACCTGGATATCATCGCCAAAAGAACCCTACGACCCAATCCGTTGGACACGCCCATCAGGCCCAACCTGGAGCCCAAATCGCTCGCGCAGAAAAGTCGCCGTCTGATCTGACGGCACATACGGTGAGGGCCGTCGCACTGCCGCAGGGCTGTACCGCCACTGGTCGCGGATGATATCCAACAAGCCCATGTTCATGACGACGGCCTCGCCGGACGAAAACACATCTAAGGGGTGGGTATGCTTCCCACCTTCCGGCTCGGCTAGGAGTTCTGTGCGCTCCAACTGCTCGTCTGCGCTCACGTCGCTGTGCGGTGTATCATTTCGTGGACGCAGCTCATCGAGCTCGATGTCCTCGGTATTGGGGGGTTGCTGTGGCGATGCGGAGGAAGACGGCGGGCCGGTGCGGAGGACGCCCCGTTCTTCGGAGTCGTGATCTTGTGGGTCGGGTGAGGTTTCTATGGGTTCTGATGCTGTGGTGTTTGACCCAGTGGCGTCGATGGTCTTCACGCGCTCGATGATCAAGCCCAGCATAATCAAATCGAGGAGAAGGACTAGCACGTCCAGCGATAGTAGTCGTACCAGCGACACTGGCGCCTTTTGTCCGATAAAGTCGATCAGGAGTCCGCCGTGCAGGTACCCACGGGTTGTCTCGTCGGCTTCGGGGTGACTGAGGAACTTGTGGTAGGCCATGCAGAAGAGATTGCTGGAGAAGATGGCTCCGATGAACGGCTGGTTCCGCGTGGGGTCGAACGGGGGTGCTTTTGGGGTGAAGAAGATGAACTGTACAATGGCGCGGACGGCGAAGACGACGATCGAGCAACTAACAACAAAGCCATTGTTAGCCATTATTCTGACTTTCAGGAGTCAACCCGTAACGAGGGGTGTCCTCTTCTCCACCCGGCCAAAAATCCGATGACGTTCACTCACTCCAAGTAATATAGCGCTGATAATTCGCAGTAGATCAAGATGTCGAGATCGCGAAGGAGCCGATCAATGAAGAGAACCTTAGCCGCCGACTGCACCTTTTTCATGCGCTCGCCCTGGCCCGATTGCTGGGCCGACTGGTCCACATCGCTGCCATAGGACGTGCCGGATACGTCAGCGATGTATTCTGCATCTCGATAGGCATCTGGAGTGTTCATAGAGGGTCATGAGGACATGAATGGCGACTGGGAAAGGGCGAGAGAGAGAGAGAGATATGGCGGGAGGTGTCGAAAGAAATGGGTGGCGCGGTACAAAGCGAGAGGAAAGGTAATGAGGGGAAAGTTGGGTTGTTGGAGAGGGAGATCTCGATAACGATAGGAGGTGAGCCTGGTCGCCCAGGCAGGCCGTCAGGTGGTACGGACTTTCCTCGGCCCGATCCGACTAGACTGAACGGTCATGATTTACTCCGCATCTCCGTGCTTCATTTCTTACATAACAGTGTCTGTAGATATGTGTACTTGTGAACTATATTCTACCTGAAAAGTAGTGGATGCGTAATATCTATAATTAATTCACATGTTCAATCCACGAAAATCGTCTTCGAAGTGGCCGAGTAATGCTTGAAGAAGCTGGCAAACAGTCGGATCGAATGCTCCACATCATCAGTGCCTCCCGTCTCGCGGATGCTGTGCATGCTCAGCTGTGGGTTGCCCAGATCCAAGGTCCGCGTACCCAGGGCGGCGGACAGCATAGGACCGATGGTGCTTCCGCAGCTGGAGTCGTTGCGGACCACAAAGAGTTGCAGCGGCACCCCCGGGCGGTCATTCTCGGCGGCCTTCTGGGCGACCTCCTGCAGGAGGACAATGCCCGGAGAGTTCGTCGCATAGCGTGCGTTGGCGTTGATCTTGATCACCGGGCCCTTGTTGAGCTCTGGTCGATGGTCGGCCTCGTACTTCCCGCTGTAGTTCGGATGGACGCCATGGGCCATATCGGCGGAGAGAAGGAAGGAAGTTGAGAGCGTCTGCTCATAGGCAGTCGAGAGATCGGCGTTACCGGAAGCCGATGAGGGCAGGACGGACAGACGGCGGATGATGGCCGGAAGCATGTTGGAGTCGGCCCCCTGCGCGGTGCAACTGCCGATCTCCTCGTGGTCAAACAGCGCCACGAGTCGGATGGCCGGCTCATCGTCCAAGGAAGAGGACTCCGCCACGGAGTCAATCAATCCGATGGTGGCACAGAACGAGCTGTTCAGGTTGTCCAGGCGAGGGGAAAAGATGAACTCTTCCAGCAAACCACCGAGGCAGGACTTTTGCGTGTCGAAGAGGATCATCTCGAAATCCACGATGTCAGCGGGCTTCACGCCGGCTTCGGCGGCCAGGAGTTCGACAAAGTAGGTATGGTGACGCTCCGTGATGGCTTTGAGGGGCGAGAACTCCGCTTGTTCGTCGCCCTTGGAGGCCTCCTTCTCGCCGCCATTCTTCGACTCTCCGGTGCGGTTGAGCTCGGCAGCAACGAGACCGGCGATGGGGAACAGCTGCGTTTCCTTGTTAAAGGCAAAGTTCTCCTGGCGATCCAGGTGGATGGCTAAAGTAGGGATCCGGAGGACTGGGAGGATCTGTTAGTTGGTTGATATCGGTGGAAATGATCGGCGAAACATACTCGGGCGATCGACCTTGATCAGTTTCTGCACGATAGAGCCGTCTGCCGCTCGGACCATTGCCCGACCAGCGACACCTAGGTCACGGTCGAACCCTAGAGTTATCAATTAGCGGAGGCATGCGAGAAAGCAAGAGGGGGACATACATGTGTGCCAGAGCCCGCCGCCGTAGGTTTCCACCCCCACTTGGATATAGCCTTCCCCGCGCTTGTTGCTCACGGGTTTGACTCTCAAGACGGGCGAATCGGTGTGGGCACCGACCATGGAAATGGAGTTTCCCGGCTATTCAAGTCATCAATATTGCTCGACGGGTCCAGAACATTGGGTATGGAGCGATTACCTGCCATTTCTTCCCCACGGCAAAGGCCACAATCGTCGAGCTGTTGCGAGTCAAGTAGTACTTCCCACCCGGTCGGCAGGTGGATGCCCAAGAGTCCTTCTCCTACACGGATTGTTCAACATATGGGACGCACGTGTGCCGGTGTATACTGAACCTACTTTGAGTTCCTGAAACCCAGCCTTTATCAGAAGATCTTTGGCGGATTGAACCGCATGGAAGGCTGGACGCACTCTGCGTTAGACAGACATTACTGCGGGGAAATGGACTGAAGCGGGGAGGGGGCATTACGGGTGGGAGAGGCATTGACAAAGGACAGAAAGTCCTGAGCCAGATTCTTTGCGACCTTGGAAGTCATGCTTTCCGATAGACTAGCCCGTGGGATCTAGACAGCAGTTGCTGGTGACATGAGGGGAAGCCAAGTGGAGTTGAGGAAGTTGACATGAGATCATCGGGAGCTGGTCCGGGCGGTCTTGGCGTCTCTCCTCCAGCAAGTGACCTATCGTATCTTTGTCTCAGGGTACGATATTAGTCTTACGAACTACGAGCATTATTAGACATGTCCGATGCAGAGATAGGAACAAAGGAACATGAGACTGACAAGGATGAGGGAGTCTGTTGCAGAATAAGACACAAAAAGGGATTCAGTAATCGGCCAGTCCCTTACTTGCTGGTCGCGTTCTTGTGCGCGCGTGGAATGGACCGTCGCGTCTTGCTTATGTAATTATGCATATCAAAACAACAAAACAACCCAAAACAACACCTTTTGTTCATTGGTGTTGTTATTTGTATTATTGTTATTATTACTGTAGATCATAAACTCTCCTGATCCAGTCTAGAATAATCCCAGGTGAAAAAATACTCCTCTCATTCCTTTGTATCTATCTATTCTCCTGATCTCAGCCACCACATGGATGGATCATCGGGATGAACACTCGTCAGATGGGTAGGATCAGTAGGACCAGATGATAAGATAGAGGCTCCGTGCTGGAATGATGATCAGGCACGTTGGTCAGACAGTAAATGGAAAATATTACCGGGTATTGGCTAGGTATGAAAGTAAGATTAAGTATATTGCATAGCAACAGGTTCCTGCCTTGAGGCCTTACCAACCACCTGCTCTATACTCCCAAATAGGTCTAGCGCTCCCGACGCGTGACTGGAGGGATTTCCCCTTCCGACGCTCCCAATCCACCCCCAAAGAAACGGCCATCGTCAACCCTTGGTTCCCTTTCCGCCATTTCAACCCTTTTCTCCCTCACCAGACCGTGGTCAGGTCCCTCTCAAATGACCTCCACAATTTGTTGGATTTCTGAAACTCAACCCTGGGTCTGGTGAGAGACACTGTTGACTTATCTTCATCCCTCCCCGTCATTCCTTCGACCGCCTGCCCGCCCGTCCATTTGGTGATCACTCCGAGCGGAGAGAAAGGCTCGTGTTGTCACTGGTGACCTCGCCATCCCCCGAGAGATATACCACCAAGGAAAAGAAGAACAAGGGGCAGAGGACACCGGGTGTGGTTGGATTGGGAGGAAATCGGATTACCCGCTATTTATCTACTACATATCTTACGACCGGTCTCGCGCTCATCTGGACCGTCCTGCGACTGCGCCCTAGAAACTTGTCGCATACGATCAGATTCGCCTCACTTATTCTGATTTCCGCTCGCATTCAGAATCCCCGACAGACGATATAAAGGAAAGTCATGAGCGACAAAACCCGCAGTGCGGAGGCGTCGGCGGCTCGCCGCGCGACAAGAGGGGCCAAACCGTCGAACAACCCGGCCAATGCCTTGAATCTCGCCTCCCCGCCCGGCTCGAAGACGCCCCCCAGCATGCCTGCCAAAAAGACCCTGTTCTTCCCCGGTTCAGCCGGGGGACGCCAGAAGAGTCGAAATAGTTCCGAGCCCATCGACCCGGATGCGCTTGCCAAGGCATTGAAGGACTACGAAGACGCTGGACGTCCGCGCGAAAGGACCCCTGGGACAAGCCCGAGTCGGAAAAGACAGAGGGTCTATGGTGATAGGTGAGTGGTGGGAATTATATGTGCTGTGGAGGAGTTCCGGCGGCAGCAACGGTGGCTTGCCCTTGCGGGACTATTGCTAATGCTGCGCTCCAGGTTTATACCAAATCGTGATGGACAGGACCTCCAGGCCACGTATAGTCTCCTTCATGAGGATGGGTGTCCGTCAACACCGTCGAAATCCAAGAGACGGGCGCCACACTCGGAGCTCCAGTTCCAAAAGAGTGAGTGTCGCCAAGGATTGATGCCTTCCAGTCGCTAACATCCCATCTCTAGCGGAGGAAGCGAACAGGACATACTCGCGAGTCTTAAGGAGCGAGCTGTTCGGAAACAGCGTGCCACAGGCCGATTTAGATTCATTGTCCCCAGATCCCGTGCTGGGTCTAACCGGCGGCATCAACGAGAAGACTCGTTCACATACCCCACCCTCCCACGTTGTCTCCAACCTGCCCCCGGCCAACATCACCCCTTCAACACCCCACAAGAACCTCTTCAACTACGCATCCCCGCGGGGATCGGGGCAGCCAACCCCCTCCAAAACACCTCGAAGCCAGCACGGCCCTAATCTGAACGTCCGATCGGAGCTTTACAGTTTGTCTCCCATTCGATATGACAGCCAGCGCATCCTGGAGACCCCTCGCAAACAACCCCGCTACGTCAACAAAGTCCCGTACAAGGTTCTCGACGCGCCAGACCTCCAGGATGATTTCTACCTGAATCTGGTCGACTGGGGCAGCAGTAACGTGCTTGGCGTTGGCTTGGGGAACTCGGTATACATGTGGAATTCGCAGACCGGCAGGGTCACAAAGCTGTGTGAGCTGAAAGATGACACAGTCACCAGTGTGAACTGGATTCAACGGGTATGCGTCTCCGTTCCCGGTTTCACAGCATGCGGCGTATCCGAGACTAACTGGCGGCACTTCTAGGGTACCCATCTTGCCATCGGCACAGGCAAAGGACTGGTCCAGATCTGGGATGCCGAATATTGTCGTCGCCTTCGGACCATGATCGGGCATACCAACCGCGTGGGCGCTCTGGCCTGGAACGACCACATCCTCACTTCCGGGTCTCGCGATCGCCTGATCTTCCACCGGGATGTCCGCTCCCCCGATCAGTATCTGCGCCGATTATCCGGCCACAAACAGGAGGTGTGTGGGCTGAGATGGAACACGGAGGATGGCCAGTTGGCCTCCGGGGGGAACGACAACAAGCTTCTGGTGTGGGACAAGCTGAACGAAACCCCACTCTATCGCTTCTCCGATCATACCGCCGCCGTCAAGGCTATCGCCTGGTCACCCCATCAGCACCACCTTCTCGCCTCCGGTGGCGGTACAGCTGATCGAACGATCAAGTTCTGGAACACGTCCACAGGCTCCCTGATCAAAGAAGTGGACACCGGCAGCCAAGTGTGTAACTTGGCGTGGTCCAAGAACTCCGACGAGATTATCAGCACCCATGGATACAGTCAGAACCAGATCGTCATCTGGAAGTATCCGCGCATGGAGCAAATCGTGTCCTTAACCGGTCATACATTCCGTGTGCTGTATCTGGCCATGAGCCCCGACGGCCAAACCGTCGTCACGGGTGCTGGCGATGAAACCCTACGTTTCTGGAAGATCTTCAACAAACGGCCCGGTCGAGAACACGGGCGCGAAGGCAGCAAACTAGCGGAATGGGGCACCATCCGATGATGCTCTTATAATGGTTCGCATGGCTTCGAGAGTCGCAACCTCGGAGTCTTTCTTTTTCTTTTTCTTTCTTTTCCTACTCAGAAATCCCCACAAGCATTAGAATATGGCGTTCCTGGATTTCGGCGTTACTGCGACCCACGGTATATCCTTGGACGGTCTGGGGGAGGGTCTAAAGGTCTAGGTTGGCATCTCTGCATTTTGTGGGTTTACAGCATAATCCGGGCGACTGTCAGGTGCTTGACTATCTTTGTTTCCCATCTGTCATCTGGTCACATTTTCATCGCATGTACCTTGGGCCTTTGCTTCTTCGTTTTACTTGCTTTCTGTTGTCTTTTGATGTTTCGCATTCGCGTCTTGTCGCTTTTTCCAGGCTACGGGCCTTGGAACCAGTGGACTTTTTCCAGTCTTATATCCCTTTACAATGAATAACAGCGACGGCGCTCATGGTGTTCCCTCTGGTGGCCCCCGAACGTGGCGTTGCGCACCTGGATGGATAGGTGGCTGGCCTTTGATTGCCGTCAGGGTCCTTTCATCCCCGTTTCACTTGCATGGTATGGACTTTGCACTCTTGAGGGTTTCAAACTGACGATGAGATGACATTTTACACTGGGCACCTTGTTCTGTTACTGGTTTTTCGAGGCGTGCATTATTACTGCGAAGGTATTCGCCGGTTGACATAGCGTTTCTGCATGATTCTAAGGAATGAAACAAAATCTATAGTAATACCACAAAGACATTGTAGTTGACAGTTCTTGATTTGCCCAGCAACGTGCATACATTGTATACGATCGTATCGCCGGTTTCTTCTCCGCCCGGGGAGGCGGCCGGACAGGAACATTTTTCTGCCGCGGAGGTTGGAGGATCTCCGACTCTTTGATGTCCAGGGATATATCGTCGTCGGTCAACGAACTCAAGGTGAGTGTCTCTGTGCGATGGCCAATTTCAACTGCCTTCGTCATTTATCACTGTTTTGCAATTGGCATCCATTGGTGTGGCGATTTTGTGCCCTTCCCCGCGCTCCCCAAACATGTCGCATCTGTCTACCTCGGGCTGCAGGCTAACATGATCATCTTCGTACCCAGTAGAGGCAATCATGTTTGCCCGGTCATTTGCTTTCCGAGCGTTCGCGCAACCGTGCCCACGAGGGTTACTATTCCCCGGCCTCCAGCCATCCCCCACGCTATGGCGAACCTTCACAGCCAACGCCCCGCGGGCAAAAGCCGCGATCAAACCCAAGCAACAACCAATCGCCTATAAGCCTCAACCCAAAGTGCAGACCCAGTCGGCGGAAGAGACGCTCAAATTCGCCGGACGACGACCAGAGGGATTCGGAAAGCTGGAGCGCAAGGTTGCCAAGGAAGGGACACTTCTACTTTTCAGCGCGCCGTCGCTGCGCAGCTACGTGCTCGGAGCCTACGGTATCGCCTCCTTCTGCTTCGCCTACGCCGTCTACAACTCCAACGCCGTGTTCCGCGATCCGCTCGTGCCTCTCCCCATGTGGCAGCAGGGCTTGTTTGGCGGTATCTGCGTGATGATGAGCGTCATGGGCACGGTCTTCCTCGTCAAGACGAGTCGGCTGATCCGGTCGGTCCACGCCGTTGCTGTCAACGGGCAGACCTACCTTCGCTTCAACGTCCGCAGCGCGGTGCCCTTTAAGAAGTCGTATTCGTTTGATGTCCTTCCGCGCCAGATCGCCTTCTCGCGCCGTCTGATCGTCTCCCCCTCTGCGCAGACCGCGCGCCATGCTGAGCTGGCGGCTGGTGCGCAGAAGTCGCAAGTGAGCTTCTTCAAGGCTCCGCTGCAGAAGTCTAGCATGCTTCTTTGGAGGCTGTTTCGCGCGGTGCGGCAGATTTTCACGCAGGAGGACTTTATCCTGCTGGAGGTGGAGGGCCAGAAGGGCGTGTTCCGGATGGACTCTGCGGGGTACGTCGCAGAGGACTTTTTGATCATTGGGAATCCGGTGAGCATTCGGAGGTAGGGGTCGTATGAGCGCGGTGTACGATATCTATCTTTGAGTGTCTAGTTTCTTTCTGCTCTTCGTGCCTTGTGTCTGATGGAGCCGGGGTTTGATCTATCTTTTTGCCAGTGACCAGGAGTGAGGGAAAGAATCATCATGTACATATAGAGTCAATTTAGAAGCATAGAATCTCTATTATCAAGACGAACCACCGAATTATGTGTCAATAGCCATGATGGGGCGATCAACAAAGTCATAGATCGGATCGACAGCGCTGATAGGACGGATGCACGTGACCCAGCGGCGCGTCGTCCCAATCGCCCGTGACGCGACCTCGAGTTATCCCGATTGCGCGGAAACCCCTCGTAACACACTTGCGCCGTTCCATCTCCACCATTTAATCCACCGTCCTTGCCACTGCAGTCGCCGGGGAGCGACAGCACTGTCGCGGAGATGGGGAAGCTCATCAGACTCGAGCTTTTCAGTACGTTTTGCTGCCCCTCTCCACACTCGGGCCTTCGAGATGGCTGACTTGATCACCACTACTAGATTTCAAGTCCTACAAGGGACATCATGTTCTTCTCTTTGGAGATGCGTATTTCACGTCCATCATCGGCCCCAATGGGTCCGGGAAGTCGAACTCGTATGTGAGAGATGGGGAGGTTTAAATTGATTCGCGCTGACTCGTCCTAGGATGGATGCGATTTCATTCGTGCTAGGCATCAAATCATCCCACCTGCGATCGACCAACCTGCGCGATCTCGTCTACCGCGGCCGCGTGCTACGCACCGCCAAACTCGACGCCGACGGGAACGCCATCGACGGAGAAACAAACGGCGAGGAGCAGGAGGAGCCCGCTACACAAGACGGGACGGATGGCGGCGAGCCGTCGCAGGAAGCGAACGGCACGAGCGATCCGCGCTCGGCGTGGGTGATGGCCGTGTACGAGGACGACGCGGGCGAGGAGCAGCAGTGGCGACGGTCGATCACGAGCCAGGGCGTCAGCGAGTACCGCATCAATAATCGCATTGTGACCGCGACGCAGTATAACGAGTCGCTGGAGGCGGAGAATATCTTGATCAAGGCTCGCAACTTTCTTGTCTTCCAGGGTGATGTTGAGGCTATTGCTTCGCAGTCGCCGAGGGATCTTACTCGCTTGATTGAGCAGATCTCGGGCAGTCTGGAGTATAAGGCTGAGTATGAGCGGTTGAAGGCTCAGGCGGAGGAGGCGAGCGAACTGCAGACTTCTCAGCTGAATCGTCGTCGCGGTATCAATTTTGAGGTTAAGCAGTACCAGGAGCAGAAGCGTGAGGCTGATAACTATGCTCGCAAGGCTGAAGAGCGCGACCAGGCTATTATTACCCACATTCTGTGGAAGCTGTTCCACTTCCAGCGTCTTATCGATGCCTCCAGTGCGGATATTCAGAAATATCAGGACGAGCTCAAGGAGTACCGTCGTGGTGTTGAGAAGTATGAGCTGAATGTCGAAGACGCGAAGAAGGACTACGCTAGGGTCGGTCGCGATGTGTCGAAGGCTGAGAGGAACATCCTCAAACAGGAAAAGGACATTGAGGAGGCCAACAATGCGCTCGTCCCTGTGGACGAAAAGGTCGACATCACCGTCAAGAAAGTCGAGCGATTTGCCTCCAGGATTGCAGAAATCAGCAGGGAACGCGACGCCCAGTCTTCCAACGCCAAGCAACTAGAGAAGGATTTGAAGGTTGTCGAAAAGGCACAGGCTCAGTGGGAGGCCGAGTGGCAGAAAACCATCAGCAAACAGGGGCGTCAGTTGAGCGAGGCTGACCAGCAAGACTACAACCAGCTCAAGGAAGAGGTCAACAAGCGGTCGTCTGCGGACCAGCTGAACCTGGACAATCTGCGGCGCCAGAGGAAGACCGAGGCCGAAGCGTACAACAGCCTGAAGGGCAAGTTCGACGGTACCGAGTGGCAACTCAAGACGCTAGAGTCAGACACGCAGTCCCTGTCCGAGCGCAAGTCGTCTCTCAATGGCACGATCAAGTCTACATCCAAGGAGATCGACCACAAGAAGAAGGAACTCAACGCCCTAACTTCCGAGCGTCTCCGCGCGTCCCAGATGCGGACAGAGCTCGAGGAAAAACTGCAGGTAGTCCTAAAGAAGCTCCTTGAAGCCGACGATGGCAAGAAGCAGACCGAGCGTGAGATTCGCGCCAAAGAACTGATCTCGACTCTGAAGCGGATTTTCCCCGGCGTGAAGGGCCGCGTCAGCGATCTCTGCAAGCCCAAGCAGAAGAAGTACGCAGATGCAGTCAGCACCGTCCTTGGACGAAACTTCGACGCCATCGTCGTCGACAACGAGAAGACCGCCAAAGAATGCATCCAGCATCTGCGCGATCAGCGAGCCGGCCAGGCGACCTTCATTCCCTTGGAGACGATCCAAGTCAAGGCTTTCCATTCGAACCTCAAGGGCATGCACCGAGCAATGCGCCCGGCAATCGAGACCGTCGACTATGACGATTCTGTCGCGAGAGCCATCAGCTACGCTTGCGGGAACTCCATTGTCTGCGACGACCTCGCGACCGCCAAGTACCTCTGCTACGAGCGAAACGTGGACGCCAAGGCCGTCACATTGGACGGAACGGTGATCCACAAAGGAGGTCTCATGACGGGTGGTCGCGGCCAGCAGCAGAACTCGAAGCGCTGGGAAGACTCCGAGGTCGAGAACCTGTACAAGCTCAAGGACAAACTGATCAACGATCTCACCAACTTGCCCAAGGGTCACCGCAGGGGCACCGAAGAGGAAACGCTGCAGGGCGAGCTGGTTGGTCTCGAGCAGCGCCTTTCCTACGCCCGCGAAGAGCTCAAGGCGCTGGAGAGAAACCTCCAAAGCAAGCACTCCGAGCTTGACTTTTCCAAGCGCCAGCTGGAGGACCTGAGACCCAAGTACACGGAGCGCCAAGAGACGCTGAACGAGCTTGACGAAACGATCGCCACGTCCCAGGAAGCCGTCAGCAGCGTGGAGGACGAAGTGTACCACAAATTCTGCAAACGGCTCGGGTACCAGAACATCCGCGAATACGAAGTCCAGCTCGGGTCCTTGCAGGAAGAGGCTGCCCAGAAGAAACTGGAGTTCACGACGCAGAAGAGCAGGATTGAGAACCAGCTTAGTTTCGAGAAGCAGCGACTCCAAGCTACGAAGGACCGCATTGCCGGTCTGCAAGCTCAGCTCGAGCGCGATGAGAGCCTGATTGAGGAGCTCAGGGCGGAGCAAGAGCAAATCGGCAACCGGCTGGATGAGCTGAATGCCGAGCTTGATATCCTGCGAGAAAAACTGGATGAGCAACGTCTGGCCTATGAACATTCGGCTGAGAACCTGGCCCAGCATCGCAGGGAGCTTCAGAAACGCAGTCGCGAGGTTGAAGGTGCACTGAAGCATGTCAACGCCCTGGAGGCAGAGATCCAACGCAACTCGTCCAGTCGATATGCTCTCCTTCGACGGTGCAAGCTTGAAGATATTGATGTTCCGTTGACGGAGGATTCGAACGCGCTGGATCAGCTTCCCATCGACGATTTAGTCCAGGCCGTGGATCCGGATGCGATGGAGGTGGACGAGGATAATGACGAGGCCGGTCAAGGCATCCAGGACTATGGCATCGAAGTCGACTTTGACTCATTAGGAGACACCCTCAAGGAGGTACGTCACATATACCTACCATACAAAGCCCATGCTAACTGGATCCAGGAATCGGACGAGAAACTCGAAGAAGAGCTACTCGACAAAGTGCGGTCCCTCAACAGCGAACTGGACAAGATGGCACCGAACACGCGCGCCATGGAACGCCTCGAGAGCGTCGAGAACAAGCTCCGCAGCACAGAGAAGGAATTCGAGCAAGCGCGCCGGCACGCCCGCAAAACCAAGGATGACTTCGAGGAGACGATGCACAAGCGGTCCGAACTGTTCAACAAGGCCTTCTCCCACATCTCGGAGCAGATCGGGCCTATCTACCGGGAGTTAACCAAGAGTGCGAACTATCCACTTGGTGGACAAGCGTGAGCATCCCCTTCCTTCTCCATAAAAAGCCACCAGTTCCTCTAACAAGGCAAAACATCTAGATACCTGGACATCGAAGACTCAGACGAGCCCTACCTAGACGGCATCAAGTACCACGCGATGCCACCGCTCAAACGCTTCCGCGACATGGAGCACCTATCAGGTGGAGAGAAGACCATGGCCGCCCTGGCTCTGCTCTTCGCCATCCACTCGTACCAGCCGTCACCGTTCTTCGTGCTCGACGAGGTCGACGCCGCCCTCGACAATGTCAACGTCGGCCGCATCGCAAACTACATCCATGACCACGCCGCCCCGGGCATGCAGTTCATCGTGATCAGTTTGAAGACGGGTCTGTTCCAGAATAGTGAAGCCCTGGTTGGAATTTATCGCGATCAGGCGGAGAATAGTAGCAAGTCGCTGACGTTGGATGTGAGTATTTTACTTCCATAATTATCTCCCCCCCTTCCACCAAACGAGCAAATGACTGACTGCTTTTCAGCTCCGGAAATACAACTAGTCTTCGACGGAGAGTGTAGCTCTTTATCTATTATTCTGTTTTATATCTCTATTCTTATTCATTTATTCCTTTCTTTGTCCATTCATGCCATGTGTAGAATAGTTGTTACTGCTGTGGTTTGCTTTCTTTTTTTTTTTTCACAATTTATGTTATGCCTTGATGGTTGGGTGGGGTGCAGGTATGGTATAGCTAGCTCGTCACATACCTAGGTAGCTACATACTACTTGCCTACAGTGGATCTATATGTTGTACCTCAACAGTCGACCATTCATCCGCTATACGTAGACCACCTACTACCTACCCACCTACCTATCTAGTCTATAAATTGGTACCGCCAAAGCTAGTATAGTCTTGCTCGCATGAGTACACACTCGTGGTATTCTCGCTACAACACGACAGTACCTACCTACCCAGCTTTCAAGACAACGCATATCAGTTGCCTGTTGAACAGTAAGTGAATAGTGTAATTATTGTACGAGTTGTCAGATACTAATTGTCTTGTCTACCATAGCCTTACTTAGTGCCCATAATAGATCTTGACAAGTTATTTATTTTCCAATAGCCCTAATACATCAAACTGTGTGGCAGACTAGAACAGCAAAGCGAAGACATATCTAAATAGTATATATATACATAGTTACCCCGCTCGTGACCGATAAAGCCCTAATTATCTAGCTACATTGGCGGATGGCTCGAGACGAGGACATAGATTGAGTTGAATGGCTTCGACATCCTCCCAATAGTTGACACTGGGTGCCGTATGTGGCTATAACAAAATATAATAAAAAACCGTAGTTGATATCAGATTCTCGAGCCCGACGTACATATATGGGACGGGCCGGGAGTCTGCTTGGGTCGGCTATTTGATAGTTGCACTCTATCTATACTTTCATCTGCCTACGTAATATCCAGATGATGATTCTGGTAGTGAAGTTCAAAAACCTAGTATATATCTACTGTGCCGTTATCTGGAGCATCGTACTATACTCCAGAAAGTCTGTAGCTTTGATCCTCCTATCTGGGAATACCCCTATTGACCAAATACATACATTTTAGCTTTGCAAAGAATAGCCTAAGTCGCTGATCCATATCCAGACCTTGTATTCTTGTTGACAAAGCGCTGTCAGTGGCAAAGGTATCGCAAGCTGGAACTGGGAATGTGCCGGATTGGCTCGGGATCTCCGCACAGGGGCCCTCCATAGGGTGGATCATGTGAGAAGGGGGAGGGGAAACATGGGATCTGAGAGGTAGACTGCAGGAGAGCTGTCTCAAATCGAGTGGATAGCGCCATCTTCACCATCTTCTGAGTGGAATGAGTGAAATACCTCAATCCGGTATCGACTTGGAAGAAGTTACCGTGCCCGCGAGAGACATCGATATCAAAACCAAACGGGGTCTCGCTTTTGATTTACGTTCTATGGTAAATATCTGGTTTTTGTTAGTATTAACTTCATATGAATCTGCACTAAGTCTATGTGGTAATGATAGGGCAACCGTGAAAGCTCGGAATCGATGCTCTGCAATTACGTTGACAGTGCGAACCGGCTGGCCTTCATTGAGTTGATACCTTCATGAGTTGTATCATGACGGTGGAAATCCACAGAGAACCTAGTAATGAGTATCTTAGACCCCTGCTGCGTGATCAGCACCTATAGTCGAGGAGCACCGTTCTCCAACACTCCAACCCTGCGGTGCCGCCCTTTAGGGCGTCAACTCCTACCTCTGTTGCGCGTCACAGAGCACCAAGCACGTCCACATGCATAATCAGTCAACGATCGTTACGGTGCTCGGTAGTCAGTCATGTCTACGACGCCACGCGGGGAACAAACATCCCTTACTATGGCAACATCATGACCACGGCTATGCTCGGCAGCGGAGATAACGCGCGCATCGCCATTATCCCACTGGAGAAAGACCACAAGGCGGCGTATGCAACTTCCGAAATGGGGAAGTGACCCGCTTCGCCCTCATGAGTATGAGTAAGTTTTGGTTTTTCGGCTGGCGCAAAACACGCGGAATGGCATCCGGCCGCTAGGTGCTGCTTTCGATTGCCTTTGGCAATCCCTAGATCTAGTCTCGTGCAGCGGCCAACAAGAACCACGTCCCATCAAGCGTTGCCTGGTATGGATGGCAATACTGCTAGGGGTTTGTAAAGGAGAAATAGATGCAGAATGCGCGAACCGGTCAGATGGCGGCGGTGACGGCCAATAGCGTGGTCGAGAATGCAACAGTACCTCGTCAGAGTGCGCCTTCTGGGGTGAATAAGGGATCCAGGAATATAGATCACTAGGTTGCCTTCTGGAGAGGAAAATGGAAGCGACTGTGCCACATGACCATCGTTCGGGACGTTTCCTGGGAAGACCACAAGAAGACTGAAACAATCCTGGCCGGTTCTCGGAGCAGATTATGGAAATTGACTTCTTAGGACACCCACTCGAGAGTTCAAGGTGTGGGGTCGCAGAGATCCGTGTCGAGATTAACTCAATCATCGTAAGGTGGCAATAAAGTAGTAGCCACGCTTCCCGAATACGAGCAATCCAAAGCCACCAACAGACCCAGACGACCAGGCGGTTGGCATGATCTTGACCATCCATCGTGGAAACACAAAATCCCCCTAGTAACCGTAAGTAGCCAACCAAAGCTCATGGTCACTACTAGCAGGCGAAAAACTAATAGTGTGCTGCAAGATAAAAATATAATCAGCTATGCAGACTGTGGCAACAAACTTTTCCGGCTGAAGGTCTGTCGGGCCAGTGATCGCTGATCGAGGAGGGCACACGTCAGTCTTCCCCGTAGCTGCCAGAAATAAGTTATGCATCAAGTGACCGGTGTGGGAGAACGACTGATCTGCATCGACGGGTGCGATCTCTCATAATTTCTCGGTCCACAGTGGCCCTGAATTGACTGGTCGATTCTCATAGGTGCTCAGACTCCAACGTACTATGCGAGTGTAACTTGATCCGTAATTAGTAGGCAACTGATTTTCTGTAACTATAGCCGTTGAGCAATTTCTAGCTTGATATGGGCTTGTTCCTGAACTGAGAGTGACTAGTACGATGTTGTTATGGGGTTGTTCGAGCCTGAGGGCTGCAGACAGAAGATATAGGCGGCGAACGGACGTGGCTGCCTGTCTGGCTGCAACCTGGATGCTGCGTCTGTGTTGCTCTGGGCTATCATTAGACGACTGAACCACCAAGGTCTCAATTGTCATACGTCAAATGTGACAGTAAGAGACGCGAGTTGAAAACCGAGCAAATCTGAAGGCCCACTTTCCCCGCAAAGATGCGAGGGGGTGAGATTCGCTGCTCCTTTTCGCCAAGTTCTATCCTTCGCTGGAAGACATTGCGTTTGTTTCTGGGGTGGCGCAAGCTGAGATTTGGTGTGGAAATGACAGAAACGCATTGTGCATACTACGCCGGAGGAGTAGTAACCGGCGTCAATGTGGTGGAATCGGAGGGCCTGTGTCCCATCTAAGACAAATTTGCTTCTTTGATCTTCCCTGAACTGTTGTTAATGCAGGCCAATTGTTTTTTATCTTGAACCGGTTGCTGCTGTCGTATACACTCTCCGTGGAGAATGCCCAATGACCTACCATGGAGATCTTCTCCGTGAAGGCTGGGACAAATAGCTCATTTCCACACAGAAAAAAGCATGGTGTAGCAATGGGTCCAAATCGGGTCGGATCCAAGCATGTCGCTTAGCCACTGGGAGCAAATTCGGTAAAGTACATCAATCACTTGAGTGGTTGAGTTGCAAACCTGGAAGGCACGGAAGTGCGAAGGAGTCCAATCCGTTACACATAAGAAATGAAGCATGGAAAGCAAATGCGTACTTCTGATAGGATACCACGCTGGATTGCGGACAGGATCCACAGCACGCACTGACTCGCATTCGAATAGAAAAGCAAGATAATACGGAGTAATGAAAAAAAAAAAAATAGATCAAGAGGGAAGGAAGCACCGGCGGAAGTCAGATTCTGTTGATCCGGACAGGGGAATTGTTCCAACTGGCGGGAAATAGATACCAGCCACACGGCGTTTGAAGTGGACCAAGTCACTAACGTCCACTCGGTGTCACCCATGCTGACGGGCTGAATGGGCACTAGTATTATGACTGTAGCCTGTCGGTTGGAAAATCTGGAAGCATCCTGCATCTTAAACTTGAGCTATACAGTGGCAACCCAAGTCTTAGAATGGGACTCTGGCTGGGATGGCCGAAGCAGTGTCTGTTTCCTTTAGCCAGTGACATCATCCTCATCGGTAGGAATGGGCGCAGCCATAACAGACATAAAATAGTGAAAATGTATATGGTGTAGGTGCTTGGTAGATCCTGCGGTCGTCTGCCATGCCAGGCCTTACCAATCAAGATTCGATTCTCGATGTATCTACAGATCAAGAATGACGATCCCAGAGACGTACCATGTAAGCATGATCCCCAAATCCCTGCCAATGTTTGAGAACGCAGATCATCGCTTAATTCAACAAGTATAATACTGATAGAGTTGAGGGTAGGCCCTGTCATGAGGGTTAGCTTGTTCGACAATTCTACATTAGTGGGATGAAGGAATAGGAAAAAGAAAATGGCACTAGTATCAGCATCTGCATCTATATCGGCCTCTCCGTCAATGCGATACAAAGTGTGCATAGCACACCAGATGTTTCACCTTGGTTTGATCGGCGCGAATATAGATCAATGTAGAATCCAAGGACGTTCACATCGTATCTCACTTCTAGTTTGGCATTCTGGATTGGAGAGTCCCCACGCCACCCCGTAGGCCCCGAAACTCAAAAGGGGGCTTTGAGCCAAGAGAATTTGAAAAGATGAACGCCGTAGTGGGTCATCAGAATGCTCGATTTACACGCAGTTATGGAGACGGGCCGTCGTGGATGGGACCGGGGCTGACCAAAGAGGAATTTGCCTGTATGTACCTATTTGTTTTCCTTGCATTAGTTTGTACTGGCCAAGGGCTGCGTTGCGCTGAAGAGACATGATCTGTTAGTCAGAGATCTTGGAAATAGTACTTTCTCCTTTTCCTCACTCATTTTCGTGGACTCCAATAAAAGTAAAGTTTCTTTTTGCCCTGGACGTAAAGTATATTTGGCTGCCGGCGGCCCATGAAAACCACCCGAGCCGTAAGCATGAAACCATAGAAGTTCAAGCCTTGAAAATCCTCCTGCAGTCTTTCGTGAACAATCATATAAATCTATCACAGCGTGTCGTACCAGTCTCCTGGATATACTGTTGATCGAGAGTCCCCTCCATTCGACCTCCTTCATCCCCTGGAGACTTACTCGTTACGGTTGCCCGGGCTGAGAGGTGTCTTCCCTCTGCGTGGGACTGTCTTCTCATCGTGATAACAACTCAAGCATGGCTAGTCCTGGGTACAGTATGGATGCGATAGGTCATCCTGTCCCGGCGAAGGGGGATGAGCACCCTCACATGCTGTCCTACCATGACATGACTGCTCAGCCAAGACCAGCGGTATGGGATAGAATGGCCCCGGGACCCCCGTGAATAGTCGACGAGTCATTCAGAGACTAATATGACAATGTGATTAGAATATTCAGTGCCCTCCGTCGACGGCGTTCAACCCGCCTTTCACTCACTTTGCGCTCATGTACGTCGACCGCAATGGTGAGCTCCAGGTAGACGCATCGCCTTCACTCCTGGGCTATGAGAGATCCATCTTCACACAAGAGGTGAGAGATCGCTTCCTCAAGTCCACGAGCTTTGGATGGCAGGCCAATTTGCCCAGTTTCCACTCCAGTAAGTCAGGAGCATTGGAAGGTGAAGTAAGGAAGGAGAAGGAGAGACACGAGAATCTAACCGAGCGTACCTTAGGCTCCGTCAGTCACATGGACGGCGATGTCACGGGGAAGCAGCCTTATGTCTTTGGCATGCAACAGAATGCCTCAGGCTGGTACGGTGCGCCGGGCCCCGCAAGAGCTGCACCTACTGGTCTCATTCCCTGTGAGTGGCAGTCACTGCAAAACAACAAGCGGCACCGGCGCAATATGAGGCGCATGGACTCTGGAATCGACAGAGACTCGAGCTCATCCTCTCCGAGCTCTTCTATCCGCTGGACAGCACTCCGAGTAGGGGACAAGGAAACCCTTCGGAGCTACTACGACAAGGCATTCGAGAACTTCCAGCAGCTCAATTGTCGCGCCATTGCAAAGGCCTTCGTCAAGCTGGTGGAACCTCGCAAGCAGGTGAATCATCCGTATAATGGACGCAAGACGGCCGCAGGGTTGTCTCAGCGCGTGGACCCGGAATTGACAAAGCCTCAATGGTGGCCAGCGGGGGTGACACACAAGGAGCCAGACCATCTCCTCAAATCGGGTAAGAAGCGATGCTGTGATACATTTTTTTGCAGGTACTAATGTGCGACCGGTGTCCTGCAGACCGAATTCGTCTCCTAGTACATATTCTATGCGAGCTACGAGAGTCTCATGGTATCACAGCCGACAAGCTGAAAGATGCAGGCCAGGACGTGCGGCGCCAGATCATGCCCGCGGAGCGTATACAAGTCTTGGATGAGATTTACTACGTCCGGGATATGGAAGAAATGTACTTGGATGGAAAGATCAGTATGTGTCTGAGTGACTACCTCGCAAGTCAGTAACACCATTGCTAACCGCAAAGCAGGTGCCGATACTGTGGTCCACGTTTCTCATGTCCACATGGGCGAAGCTGGCGCCTCGGAGCTCGAAGATGGAGCCACGACAAGTCTTCAGAGTCTGCCCGTTCCCATCATCACAGTGAAGTCGGATGCATACAACCGACCAGATCCGCACCAACCGAATATCGACCCTAGCCTGGACCCGCATTCGACGCGCAAGGGAGGATTTCTGCCTCCTTCTCCCGTCTCGGTCCCTTCCGTCAGTCGGAAAAATTCCCTGGACAGCAGCGTCTCCACTTCCTCCTCAGATCTTGTTTCATCGATGATGACTTCTGCAGAACCCGGACGGACTCTCTACGCACCAAAGGACGTGCATACCACCGGGGCGACCTGTCTACCAGAGTATTTTGCACAGCACCAGTCTACAGCTCACAATACACAGCCCGGGTTTTGGGATCCACTGCACTCTAGCCAGCCCTCGATCTCGTTTCATGGATATTAAACATTAGCCTCCCGGTGGGCATGTGATAGGTGTTTTGGTTTCTGGTTTTATGCATTTTTGGGGTATATCTGATTAGCCTTGTTGTCTAGTGGGGTTCTGGAACATTCTTGGAGTGGATGTATTGAAAGAAAGAAATATAGGATAGATAGATCGCGAAACATACAAGTATCCTGACTTGGCGCTTTGCAGATTAATAGCAAGTTTATATTAATTATGACAGAAGTACGGAGTAGAATGATAGCGTGGAGAGCCTGCCTGCCACTCTACTAGCAGATGTTCCACTCGATCTATAAACTTGTTGACGCTTGGTTAATGTACGGATGATATCATATGGTTATATCACGTCGTGATCTTGTTTGCAGCCGTGATTGAACTCTTTTGGATCAGATTAGATATCAATCTTCTTCTCTGAGCCCAAAGATCTGTGATCTAAGTTATATCTCTACAAATTCATGTTTGTTATATTAGTTTAAGTTCCACGTTTAACCTTATATACTACCTTGTGTTGCGTCACATTACTATTTATAGTAACATAGCTGTTTAGCTGTACGGAATAGTTGTACACAAGTAGTCTCCACGATAGTCCATCCAAATCCAACTCTACTCGTGATAATTCAAAATAAGATGGTATTTTCCCCCATCAAATCTTCGAAATTCCTTAATCTAGACAAAGTTTCTGGTTCTGCCGATCCCGCATTCCCGACCGATGAGACGGACTGACCGACCCGACGCGACCACCCAAGTCTCCACCAACCGGATGGTCCATCCTCAGCACACGTGAAACCTCATCCTTCCAACTTGTCCTCGTCTTCCTCCCTGCCATCCTCTCTCTACATCCCCGCACGCTCTCAGCCTCTTTCATTTGTTCACCGTTTTGGGTCATGCGCCTGGCTCGCTGACTCGGACTGGTTGTTTGTTTACTCTTCGTATCAAATCGGAATCAAAGCCTCGGCGCAATCGGCATCGGAAGTGCCAGGGAATTGACTCGCTGGTTGGAAACGTGAGTATATTTCCCAAGATTAGCCTGTGGGTGATCTATAGAACTTTCCTGGTTTGTTTATGTCCCTCTCCTGGCGTTTCTCTTCTTTCCCTCGAGGCCTCATCGCACTCCAGATCTCTGGTCCCTGTCACAGGACGGCATACGTCACTCCTACCGATCACAATGGGAATACTGACTTTTGGACGTTTTTTTAGTCGATCATATCCCAATCATCGCAACGGACCCACGATCCTCTCCTTCCAGCAGAAACTCACCATGGAGTCTGCTGGTGCGTACACACACTCGGGGGGTGACTCCCCCACTCTGGAGCATAGTACGATGGGCTCGACAGCCGACGAACTGTCGGACTTGGAGGACTTGGGATCCGATAGCTACTATTCGCCCTCAGTCTCGCCCCAGAGACCTGGAATGTCGCGCGGCTCGTCCTACTCCTACCAGGATGACTGGGAGACCCTCCCGGCGTTGGACCAGCTTTCGGTATTCGACCTGCTGGACAATCTCTCCTTGTCTGACCGACTGGAAAAGCTGCACCGGACTATCAACGCACAGACGGAGAAAGTGAGGAAGCAGCGGGAGAAGCTGAAGTCGACCTCGGCCAACGCCAAGGACCGCGTCGTGGGGGAGTGGAAGAGACGGGTCCCCACGGCGGACGAACGATTGGACAAGTACCGCCGTCGCATGAGGCGTGGGGTTGAGCGATTAGGGAAACAGTGGAATGCGACTGCCACGGTGACCTTACGTGAGAAGATCGCCTTCATTGCTGGCGTGCTCAACATTTTCATCAGCGGCTATCTCCTCGGATCGTTTCCCCAGTACTTCTACATCTGGTTCAGTGTGCAGTTGGTCTACTTTATGCCCATCCGGTATTACGAGTACCACAAGAAGGGTTATCATTACTTCCTTGCCGACCTATGCTACTTCGTCAACTTGCTCTGCATATTGACCATCTGGGTGTTCCCGCGATCCAAACCCCTTTTCATCAGCACGTTTTGCCTGACCTTTGGAAACAACGCGGCTGCGATTGCCATGTGGCGGAATTCCATGGTGTTTCACAGCATGGACAAGATTGTCAGGTAAGACTCTCTGCAGACCCGTCTGTGCGACAACAGAAAATAACGTCAGACCAGTCTGTTCATCCACATAATGCCCCCCGTGTCTCTTCACTGCATGGTTCACCTGACCCCGGCCGAGGTGCTCCATAAGCGATTCCCAGCGGTCTACGAAATCAAGTTCAGTCAGCCGGGATCGCCACACCACTACTCCCTGTTCGCCATGATGTGCTGGGCCACCGTGCCGTACATTATCTGGCAGGCGGCTTATCATTGTTTCATCACTGTGCGCCGGGCAGAGAAGATCGCCGCCGGGCGCCCCACCAGCTTTACGTGGCTCCGCAAATCGTATGCCAAGGCATGGATCGGGAAACTGGTCCTCAGCCTTCCCGAGGTGCTGCAGGTTCCCGCGTTCATGCTGATCCAGTATCTATATGCTATTCTGACCATGATCCCGTGTCCCATCTGGTTCTGGTCGTCCACGGGCAGCGGGATCTTTTTGTCAGTGCTCTTCGTTCTCAGTATATACAATGGCGCCACTTTCTATATTGACGTCTTCGGCAAACGTTTCCAGAAGGAGTTGGAGGAGCTCAAGAAGGATGTTGCACGCTGGCACTCGTCGCCTGAAGGCGCAACGGCTCCCGTCTCCGACAGTGGCGTGGCCTCCCCGACCAAGGGTTCAGACGAGAAATCCCCCGCGAATGAGGCCACTCCCGACAAGGCAAGTCTCGATCGGATCCCTCCACTTGATGCCCAGGTCGTCTCCACCGGTGCGCAAGGAGCGGATGCCGAGGGTGATTCAACGGTTCGCGAGAGGAAGTAGGTTGGCCGTTAAAGCTGGTATCCTTCGTACCACAGCGTCAATCTGGTTTTCCGTTTTCTCTCCCTTCATATTTGTTTGCTTCTTCGACCAATTCCTTTGCCTTGGCCCTTCGTCTAGAGCGCGTTATTTGCGAGTTCATGATACCCATCCCTTCACTCATTTGGATATGCGTTGGACGGTTGATAAACGTAGGATTGATGGATGAGATCAGCTGTGATATACATACTTTCTATACATCTTCTTGGGTGAATAAAGATCTAGATTATTGACAGGTCTTATACAGAAAACTTCCACAAAAATAAGTTACTTGCTTAATATATCTAGAAGATAATCTACCAACACCGGAAACACACCGGAAAGGCCCTATTCGGCTACATCAACACCACCGTCAATTAGCCTTGAAAAGCCTGATGTCAACCTGCGATTGGCAGCCTTGTCAGAGTTGGCAATTCTCCTGTCATAGGAGAAAGTATCTATTGTGTACTATGTCACGGTTATCTACTATGATGATCATTGAATTAGCTACCACTAAGGCTACCGGTTTATTCTAATAATCTTTCACACTCGCCCTAATCCTGTTCATTGACGGAATGGTCAGCAAAAGAGATCTCTCCTGAGACGAAGAAGCAACTATGCGCTTAGGTTGTTGACACCCTCTCATGGTTGAAATTGAATGTCCGGAGATCAAGGTATCAATCACTACCGCCTTGATCAGCTGCATCTTCCTTGATCATATCTGACACCCACTCCGCAATGGCATAGAGGTTTGCCATGGGATGTCCACACAGCTGCAGCGGCTGAATAGACGCATCAACCACTCGTACATTTGTAGTTCCGTACACCTTCAGCCGGCTATCTACCACTCCTCCCATGGAACGAGGGAGCATGGACGTGGTTCCGACGACATGGTAGTTGGGGGTATCTATGTTCACCATTGTATGAGAATACAGTATGGACAGTAGATGGGGGGTAGGTCAGACTTACACTGCTCTCCTATCCACGTTGCCCAGGTTTCATCTGATGCATCTTCAGGAACAACTGACAACCCTGGTAATGATTCATCGGCAATGATGTCACTGAATTCGCCCGTCTTATACATCTTGCGGAGAAACTTGGACATGGCGATCTGAATCTGAACATCCCAGTCCAGCATGCCATAATTGGGGTTCACAACCGGCGGTATTGTAGGATCAGCAGAGACAACATGGGAGTTTCCCCGGGCAAAAGGGAGTAGACCCCAGTATCCAGTATGAATCGACTGGTCTCCTTTCAGGAGAAAGACGAATTCAGCAGCAGGGAGATTCTGGCTGAAGATATGGTCATGTTGGATTTCAAACATCCTAAGAAGGTCCTCGGCTTTCATGGCCCCGTGGCTCGCCTTAGCAGTGTCATTGGCATATTGGACTAGTTGTGACCGCGTCGATGCCGCAACCGACTCTACCGATGACCCGAAGATGTCGGATGCTGAAGCAAATGCCACTGTTCTGGTTCCCGTTACAGGTGCCTTCGTGGACACAACGATTGATGTATTCAGTTGATCCTGTAGGTTCTCTCCCACACTGGGGAGGTTGATATGCACCGGGATGTTAAGCTTCCGGAGAATACTATAATGATATTAGCGCTTTCTTGACAGCAGCTTGGATAGATTGTAGATACCTTGGGTTCCCAGCACCAGAACGCTCCAAAATAGCAGGTGATCCCAGAGCACCAGCAGCCAAAATGACTTCCTTCCGCGCATGAATGACGCGTCCTTTTCCACGCCCCTTGTTTATCTCAACTCCAGTCGCAGTAAGATCCCTCTCATTACCTCCCTTATCCCGATCCCCCCACACTATCCGGTTGATCAACGTATTCAGTTTCACATGCACATTTGGCCGCTTCGCGTACGGCCAGTAATATGCGCGAGCAGCATCATTCCGAACATTCGCCACATCCACCGTCGACGGGTGAATAGTGAATCCTCGCATGTGTCCTGAATTCAAATCTGGATTCGATGGGATACCCATGGACCCCAGTGTTCGATTGAATACTGCTGTCAGATCATGATCTCCTTTGTGTAGGTCAAAGAAGCCCACAGACAGCGGTCCGCTGAAGCCATGGTACTTCGGATCAATGGAGACACCAGCTCCAATCTGTGTCTGGTTGGGGAGGCGGATGTTTTCACTTTTGAAGTAGTATGGGAAGAGATTCTGCCATGACCATCCATCATTACCAATCTCCTGCCATGAGTCGATCTGTGCAACTTCTGCGCGTGCATACGCCGCCCCTGGAAACAATCTTTTAGATATCTTCACACATCATACAGGTTGAGTCCGGTGAATGGCTTACCGTTCATGACACTCGTTCCTCCCAGCGCTTTGCCAGCGCGCAGAACCTGGGTCCGTCCACCGTAGGTCTGCGGTACGGTTTGATATGCCCAGTCGATGGAGCTGTCGTAGGTATAGTTCAGACGGTTGATATCGGTTACGTTGATATTATCAAAGACCGAGGGTCCTGCTTCATGGACCAGGACTGAGGTCTTTGGGTCTTCTGACAATCGGTGAGCAACGACCAAGCCACTCGTTCCCCCTCCCACGATGATGTAGTCATACTGGGCAGCTATCGTCGCTGCGAGAAGGAGCATGAACTATGGAAGAATCATCGTAGGCTTTAGATCTGCTAGATTGAGTTTAAAGAGAATATGGATTGCAACGGCACTCGACCACAAATGCGGCAGGAGGTGTTATTTATCTTCTGGGCCATTCCGCCAAGCGTTGATATGAAACACCAGATAGGTATATCCAGCCATGTAGGTCTGCTTCTGCTTCTCAATTGTTTAAATTGGAGCACTGGCGATCCCCGAAGTTTACCCGGAGACCCTTGTGGATTTACGTATCCCTAGAACCGAGCTGTCAACGTAAGGGCCGCTAGAGGCCTCAAAACACAGTGTGGAGGAATATCAATGGAACGAATGCAAGCCCCGCACAGGTCTTGGCCTCCGGCAATTCAATCATTCAGGTCTCAAGTCCAATCCTACAGCAAGATGTGCTCGAACTACAACCTAAACTTCCCAAGTTGGCCGGTGGGCTGGTATATACGGCAAACCGTTGGTAGTGGGAATCCTATGCAAGGTTTCTCCGCATTCTTCACTCTACAATGTTCCTCATCCAGTGGACTCCTGTCAATTGGACATGACAGCTCCACAGCTACGGCGTTTCGGTCCGCGAACCATATTTGACATGTCTAGACCTTGTTATAGAGGGGGGGACACTAAGCGTAGGGCTAAACTGCAAGTACGGAACCAAGCAGCCCCGCTCGCCTAGTATGCATTGTGACCCTTCGAATTCTGAACAGTCAGAAGGTCATCTAAGGTGGCGGGGTATATATATGGGACTCAGGACGACCCGACATGGGTTCTGGTCAAAGTGACCATTTGGTCCAGTTGGTAGTATGTTGCTTAAACACATATCATTACACTTGAGTAACTAGATATATGATTTATCTTCGAACAAGAAAACAATAATATATATATATATAGGGGAAGGTCTAGCTGGCCAGCCTGTCCAGCCTGACTCCCTGACAGAGTATCTAGGAGATAAGATAGGTTAAAGCTGGTAATCAACTTGGAAGAAGAAGAAGATGATAATATGATGTATGGATGAGAACAATGCCAACTAAATCAAGATGTTTAACGTTTTTTAAGGTACCCAAAAGGTCTTGGCAAACCACAAACTCCGAACAGTCCAGAACTAACTCCGGATCCCGTGCCATCACGTGCCGGGCCACTTCGCCTCGCACGCCTCGGAGTGAACGACGCCTCTCACGCCCAATCCCCACCACTGCTTCCCAGATTTCCTTCAATTTCCTGTCTGGTGAGCCTTTCTTCATTTGGAACGCTTTTGGACGCTGTTGTGCTATTTTTCTTGATTTGCTCGCCCTCGAGCCCCCCCCTTTCTAAAATTTCCGCCATGTCCGTCGCTATGAGATCGGCTCGGCTTGTACGCGGCAACTCCGTGATCCGCCCTGGTTTAGTCGGTATGTGATTTCTGCCCCTTTGGATTTGTGTTATATTCGATAGGAGCGACAGGTTCTGTGATCGGGATAGAACAAAATGACTGATAAGCAATTTCTAATCAGCCCGACCGCGCTTGGCGGGTGCACTTGGTGCGGCTTCGGCCGCGAACCTCCGGCTGAACGGGAGTGGCCTCCCCTCGCACGTCCAGGCCCTCGCTATCCTGGTTTCGCCCCAGCGTGGATATGCCACGGAGCAATCGACTTCGACGTCTTCTGCGTCCGACCGATACCCCCCCCCGGGCTTCAACGCACAGCAGGCTCAGAAGCCGCTTTCCCCGGAAGCGTCGCAACAGAACCAACAGGTGGCCGGGAAGGCTGATCTGTCCGTTTCTTCCAAAGATGCGCACAGCAAGGCGCACCCGGCCGAGTCGGGCGTCGTCAGAGTCGTTTCAGAGCAGGCAAACAAGAAGGTAGCGGAGGAGAAGAAGGAGCAGAAGAAATTGACGATGGGGCAAAAGATCAAGAAGGAAGTCCAGCATTACTGGGACGGGACTAAGCTGTTGGCCACTGAGGTCAGGATCAGTTCGCGGTTGGCGTTGAAGATGGCAGGAGGATACGAGCTGAGCCGAAGGGAGCAGAGACAGGTATGTTTGACAATCCCTGGGTGTATTCGGACCAGCGGCTAACTTGATGATCAGCTCCAACGTACGACTAGAGATCTCGGTCGATTGGTCCCCTTTTCCATGTTCCTCATCATTCCCTTTGCGGAGCTGCTGCTTCCCATTGCCTTGAAGATCTTCCCCAACCTCCTGCCCAGCACATACGAGGGCCAGAAAGCCCGTGAAAAGAAGGCCCTGAGCCTGAGCTCGACGCGCAAGGAGGTGTCTGGATTCTTGAAAGATACCCTGCGCGAGAGCGGTCTGCCGTTGACGGCCGCCACGGTGAAGAACGAAGAGTTCGCCGAGTTCTTCAAGAAGATCCGCACCACCGGCGAGGCGCCCTCGACCGACGACGTGATCAAGGTCTGCAAGGTCTTCAAGGATGATCTGACCCTGGACAACCTGTCCCGGCCGCAGCTGGTCGCCATCTGCAAGTACATGAACCTGAACTCGTTCGGCACGGACGCCATGCTCCGGTACAACATCCGCCACCGGATGCGCCAGATCAAGCGCGACGACCGCGCCATCTTCTACGAGGGCGTGGAGTCGCTCTCGGTGCCCGAGCTGCAGATGGCCTCCGCGTCGCGTGGTATCCGCACGCACGGAGTGTCGCCCGCTCGCCTGCGCGAGGACCTCACGATGTGGCTTGACCTGCGTCTGAAGCAGGGCGTGCCGTCGACGCTCCTGGTGCTGAGCAACGCCTACGTCTACGCGCAGGGCGGCAAGGAGGCGGAGATGTCCTCCCAGATCGAGTCCCTGCAGGCGGTGCTGTCGAGTATCCCCGAGGAGCTGTTCCACGAGATCGAGCTCGAGGTGCACAACGCCGAGGGAGCCGCCACGAACAAGCAGCGTCTGGAGGTCATCAAGGAGCAGCAGGAGCTGATCGAGGAGGAGAACGAGCAGAACAGCGAGAACGAGGAGAAGGGCATGGCGGCGCCCAAGGATACGGAGGATATCGACGAGAAGGACGAGCACGAGGCCAAGTTCAGCCAGTCGGACGAGGCGAGCGAGGCTCTCAAGGAGGGCGAGAAGGTCGAGGAGCAGCCTGTCGATTCTGTCCCCAAGAACAAGAAGGACAACTAGACCTCGCTCACCCTTTCTCTCTCTCCCTCTCCCCCTTCCTTTGAAATCCCGCGCTCCCTCCGTCCGTCATGCATATAGCCTGGCATGATTGGTTCCCTCTCACTCCTATCTTCTTCTCGTGTGTCATTCTTACCCGATAGACTTTTTCTTCCGTTAATGGAGTGGGGCTGGCTGGTTATCATTCCTAGTGTATTGTATTTTTTTTTTGTGATTTACTGATCTATAGATGGGAATACCTGAAACAATACTGAATTTGAATTATCAACTGTGAAAAAGCATATAAGAGGTTGTGATTTGTAGTGGATGATTCTTCGAGTAGAGTTTGACTGTAGTTTTGGACCCGTAGCATACTCTCTAATGGATAGCATCTACACGGATGAGCCTTCAACCCAGGAGTAGATACTCCCAAGTGATACTCCTATGTGAGTCCACCATTAAAACTGTTTGAAAGGAGGCACGCCACACAACATACCATGTGGAGACAATTGTCAAATCACGATAACCCGTGTGGCAACAGTACAATTACAAACACAATGAACCAGAAACTCACCCATGGGTCAAGCCCTTTAGGATCACGTTAATCAGATCTAATCTATCAACACATCAATCTCCACTTCTCTACAGATGCATACATATCACGTATAACGAAATTCCATTATATAGAGCATCGACAACAGTGTCACGCTGGTATAGGCACTACCCATTGTCCTCCTTGGTACTTACTACACTTATTTAGCAAAAATTAATCTATCAAAGTCTACCCATTCATCACTCTCAAAAGCTGGGCACACGTAAAACCAATATATCAGATCGATGCGAGTGGACAACTGTCCACACAATCCCTACCCACCTCAGCAGATACTAAAGGAGCGATCGTAGCGGGCAATATACTATATGACGTCACTGATCGCAGTCTCCATATTGGCCAGTATAATAAGGGATGGCTGTCCCCTGATTCCACTCTTGTCTACACTTGTTCAATCTCATACCGATTGCATAGAATATTTACTGTTTATACCTATCGTTTGACCCACACATCAAATACTCGAAGATACTTCAAGAGAGTGACTACCAGAGAGACAAATAGCCGGTATGAAGCCATCCCATGGATAAAGACCCCACCAGACCAGACCAGAAGTAACTCACTAAGCATCCATCCACAGCTTTCAACCCAGTTCTAAACCATTACAAAAACAAAGATCTTACCATATCCGTCTATAAACAGAAAACAAAATGTCCGACAACGTCTCCGGCGCCGCCAAAACAGTGACCTCCACCCTGGGCAACGCCTTCGGCGGCGTCTCTCGCACCGTCGGGGGCGTCACGGGCGCAGCGGGCCGTGGCATCGGCGACACCATCAACAGCACGACGGGCAGTATGGGCAAGTCGGTGGGCAATGCCGTGGGGAGTTTGGGGAGTGGGGTGGAGGATGGGGCGAGCAGGGTCGCGGGGGGGATTGAGAATGCGGGGAAGTGGAAATAACTTTTCTGTCTTTGGGGTTTAATGTTATATGTTGTAAATAGTCTTATTTTGATTCACTTTTCTTTTTGTTGAGCATGGTGTGGGTGTCGATGTTTAGTGTATAAGGTAATTTGAGGATGTAGATGGACGGTCGGGTACATATATCCTTGTTGATCCAGAGAATGACATACGGAACTATTCAGCTATCAATTTCCCCATTACCACAGGTAGCCACAAACCTAAATCACTTTCCGCAGGCAGTAAATAGCAACAGTTCGATAGAATAAATCAAGAAGACAGTGTGAAGTCAGACAGTGAAGCAAACAAAGTGTAACACGCTGAGTCATCACTCCGCATCCAACCTCGGCAATCAGGCCAACATCGGACCGCGATCAATCATCAACGCGGTTTTGAACAGACCAGGAAGAAGAATCACACTAGTCGACGCCAATATCTGCCCTCGAGTTCCAGTTTCAGGCATGCGGAGTCTTCCACTCCTCCGCTTTCTTCGACAAACCCGACCCTTCACCACCAACACCATGCCTCGTCTCAACCCTGCCTCCGAGGTGAGTACTAACTACTCCTCGGCCCCTAGTATGTATACAGCGCAGATCTAACAGCATATGCAGGCGGCCATTGAGCGTCTCCGCGCGTTTCAGCCCCCGCCCACCAGCTACGACCTGGTACCGCTGTCTCGTCGCGCAGCGGTCCTGCTCCTGCTATACGCTGATCCACAGGGCGATCTGCGCGTTGTATTGACCATCCGGGCCAAGACGTTGAGTTCATGTATGCCACCACTATACTACATAAATTCGAAATTCACCCATTTATCAAGACGTCCCCCAAACACACATATACACCCATAAGCATAGGATATTAACAAATCCAGACGCCGGCCAAGCAGCCCTCCCCGGCGGCCGCGCCGACAGCCTCACAGAAACACCCTTCCAAACAGCCCGCCGCGAAGCCCACGAGGAGATCGGCCTCCCCGACAACGACGCCCTCCTCCCGCCGCCCTTCCGCGTCGAGCACATATGCGAGATCCCGTCCAGCCTGGCGCGCACGGAACTCGTCGTGCGCCCCTGTGTTGCGCTGCTGCATGCTGTTGATCCTGTCACGGGCGAGACCACTGACCCTGAGGAGACGCTCATCCCGCGGCTGGATGCGCGCGAAGTCGCTGCTGTGTTTACGGCGCCGTTTGCGCAGTTCTTGCGCGCGACGGACGATCCACGCTGGGGAAGTGATGATCCTACTAAGTGGTATCAGGGGGCGTGGACGGAGTGGCATCGGGAGAATTGGCGGAGTATGTTTTCTTTTCTTTTCTTTTGGTTCTTTATCTACCTACTACGACGATTTAGGCATGCAAGTAAAACGAGACTAACACGACCAGTGCACCAATTCTTCGTCCCCATCGACCCCAAAACAGTCGTCAAGCCGCGCTCCTCCAATCAAGCACAGCAAGACGCAGCCTCCGCCCTCGAGGAGAAAGAGCGCACGGGGGCCGTTACGCGGTACCGGGTTTTCGGGATGACGGCGCGCATCCTGGTAGACGTGGCGCGGCTGGCGTACGCACGGGAGCCCGAGTTCGAGCACAACAGCCACTTCGGGGACGAGCGGCTGATTGCGCAGCTGCGGGAGATGGGGCGGCTGAGTCCGGTTCGGAAACGGGGCGATGAGTTGACGAGGGAGGATCTGGAGATGGCGAGTCAGGTGGGGATGAGGAATGAGAAGTCGAAGTTGAGTTAGACTAGTTCTACTGGTAGTATATGGTTTGGTAGATACCCTTCGTGCATCATTATTGACGTGAATATGAGACATTTCAATTACATCGAGTCTGAAACAATATTATCATAGAAACCATGACTTCAATAGTAGTAATATCAAGCCTTGACAGTAGGTGCAGCATCCACAGCATCGGTGGGAGAAAACGGCGCCGCAAACCCATACTGCTTCCACCCTTGGGAGTAATCCACCTCGGCATCTCTCTCTACACGAGTCAGTCTTGAAAAATATCATAATATCCAGAAAGAAAGGTTGAAACCCACCATGATCAGGCGGAAATGCCCTCCTCCGATGCTCATAATACCTCCTCCTCAGCCCCTCCCCTTCCCCCTCACCATCTCCCTCCCCCCTCCCCACAAAAGTAACATAAACACTACTCCTCCCCACGACTGACTCATTTCTCTTAGACCGATGCGCCAACATGCTTCCAAAAAACAACACATCACCGCCACAAAGCTCCACAGGAACCCACTCGTGCGCATCCTCCCACCCACACGCGATGCGGCCGCCCTGCGCGAAGGCTATCTCCATCCGGTGCGATCCCGGCACGATCTCCAGACAGCCGTTGGCGACGGTGGCGTCGTCGACGGCGATGTTGGCTGTGAGGTGTGCGAGGGGGGCGATGTGGCTGTAGGCGTGATAGTCGACGTGGGCGTGGAAGCCGTTGCCGTTGGGGAGTTTGTAGTTGATTTTGTCTTTGAAGAGGGTTGTTTTCTTTTTTCCTTCTTTTAGTTTCTTTCTAGAGCCATAGAGGAGAAGGAGGAAGGGGTACAAAAAGGGAGAAGAAGGTGTATACTTCACCAGCCAACTGCCCAAGAATCCCCCCCAACCCATCCCCACACACAAGATCTCTAAACGGCGCATGGAAATCGACAAAGTTCTCAGTGCGCATCAGCTGGCGCGCCCCATCGGACGTGACTTCAAAATAGGGCATCCATTTCCCCTTTTCAAGAGGCCAGCTGCGCACTTCGTTTGTCCATTGTTGGAGCTGGGCTGCGCTGACTAGATTGTGTTCTGCGGCGGTTACTTTGAGGTAGCCGTTTTCTTGGAAGAAGGCGAGTTGGGTGGGGGTGAGGGTGGGCATTTTTTTTCTTTCTTTCTTTTTTTTCTTTCTTTACTTGGCTTTAGTTAGTCTAAAATTGGACTTGGGCTGGTGGTGTGGTGCTGAAGGCCGATGGTTGGTCCTATATACTATTGCGTCTGATTAGGGCTTGTGACGTGGTGGGCCGGTCTTCGCACCGGTGGGCGTCTTATAATATACTTTGATTCTTCGCAGTCGCATAGGTCACCCTCTACTATTTTTTTCTTACGGTATTTAGACTCATTCTAGACTCTGTTTAAGGCAAAACAACAAGCGAATACAAAAAGAGAAAGAATAAAATGCTAGACAACAACCCCCGCGAAACCATCACCCAACTCTTCTCCTTCCTCCGCGCCCAAGGAAACACAGATTACCTCGGCGAGCGCGTCTCCCAGCTCCAACACTCCCTACAATGCGCCCATCTCGCCACTCAATCCCCCCAATACGGATCCGACCCGGAGGTCATCCTGGGCGCATTACTCCACGACGTCGGGCGCTTCATCCCCTCCGCAAAGAACATGCCCGCCATGATCGCGCCAGACGGGGCATACATCGGGCAAGCAAGCCACGAGGTCCTCGGCGAGCGATACCTGCGCCAGCTGGGGTTCAGCGAGAAAGTGTGTCAGCTGGTGGGGTCGCATGTGGTGGCGAAGCGGTTTTTGACGGCCACGGAGAAGGGGTACTATGATGGGTTGAGCGAGACGAGTAAGCGGACGTTGGAGTTCCAGGGAGGTGTGTTTTCGGAGGAGCAGGTTTGTGAGGCGAGGGGGGATCCGTGGTTGGGGGAGAAGTTGGATGTGAGGAGGTGGGATGATCGCGCGAAGGATCCTGAGATGGAGGTTCCTGGTTTGGAGGAGTATGTGGAGTTGGCTGTGCGGTGTCTTGATGGTACGTACGTTTTTTTTTTTTTTTTATATTTGTGTCTTTTTGAATGTCTTTTGCTCTAGAGGTGTGTGCTGATTGTGTAGAATCGAGGGCACATGTCGTTGTGGTCTCCCGCCGGTATCCACTCCCTGAAACGCCCGTCTTGATTGTCTCGGTCTCGGAAGGTCTTTTGGACCAGTGTCTGGGCCATGTGCAGGAGGTAAAACGCTATGGCTGGATCGTTGAAGGCTTTCCTCGCGCGGAGACTGGGAACAGACCGGCTGTGGAGCAAGAGGTGCTTGAACAGCTGGCGCGACGAGGAGTCAGGGTAGCTGACCTTGCCGCTGGTGCCCAGGACTCTTCCAAGAACGATACATGTCTAGCTCTAGATTCAGACGTAGTCGACATCTACAATGAGCTGGAAGGACTGTCCGCCACAGACCCGACAGGCCGTGCTCAGGTCGTGGTACGGCGAGGTCTCGCCCTGCTCCAGCAACGGAAATCCGACTTCGTTTACCTCTCTCTGCCGACTAATTTGGCGGATACTTCATTTGGTAATCTTCTAGAGGAGCTCAAAGATGGACTAGTCGGTCTGGACGTGGTCATAGCGATAACGGCAGACAAGGCTCCAGATGGCCGGGACAGCACTGGGCGGACAGTATTTGACGCGGTCTTCGACCGAGCCAGAAAATCTACCAAAGCATCTTCTGTTATTCTACCATAGCCAATTGTACTTCTATAATGGGTGATGGGATTCCGCATCAAGCGGCCACGGGTCAATCTCAGGGAATGGTGTCTGCAGGTTAAACATGTCAAAATCACTCATATCCTCCACCCATCCAACGTCCGCGTGGAACATCTCCAAGGGTGCCACGGCCTGGGGTGATGGTCGGGTCGCCGGGATAGCGTCACCGCCCCCGTCGGAGAACTTGCTGCGTAGTTTGTGCACGCCACATCCGATTTTCACTAGCAGGTGCTGCCGGTGCATCTCGCTGGTAGTCTCTTGCAACATGACAATCGTGCGGTCTACCAGCGATAGAATCTTATTCTTGTCGAGCGTGACGGCGTCGGCGTATTTCGTCGCCACTTTCAACAGGAATACCACGGCAAACGCAATCATGGTGTCGAAGCAAAGCGGCAGCCCGTTCAGCAGCGACTGCAGTTCCGTGTCGGACGTGATCACCCCCAGGATAGAAGCCGCGCAGATAACGGCCGTGTTGGCAATTTCCTCCATTTCCAGAGACGGGAAGCTTTTCGGGTCCGGGCATGCTTGGGCACCCCGAAACGCATGCGAGCAGAGATACAACTTGGCAAAATGGAAGTGTAGACCGACCCCTTTGGCCGGGTAATTGCCTACCTTTTCGTTGGGCCCAAACCGATCACTCCAGTCTGCATACCACGTATCCAAGGCGATGGAGAACCGGCGCAGCTGGGCGAGTTTGCCAGGTGGGACGGGCGTATCCACGTCTACCCCGAAGGTGTCGAACACGGCTGCCGAGATGGACCAGATCTTGACTTGGGTCACTAGTCTGACGTCGTCTTCGGTGGCGTGGTCCGTCTCCAGGAATTGCATGGCCGCTTTGATGCTGTCGCAGTCTCTTGACATGGGCGGCCGGCCGTATAGAACGGAGCAGTGGTGGTCGCAAACATATACTAGGTAGTATAGACGAGTCTGTACGTACGCAAAACGATCTCCTTTCAGGGCCTGGTAGATCCCGTGGTTGAGCTTGATCTCCAACGCGATTCGGACTGCTGTACATACTGTTAGTCTCGATCTTAGTCCCTACAGCAGGGAAATCTACCCGTTCCTGCCAGTCCCCACGACAGCTCGTGAAGCCAGAAAGCCCCGATACAGAGTCCACGGACGTCATCCACATTGTGCTCTCGGGAGAACGTTGTGGTCGCCACGAGCTGTTTAAACTCGTTGTAGCACCTCTCAAACAAATGGCCTAGCGATTGCGAATGCAACGCTGCGACAGCGCAGATCGCCGCCGTCAGAAGAGGCGAGCTTGCCACGACAGTATCCAAACATTGGTGATCCCCGAGTATGCGGTAGAGAAGATGATCTAAGCGCTCATGGTACCGTTGGAACAGACCCTCAGCCTCCTGCGGGGTGAGAATTCCACGCGAGATCAGGGTCGGTCGGACGGGCGTTCGCGCCTCCCGGGGACTGGGGTTGCTCATCTCGGAGATACAGGACGCCGGGATGGATGCAGGCTCACACTTGGGGTCAAGCTCCCACGTCTGCTCCTCGCTTGCTTTTGGTCTATACTGAGATGTCTCTGGAGCCTCCACCTGCCTTTCTAGACCACCCCTAGGCGGCCCTACCGGCTGAGCACCGGGTGTCTGCAGCTGACTCGTCAACTGTTCCGTAATGCCCTCCAATCTCCGTATCTTCTCTGCAACGCCATGCTTCCACCTGTCGCCTCTTAGTTTCCGTTCCTTTGTCCATCAATTCTGAGACATACGTAACGTCATCCTCCAAGAGCATCTGCAGGCTCCTGTTCACAGCGCAGGGCAAACCTCTCTTCTTGCACCGCGTGCAGGGCGGTCGGCCGTCCGGCTGCATGTGGCACTTGATCTATCCTTTTGAGGATCTGCCAGCCAATATAAGGGGAGGCACATCTGACCTTCTGTTTCCGACATGCGACACAAGCTGTAATCTTCCTCGTAATCTCTGGGGGCTTTCGGTCTCCAAACGACTCCCGCAGGGCTGAGACATCAGGCGGGGAGGGAATCAGTGATTCTTCCATTCTCCTAGCAGGCGACTTTTGGTTATGACTGGATCTTTTCGAAACACGCATCAGTTGTTACATGCAGCGTGTACGCCTGGAACAAAGATTCTAAGTGCAACTATCACGCACTGCATCCCATCGTCAGCTGGGAAGCCCCGACGCGATGCGGGGTGTGGTCGGAGGGTTGCGATAACGGCGAATCGGAAGGGGTTGATTGGACCGTCATCGCGACGATCGTGATGACCATCCACCTAGTCGTTATTATTAGCAGTAGGAGTGGGGTAGTCGCAGATTGTCGGACATGGGGGAGTTGAAACCGAGAGGAGAGAGAGGAAACAAACGGGGTTCGCGCCGACAGTTTGCAAACCCCGAATGCGCCACACGTGGTCAAACGAATGTTTTGGTCGCTTCACCTTTACCCACCAAGTAAGGAGAATATACGACTAACTTCAACTAACTCTCGCTACATAGAGCCACGCTTCCCAAGCCACCGCCATGTCCTACCAACAACTTCTTCGATACGAGAAAACCCCTTACCGAGACCGGAACAGGATGTTGGTTGTCTTGCGTGGCCTTCGTGGATCCCGTGGACGCCATGCGGTATACAGCATGGCATGGATACAAGCCTCGTCGCCATGCTCTTTTCCGTGAAGTGGATTCACACCATGTTGCGTTCCACTAGAGCTAGGGGGTTGATGCTCCAGCTGTTTAGGGTCTAGTCAAAGTTTATTCTCTTAGACGCCTCGATACGGTTCTTTGACGGCATCTGCCATAGTCGACAGATAGTCGGTCCGTGTGCAACCTGGACATAAGCGAGCCGCAACCCGAGTATAGACGCTTCCAATGAGAAGACAAAAGCCGACAACAGCAGTTCCGGAGGGGATCGTGGATATTTGACAAATAGCGATACGCCAAGGGTCTTGTGCTGGAGGCCCACCATCTGGTTTCCATTGTTCGCCATACGCGAGCCAACCAACTACCCAAAACAGGAAAAAGGGCCAGAGTTTAGCGATGTTACACTTGACCGAACAAAGCCGAATTCATTGCGTCCTATAGGGGATTTTCCGGGTGATCGTCTAGGCCAGATGCGTGTTCGAACGCAGCCGTTGGGAACAAGCATGGTCCGGAGATAAATGCAGCAGGTCTGTTGGGCCCATGCAGTCCAGGGAGTTGGTGAAACACATACTAACAACGGTGAAGAGAGTATCCACAGCTTGAGCAACCAGATGCAACCGAGGGTTCTAACCCATGTAAGCCAGTATCTTCAAGAAGTGCTTGACCAGAGGGTTGAGGTGGATGTCGGAGCGAGTATCTCCATATGGATTCCATCGCTCTCATATATACGCTTTCATATAAACACAAATAACCAATCATCTAGTATATACCAGGTAGTGCACTCACTAGAGACTCCTTACCCAAAAGTCGATGTCTTTTTCAAGCTATATATCATATCTTAGCTAACCCTAAGAGAAGGGTTTAACCTGGTAGACAGTACTTGACAGTACTGATACTGGCGTCTTGCTGTTAGTTTTATAGATCATTCTGCCAGTTCTGCCGTCAGTTAGACATTATGAGTATGATAAATAGCCACTATCAAATGTAAAACACAGTCGGGTCACAAAAGGAGTCTCTTACGCGGTCTAAGTAGCTTCGATCTAAGCCTAACCTTCGGTCTGTGGAACTGAGAGACACGCAATCGGCCAGTGTTCGGACTGTTTTCATCGCTCTTCCCACACATTCTATGTAATGTTTTAGCAAGCAGACTCCTCACATACAACTCTTCACAATAAATCCCAATCCCCCTCAATCACGTCGTCTAAACATGAAGATAAAATCCATCGCGAGCCATGTCCTTCCTGTTGAAAAAACCCTACAACGGCGCCCAGTTGATTATCATTATCATGATCAATAACAATTGGTACTCCGCGGACTCCTTCCGCAACATGTGCTCCTCCCTCAATATACTCGAATATATATTCAGTCCGAGATTCTGGAACCGGTAGACGCGGCGCTCTCCGCAACCTAACACCGTCTGTTCTCAGATATACCAATCCACTAGCCAACCCGTCTACGGTACACCATATGTTGTCCAATATCTCTGTAGACCGGAGCAGTCGTTTTGGTTCGTGCGCCTGGAAGTACGTGTCTTGAAGGGCATCTGAAGACTTGATCAACCGCTCTCTTGTGTGTGGGATTGTTTCCCAGAATGACGGAGGACCGCGATGGTACACTGCGATTCGACCAGCAACTTTACCTGGCAGAGATCGTTTACTGTACTCCCTTTCATCGTGTCGAAGTTCGATAATGATTATCGGGGGAATAAAGTTTACGGCTTCGATGTTCATTATCTGGCCAAGCCTTTCCCACACCACTCGGGACTGCTCCTTAGTTGGCCGTTGCCATTTCGGCCAATGGAAGTGTGCTGGTATGGGATCAGCCATCCGATGATTGCTATAATTTGTATTTGTGATGGGAGGGGTGTATTTAGAGCCAACAGGGATAAAAATGGCAGCAACACACGCGATAGTCAGCGGTGTAGGCGACGGTGGGGTGGCTGTCTCGATAATTATTCGCGGCCAGAAGAAATTGACCGACACGGCACTGAAAGTGTCGAAGATCCACTGGCTCTCGTGGGCAGCAGGAGGGCGGAAAGTGCTTGAGTCGCCATCCCAGAGGCTGAACGGTGCTATGTCGGCGTAGTGCCTAGATCCATAGCCAATATTCCACGTATCAAGATGGGGCATCTTGATGGAGTTGTCCTGCAGATGGGACAAGAGGACATATGGTTAGTGAGCAACAGGCTGGAGAGTATTTTCTCGCCGGTTGAGGGTGGTCTTTAGTTGAAGAGTGAGAGACTAGAGAGGAGAGTGAATAATAGAGTGAAGAGAGAAGTGTATATGCAATATCACGTGTTATATGCTTCGAAGAAGGAGCTCTACGAAATACATCATCATTACCATCATTTCAATCATTTGCAGGTCAGATCTAGACCTGTACTGTTGACTCTAAGAAGCCACACTGAGATCACATATTATATAAAATCGTGATTCACGGGTCTAATTTCCTGCAAACCTCCACCCCGCGCAGGGTTTTTTTTATATCCGTCAGATCCAGTATTATACGAATGCTAAAGAATAGCCAGAACAAATGGATCTAAAGATATACCACAGTAAAAATACGCTCGACTAGCTGTCTGAATTTAAAAAGGAGATCATAATCATTAAAAGCAAGAAAAACGACTGGAGAGGAGGAAAGCTCTTGTCGAACAAAGGGTCTACCTCGTTTGCCTCTATTGAGTAATCCATCAGACACATTCTACAGGTCATGCAACCATATCCAGACCATTGAAAGGTAAATATTAGCAAACAAATTAACAAGCTTATCTTGAACCTTAGTAAGATACTGCCTGTCATGGAAATACTATTTTAAACCCACCAAGCAAGGCACCTCAGCAATGCAACAACGTGGAAAGCAAGAAACAAACATCTCAAGTCGGGTCCAAGGCCACGCACAACCAAGACTCACCCACAGCCACCCCATATGCCGGTTCACATCATATCATATCATATTATATCATATCATCCATTGCGAATATCGCCCCTTCCACCCAACCTAATCGGAAGATTCTAACCGCCCCAACCAACACTTACGCATCCATCCGACTAGGCACCCCCTTGTCCCCTTTCAGGAGAATTACTTACTTACTTCAGGGGGCGAGATGATGCGAGTACGGGTATGAGTATACGCCGTACTGGATCATTCATCATTTCTCTCGGATGCCCGCCCCCGCCCCATCTGCACTGCCCTCCTCGTCTGCTCCCCCCTTTCGGAAAATGTTTGCTGGGGTGGGTTCCAGGGCGCAGAGCCTCTTTACATTTGGCATGATGACGGCATGACATAGATAGGGCTGCCGCTTACATAGGTCCCTTGGTTGGGATGGAGAGGGGGGGGGGGGGATGGAGGACAGTGAAGGGGGGAAGACTATCGAGCGGCCATTGCGCTCGCCTATCAATCAAGGGGTGTCGCACGGTGGAGAATAGTCAGAACGAGGTGCACCGCACTGCGCTGCGCTGCTTGCTGCGGGATCTGACGAGAGGAGGGGGCAAAAGTGAATATGGGGGTGCTCGGTTATCTGGCAGGGGAGAGACAGACAGACGCACAGACCGACCGATGGGATTTAAAACTTGACGCCCATCGCTAAGCCATTGTGTGACCATGTTTTTTTCCCAAGCGACCGACGGGGTCGAGTTGGTCAGTTAGTGTTGGGTCTGGGGCACTGTATACTCCGTACTATACTACCTAATACAAGGAGACTATTCACGGGTAGTAGATATCCTTGCATGAGGGGGGAGCACACTGCGTCACACGACTCGTCAACTTCGGGACTGTCCAGTGTCGTGCCGGTCAGTCGACAGGGGACTGTCTAATGTCTAGAGACAGGAATCATGGGTTGAAGAAAAGCTCACGTCGCATGAGAAATTAGGTTGCCAGGTGGGGTGGAAGGGTCAGGATCAACGCTCTGGATCGACAGACCCTTGACAACATGGGTAAGAAGGAAGCGATATCACAGTACGGTGAGTCTGATTGGAATGGCGGTAACCCATCCCATCTCCATCCATCGCCCCGATTAACTTGATATGAACCCTTCCAGACCAAAAGGGGGAACAAGGCAACCTAAGCTCCAAGCGGATGGTTCACCGCTAGAGTTGGCGATGTGATATATCATTCCTCATGGGAGGGGGGATTAGTTGGGTCGCTTGACTAGCTTGGACCCGAGGAACCGGGGAAAATGAAGCGAGACCACGGAGGAGTTGATGGATCGGGATCAAGACTAATTCGTTCGGTGATTTGGGGAAGAGCTTGTTAGGTACCTAGTGGGAGTCATGAGAATGCACCTCGTATCATCCTGTTCTCTCTGGCTTGGTGGAGTCTGGATGAACAGCTGGTCTCTCTAAACCCAGTTAGGGTTAGAGGAAGGATTCAGCTGTACAACATCAACCAGCGCAATCATCTTAGATTATTGGCTCTTTGGGGTGATTTTGTCTCCACTTGATCAGCCCCAAGATTATTATGGTTATCCTGATTGACTCTAGTTATTTATCTCGTGAGTTATTGACGTGGTGGGTGGCTAGACCCGGCAGTTACCGGGATCCACTGCTTCGATTGATCGATCGTTCCATGCCTCAACCTGGAGTCCGATGGAATGCGACTCTTGATGCGACTGCAATGTTGATACGGATGTTGATGTTGATGCTGGCATCATCCCTCTCGGTTTCAGGGCCGAATTGTGATTGTCCCTCCCAGACCTAGGTTTAATCTAGGTTCAACCATCCCTTGCATGGATGTGTCACTCCTTCCCCTCCCCTCCATGAGGCTATTCCACCCTCCCTGGTTCATGATCGCTGCTCTCGCCGATCCGTTCTCCCGTCTCTGGTTTAGTGCCGGAGAGGGATGGGTGAGATTCATACATTAAATCAATATTAATAAAAATTCCAACCCAAAAGGGTCAGGCATGTCCAACTGTCCTGCGCCTCCTTCTCCTCCTCCTGGGTCCGAGAGACTCTATCGGCGTCTTGTTATGCACTGGGCCGCATCCACCCCCATCACATCCCTTCATATCACATCACGACCTTGCTGTCTTCGTGGTTCTTTTTATTTATTCCTTTTTTACTTTCTAATTATTAACAATTATTCCATTTCATTTGATTTCTGATAGTATATTTTATTCCTTTTTATTCTATTCTATTTACTCCTCTTGAGTAGATAGGATGCCTGTCCCCTCCCCTGCCCTTCGATCCCAACCCTGGTCTCTTCTTTCTCTCGCTCGGGTCCCACTGCATTTCTCGTCCTTCGTTTCGCTTCCTTGATCTCGATTACCCTTCTTTCCCTTCGATCCACCTCGTGGGAATGGACGGTGGCATCTGGTTTTCTTTGTTCTCCTCGATCCTGAAACGTTGACGTGGGTTACGGGGTTACAGCCTTTTCCTTCTGCAGGGCCGGATTAGGGCTCGCGCGGGCTTCCAGTCGACCCAGGAGTTGGGTCCCCATCGTATTGGATCGCTTGTATTGGTTTGAGAATCGGACCAAAAAAAGAATCCCAAGCAGAAGAAAGAAAAGAAAGAAAGAAAGAAAGGGGACGAAAAGGGAAAAAGAAACGGGTCTGATGATCCAACCGGCTGCAGTCAAAGAAACCCATCCCTACCTGATCCAAGGGTAGAGAGGATCAAGAACAAGAGGGGGAGAAGTCCAAAAAAAGGGAAAAAAGGGAAGAAAGAAAGGAAGAACAACTCGTGTATTCGACTTTTCTTTGTCTTCGCCCCAGATTCGGTGATAATTTCCAAACCTCCCAAGGCGACATCCTGATTATATTCCAGTTTCTCCCCGGGCTGTGTGGGAAGTCAGTCGGTCGATTGTCCAACCCATTCGTGTCATTTCATTCTTTCTTTTTTGAAAATCTCCTTTCATTTTTCTTTTTCATTGACTGATTTTATTGGGGTTATTATTATTTGGGATTACTTCTTTTCTTCTTTTAATTTCCCCCTCCCATTGGGGGAACGAAGAGGAAAAAGTTCCAGTCGAGGAGATCACGCATTAATTGCAGGACGGTCCTGAATCCGATAGACGACACAGCATCCCGGACGGCCTGCATGATGCCCTCCCCATCCTTCTTTAAATCACCTCGACAGGCGCCGCCCATGAGACCCTCTCGATCCCTCGAGGGTCTCGAGCGTGTTATTCCCCCACGATTCTCTGACCCCCCAGGACGATCGACCGTCCACCTCGACAAACCGCTGCCCGAATTACCTGTCAAACCGTTACCAGAAACCCCTTCGATGGAGGGATCGACCGCCTGGAGTGAGGACAGTAGCCTCGTCGACAGTCTGGAGTCCCACCGGCACTCGGGGGATTCCACCGAGAGCTACCCCGTCTTCGTCCGTCCGGGTTCCGCGGATCTGTCCGAGCTGGTCGACCATGCGGCGGCGCCGGATTCCTCGCTGGATCGTGCCTCGTCGTCCGGTCTCGAGGACTACGTGAAACACCCGCCGCTGTCGAAAAGCAATCCTTATCTGTCGGACGAGGACTACGAACCGGAACGACCCATCCCTCTGTGGAACCCGACGCCCACGGGTCCCAACCATTATTTCCGCGAAAAGAAGTGGGACTTCTTCCCTGAGCTGGCCACTCCATCGGCCATGAACACTCGGGCGCCCCCATTCCCGACAAAACCCCAGAAGAACAGCAGTCGTCTGAACCTCGCCGTCTTCGATTTCAAGAGAAACCATCGATGGCAACCCTCCGATCGCGGGGGCTAAGCCTAGCCCACGACGTGCGGGATTCAATCCGCTCCTACGTCCAGCGACGACTGTCCCGGAATTCAGTCGACAAAGAGAAGACCAAGCGCGAGCAACGACCCGCCACCGCGCCCGACGACACCCCCGACTACCTCTATGCACAACCTGCACGGCAGCGGGTGCCGTCAAGTCAGTATTCCGACCACGAAAGCACCATCACCGACATGAAGTCCGCAGGCATCTGGACGAAGCGGCTATCCGTAACGAGTGCCACGAGCACCGCCGCCTCCAGCAAACCACCCCTCACACCCCTCGCCGCCTCTCGGCGGAAGAAGCAACTGGCCGTGCCCCTGTCCGCCTACCAGAAGTACGGACCCGCCATCTGGGAGAAACCCAGCCGCGAGAAGCGCATCAGCTATCGCCAGAACCACCGCGTGCGGTTCCCGCGCTATCGACGAAACACTACCACGCCGCGGACCCGGCCGGGGTCGGCGGTGGCTACCTCCACCCCCTTGCCGTCGCCCACACACTCGCAGCTGCAGCGGAAGACGACCCGCGAACGCGTACGCGCGCTGCAGAGTGGCACCAGCCATGTGCTGGTTGCCCTGGACGGCGCCCGGAAGCGGATCATCGGGGCACGGGTCGAGCGCAAGCATAGCCAGCTGAAGTCACAGATTCGACTGGTTGGGCCGGTCAACCCATACCAGAACCTTCGACAGGCGGATACATGGATCTAACGTGAAACTGGGAGCCAAGTGGGCGATGAGAGGGCTTGATTGTCCGATTCTTCTTTCTTTGACCTCGAGTCTACTATATTGCATTCTTCTTTCTATCCTTTAGCTTTTTGCTCTTTTGATGCTTGTTTCTTCCCCGCCGTTGTTATATTGATATCCACTTGCTTTTTCTCATCTCTTGATTTCAGACTGCTACGCTGGGCGTTGGGGACATGGTTGGAGCAGGACTACCCTTTTTGATTCAAAATATGACTATCTGTCTTTATTCTTTATTCCAGACTGTAATCAAACATTCTCGTCAGTATATGACTATATGTAATTAGGGCTTGGCTGTCTTGGCCAAATGATCAACATTCTTCCCCGCTGGATAATCGTACATAATTACGTATGCCAATAATGTGTCCCTCGTGCCTGTTTTCGGTCTTTCCCTCCTTGTCTTGTCTCACCATCTCCTCTTCTCCTCTTCTCCTCTTTTCTCCTCATTCCCCTCTTTCTCCTCTCCTCCTCTCCTCCCCTCCTCTCTTATCTTCAACTTCCACCCACTTTCGTCCTTGCCAACCCTTGGATCGGCCTGATCTATCCATTTACACGCTATCTGATCTTCCCCCCACAATGGGTGGAGACGCGGTCCGACAAGCGCCCAGCTCCCTTCCCCGGAGTCCCGCCGGCCCCGTAGGTCAGCGGATCAAGGGCATCTACACCGACCGTCTCCGACAGTTCACCGCAGGTGGACAATACCAGTCCCAGAATCTTGTCGCGTACGTTTATCATGACCCGCCTGCTCTCTCGTCGAATGAATTAAATGTTTATTAACCACTTCCCAGGAAACTCCACGAAGCAACCGCCTCAGATGAAGACCATGTCAAGCTCTCCGTCTATTCAGTTCCAGATCTGCAGCGTCCTTCGTTCAAGGAAGCCACTTCCCATGAGTTCAAGCCGACTCGGATTGGCGCCTCATTCGGCCCCAGTTGGTCCACCCACTGGTTCCGCATCCGGCTGACCGTCCCGGAGCACATGCGCCAGAAGGAACGGCTGGAATTTCATTGGGACGCCAACAATGAGGGCCTCGTGTGGACCGAAGACGGTCATCCGCTGCAGGGTCTGACGGGTGGCGGCGAACGGGTTGAGTGGATCATCCCCGACGCCTGGCGCGACGGCAAGGAGCATGTCTTCTACATCGAAATGGCGTGCAACAGCATGTTTGGCAATGCGCCCGGCGGGGATTCGATCCAGCCGCCCAACCCGGATAAGTACTTCACTCTGCATACGGCGCGCATCACGGCGGTGAACCTCGAGGCGCGGGCGCTGTTCTATGATTTTTGGATCATCGGGGGTATGTCCTTCTTGTTGGTGGGGAGTACCCATTTTGGAAGACTAACGATAGATAGATGCGGCCCGAGAGTTCCCTGGAGATTCCTGGGAGTCGCACGAAGCTAACGTGGTTGCCAATTCCATCATGGACGCGTTCATTGCGGGCGGTGGGAGCCAGGAGTCAATCAAGGAGGGTCGCAAAATCGCTCAGAAGTATCTTGGTGACCGTGTCGACTCGCCCGAAGTCTACAACACCAAAAATGAGTCGATCATCTACGGCATCGGCCATTGCCACATTGATACGTGCTGGCTGTGGCCCTGGGCCGAGACCAAGCGCAAGGTGGCCCGGTCGTGGTCCAATCAGTGCGACCTCATGGATCGGTATCCGGAGCATCGCTTCACGTGCTCCCAGGCACAGCAATTCAAGTGGCTCAAGCAGTATTATCCGAGCGTCTTCGACCGGGTGAAGGGCTGGATCAAGAAGGGTCACTTCCAGCCGATTGGCGGCAGCTGGGTCGAGCACGATACCAACATGCCCAGCGGGGAGTCCCTGGTGAGACAGTTCCTGTACGGCCAGCGGTTCTTCGAGAGCCACTTCGGTGAGCGCTGCACGACGTTCTGGCTGCCGGATACTTTTGGCTATTCCACGCAGATCCCCCAGATTTCGCGCTTGGCGGGTATGACCCGGTTCTTCACGCAGAAGCTGAGCTGGAACAACATCAACAACTTCCCCCACACCACGTTCCAGTGGGTCTCCCTCGACGGTAGCCAGGTGGTGTGCCATATGGCACCGTCGGAGACGTACACGGCCGAGGCCAACTTTGGCGACGTCCGACGCAGCGTGACGCAGCACAAGTCGATGGACAACGATCGCACCTCGCTCCTAGTCTTCGGGAAGGGCGACGGCGGTGGGGGGCCGACATTTGAACATCTCGAGAAGCTGCGCCGGTGCCGGGGCGTGAGTGACAAGACGGGCTTGCTGCCACGCGTAACGATGGGCCACTCGGTCGATGACTTTTTCGCGCAGCTCGAGAAGAAAATCGCCAACGGCAAGCAGCTGGCCACTTGGTACGGGGAGCTGTACTTTGAGCTGCACCGCGGGACCTACACTACGCAGGCCAACAACAAACGGAACAACCGTAAAGCGGAGTTCCTGCTGCGCGAGGTCGAGTACTTGGCCACTCTGGCGTCCATCACTCATCAGGGGTACAAGTATCCCAAGACGGAGATTGACGACATGTGGGAGGGGACGCTTCTCTGCCAGTTCCATGACTGTCTTCCGGGGAGTTCTATCGAGATGTGCTACGACGACTCGGACGAGCTGTACGCGCGAATCTTTGAGACCGGCCACAAGGCTCGAGAGGAAGCCCTCAAGGCACTCGGGTTCACCGACCAAGGATCCGGAAAGGATCTCATGGCCATCAATACCCTCCCATGGCCCCGGTCTGAAGTGGTCAAAATCCCCGAGGCCCTTGCGACCTCCACGGGTCCAAAGTACGCTCTGGTCAGCGGAGAGACCGGTGTCATGCGCTGCGAGCCGGCGGTCTCTACCACCAAGCCCCCTGTCACGGTCTCAGAGATCAAGCCCGGCGTGTTCCGTCTGCAGAATGCGTCGCTCAGGGTCGACGTCCACAACGGCGTCATCACGTCACTGTTCGATCTCCAGGCCGAGCGCGAGGTGATCGCCGATGGCGGCCGGGCGGGCCAGCTGGTCATCTTCGACGACAAGCCGCTGTACTGGCAGGCATGGGATGTCGAAGTCTATCATCTCGAGTCGCGCAAAGAGCTCACCTCTGGCCCGACCTCCATCTCGGGGCGAGATGAGCACCAAGTCAGCGTTGTCACCGAAACCAAGATTAGCGACCAGAGCTGGGTCAAGACGACAATCAGTCTGGCGGCGGCGGTGCCCAACCAGCCGTCGTATGTGGAATTCTCGAGCGAGGTCGAGTGGAAGGAGAACATGAAGTTCCTCAAGGTCGAATTTCCGGTGGACATCACCAACACGGAGGCATCGTATGAAACGCAGTACGGGATTATTCGACGTCCCACGCACTACAACACGAGGTAGGTCAACCAACAGTAGCCCACCTTGATATTAAGATGTAATACTAACTCTCTCCAGCTGGGACATGGCCAAGTTCGAAGTATGCTGCCACAAATGGGCAGACCTCTCTGAAAACGGCTACGGCGTGTCCATCCTCAACGACTCCAAATACGGGTTCGCAACCTGCGGCAACCTCATGCGTCTATCGTTACTGCGCGCGCCCAAGGCCCCGGACGCACATGCCGACATGGGACGCCACCACATCCGCTATGCGATCCTGCCGCACGAAGGCGCCTTGGACTCGCGCACCATCCGCGCCGGCTACAACTTCAACCACCCGCTCGTGCTGCGGGCCAGCAGTGCCAGCCGTGGACCCCCCACGCAACCCTTCCAGGCTGTGTCGGTGAAAGGCGCGGCCTCGCTCATCCTCGACGCCATCAAGCGCGGCGAAGACGACGAAGACATCTCGCGCGATACCCTCCCCAAGCGGGCCGGAAAGAGCATCATCCTGCGCGTATACGAGTCGCTGGGCGGGAAGAGCCGCGGCCGCATCTGCAGTCACTTCCCGATCCGGGAGGCGTGGAAGTGCAATGTTCTTGAGGACAATGAGACAGCGTTGACGCTGCGGCAGGAGGCGGATGGTGAGGTTTGTGCGGATGTCGAACTGAGGGCTTATGAGGTTGCGACATATCGGTTGCAGTTGTAGTTTTACCATGAGCCTGATCTACCAAAGCCTGGGGAAGAACTACTGAAACCTACTGAAACCTAGCCGAGGAAGGCTGACTGAAGGTCTAACAGGAGGAAGCGAAGGTAACCCGAGTATGAATATTGTTTAAGAGATAAGGTACATGTATCACGGATATCATATTGTTAGCATAACCTCAATCAACCAACCAGTGCCTAGCTCCTTTAGTATAATATAAAAAAAAAATGAAAGATAAGAAACGAGATCATCCCCAACCCAAACACCATCCAAACCCACAACTAACTCCAGCCCTAAAGCCACATCAGCCATGCACAATGCCATTCCACTCCATTCTCACAAGAGTTCACAGCATGAAACGAAACGAAACGAAACGAAACGAAACGGACTATAAAAAGACAGATCACTCCCTAGCATAACTAATCTTCAACCTCTTCGACGGCGGCTTCCCATCCTCCTCCTCATCAACATCATTATTATTACCATTGTTGCTATTCCCCGCCTTACCGCGATTCGCCCCGCCTCCACCGGACGAGGAAGATTTCTTCTTATTAGCCTTGGACGGGCCGCGCACTTCGCCCGCGTCTTTGTCTTTGGTGGTAGCGCTGCTGCCGCTTGCTTTGGCGTTGCTGTTGCTGTTGCTGTTGACGGCGTTGGTGTTGGTGTTGTAGGTTGATGTGGGTGTCGCGGCGTGGGAGGGGGTGGTTTGGGCTGAGGAGGAGGGTGAGTCCTATACATTAACTTCATTAGTATCTCTTTTTCCCCCGGGATAGTAGTAATGAAAGAGAAGAAAGGATGGGAGGAAAGGAGACAAACCCTCATAAACCCCGCCGAACTCCTCGAAAACACCCGATCCGCATCCGTAACCTGCGCCTTTCGTCGCGCGACGCCCGTCCCCAGCGCGATGCTCCCGCTGCCGCCGCCCGCGCCGCCGCCGAGACTGCTGCCCGCGCCGCTGAGACCGCCGCTGGAGGAGCCCTTGATGTAGTTGTCGAAGCCTTTGATGATGTTGCCGGCTGTTGTTTCTTCGAGGTAGGATTGTTCGAAGCGGAAGATTTGGTCTTCGAGTTGGGACTTTTCTTTTCGTTAGTCTTGTATGTCTTTTTATTTAATTATCTATAGATAGGTATATGGGAGGATATATGGGAGAAGTAGAGAACATACCATACTCTTATCCATCATGCGCTTCTTCTGAATTGTGTCGCGTAACTCGCGCCGGAGTTTCTCGTAGTAGGGAAGACCGCGGTTTGCGCTCCCTGACGCGGTCGTTGACCCTACCCCTGTACCTGAACTCCCGTTCACGCCCCCGCCTCCATTGGGGGCTGCGGATGCGCTGCCATTGGGCTGCGCTGTGTCTGTTTGGTTGTTGTTGTTGTTGGTCGTGGGCGCAGTATTTGTGGTAGAGGGAGGTGGAGGGTTGGTGGTGGTGGATGTTGCCGGTGCTGTTGCTGTTGCTGGTGCGGTTGGGGGTGGGGCTGATTCGGACATTTTTACCCCTTCTTCTTTCTTGTCCCTTTCCTCTTTTAAGAAGATCAGTTATAGGTATGGTGGTATGGCATGCGTTGAGCAGGTCAGTCGTCGTTGAAGCTCGCTGAGTCGGGCGAGAGACAAGAGAGATCAATCTCCGGATCGGCGTGTTTGGCGTGTTTGCATTCGTACATATTAGGCCGGCCGTTTAGTTCATTGATGGCATCATCTGTTTCCCCCTTCCGTCCGTTTATCTACTTCCAGTACTTTATTCTATCTCTCTCTTTTAGAATACTCATCTCTGGCTTGACAAAATGGACCACTCCCACCACATGAACATGGGCATGAACATGGATATGGGCCACAACCACGGCGACATGGATATGGGCGGTGGGCAGTGCAACATGAACGTATGCTCACCCCTCTCCTCTTGTCTACGACTGGTCCGCTGATATAATATAATGGGGGTAGATGCTCTTCACCTGGTCGTCGAAAGACCTCTGTATCATCTTCCGACAGTGGCGCGTGACAGGCCCGTTCTCGCTCTTCGTCTCCCTGGTTGTGATCGTGCTGTTGACGGCGGGTTATGAGGGGGTGAGGAAGGTGACGAGACGGTATGAGGCGATGCATGGTAGGCGGTTGAGTGCTTTTACGGCTGTTACTGGTATGTTATCCTATCCTGTTTTATTCTGTACTATTTAGAATTCGCTGTTTTCGGTTTGTTTGTTTGTTGTTTTCTGTCTTCTGTGATGCGTGTCTATGTCTGTCTGTCTGTCTTCTGGCTCGATTGGCGCGGGCATTGACAACACAAGGCAATGACCGTCAAGACATCGAGTCCGTCGACGATGCGACTGCGCCGGATTCCCAGAACCATCATCCTCCTTCCTCCAACCACGCCGGCTTACCCCTGCTTGTAGGCAGCGATACTCGGAGGGCCTTGGAGCACCGCGGCAAGGTCGTCCTGGCGCTCTTGTATGCGGTGCAGGTGTTTTACAGCTTCTTCATCATGTGGGTGGTCTCCTTCTCAGGTTCTCAATCCAGTGCTGACCGTCTAGGCTCCTCTTCATGACGTACAACGGCTCGGTCATGTTGGCGGTCGCGGTGGGTGCGTTCGTCGGGTATTTGGTCTTTGGGGAGGATACCACGGCGGCCAAGACGGTGGCTTGTCATTGATTGCTGGGTTGTCATTGACGGTGGACGGCGGGATACCGGGTTGAATCGCGGGAAATAAGGGAGGGGATATAGATGGTCTTCTTGTCACGAGTTCAATGAATGTGTTGTCTTCTTCATGGAACTTCCACGTCGCTCCCGTCGTCTCCAAACCCAAAGCTGAACCCCCCGGCCGAGGCATCGGCGGCCTCGCCGTCTGGCTTGCCGTGGACGATCTCATCCCACTTGCGCTTCTTGCCATCGTTTCTCTTCTGCAGCTCTTCCTCCGCCTGCGCAAGAAGCTCCGGGTGCAGTTCACGCATCTTAGTCACGAACCGGTCGTAGGGGTTCTGGACGTCCTTGCGGAACCCGGAGATCTGGTCAGCCTTGTTGCCGAGGAAGTCCAGCGCCGCCGTCAGATGGCCCCGCGGGATGAAGTTCTGCGTCACGGCGATGGCCGGCTCCAGGTTGACGACCAGGTGCCACCAGCCCGACGGGACGTGCAGGATCTCGCCCGCCGCGCAGACGCCCTCGATGCAGCCGGGCGTGCGGCGCGCCTCGGCGTGGAACCCGAGCAGCCACTCGGCGATGCTGAGCGGCGACGTCACCTCGCTTTGGTCCTCGGACACGAAGACGCCCGGCGGCGGGGGCAGCTTCGTCGACGAGGGAAACATGATCCAGTATTTGGAGCCGCGCACGACGGCGTTCCACGCGCTCGTGGCATTCGGGTCCTTGTGAAAGCTGCTTCCGGACCGTTCGGGGCCGACGATGAGCCATTGGCGGTCGGGGCGGTCGTCGCCTAGCACCGAGAAGAAATCCTCCCCGAAGCACGGGGGCGGCCAGTAGGCGGCGGAGGAGTCGTCCTTGGTCCGGTCGGTCTGGAGGCCCATCTTGGAGACGAAGGCCCGGTCGAATAGGTAGAGGGGTCGCTCGTCCATGTTGCTCTTCATGTAGTCGACGTAGGTGCGGAACGGCCAGTCGACGGACTCAGCGCGGAAGACGACGTCCCCGTAGGTCGACAGCAGCGAGTCCATGGTCCAGGTCTGGTAGATGGGCCATTCTTTCACGGGCTCCGTCAGGATGAAAGGGGTGTCTGTCCATTTCTCCTGGAACTCCTCCTGGGACAGATTGGGCAGTCGGGCGATCTGGTTCTTGGCGGGGATGTCGGCGACATAGGGGTCGATGGAGACGTGCGCACAGTGGAAGGGACGGTGTAGGGCGTCGGAATAGAGGCTCGAGCAGTCCAGGATGCACACTCCCGATGACGGGAGGTTGAGATAGGTGGAGCGCCACGTTCCTCGCCAGGTAAATGACGGTGGAGGGGATCTGTATACAGTACTTTAGTCCATGTTTTCCCTGCCCATACCATTCCCCACGGAGACTTACTCCACAAAGAGGGCTTTCCACAGCTCCTCGGCTCGAGTAAAAGCATACAACGCCTTGCACGTCCGGCCAACAGCCAGCAAACCCGACCCATCGAGCGACTCCAGCACATTCAGGATCAGCTCGTCGGGCAGGAGTCGAAACGCGCCAATGGCATGACGCAGGTTCTCCGCCGCCAGCAGGGCGTTCCCACTCGGCTTGACTCCCAGGGGATGACCCGGAATGGTATTCTGACTAGGCAAATCCTGCAGACTGTCATTGGGATGCGACGTGTAGATGCTCCTCACCGCATCGGAGTCACGGTTGGTGGGGTCGAAGGAGGTGATATCGGGCATTTTCATTCCTGCTGTCACCTCTGTGTGATTTCGAGTGATGTGCAGGCACAAGCCGATTGATTCAATCCCAATGAATCATGCGATATGACTCTATAGCTCCGTCGTCAGCAGCTAACCGATGTGACTCAACTGGAGATAGAAGAAGTATAGCCTCAGGTTGCCGAATGAGAAAAGAGGGCAAACCTGAGGCTGCACTGATTGGCTGACACCCAATCCGGCAGGCGGTGAGTGTCGGCTAGACTCAATAGCGCGAAAAGAGGAAAATTTTCGGAGCAGAAAAAAAAAACAGCAGAGAATCTTTGGGTCGAAGTCGGCTGCAACTTTTTTTTTTTTTTTGCCCTTCCCCTCCCCGCCTCATTCTTCTTTCCCACACTACATCTTTTTCATCTCTCCCACCTCACCTCTACTCTTACTACACATCTAGATCCGGACTCAAGTCGTGGTTCTAGTTTTTTTGATATTTTTTTATCGTTACTTTACGGTATGTTTCCCTGCTTTTTTTCTTCCTTTTCTTTCCCCCTCTGCGTTCTCTTGTTCCTGCCCCACTGTCGCTGTCGCTGGTCACTAACAAAAATTTTATCTTGCAGTTCACTGTCCGATCACAGAGCAATAGCCTGTGATTTTTTTATCTACTCGCAAATATGGCTGACAAGGGTTTGGAGGATGTCCCCGAGGGTAAGTTATCTTCTTTTTTCTTATCTTTTTTTCTTTCTCTGGACGTTGCGATGTGTGGTGGTCGGATGTGGCGTCAGGGAAAAATCAGCAAAGGAAAATATGATCCAGTGAAGGGGAAAGAACACAAGAAAAGAAGGCGAAAAGAAAGAGAAGAAGAAGAAGAAGAAGAAAGGAATAGGCAAACGAACGAAAGAAATGAAGAAAGAGAAAGACAAAGAGAATCATCAAAACAGACCATGCTAACAATCGCCAACAGGACAGATCGAGTCCAACTACGATGAGGTCACCGACTCCTTCGATTCTATGGACTTGAAGTCCGAGCTGCTTCGCGGTAGGTTTCAACTGGATGAATAGAATCAAAATGAGAGTATGCTGATTCGTCTCAGGTGTCTACGCCTACGGTTTCGAGCGTCCCTCCGCTATTCAGCAGCGTGCCATCAAGCCCATCATCAACGGTAGGTTTTCTTACCATCATCTTATCCAGCGCGGCATGGTCTAATTCATCCAGGCTCCGATGTCATCGCTCAGGCCCAGTCCGGTACTGGCAAGACCGCCACCTTCTCCATTGCCGCTCTGCAGAAGCTCGACGCCAGCCTGAACGCCACCCAGGCCCTGATCGTCGCTCCCACCCGTGAGTTGGCTCAGCAGATCCAGAAGGTCGTCATCGCCATCGGCGACTTCATGAACATCAAGTGCCACGCCTGTATCGGTGGTACCGCCGTCCGTGATGACATGAACGCCCTCCGTGACGGCCCCCAGGTCGTCGTCGGTACCCCCGGCCGTGTCCACGACATGATCCAGCGCCGTGTCCTGCGCACCGATCAGATGAAGATGTTCATCCTCGACGAGGCTGATGAAATGCTGTCGGTATGTTTTTTTCCCCCCCCCCCTTCTGACCCCCTAAAATCCAGTCACTGACCGTCCTAGCGTGGTTTCACCGAGCAAATCTACGACATCTTCCAGCTGCTTCCCCAGTCCACCCAGGTCGTTCTGCTGTCCGCCACCATGCCCCAGGACGTCCTCGAGGTCACCACCAAGTTCATGCGCGACCCCATCCGTATCCTGGTCAAGAAGCAGGAACTCACCCTGGAAGGTATCAAGCAGTTCTACATCGCCGTCGAGAAGGAGGACTGGAAGCTTGACACCCTGTCCGATCTCTACGAGACCGTCACCATCACCCAGGCCGTCATCTTCTGCAACACCCGCCGCAAGGTCGACTGGCTCACCGACAAGCTGACTGCCCGTGACTTCACCGTCTCCGCCATGCACGGTGATATGGAGCAGTCCCAGCGTGACGTGATCATGAAGGAGTTCCGCTCCGGTTCTTCCCGTGTCCTGATCGCCACCGATCTGCTGGCCCGTGGTATCGATGTCCAGCAGGTCTCCCTGGTCATCAACTACGATCTCCCCGCCAACCGTGAGAACTACATTCACCGTATCGGTCGTGGTGGTCGTTTCGGTCGTAAGGGTGTCGCCATCAACTTCGTCACCGCTGACGACGTCCGCATGATGCGTGAGATCGAGCAGTTCTACAGCACCCAGATCGAGGAGATGCCCATGAACGTTGCTGGTACGTCCTTATCCTTCTTCACTTTTAACCTCGATACTAACTTTTCCAGACCTCATCTAAACTTTTTGAGTCACCTTATGTCTCGATGCGGATTACGATTGCAGTTGCCAATGATCCAAGGGTAAGCTGCGGTGGACACGGCGTTAGAACATCGTTTTGCTTCTCTTGGCCGAGAATTTACCAAAAGTAGTGGCTTTCTGTATCTCCAGCATTTACCGGCGGCTCTCAGGGCGAGCTCTGGTTGCTGCTGTTCATGGTTTCCTTTGTCTTTATTTTTATCACTTATGGAGATGCGACATGCCTGTTCGACTTATTTGCTGTAATTCATGATTTTTGAAATCACGTTTTCTTTTTCCCTTTTCTCTTTCTCTGTTTTTATCCATTTTCTATCTTTTTTCTTTGCGATCTCCCTCTTGCTCCGGTTGGTTAATGATGTCGCTTCATGCAATCCGGAGGCAGAGCGCGAAGAACAAAACCGAGTGATGCTGCATCCATGGATGCGATGGCAGCACTCGGAGGAGGTTCTGTGTGACGTGGCTGTATAGCTATAGACTGAAGGCAATACATTTACGATCTGTTGTCTTGTAGTTGTATCCTGGGTTATCACACCTGATGACCCCATCCCATCCCATCCCATCCCATCCCTAACCCCCTCCCACTCTACCTCACCACCTCACCTACACACCCCCGCCAACCAAACCACAAAGTGAACAAAGTAAATAAAAATGACAGCCCAACAAAACACACCCACCTCTCGCCCTCCCCCTCAACAATGGAACCCAACAGCCCCTCCCTCCTCTGGGCCCACGAACTCCGCCGCGAAAACATCCACCTCATCAACCGCCTCGACACGGCCCACGCAGAGCTCACCTCCCTAACATCCACCGTCGCCGAGCTCCAGCGCACAACGACCCATCTCGCAGAGCAGATCACCACCGTCGATAACCGCTACGAGGCCCGGCTGGATGGCTTGCGCGATGGCTTCACGCAGAGGGTTGATCTCCTTGTTCGGCGCGTGGATGCGCTTGAGGGGAGGGTTGGGGTGTTGAAGGGGGTATTAGAGGGGAGCTGTGTGGATCGAGGATCGTGGGGGGGTAGGGGTGGGAATGGTAGGTTTTTCTTCTCTGTCTGTCTGTCTGTCTGTCTCTTTGGGAGAGTGTCACTGTTGTTGCTGTGTGTGTGTGTGTGTGTGTGTGTGTGTGTGTGTGTGTGTGTGTGTGTGTGTGTAGCGATTGCCATGCTGTGTTGCAGTGATCTGACTGACTGGCCTACCTTGTGCTGTTTACTGGGTAGCACTACAAGGGCAGAGTAGACGCACTAAGCACTCCCAGCGCGAGGCGTCCTCAGACTCAGACTCAACCTCAACCTCAAACCCAGACCAAGACAAAGACCAAGACCAAGACAAAGACCAAGACGAAAACACAGTCCTCGTCCCCGACTCCTTCCCCCCAGACAAGCGCCAACCAAACACCAACCAACAAGACTCCAACCCCAACGAACACGACTACCTATCACCGCGTCCTCACCCCACACCAGATCCTCCTACTCCTAGCCCTATCACAGCCACTAGAACTACTACTCCATCCACAGTCACCGTCACCACTCGCGACAGCCCCAGCCCGTCTAGTCCAGCGGTGTCAGAGCAGCGAACAACGATAAACCTCCAACAAGGTACCCGATCTCTTCAAGAGTATGTCCGCTTTGGGGAGAGTCTGCGCGCGGAGTTGGAGCCGTGTAAGCGCGAGGGGGAGATCGTGGGGCGGTTTGTGAAGGGATTGAGTGATGAGGGTGTTAGAGGGATGGTGGAGAGGAGGATGGATTGTGTTGGGTGGGTTTGGGAGAGGATGGTGGGTGTTTTGAGGGAGGTTGTTGGGGATAGAGGAGGTGGCGCTGCTGCTGCTATGGAGGATAATGGAGAGGGGGGCGATACTAGTGTGAAAGGTAGGAGTAGACGAAGCAAGAGGAGGCGCATTTCTATTGTTTCTCCTGATGAGGAGGATCTGTTGCAAATGGCTGGGATGCATGTTGGGTAGGTGGTAGGTAGGTATGTATTACCATGTTCCTATAGCAGTGTCTATGATAATCTAGCTCTTGTATATGTAGTATACAGCGACAGTGACGACGAAAGAGAAGAAAACTAAGTCTCACTATAAAAATACCTCCCCTCCCTATCCTCAACCTCAACCTCAATCCTCCCCTCCTCAATCTCCTTCCCGTCCACCTCAATAGAAGCCCTCATGACATCCCCCGCCTGAACCTCCCCCACCCCCTTCGGCGTCCCCGTAAGCACAATATCATCCTTCTCCAGCGTCATCACGCGCGAGATCTCCGCCAGCAGGCGCGGAATGCGATAAAGCATCAGACCAGTCGAGTCCGCCTGGCGCGCCTGCTCGCCAATGCTCAGCCGCAAGAAGGCATCGTGCGGGTTCGGGATGCGCGATTTCGGGATCTCATTCGACACCGGCAGGAAGGTGTCGAAGCCTTTGGCGATTGTCCAGGGGAGGCCCTTCTTTTTGGCTTCGTCTTGGACGTTGCGGGCTGTCATGTCGATTGAGAGGAGGTAGCCTTTTATTATTATTTTAGCATTGTCATATATATATAGAGAGAGAGTAAGGTTAGGAGGCTTACTTCGAATCGCATCCATTGCGCCCTTCTCGTCATTCGGGTCCAGATCCCGAACGGTGCGGCCCATGACGAGTGCCAATTCCACCTCGTAGTGGAGTTTGGTGCCGCGCGGGCGCAGCACAGGGCCTTCTCTGGGACAGAGGATGGAGGAGGCGGGCTTGAGGAAGAAGAAGGGCTGTTTGGGCTTGGTGTTGTTCAGCTCGGTGATGTGGTCACTGCATTCATTAAGTCGGTCAGTTCATCTTTCTCCAATTGCTCCACCAATTCTGGACGGTAATTAAACTACAAAGCAGGGAAGGACGTACGCATAGTTGCGACCGATGCAGATGACTTTTCTGCAATTGGATTTGATTGCGCTGGCCATGGTGGAGGTGTGTTCTTGGGGGTTGAGAGAAGACAGCGAGGGGAGAAGAGGGGAAAGAAGACGATATGGTCAAGAAGTGTTCGGGCGGGAAAGCCGACGTGCGGAGACGGCCGCAATCTCCGAGACTCGGCGGTTGCATGGGGAATGGTGGCTTTGTGGGGAGTGTGGGGGATCTTGTGTCGCATGTAGTATTGGTTTGTTTTCTTTATAATTCTAGATTATAGAGGATGTCATGTCATAGAGATTGAGAAGTAAGTGTATTGCGACTGGGACTGCAGTGAAGCCACGCCAAGCCCGATCAGCGAGACTCCGAGCACCTCAATCTTCCTTTCTGATTCTTCCTCTTCCTCCTCCTCTCTCTTCTCCCCTCACAATAGCTATCACCATGCAAGTCGCACAGATTCTCTCCGATTTAACATCCCTTCAAGTTTGTGTATGTGTCTCCTCATCACGATTGTTAGCGACTACGAACTAACCAACCCAGGATCATCACGACGCCCTCGCCCTCGTCACCGTCAACGAGAGAATCCCCCGCACCCACACCGCAGAAGGGGGCGCATCCCCGGCGAAATCTGCATCCGTCGATCCCACGGAACAGACGGTCCACGATGACCTCCGCCGTGCCACGGAGTTAGTGGAGTTACACTACGAGATCAAGGCGCGCCATGCGGATGGGATGGTCGACGACGACCTCGCGAAGGCAAGGGACGAGGTGGATCGCGTATTGATGGAGATGGAGGAGGATGCTTGGTAGGATATTCATAATGCGACGAGGTATGGTATGGACATGAGGTTATGAGAGGGAACAGGCGGCATCTATGGCATATGATGGTGTTGGGTATGGCGTACGGGTTCTGAACGGACGGATGGCTGTTATATGGCTATGATATGTATACCACTAGCTCAAGTGAATTGAGCCTTACTGTATTTTGATCCAATTAGAGTGTTTATGTACTTCTCCCAAAAAACTACCTACTACGATCTAGATCTATCAATCCACATCCAAGCAGAGTATGATGTATGCAATGACGTCCTCAGGCACCCTACGCCAAGACGCAAGGCGGTGAGCCTATCTTGCTCGTCACGAATCATGATCGATTTATCGTCTGTTGAGCTTCACTCTCCATTCCTCCTCTCCCTTGTCTTCTCCTCTCTCCCGACTTTGTTGCAATTGCCAGCATCATGGCCACAAGCGTGGATGCGAAGCTGCTGCGGCGGACCAAGTTCCCGCCCGAATTCAGTCGCAAGGTCGACATGACCAAGGTCAACATTGAGGTCATGAAAAAGTAAGCGACGCCCACTCCTTGCCCGGCCTCCTCCCCCGTCGCTGACCCCGTCCGTATAGATGGATTGCAGGAAAGATTTCTGAGATCCTGGGCAATGAGGATGACGTTGTCATTGAGCTGTGCTTCAACCTCCTCGAGGGAACCCGTTACGTACGTGCCAATCCACCGCGGGGAACGAAGGGAAATGGGAATGACGGCTAATATGATCGTCTGTACAGCCCGATATCAAATCGCTACAGATCCAACTCACAGGCTTCTTGGACAAGGATACGGCAAATTTCTGCAAGGAACTCTGGTCGCTCTGTCTAAGTGGTCAGGAGAATCCTCAGGGTGTTCCCAAGGAGCTGCTGGAGGCCAAGAAACTCGAGCTCATCCAGGAAAAGGTCCGTCCTGGTCTCTGATAATACTCGGTATAGATGGGTCGTTAACTGACACTTCTCAGCTCGAGGCAGAAAAAGCAGCCGAACAAGCGCGACGACAGAAGGAACAAGAGCAACGGCGGGAGCGGGAAATGGAAGACCTGCGGCGGCGCGACCGTTCTGATCGAGGGCGTGGAGGAAGAAGAGGCGGGCGCGGGGGTGGGCGCGACTTCGAGCGTCGTCCATCGCCACCCCGACGACGCAGTCGTGAACGGTTTCGCGATGCGCCGCCATCCCGGCGTGACTTCGACTCATACGTACCATCGCGGCGAAGCCGACGGCCCAGCCGCTCCCGATCTCGCTCCGTCTCTTCGTCACGATCCCCGCCCCCTCGTCGCCAACAACGCTATTCCAGCAGGGACAGGGACCGACGCCGACGCCGCCGGTCGGCCAGCGGTTCCATCTCCCCGGAACGCCGGCGGTCCGCCCCTCGCCGACGCGGCAGCCCGGACTATGGTGATCGAGTGCGGTCTCCTTCCCGCAGTGGTTCCTCGCGCTCACGTAGTCCCAGACGAGATCGCAGGAGATCGCGATCGGTGTCGTCGCGCAGCTCATCCCGTTCACCGCCCCCGCCTTCTTCCCGGGACCGGCGCCGGAGGGGCTCTTCGGCCTCGGATGATGACCGGGGCGCTCCGCGACGGAGACGATCCTCGCCTCACCATTCTTCACGCGCGCATAAGAAAGAATCACCAGCTGATGTTGCAAAGGTTCGCAAGACCCGTGATGATCGCCGCTTGAGCCGTAGCCGCAGCCACAGCCGCAGTCGCAGTCGCAGTCGGGGCCGGGGCCGGAGCCCGACGAGGAGTATCAGCAGCAGCCGCAGTCGAAGCCCCAGACAACACGACTCGCGCAGCCGCAGTCGCAGTCATAGTCGCAGTCGCAGCCGCGGTGAAGGCCGAAAGCGGCGACGCTCAATCCCCAGATATGCCCCGACGGCCCGCCGTCGGCGCGATTCGTCTTCCGTGTCAGCCCGCGACGAGAAGCGGCCACGGGTCCGAGAAGCAGACTCCGATGCCGCGCCGGCACCAAAAAGATCCCCAAGCCCAGCCGACAAGGCCCCCCAAGCGACCATGACATAAAGGATGCAGCTCCCGAGGTGGGTGAATCACTCTAAGTACGTCTGGATATCTGTTTGGAAGGGGAAGAGAGAGCGATAAGGTTTTAATCCAAACAATGAGTCTTACACGATGTCTGTCTATCTATCTATCTGTCTGTCTTTTTATCACTGTCAATCCATCCTACGATTGCTACTGGACTGATTTAATTGATTGATCCTTCTGCACCTGGGCTGGCTTCGGCTAACGACGTACCAACACATAGTCCACACACTCTGCCCATCGGCCCGCCGCTGCGCGCATCTCGACCACCGCGCTACGCGAGAAGCTCCTCCGCGAGAAGCTGGTCGCCCGGCGACGGTCGTCGACGGCAGAAAGGTAGGTTGGTTAGTCGCCACTAGGATGGGAGGGACCAACCGTGAGTCCAGTCGTAAATACGGGGGATTTGCGCATGTTCGCCACGTTCACAGCATTAGATAGTTCTGCAATAAGACTGCGACCTACTTCATGTTCTGCATAATATGTACACAGGATACAGGAATCAATCAAGACCTAGCAGGGTATTCCAAGCACCTAGCAAAGTCCGAGTCAATCGAAATTTCATCCCAGCAAACCTCTCAAGGCAACTAACTACCTCAAAAGTCCAGTCATCCATCCCCAACTCGTTTATTCGAAGACAGAGCTTGCGTATACTAGTACTAACTTGCAAATCACTCTCATACCATGACACGCGGCTGCAGCTTTCCCTCGCTGTAGATACATTCCCGAGTAGAATAAAGAGTGCATAATTAAGGTGTATGTATGGACAGGAGAGACTGGAGCCAGTACTGTCGACAGGCTATGGGTCTTGCCAGTTGTCTGTATTTCTCATCTGTATGCTAATGTTAATCAATCGCACTATGATAATAGAAGCCTAAGAGTCCAGACTCCTCCAAGCAGGTAGATCAATGTATAAATGCATAGATAGAGAGAGAGATAGACAGATAAACAAACACCAACACCCCCAAAACACCACGCCATCAACACTAACCCCACGCACATACCAGGATAAACAACGAACCCATCAATCCGGATGATTAATATATTCAAGACAGCTAATCCTCCAAAAGAACCAATACCCAGGATGATAGAACCGCCATGCATGTATATCAATTTAGAACCTTATTTTGACCTCTTTCTTACTCTCTCTACTATCTATGTAGCTGCTGTTATCTAGTGAATATAATGGTATATTTTTGGATAAGTAATGAATGTACTGTGGAGTAATCAGGGACGTTATCCATCCATAACTATGATGGCCGTTAAACGAAGGAATAAACTTGGTTAAATCCCAGATAACACCATTCCCCACCATAATCAACCACTATCACACCTGATAAATCAAGTAAAAATAAATGATAATATGATAATAATAATACTCCCATTGATCCTGCCAAAAAGAAATACAAATGAAAAAGAAAGAAAATCACATGCCCAACCGTCATGATGTCACGCAATTTCCTTCCGACTCCTCCCCCCTGTCAATCGCGTGGCTGGGGCCCTCTGGGGCCCCCCTTTGCGTGGCTTATTGGGATCGGCTGGTTGTTGTTGGGGCGGGTCGTCGTTTCTTCCTTTTTTCCTCTTTCCCCGTTATTTTATTTTATTTGATTTTATTGTTTTATTATGTTATTCTTTTTTCAATATGATTATTATTGTAGTTGCCTAGTTTGGAGCCGAGGTTAGTAATACTCATCTGTCTATTCTGTCTACTACTGTAGTAGTTTGTAGTGTTGTATAGTTATCATCATGCTAAAATTCGTCATAATACTCTACAAAATAGAACCAAATGTGTGCCTGACAGTAATATCATGTACATGATCAAGATATAGAAGGAATGTACTCCATTGAAGGGAATAAAAAAACGCGTTTCAACGAAAAGAAAATGTAGGAAGAAGAGAAATGGCCAAGGCAACATCAGAAGTCAAATCAATAACAAAAACTAGATAAACAAATAAACATCTTCCTGGCGAGTTCTAACGCTACATGTGTGCCGATGTAATCCTCTTTGCCCAGCCAGTGGTGTCCATCCGTTCGTGATCCCCTCTACTGGCCCCCGGTCGAAACCACACATGCCCAGAGAAGAATTTTAGAATTAAAATTAGGTATGTACAGGTATCTTCACCGTTGCTGCCATGGCGATCGTCGCGGAAGGTTGGATTCCTCAGTGCGGGAGATCTTCTCCCTTACTGGGGCGGGCAGGAAGCGACGCTGACGGTCGTCGTCATGGTGACCACCTTGCGGGGCTTGCCGCTGGGCGCCTGGGTGACCTGGGGCGAGTCGCTGTTGGTGGCGACGGGGATCACGGCCTCCGAGGTGATGGTCTCGCAGGGGGTGCTGCTGGCAGCGGGGCCTCGGTCGAGGTGGCCACGGGGACGACGGTCTCCGAGGTGATGGTCTCACAGGGAGTGCTGCTGGCGGCGGGAGTAGACTGGGTCGGGGCAACAGCCGGGCCGAGGGGGTCTCGGTGCTGGTAGCGATGGGGACAACAGTCTCCGAGGTGAAGGTCTCACAAGGGGTGCTGCTGGCCTCGGGGGCAGCAGAGGAAGCGGGGGACTCAGTAGAGGTGCTGACGGGCACCACGGTCTCCGAGGTGAAGGTTTCGCAGGGGTGCTGCTTGCCTCGGGGCGGCAGAGGAGGGGGAGGGCTTGTGCGGCACAACAGGAGCGGAGGAGTGAGGGGAGCTCACGGTCGAGGTGGCCACAGGCACAATCGTCTCGGAGGTGATGGTGTCGCAGGGGGTGCTGGAGGCCGCGGCGGACGAGCTGCCGGTAGGCTGAACAGCGGGAGCCGAGGGGGACTCGGTGTGAGTGGCCACGGGGACGACGGTCTCCGAGGTCAGGGTGTCACAGGGGGTGCTGCTCGCCTCAGGAGCAGGAGAAGCGGGCGACTCGGCGGGGCGCTCGGGGCCGGGGCGGAGCTGCTGGTAGCAGGAGTCTCAGGAGCCTCGGTGGAGGTAGTCACGGGCACGACCGTCTCGGAAGTGATGGTGTCACAGGGGGTGCTGCTGGAGGCGGCGGCGGACGAGGTCACGGTGTGCTGGACAGCAGGGGTCGAGGAAGACTCGGTGGGCTGGGCAGCAGGGGACGAGGGAGACTCGGTGTGAGTGGCCACGGGAACAACCGTCTCCGAGGTCAGGGTGTCACAGGGAGTGCTGCTCGCCTCAGGAGCAGGAGATGCGGGCGACTCGGCGGGGGCGCTCGGGGCCGGGGCGGAGCTGCTGGTAGCAGGAGCCTCAGGAGCCTCGGTGGAGGTAGTCACGGGCACGACCGTCTCGGAAGTGATGGTGTCACAGGGGGTGCTGCTGGAGGCGGCGGCGGACGAGGTCACGGTGTGCTGGACAGCAGGGGTCGAGGAAGACTCGGTGGGCTGGGCAGCAGGGGACGAGGGAGACTCGGTGTGAGTGGCAACAGGGACGACGGTCTCCGAAGTTAGGGTGTCACAGGGGGTGCTGCTGGAAGCGGGAGCGGACGAGGCACCGGTGGGCTGGACGTCGGGAGAAGAGGGGGCCTCGCTGTTGGTGGCAACAGGGACGACGGTCTCCGAGGTCAGGGTGTCACAGGGGGTGCTGGAAGCAGCAGCAGACGAGGCGCCAGTGGGCTGGACGTCAGCAGCCTCGCTGTTGGTGGCAACAGGGACGACGGTCTCCGAGGTCAGGGTGTCACAGGGTGTGCTGGAAGCAGCAGCGGCGGCGCCAGAAGAGGCCGGGGTCGAGATGGCGGGCAGGCTGGTACCGCTGGGCTTGGAGGCCGGGTCGGCATCGCAGCCAGTGATCAACTGGATGATGATGATCTGGATCTTGTCGGTGAGCTCAATGCCAGCAGCACCACCACCGAGGGCAGCCAACTGGGCACGGGTACCCATGGAGATGGTCTCAATGGCCTCACCCTCGGTGAGGAGCGAGAGCACACCGTGGAGGTTGGTGCCCAGGAGGCCGTCGATGGTGTCGGTGAGGAACGAGGTGAGGTCGGAGACGAGGCCGTTAGCCAGGTTGAGGGCGACCTCGCCGCCGTTGGCAAACGAGAGCCAGTAGATCAGGAGAGACTTTTGCTCCTCCCCGAGCTTGTTGTCGGAGTTGGTGAGCCACTGGACGACAGAAGTGCGGGTCTCCTTGGACAGGGTGGTGGCAGCCTGGCCCTTGGCACAGGCTTCCAAGGCGGTCTTGACCGTGGAATCGAGCTCGCCAACGACATCGCTCTTGAGGATCGCAGTCAGGGTGGCCTTGGCGCCGTCAACCAGGGAGCCGGCTTCACCAACGAGGCTGCCGATGGCGGAACCGGAAGAGATGGTGGACAGGCCGCCGTGGGGCAGCGAGCCCAGCGAGAGCACATCCTTGCCGGTCTCGTTGTTCAACCAGGCCAGGACGGTCTCCTTCAGCTCCTGGGTAAGCTTGCAGTCGGAGCTGTTCAGCCACTCCTTCAGGGTGGACTGAACCTTGTCCTCCAGATCGGAGGCCATGCCACCGGAGGAGCTGAGGGCCAGGGCGGACTTGACCTTAGGCTCGATAGACGACCCAGCGTCCTTGAGGAAGGCAGTCAGGGAGTCCTGGGCGGAACCGCTGAGGACCATGCCGACGACGTCATCGACGGAGGAGAACACGCCGTCCAGGGTGACGAAGAGGTTGTCCTTGGAGGCGATGCTGGCGGCGGTAGGGATGAAGAAGGAGAGGGCGGAGGTGGTCTCGACGGGGAGGGTGGCATCGGCCTCTCCGTCGGCCCACTTGAGCAGAGCAGTCTTGATGGACTTCTCGAGGTGAGAACCGTCGTGGCTCTTCACCCACTCGACCAGCTCCTCACGGGCGTGGGACGAGACGACGCTAGCCTTGCTTCCCAGCGCAGCACTCTCCAGAGCCGCGGCGGCAGGGCCACTGATTCCGGTGAGGATGAAGGCCGGGCTCTGGCCGTCCTGACCGAAGAGCGCCGCGATCAGGCCAGTCAGATCCTCGACAACGTCGGTGACGAGACCGCCGACCTCGCTGACGAGGCCACGGTTCTCGAGCTGGGACCGCGGAAGGGCGAGAGCATGGCTCGCCAAGCTCGCGAGCAGGAGCAGGTTGTCAGAACGCATGATGTGACGATTGTGATCAAAGGAATGTATAGGTCAGCGAATGGCTTCTGAAATCTATCAGAACAAAAAGAATGAAGCAAAAAAAGCCGTTGCGGTGGCTAAAAACAGCCGATTTGGTTAATGACAGACTGGTAAAATGGTATCAAAAGAAAGACTGGGTGGGAGAAAAAACAAAACAACAGAAGAACAAGACCAGGTTCAAGCGACTGACGGATGCTTGAAAGGTGCGCCCACGGGGGTGATCATCGCTTCGCTTTATATACCCCTGAGCACTTTTTCATCACCCGTGGTACTAACATCCCGAAAGGCTCGATAGAGACTTGCCCCCCATTCTGGATTCCACGATTGGATCAGCGCGCCCCTCGTCCAAGGAGGCAGACCATCTGTGATCGCGGTCCCGGATCTTCGAGGCCAAATTGACCAAGTGGGTCCGGACTGCGTGCGTGAAGGCAAATAAGAGCGCACATGAACCACTGGGTGGACACTTTCGAAACAAACCAAAGGGGATGGGATGAAAATAACTATTTCTAGCAATGGGCTGTGCTAGTCCAAAGGTTATGCGAGCCGAACGGTTGCGGATCAGGAGCAGACCCCCATGCCACGGGTTCGCCTGTCCAGCGTATACGATTGAAGATGTCACCACTCATGCCATGGGCAATAGAGAGAGGCATTGTAGGAGCCTAGGAGGAGAGGGATAATCACGGAAGAGTGAGAGGGGACGAAGTGGACATGAGGATTTCATTCAAGCCGCGGTCCACTTGTGGGAAGCATCCAGCGATAGTCAACACGCCGGCCAACTACTCTCAGGGGAGACGTGGGCCAAGTATAATCCCACAGTACTGATTGTCGCCATGTCGTTGGGTCCTGAGCCAATGACGGCACATCTCACGAACATTTGGGGTAACCTGGATGAATATCACCGAACCCGGTGGACAACCCATGGTTGATCGACACGGCCGGTCTTACGTCCCTGAGCTGACCTTGGAGTCGGGGTCGTGCCTGAGAGAAAATCATGGGGTCAATCAATCAATCAATAGTCATTGCTGGGGAATTGTTGTGTGCTTCTCGAATGTCTGGTTGTTTTGGAGCCTGAGATCACTGAGATACGTTTTAAGAATGATCCATAGTAGATAGTGGATTTTTGGCGAGAGGCATCAAGAGTGCCGGTCACGCTAACCGTTGACTGATCAAAATTGATACCCGCGCCCGGTCCATGCAGTCGCAGTCGTGCTAGGGGAGAACATCTTCATTACAGCAGCACTCCTCTGCGCTGGACTAGGACGAAGCGTCAGGAGACACCCGATCAAAGAATCCCTCTGCCTTCATGACGGTCTTGAGCTTCGCGCGCGGCGAAACCATCGATATCTTCCCTGTTTATCCATATTAATAGCAACGGCCTTATGGAACGAGGCGGACGAACGCCTCCCAGGGAGCAGACCGGGGGGTTCGCGAGCCAAGATCACAATACCCTGGGCTAGCAGCCGTTCGAACATTGCGGCACGGCACCGGATCCAAGGGAAGGAGAAAGGGGAGCGCACAAACATCGAAAGGGGGGTGGGGAAGTGTGGTGAGAAACCTGTTAGCGTCGGCGTACTACGAGCTTAGTGCATCGTTAGTCAGGGACCAGCGACGAGGAAGGAAGAGGGGCCTATATTATGGTCTTCCTCCTGGAGTCCTCCATCCGTGCGATGCAGAGCTTCAAGGGATGAGTGACGGAATAAGGACAGTGGTCCCCCCAACCCTGCAGTATATGGCAGTTGAACTGGGGTTATCAAAAAAGAAAAGTCACCATCAGCAGGATCCGGGCCAAAAGGAAGGAAGAGCACAGGCAATTCTCTAGTTCCCCCCACCCACAAAGCAGACTGTTGTGCACGCAGGGAGATCGTTTCCCCAACGGGTGTTCCTGACCCGACGACCATGTATCCTTGGTTCCTGACGCTGGACTCCACTTGAAAGTGAGGGTCGAATCCGAGGAAGCCGTGTTTGTTGGACGGATGACAATAAAATATAAATGTACACCCCCGACTCCAGACTCCAGACTCCAGACTATCGGGCGGAGAGGGGCCAATTTTCAAGTTGTCGTTTAAAATAAGATAGGCCCTTAGGTGGGTTAAAGATGAGTGGCGTCTGTAGTATAGGCTACTAACCCAGCCAAGGAGGATTAAAGTAAGCTCGCCAATTGTGATTAGTGGAAGTGGGGTGGAAGTAAATTATTCTCCAAGCAGTAAGTACTCCGGAGTGGATGATAAGGGAGGGGAGAGAGATGGGAAGGAGTGACGTGAAGTGAAGGGATTCAAGATGGAGAAATCACGATGGAGAAATCACGATGCCAGTCAGGTGATTGCGGTCAGGTGCAACAACCTCTCTCTATCTCTCTATTGATCTTGATGATGATGCTTTTCCCATCCTCAATCTATATCTCGACAATGGGCTGTTTTGATGAATGCCCAACATGCTGCGAATCGTTCGGTGCTTACATATTGCGATGAAGCAATCTATTATACATATATAACAGGCCAGCAGAGGTATAGTGGAATGGACGCCTTGCAGACCAGTCCATGTCCGGACCATCCTAGCTGGTAAGGTCAATTGGTTTATATAAACGAATTTCTATAGTCTCCCCAGTCCCCCCAGTCCTCCCATGCCCATTTCATTCTATCCCTGTCGTATGGTGGGTTTACAAGAAGTACGGCGAGTGATCAGTATATCGAATATATATCTCCACCATACGCCAAAAACCACACCCTCAGGGAGATCATGACGATTGAGTCCATCCACATCATTTATCCCAATCTATCATGAGAAACAAAGCTAGAAGCAGTATGCAATCCAAATGGGCCCAAGAAACTGATCCAAATAGATCAATCAGACCCATGGTTGCTGCAGCCAAATTCCTGGGATGTTTCATGTTGCCGGGACAACTGGCGTGCCCACGTGACCGGCGCGGACCCAGCCACCCGATGTTGTTTCGTTTCCTGAAAACGAAATGATCCGATCTTCAATCAACCCCGACCATACGACAACCAGACGACAATAACGACCCCCAACGGCGCTAAACCCGTGCGCCCCCCTTGACCGGACACTATTCCATTGTGCATGACCTCGTTCATGTGTCTGATCCATTGGGAGTTGTGACGATGGCCTCTCCCAATTCCCTCTCGACCGCGTATACCAGCGGTCTCTCCCGACAACCGTCGTCCCGGCATCTGTCCCGCGCCGCCACCTCACGCGCCGGTTCCAGACGAACCTCTCCGGAAGTCCAAAATGTCTCTGCTGTGAGTAGGAATCGACAGCTGGAGTCCTCTAGACGGTATTCGCCGGGCGACAGCTCCGATGACGAGGTCCCCGAGCCGAAATTCAGCGCTTCCGTCAAGGCCCTGCTGGACGAGGATGTCGACTCCCCCCGCCTGCAACGGAGGCCTTCCGACAACTATCACCGCCCGAGCGATCGGGTCGTGTCCACCAGCCAGGAGAGGCGATCTCGCACCGCGTCGCCCAACGACCATTCGACAGGGAGCCCGGCACCGCGGGTGGTTCGTCTTGCCCCCAACTTGATCAACGGCACTCGATTCCAACGAGAAGGATCGCCGCTCACTAATAGCGAGAGTGCCGGCTACGACAGCGCGAGGAGTTCTTCCAATGACTTGATCACCCCCGCGCCGCGACCGCGCACCGTGCGCATCAATCCCTCCCGGAGTTCGACGCGCTCTCCCGCCTCGGTTTCCCCCTCGCAGCGTCGCTGGGCAGAAGCCGACTCCGTCGAGGAGCAGAGGAGCGCCGAGCGCCTCGAGGAAGAGAGGAAGGCGCGGTACGAAGAGGAACAGGCGCCGCGCGTCGGCTCCTCTTCCGTGCTTCGCGCGCGCGGTGTGGAAGACGTCGGCCTGCACAGCTCGGTGCGACCGAAGAGAGTCGGCCGGTTAACAGGGAGCTTTCTGAATGGACCCGCCCGGAGGGGCGTGTTAAGACGGCAGAGCGAGGAGAACGACGACCCACAAACCTTTCTCACCGCGGAGGAAGGGAATGATCGGGAACTCGACGGCAACGGCAACCGCGCCGACTACGACTACAAGAAATCAGCGAAACCTTCATCACCACGGGTATCGTGGGTGGACCCGAGCCCCCTCGACCGGGCAGAACGGTATCGACCGCACGATCCCATCAGCCACCGGCCTGGAGAGGAAGCATTCTCCCGGGGTTCGTCTCCTAAATCGTACGGATCGCATTCCAAGTCAACCCCGGGTTCTTCGTCCGACCGGTCGTCGAAACCGCCAAGTGGGGCAGAGCAGCCCGTGTTCAAAGTCCCTCCGTTGCCGGAGCTGCCCTCCACTCGCGACCAGGAGAACGAGCCGCCACCGACTTTCAAGCGGGCCAAGCCTCAGGGGTTTAACCTGCTGGACAAGCCGGAAGGGTTGGCCGTCGTCTACGGGGATGAACGGAAAGACGCACCGCAGCACGAGGCCCCGGCCGGACCGTCCCCGCGGAAGATCCTGGCGATGCGCAGCAACAACGCCCCGCATCATCGACCGGCCCCCCCGCCGCCCAAGATGTCGGTCCTCGAGACGGCAACAGCCAACGCCGGCGCCGCCACGTCGTCGTCCTCTCGTAAGAAGCGGAGCCAGGTCTCCGTCAACCACAAGCCGTTCACACGATTGGACTGTATCGGCCGGGGTGGGAGCTCGCGGGTCTACCGGGTCATGGCCGAGAACTACAAGATCTTCGCGCTCAAGCGAGTCAACCTGGAAGATGTCGACCCGGTCACCCTGGCGGGCTACAAGGGGGAGATTGATCTGCTCAAGAAGCTCGAGAACCTGGACCGCGTGGTTCGGCTGTTCGACTGGGAACTGAACTCGGACAAGCACACGCTCAGCGTCCTGATGGAGATCGGCGAGTCAGATCTTGAGAAGATCCTAACCTATCGACTAAACGCGGAGGATGCGGTGTTCGACTGCAATTTCACGCGATACTACTGGAAAGAGATGCTGGAATGCGTGCAAGCGGTACACCACTATAACATCGTGCACTCGGACCTGAAGCCGGCCAACTTCCTCCTCGTGCAGGGGCGGCTGAAGCTGATCGACTTTGGCATCGCCAACGCTATCCAGGACAACACAGTCAACGTGCACCGCGAGCAGCAAGTGGGGACCCCCAACTACATGTCGCCCGAGGCGCTCGTCGACTCGAACGCGTCACTGGGGCTGCCGTCGAGCGTGGGGAAGGTCATGAAGCTGGGCAAGCCCAGCGACGTGTGGAGTCTCGGCTGCATCCTGTACAAGATGGTGTACGGACAGCCGCCGTTCGCCAAGATCGCCAAATACTACGAGCGCATTCTGGCCATCCCCAACCCGCACGTGAAGATCGACTTCCCGGCGTTCGGCGTGGGCGGCGTGGCAGTGCCGCCGGGGCTGCAGCGGACGCTGAAAGCGTGCCTGCAGCGCGACCAGACGCTCCGACCGACGACACAGGAGCTGCTGGGCTCGCGGGACGCCTTCCTGTACCCGGACGCGCAGCTCGAGGGCGCGGTGCCCGTGACGCAGGAGATGCTTAACCGGATCCTGGTCAACGTGGTCAACCACTGCCGGGTGCGCGGGGTGCCGCGTGATGAAGAGCTGGCCGCATGGCCGGCGGGGTTCTTCGCCAAAATCAAGGCTGCTTTGGAGGAGAACGCATGATTGACCTGACTTGAATATTTTCTTTTGTTGATTACTGTCGGCGTTGCCCACTGAGCGTCTTTCATTTGTTCTATACCATTGAGCGGGATGCATTGCATGTTGGGATAGGAGTTGGATATGTGGGATTTACTGTACAACGAGCAATCAACCATGTTCGCTATTCTTTAATTAAGTTTTGTATTCGTATGTATTTCGTCATGAAGAGTATGTTCGGTATGACTATAGAGGCCGTCAACAATCGTAGTGTATATTCTGCCGTATTATACACACCGCCCACATGACCACCGGATTTTCTCCCGACAATTTCTCCATCCAGACCATCCGATCCTACGACCAACCTCTTCCGACGAACCTCTCTCTCCACGCGACCGGAAAAGAAACAATCAGAGAGAGAAACAGGCCACCGCAGGTCCCACCCACAACAATGTTCAGCCGCAGCGCCCTGGCGCGATCTCTCGCCGTCTCCGAGCAGCTCTGCACCCGCCCCAGCGTCACCCGCATCCAAGCTTCATCATCACCTCTCCGCAGCGCAGCAGCATCCTTCCACCAAAAGAGCTACGCCGCACAACAAGCAACGCAAACCACTCCCCCCTCCTCATCCGCCTCCTCCTCCGCACCCTTCACTCCTCCCACCACATCCACCACCTCGACAACATCAACAACACAAACAACACAACAAACCAAAATCCCACCACCCCCCCAATTCACCACGCCCCTCAAAGCAAGCGAATCCCTCCTGGAAACCCTCCCGCACCTCGCCGCGCAGCGCCCGCACTTCCTCACAGCGCTCATCCACGACCGACCCTACCTAATCACGGAAGGCGACTCCGTGCGTCTCCCGTTCCTGATGGCCGGCGTGGAGCCCGGCGACGTGCTGCGTCTGAACCGGGCGAGCGTGCTCGGGTCGCGCGAGTTCTCGCTCAAGGGCGCGCCCTTCGTCGACGAGAGACTGTTTGAGTGTCGCGTGCGCGTCATGGGCGTCGACGCTGAGCCGCTCCGCATTAAGGAGAAGACGAAGCGGAGGAATCGCCATGTGCAGCGTGTTACTAGCAAGCATCGGTATACTTTGCTTCGTGTGATGGAGGTTAGGGTTAAGGGGGTGGAGGAGTTGAGGGAGGAGGGGGTGGATGTTGTTAAGGAATAGTTGTTTGACTTTGGTTGGTATTGTTGAACGAGTTGCTTTTACTTTTTATTGGTTGATTTTCTGTTTCTTTTTGTCTGTTGCTGTGTCGTGTCTGATATCTGTTTTCGGGGATTTAGGATTGATGTGTGGTTGGGAGGGAAGAAAGAATCTAGGTGGATTGTACAGATAGACTGTGTATTCTAGGATAAAGTGTTATATGATTTTCTTTTGTTACTCGCATCCATGTATCCCTCTCTCAATTAAGTCGCTCACCCACAGCGACCACCATCTAATCCATGAAACCACATGATCAAAAACAAACTAGTCTAAGAATTAAGAATATCGGCAGCGATCTTCTCAGCCAGCGCATAAACAACAGACTGGGGATGGCCCGGCGTCAAAAACGGAAAGCTAGAGGCATCGACGACCCTCAACCGGCGCAGACCAAACACCCTCGCACGAGTATCCACGACAGCCATCCCATCCGCCGCGCGACCCATCTTGCACGTTCCCGCCGGATGGAAGATCGTACCCATCGAACCGGCTATAAAGGCAGCGATCTCGTCGGCGCCGTCCCCGACGTCTCGACCGGGGTAGGTCTCGTTGCAGTCGGCGACGCCCATCTCGACGAGCAAGTTCCAGATGTGGCGGACGCGGCGGAAGGCCTGGACGGCGAGGTCCTTGTCGACGGGGTGGGTCAGCCACTGGGGGTCGATGAGGGGTGGATCACGCATGTCCGCGGTGCGGAGGGAGACGGTGCCGCGGGAGAAGGGGGCGACGAGGCCGGCGGAGATGGTGCCGTAGTTGTGGCCGTCGAGGGGGTCGGTGCCCTTGACGAAGCTGTCGCCAACGTAGGCGTTGATTGCGAGCCACTCGAGCTCCGGCCAGTCGGCGGGTATGAGATGGTCAAGGGCGCGGCGCGTGGAGGCAGAGAGGTGGGCCCGGAGGGACGGGGGCAACTTCTCCCAGCCGTAATAGCCGGGGACGGCGAGGGAGAGAGGGCCGGTGGCGCAGCAGTTCCAGAGATGTTCGTTGTGCGCGGCGAGGGAGGCGTTGTTGGCGGCGGCGGATGCAGTGAGCACGTTGACGCGGCGGGAGGCGCCGAACAGGACGTGATCTTGTAGGTTTTGGCCGACGCCAGGGAGGTGGTGCGTGCAGGGGACGTTGACGCCGGCGAGGTCGGCGCAGGGCCCGACGCCGGATGCGAGGAGGAGTTGCGGGGACTGCACGGCCCCGGCGGAGAGGATGACTTCCTTCCTGGCGTGCAGGGTAAATTCGAGTGGTGGGGTGCCAAAGGTGCCTGCGGTGGTGACCTGGACGCCGGTAGCGGTCTTGTGCTCGAAGAGGATGCGCAGGGCGAGAGTCGACGGGTAGATAGTGAGGACTGAGGAGGTCGCCGGATCTGACAGGGCTGCGCGGAGGAAGCTGGATTCCGACGAGGAGCGGTGGGCGTTGCGCGGGTCGATGGTCGACGGGGCCCAGCTGGAGCCGAGGAGATCCCCGGAGTTGAAGCCGGCGATCTGCGGCATGCCCGCCGCGATGTAGGCATGGCGAACCCAGGTGGCGAAGGCGTCGACGACGGGGCCGAAGGAGATCTGGAGAGGTCCTCCGGCAGCGCTGAAGGCGTCGGGGGATTCGAGATTGGTGGAATTGTGGTACAGAGCGTCGTTCGGCGGCGTGTAGTGCCCGGAGCGCTGGAAGAAGGGCATCATGTTGTCAAATAGATAGCTGTTGTCGCCGACTTCCTCCGCCCAACGCTGCATGGCTCCCGCGGAGGGTCGATGATACGTCATGTAGTTGCGTGCGGAGGTGCCGCCCAGTGTCTTACCGCGGGGATAGTGGATGCGGCGGTTGGCCGCCCCCGGCTGCGGGGTGGTCTGGAAACCCCAGTCGATGTGAGGATTGGTATCTCCCGGATCGCTGCCCGTGTAGAGCGCACAGTACGCCGGGACGATGGATCGATTACCGTTGCCGACTTCGTAGAAACCGCCGGCTTCGACGACCGCGACGCGGAGAGAGGGGTTCCCCTGCGCCAACCGCGTGGCCACCGTGAGACCAGCGGTGCCGCCGCCAACAATCACATAATCGAAGGTTGCATTGGCGGGAGGGCCAAAGGAGGAGCTGGGGAGGGTGATGTCTGGGCCGGGGTTTGAGGGCCCAAAATGCGATGCAGACGCAAACGCAGCCAGCTGTAGCCCTAGTGCCAAATTGAACAGGCGCATCGTAGTGAATCTACCGTCGCTGTGCAGATGAGAATGAGAAGAGGGGTGAGACCTCAATTAAATACGCCCGCTGGCTGGAACGGAGGGACCGGAATTCCACTCGGAGTGTCAGCATTCCTGCTGGTTGTCAATAGTGCGACGCATGAAGCTGCAGAAGGCGCAACTCTAGCGCCAATGAGCGCAATGTTCTCAAAACAAATCGGATTATTCTGGAACGGCAAGTTCGATGTCATCCCACTGCATCATGCTTGATCGACTTTCCGATGGCCAGGAGCGATTGGCAGTCATATCAACCGAGCTACCGGGTTGCAAACGATTCCTGCTGATTGGCGTCGATGACGATCCAGTGTGTGTCGAATCAATAACGTTGCCATATAGCCGACGAAATAGTGGGCGCAATGTTGGCAGGCAGGCACAGACGATCCCGACCGACTGTTCTATCTGGGACCAATTGGACGACGGAACGGTCGCGAACGTGGGATCCCTTCCCGTGTGGTACACGAAACTGACGATGCGGAGGATAGAGACAACGCAAACACTGGGAATGTCAGTACCCATGTTTTCTTATTCGCACGATAAAGTCACGTAGAACAGGGAAACGAGAAAAAAAGAATCATACAATCCCCCGAGCGCAAACATGCTCATCAAGATCACCTTCTGTCGCCGCGTTGTGTGTATGCGCCAAAGCATTGGGAACGGCAGACAGAGCATCAGTACGTCCAAGCACATATTGATGATGGCGTTAGTCCGCGTAAAGGGTGGACCATTGTGACATTGTCCGGTTTGGACCAAATCCCAAAAGGCGGAGAAGGGTCGACAACCGGCCAGAGTGACGATCACGCAGGAGACCCAAAATGCGGCGACTAGGGAGCCGGCGGCGATCAGGACCCAGCGGAAACGGGTAACGACACCGAAGATGCGGGCGTAGAGAAGGAGAATGGAGGCTTTGGTGATGCTGGTGTTTGTGAGGTAGAGGATCTGGACTGGCATGAAGACCTAGCCATTCCTAAGAGTTAGAGGAAATCGTAGTATGGGAGGATAGATATGCAGTAGGAAAATACCTTCAAATATCCAACCACCTTGGCCTCCGAAATCTGATCCGCATGGTGCCCGAGGCCAAAGTAGATGATCTGGATCCATCGCAGGATGGCCGTAATCCAGTTGACGACCTGCTATCGTCAGTGCTCAAAACAACATCGCATCGATCTCCACAAGGCGTATATCTACCAGTGCTATCATGATGGTATAGTCATCCCAACCGTAACCCACGTGGGACACCCTTCGCGCCGTCCAGCGCAAGACGACGGCTATCGTGGCGGCTGCGACAGTGATGGTTGTGCCAATCCACAGTTCATACGCGATGTTCTCGTCATCATTATGCGTTATCGCCATGGGGGTTCATTGTCGCTGTATCAGCCTCCAGCTCGGTTGGATCTCGATCGACGTTGTTGGCTGGAGTTGAGCTCATCGGTCCGCCACCAGCCGAAGTGATAGAGTTGAGATGATCCATGGTTCAAGACGGGAATGCCGATGTAGCAATAGGGTGGGATAAGTGGAGACTTATCCGCGTGGGCCGTTTGCGGATGTATGACATACTACGTACATAGATGGATGTATATCAGATCTCTATCCAGACTGAAGAGATTCAGATCAAGAGGGTCACCTGACAGCCCGGCCGTCAGGTTCTTTCACTTCTTCCATTTCTTGCTTCTAGTCTATCGATTCGATCATTCATGACGTTTCCCCTTTGGATCCAAATTGATTTTTCCAACCCCTCGAGAACTGAGACAAGAATGTAAACTCTTGTTCTTCAATGATAAGATGGGTCTATCTCTGGTTGCTGATCTTACGTGCGCAGGCTATGCAAGTCAGCTGCAAAGCATGATGCATGAGATAGTTATCAATTAACTAACTAATTAAACGGTCTTTTTAGTCAGCTGGGACAAGATGATGAACAGGAGACAAGAACAGAATCATTTCGTTATCAGCTGTCAGCATTCTTCAAGCCTGCCGAGCCAATATAGGAATTTTCTCGGCCAGGCCACTCGATATCGAGCTTTGGCTTCTCCTTGGCTTCCAACCCACTCCTGATCAGGCCTCCTAGTGGCTCTAGCTGAGGTGACTAAAGTCGGGCGCTTGGACGCTGTTGGCCATCCTTCGTCCATAATTTGGACGGCCGAGAAGGTGCCTATTGGTGGAGTCCAGTCTCCCTTGCTGATCAATATCCCTTTCGGGTCGTGATTCTTGGAAAAAAAAACCCCCGCCCCTGTCTTAACCGTGGCGGAGCGCTAGTTCTCATCACAGCGTTAAACGAGCTGTGGTGGCACGAGGAGAGAAGATGGGGGCAAAAAATCATCACTCAGATAGGGATTGACGAGGATGAAGAAGGGAAGGAGCGGGAAGAAGAAGAAGATACTGCGATGGAGAAGATACAGGCAGGCTCTTAGGGCAGGGAATCTGGAGTTTAGGCTGGTCTCCACTGGTCCCGGCTCTCTCCCGGCGAGATGGGGTTCATGACGGCGATCGAGCGAAGACACCTTGATGCTCTTGTGCCACAGTGCCACTACTGTCTTTGCTCAGATTGGGGAAGAAAAGTGGGATGACTGTCTCAGCATTTCCCACATCATCCTCCCGCCCCCGAATATGCCCACCCATTCTAATAAATCAATGGACGAACCAACCGATTTGAATGGCTTCCCTATGTCCAGCGGTCGCATCAAGGAAAAAGGAACAAAAATATATGAGATGAGATCGCAGAAGCGCCCTGCGATGATGGATTTTCCTGAAATTCAATCTATTGATGACCAACGAGGGAAGACGCATCTCCTGAAGTATCTAACCTTCTTCAGCCTAGAAAGATGGCCGAACGGGTTCGCTTCCTGCAAGGCTATCCCTCCCCCAATCCATACCGTCCAGCCATGCTCTGCTAGATTGCCAAGATCACTGGTCTGAATTTCTGACTGTGAAGTTCTCCCCTCTTTCTCCATCTCCATCTCAACTTGCATTTTGGCGGTTACCGGCCCTCTTCCCTCCTGATCTATCTCCAGAATCGAAGCACGAACCCTTTAGTTATTGATTTAAATTACATGTCACCATTGATCAGACAACAATAACCGCAGAATAAAGAGGAACGAGACGAAGAAATGGAAGACTCCCTGGAGAGCCCCTACGGCTTCGCCCTCCGTCGCAGCGGAGGCTGTCTCGACGATGAAGTCGACTGCGGCGAAACCTGGAAACCTTTCCACACCTGCTGTCCCGGGAGGACCTTCTGTCCCCCTAACCAGAAGAACGTCAAATGTTGCCCCTCCAATGCCGACTGTCTGCAGCTGATCGAAGGCGACCCGCACTGCGGCAACGGCACTGCCAACATGTACGACGCCAAAGTGGACGACGAGCATGGGTATTTCTGCTGCGATCCGGCCGAAAAGGGCTTCATGCGCCCGAATACCTTCGTTGGATGTACCGCCGACATCGCAGATTTGGGCGCCTCCACCTCTCTAATGTCGATTGTGTCCAAGGGAATGAGTATGTTCTTCTCCTCTTTCGATTTTGACTACGTATAATCAAAATCCTGATTGAAATGGCAGCAACCCCAACCCCAACCCCAACCCCCTCCTCGAAACCAGCTCCCGCCCCCTCAGCCACAGAAACCTCCGACCATTCCAGCCCCGCCAGTTCCGACCTCGTCACGGAGGGCACCGACCAACCCACCGGTACGAACGTTGGCGCGATCGCAGGCGGCGTCGTGGGCGGCGTTGCCGGCCTGGCCCTCATCATCGCACTCCTCTGGTTCCTGCTGCGTCGCCGAAAACAACAACAGTCACAGCAACAGCAGCCACCGTCAGTGAACCCGGTACCCAGACATGAGTTGCCGGCTTCACCTCGGGTGGAGATGGCCGTCGACCCCAGTGCGGTGGGGTTCTTTGGGAAGAGGGCTCCGGCAGAGCTGGATCCAGAGCCAAGGGCTCAACAGTTGGTACATGAGTTGCCCGCAGGTGGATCGGGGGGTAAGGACATGCCGTCCTATCGATGAGGGTGAGCAACTGTACAGGTTGGAGTGTATTTGATGGGTATATCTTTTATTATTATTCAAGATCCTATGTCGTTGCATTTTGTAATTTAAGCGACAGTGCTGGGGTTTATCTTACTTAATATCATCTTGTTTGTGATAACGTCATTCCAATTTAATGCATCGAAGCATTTGGTCATCTATCATCGATCTAGCGGACAAAACAAACAGATATCACCACTAGACCATAACGTCATTTTTTGGCCACGACAGTCTCACCGAGCTGCCATTGGATTATTCCAGATGACATACGGCAATGATACCAAGCCGTATATACTCACATAACCCAGAGATGATCGCAGCTATAGTAGTACATGATGTCAGATCAACGCTGTGTCACACCAACTCGAGCTACTCGTGCTTCCACTTTCTGCGTCCGGTGCTGGCATCCCCAGAAGAACGTCCCCTCTTGACCCAGTAGTGCTGCTCAGAAAGCCCCATCCTCCCAAGGTATGATCTAACTCCCCGCCATAGCGGCCGCTAAGAACACCGATACTAGGCATGGATGCTGGAAGCTGAATGAGTCTTCTAGGGAGCTCATTGCAGAGAGAGAGAGTCCGTGACGCCTGTCTCCAGTCCCCGAATGGCATCCCCGAGTTTTGAGTAAAGGAGATATGTAACCTGCCGGAATAGAGATGTTTATCAAAAATTCCATATAGAGACGGTTAAATTTGCACTCACTTTTCTGCAGATCCGCAACAATATCTATGGGCTACCGTAGTACTCGTAGATCTCCGAGCGACTGGGATGCTGCAAGGATGCAAATGTCAACTTTGTGGATCTACGTTTTCGCCATAGAAAACTGCGTAATACCCAAGGACCGACAGTCAAAGCCAAGGAAAAAAATGAAATTAATAAAACCTTGGAAGGCTGTTCATATTGGCGTCACGATTGCATTCCCGAACTTGTAGCATGGTAATGAAGAGATAGGAAAAGCTTCGAAGAGGAGAGCCTCAACATTTAATGCCTGGCACAGTGGGACAAGCTGCTAATACTTTTCTACAAGTGCAGTGGTCTGTTTATATCTATGTACTGAAGATCATCGCAGAATCTGCATGACCTTCTGGCAGTGGATCAAAACAATGAAGCTGTAGATATCACTTAGGGCTGAACACAATCAGGCATCTGCAGGCACCCACTGTGACTTACCAGATTAGTCTTAGTCATCTGCCAAGACCTGCATGAGGTTGTCATAGAGCTGCGTTCTGCAGTTTTTCCATCGGATCGCTCTAATAATCAGCTAGTTTAATCATGTCCCAATTGCTCACCAATGGCTTGTGAAGAGCGTGCAAAGCCATCCTTTGGTATGGATCAAGCACAGCCATTGGGGACCACCAGGTTGCGTGCCTCTCGTCGAAGACCCCGTGCATCGCGTGCCTGCGAAACTTGCCGAGTGCGTAAAACCAAGGTAGGCGCTTCAATCATCTGTGTGGGTCTTGTTTGAGACCTGTTTGTCTCTTGATCTGATTATTTGGCCAATGGCGCTGTATATGCTGTACGATGGCTGATTTTCATAGTGTGACCAAGCCCAACCATGTTCCTATTGCGACTGTAGAGCTCCCCTACCGTAAACTAGACTGAGTCAGGACAGAGACAGTAGTGCTGATGACTATTAGACCATTCTTTGGACTGCTTTTATCGTGAGATCGGTTCAAATGACCGCCCATTGAAGCGACATGCCCAGGTCAAGGATGTCCAAAGGTATGTTTGTCGCCTTGATACTCGTTTCTCAACTAACAACCCTAGAAAGAGAAGTCGGCCCTCGCCATGGCCAGAGGCGGATGTCAGTCATGCGCCCGACAGCGTTCAAAGAAGAGAAACCCAAGATCAGGTCACTGGTTCTCCACCCATGGTGACTCCTATACCCGATCCTAGCAATATCGGGGGGGAGACTCCCGAGCTGGGCGACAATGCCTCGCGCGACGGTCTAAGCGGCGTAAACCTGCACACCAGTGGCACCGAATTCTACGGCAACTCTTCGAATCTGGCTTTTCTAGGAAACTTGTATGCGCGAGCCCGTCACCAAGCGGACAGTGAAGTACCACATGTGGCTGATCTGCCGTATCCCCCCGCCGAGACCACTCAGGCAGACATCGCCACTCCCACTGGGCAGCCTGACAAGCAGTCAGACGGCGGGCTTTCCAAATCCCAGCTTTCTATTGTCAACCTTCTCTACAATCCGAGTTATCCGAGTCACCTCCCGCCGCAAGTCAGCGGGAAGCTCGACGGAGATCGTGGGAGAGATTCGCAGCTTGGTGCCGGGGCCTTGCCACGGAGCCACGTCGGTATGTCCTTACCAGTCAGTTTTTCGATGTATGTCTCATAGACTGATGATGAGTTTAGTTCGTGATGCTACGCCGTCAGTTGAGGAGCTCACCTTAGAAGCGCAGCTAGAGATCGAAAAGATCTTCATCAGCAGCTATTTCTCCAACAAACACTACGTCCACCCCATGCTTAATAAAAATGATTTCATGCAGCGCTGTGAGCATGAGGCTTTCGTCTTGTCTCACCGATCCAGATTTGCCCGGGGCATGTCTAGGTTCGCTGGCCTCTATTTTGCTGTGGTGGCGGTGGGCGCTATTAATGCAAGCCCTAACGAGACGTCTCTACTAGAGCATTACTCCACGACTGCAGATAGTGGCTCTGGGGGGACAAGTACCGAACAACCGTCGGCGTTGGATTTTGCAAATCATTACTTCAAGATAGCCAAGCAGGCTCTTGGTGATTTGTTTGAGGGGGGATGTCTAGAGAGTGTGCAGGCACTCTCGCTACTGGTAAGATCTTGCCATGTGGATGGAAACAAATTATTCTGATGATAGATAGGGCGTGTACTGTCAGAATGCCCTGCGGCCACACAGCTGTTTCATGTACAGCGGCATGGCCGCGAGGACGGCTGTGGCAATTGGACTCACATCCGGTATGTCGTCTCTTTCTTCGAGTATGCGGAGAGAAGGTCGACGAACGTGGTGGTGAGTATGCCGACCCTTTACCTATAACAAATCTCTAATGTTAGATAGGTGTCTCTACTCTCATGAAATGTGCGTTCCTTGGCCAGGTCCACCAAGTAACACGCTAACACTGCGCAGAGAGATGTGTTGCTCTTCCGGGCGCCTTGACAGCATGAAGGACCTCCAGTATTACCAAGTTCCACTGCCAACAATCAAAGTATGACTGTACACCACGTATTGCCTATCGACTCACTAACCTGAGTAATAACAGGGCACCCCCGACAGCCAGTCCGATCCCGACGCGGAGGACCAAGACGTAGCTATAATCCCCGTCATGGCAGCCCTAGCTCACATCATGTCCGAAGCATCGCATCAGCTCTACCATTCTTCCAAGATTTCGACGGACGAGAAGTCCCAGATTGCGCTAGAATTGGACCGCAGGCTGCTAGGGTGGAAGGCCAAGATCCCGCCGTTTTTAGACATCGACATCGTGGCTCTGAATGACCCCGAGTGGGCCTTCAAGCAGAAACTGGTTCTAAAGCTGCGTAAGTTAGACATGCTGATCTCGACGACACCTACTCACGCATTCGCAGGATTCTACAACACCCGCATATTGATCCACCGTCCCTTTCTGGCGGGTGCAACCGCCAACACCGAGTCGCCCGCGCTTCACCAGCATTTGCACCCTTGCCTAGAAGCCGCACGTAACAGCATCCAGGTGCAGTACGAATCGTTTGTGCACCGGATGTACTTTCGAACATGGTACGTTCAGACTCACCGAGCTTTTGCAGGCTACTCCAGATGATTAATACAAACTCGAAGGTGGTACAACACCACCTACGCTTTATATGGCGCCATGATCCTTTTGCACATCGTGCTGTCAGGCTTTCCAGGTATCGACGACGACGCACTCCTCCAGGAGGTGGACAAAGCCGTCGAGATCTTCGAGTCGATGAAGAATATTCTCGTGGCGCGCCGCTGCGCCGAGATGATCCGCGAGGTGTCGGACGTGGCGCGGGCGTGTCTGGCCCGCCGGGGGGCGCTCGTCCCGCCCGCACAGCCTGCGTTCGGACTCCAGCCTGATGTGACGGCTGTTCACGATGATATTGGACAGGATGAGTTCTTTTACTCTTTGTTCAACCAGGACGCGCAGGCTGACACGCGTGCGGAGATGCTGGCGAATCTGGTGGATCCGACAATCCTGGAGGATTTTGCGTTTGGGGACTTTTCCTTCATGGGATAGGTATTCTGCTGCTTGTTGCTAAGTGTATACTCAGTTGATGATGAGGGAGGAGGTTGCACTGATATAGTGATGAGTGGAGACTGAGCCACTGCTCTGTTGCGTTTCCTGACAGACTTTGGGGATGAGATCCATTGTTGAGAGGTGTGACAGAAGTGGCCTGACTGACAGGGCAATGACAGTCCCATGTCACCCACCTTCTTTCCTTTCACCTCAGGCACCTTTCCCTTCCTCCTTCTTCAGGCATCTCCCATCTCCTTCCGCCTCAGGCCTCCCTCAACCTCAGGCACCCTCAGCCCCCTCCCACCTCAGGCCAACTTCCCTCCCTCAACCTCAGGCCAAACCGAGCAAAAAAAAGCTCCCTTATACCCCCCTATCAAGTCTAATATCTCGCCCAGAGAACCCGATGGTCGAGTGGTCAAACACTGAGCTATCGGACTCCATCCCACGGAAGAAACGCCCAGATTTGGCTTAAACTAGTCCTGCCCGTCCCTTGTGGGCGCTGTGCATGGGGACGGCCTTCGTTCGAATCCCGGATGGGATATCGAGGCTTTTCGCTGTTTCAAGTCATCCTATGGCGCGACCCCCTGACCGTTTGGCAGGGGCGGGAGGGGGGATATGGCCTGCATCCCCGCCTCGCTACTAATCGCCGATGACCATGTGGGATGGAGGACGCGAACAAGTCTGGCAGTGGGCCTTTTTTTTTTTTTCATTATCTTTCTTTCTTGGTTTTGCTTTCTTGAGGCTGTACGTGTCTACTATTGGGGGTGGTGGTCGTGTTGGTGTGGTGGTGAGGTTTGTACTGACTGCCTACCTGGTGTCTATCTCTTGTTCTTTAACACTGCTTCATGATGCCATTTTTCTTGTTCATAGCATGATATACTCCTAAGGTCTATAGATAGCTGCGAGTATGCATTATGATGCTACTCCTATCATCTCATACCGTGGTCCATCGCCTCTATTCCAACAGGGTGGTCAGAGTAGTCCCTCATCCCGAATAGGAAACACCTCTGCAACAGGCAAGTGAATACTACCACTACTATTACCCACCTGCCACTGACCTCCTGAAGTCATTTCCTCATAGTGAACATCTCATCTTGATCAAAAATTGGTGTTCTATCTCCACTTGCTCACCTACCTTTTGTGGTGTTCTTCCGCAACCACACCACACCTGTTGTATTGAAGCTATACACATTACTTTTCTACCATTTAGTATAATTGTATTGATAACATTTTACTAAATAGATTAATTCATGCAACCATACTTATTTAATTATATGAATTACTTATCAGTTATCTCGCTCAATTTGAATCACAAATCATACTTGATAGTCCCAATAAGCTACATGCCAAGCATCGATCCTTCGGTCCGGCGGCTCCACCCGGTTGGTCCATCTCGGAACAAAATATATATATAGAAGTAATCCATGCCTTATATTCCATATACCATAGCATACTCAGTAAAACCTACACCATCGCTAATAATAAACACAGTCTTAAAGAATACACCCCACCATCATATATCATATCCTCCGACAAACCAACCAGCAGCGGCCACCCAAACCATCACCCACCGGAGAACAAACCACCGCTCCCGCTTGACCGCCGCACTCGTCCCCAGATACTCCGACCCCCGAGATGTGTTCGAGCTCGAATCCGAATTCGCAAAGATGCTGGTGCGCTCCCCCACTGACCCGTCCTGCACCCGCACCCAGGTGTCCAGTCGCGGGGGTCCCTCCTCCTGCAGCAGCAGCTCGATCTGCCGTCCGCCGCGCGCCCACGCGCCGTACCCACCGTAGCCGGTTCTCCGACCGTAGCACATGTGTAGGCCGTTTCCGGTGAGGTTCATGTAGGGGAGTTGGCTGTCCCATCGGAAGCACCTGCGTCGCATTAGTATTCATTTACAAAAGAAGGAAGGGGAAGGAGGAGAATACCAATCATTCCCGTGGTCATGTCCACTAAACGTCGCGATCAACCCATCCGTATCCAGCAGCGCCTCCATAAACGCATAGTCTTGCTCGCGGTAATCCTGCACCCCCGGCATATACCCCTGCTGCTTGACGATGTCGTGGTTGAGGCCAGGCGCGGCGGGCCCCGCGACGCTGGCCTCCTGGAAGGCGCGCATCGCATAGGTCGGAATGTGGAAGAAGGCTAGGGATGGGACGGTGCGGTTGTATTTCTCCTGGAGGGACTTGCGGGTTTTTGTGAACCAGTGGACGACCTTATCGCTTGTTCGTTAGATTCATTTCATATACCAGATACGTGGATCCTCGTCCTTAAGGGAGAATTACCGAGTCGTCTACCCAATTTGGCCGCCGACTGCCCGGGCGCTCTGCCTCCTCACATGTCTGTCCCCCCCGCGAGTCAAAAAACCAGAGAATGAGCTCGGGCGCGAGGTCGGAGGAGGAGCTGTTGTTGTTGTCGTCCTGGGACGACCACACGGGGAGGTAATAATTGGTGATCCCAGCGTCCGGGTCGTCGACCATCTTCCGCGTCAGGCTGGCGTGCGGGTAGTTGGTGGTCTCCCGCTCGAGGAGATCATCGGGACAAAGGCCCCGGTCGCTCTCATGATTACCGTAGACGGAGGCCCAGCGTACATGGCGATCGGTTAGCGGAGCGACAAGGCTGTCGATGTACAGGGTGGAGTTGGAGGGTCCGGATTTTGAGCGACCGGTGATGAGGTCACCGTTCAGGACGGCTAGCTGGGGGTTCTCGGCGGAGAGGATCTGCGCCATGGTATCGGCTGTATGGGCGTCGTGGGGAGGCCCCACGGTGTTTGTTGCTGTACATTTTCATTCAGATTAGAGATGTTTTCGACATTTTAGCGGGAGGGGAGGATTGTCAATTACATTCTCCATAGTGGAGGTCGGAGAAGAGCGAGATTTTGAATGAGCCTTCCGGGGTGAACCGCAGAGCATTGGTGACATTGGGGGCATTAGATAGAGCCATTGATTCCACATGACACTGCCGATCGCAGTTTTTCATCCGATCCAGAGAGACATGATGGTTGAAGAGGGAATCCAGGAGGTGCGAGGCTGGTAAATCTCTGGAGGCTGAGTGAGTTACATCATGCCTGACTAGAGGGGAAACTGCCTAGCGGTGTTACACCGGTCAACAACGCCAGGACCAATTCCTTGATGTTTTTGCCCGGCGTGAAAGACGTCGTCGGAAATGAAATTCCTGCAGATACCCTAATGCTTGTTCCATCAGGTTCCTGGGCTTCTTGTCTGTGAGACTTTCTTTGTTTCGATGCGCACTGTCCATTTGCAGTGATCTCTAGTTGCATCGTGGTGGGTCTATGGCCTATGGCAGGAATGCGACCACATTCATCCCGACAGAGAGGAAAAGCATATATATAAACGTACGCGTCAATTGCACGCAATTGACTAATGTATTCTTTGTACTGGGATAGATGTAGAAAGTTATACGGGATAATTCCGGCAAAGCGTGACGGTCACCTGACCGGCAGGGATTCCTTTCAGGCATCAACGGGACTTCCAAACCTTCTTCTCTACGCATTCTCTCACCTTCATCCTTTGACTACTCTGATCAATCTCCTCCCTGTTTCGTCATTTCGTGGATTTCCCCGCATCATGGATATAGGAGATACCTCCTCTTTTCCCGACCTGCTCCACATCGCTGAGCTCCGGGGCCGCGGTCCAGGAGATGGTCGGAGATCCCCCCATCATGGCACGAACTGAGGGGGCATCGTGGACAGTTCCTTGTGACAGCCATCGGACGTCTCCGTTGGCGTCTGTCAGACTCTGGGGTAAACAAGGCGTCTGGCGCAGAGACCGGTCCTTCTAGTTCCTCCACCGTCTGCGCCAAGTTCCAACCCCCGCCAATCCCCCGGACAGGATCGAAATCTGGAGCAATATGTCTCCATCGCTCCAATCCTGTCGCTCAGTCTGCACGCTCGAACTAGAACGACCAAGACGTCCCGGTGCTATCCAACAGTGGAAGAGACAGGATGAGACAGGCCAAGACGTGCCGAATGCCGGCCGGGTCCGACAAAACCTTCACCGGTGGAGAGGCTAGAAGGCAAAAAAAGCGGGGATCCATCGTTCCAGTACAGCAGACTGTAGATCGTCTCCAACTCCCTCGTCGTCTGGGATCCACGGTGGACGCCGATTACCGAAACAGATTAGGGTAACACCCTACGTTATAATCGTCCGGGTCGCATGGAGCAAAGTCGGCGTGAAGAAAGATAAATTATCACCGGAATTAGGTTATCTCATTACCTACTTGCCTGGACCGGGTCGGCGGGTCCGTTGAACCACTGTTTCTATCAATCACCTCGGTTAGGGTTCGCGCGGTGGCCAACATAGTCAGATTTTGTTTCTTGGCATTTCCTTCCGGGTGCTTAATTTTTCCCTTTTCTTTTGGGAAGTGGAGAGCTCTTCTTTTCCTTTCTGACACTTCCCCTTTGTCACGTCACGCTCGACAAAGACCGTAGTGCTCAATTCAATATGGGACTTCAGCCCTATCTCGGTCTTCGGGGAAATGCCCTCCTGCGAGCGGCGGTCTGGCTGGTCGTGTGCCCGGCCTTTACCTGCTATGGGTACAACATGAGCGTCGTCGGTGGTATCTTGACCCTCGACTCGTTCAGCCAGCAATTCCCGCAGATGGACACCATCAATGCGTCGAAATCCGAGGAGAAGCTCCGGTCGCAGATCCAAGGTTAGTATTCGTCAATACACACCTTTGGGAGAGGCCGAAGGGGGAAAGGGAAAAGGGGAAAGGGTGAAAGCATGATTCTGACGTGTTTTAAGGAACCGTCGTCGCCCTGTACACCGTCGGAGGTATCTTCGGCGCGCTCTCGTGCATATACCTCGGTGACCGCTGGGGTCGACGGAAGGTCATCTTCATCACCAACGTGGTGGCCATCATCGGCGCCATCCTCATGGCCACCTCCTTCAAGATGTCGCAGTTCATCGTCGCCCGACTGGTGCTCGGACTCGGCACGGGTGGATACGTCGCAACTGTGCCCGTCTGGCAGTCGGAGATCTCGCCGGCGCACAAGCGCGGCTCGAACGTGGTCACGGACGGTATCTTCATCGGCGTCGGCGTCAGCGGTGCCCTGTGGATCGATCTCGGCTTCTACTTCATCACGGGCAATTCCGTCTCGTGGCGGTTCCCGCTCGCCTTCCCGATCCTGTTCTCGGTCATGGTGGCGGTTTTCATCACCATGCTGCCCGAATCCCCGCGCTGGCTCCTCAAACAGGGCCGCACAGACGAGGCCCGCCAGATCCTGGCCGCCCTGCAGGACGAGCCCGAGCACTCGGCCATCATCAACGGCGCCATCCACGACATCGAGGTCTCCCTGACCCAGGCCACCGGCAGCTGGCGCGACATGTTCACCATGGGCGAGCAGCGGCTCTTCCACCGCGCCTACCTGGCGGCCACGGGCCAAATGTTCCAGCAGATGTGCGGTGTCAACCTCATCACCTTTTACGCCACGACCATCTTCCAGCAGTACCTGGGCATGGACCCGATGCGGGCCCGCATCCTGGCCGCGGGCATGACCCTGACGCAGCCCTTCGGCGGGCTCTTCGCCTTCTTCACGATCGACCGCATGGGCCGCCGCCCCCTCATGCTGGTCAGCGCCGCCGCCATGGCAGTCTCGATGGCCATCCTGGCCGGCACCACCTCCGCGGAGAACAACACCGGCGCGCTCGTGGTGGCCGTCATCTTCCTCTACGTCTTCCAGTTCATCTTCACCGTCGGGTACTCAGGCCTCACCTTCCTGTACGCGGCGGAGATGGCCCCGCTGCAGATCCGCGCGGCAGTCAACGCCGTCTCGACCGCCACCGTCTGGGCCTTCAACTTCCTGCTGGCAGAGATCACGCCCGTCGGGTTCGCCTCCATCTCCTACCGCTACTACATCATCTTCGCCGTCATCAACGCGTGCATCGTGCCCTCGGTGTACTTCTTCTTCCCTGAAACCAAGGGCCGCTCCCTGGAGGAGATCGACGAGATCTTCACGCGGTCCAAGAGCATCTTCGACCCGGTGCGCGTCGCGCGCTCCATGCCCAAGATGCAAATCGGACATGTGCATGCCGAAGCGGGCGACAGCTCCAGCACTGAGGGGCCTATGGAAGGCGAGCTCAAGGAGGATGTCAAAGCCTGATGATCTCGTCTTCGTCGATTGCGCTGGAGAAGATGATGTAGTCCGATAGGATTCGGACGGGGGTTATTTTTTTTCTGTTTCTTTTATTAGTATCGTCTGGCGATGTAAATAGAGTCACGATTTCTCATCTCTTTTTATGAATATTCATTTATCAATCATCATCACATACCATCAACAAGACACTATCATACCCGCAAAGTAGAAGTAGGACAATAGTAAAACAAACAGTAGTCAGAAACCAAGAAAAAGAAACAAAAAAAAAAAAAATAAAAGAAAAGGAAAAGTCAAATCAAGAGAAGAAAAGAGCCCGCCCATCCCCGCTATCAACAACCCAAAAAACGCCCAGACACTAGCCCAACTCACCACTCTAAATCCTTTAGATAGGGGATACCGTATCCGACCAATCCGACCCTAGTCTGGAGGAATCCGTGCCAAGTGAATTGATTATACGGGATGGGCTAATCTGTGGCCAATTATGTGATGGCTATCTTGTATTGGTGTGGTGATGATAATGATAATAGTAATACTTAAGGATGGCGATGGTGATGATGACGGTACTTGATGGGTAGAGAAAGGTGTAGGACTTTATTAGTTGATATTGAGATGGGATGAGATGGTGATGGGTTGGTTGGTTGGTTGATTGATTGATGGATTAATTGATTGATGAATCGATCGATCGATAGATGAACTGATGGATGATTGACGAGGTATTTAGGATGGAGAGTGTCGAGAGGTGATGGATTGGAAAGATATGGTGGTCGGTCAGCTGACAAGACCGCGGACGAATTATTTACATACGCCAACCGTCACCACCTACTCCATACTCCTGCTCATACACACACATAGCTACTTAATACTGTATAGTAATCATAATTCATATTCTATCCGTCCGTCTATGCCTCATAATCATATATATAGACCCATCCATGCAGAACAATGTATCCACCAGGGACGCGGTGGTCATGCAATCAAGCCAGTCGGTGGATGGAACCCCGACACGGTATCCCAAATCAATTCCTTGCACGGTACGCCAGAGCTCAACAAGAAACAAACATCATCACGGCAGTCATTAAGAGAAGGGGGAAATAGGAAAAAGAGAGAGAGGGAGGAAGAGGGGGGGGGGGGGGGGAGAGGTGTAGAGGAGAGAAAGAGAGAAGTAAAGAGAGAGAGAGGGAGAGGGAGAGGGAGAGGGAGAGAGATAGAAGAGAGAGAGAGAGAGAGAGAGAGAGAGAGAGGGAAAAAGTTAAAGAGGCGCCACCTCCTGTACACTCTCATCGCTGATGGACGTCGCCGGGGACGCCAGCCCTGAAATCGATGAATGCCCCATCTCCTGGGTCGGGTCAAGTTCCAGGATCGAGTCCTCCGGCCCCGTCGTCACGCGCGGCTGGATCGTCGTGGTCGGCTTCGCCGCGCTGGTCATCAGCTCGTCGATGCCCGGCTTGTCTGGTACGTGGGGATCGAGGGTGGCGGCGTTGTCGAGGCTCTCCAGGGCGAACTCGACGAACTCGGCGTCCTTCTGGCTGACGCTGAGGGTCCACCGGTACTCGCACAGCCGCAGTCGGTAGAACTCGGCCTCCTCCTGGGTCGGGGCGGTGATGCGCAGGAGCACGCCGAAGGACCCGATCAGGGCGAAGTTGGTCCACGACGCGGCGGGCCAGAAGGACCGCAGGTGCGCGGGACGGAGCCGGTTGACAAAGTCCATGGCCGAGATGAGCCGCGTCTTGGCCGCAGAGCGGCAGATGTGGGACAGGTACGCGTCGGTGGTCTCCGGGGCGAGGGAGCGCACGATGCAGCGATGCAGGGTGATCTCGGCGGCAAAGTAGGCGAGGTGGAGGGCGCCGTTGCGCGCGGACTCCTCGGTGACGGTCTCGAAGAGCTCGCCGCTGCCGCTGTCCATCTTGAGCGGCGGGGGCAGGCGGCCAAACCAGTCCTTCAGCCGGATCTGGGCGGGCTTCGCGCGCTCCAGGATCATGCGGGTGCGGTGGGGGCCGGCGGCCTGGAACTCGTCGATGGCCTGCAGGGTGTAGAAGCGGTCAAGGATGTCGGACAGGATGGTGGTGAGGGCCACACGGTGGCTAAAGAACAGGGGCCCGTGGGCGACGGGGGCATCTTCGGGCTGGGGCACCTCGGCGGGAAAGGCGTCGGCAAAGTCCTGCTCGACGAGGTCCTTGACGGTCCAGTTGGCGGCGACGATGTGGGAGGGGCGGCCGTGGACGAGGGCGGACCACTTGTCCTGCATGTAGAGGGCCCAGGCCAGCCGCTTGCGCAGGCCCTTCTCCCAGGTGTCCATGCGCCAGGCGGAGCAGTCCTGGTGGAGGGCCAATTCGAAGCCGGCGGTGACCAGCTGGGAGTTCAGGGCGGCGGTGGCGATGGTGGACTTCTCCATCAGCAGCAGGCCGGCCTGGATGGTCGAGATGGAGGGACGGGGGAGCGACTCGACCAGGAGGGAGAGGGCGGTGCTTTCGAGGCGGCCGGCGTCGGGCCGGCGCACGGATTGCGAGGCCGGCCCCACGTTGACAAACTTCAGCGCCAGGACGTAAACGGCGGCCAACAACAAGGGAGACAGGCCGCGACGGGCGCGGTACGACTGGCGGAAGGCGTCCTCGAGGAGGATGGGGAAGGTCGGGTGGATGTTCTCGAAGAACTTGTCGACGAGGGTGGCGCCATGGGGGGCGACCAGACTCTCGACGGCATCGAGGGAGGCCAGCGGGGGGCCATCCGCGGTGGACGGAGGGTCGACGACACGCATGAAGATGCCGTCGTCACCGCACCGACGGACGCGGGAGGCGGCCACGGCGCCTTCCTGGTTGTGATCCAGCGGGACGAAATCCAACAGGGCGGGTTCCAGAGCGGTGGTGAGGCCGATGTGCTGGGTGGACTGATCCCAGAAGCCGGGGGAGATTCGGGGAGGGCCGCGGAGGGTTGGTTTGGGGGAGGGGGCGGTGGATTGCCTGTGGGAGTATTAGCCCACATGCTTCTCTACTTCATGGGGGAAGTGAGATGGTACCTCTTGGGAACACCCTCAGAAACGGAAGAAGGATCGAGTTTCCGCTTCTTGGAGGCCAAGTCGGCGGTGGCGGGACGCGGGAGGGTGAGCATGAAGGTGCAGTCCTGACGGTGGAAATCGCAGGAGTAGCATTTGTTGACCATCTCGTTCATGGCACAGCGGCTTTTGCGGCGGAGACAAGCGTCACAGCTGGGGCCATCCCGATTGGAGGGTAGGGCGAGACGGGGAAGGGAGGAGGGCGACTGCGGGGCGGGGGGAGACCGGGGGCGACACTGGGGGCGGCACTGGGGGGCGCGCTGGGGGAGACACCGGGAGGTTGATGAGGAAGGCAGGAGCGCAGACGTTGGTTATCGGAGGCGGATTGAAAAGGAGTGGCGGGCCCGGTCGTCGGGGACGATTGGAGGGTGATAACGGCGGCCATTCCGAGGGAGTGGCCAGTAGTGCAGGGTCTCTACTCTCTCAGACGGGGAGAGGACCTGTCTGGGGAGAATGTCGATCCAGCTTATCAAGGAAGATAGGACGAGATAGATATGGAGATAGGGTAGAGATAGTCAATTGGGAGAGAGAGAAGATAGATATGATATAAAAGGTGATAATGAGTAATGGACCCAATGGAATGGACAGGACGGAATGAGCAAGGATGATCGGGAGACAGAACCGGAGCAGATGCAGCCGGGGTCGATCGTCACCAATGAGAGGATTGATGGTATGTAATGGATGTGGATGATGGATTAAGGATGATCGAGAGCAGCGAGCGAGACCAGCAAGATCAGATGGCGAATGGAACGCTCCGTCATCCTACTAGAGTAATGGACGTGTAGATGGAGAGATGGAGAGATGGAGAGAGTGGAGAGAAGGATGAGAGAGAGTAGTATGAGAGAAAGAAGTATGAGAGAGAGCAGTATAGATGAGGTAAATGAAGTCCAGCGAGAAATGAAGTTGAATTTCCCACACGTAACAGATATCCTGACAGGGTTCGGACGGTTGGTTCCTGAGATAAGCCTCCCCCAGCTGATTGGGTCATGGAGGGACCATCGGGAGTATTACGTACAATCTCCATCTCTACCATCGTTCTACCTGACTGCCAGGTGTAGGTAGGTTTTTAAAACTCTCTACCTCTAGATATCTGGGGGCCTCTGCTACTCATCTTATCCCACACTGAATAGAATGAGAGAATGACGAGGCACCAGCAGGCCTGAGGCACAGTTGCCACCACTGCTGACTCCCGTTCAGAGACAATCGAGAACCAATCAGGGTCCAGCGATAGGCAATCCACCCACCAATCATCTTTCGCTGTTGCAACTCAAAACAGCCTAGCGCCAACCGGCAACGGGGATCGGCCCTGCAGCCATCAGCCCCACATCCATGTGTATAGAAAGGTAGTACGTAAGGTCGATGCATCTTGGGCATCTATATTATACCTAGCAGGTAGGTACCCTAGGTAGTACCTAGGTAGGACCTAGGTACTACCTAAGTACCTGGGTAGATACCTAGACTACTACATGGTGATCGGTAGGTTATCCATTACCTACGAGAAATACACCGCCAATCAACCACGTACCTAATCAAATCTACGGAGTACTATCCAGACAGATCATGCCAGTCCTGCACCTGACCTGGTTGGAATATTTCTTACTACAATTTACTACACTTGACTTGTTACCTACTATTATCTAGGTACAGGTACCTAGACAATGCACCTCTGGACTCACCTCTGGAGGATATGATATGCACATGTTGTACGATGCCAGAATACTGACCAAAGATCTGCAGCGGGAGATGAACTCCGGGGTTACACGATTATATCTGATATATCTGCCTCTATTATACATACATAGGTACTACAAGGTAGTCCCTAGTCCCTAGGTAGTACCTAGTACTCCTAGTACTAGATCGGTACTAGGTAGTATGCGCATATATAATCCAAGTTTTCCATTACTTAATGCTAAGCCTAAACACTCACCGCTATCCTGCTTCCACATATCATACGACCTGCCCAGACGAGGCTTTTATTTGATTAATCTTATTATAGTTTATGTTAGAATTCAGGCATCGATACCCGCCCAACGGCTTTCCATCTATATCCATTGATTTGATTTGATTGTCCACCGATCCTGACATACTACCTAGGTACTACTACCCAGGTAATAGTACTATACTCAGTAAATCGGGTACCAACACTCCTCACCCCAACAGCCATGCATACAAACATAGGAGTAGAAGAAACAGACATCAGTCAATTTCAATGCAATGCCAATGCAAGAAACCAATCCATCAACGCCAAACTCCATGCTAAACAACCCAATCAAACCCTCTTCCCACCCTCGAGGTGAAATCCTACTCGGTAAAATTCCGCAGCTTGGTCAACTCATCCAGCAGCTCCTGCAGGTCTCCGTCGGAGATTTTATGCTGAAGACTCGGAATCAGCGACTTGGCCTCTTCGGCGTTGTCGCAGCACAAACTTCCTATATATCGTTAGTACATTATCCTCATCATCATTATTATATCAATCATGATATATGTCATGTTATGATCAAGAAGGGGGGGAAGGGAAATACCAAGCTGCGACCTCTCAAACATCTCCAACTCCGTATGCGAATTCAACAGTCTCTCCACAGCCTTGATGTTCTCCTCGTCCTTGAACCGCGCAAATACCTCGAGGTAGTCTAGTGTTTTGGTAAGGTTTCTGCCTCACATTAGCTTCTCCCTTTCTCTCTCTCTCTCTTTTCCCTCTCTCTTCCTTCCTTCCTTTCTTTCCGCCCCCTCCCATAACCCTCCTACCACCCACAGAAAAAGGTAAAGATAAACATACTCAGGCTCCTCATACTTCTTCCCCCCCCGTCTCTTATTCTCCAACACCTTATTGATAACCAGCCGCGCCTCCGACAGCGACAGCGTGTGCGTGTGCTGGTCCGCCCCCAACTTCAGCGTCGAGGCGGCTTCGAGTTCGCCTTGCGGGAGGGCGCGCTTGCGGTGGGTCGCGGGGGGGAGTTGGACGCTCATTTTGGTTTCTTTCTTTCTTTCTGATTGACTGTAGTGGGTTGCGCACTTGAAGGGAGGTATGGTGGTGGAGACGTTGATGTGATGTGATGGCTTGTTATGAGGTCGTGTCGTGGGGGGCTGGAAAAGTTCGTCCGTGGTGGGCGGTGAATTGGTCACCGCTTTCCGATTCGGGCACGATTGATGGGGTAATGCTCTATTGTTGCCTATTTCTACTACATATTTCAGGCGATAGAGTACTAGGCATCTACTGTAGATTAGGTAGGGTATGAAGCCTAGATTGGAGTGTTCTTTATATATGCAATACCAAACGCCCTGCTATGTGCCGTATGCGCCATATCTATATGCATAAATCAAGCCCTAAAGGCAACCTCCCGCGGCAGTCTGAAGCTCGCGCAAAACATCTGCTTATTGGGACTGACCAGCCGCACATTGTGGATCGACAGCTCGATCTCAGGGTTGCCGCTACCACCCACGCAGTCGTCCGGCGTGATCGTGTACCCGATGCGCTCCGACACCCGCTGACAGATGTCGACGTGGTCGACGCGCTCGTCCTCCGAGTGCCCCGAGAAGCAGTACACGTGGACCATGGGGAGACGCTGCTCGGTGTGCGGCGCGAATAGAGATTCCTTGCCCGCGTAGATGCCCGGGAAGGCGTCGAGGAATTCGATTGCTGTGGCGGGCAGGTTCATCACGTAGTGGTCGAAGACGGTTGGGCGGTTGAAGACTTCAGCGGGTTGTGCTGGTTGTTGCTGCTGTTCCTGTTCCTGTTGCTTGGCGACTTTGGCGCCCTTCTTCTCCCTGCGCTGTCGCGGCTGGATGGTGACCGTCACCGGGTCGGACTCGAGCAGCGTCTTGGCCGCCCAGGAGATGAACGCCCGTCCGTCCTTGTTGAACGGCGTGACGAACTGGTCGACCTTGTTCCGCTTCACAGCATCCTGCATGACCTCCCAGCCGTGCGGGTTGAGGTCGTTGGCCCACACGAAGATCTTCTTCTTGCCAGCCGGGACGGCAAACGGGCCCACGCCAGCCATCACATCGCAGACGATCTCGCCGGGGCGGAACTTGTCCACGAGCCGGCGGTGCTCCGTCTCGAGCCGGCTGTTCCAGTAGACGCGCGAGTAGTCGAAGCGGAACTCGCAGTTCTGTTCGTGCTGGATGACGTTCATGTCCTTGTCGCCGGCGAGGTGCTCGAAGGGAAAGGTGCGGAACTCGCTGTGCGCGCCGACGTCTTCCGTCTTGCGAATTACCGTCCGGATGGTCGGGTTCTTGTCTTTGAGGATCTCGGCGATCATGAATCGGTAGGGGACGAATTGTTCGCGGAGGTTGATGTGCAGGACGTGGCCGACTTGTGTGAAGCCTTGCGGGATCTCAACGAGGAGATCTTCGGGTAGGATGCACGCGATGATATCGGCTGGAAGGGTTAGCATGAGCCAGACAGGAGAGAAGAAGGCACAAACCGTAATTCCAGTAATCATATTCCAACTTCAAATCGTACCCTTGTACCTTGATAACCTCCTTCTCTACCAGCTCCTTGATCTTCGACGACCACGTTGTAGCATCTAATCAAAACCAAACAATTAGCCAACACTCCCACAGAACAGTAAAACCAAACCAAACAAAACATGAACAGAAAGGGGGAAAAGACAAACCATCATATTTCACCCCCTCCCTCAACAGTAGACACTTGCGCACCACATCATCCTCACCCCGCACCTCACGGATACTACTCAACCGCGGCATAGCCAACAGATCCCGATTTTTCTGCAACTCGCCCCGCGCCTTAGAGATATCCGTACTGCGAAACACCGTCGCCGCCGACAGCGGCACTGTCTTCTGGAAGAACGACCGGTCCAGGGCCCGCATCGCGCGGTTTATGGGTGGTCGGAACATCGGGGGCAGGTGGTTGTCCGGTTGGGAGGTGGTGGTTGGAGATTCCATGAACGGTGGTTGGTGGGAGGATTTGTCTTGGTTGTCTTGTGGTGATAGGTTCGTAGGATATGGGAGGTTTAGAGTTGCATCTGTGGTGGCTGTAATGGAATTGGGTATGAAGATAGTGGAGTCTGGTTGGATGGTTTATTGACCCAATGTTTTATTGTCGCTTTTTTTTTTCCCGCGGCGTTATCGCGCACGTGATCTAGATAAGATCTATATCTCTCCGGTCGTCTAGATCCATCCAACGATGGAAACATCTTAACCATTGAATAACAAATGAAACAAGTGATGGTGCAAAATTGCCGTGCTGTTGCTATTCGTAACTATGTATTGAAGTCAAACTGTACAATCTGTAATTATGTACCACGCAATATGAAGCCCACCCATCTCCAGCCCACAAGACATGCAAAGAATCGCAACGAAAGAAAAACATAAGTTACCTACCAGAGGCAAAAAGGGTATTAAACGCGCAAATATCAGCGCTAATTCCAGTCAGAAAAAATCACCTTCTCCCCCCATTAACCGCCGTCTGCATCTCCCTCAGCGACTCGAGTGCCTCAATCCTATCATTCAGCCTCGCAATCTGATCATCCTTCTGCTTCAGCGCGATGCGAGAGATCTCTCGCCCACGACTAATCCCTTTCATCTTCAGCTCAAACCGGTTGAGCACGTCCACAACCTCCTCTTCAGCCTTACGCGGAACTACCGCATCGTGTAAATCCAAGATCTTTAGCACCCGCAGCGCCAGATCGCTCGGGTCCGCGCGCGGATCGCTGTTCGTTGCTAGCACATTGCGGTACTTACTTGGCGTAGGAGTCAAGCACACCTCTGCCGACGCCGGCGGCGGCGCAGCCATCCGCCCGGTACGATCCCCGAAGGAGGAGGAAAACGACCAGGGGCTCTGCGGGGCCACACTAGTGGCGATGCTACTAGGTGGATCGGCGTCGTCTATATCGTCCCCTTTGCGCTTTCCGGGAGTAGTGATAGTGTCCATGCGGGGCGTCTTGCGCGGGCTTAGCTGAGGCGTAGTAGCTGGCGCCTTGAAGTCCGGCTGGCGTGGCGGCGCAGACTTGTCCATCCAGCTCCCCAGAACTTCTGCGGCGTCGTTGACCCATTCATCGTCGGTGTCCTCCGACATCATGCGCGCTTTGGCGCTCTTGGAGGGCGTCTCCATGCGCGCGCCGACTAGCGGAGAGGCGTGGTTGTAGCGCGGGCGGTCGGTCTGCGGGGTGAGGAGGCCGCCGTAGACTCCGGACGCGCCAAAGTAGGTCTGAGAAGGTGTTTTGGGAGTAGAAGGTGGAGGTCTCGCTGCTGCTGCGCTCTCGGAGAAAGAATTGGACAGTACGGCGTGTTTCTCGCGGGCTTCGGCGTCGCTTTCCCACAGGAAGAAGTTGCACTGCTTTGATTGGGGCATCTGGCAGGCGTAAACTGGAGGCGGTTAGTCAGATTGTGCGCGGCTTTCAAGGAGGGGTAGTGAGAGAATAATGAGAAGAAGCCTTACACCATCGCCCGTGGTTGACGCCATGGTTCTTTGTCTGTCGCTTGACGGCGGGCATCCGCTTCGGCTGACAGTTGCAGTGCCAGACTCCGTCCTGGTCTAACAGGCCCCGCAGGGGAACGGACGAGCGTGGAGAAGGCGCTCCCCTGGTATGTTTCTGAGGAGAAAGCATGTTCGCAACATCCAGTGTCTTCAGTGACGCTGGATCAACTCACATATTTGACAGACTGCAAAAGATGTCTGTCTGCTGAGGCGGGGAGATGCGACAGCTGTCGCTATGGAAACTATGGAGGTTGTGGAGAATTGTATGTAACTGCCTGATGGGGTTTAGTGGCCCCACCAATCCGTCGATCATTGAGGGACCTCCACCTTAAATGAAGCAGATGTGGTTGATAGAATCGGGGTAGGGAATGGTTGAGAGAGATCTTACTGTGCAGGGTAAAAAGAAGAATAGATGGACTGTGTGACAGTCAGGTGATGACCAAGCGTTTGACCGATTGTATCCACTGCGTCCTACAATCTACAGTCATGTATCTATTGAGTATAGCATCGATTCGGCATATATGAGGCCTGGGTGGTTCAGATTGATTAACGTGTCCATACTATCTATCACATCTATTGACCAAGACAATTCAAAGCAAGTCCTCTATGCAAACCATCACAGACAAAAAATCAAACTATCCATCATACAACGCCAGTCCGTGGCTTCGATGGCGATCGGGTATCAAGATCTAAAGCGCCTATTCTGCGAGAACCAGGCGTAACATCATAGTAAACGGCTCTCTGAGTTTGAGGATTTCCTTAATTTCGGGTTTAACCGGTTCCCCGGCGGACCGACGCAGCTGGTCCTGCTGCTTGACCCGACGTCGGCGCTCGGCGGTAATCGGATCCAGGTCATCCTCCTCTTCAAGGGAATCCGACGATTGGGATGCTGCGTCGTCCGAGATGGCGAGATCTTCGAGGTCGGCCTGAGAGGGGTCATTAGATTAAGCACAACACCAAAGTGGGGGGCAAGTAACTTACTTCATCCAGGCCGAAATCACTACTCTTGAAACTAGGCAAGGCCTCATTACCGGTTCCATCGGCGGCCATCTTCTGACGGGTCTTGTTTAGGTGCCACCGCTTGCGATCCTCGTGCCACTGGATCAACGCGTTGATCTCCTCTAGTGCCTTGTGCTCGTCCACCTCCCCTGCGTCCCTGGCCCCATGAATCAAAGCGTTCATGTCAAGCCTTCCTCCCTTGGGACCCTGACGCAGGAACTCTAAGATATCCTCAACCCATCCCATGAGCGCCCCGAACAAGCCGTTATCATGCAGATGCACCTCGTGCACAAACTTGTAGAAACTAGCCTGGTGACGTTCGCAGAGGTCAATAAAGGCCTGCACCGTTTGATTGGGGTCGGCCGACACGTCCTGCCGTTGACATTTCTCGATCACACCGATGGCGTCGTCGGCGAAATGTGCGAAATCGGTGATGCTGCTGTAGACATTGGCGGACTTGTACACTCGGACCAGGGGCTCGTAGAAGATGGTGAAGAGGTCGCGGAAGAGCTGGAGGGTGACAGGCTCTTCCACAATGCTGAGCATCATAGCCTTGTCTCGCTGACGGGTGTAGAGCTTGAGGAGCTGCTTCAACTGTGCAAACCAATGGGCGCCTTCCTGCATTTCAACATCCACGTTGTCGACAGCAAAGTTCCAAGCAACGTAGGCATTGAAGACCTTGCCAAATTGCTCGCTAGTGAGTTCCTGAGGAAGAAGATCGGAACGGAGGATTGCCACGATCACGTCCACGTCGTCCGCAACAGCTTCCGCGCGGATAGCATCCTTGAGCTCGTCATCGGCATCGATAAATGCTTTCATCTTCTGGCACACTACAGGATCTTCCACTTTCTCGGCCAGCGTATCAATCGTTTTCTGGAAGGCCTTGATGCCATCATTCAACGTCATCGAGAAAATCCGCTGCAGGAGAGACCGTGACCCAAAGGGCTGAGCAAGGAAGAGGTCCAGAACGCCCGACATCACAGCGGCCGGGTTGGCGATTCGAATGACGTTCTTCATCAACGTATACGGAACCAAGGAATGGATTCTCTTGAACTGGGCAAACAGCTCCGGGGAGTTATCCTCGGCTAGGAACAGGTGGTAGAGCGTTGCCGCGATCCTATCAATTCTTGGTCAGTGGTGGGGTTCGATGCAGGGTATGGACGGGTGACGCACTCAATCCGAAGCCATTCTGCGAACTTTTGATACTGAGGGCTCAGATCTTCCACCGTCTGCTTCTCCTTGATCTCTGCGAACAATTTCGTCAAGCCATCTAGAAGAGTCGTCGGGTTAGTGGAACGCGCTGCTAGACGAACTTGTCGGGACACCTACTGCTCTCCACAATGTCCCGGCGGAAATTCTCCATATAGACATCCAACTCGGCCGCACGCTGCCGGGCAATCTCGTAGAATCGCTTCTGCTCAGTGATTCTGACCCCATCTGCCTCTTTCCTCCGCTCCATATCAGCGATCTCTTCGTCACTCAAGGTTGTCGGCTGTGCGGTCAAGAACTCCTCCACTGATTTCGACTCCGCGACACGCTTATGCTGGAGCAGAGTCCGTAGAAAAGCGCGGAGCGAAACCCGCTGTTCTTCCCTGAAGAGGACCGTATCCTGCCGAATCTCCCCCGACGTGCGTGGGGATTTATTGGAGGACATTCCAAACGAGGAGCGCATTGAGGAGCGGGACAGGGAACGGTGGACCCGGTGATCTCCGGGGGCCAAGTTCTGATTTGATTGCGCCTCCTCAGGGGTGCTCTGCGTGGACACCGACGAGATAGACGACGTCTCGTCATCAACGGAGCTGAACCAGCCGGATGAAGTCGACGTCTTGTTCTTTCGCGGAAGGGGAGGCAGCGGTTTGCCAGGGAATTCGGTGCGCAGTCTCTTGTGGAGTTTTGAGAAGTCCCCGTAGCGTCGAGACACGAAGATATCGGGCTTACCCTCGCTTCGCACCCGAAGTATGAACTCCTTTCCTCAAGGTCAGCGCGACTCCAAATATTCCAAGGTCGGAGAGGTCCTTACCGCATGTTGATGGTGTCTCACGGTGCGACGTTTGGAGACCACTCGTACTCCTGCGACGTTGACATCCCACCCATGAATGGCGTCCCCTTCCGGCATATTGACCAACAGGCCCTTCTCATTCGCTCCGCGATCAACCACCTCCATTTCCGAGAACTGTATCCGCTCCTCATACCCCGACGCTGTGGGGATACCGGACACCATCATGAGTTCGACGAGCTTCTCACACTTCCGCGCCAACTTCCGGCGCTTTGTCTCCTCCAGACGGTCTTCCGACGACGACACATTCTTCTTGGCGAATGACTCTAGGAACTGATTTCCGACCCGTTAGTTCCCGCGGACCGACTAGCCGACGCGACGACGGGTATACGCACCACCTGCAGTTTGTCCTGCCAGAATTCCTTTTCGCGCGCCTGATCGAGAAACGGAAAATTCCGCACATGGTGAACGAATATATACCGAAGAATCGGGAGTTCCGAGTCGACGGGGGCGACTTCGCCAAATTCCGACCTGAAGGGGGCACCGAAGCGGCGGAGGGCGGTCGGGGAGTTCAGCTCTGCAATTTCGCCCTGAACCTGGCGGGCAATGAGTTCGCGTTTCAAGTCTGGCCTCGTCAGATTCAAAAGATTCTAATTTAAAACAGGATGGTGGGATAAGGGGAGGGGTTCGAACAGTGTTCTTGCTTTCCCGTCAAGATCTGTCCCGACGGGATGGTGGGGGACGTCTGTCCGTCCCCGTTGGTGGGGTGCTGCTGAGCAGTCATGATGAACGAATGACTTGATCCGACCGTTTTAGAGGCAAATCAATTAGCCTTATAAGGAGAAGCAATGACCAGATCGAGGGAGAGATATTGAGGGGAATCCGTCTGCCTAATAACAGCGCGGGAGGATCTGCGACCAGATGACGTTGGTCGGGCCAACGCCGAGAGAAACCCTGCGGGACTAGCTGTGGCTGTCGGGGGGGTGATGTCTGAGCAAGGACAGGTTGAAAGAAAGGGGACAGAAAGAGGGATCGATTCCTCTCAATATACGGGGGAGAGAGAAGAGATTGAAGAAAGCATTGAATAAAGGGGAGACCGAAGGAAGAGGAAAAGGAGAAAGGACGAAAGAAGAGAGAAGAGGGCGGGGAGGATGCAGGAGCGGGACGATCAGTTGGGAGGAGATCACGTTGCCAGCTCCCTCGGTCGATTTTTCTATATACGACCCACCAAATAATAGAACAGTGTCTGGATGTTGTTCTGTTCTCTTTCTATTTTCCTTTCTCTCTTTCTGTCTTTATTTTTATTCAATATAACTAGTGTTCTATTGAGACCCACTTCTCCACCGCGAGGCTCAGCCTCGTACTTCCTACTATAAAAAGAGCCGAGCCTGGTCTTGAGCTGGCTGCCTAGATTACTTTTCAAATTTGAAAGATGATTCAATCATAACTCTGGTAGAGACTGTCTCGATTATGCAGTTCATTTCGGACGATGTGTGTATGTAGCAACGTAGTAGTTTTCTGATTGAACCAGCATGCAGTAACATTTGAGCTTGACCTGATGATGGACCAGTGCTGGATGTGTAGCAGGAATGCAATGATTGGATATGTGTGATGATACTCTCTACCCGGCTTGGGTCCCTATTTCATCAGTTGGTACTCGGCTAGAATGATCGAGAAATATGTGGCCCAGTGTTCATGGCATGATATCTCATACTGGCGTGTGCCCCGTTCCACCTCATAACACGGAGGAGAGACTGGTTACCAACCTGAGCGACAAATGACCAAAAAGAAAGTAAGACTATGACGGCTCCAGTACGTTCAATTATAGAACACAGAGTTGAGAAAGTCGCGGTGACTGGTAGCTAGCGGAATCTCGTCGAAGAGTGCCACCCGGATCAACATGGGAGCTTATCGTGAAAATCTGGAGTACCCCATGATTCTTAACCGAAAATATCATGAGTCAGGATGGATAGAGATGGCGGTTCATCGGCTTCCCTATAGCTGTCTCTGAGACTAGAACATTCGACCGGAATGAGATCACCACGCCCTATAAGGTCACATGCCCTATACAACATCGCTGTTAGCTTCAGCACTGACATGATATCTGTATCGTAGATGTCATGAAAGGTGTATACTTGAGCACATAGGGCTCTGAATAGGGTTTGAAACCGGGCTCACTAAAGCGGGATGTCAGAACCCCATGTTTCGACAGGGTCATATGGCATGAATATACTTCAGCCAAACTTCGGCCCCGGAAGCCTCGTCGCAGCAGAATATAGTCGTCACTTTCACATCATCAGAAGTCATATCTGTTAAGGTTAACGGCATGTGATGAGGTCTATAGAATCCTCGAAGACCCAGCCCTCCCCCCGTCCTTGGACATCTATCCGCACTGTTCTCAAAAGCACCATCAACCAACAACCAGAGAAATTCTCTATACCATCATCAGCTTTCATTCCATTCTATAAGAACCACCTTCGCTCGTTTACCTTCAAGAAAAGAAATCGATATGCATACCGCAAAGTCCATCATCTCAGGCCTGAAGAGGCGCTCCACCATCATGGGAAGTCGACGCAGAGAGAAAGAGAGAGATCTCTACTCCTGGCCTCATAACGTCCTCACCGTTAGCGACGTCCCTCCTCCGTACAAGGAGGCCAGAGAGAGCCTACTCCTTCGAAACCGAAAAACCCCGGTCTCGTATAACGAAGATCAAAAAATTCGACATGGGTCTCCCGTGAGACGTGGCGCCGCGCTCGAGTCGCAACCTATCAACCTCCCAATCAACCTATACACCATCCTCGAGGAGAGAGACAGCTCCATGGCCGAGATCCACCCGGCCTTGAGATGCCCCTGCCGAGGCCATGAAGCAGACAGCCTCGAAACCGCTCTGGCATCCAAATCCATCGCCTCACTACCGACCAAGGAAGCCGGCCTCCAGCAGCTCGAATGCGCGATTGACCCGCTTGAGAAGATGAGCACCTGCACGAGCTGCCTGAAAAAGCGCCACAATTGCGACACCCTGTTCTTCCTCTGCAAAGGAATCCTGCACAGGTGCAAAGAGTATCACGAATTCCTCATCGCCATGCTCGACATCAAGGATCACCAACCCATATTGAACGTCCTGTACCCGCTGGCAACGGATCAGGAGCGCGCCTCGCTCCTGTGCCGGATGGCCTATGTCCAGTTTAAACGACTCCACGCCGTTCTCAGCGCCATCACCAAGAACTTGAAAGACCAGGCTGCGTTCGACACCGACGCTTGGTGGTCGATGCGGAATTACGCCTACAAATTGTCTGTCGACACGGCCGCCCTCAGCTCGCGCACCGTCTGCGTCTAAACGAATCAGTCAACCAGGATGCGATTTTAGGGAAGGATGTGCTTGGAAGGTACCGATTTGTACGAATAAACGTCATGTATTTGTATTTCTGCCTATTTTTTTGCTGTTATCTTGGATCCGAGGGAGTTTAGGACGCGTCAATCATGACCGCACGGAGTCAGTGGTCGTTATGGATCTGTATTATGGGTTTCTTGGGTTATCTCTTGGGTATGCATTGTGTTTGCTCTTGGCCTGGTTTATGGCCTCAATGTTTGTATGTCAACAAGCCACATGGGAATCAACAAATGATTGCATGTCATCAACATGAAAGTAACTGGTAGATGACCTGAAGTAGACATCAATAGTGGATGCAAATCAATGAATAGCGGCGAGTGCCAAGACCCTAGCCCAGTCCACGCTGACTGACTGCAGTTCCGCCTTCCGACTCTCCTGCCAACTTCACCTCCCTTCTTCCTCTTCTGCTTCTCTTTTCTCCCCCCACTGGATTATTCCTTCAAGTCATGGTTTAAGGCTGTCTTTCGCTTAGAAATTGCCTGATTTCCGAATGTAATGCAACATAGTGGCTTTGCGACATAGAAACCCGTCCCAGATCGGCGACAACTAGATAGATCTGGCCCGATCGGTTCGATTGCGGTTCTCGCGCGCTTGATCGACTGTCTCCTCGAAACCTCCCTCACGAGCTTCCCCACCAACGATCACGATGGGGAAATACGCAGATGATGAGCTCTCCGAGTTCTATCCCATGACCCGCCAGAGGGCCACGTCTACCTCGACCCAGAGTTCCTCCGATTCGGGCCTGTCCGTCGAATCCGACTTCCTCCGCGGAGATGGGATCCCTGGTTTCGCGCAGAAGGGAGAAGAAGGAAATGGCGAAGGGCACACATACAGGGATATGGAGGAGGGGGATCCAAATGCGGATGAGCCGTTCCTGCCGCACCCCAAGGCAGCGACGAGTAGTCGCGCGCGCCGGATAATCTGGGCCGTGGCTTTGCTGTGCGTGGGAGCCTGGGTGGCAGCACTCGTCGGGTTTCTCATCACAGGACGGCCAGACAAGCAGTCTAGGGTGGAGGCGGCAGAGCTCAATACATCAGTTACCGCTGCTGCGGGGAGTCAAGCCTCCGGTGAACCGGTGACTTTGTCGGACGTCGTGGGTGGGAGATGGTACCCTCGTTCGCATGCCATTTCGTGGATTGCGGGCCCGGAGGGTGAGGATGGGCTTCTGGTGGAACAGGGTGAGAGTAGCGGAGGTGATTACCTACGCGTCGTGGACATTCGGGACGAGAAAGATCCGGCGAGCATTCAGAAGACCAGGGTGTTGATGAAAGAAGCGGTCGTGCATGTCGGCGACACTGCAGTGTATCCGAGCACCACATGGCCCAGCCCGGATCTGAAGAAGGTTCTCCTTCTGTCGAGCAAAGAAAAGAACTGGAGACACTCGTATACGGGACTGTACTGGATCTTCGATGTGGAATCGCAGACGGCCGTGCCGCTGGACCCCAGCCTGCCGGACGCCAGAGTGCAGCTCGCCCAGTGGTCCCCAAATTCCGATGCGGTCGTTTTCTCTCGTGACAATAACATGTATTTGCGAAAGCTGTCGTCGGAGAAGGTCGTCCCCATCACGAAAGACGGCGGTGCGAACCTTTTCTATGGAGTCCCGGACTGGGTCTACGAGGAAGAGGTCCTCGCGGGGAATAGTGCGACCTGGTGGTCGAACGACGGGAATTATGTCGCTTTCTTCCGGACGAACGAGTCGGCGGTGCCCGAGTATCCGGTGGATTATTTCCTGTCCAGACCCTCGGGCAAGAAGCCTCTCCCGGGACTCGAGAATTACCCCGAGGTGAGACAGATTAAGTATCCGAAGGCGGGAGCCCCGAATCCGGTCGTGAACTTGCAGTTCTACGATGTCCAGAAGAACGAAGTCTTTCCAATCGAGGTCGACGAGGATTTCGCAGACGACGACCGCATCATCATCGAGGTTGTGTGGGCTACTGCATCCAACGCCCTGGTGCGCGCCACGAACCGGGAAAGCGACATTGTGAAGATCTTCTTAATCGACACCAAGTCGCGGACAGGGAAACTGGTCAGAGAGGAGGATATTGCCGGTCTCGATGGCGGATGGGTAGAGCCTTCGCAGACGACCAAGTTCATTCCCGCCGATCCCAAAAATGGACGGCCCCACGACGGATATGTTGACACAGTGGTCCACGAAGGATATGACCATCTGGCCTATTTTGCCCCTCTCGACAGCAAAGAGCCCGTGATGCTCACGTCGGGGAAATGGGAAGTCGTGGACGCGCCGTTGGCGGTTGATCTGCGTCGGGGCCTCGTTTATTTCATCGCCACCAAGGAGGCCCCAACCGAGCGCCACGTATACCGAGTGCAGCTGGACGGGTCCAACCTCAAGCCATTAACGGACACATCCAACCCAGGCTACTATGATGCTTCCTTCTCCGACGGGGCAGCCTACGGGCTTCTGAGCTACAAGGGCCCGTCAATTCCATGGCAGTCGATCATTAGCCTGGAGGGCGAAGACACGACCACACTAAAGACCATTGAGAAGAACCCCGATCTCGCGCGCATGGTGAACGATCATGCTATGCCCACGGAGAATTACACGGAAATCACCGTTGATGGATACAAACTCCAGGTTGTCGAGCGCCTTCCTCCGCAGTTTGACCCGTCGGCAAAATACCCTGTCCTCTTCCACCTTTACGGTGGCCCCGGGTCGCAGACCGTGGATCGCAAATTCAAAGTCGACTTCCAGTCCTACATAGCCTCGAGCCTGGGGTACATTGTGGTGACCGTGGACGGCCGCGGGACAGGCTACATCGGCCGCGAAGCACGCTGCGCCATTCGCGGCAACATCGGACACTACGAAGCGCGCGATCAGATCATGACGGCCAAGGCATGGGGCGAAAAGCCCTACGTCGACAAAACCAGGATGGCCATCTGGGGCTGGAGCTATGGCGGTTTCATGACACTGAAGACGCTCGAGAAAGACGCCGGCGAAACTTTCCAGTACGGAATGGCTGTTGCCCCGGTCACTGATTGGCGATTCTATGGTATGCTCCCATATTTCTGCACTCTAGCACGACCATCTAACTAACGATGAAACCTGCCACAGACTCCATCTACACCGAGCGCTACATGCACACCCCCGAACACAACCCCAGCGGCTACGAAAACGCCACCATAACCGACATGACCGCCCTGAAGGAATCCACCCGCTTCCTCGTCATGCACGGCGCCTCCGACGACAACGTCCACCTCCAGAACACACTGACGCTGGTCGACAAGCTGGACTTGTCGAACGTCGACAACTACGACTTGCATTTCTTCCCTGACTCAGACCACAGCATTGCGTTTCATAACGCCCACTCTATGGTTTACGGCCGTATGTCCCCCGTCCCCCTTCCCTGGACCTTACGTACCCCCTCAAAGAGAACCTATATAGTGTCACATGACTAACCAGAATCCAACACAGGGTTATCAAACTGGCTCGTCAACGCATTCAACGGCGAATGGAACCGCATCGCGAACCCCGTTCCCGAGGAATCAGCCGCAGAGAAAGTAAAGCGGGCTCTTTCCGAACTATCGGAGTGACCTGACTCTTTATATCCTTTACCCCAAGCGCTAGCCATATACAGCAAGCATGTAGCATATATCATTGATTGATGTCCATCGTGCAGCCTTTTAACGAGACGTTCTTACTTCTATTCATTTGATTTGTGGTTGATTTCTATTTTTTATTCTATCGTTTATTGGGTTGAGCGGCTACGCAGGCGTTAGACGGTTTATCTAGAACGATACTATGCATTACTTACATCAATATTCAATAAGGATTTTCTGGCTGAACATGCGATCTATCCTATTTGTCACCGCAATGAAATGAAAAGATGATTCTATATGTAAGACTCTGGGTCTCGAGTGTCTAAATACTATATATACTAGATAAGTTGAATGAAAGGGCATATTTGGCCGTAACTCCAGTAGATACAGTCTGCCTGCCACGTGCAATCCAAAGCCAACACGACACGAGAGAAAAACGTGAAGAAAAGAAAGAAAAATAAAGCAAGAGAGAATTATACAACCAACACTCACGCTAACAACGCACTAAATGCTCAACTCAGATCCGGTACAGTGACATCAGAGTACAGTGATATTAGACATACTTAACCAAGGACCAACAAAACAAAAGAAAAAGGGAATAGAATAAATCAAGAACTGCGGTACCCGTCCTCCAGGTTCCTGCAAACGATAGACTGCAGGAACTCATCGTGCATAATCGCACTGATATCCGAATTGCGATACCGGCGGAGGTCGTCCCGCTGGAGACCACGCAGTTGCTCGCGGCCGGCAGTGGACAAGGAGATAGTGCGGGAATGATGACCGCTATTGCGGCCGTGGCGGCCAAAGGGAGGGGACCTGGTGCCGCCGGAGTGATGGGAGAGGCCGCTGCGGGGGGCGAAGACAGGGAGGGAGGCGCTGCTAAGAAAGGGCAGGAAAGAGTCCGTGTCTGTGGAGAGATTGCTCAGACCCGAACGGACGGAGGAGGCGTGGTGGCTGTTTGGGCCGTGGCTGAGCATAGGGTATTCTGAGGGGAAGCTGTAGGCGCTTGTGATGCCCGAGGCGGCGGAGGAGCGCCATGATTGCACGGCGCTGGTTGGGATCGTGATGACTTCTTCTTCGATGGGGAGCGGGTCCTGCTGGAGGGCTGTTGCGACGTCTGTGGGCTCGCTGGAGGCGTTGGTGGGTCGGGAAGACATCAGCTTCGCGGACTTGCCGATCCAGAGCATTTGCTCGTGTTCGCGGAGGTAGCGGTCGCCGCTGAAGGATTTTTGGACGATCTTGCGGGTCATCATGCCGAGTTTGCGGCGGAGGTCGCTCTTGTCGTACATGCGGCGGGTGATGCGGGCGACGTCTTCCGGGGTCGGGGAGGAGGTGAGGACGGGGGCTTCTTCTGCGTCTTCGGCGTATTTGGCCCATTCGCCAAGGAGGCCGAGCATGGATATTTGCGCCTTTGCGAGGGCTTGCGCGTCGTTTGGTGCGACGACGGCGCTGAATCGCGAGAAGTCGTCTGGGTCGCTTAGGACTCGGAGCGAGGCGCCGACGTCGGTGCACACTACTGGGGCGCCGGTCAGAGCTGCTTCACCGAGAGCTAGGGGAAGGCCTTCGGAGAGCGACGAGTTGAGGAAGAGCCAGGTGTTTTCGAGGACCTTCATCGGGTCTGCGGTCCCGCGCAAAGTAACCTTGCCACGGAGGCCCTTTGATGCAATGATCTCTTGACATTCAGTGGAGTATGTCGGTGCTTTGTCGATGGCCCCGTAGATGTCCAGATGGTAGTCGTCAAACTTCCACTGGTTGATGATGATGTCGGCAGCCAGAAGGGCGGTTTTGATATCCTTGGCGTACCAAACGTGGGACAGCATGGTGACAGTCGGGCGTTGGGACTTGATCTCCTTCACCGGAGCAAACTTCTGCATGTCAGTGATACCGTTGACGACGGGGTCGACCTTGCGGCGGAAGATATTGCGATGCTCAATTGTCCCTTGGCAGGTTCCGATTTCGACCTCCCAGCCTGGGTTAAAGAAATCGGCACAGGGCAGGATGATATCCGCGTGGTGGAGTGTGACGACAGAAGTAATGCGCATCAGACCCAGCAAGCAATTGCGGACGAACGGCGAAAGCTTGCAGAGAGCAGACGACAGACACAGGTTTGTCTCGCGCCAGCTAATGGCGTGGTCCCATATCTGAAGAGTGCAACTGCGTTTGAGCTTGCAAATAACCCCATAGGACGCGCTCACGCTATGATGGGACGCCTGGAACACGCTTGGAATCTTTTCGGGGATCGGGATTGAAAAGATGAACAGATACCGGTACCAGAGCTGCAGGGCAGTGTCGAGGGACCCCAACGTGGGTAATTCTGTCTGGAACCATTCAGACGAGGGAATACTGTTCGACATCTTCTGGGTGAGCCAGAGGTCACGCCAACTCTCCTTGACAATTTCGCTATCCCAGATCTGGGTCCAATGACGCGATTCCTGAAAGTAAGTGTTCAGGTTGACCAAAGCGCGGGTCGCCTGGTTAATATCAGCTCTAGAGAGGTGTACGGCGCGTGCGCCCTTCACCAGCGCCGTCAAGATCGGGATGAAGTTCAACTTGATATCCACATCGCTGGCCGAAGTGACATTGTCCACCTCGGAGTCTAGTTTGTTTCTGAACAGACCGTGCGTCGGAGTGAGGAAGTCAAGCCCCCAGAGCGGAATGACCTTCAGCGAGAGGATGTTCTGCTCCGTCTGGTGTTTGGGAACTCCAAAGTCGTTCGCAGATTCGCAGATCATGTGCCACTTAATAGATCGCAGCGAATTGATCATGTCGCGTCGACAGGCCGAGACACCACCACCTTCATTCGGCCAAGTACCAGTATCGGCGGCCATGACATGCAAAGACTTCTCGGTATCGGATCCAAAATCCTTCGACCGGGTGTTGACCACGGCATCGCCCCCGGGCCCAAAGTTGAAAAGATCGCTGATTTTCACAGCGAGCGGAGTCCAGCTGGAGATACTATCATCGAGGTCTGCACTGGCGGTGACACTGTCTGCGCGAAGCTCCAGGTATTTCTTCGCCGACGCCAGATCACCGCGATCGCGGCTGCGCCAGTACGGCGCCAGGGCCTTGTCCCGTCGCAGGAGTCGGTCGTCCATCCAGCGAACAATGATACCGTCAAAGTCAACGCGATCTTTCCAGGCCTTCCAAATCTGCGAACGAGCGCGAGAGGTCGATACTGGGAAGCGCTTAGTGGTCAGCCCGAAAAATCGCGTCATGACGTTCGAACTAAGGCTCTCGCAGTATATGAGTGGGTTGTCGTGGACAAAGCTTGTGTATCGTGGCTTCGCGAGGACGGCCAGGAAGTCATGTTCAATCATTGGTGGTGTCTGGATCTTCTGTCCATTGAGCGTCGTGAAAATCATCGGGTGGAACTTGTGATCGTAAAGCCAGCGAGACTCATAGACATCGGCGCCCTGAACGAATGTTGCCTCCGTAACCTTGGAATGAGGAATCCACCGTTCAACCTTCTCAGGATGCCGGATGGGAGGTGCACACCAAGAAACAGTACATGTGATGTGCGAGAGGGCAAACTCGGCTCGGAGTAGCTCGTCGCCGAACCGGGGGTTCTTCCGGTAATGGTATTTGAAGCGAATGAGATTGCTATCTTTCATGTAAGATCCAGCCTCGATGAGTCCCTTGCGGTTGTACTGAATGCTCTGTAGCTTGTCTTGCCCTCGTACACAACGCCGACCCATTGGGATCTTGGACTCTGAGATCTTGGACAAGGACAAGACTTTCCTCGCTGGTACGCGATAGTCGTAGTGGAACTCATTGAAGAGCTTCCCGTCTTTGAACTCCTGTCGAACGAGCAACAAAATGTCTTTGGAGTAGGTGCTCACATGGTTGAGATGCTTGGTTCCATCAGGCTCCGTTCTGTGCTCCCCTAGGTAGTAGTAGACTTTAAAGCCACCGTCCGGTTCATTGTGTCTAAATGCCGTGAAAGTCCCGTCCAAGCCTTGGACTCGGTATCGGTTTTTCTTGATCGCGATAGTCATGCCCTTCGTTTCGTTCCAGAGCTGCTTAACATTGCGTCGGCCGTAGAAAAGGAAGAACGAGAGGCCGATGTCTTGCATGATTTTGGCGTAGGTCCAAACCAAGTTCAAAAGATATACTAGCGGCACTCGAACGAAGGCAGAACGGCAACTCATGATGTAGTTCAGCTCCCTTTGAAACTCAGGCTCCGCGATTAGAGCCACGACAGTGAACTTAACGGCCGCACCGATCTTGTGCCACAAGGAGCTGAGTGGTCGCTGGACAATGGAGACGACTAGAGGAGGCAATTTTGAGATATACGGGATGTATGCTGCGGTGTTGAAGTCCTTGGTCACAGTGGATTCACCGGTTCCGCAATGCGCATAATCGAGAACACCGACCGCGGTGGCGGCTCCAAGGTTGCTTCTCGCAACGTGAACCGCGAGGTCTTTAGTGTCGAAGCGGCAAAGTCTTGCCTGAAGCCATTTTGCGCCATCGTCGGACAGCTGGCAGGGTTTGCCAATGCAGCGATCCAGCAACGACTCCCGGATATGTTTCGGAAGCTTCTCCCAATGAGAGTCGCACTCGAATCCAAGGCAGAGATTCCGCAGAAGCTCCTTCTTGGCCCAGCGGATGACAGCCGGAGTGTTGATTCCATCGCGGAGTTGTCGTGCAGTGGTCTTGGTGATACCTGCCGTGACAAGCGATTCAGCAAGGGTAGCGTACTCATGTGGCATCTTCAAGTGTGTTTCGGCAACCGCATGTAGGAGAGTCTCAGCGACGACTTGACAATTCGCGCTGACCTCGATGCGCTCGTCCAACCCGCGGCCGACACAAATGGCAATCTTCAAGTGATTTCCATCGTTGCAGCTGAGCGCATTGATATTGGGGCCCAGAGAGCCTACAGGAACAAGGTCCATTGAGATTTGGCCGCTTGTCCACGAATCCAGTGCCAGATTCACAAGATCGTCGGAGCTGGGAAACGCCTCTTCGATCCTTGGCTCCATCCTACGGGATGTCAAGATAGTTCTGATCTCAATCCCAGGATGGGCGTTAGGGTGGAGCTTGAGCCGGGAGTCTTGTGGGACACGAGAAATCCCCTCGAAGAAAGTCTGCAATTCCTGCTGGGACCATTCGGGGTCTGACCACGGGGCGGTATGGGCGTGGAATGTTTTCCCCAGTTCCACCGGAGAGTCGATCCTTTTCGGCATGCCCATCTTGGCCGTAAAGAGCGAGAGAATGGCAACCGTCCAGGTAGCAGCACCGAGGCCAATGACCTGCGAGTATAGGAAATCCTCTGGCAAGCGGACCTTGAGAGCAATACCAACGGACAGACCGACGATCGCCCCACAGACGAGAGGTTTCAATGCGTGAGGGCCCGTAAAGATCTTCGTATACTGGTACCAAAGCAAGCCGGTGTATGCCAGCACGTAGGCGCAAAAAATGATCATGGCTTCGAGCGTAGACTGGAATGTCCATATGAGAGCCGTTGAAAATGCGAGACTCCAGACATGCCACATCAGAAACTTGAAAAGGGTCTTCCAGTACACCTTTCTCTTGAACTTGATATCACGCTTTTGGGAAATCCGTAAGTCTTTTGACGTCTGCACAGCCATGGCTGTGTGGCTACCAACAAGATCATGGAGCGCTTGGGCCTTGGTATCAATGAGAACAGCACCGATCAGGTAGTATGCCAGACCAAATCCCACAGCCATACGATTAGCATCATTCAGGGCTGGGGCCAGACCAAGGTTGTGGCCACCACTTAGCAAGTCCACCCATTTATCGAGGAGAGCGATGATGAAGTACAAAATACCACATCCGATTTCTTCGCTCGACTGGCGCCAGTGGATGAATGCGTTGTGGAGACGGATACCTTTCTGGGAGCTTCGAAGAGTGTCGAGGGCGACCTTTGTTTGGATATTCCACCCAGAACTAAACGGAATCGGTCGAGCCACATCGGCATACCTGCAATACCAGTCGAGGAGAAAATTGGTGGATTCCCAGTCTCTCGAGAGTTCAAGGACCAGTGTATCGGTGGTTGGCCTCGAGAAAATACCCCGGTTCTTTTCAGCCAGGACGTCCTTAAGCAGCGCCTCTCTGGATAGCCTGAGAACAGCAGGGTCACTCAGATTACCGAAAACCTTCTCGTCGTTATTCCCATGCGCGGCGATATACCATTTCCGAATTTCGGTATCATCAGTACGCCTGATATCCTGATACCACGTAACCCATTTCGAAGCAGCACCTCGGAGGCCAAATAGCAAAACTCCGATGAAGATGTACATGACAGCAATGTAAATGACCGAATCGTTCCCGGCAAATGTTGTAATGACCGGCGAAACGAAGAGAATCGGGATACAGGCGAAGATGACCTTGCGACCGGAGAGGAAGGAGCTGTTCGGATAACTGAAGCTGGCCAGTGATGCGAAAGCAGAGAAATAAATCGTCAACGAGATAAGATATAAGTAGAAGACGATTCCTGCGCGAGGGCCCTTCACCCCAGCAATGACAAGAAACCCTATTAATCCACCTGCAATGGTGAACGCGATACCGGCGATGAGCCTGATGAGAACGAACATGTTCGCCGCTGCAAAAGCCATGGAGATGAGATAATAAGGCCCTCCACAGGCAATCCATGTGCCGATTCCACCGGATAGCAGGAGAGAAATCATCAGAGCAATAGTGGCACTCTGCTGTTCATCATAAGTCATGAAGGCTGAAAGGTATAGTCCACGCCCAATGATCGTGAGCAAAACTATGTCGATCAGAGCAGGAAAGGCAAAGACGCCGAGAAAGGTAAACCGCTGGTATCCAGGCAATGGCTTGACTTTGTCATCTGGGTTGACGTCGATCTGCGCGCCGGCGTATGCTGTTGCCATCTCGGGGGCGCCATTGATCCAATTAGGAAGCTCTTCGTCGGAGTACTGTCTCCGGAAGCGATCCAACAAGAGCTTTCCAAACGCACTAGGCGAGATGTCGAAATAGGCTTCACAGCGGGATCCCAGAGCAAAGGACTCGGCAAAAGCGGCCGCCTGGTCGGATTGGTTATTGAACAGTGGATTTCGGTCAGTTACCTCGGTGTAGATTTCATCCAACGCACCCTTCCTGGCCGCACAGAATAGGGAAAGCGCCATCATATCTATATACGCATCGACCTGGCCCGCCTGAAGTAGACTTCCGAGAGCTTTAGATATGGAAGCAAGCTCGGTTTCACGGCGTTCCTTCAAGATCTTTGTCAAGATAGTATCGGTCTCCTGGAACAGAGCAAAACATGTTGATATAGCAGGATGTGGGCATCCCTGTTGGCGATACCAGTCGACGCGTGTCTTGACCACATCACTGGAGGCAATCGATCCATCCAGGTAAGAAACGGTGTTGAGCTCCTTCAGCTGACCTAGTGATGGCATATCGATAAGCTGTTGCCGAATATATGAAGTAATAGTCTCGGACATTTCGCTCGTTGCGTCTGTCAGTGTCAAATGTTGCAGCAGAAGTAGTCGTTCCTCCGGGCTCAGTAAGTCAATATCTTGGATGATTCGCTGGGGCAGATCGGTGCCCTCAGCGACATCCTTGGACCACCTTGCGAGAGCGGTCTCTGCCTCAAAGCTCACATGGCGCGGAAAGCCCTTGGCGGATAGGAAAGTGTGCAACACAGTCCCAGCTAGACCTTGGGCGTTCTTCGACACATACACTTCCAGGCCGTCTGCATCCAATTGGTAGACAGACCAGAAACGCACACCGGTGCTCTGGCGTAATCCGGAGTCGAGGCAAAGATTGATTCGTAGTAAATCATCATTTGCCATATTTGTTAGCTCTTTGACGGCGGCAGCGAGTTGCTCGGAAGCCGCCCAATGCGAAACCACGTAGTTATCGTGGAAGTGCCTGAGGAGCTGGCCGATGCTATGGACCTTGGAGGATGGAACCGGATGTAGCAAATTGAGGGTTTTGAGTCGCTGTTGGGACTGTAGGATCTCTGCAAAAGCGGAAGCAGACGTCTCGGAGCCCAGGGGGAAACAGCCAAAGGCCTTGTATTCCACGCCAGTCATTGATATCGATAGTGGGCTGCCTTGCGATTTTACCTGGGCCACCCACTCTGGAGGTTCACGAACGCTAGTGGTCATTTCGTCGGCGACCACTTGATGGGACTCGGAGGAGGACAGGTAACCTTCCAGGGAGGGGAAAGACTGAAGCAGCGTATCCCAAGCATCTGTCTCGACCGCATTGCTGGAAACGCGCAAGTTGGAACGCCACTTATCATGCGATTTCATGATCTCGGCATCCTTCAACCACCCAAAGGCCGAGAGAGGTTCGTGAACCTTCACATTGAGAGTAGCATTGTGCAGGGCGGACGTCCGACCAATCCAGGGAATCGCGCTGTAAAAGTTGCACCACTGAAAAGATCGCTGGACAACCGCATTAGAAAGAGTGGCATTGTCGTCCACAGTCTCCCATGTCATCACTGCAAAATCTCGCATGCACGACTCGGAGACAAACGCTTTGATGGTGGACTGCATGTCGGCCATTCGGAAATAGTCCCGCTTTTGACCCTGGGGCATGATGCTGGCATTCCGAATGACCAGCCCGGCAATCGCGGTGGACTGCAGGGACTTGCGGTCCTTCAGGAAGTGAGGGGGTCCGGTCTCCAGATACACTTCCAGACCCAGACTATGAATAATCTCACAGAGTCGGATCCAGATACGGGGACTGAGCTTGTCCTCCCAATTTGCCAGAAGAATGCCATTGAACGCTGCACCGTCGAAAGACGCAGCGATGGAACTCTCGATCTTGCCCAGCGCTGACAAAGGCGAGTCGTTGTTTGCAAGTATCAGGTCAAGGTTGACCCTCCCGAGAACTTTCCGTCTTCGGCTATACAGAATGGCATTAGCGACACCCGGCTGGGACGGGTCGAGGACTAATATGTCCCATTGGCCCAGAATCCGGGATTCGTCCTCGCTCGGGGGCGAACCGAAAGTTCCAAGGTATACACCAAACGAGGTTGGCTTCCGCTTGGTGATGACAGCATTTGTTAAATCAAGCTCTCGATTAGAGAGCTGTTCTAGTCGTCGGGACACACTTGCTGGTATGGTCTCTAACCGTGGTTTTAACTGAGAAAACCGTGCAAGTCGATGATTAGAAATGCCGGAGGATCAAAGGCCGGGGGGCGTTCATACCTTGTAATATCTCCACAGCCGACGTCCCACGGAGAATAAAATGTAGGTCCCACCAAGCCCGATGCTTGCCAGGAGGATCCCGATAAGAACCTGAAGATGTCAGTCAGTCCCCCGCTGGAAGAGTATTCAAGAAGTCCCTTACAAATTGCCACCAGTGCTTGGTCATGCCATCCCACACAACGGGCGAGACTGGGAGAATTTCCACCATTGCAGCAGGTGGTTATTAAAAAAAACTAGGACGCAAATAGAGGAAAGATGAGACGGGTATAAAAAGAGTGGAGCGAAAAGTTAGAGGGCTATAGGGTGCCCGGACGGCATATAGCGCAGGAACAACAAGGTCGTTATCATGAGACCATAGTCATCAATGCAGGTTTCTGCCAGATCAGGTCGCAATGCACAATTCGACCTGACAGGTCAATTCAGCCTGGGGGAGGACAGTAATGTAGGAAAGAAACACAATAGATGACAGGGACAACCACTGTCCAATATGTACGAGGTAAAGGGCTGACGAGGAAAACGAAATCTCTAGAAGATCGGACGATCATCTGTCGATATACAATTTGCCTTTGGCTCTTATCCACAGCGATGGTTCACTCAGCCTCAGAAATCTGCAAGGTTCAGCCGAACTGCTACCTTCCAGTAGGATTATGAGGCGAGAAGCAGGCGAACAAAATGGATAAAAATAAATCAAAAGATCCAAAGGGGAAACAACGCTCACAATTATAGAAACACGGGAGAGTATAAAGAAATCAAACCCGAACTAAATAAAGAATGCAAAAATAAGGGAACCTTAGAACGACCTGGACTGATGCAGCTCCAGTGTTAGCCGACAACACTAGCTATACTGGACCAAAACATCTCGGGCGTCGAGAATTGGGACAGAATAGCTAACAAAACCGCTCAAATCAGCCACGGAATGAGGGACCAGGTCCCCAGGTCGTAATTTACTGATAAATACCAGGTATTATACTGGCGAGCCCTAAACTCACCTGGAATTGATACTACCACAAGAAGTCACCACAAATCAGATTGATTGTTCACCGCAGGGAGCAAGGGTCCAACCATCTCGAGCCGTGGAGGTGGCGACAGCATGCCTGGTAGCGTGGCTGCCATCCATCAACCCTGTCCGCTTGCTCTCCTGAGATGGATGTTGGAAGAAACATCATCCTGCACTACTACCGGTAGATGATCGTAGCACCGGCATCGTTCCAGAGCTGAAGCCGACTCCCTCTACCCTACTGTTTCAGCGTACACCCGGAAGGAGATTCACCATTTGAGGTCATGTCATGTTCCCGATGTCATGGACCAAATAGAGGCAAGATCGCCGGTCTAGTTCATGACCCACCAGGAAAATCTTAATGCTAGGAATTCCCCCGAACGAGAGGTGTCAGTCCAAAGCAACTGTATTGGTATACATCCGTATGGGTATACGGTATCGTATAGTTCCGAAATCATTTTTTGCAATTTGAAATGTAAAATACACACTGGGAAACGTTACACCCGTGATACGGGAACATCACCTCATCTCACATCTCTTGATCCAACTCCCATTCTATCGATGTCTTGTTTACCTATTTACTATCCTTTCCTTCTTTTTGTCCCCCCCCCTGTTCAACTCTCAATTTAGTCTCATTCTGTACCGCTACTCCTAGTCTCATTCCAACCTCTCAACCAAGACATCGGATTCCGCCGACACGGTCCTCCCTTCCTGTTGACTTTAACACCAAAACACCACTGGGTTGCGTCTGTCCCACCGCATCAAGTTTGTTTGTTCCCTACTAAGTCGAGCTCGTCTATTTTGCCTTCTGTGAATTGACTAATGCGGGTTCTATTCCCGTATGGCAAGACATTGGACTTGTCTATTGGGACCAACTCATCTTCATCAATTTCCACTGGCGCAACCCGTCAACATGGATCACAACCCCTGCCATCTGATGTCGGCTATCGAAATAGATATGGACACAATCCTTTGGCACAATGTTTCCCACCACATGACGAGGTAGGGGTCGGTCGATGGATCAATGTCTTGCCTGTCCAGTGGCCGAGGGATGGGCTCCAGTTAGGAATGCGCCTCCTCTGATCAAATACGATGAAATAATGCTCGTCGAAGTCTCGCTATTACTATTTGGTTATTTAGTAGCTAGTGTATATTCAACCCTCGGGAGACAGGCAATTGGACAATACCATGCCCGACTTGATCTTAGTACCCTACATAACCGTGATCGTGCTCGCCCGCTGGATGGGCTGTCCATCTCCAACTGTCTGCGCCTGTGTCTGCATGTCCACAGCCTGAGTTCTAGCCCCGCCGTCAGTCGTTACTATTCGTTAGAGTTCCTGCATTTCGTAACCAGTCACATTTTTCTTCTCTGTCAGGTCCGCCCCTCCCCCTGGGCCGTATTGCAATGATTCCCGTCTGGACCATCCAGGTCGGTTGTTACTTTGGCCTTATAACATGCCACACTTCCCCCGGAGTATTTCCGGATGGATCTCCAACTGTGATCCCTTCCTTGCTTCCCCCTCGGACTACTGCAACGGCGGGAACCACAGACACAGCTTCTTATAGTGTGACTTCAACGCCCACCCCCTCTTCGACAACCAGCACTTCTTCCACTACTTTTTCCACCACTTTCGTTTCCCAAACCCCAAGCTCCTCTGTGAGCGCGTCTACCACTATGTCTGTTAGCTCTTCGAGTATGATTTCCAGTGTGAGCCCCTCTGCTTCGCCTATCGGCGAAGGGTCCGTGGCAGCCAACATCCTGGTTATTGCGAGAGACTCTGCTGCGGTTGGCGTAGCCACATCCGGTCTCAATGGCTATGGTATCCCGTTCACATCGCTGGTAGTTCCCCAGGCTGGTGTTAATCTGCCGGCCTTGAATGACAGCGCCGGAGGAAACTTCGGTGGCATTGTCGTGGCCGGTGAAGTCAGCTATGACTATGGGGCCGGTAAAGGTTTCCAAAGTGCCCTGACGGCCGACCAGTGGAATCAGCTGTATGCTTACCAGATGGCCTACGGCGTGCGCATGGTGCAGTACGATGTTTTCCCCGGGCCGAAATTCGGCGCTGCTGCTTCGGGTGGTGGGTGCTGCGAGAACGGCGTGGAGCAGTTGTTCTCGTTCTCTGACATCAGCGATTTTCCGTCGTCTGGACTTCGGACGGACGCTGGGGTCAGTACGCAGGGTCTCTGGCATTACCCGGCGACGATCAGCAACACGACCACCACGAAGGAAATCGCCCAGTTTGCCGCCGGTGGCGGTTCGTCTGGCACCACGACTGCGGCCGTCATCAATAACTTCGATGGACGGCAGCAAATGGCTTTTTTCATTGGATTTGACACCGTCTGGAGTGCCACCTCTAATTACGTGCAGCACGCGTGGATTACGTGGCTCACTCGGGGTCTCTACCCGGGGTATCGGCGGGTCAAGCTGAGCACGCAGATCGACGATATGTTCCTGGAAACCGGGATCTACAAGCCTAGTGGCACCAACTATCGCGTCAACACCGCTGACATGGACGGCATTGCTAGCTGGATCCCCACCATCATAGATAAGATGAACCCGGGCAGCAGCTATTTCCCCGAAGTCGGCCACAATGGCAACGGCAATGTGGAAGCGTCTTCCATCACGGAGAGCGGGAGGCGCAGCTGCAACGGAGGCGGCATCGAGCATGACTCCCCGCCGGATACCCCCTTGGAGTTCCAGAAGCCGCTGGGCACCGGTACCGACCTGTGGCCCCCTGTCCCGAAGAACTACACCTGGTCGACGGAATGCACCAAGTTGGATCCGCTTCTGCTCTGGTGGACCACCGAGGAGAACCGAGATCTATTCGGCCATATCTCCCACACGTTCAGCCACGAGGAGCAGAACAATGCCACCTACGCGGACGTGAACAAGGAGATCTCTTTCAACCAAGCCTGGCTGAGGCAGGTCGGCCTCGCCGACGCCAAGTACTTCACATCGAACGGAATCATTCCCCCGGCCATCACGGGACTGCACAACGGCGATGCGCTGCGGGCCTGGTACGACAATGGTATCCGCAACTGCGTGGGGGACAACACGCGCCCGCCGCTGGTCAACCAACAGAACGGCATGTGGCCGTACTTCACCAAGTCGTCGACGGACGGGTTTGACGGTATGCAGGTGGACCCCCGCTGGGCCACGCGGATTTACTACAACTGCGACACCCCTGACTGCACGGTGCAGGAGTGGATCGACACGTCGGCCGGCAGCGGCGACTTCAACGACCTCCTGGAGATCGAGAAGGCAGAGACGATGCGCCACCTGTTCTCACTGCACCACGCCGGGTACATGTTCCACCAGGCCAACCTGCGCAACGCAGACGTCGACCCCGTCACGGTCAACGGTGAGACGGAGCAGTGGTCCATCTTCCAGGCGTGGGTTGAGGTGCAGGTGCAGGAGTTTGTGCGCCTGGTGGATTGGCCACTGGTGACCGAGAAGCACCAGGACGTGAGTTTTCCCCCAAACATCACCGCAGTAGAGTACCCCGCTAATAAACACAATAGATGTCCGATTCGTTCCTCGCTCGCTACACCCGCGACGCCTGCCAGTACTCTCTGCGCTACGCAGTCTCCAATGGCCAGATCACCGGCGTAACGGTGTCGGCCAAGGATAGCACCTGCAAGCGGCCAATCCCGGTGACGTTCGCCGTGGAGCCGACCAGCACGCAGGGGTTCAAGACGGAGCAGCTGGGCAGCGACCCGCTGACGGTGTGGGTGCAGCTGTCAGGGTCGCCTGTGACGTTTACGCTGTCGACGCCGATTGAGTTGTAGTGGGATAGCATAGCTGACGGCGGGGGGATCTACTTCGATGGCCACAGACTTATGGTAATAAATTAGCTATTGGAACGATAGTAATTAATCAATGCGCATTACTCTTTGCATCACATCTATCTCAAATACCATCAACAAGGTAAGAAAGAGTCGTCACCCAAACCCACCATACCACCCCAAGCACAACCAGAACCCAACGCCTTGCACCACCACAAGAGGTAGCACATCGCAATAACTTAGATATCAACCATACCAACCTAAGTCCGAGCATAAGCCGATTCGGGTCTTATATTCTAGTGCATCAACTGAGACAGCCCAGTCTACACTAGACAATACTGCCAATATCTCGGGCACAAACCAGCAACACCTGAGCATCTTCTACATAGGCGATGTACCCACGTACCTACCGAGGTCGTGGCTCTGTCCGGCGATTGGGAGCAGCGGTAGATAGGTCGGATGCACGGATATACTTAGTACCTCCTTAGCAGCCTTCATGGGATACATTATTGGAAGTATTGAGCAAGCATGTTTCATCGTTCGTGTTCGGTGAGAGGGGATTGGCTGGGCTGATGTGGTATGGAGCTGGTGTCATTTTTTCCTTCCTGTTTTGTTTTATTCTTTTCTTTCAGACATATATGTGTAGTTGATATTGCAGTGATTCAGGCAAGTAAGAAAGTACCCATCTAGATCTCCATCTCGATCTAATATCTATATCCGTACAATAAAGAAAGTCAATTAGAGTAGTTATATCCAGGTTTATATTACAGTACCATCAGCCACCGGCAATCAGCCGAAGACGACCCGTCACCGACAGCTATGCATAACACACATTTTATCACTGGCCATGTTTACGGTGTGGGTGGGGTTATTAAAAAGGCCTGGCCATGCTCGGAGACGAGTGTGTTGGCAGAGAATGAATGACTGGTCATTTTTCCCCCTGTCTTTTTTTCACCCCCTCTAATAACTGATTGGCTTGGTATTTTCCGTCACTGGCTCTGGAGATGCCGACTCCTACCTGTTCAGGAGTTAGGTGTGGTAGTATATTGATGGAAGCAAACAGTGTTGAAGAAACAACGTGGCAGTGGAGAGACATTGCTGGACTTTTGACAATGTCTTAATACGGGGGCGAGTGGCGGAAGAAATAACCGACGAATCATGATTGATTTATGCACACGGTAATTTACGGTGTTAGTTCTACTAGGTATCACCCGTGTACTGTCAAGAAAGGACCTTATATGGTAAATTACACCCCAGACATGGATGTCATTTTGCAATACCCAGACCCGAGTGAGCATCGTATGATTGGAAGGGTTCCAGTTGACCAGAACTCTTTTTTTCTCTGTATCACTTGTTTCCCCCTGTTGAAATGGTGGAAGGGATTGATCCCCCTTCCTTCCCACCTGTCTCTATCCTAATTGACAGCCTTTCATGAAGGTTACTGAATGAATAAAGAAGGAAGAGTGACTGGCGGGTGTCAAAGAACCAAGCCAGCGCTAACAATATCGCTCCCTCTCTGCCACTGGCCCAGCCATTAGGCTGCTTTATTCTTCTGGTCACCTGAGCATGGGCCTAGATCGGCGGCTAACCATCCATCCTATCTGATCGCTGATCGTTGAAGCTACTCCTAACTTTATTTCTTCATATCCATCGTCCTATTTCCTCACTTGATAATCATCTTATCTTACTTACACCCACAATCGAGGGAGATAAATAAAAAGAGAAAGGAAAACCACAAAAAAAAAAAAAAAAAGAAAGAAAGAAAGAAAAGAAAAGAAAAGAAAAGAAAAGAAAAGAAAAGAAAAGAGATCAAAAAGAAGAGGAAAATGACAGCCGAACCCCTGAAAGCCCCCTCAGGCGGCTTCAAAGCCTGGTCCACCAAGAAGAAACTCCTCGTCGCGCTCGGCATCCTCGCCGCGATAATCGCCCTCGCCGTCGGTCTCGGCGTCGGCCTAGGCGTAGGCCTCAACAATGACGACGATGATTCCGACTCTGACTCCTCCGACGACTTCCCACCCGGCCACTCCACGCCCGCCAAATGGCAACCCGCAGTCGGCACAACGTGGCAGATCGAGCTTCTACGCCCACTCAAAGACACATCCGTCGATGCAAGCGTATACGACATTGACCTATTCACGAACCCCAAGTCAACGATAGACGGGCTGCACGACAAAGGCCGCAAGGTCATCTGCTACTTCTCCGCAGGCAGCTACGAGAACTGGCGCCCTGACAAGGGCGACTTCGCGGCTGAGGACCTCGGCGCCGTGATGGACGGGTGGCCGGACGAGAAGTGGGTGAACGTGAGCGGGAAGAGCGTGCGGGACGTCATGTCCAAGCGACTGGATATGGCGGCCGAGAAGGGCTGCGACGGGGTCGACCCGGATAATGTCGACGGGTACGATAACAAAAATGGTGTGGGGTTGACAAAGGCGCAGGCGGCGGACTTTGTCAATTGGTTGGCGGACGAGGCCCACGCGCGCAATATGTCGGTGGGGTTGAAAAATGCGGCCGCTATCATTCCGGCTGTGATTGATAATATGCAGTGGAGTGTCAACGAGCAGTGTGCGCAGTACGAGGAGTGTGATACGTACGCGGCGTTCATCGAGAAGGACAAGCCCGTCTTCCACATCGAGTATCCCAAGGGCGATACGACGAACAATAACGCCCGGGTGTCGCAGACCAAAGTGGACAAGGCGTGTGATTTCCAGGAGTCGGGGAATTTCTCCACTGTCATCAAGAATATGAATCTGGACGATTGGATTCAGCATTGCTAGGTAGGTTTCGCAAATCTGCTTGGATGCTGTTTTGTATACTGTTTCAAGTCTCGAGTGTACGAATTTCGTCTAATATCATTCCATCCTGTATCTTGCCTTCTCACATCCTGTAATCATAGCATCAATAAATCAAGAATAAAGCCACCTCGTAGCTCCACCAAGTCCAACCATGGAACAACCCAAACAACAAAGACCAACACCAACACGAAACAACGCAACCAGCTCACCCCCGGTCTCCCCCGCCGACCGCCGACACGACGCGGACATCGGCGAGTCCGTCCGCCCTAACGGCCCAACAGCAGACCTCCAAGCCGAGTCGGCAACAGACAGCCAGCCTTGGTAGATACATAAGGTAGTATACATGACTAAAATAGTGAAAACCACGACTAAAATAGTGAAAACACTGCAAGTAAGCACAGTGGGGCCCGTTCGGGCCAGATCTATAATAGTGGATATAGATGCTATCCGATCGACTAAGGTTCGGGATATGGGTCTGCTTCATTTGAGGTAGTAGTCGAGGATCCGTTTAATTACCACAATATAAGTTAGGTACTCAACATGTATGCGATATAGCAGAGGTATGTTACAAGACGTAAAAATGGTATTTGCAATCAGATACATACAAAACGAGACAATCCCCGAAGTAAGCCGTACATAAAATACCAACAATGGACTGGTACCTACCTCGATCCTAACCGCCACATCTTGTCGATTACATTCTCCGTGTGGACTGATCCCCGCGAGGATCGAGTCAGTGCGCTCGATTATGCGGGTGTTCCTGATATTTCCATCTTACAGTCAGCCGTCAGAATGAGGCCAGGAACAATTCCTTCCATCCATCATCTATCGAAGCAAAATAGGTACGGAGGGCATGTATTAATTTGGGTACCGTACACTCTGAAGAATGCAGCGCAAGGTAAAAATCATTTTTCTCCCATCCAAGCAGGCAAGAATGAGACATTTCAAATCCGATTTGAAATCTCAGGCGATTGGCGCCTTGGCTGCGTTGTTAGTACTTGCTGGGTTGGTACTTTAGTTGGTTGCTTCCTGCCTGATTCATTTCTGTAAGGCTTTAGGGCTTCTGGGATCACGGATTACGCCTGCTTTACACTTATAACCGGTATTAAATGCCAACAGTGATAACTACTATCGGTAATATAGGTAACCACCATGTACTGATATACAAATAGATCATCCGTCGATCCGGCACACTGCCGATCGTGACACCGCTTAATTAACAGGTCGTCGTTCGTTCGTTCGTTCGTATTTTGCATCTCTAGTGGCGAGCAGGTATGTTAGCACTCACTCACTCACCCACTAAACCAAAGTCGAGCCAGACATCAAACGCACAGAACATGTTGGGCCGAACGGGCAAAACGGAGATAGGATGACCAGTTATCTCCAGTAGGACAAACAGGATCGGACTCAATCCTGAAGCGAGGTTTGCGTCTGTCTGTCCACCCACCCGGTCAAAAGTGACATGTTCCATGGGTGACAGACCGGAGAACTGGTACAAACTACTACCTACCTAGTTACCTATCTGTGACCTACCTACTATGCATAACCCTTGCCCCCCCCCCCCCCCCCCCCCCCCCCACCACGAAACTTCAGTCCCAACTTACTCCGCGGAGAGAGCCCAACACTTGCGTGGAGTCTGGTTGAATTACTCCGATGCTACACATCTGATTAACTTTCTTTCTCTTTTTTTTTTTTTCTCCGATGGATGGTTGTCCTACAATCTTACTATACTTTCTTTCATCCGTAGAATGGAGGGCTAGGTTCTGTTTCCATACCTCGCTTCTATGCCATCTATCTCCCCACCCACTCCGTACACAATACAAGAATAGATAGATAGCTAGATACATATGTAAACATGTATGTACGTACATGCATGTCTTACTCCAACCCCAAAGAAGACAATGTACAAATCAAAACAAAGCCAAAAATATATAATATGCACGTAGTACACCCCCATTGTCCATGTTTTAGATCTCCTCTCCCTCCCCCAATATAGCACGTCAGACAGGGCCCCGGCCTCCTACCACTCTTTTCTCCCCCCTTCATTCCTCATTTCGTATCCGTTATCGGGGCTTACTATATAACGGAAACCTACTTTTATATACGCATATATATAAATATATAAGGCAGGACTGGTTAGGTTTGACATACCCGAGGGGAGGGTTTACATTACATCTGTTGTTGTTTGGGCCGCGGGTGTCCTTCTTTCTTTCCTTCTTTCTTTATTCCTTCCTTCCGTCCTTTGTTTCTACGTTTCTTTTTCTCCTTTCGGACTGGAGGGTAGGTGCCCTTGTTAGGGCTAGCTGGCTGGTTGGCTGCGACTTCTTTTTTTGCCACTGGCTGCTGGCAACGTGGACCAGATCGCATTGGCGGGTGAGTTAGGGCTAGCAGGGAGGTTCGAACGTTACAACGCTATTTGAAAATTACACACAGTCATGTATTTCAGTCACTATAAACTGATCAATCGACTACTACCTATAAAATCTACATCAGATATAGCATCCAAACCAAGACAGCAATGCACCCCACCATCCAATTAAACTCTCTCCCAGGTAAAACACTCATATGAATCATAATTACAAATCATCAGCCCGACCGGAGAAATGCAGCCCTCTCATCTTATCAGAGCTCTCATAGCGCCATCACGCTCACAAACTCACTCCATCTGTCCCCAAAGCTAGCGTAGTAGTCCGTGGATAGGTGCGTGATGAACACCTCGTCTGCAACTCGTCGGACTTGCTTCACTAGCCCTCGCAGCTTGGACCCTTCCACGCTGTCTGGGACCGAGTGGATCACCGCGCACAGCTGGCCGCGCCGGCTGTTCGGGATGGCTTCAAATAGCTTAGCGCCGTGACGCTCCTGGAAAGTGGCATACGATGCCTCGAAAACGACAGTCGAGTCGGCTGACGGCAGGTAGCGAGAGTCGGGGATCACTCCTGGGTTATGGACGACCTGCAGAGGTATTATTAGCACTGATAGCACCCGTATAATGCATGCCATATAGGTAGACGGGGCGATCAAGGAACAAAATGAAGGCGAGAGAAAGGAAAAGAACGGTAACAGATAGCAGGTAGAACCAGAAAATACGTTGACATACAAAGTTGTCTGGACCAAGCCCCGGTGTGGCCTTGACGAAGTCCGTCAGATTTTGCAAGTAAGCCAAGGCCTTGTCGCTGTACTGCTGGGGCGTCTCATCAAAGAATATGCCCCGAACAGCGAGATCAGGGTTGGAGCTTTTTTCCGGCCAAGCTGCGTAGGTCTCAATATCCCTACGCACCAAAGAGGCGTCGCGGGTCGCGTATGTGGTCGCAACGTAGCCCAGCAGGCGCACGTTGCCGTGGGCCGCGAGTTTAGGAACCTCCCGGGTATAATTGCCATCTGGCAGGGCATTGGGACCTGGGCCGCTGCCGGGATTAATCACCACGGTGAAGTTGACTTCGGGGTGAGTCGAAATCCTGTGGCGTTCAGCTGCGTTCGTCTAACGGTGAGGCTTACAGGGGAGACACATGAGTAGATAAAGTAAACGAAGTGAGAACATAGTCAGGAAAGGGGATCTTCTTTGAACAAATGACTCAGACTTACACCTTTTCCAGCGGCGCCCAGGCCTCCGCCGCAGGGTACACATAGAGAGGTACGAAGACGCTGGATTTAGGTCCCATGCTGTTTTTCTTGCGTAAGGTCACCACGACAGCCGGTGGAATGATGACAGCGAGAAGAGCGATGGAGGCAAGGGTAGCCAGAATGATTTTAGACCGTCGGCGCTCTCTCCAGCGCCGGCTCACGTGTTTTTCCGGCTCCATGGCAGACAACGATTCAGCAAGTTACAATGCAGCCCAACTTGCTTGGAACACTTTCCAAACGAACGAAGGCGAGAAAGAAAAGAACAACGTCTAGTATGTTAAATAGGACTAGTCAGATCAGAAGGATCCCCGAGTTTAGTAAACAGGAGTGATGGGCAGAGGGTTTGGGCTTTGAACAAACCTTGTCACAACGCTGGCACTTTGAACCGCTCCATCTGTAAACTATAGTTAGTTAGATCTCTGTGCCTAAAATAGAGCGGGGCTGAAAGAGAGAAGTTGATACAGCCCAGCAGCAAGTCAATGGTCCTCTTTTGTCGCATCGGAACTGCAGGTTGATGTCGTATCTGTCGTGGTTCGGTCGAACAGACCCATTCCCAGCAAGCCCTAACTCCTCTATTCTTACTATTCTCGGTCACTTCCATTTCTCACACCCAAGATATTCTCCATGTGCCTTTCCATCTTACCTTAGGCCAGTGGAGGCGCCTGGAGTTCGCTCGATATTGCCCCATCTTGTTCCATAGGCGGTAAATCTCAATCTGAAATCATCAGGAGCGTCTAGACATATCTGTCTTCCGACAAAAAGGCTAACAGGGTTGGCTTGAATTTTCTCCCCTCGTTTTCGGGTTTATTATTTTTCTACTGATGTTTTTTTTTCGTTTATTCTGTTTTTTTTCCTAATTCCCCCTCGCGTTGGCAGTTCGTGATGTTTCTCATTTCCCTTGCAACCATTCGTTTTTGATGATTGTTTTCTCCTTTTAAATAAGTCAGTCACCAATCACGGTATATTCTCCTGACCTGACTGTTAGATACGGCGGTTACATCGGCGAGCCAGTCAGGGCGCGTGTCTGTCCTCCAGGGGGTATAAGATATGTGAGCTCCTTTCTTCAATATCCAACGAGGGGTCACTCGCTCTCGATTTTCTTCTTCCTTTCCTTTTCCTTGTATTCTGCTGCAATATTCTTTTTTGGCCTGTCAAGCCTTGGACTCGCCCCTCTCTCATATTTCTTTTCTCATTGACCGCAAACCAAACCGGGGAAACTTGTACCTCCGACTATGGAAAGTCCTCGATTGATTGACAGGTATACTCCGGGGGAGCCTTATTCTCCGGTATGTGTGGACACGCCGGCTACGCAATCATCCGTCTTGTTTGATGGAAATCTAGAGGAACTGTTGCGCAACTTTCCTCTGGATCAGTACATTCTGGTCACCGGAGGACTGGGGTTCATTGGAAGTCACACAACATTGGAGCTTTTGAAGGCCAATTACAATGTAGTGGTGATCGACAACCTTAGTAACTCTTTCCGAGAGGTCTTGGACCGCATCTACCTGCTGGCATCCAAGCACCACGAACTGCACGGCACCAAAATGCCCGAGCTGCATCTGCATGCCCATGATTTCCGGGACACTGTCGCGCTTAAGGGCCTGCTGGAGCAATACCAGGTGAAGTCACGGTGGGGGACACCCAAGTCCAAGATATCGGGCGTCGTTCACTTCGCAGCCTATAAAGCCGTCGAGGAGAGTATCCGGAGTCCCTTGAAATACTACGCCAACAACGTGAGCGGTTTAATCGACTTCGCCTCCACGCTGGGCGACTTCGGCGTCAAGACTTTTATTTTCTCCTCGTCTGCTACAGTATACGGTACATTAGCGACATCTGGCCTCCCTCTGAGGGAAGAGCTGTGCGTCCACAAGAAAGAAGCCTTTCATGATGACGACGGCTCTGAGCGTGCCGTCCAGTCAGGCTGCACGGGCATCACCAACCCTTATGGACGCACCAAGTGGATGTGTGAAGCCATTTTGGCTGACCTCGCCGCGTCGGATCCGGAATGGACCATCGTCGCTCTGCGATACTTCAACCCCATCGGTTGTGACGAGTCGGGTCTTCTAGGCGAGGACCCCCGCCAGGTCCCCACGAATCTTCTTCCAGTCGTCGTCAAAGTTATGACCGGCCAGTACAGCGAGCTTCAGATGTTCGGCACCGACTGGGAAACGGCGGATGGGACCGCCGTCCGCGACTTTATTCACGTCACCGACCTGGCTCGAGGCCATATCGCCGCCCTCAGCGCCGCCAACGAGGGTAAACTTGTCGAGAACTTCCGCACCTTCAACCTCGGGACGGGTCGGGGTCATTCGGTAATGGAGGTGGTAGACACTATGGAAAGGGTGTCCTCGAAGCGCATCCCAACGAAGGCTGCCAGCCGCCGTGCGGGGGACGTTGGATCCTGTGTCGCTGTGGCTTCTAGGTCACAGGCGGAGCTCCAGTGGCGGACAGAGAAGACACTGACTGACGCATGTGTCAATCTTTGCAGTTTCTTAGATGTCAGCGGTCTCTCTTCGTGAGAGTTTTGCATTAGATACGTTGGTTATGGATTTTGTGGGTGGCGCCCGGTGGTACTTGAATTTTCCTTTTCTAATTTTCTCTTTCCTTTTGTCTTTTCTTTGCATCCTCAGACACTTCAGTGATCCACTGCACCACAAGTCTCCAGTCTTCTCATAGTTTCTATAATCTGTTACACCATTGACGATATCCCAGTGATTCGTCCTATCCTGTAATCTTTTTAATGTTAATGTATTGTCTCTTGATTGTGGGAGAAGGACTAGGGATTAATACTTGTTCATAGAGATATTTACTCCCGGACCTCAACTTCGACAACTTTCCTACACAGCCTAGAACCAAATAAGTAGAAATTAACGATTAATTTGCCTTCTTTCAAATCTTTTGGAAAGTCTCGAGGTATACGGGAATTTGGAACGGACACATGGGTTGTGTTTATACCTTAAGAAAGGAGAAAAAGCGCGCACCTGTTGTCTAGAAATTCCGGTTGGATGTGTGCATAGCACTTACCATTTACCTGTTTTCTGCACATCATATCCACAAATTCCTTTCCTGGACCCAGAGCCTATTATTCTTTAGCTGTTAATGTTCACCAAGAAAATGAGGCCTCCGTCCACCGGTACATGAGCAACGAAAGAGCCTAGATGGACATTTTCCGATGCAGCCAGAATGGCTGCCTATCATCATGTCAAAGAGTCCCTCGTCGTACCTGGGATAATTGATTATACCTTAACCCAGTACTGGTCTGGCGTACTTGGGGTCATCGTTCCGGGCCGTTGCCAGCCTAATAAGATACGAATAGATCAGAACTTTCCCTGTCACATCACACACCCACTCACTAGTAGTGGCGACAGGATCGCTCGTATGTAGTTAGGTTGAGAGAACGCCGACTCTCGCAGGCCTTTTGTGCAACGTGCTACGACCGATGATCAAGACATGACCACACAGTACTTGGGTTGTTCTCTTCACTTTCACAGACAACCCTCGAGGTGAGTTTTCTAGCTCTAGACAGCGTGCTTTATCATCAAACACTCGCCAAGTAATTGGTAATAGTGAAATAGTATCAGAATGAGTCCAGATATGAAAGAATTCGTGGCCTTGACTCTTATGGATACACTTGGGGTGTTCTTTTTGCGTGTTGTCATAAGGAAGATGGGAGTGAATGGCAGGAGTAGAAATATTCCGAGTTGAATTTACGAAACATTGGTATGGCCTGATCAGACAGCTACGCTTCCACGTACAGCTTCTTTCCTAAAAGGGTAATTCTGGTAGAGCCCCGGCCACCTCGGTCATCGATCCCTCCAAGTTTGACGCTGTTCGAGCTGTTGTCAATCCGAATCCAATTAATTTAAAGATGAATCTCAATGGTACCATTTTACATCATGCTAACTTCACAACCACTTAGTCTTTCCAAATATTAAGACTATCTATCCATATTCATTTCCATATCAAGCTTTGTGTTTTTTTCTCAATATTGGATAGAGACTATGAAGTCCATCGTCTCCTCCAACAGAAAGCTCGGATAACGGGTGGTGTTCAGCGCCTGGCTTCTCCAAGTCTATTTCCATACAACACCTCTCCAAAATCAAAAATCATACAAGGTCTACCTTACACATTTAGATCATGCCATAAAATGACGTATCCTTCTAATGTAAGGCATCAGTGCATGACCAAAAAGCTCCGACAATAAGAAACAAACCCTCCGTAGCGACATCCGCTATTCCCAACCATGACGACATCCAAACACAGATCTCCAGTAGAGTCATATATCCCAGAGCCACAGTAGTACCAAAAACCAACCATCAGCCCACTCACCACGTAAAAACCAACAGCCCACGCACTACACTGCACTGCATCTGCCAGCTGGCACATCACCACATAATACTCATCCATACTATCCAACCAGATATCCTCCGCAAGGCGGGAACCAACATCAAGTCTCAAAACCAACACTCCGCTCCCCTCCCTCCCTTCCCCTCCCCAAGGGACGGCTCGGCTTCGCGCAGATGCACACGCACGGCTCAGATAGTATCACTTTCTATCACCCCTCAAACAAAAATTTACACCCTACCGGATCACGGAGCAGAGCGTAGGAGCCCAAAGCCCAACTGCCCGTTGTCATCCCACCTCATCTGCCTTGCACACAAAACAAGGCAAAAAAGATCTGCACTACAAGATAACCGATGAAAGGATACCCCAGAACACATGAAACACAGCCGAAGTAAAAGGTTGACTGATCTTCATCCATTCCCCACCCAGCACCACCACTACCACCATCTATCAGAATAGGAATTATCCGAGCCCGTCAAGCCGGTAACCAACCGCCCGACAAGGCAACGCACCTACCAAGCTAGCTGGGTCGCCTGCTGTATATTACTGGCCAGTGCTGGTGGGCTTCTAGATTGGGGGTTGCATATGCAGGGATGAAGTGGGCTTATGATAGGGTTTGAGTTTTCTTTGTCACGAATACTGAAGGGAGGGAATGGATGTATGTATGGTGGGGGGAAAAGGCAAGATGTGCTGTCTATGCGAGTCTGAGTTGAAGGTTTTGTCTATGTATATAGTATGCAGTATGCAGTATGTAGGATGTATGTATGATTCATGTGTGTATGTATCTACTGTGCATGGAGAAGAGGCAGATGCAGATACAGATGCAGGATCCTGGTCAAGAACAAGACCAGAGATGATGTGACTATACGGGGTCCGTGTCTTGGGATTGATGCTACCTGTCCGCTGGGTACCAACTACTTCCCTATCGGGTGTCTCTACCCATAGGTGGGTATCGGGGCATGGACTACGAGCACTGACGACAACGCACCACAGCAGTGGGACACACTGAGACAAGAAACGACGCTGACGATGACAAGCGGTGTCAAGAGCCCCGACTCACCGTCGCCGGAAAAGTAAAACATGCTCCAGAATCACACCGAGAAAACAAGGAAGGGGAAAAAAAAGATAAGATAAGAATGGAAAGAGGATCGAAATCTCCGACCCCTTTTCTGATCAACATCCATCCAACCTATCAACACGTTAACCTGCTTTCAACAGATCGTCTGGCGTGGATCCCAATGACGAGGAAGGTAACTATCGACATAGGGCTAGCCGCGGGGAGGAAGGGCTTGGATGCGGGTGGATAATGTTATATAAAAACCACTAGGGCGAGTGTCTGTCAACCCGCGCGAATAAACTCAAAGGTGGAGTCTGACAGGGTTGTGTACGACCGAGTCTACGAGGTCTCCGAGGGTTTACCTCGCAGGGATACTACCTCGTCTGCGGTGCTCGGGCGGTTGTTCACTGTTGTCAGTGGTAGATTCTACCTGCTGCGACGAATCGACTGATGATAGATGATTATGATCTAGTCATCTCATCTGCCTGTTGTACATCAACAGATGTATGTGTCATGTCATGCACGTGAAATGAACCAAATGGAACCGAAAACTGGATAGAATGGCGACAGCGCACTGGCTGGACACTGGACAGAGCTCCTTCCACCCTGCGTGTCGGGTCCAGATTAGCGGTGTAATCAACCCGTCAATGCGAGCGGTACACTCTATCATTGGATAGATTAATTAAGGGGCTCCATAGAGTCGGGTTATTCACCATGAATACTAACCTACTAACCTAGTGGAAGAGGAAGGAGATCCCAGTCTCACCGGACATTCACTCAATGAACGCCCGCTATTTCCCCTCCCCCCTCCCCACCCCCCCCCCGTTTTCTCGTCCAGCAGGAGGGTTGGGGGGGTTTTCCTCTCGTTCCCACTATTTCCCACTTTTTAATCTAATTTGTGGGATTGGTGTTCCTTTGCAAGCGCCGGATTCGTGGTCTATCTTGATTCTTGGCAGACGAATGCCACCTCCGCAGTTGACCTGTCACTTTGGATGAATATCAATGGAGTAAGATATAGGCTTTTTTTGATTAGGGCGGAGGCTAGCGCGTGAGACCGGCCCTTGCGCTAGATAAGTACATGTCGAACCTTTTTCCATTTTCATTTTTTATTTCTTTACATTATTTGGTCTTATTCGGTTTTAATTAACTAATTGATTGTTATTCTTTCCTTTTCGGAAGGATATAATTCTCTCAATGCTTGGCTTTCCGGTGGAAAATGCTTTCTATCATACATATTCAGGGGTTGTCGTTCCTGGGAAGATGGGTTAGGGCTACTACGTCACCTGGTGCTTTTCCGTTCTCCGCTTGAGATGGGAGGAAATAACACCAATAGGAATGATTTGGAATTCAGACTCTGGCGCTTCTCACATCATGTCGAAAAGCAGAAGGCCGGGTATCGCCATTCAGCACTTAAAGTAGAGGATACGCCAAGAAATGAGAAATACACTGATCAGCGGCAGGCAGTGGGGCCAGAAACAGGTAAATCCCCCGGACCCTGATAAGGTTCAGCTACACAGTCCTGTTCAGGCCGAAAGATGGTCCAGCGCAGATGGTTCCCAATGTGGGAAACGGTCTGAACTTGCTGTTGCATTAGCAGGTTACTGGCATTTCATCTTAATGGGGAGAAAGGAAAGAAGGAGATAGATGAAGAGAAAGAGAAAGAAATTAGAAAGAAAAGAAAGAACAAAAGAAAGATGAAGGGTTTGGTCGGACGCTGACAGGGACTTTTCTCCGTCCCGACATTGTGGCACAGATGGCAGCTGCTCTCGTCAGTCTAGGGCTCTAAAAAGCAACAGGCTGGAAACCAAAGAATAAAATAAAATAAAAATAAGACAAATGATAAATGAGTGAAAGAGGAAATAGCACGAACGATACTGGGACTGTCAAACTGCAGGGATCCACCTACTGGACGAGTTGGCGCCGTGGGCGGGGAGAGCGATACCAAATCCACCGGCTTTGCGGTGGGAAGGGATCAGAGTGAACCGCGCCCGATTGAAAATGCAATATCGCTCGCCCTGCAGGAATGCATGCTGGGATGCTTGTGAGTCTAGAGCAGAGATTCTCCACCCCTAAGCAAGTCAAGGGGGAGTTGCATCCATCTCGTCCAGTTGGTGGGATAGCGAGATGCTAGCCACTGTAGCCACTGACTGGTAAGCGCCGCTAGCTGCTAGCCATCATGACGGACCCTTTAGATCGATGATCTATTCCTAGTAATCTCCAGCAAACATTCTCCTCTTCAGCAGGATCTGTCCCTTTTCCCTGTACCTCGAAGATCAGGCTCAGGTTCAGGCTCAGGCTCAGACCTGAGGGGAATGGTGTGCCCGTTCAACGTCATTTGCAACCAGTCACATCAGGGTAATCCGGACGGTCTTCTCCGGAGGTTGGCTGCATAAACGGTTTCTTCTTCTTTTTTTTTTTTTTTTTTCTTGCCTCTATTATTATTATTTTTGTTTCGCTTCTTTGATTTCAAAATTGATTTTTGTTCATTCATCCGCATTGTTGTGAAGGTCCCACAGACGGGGGTCAGCTGTACAGGGGTTGAACACGTCTCGACGCCGTGCAACAAGGGTCAGGAGTCAATCTTATTCGGTGAGATGCAAGTGCTTGTCATCAGCGGGAGCATCCGAGAGCAATATGGGTCTTTCTCTGACCGCGACATGACATGTTGGCCGTGCTGTATGGATGTCCGTCCGTCTGCCTGTCTGCCTGTATGTACGTGTGATTGTGTTCTTTGGATGCATTGAACCAGGTCAATCAGCCTAGCTGAGTGAGAAATCGATCGATCGACCCTAGGATGAAGATCTCCCGATAGTGTTTGCAAGAGGGTCCCTCTCCATCCACTGGTCCCTCCACTGGTCTTTCCATCCACCGGTCCTTCCACCCACCGGTCCCTTCCCTCTTCCCCCTCCCTCCCTCCCTCCTCTCCTGGCGGAGCTATATAAAGTCAGTGTCGGTTGCTCCGTCCGGTAGCAATTAAGCTCAACGGTTTAACGAGACGTGCGCGGAACCATTGAAGCCACAAGGCCATAAAGTTCAACCCGTCCACGATCTTTAATCTCATTTGCGACCATTGCTTGACTCTGTCTTTATTTTATCCTGAGCATCCTCTTTTCCATTAAACCTTTGTCGCATTTGCCCACCATGCCTGTGAGATGTCCTTCCCATACTGTATCCCCCCAAATGGTGCTAACGGAGTTGTTGAACCAGATGCCCGGAGTTCGTTGTCCCACCTGTCAAGGGGAGGGGAAGGAGATCTGGGTGATCCCAGGGAAGGACTGCCACGTCTGTGGCACCGCATGCACATGATTTTCCACCGTACGTACCTCTATCAAAGAAGGCTCTTCTTGTCTGAGTGTCGCGCTGACTTGACATTTTCTCCGACAGAGGAATGCGCCTCGCAATTTACCATGCGACAATTGGGCCTCCGACTCCTCATTGAGATAGATTAACACACCGCCATCCCAAACCGATGACAGTGACATCCGGTCGCGATCTCTATGTCTCCAAACTTATATGCAATGAGGGGAGGAATTACACGGTGCAATTGAGGCGTTGGGGGTGGCTTATTCCGAGCCTGACACTGACAAGCTGGGCTGTGTTGGGATCGACATGACGAGGGAGACGGAAATGGCAAATGGCGACAAGAATTGTACGATATCAACGGCAGAAAGAAGAAAGGAAATCAATTAAGAAATAAAATTGGTCAGTGCTTTCATTGAGTTGCTTTGATTTGATTTTGCTTTTGTTTTTAAGGAAGGGGTGTGTGCGTTGCACGGACATTAGTGATTTTAGTGGAGTGGGCGATTATTTTGTTGGTGCCAGCCTCGTATCCATGCGGGTGTTCGCAGGCAACTCGACTATATCATAGATATTATATGTCCTCGTTACAGTTTATTTATATGATAGATCGAAAGAATCACCTAATCAGTCACTCAACATAAAACATCAGTATACCTGTTAGCAATATATCGCTGAACCAGCACCTCAACCCCGAGGAAAACTAAACAACGCTAGTATGCAGCATGCAATAGACGATGCCAGAGCAATGACAGTGCTAAACACTACTAAGTAATCTAAAACAAAGCACATCTCACAACTCGCCCCCTCCCCAATTCGCCAATCTAATCTAACACCACTGCAGCAGATGCAGGTCATCATCATGTGACTCCATCCCTGTATGCCCCAACGACGTCATCGATACCCCCACACGTTTCCCCCTCACCGTCCTCCTTCCCCATTACCCACCTTGACAGACGTCATCTATCTAGACTAGTGGAAGTAACTCCCATTCTCATGCTCCATTCCATCCGTCGATCAAAGAACACGCCAGCACGCTTACGACACGCATCCACCAGACGAGTAGAGGGTCGAGAGAGGATGGCAGCAGAAACGTATCCGATCGGCACGCGCGGCGAGTGCGAGCGTCTTGTGCGGGACTGGGGGTTCAGGAATGTGTTTACGTGGTCGGATGGAAGGTGTGTTTCCTATTTATATATATATAAGAGTAATTGATTTCCTGATATAATTTGTGGTTGACTGCAGTAACGCCCACTACCCCCCACACAGACACGGTGGGCTCACGACCCATCTTATTATCCGGGGGAGCATGACTGTCACGTATCCCGAGGATAATGCCTCGCTGCATGGCGGGGAGGTAAAGAAGGAGACGCATGGTGTTGGGGCTAGGGTGGATGTGCCGGCGGGTAAGTTGCATGAGGTGTGGATGGGGGATGGTGGGTGTGAGTATGTTATTGGGGAGTAGTTACTTTGTGCTTCAATGATGAGATGATTTATTTTGGGATACGCTTAATGTTCATAGGGAATGGAATGGCACTACTGGCTCTGGCTGTGTTGCTCGTCTTACTAGTAGTTGGTTATATTGTTTATTGTATGTATATAGTAGTACTTGACCCAAGCCGGCTGGGTCTGGTGCTAGCTCTTTTTCTACGGCTAGTGGATGAATCGGAAGTCGAGTCTGAGGTGATGTTAGTTGATATGTTCCTAGGTAAGGTCAGTGTAGATCCGACATACCGTTTATTTCCTTTATCCTTGTTCGCAGCCAAATAAGCCTCTCGCTCGGCGCTGGTCATCGGATCCCAGATGGCAGCTTTTTGTCTAGATGGACTGTTAGCTTGATGAGCAGCCAATAGGTTTTATGAGAACATACTTGTTACGCCAGGCATAATAATACTTGCACACAACAAACAAGAGCAGACTGTACACGGTAATTGCGATTAGGATCTTGTTGCCAGTCCGGTAGTAAGGCTTGTCATTTTCGCGATAGATCTGTAACCACGGAGTCAGCAAGCGCCATACCATGCATAAAACGTCAACACTCACATTATTGGCAATAATATTAGACGCCTGGACCGTCATATTATACAGCGCGGTGGCGACCGTTCTCGTTCGCACAGAGCCTGCATTTCTGGACGTCAGGGCCACCACCACGGCGTGGATATACGGGGCGCCAATCAGCAGGACGTTGATGATCCAGCGAGCCCACGGGCTGGCATCATCTGGCAAAACCACCAGAGCGATCAGCAGCACCAAGCACCACACTTCAGATACGATACCCAGAAGGAAGCGCTGCTGGAAGCGCTCTGACACCCACGTCCAGAAGAGCAAGTTGATAATAAAGATGACGTAGCTCGGGATGGTCAGGAGGTTTGTTTCAAAGGTGGAAAACCCGAGCGCCTTCAGATTCAGCGTGATGTAGCTCGTCGCGGGCGTGTTGGGGATCATCCAGGTCAGGCCCAGCAGGTAGATGAGCCACATGTCGTAGTCGCAAAGGGCATTCCAGAGCATCTTGGGCGATACGGCTTGCCGGTTGTGCATTCCTCCTTTGCTGGGGTCGTCGCGGATGACTCGGTTTACGAGGATCTTCTCTTCGTGTTCGTTGAACCAGCCGTTCTTGCCGCGGAAACCGCCCTTGGTTTGAGTCGGGGACGCGGGCATCCAGAATGCCGCGATAATGGCGATGACGCCCGTTATGAGACCCTCGTAAGCGAACAGGTATCGCCATCCACCTTTCCCGTCGTCGTCACGGATGTGTAGAAAACCAAACGCGAGAAAAGCGCCGATAATGGCCGTTCCTTGGTATGATACCCAGAAATAGCTGAGCCGGATGGGAAGTTCCTTTGACTTGTACCAGAAGGAGAGAAAAAGGATTGTATCCGGGATACTGCTAGTGGTCAGCCCCAACCACACCAACGGCATCAGAAAGTTCCGAATAACTTACAATCCACCCTCGAAGAGGCCCAGAAGCGCGCGGCATGTGAAATAGCCCGCCTTATTTTTCAGGAATGCCTGCATCGCCGCGATCAAACTCCAGCAAAACATTTGGATAGGGATCCACCGGTCCGGGCCGATCCATTTGGAGATAAGCTGAGACGGCAACTCGGCAAACAGGAACACCACGAAGAAAATGGTCTGGCCAGTGTTGTAGTCGTTGGTATCCATGCCCAAGTCTCCCAGCATATTGTCGGACATGGCCTGGACGACATTTCCTCGGTCCAGCTGGAGTGCGAAGAAAGTGATACAGGCAAATGTGCAAACCCGGAGGTCAATCTGACATCAGGTTAACCGTCGATCAGTCGGGCCAGACCGGCCGATACATTTGAATGAGCACGTACCTTTTGGATCAGACGCTTCTCCTCCTCTGGGGTCCAGTCAAAATGGGGGTCCCACCGGTGAATCCCCTCGTATGTTGGGATAGGCTTATAAAATCGAGGATCTTCTGTCATGTCAAAAGCGCATTCTTCTACACTCTTGATCTGCCCCTCTGCTGCGTCGACAGACGACGACGACCCAGACTGTATCTTTGCGTCGTCATCTTGTTTGACGGGCGCAACATGGGTCGCTGGCCCTTTGCCATCTTCGGAGCTCATCGTGTCAGGATGATGGAAAATGTATTGAACAAGGATGGGGAGCTTGCATCATATTTCTAGGAATCTTCCGGGCACTCCCCAGTTATAAGGCTACTACTCCGTATGTCCCTGCGCCATGTGCGCCTATCTCAGGATAAGAAAAATACCATCACGCAATTCCCAAGGCAACTTAGTGCCAGGCAGTAAGGGGTGCGCTCCAGCCCGCACGCTTTGCAGACGCCAAATACCGAGAGCCAATGAATCCAACAGATGAGATCGTTGGATAACCATGTTTCGGGCGCTTGGAAAAAAGTATCGATAGCTGAGCACGCGCTATGTGTGGATCTGCGGACAGCATCCGGGAATGTAACTCTTCCACGAGATCACATACTGGATAGTATGGGAAGTATGACCGTCAATCGAGGCATAAGATACCAATAGCGGAGATATCGTCATCATCTGGTTCAAACACGACACCGGGCCGACAAAAGTCCACGCGGAACTCTCGCAACTGAAGGGTATCACGCAAGTTCGACGATGGTGACGCTATAAAAAACGAGTCAAGAGAGCGGAGGTCAGCCGGGGTCTGCCTTAGGCTCCGTTAGCGGTTACTTAGAATAAATCGAGCTCCCTCCTCGACCTGCCAATCACACCTTCCTTGTCTCTAACATCCGTCCCATTTCACCATCGCTTTGGCTTATGGTATAATTCACCATCATTGTCACAGCATGAACTCTGGAGGTTCATCCTATCATGTATCGTATCGCTTTCCAGAACGGATCCTTGACGTTAACCTTGCACGCGGGCAGATAATGACAGGGTGTGCGGTGACAGGAACACGGCATGCCCCTGCTACGGCATCTGGGAAACCAAACGTCAAGATATACCTGGATTTTTCAAAGCTTGGACGCTCATATTCGATCAAGATAAAACCGGCCTTCTTTTGGTTCCCACCTGGAAACCCCTTGGTATGCGCTTGCTTAATGGCGCGAATGGGAGACACTATCACGCCATCCTTGGCCCACCCGACACGATGTATTCCCCCTCATCTGGAAACAGGTTGACGGAGTGAAACACGGCCCAGGAATCACGCCTGCTATGTTGGTCTGCTTAGTACGAACAGGAGCGGCATAACGCAGAAGATCGCTGCAGCCGTTGAATATAGTGCTCTCGTCGGATGCAGGCTAGAACCGTCGGAATTGTCCCTGCTGCAAATCAGCACTCCAATATGTCTATATGACCACATACATGATGTATAGCACGCCATACGCCAAACGGCGGGTATCTCATTTAATTACCGGGGCTATAGTGACGCCAGCGTCTACTGATTCGTGAAACACGTTCTATTCACACCAACCCCGCGGCGGCCTGAGGCGCCCCTCCACTCCAATACAGGAATGCGCATGATTATCAACGCATACCCCGCGGTTATTGCGCAATCTAGAACGGATAATCGGAAAGAAGTTCGGATTTCTGGGGGTATATCTGGGGGAGTGGTCCCAGTCTGGACTTCCGCACCTGAATCGAGAGGGCTAAATTGTCTATTGGGAACAATCGGGAATACTGACACATTATGGCTCCTTCTTTGACTGAGACTACGACGGACTTGTTGCGCACTGCGCCCATCGCGACTCTCAAGACCGATGGCGGTTTTAATAAGGAGAACGTCATCGGCTACGGGGACGCCTACAAGCACGAAAACGAAATTCAGGGCACGGCGAAGCAGCCTCCTGCTAAATATCCCCACTACCTTCCTGTATGGGACAATGAGACAGAAAGGTATGGTAGACAGGCAGCTGAACGGTAACTGATCACTGCTGACACGGCTGCAGATACCCACCGCTTGAACCCTTCGAGCACTATGACCATGGAAAGGACGCCGATCCAAGCTTTCCAGACCTCTTACCCAAAGACAAAGCCGTCGTTGACGAGCTAAGCCCGTCGATTGGCAGCGAGGTACATGGTGTCCAGCTGAGCCAACTTACCAAGGAAGGCAAAGACCAGCTGGCGCTCTATGTTGCCCAGAGGAAGGTTGTCGGTATGTCAACACCGATCCAATTTGCCCAGTATCCCATCGCTGGCCAGAACCCCACAACTTCCCTTCTTCCTACAGACACATCACCACTAACGTATTGCAGCCTTCCGCGACCAGGACTTTGCGTCCATCCCTATCGACAAGGCTCTAGAATTCGGTCGCTACTTTGGCCCACAACATATTCATCAAACGTCTGGTGCCCCCAAGGGCTTTCCGGAAATCCACCTGGTGCACCGAGGCGCCGACGACCAAACTGGACAAAAACTGCTGTCAGCACGCACCAACTCGATCACCTGGCACTCCGATGTTACTTTTGAAAGGCAGCCGCCAGGCACAACCTTCCTATATCTACTGGACGGCCCGACCACCGGCGGTGACACGCTCTTCGCCAACACGGCCAAAGCCTACCGTCGGCTGTCGCCCGAATTCCGGAAGAGGCTGCACGGCCTGCGTGCGGTGCATTCGGGTTTCGAACAGGCCAATAACAGTCTGAACAATGGCGGCATCTCCCGTCGTGATCCCATCACCACTGAGCATCCGATTGTGCGAACTCACCCTGTAACTGGCGAGAAAGCGATCTACGTCAACCCGCAGTGTGAGTACTCCTGCTACCTTCTTTCAACAACGTCTAATTGCTAAACCCGCGATAGTCACCCGATACATCGTCGGCTACAAGAAGGAGGAATCCGATTTCCTCCTGAAGTTCCTCTACGACCATATTGCTCTGTCGCAAGATCTGCAAACCCGCATCCGCTGGAGACCCAACACCGTCGTTGTCTGGGACGTGAGTTTTCCTTATCTTGGATTGAAAAATCAGGATCTAACTCGTATAGAACCGAGTGGCGGCCCACAGCGCCCTCTTCGACTGGGAAGATGGCCAAAGACGCCATCTGGGACGGGTCACGCCCCAGGCGGAAGCTCCGTATGAGACGCCCTTTGAGGGTGAATAAGTCACGTTGATGATATTACAGTTGTAACGGTTTTACGATGATGTGGGAATGTGTCAATTTATGCTTAATTTGGAACCCGAAACTCAAATGAACAAAAAGAAAATCATGTTGACAACATATTGACCACATAACCATGTCATCCAGCCGTAGTGTCGATGATACAAAAACTTCATCAGTAAAACACCATCAAATAGCCATTCAGATCCGATCGTGAAGTCACCCAAGAAGGTGTGATAAAAGGCGTGGTTGCGAAAGATAATAACATAAAGTCAAGAAAGTAAGCAAACATGGGGATTTAACAAAACAAATTGTCTCTCTTTCTCGCTCACCCGACCATCAAATAACACCCCTCTGCTCAAGAAAGCGCAACTCCCTGCGCAGAATCTTAACCAGAAACAGCAACCACACTAGCCACAGAATGAACACGGCGACGACGTGTATGAACAGTCCCTTGAGCGGCATGTCCTTCAAGATTTCCAGGGTTGATACTGGTTCTACATTGTGGGGAGTAGACGATGCCGAGAGTGGCTTGTTGTGGAGAAGTTCGTCGTCTTCTTCATAGATGCTGGAGGAGGAAACATCTTCCAGGTGTTCCCAGGTGATTTCGTTGTCGGAGTCGGTTGGGCCTGAGTATTCAGACGTGGGAGTTGAGGCGCCTTCAAAGTGTGCCCAGGTGATTTCGTTGTTGGGGGTGATGGGATATGAGCTTGGGGGGGTGGAAGGCGAGGGGGCGTCTTCCAGGTGTTCCCAGGTGATCTTGTTGTCGGGGTCGATTAGTCCTGAGCCTCGGGAGATGGGGGTTGAGACGTCTTCCAGGTGTTCCCAAGTGACTGTGTTGTCGGGGTCCGTTGAACCTAAGCCTTGACGAATGGGAGTTGAGGCGTCTTCCAGGTGCTCCCAGGTGACTGTGTTGTCGGAATCAGTTGGGCCCGATCCTTGAGGGATGGGAGTTGAGATGGCCATTTCGTTGTCTTTGTCTTTCTTTTGATGAAGTTCGAGGAGTGGGTAGCTATCTGTGTAGTGTTAAATGTAGAGTTAGTTTTAGTCTGATGTATAGCATGATGTTGTTAGTGACTCGACTGAGTACATACTGGTTTGTTATGATGGAAGCCGATGAGAGCAGTAGTTGTGAAGATGCACGAAGTCGATTGAGATGGATGGAGTTGATCAAGATGGATTTCTCGGATAGGGAGTCAAGAAGGCTCGAGAAGCAAAGTGACAAAGCTAATAAGGAATTCTAAACCCCGAAAGCTTGTCCACAATGCAGCGAAATCATCGAGTGAATGACAGCATTTCATACTTCATCGCAGATCACGAGACGTCCTTATTTGTAGATGTCCCGAACAGGGAAAGCGTACTTGATGAACTATAGACTGTATCACCAGTCTGCACTCAATATCACTTATGTTACTTTGCCCGGTCATACCGGTTCAAGATCCCCACCTGCCACTCGCGAAAGATCCGCCCTGATCCTGGGAGCATGCTGTTACTGCCGAGCAGCGCTTTGGTCATGGCTAAGAACACGCCTGAGGGTAGTCGCAGTTCCTCCAGGGACAGCGACGAGATCTTGCCGTGCGCGGGATGCAGTACTGCGTCGACGTCATCAACAGACTGGAAGAAGACTTTCATACCCTGCCGTGCAGCTATACTGTGGTTGGGGCTGGAGTTGGAATAGCGCAGGTCGGGGTTGAAGACCCAAAGCTGGTAGGTTTTCTTTGTCAGAAGACTGTCGATTAAGCTACACAAAAGGAAGGTGTACATACCAAAAGCCCATCCTTCTGTCCACAGTGGACGACGAACCGACGAGCACTTTCCCGTTCGATCAGCTCCAGGAGCTGGGCAGCGACTACCGTTTCCACGGATTGGGTCTCCCAGACCATGCCGTTTGGGTTGTCTGGGTCTCGTTTGCTGGCTGATATGTTTGTTTTGAAGAGTCTCCATCCTTGAGAGACTGTGTCTTCGACGCCGATCAGCGCGCTGCAGTTTTCGCATACGATTGTCTCGGGCTCTGGTTTAGAATCCCCGTCGGTTTTCTCCAGTTCGGCCTAGAAGGTCGTCTATCAGCATTTGCATACAGATACAACGAGGTTTATGAAACATTGATGAAAACTTTAGGGAAAACGCATGATCATGCCATTTGCAATCAATCTACACACTATTTTCAATGGTGGAGTTGTACTACAGATGCGATCTGCTGCTCAGTATGTACCTCGCTAAATCACGTCGACCCCATCGCTCTGGGAATTCGAATCAACGATGAAAAACGCAAGGCGAAGTCTCGACCCCAAGCGCGAGGGCTGGAAGTCGAACATGATAGCAACGGGAAGGCGAGAGCGAAATCCATCTGCGAAACAGAGGATAACTGCACCCGACTGTCCCGCCACGCACATGAACAGCTTCCTTCATGCCCACCGCGCCGTCAGATCGAGACCCAGTAGTTATAGGGCAATTGTATCGAAGGCAGATTCATGGTCCAGAAAGGCCTCCTTCTTGTTGCCCACTGTTACACAACGGGATAGGATAGAGTAGAGTTTTGAAAGCACTGGGAATAAGAGAAACAAGGGAAGAAAAACATAGTGAGACGTTACCTTTCTCAGTCCTCTACAATCCGCCTGCGCGACCAAAAACGTCGCCACGTCCACTAGGACCGTACCCTCCGACGCAAAAACCTGATTCGCCGCGCCATATCCTTTAACATCGGTCTGCTTCTCCGCATCATTAGTATCCCGGTCCGAAGGATGCGTGTCTGGTTTATGGCAGTGCCAGAAATCCATCATCTCCGCCCAGTTCCCACTAGGCAGATCCTTCCACACCCAGCCGGCCAAGTCACGTCCCTTCTCAACCTCACTAGGAGACAGAGACAGAGACGGCTCTAGAAAGACACTGGGGCACCCACGACACCGCACTCTCGTCCGCGGGCCCATATCTCTCGCCGTCCACGGCACGAACCCATCCAGACATTCGACCTGCGACGGTCTAGACAGCCCATCATCCTCGCTCTCGACCTGCATCCGGAACGAGTACTCCCGCATCCCATGCTCAACCCGCCCGTTGTTCGGCGCGTCTGTCCCGGCCGCTAGCACGCGTCGCGACGCCTCGACGACGCGGGCGGGAAGCTTCAGCGTGTCTGTTACATCGTCCGATGTCCCCGGGACAGAAACGGAGACGGTGACAGCTTTGCGGGAGGATGATAGCGAGATCTGGGGGTGGGCTTGTTCTGCGGGGATGCTGGCCGGAATGGAGACGTAGAGGGTGATGTGTCGGATGTTGGGGAGGAGCTCAGCATGGAGGTAGAAGGGAATAGCATTGTACCCGGTTGACGACATGTTAGGATATTTCTTGAGGTTAGTACGGCATTAAATATCTCTTGGTGCCATCAACACTATCACTACTGGCGGAGCTGGTGTGGAACAAACATGACACGAGAATATCTGGAGCTGCGCACAAACACTGCAAACTCGGCACCTTAGCACACCTACACGTGATATTGATATATTAATGCCTCAGGCAATAACTTTATCAGATCGATCTATTCAACTACACTATATTCACATTCACAATTACACGCAGATATAGTAGACTACCAAAATTAAATATAGTATGCAAATATAGGTTGAAACCATCACAGACCTACGCCGCCAACCCCTCCACAACCCGCACCGCAGCCCTCAAATAGAGTCCGTCAGCATCCCCCCAAGTCCCCGCCGCCTCCTTGAGCGCAAGGACACTCTGCGCGGAGAGCGCGTCTACACGGGGGCCCTGCACACATTGCGCAGAAACCCACCCCCAGTTGCGACCGTCCAGGTCATGCTCCTCCTCTTGCGGTTGGGCTCGGCTCGACAGAGGCGGACGCCCCTGCGCGACGTAGACCCGCAGCGTGAGCAGCCACCACTGGCGGAGGAGGGGCTCGTGGAAGCGGCCCGGGATGAGGGGAATGAGGACGCGGACTGCGTGGGCGGCGGCGAGGATGTTGAGAAGGGATGGGGTGTCGGGCGATGATGGGCTCGGGCCAGACGCAGCGAGAGAAGCGGCTACCTCGAGCGCTTCGCGGAGCTGAGCGTCTGCGTTTTGGGGATCGAGAGTCCAAGCGTAGTAGTGATATAGGAGGATAGATTCTGCGTCCTCGTCGTTTGTGGGGGTGAGGGAGGAGAAGCGCTTGTCTTTGTGGGCGGTGGTGAGGATCTCTTGGAAGGAGGTCGAGTGGTAGGTTGTTTGTTGGGAATGGGGGTGTTTTGGGGTCGGTGGGTTGGTGTCGTGTGTTGTGGACATTGTTGCCGCTGCTAGGGCGAGAGTCTCCATGGCTACTTCCCTGCTGGAGAGGATGAATGCCGTGGAGAGGTGGAGGGCTGTGTGGCCGACTGGAGAGTTGTCAGCATCATATCGCTCTTGCTATGGCTTGTGAAGGACCCATGTGGTAGAGACATACGCCCTGAGCATAACGCATTGAAAAGCGGCACCTGCCCTGTGAATAAGTAGTCCGAGACAAGCTTTCTCCAATCATAGGCGTAATTAACGACGAGCTGGTCCTCGAAGAAATCAAGGAACGCGCGTTGGTATCTACCAGGCATTAGTCAATCGGACATACAAATAGGACACTCCAGTCAAAAAGCACAATACATACTCTCTCCTCCCTAAAAAGTCCCTCCAATCATACGTGCTGATCTCCGCCGGGGAATCAACCCATGGCTCAAGGGCCTTCGACTCCGCTTCCCAGGCGCGATCCAATGCATTCGCGTCAGCGCCGAGGAGGAAATACGCACCCAACACCTAAGACCACTCGATTAACCAACGACCACACAGATAGAGTCAACAAGGTAGGGCAGCAAACATGAGGCATCTGGTTGCGGTGGGCGCCATCAGACCGCAGCAAGCTGTAGTTGGCATGGTTCAGCTTCAGCATGTGTTTTACCGCGCGGGCGGGTCTCTCTTGCGCCGTGTCGATTTCGTGGGTCTGCACCGGGGGGGTGCTGAAGGGCGTGCGGTCGCGCCATGGGATTAGGTTGCTGAGTGATGGTATTGAGATTGAGATCATCGTTGTGTCGTATCTGGTGTTATTGTATTCGATGTTCACTGCTAGATTGTGCCGCTACTTTTGTTGGGCCGAGGCGTTGGGGTCGTTGTACGGCGTGCTTTAGTGATATAATTGCATGAATGGTGCACTGGAATAGAGAGCGCGTTATATTTTTGAGTGCACTTATTCTCTGAATTGAGCTCTGTATGAATGTGTTCAAGATTGGCTGTCGAAGCTCAACAAAATGTGGGGAAGAAGCGGATGTTGTTGAGGTTGGATGATGGGACTGATGGCCTGAGGTGTCTATGATGTCACGCCACTCGTCCATACAATAATCAACAAAGAGAACAGTTTACTTCTATGACTCTTCTTGATATCCATCTGCTCATTTCAGATATATGTATGTATCTATGTTCCCAAATTACTTCTCTTCTGATTTACCCTGCTCCTGTCTACTAGACTCATCGATCGCATCGCCACCAGCGGAAAGCTCACCCGAGATGACATCCACGTCGATGCGAGGCCCAACAAAGTTCTTACGTCCGTCGACGAACCATTGGACGCCGGACACTATCAAAATGATCCCGAAGGCGACCACGCAGTAGTCTGCAGATTTGCGTTAGCGTAAATCCCAACATCAGGAATGCATCAGACTTACTCATGCCGCTACCTGTGACGGGCAGGCTGGGCGGGAAGAGGAAGAGCACCGTGGTGATGGAGATGTAGCAAATGGAAACCTGGGAGGGATGTCAGCTACTAATGTCCCTCGTTGTTTGACGTCAGACATACCATGTTGGCAATCCAGCCAAAGAGCTTAGGAAGAACAAAGTGCCGTTCGGGTAGCATGTTTCGGCCACGAATGCAGTTGATCGCGATCGGCATTACGTAGGAGATGTCGAGCATGACCACTGACGAGGACACGATGGCGTTGAATGCACTGTATGGAGTTAGCAGCTGGTGGTGCACTCTCGGGGAGAAGCTTACCTCGACGAGCCCAGGAAGATGCAACCAAAGATGATCACCAAGGATATCGTCAAGTACAGAGCGTTCAACGGCACCTTGAGCTTCGGGTGTACCCGGCTGAAAAATGGAGAAGCTGGGAGACCGCCGTCTCTGTTTTTTCATTAGCAAATCTAAGCTTTGGTAGACACAATCGCAACCGCACGCTTACCTCGCGAACGCATAGATCATGCGACTGCTAGTTGCCATGATGGTAGTGGCGGCGAAGAGGATGCAAACAAGGGGGAACCTAAAATCGAGTCAGCGACTTGTACCAGCACGCTGTATATTGAGACTTACATGAGAAGGCAAATAGATCCCGCATTGCTTCCTGTCGCATTCTTAAAGATTTGCACGAGCGGGCCGGCGGCAGACTCGATCACATCCTCAATGTTGCCAGCAACAAAAAGTAGCACCACCAGGAATATCGATCCGGTTACTGTCCCAATCCCAACACAACCTATCATAATCTTGGGTCCAGTGGAAGAGGCATTGGGGATTTCTAAAAGCGTCAGTAGGATTGCGGCTCGAAGATGCCACTCTCAAGCATACCTTCAATCATGTGTGCCACGCCATCCTGTCCAGCGGTTAGTTTCGATCGAACGTAGCCGAGTAATAGTGACTCACAAATCCTGTAAGACCAAGGCCTCCTTGCAGCAACTTTAATGGGTCAGAATAGTCTTAGGTTTATACAAGATGTCAAACATACCCCAAGCAGCCAAGCAACACCATCCGGCCCTGTATCCGTTAGCAGTGGAACGCGAATTTGTAGATAGATTGAAGATGCCGTACAGTTTGTTTGATTGATAAAATCTCCGAACACGAACCTCCCAATGTCAGCATGCGCTTGCTCCACATGTGCCATAAAAACACGACTTACTTTCCAGAGTTATAGTTTGGAGAGGAGCAAGCAAGAACAGTAATAGAGATGATCGCGAAACCACTCAAAGACCAAATGACTTCAACCGTCAGCACTCCTCTCGGCAGATTTGGAACCACAATAACTCACAAGCACCCTTGGTAACTTTCGGAAGCACCGAGTTCATCAGAGAGTTGATAATGAACGCGATGATGTTGTACCCAATATAGAGCAGGAACTGGTGCCAGCGCTGCGGCTCAAATTCCTACAGGACTCAGCGACGAAGCGCAATAGTTCAGTAGACCAGTGACTTACCGGATGCATCAGGGAAATAATGCCCATGATCAGCTCGCTTCCCAGAAGGCCACCAGTGGCGGTTAGGGCGAGCTACTTCGTCAGCAGGCGACTAGAGTCCAGGGCATGGGAAACTTACCCAGCCGGAAACATTCGCCCAGCCGGTAATCCATGATAGGATTGGGATCCAGCTCTTCCACGATACTTTGTACTGTTAGACTTGTTCGAGCCAAGGATAGGAAGCACACATACTAACTACAAGACAAGTCAGTTAGTTTCTAACACATGATTCCCGGAGATTGAACGTGACTTACCTGCAACCCAATGGTACTGTCCACCAGCCCTAACGTATCATTAGAACGAGCCACCAACATACTCAGTCTCGAATGCTCACGTAGGATACGCAGACAAAAACTCCGCCAGGGAGCAAGCCATGCACAAGTTGCATACACCAGCGGTAATCAGTCCTACAGACAGTAGATCAGCAAACCTAGTCTCGACCGCAAAATACCCAAAACACCCACCCCAGACAACACTAGCACAACCCCCCGACGGCAGACTGAGCGATAAGCTGGCCGATAAAGCCGTCCAAGACTGCGAGGCGTGATCAGCGATCAGGATCCTAGCGTGCCCTAGTTACGGCGTTGAGCCACGGCCCGCGGGACAAGCATTCCAATAGGCGGGGGCTGTTCCTGCCGCGCCGACGTACATTCAAGATTGCAAAGGCCAATCCCAACATCGATCTAATATAGATAGTACCTATATGTCAGTCTCTGGGCGTTCCTTGGGGCCAATCCAGAGCACGCACAGCATAGAGAAATTTCGATTTAATTCAGCCTTATGGCCCATGGCCGCCAGCTGCGCGTCATCATCTCCGCGCAAGTCCTTCGTCGTGGACATGTTGGGAGTCGACTGCAAGAAACACCAATTGTCACAATGGCTGCAAACAGAGAAAAGAAGAAGTAACAAAGCAAGACACAGTACAGAAAAGAAGAAGAAGAAGAAAGGCTAGATAAAAACAAATAGTTCAAAAAGACAGCCAGGCAGACGAAGAAAAACAGACGAAACTCAAAAAACAGTACCAGTGCGGCCAGCCATCTCAACGCGTTCCTCCCTCACACGCTCACTTGCCCTACCCTACCCTTCCCTATCATTTCCTCCACCTCCACCCCCATCTGGGGGGCGACAGCCATGGTCTCAGTTACCCGAAAATGGCGTCAATCGTTCCTCGGACAAGCAATCCGGCCCACCAAGCATTGCGGGGAAAAAGGCCCCAACTAACCCCGTTACATAACAGAGATGATGTAACAGTCCCCCCGATAAGACACGCACCCCAGAGCCGACACAATTCGTCTCAGGCACTTCAGTAGTAGCATCCACGATGGGTGGGAATCCAAGATACCGATTCAGGCGAAGATAATCGTAGTGGACGGTGATTTGTGGAAAGCCCCGAACCGCAAGGCACCGAGGGCCAGTCAGGAAAAGCCGATCAGCATTTGCCCCCCGATTCCCGATTCCGAATCCGAGTTCAGCCAGTCGGTGGACTCAATCCCATTCCCCGAGTCTGAGCGCCCCGGCTTGGATGAAGCTTAGCCTTCTTTTTTTTATATGAGGGAAAAGGTATTATATACGTATTTGCCGCCCGTCCCACGCGTCGCATATTGTCGGCACGGAAAACGGGGGCGGAAAAGCTTGTACATACTTGGGTCGCTTTGGGTATCCACTTGGGTTTGGGGATATAGTATAACTATACTCTTGTCTGGAGAGGTTTGTGTCAGTCAAAGCCATGTTGTCGAACAGGGGAGAGATAGGGCGACAGGGTACCTATCTAGTATCTACTCTAAGAGTGAGATAATTATGGCATTCTGCGAATAATGGTGAACGGTGATAAGACTCCGGGTGGACCAGACTCCAACGACTCCACCCAAGCCGAGTGGAGAAAAGATGGATGGAGGAGATGAATGAATGGAGGAGATGACGGAAATTGTCAACATGTGGTCCGCTCGCTTCGGAGGTCGGCCTGAGGCTGCCTTATCCCCTTTTTAATCCTGGTCCCGGTATGATGTATCGAAAATGATGTCTGGTACCCTTCTTTTCTCCTGATTAATTAGAGTGAGGATAGGATAGGATAGGATAGGTAATTCACAATCGTATGGTATATAGCATTATATACACGGCATCCATGATCTCTCT